TTTAGTTTGTAATTCTTGGAACTTAGTTTACTAAAGTAAATATATTATTAAAAGTGTAGATTCTATATAAAAAGAGTATTATAAAAGTCTGAAAGACTTTTCTCGAAAAGTTGACGAATATAAACTTGTCTAGAATTTCATGTGAGGAATTTCATGTTCTTGTTCAGGTATGAACGCTTAAACTGTTTTCATAAATGTTCATGTAGAAACGCTTAAAGCGATTTCATACAAGGTCCACGGCATCAAATTACCTGTCAAATGATAGTAAATGAGTATTAATTTTACGCGATACACCTTTTACTCTATTTCTATTTTTAGCTAGTATCCACAGTTCTTCATCTCAAAATGTTATTCCGCAAAAAAATAGCCATTATTCTGGATGCTCCGTTATTGTTACGAGAAAGACATCATGTCTCTGTCGTTTCATTATGCAAAGTGTTTTTGAAGAGAATTTTGTGAACTGAGGCGCATAAAAAATTGCCTTGTGTAGTTCAAGTGCGGATGCATCAAATGTATATATTGCCCACTACTCGGCTGAACAATATCGATGACTGTCATCATAGCAGAGAGCCGTAACCATTCAAAGTAGCTCAAGATAACCAAAAATTCTAACAAGGAAGATATTTATGATATACTTAATAAATACATGTATTGCTTCTGCCGCTATCAATCGCAATATAGGAGAAATGGAGAAGTTGATCAAAAAAGAAAACAAAGGAACTGAAGCTAATACAATTGAAAACTTCTTGCGTTTGTTGGGTGGTTGTTGTATAAACCCTGAAGTTGTTTGCTCCCATGTTCAACAGATCGAATTCTCTGCTGAGTTCGTGGAGCCAGGAGTGTGTTCTAAATAGATGAAGTATCTTGATATTAAATACGGATGGAGTTTTTCTACAATTGTGTAGTTTAGTTTAGAAAAGTGACCATGTGTAAAAGAACTAAACAGTTTTATAAAGTTAAAGTCCGTAAGACAGAGCTAGCCGAAAATGACACCGATTACCAAGTCAAAGGAAGTTGCAGCCTAAGACGATGTCAAACACCTGGTAATATACTCTTCTCCGTAGATTATCTATTTAGTCAGCTCGAACTTCCAGCTTTTTTCTTATCATCTGGTGACAGTGGGTGGTCGGTTACAGTACCTGTTCTTATTTGGTTAAAATAATCTTCAAACCCCAATGTTATTCTGGCTTGTGCATTTTTGCATAATTCTTCAGCTGTAACAGTTTTATAATCATAGACTTCTGTAATAGGCACCACTTTCCACTCTTCTGGTGACTTTATTTTCAAATTGTAACTATCAAACTTATTCTTTTGGATGTAACGATGACCTAATTCACCAATTATGGCCACTTTTGTTTCATCACTCGAGTGTACCGTACATATATATCTGTCTTCGGCTACTCTCCAAACACATGACTTTGTATCCAAATAGCATACTTCATCATAAGACTTGATGTTAGCGTCGTAAGATTTAAATTTAATGTATACTTCACCTTCTGAGGGTCCAAAAGTGTACAATTTCCTATTGAACGTGGTGATGTTGGGATACACGTTGACCTCTTCCACGTATTTGGGTTCATAGTCTTTAAACCATTCTTCAATGTTAGTATCGGTCATTGCTTCCTGCAGTTGTAAAGTTTCAAGCAATGTTGTGAAGCGTATGCCTTGGGAAACAAAAGCTTATTTATAGCGAGCGGAGAAGGAGCCACAGTAAAGTTACTTTGAAAGTGATTGGAGTATTCATATTAGATAAGTCACGTAATATTTGTTATCATTTTATCTCTCATATGTGGCTCTTATTAGCTGGTGGTGCCGTGCAATGAATGGACAGTCTTTTGTTTTTTTGGAGATCATGCATTAAAGTTTGACACAATTGTGCGCTGTCTAAATTGAGGTGTCCTTTTTTTTGCGCTTATCAGAAGTACACAAAACGGTATCCAAATTTAATATTTATCAACCAGTTTTGATTGGACATCATAGTCATATTCTTCCATATCATCGTCTAAATGTTTAGTAAGTCTCCATTCCAGCCATGTTACAGAAGCAATATCAGGCCATTCTTATCAAAATATAGTTTTTCCGACTTGTTTCAATGTTGCAAAATGTATATTTTTATTGTTTTACTTTATTTGTGTTATAAAATTAGTGATGTTTTACTACAAAATTTAGTGTAGAATAAACTAAATTTCAAAAACAACTATATAAAAAGTATAAAATCAACAAAAATAACCACTTATATATGTTTTGTAGCTCTACACAGCCACCCAAATGCCACGTGTCACAATTAGTCCATCTTCCTAAGAAGGTAAAAATCAATCATAATACACCTGTTATTACACGAGTTTTCGTATATGCATTCGTACTTATGTATCAATACCTGATACAGACGTTTACAGGGTTTACGGTTTAGCATTGCTATTTCATTTTAAGGAGACTTAATTTAAAGGTTATATAAACCATTGAATATCTCTCTACCTTTTATTTATTGTATACTAGTTTATTAATTTAATCAAGTTTACTTTCTATTTTGAATATAACATTTACTTATATATTATACTGTATAATTGAGTAACGTTATTCCTGAAATATGTACAGAAGGTTCAAATATAGAATCGTATTTAATCAGCAATTGAGAGCTCACATAACACCATTAGCACACGGTAGCGCACAATCTATGGTGTACAGTATTTCTATTTTTTTTTTTCATACAGTATTTTTATCTTTCTTTCATACTAATGCGCGCTAATTTCTCATACCAATCCTACCTAAAATTTTCATACCAGCGCGACACAGTCTGGCTACAATGATTTTCAGTGTAGTTTAGTGCGCGCGCTAGTACGAAAAATTTAAGGCGAATTGGCATGAATAATTTTGACGCACTAGTATGAATAAAAAATAAAAATATTGTATATTACAGAGTGTTTATGTTATTAGACACCATTTATATATTGTAGAAGACTCATACTTCAACATAGAGAAATTGAAACAAACCAGGCACTTAAGGAAATGAAGTATTTAGTACTTGATAACGCAGCCATCCATAAGCGTCGTGACCTCGAGTTATTGGTGGCTCAGAGTGGAATGGAACTAGTATTTTTGCCCGCTTATTCTCCTTCGTTAAATGCAATTGAAGAGTTTAGTCGGTGTGTAAGGCTAAAGTTAAGCGGTCAAACTTATCTAGAAAAGAACAATTAACTCCAAGGGTAAGAGAATCAACAGCAAAGATAACCTTAGAAAGCTATCAAGGTTTCTGTAAACATGCTAGTAGCTTTATACCATATTGTTAGAAAAGAGATCTTTCTAAACTATGGCCCCTTGGAAATGGGAATGAGACAGCTTTTAGCTGTTGTAACTCAGGACTACCATCAACCTGAGTAGGGGTCTCAGACTGAGTACCTATAATACTTTCAAAGTGGTTATGTTGAAAGATACATTCTTTGTGCTACCAATTGATGTTGAACAACATATTGTATGCTACCAATCTACCCATATAAATTGGGAGAATTCAAAACAAATTTTATAAAAAAATTTATAACTATACAACTCTTCTTCTTTGCCGAAGATATGTCATTATAAATATATATATACATTGTCACATTCTTTAGGTCCTCATCTACTACAATTCATACTACTCATATTCATCATAATACTACCATCTCATAATTAATCACTACAACCACACACACCTGATTCATCATATAACATCATCATATTTCATTAACTTCAATGTCTTTATATCCTAGCCATTTTCACTTCCTACCATTATAAAAACACCACAATTACAACAGGTTATTCATAATAAGCTATTAATAATAATGAAACTTTATATGTGATAAGAGTTAATCTCTTCAATCAAGTTTTACATTTTTAAGGGAAATAATCATCCTTATTTATATTAGTTTAGAAGAGTACAAACTTCCTTAATTAATCATTAACAGAAGAATACAAACTTCCTTTATTATAAAATGAGCATAACAAAAATATCTTTAATAGTAATTTGGCATAACACAACATATTTTAGTGAGGAAACTTGAATTATAAGTTTGAAATATGTTTATGTTTAACATATATTCAACATTAGGTTGAGAAAATGACTGCAAACGGGTTCAAGAGAGGACAGTAGAAAAGAATTAAGCTCAAACAAAAAAAATTGATTTGGTATTATTTCATACTTTTAATCTTGTTGCCTCAATTCTTCAAAATCAGGCCCAACTAGGTCAGAGATGTGGAAATTCTTTTGGATAATTTTGTAGTTTGAAAATTTATGTCGCGTTGGTTTGAAAAATTATGTCGCATTGGTATGAAAATTTATGTCATTTTAGTATGAAAAATAAATGTCGTGTTGGTATGAATTATTTATGTCGCACTAGTATGAAATAAAAATAAAAACACTGTAGTCAATTATTGCCTTCCCCCCCCCCCGTTCTCGCCACACAGACAGACACAATAATGCTATTCCGTAAATCTTATTGAAGGCGTTTTGTGTCGCGAATAATTTATCCGAGGTTTACGACATACTAAGAAATATATCTTACACCTAGCTAAAGATGTGGGAACACATCAAGGCTGCTTAAGAGACAAATGAAAGTCACCACACTTAAACGCCCGTTGTTTTAGTTTCCTAAAACAATTACCTATGAAATGCAGTGAGAACTTGAAAAATTTGCAGTAATTTGAATACAATCCTTTGACATCAATTCCTTGTATAAAGAAGGTACATGAAATATCTCACGAACTCGAGAAAACAAACACCACGGAACTGAATGTACCAAAGGTAAAATTTTGCCAATCTTTTGAACCCCAACGGCACGCATTTAAATTCTCCAGTATGGTGCTCAAAGCAACTCAGGTATGTAGGTAGAAAAACCACATATTGTGTATCTGCATAATTATTGCAAAACTTGAGTTCTCACATTGACAAATGCCGAGTGCAAAAAAAAAAAAAAAGAAAAAAAAATAAAATCAGTCTTCAAAGCGAAAACTGCCTTACACCAAAACCAATGTTTTCTCCCTCAGATGAAAAGATAATAGAGTATATCGATGCAGGTCAATATACAATTGCTCAATCCTCTTTACTTGAGAAGATCAAAAAACACCCAAATAAAACCATTTATCGAGCGTTATTAAATAAGATCTTGTACAAAACTGGATCTAAAGACAAGGCCATTGAAAATAACTTGGCCTTATTGCAAAGCGTTCCAAATGAAATCAACACCGTGATTGAGCTTAATGAATTTTTCAAGTCAGTAGAGATGCCAAAAGAGGCTGATTTATGTTTTGAAAAACCAATTCAGAAATATCCAATATTGGCTCAAGAATTGAGCACCATTTGGTTTGAAAATTCAATCCCTGATTTGAATGTGAAACAATTTAACAAAATCTTTTCATTTTTGAACAAAAGTAAAAAAGATCGAAAGTATACTTTTTGGTACAGTTTTAGTTTCTACTTGTTGATAAAGCAAGGTGAAGAGAACGAAGAAGATTCTAAATTGAAATTGTATAAGCAATTTGGCAAGAAATTGATTGAGGGATTGGTGGAGAAGGAGCTATTTGTTAACTGCCAAGAGTTGTTTGTGTATACACGATTTTTGCTCTTGGAAAATGATTACTCCACAATTGAATCAGTATTAAGTGATGTCAAATTCCCATTGGATTTGGAAATGCAATTACTTTATATGGAAGCTATGGGTAAAAATGAGAATTGGACTCAACTTTACAATCATACCAGCAAATTATTACTAGAGGATAAGTTTGATGATTATGATACTTGGCAATTGTGGATCAAAGCTGGACAAGAACTTGGCATCAGTTATCACGACCTTCAATCAAAATTGGGTGGCAGTAGGAACGAATTGTTGACCAAAATTGAATTGGACCTCTTATACAAAACTGAACAGGAACAATTACACCACGACATTGAGACTTATTTTGCCAAGTTCAAGACCAAGATGTGTTGTTTTAGTGATCTTTCCAAGTACAAGGACTATTTGCCAACAGAATTTTACAATAAAGTGAAAAGCTCAACTAATGCAATATTGGCAAACCCACCTCGAGACGACAAGGATCTTTTCACGCTTGTAAATAATCAAAAATTTGTCCCTCATGTCAAAAATGGAATGATTTATCAACACTTTAGAAAAGAAGAGAGTTCCGAAAATAGATCCGAGTTTGATAATGACCCATTAAGTGATGCTCTTTTAATATCTATTCTTGAAATTTTGTCAGAGAATCCACTGCCATCACATGTTATCCAAAGCATCGCCATTATAAAGCAACTACTTATTAAGGACAAGTACAATTATAGATTAAAAGTGTGGTTGATCAAGCTTTACTCACAACTAAACACCAATGATACGATTTTACCCATTTACGAGTCATTAAAGATCAAAATGATTCAACATGAAACTTTGGGATACTATCTTACAAATATGGTCCCAGCGACAAAATCAAGCCTTGATCAATTCATTGACATTTTCCGTTTTTACCTTACAGCAAAACATGAAGTAAAACACACAGTATTGGGAGGATTTGAGCTGCAAATATATAGCAAGTTGACCAGTTTTATTCAACTTGGCCAACGATTACAAAATTCAGTGACGATAAACACCATATTACAACGAATCATTCAAACTTCATTAATTCTTTCCGATAAAGGCTACTTGAACTATTTCGCTCATTACTTAAAGGAGAATGCAAATTCAATCTTGTCATCATCAACTTGGACAGATAATCGAGATTTCAATTCGGAATGGACTGGGCTTGTTGTGAATTCGAAATTGGAAGATGCTAAATCAAACAAGTTGTGTTCAATACCAGCGGATGACAAAACAACTAAACTCAAATTGATTATCTATGCAATCGTGTTGGATAGCTCTGAAGAAGATTCAATTGGGTTATTGAAACAATTCAACAAAATTATAAGCACTTCACAACCTCATAATATCAGTGCTAATCCATTCACAGCTACTCTTTTCAAAATGTATTACAACTTGTTGAAAATTCAGACCGATATTAAACTGGATGAATGCCAATCATTATCCAACTTCATTTTGAAGAATTTTAAAATCGATAAACTCAAATCACAAATCATGCCAAAGATTTCTTCCACTTTATCATACCAATTGAATGAAAATCTAATCAATTTAGTTGAATTCATCAAAATTGTTGGATTCATATCTACACAATCAAAGGGCAAAACTCAACAGTCGATCAAGACTACTAAATCTATATTACAAGCAACAACAAATTTAGTTTCCGATTTGAAGAAATTGGAATTTGTACAGCTACAATATGATGCGATTGATGAGCAAGTGACAAGTTTCGGTTTGAATGATGAGCTTGGAATGGGCTTGGATGAAACGGTATTAGCAAACACAATCACTGAAATCAAAGAGTCGATTGCTGCGTCGACAAAATCCATCTTGAATAACATATAGACAATGCACATAATCTTTGGAACTCTTTGAGAACCCAATGCATAAAAACAATCGTATTCTTTAGAAAAAACCACTTCTCATTCAACTCCTACAAATCCACTTTTAGCCCTAAACTAGCACTCATTGAAGCAATTTGACTAACGCCCAAACTCAATAGATATTTCCGATGATTCAAATCACGTTCATTGGCATTGATTTTGAATTCATCGCGGATAAATCTGACTAAATCATCACGTTCGTGGTGCTTGTAAAGTTGTCGAAGTACTGCTCGGTAAACTCGTTTGACTCGTTGTTGAAATAGGAACTCTTCAAGGGATGGAATGTTGTTGCTGGCGGGTTTGGGTTTAGATCGCGATTTTGATGATTTCAATGGCAAGGATGACGAGGATGCTGAGGATGACGAGGATGCTTGAGTTATGGATGATGTAATTAGTGGTCTGGTGGTAAGTAATGTTACACATGGGTTGATGAATTTCGTGAGCTGTAGACTGATCATAGTGTGCGGTGTGCTGTGTAACTGGAACTTATTCAACACCCGAGATGCGCAATTTTTCTTGATGGATTTTCCATTGCGCTCTAATCCTACTTTGCAAATCAAAAACAAACTTTATTCAATAGAAAACTATAAACTACACTGTATATAATAACCGGAAAACAACGACAAAAAAGCATAGCACGTATGCCAACACTTTACTTCTTCTTCATGCACTTGATATTATTATCAGAATAGAAATTGATAAAACAGTTGTTGTTAAAACACTCATTTGATAATGTTCCATTCACGTTACATTTAGGGGTCAATGGACTCAATCTATACTTGAGATCCATAAACTTTTGAGCAAATTCAATGTCAGTGGTATTCCATAACTTTTCAGCAACATAATTGTGCCAAAACGTCCCATTCAATGGAGCATCTTCTGGCCAAGTGTGTTCGGGGTCATAATAATCCCTAGCACTATACTCAACTTCCCATTGTGGCTCTTCGCCACCATTGGTGAACGTCAAATTCAATTGAGTGTAGTAATTGTACGCATTAATGACGTTAAAACTCTCGTGTTCCACTTCATACCATTTCCATGAAGGATTGTAGCTGGTGAATGGTGTCACCGATTGAGCTACCCATGCCATATTGATGACATCTTCAGCAACCGCATCAGCAGCAGTGACATTGCTTGTGTACAAAATGGAGAATTCATCCACGTGAGTGTGACCATAGAACAAACTTGCAATGGTGTATGGAGAGAATCTTTCCACTATCTTACCAAAGATTCTTGACTGAAGTGGCAATGCATCACCACCATTTGGTGGAACATGGGCAATTATCCAAACCCTTTGTCCCTTTTGCTCTGATTCCACCAACTCATCAACAAGAAATTTCCAATTGCCAAACAAGTCGGGGTTAGTTGATTGATCAAGATAATTCCACAAGTTGGAAACATAGTACGCATTTGAGTTTAATGCAATAACTTTCAAGCCTCTATTGGTAACATATGAGAATCCAGTGTAATGATCTTTCAAATCGTTGGCATCTTTTTCATCAAACCATTCGTTATTGATCCACAAATTAACCATGTCATCGATGTTGTATTCATATGAGTTGTTTCTATCGTATTGCAATGGAGCCACTTGTGCATATGGGAAAGCATCATGGTTACCCAATGAAGGCAATACAGTGATATTGTTCAAGAAATGTTTCATCAAGTTGAACGAAGTCACTTCTGATTCTTTTGTCACATTGGGTGTAGCGTGTACCGTATCATGGTCAACTAAATCACCAGTGAATAAAACAAATTCGAAATTCTTATCCTTGTGCAATTTGGCCACTTCGATTAGAGAATTATTCATCAACAACTCTGGTGTATCGGAAAGGTAGGCTCCAAAGCTAGTTGCTGGCGCATTTTGCCAATTATAGCCACGATACTTTGGGAAATCATAGTAGTCCCCTTTGATGTACTGATCGTTTTCATCGTAATGAGCATCAGGATAAAACGAGAAATCAAAGGTGTCAATAAAGGGGTCGAGGTTTTTGTAGTATTGAGTGAAGTTGTAATCCTTACCGGGAAGAACTTTATTATAGGACTCTGGTAAGCAGCATGGTACTTGAGTACAATTGGATTCCGAACCCAATTCATACCTCGGCTGAATATGGAAATCGGTCACATGAACAACATTAAACCTCTCGCTATTATTCTTATACTGTGGTTGATTATTATACTCTGGTTTCTTTTCTGGCCACCAGCTTTCAAGATCAAACAACTCAACCACATCTGGCGTCTCGGGCAAATCACAAGCTTTACTCCATTTGAAATAACAATAATACTCTAAATCCAAATCGCTAGAAACATTAAAGTGTTTAATAACGTGAAGGTAATCATTATCAAAGAAATTGACACTTGTACCAGAAGTAATACCCGAATCGTAATCATCATTAAATGCTTCAAAATTTTGCGAATCAGTAGTGATGAAAAACTCCTTGTTGATGCATGAATTGGGCTTTTTGGGGTTATTATTAACACAATCCTTATACAAGAGCAAACTCACCAAATGTTGGTGTTCAGGGTACTCTTCAACCAATGACTTGGCATACTTCATTCTATTTTTACACTGATCACATTTGGAAACGGTGCCAGTGGCATTGGCGTTGGTAAGATTCTTGATGTGGTAGTTGATAAAGTCAATTTCAGTGGCTGGCAAATTGCGATATATTTCCTCGGTGATATCCTCCTGCAGTGCTCTCTTGGCCATGACTTGACGTTGAAGGGAACTATGGCCAGGTATTGTGTAAGACAAAGAAACAGCAGCGAATGTTACAACATAGATGAGTTTGGTGACGAGCATCGTTTATATCTCCTTTTAGGGTTCGTATAATGCGAGTAGGGTACACTGAGGCACACCCGAAGGTTTGATTAGAATCGGACCCTCCCCTATTTATAATCAGGATGCTTAAGCGAATATCATAGTTTGCATGTGGTATTCAACTTGAGTATCCCACATGGTCTCCTGCTCCATCGTCTATTCAATAAAAAATACAATGTCGGAACTAAAAACAGAAAACAATTGGAATGGCACATTTATTTGCTATGCAATTTCATTTTTGTGCTCTCTTTTTCTGGTTTTTTTGCAACTGTAGAATTTTAAGGAACCAATTTGACACACGTGCCACCTCTCAAAGAACAATAGAATGGAGAGAGATGAATATATCACAAATTATACAAACCGACCCCATGTGGTGCATGAGATTAAATTGAAAATTGTGTCATGATGTTTGATTGTATAATTTTGGATCGTCAAGAGATATTGACGATGATTTGCAAATGGCAATTGTGTCTTTGTTGTTGCTATTTACCCGTGGGAAATAATTGGACGTGCCGGTAAAAATCGGATCACATCCTCATGTTGCAGTTGATATAGCTCAAATGTTTTCAGATCGAATGCCTTCATTTGACATTGTTGAGGCATAACTAAAGTACGCGACCAAATTCAATTTAACTACCAAGTTGTTCCTTCACCATTCAACAGTCCATACCACCGTCTCTCTTTGCACTTTGCGTAATTTTAACCTCAAAATAGAATCATCATGAGTCTTATCCCAAGCGAAATTGAGTAGTTTCCGAGTGACGCAACTGGTCTTGTTCAATTTCACCACTTGAGGTCCATCAAGATAGATTGACAAATACTCACCCTGATCCAACTCATAATTGTCGGGTTTGGCAGGATCAGTGATTATGAACTCGATGGTTTGTAGTTGAGTATGGCTCAATTCCAAATCTTCTGTTAATGGGTTAACTTCATACGATTTAAAAGAAAACCATTCTTTATCGCATGGCGAGGCATGTAAAATGTCACAAACAACATTGTATGTCTTGTTGTCAATTGTGTGCTGGTCCAACTTGTTTAGTTCGCAAATAGTGGTAAACACACCACTGGCATTGTCGCTAGTGCTGGAAGCGTTGCTTGTTCTCACAACACCCTTATTTTGCGTCTGGGCATCATAAAAGTTATTCTCATCAGAGGATGAGGATCCCTGTTTCGATCTTTTTGCACCTCCATCATTAAAATCAGGCACCGAATTGATTCGCTTGTGTCCCATCTCTTGGGTTGTGTTTACATTACCAATTTGATCTTGAGTCAAGTCTTGTTCTATAGAATAGACAACATCATCAATGATGACATTTTGACGAGCTTGAGCTTGAGTTACATGTGTAATACTCTGATCTACCAGATCATCCTCATACAGTGACATTTCAGAAAGTTCGTCATCGTCATCATCATCATCATTAACAGACACAGTCCTCAAAAATTCCTCAGAAATAACATCCTTTACCAACTTTGGATCAAGGGCTTTGATATAATGTTTTTTCTTTAGTATATTTTTATACAATGAAGATACTGCCTTTCTTCCAGCATCATCAAGGTATTCCCATTCAACGATTTCTAGATCATAAGCCCATGGTTCAAAGATACCCCTATACTCCCTCCAACTGAGTGTCATACCGAAAATCATTAATTTATCATCCACTTGCATTTCATTTCTCGTACTCCCCCTTTCGGGTACTTGCAATGCATATGAGGGATGAGCCTGATTATATGTTTCGAGAATATCGCGAACTTTATCATCATAAACCACGATACGAAGTACTTTATTGTCGTCAGTTTTTAGCACTGTAAACTCCTTTTCATCTTCACCCAATTCGGAATCTATCTGAACGTTTGAAGTAAAGTCAGTAGACCACATACTGTATCTGTTATCATCAAATTGCTCAAATTTCAATATCAAGACATAAGTCCTTGTTTTGTAGGGTCTGCCTAAATGACAATTTCCTTCTATTTTGGGGATTTCACAAATTCTCCTCACCGGATTGGGTCTTCCATTCATTAGATAAGAGAAGAATTAAGTCTGGAGTAACGGGAGGACAATTAAACAAATGACGGTAATAGCAGCAGTAGTGCCAGTAGTTACTGTAGTAGTTGCAGTGGTAGTTGCAGTAGGCAACGACATCATCAGCATTGGTTACATTTTTTTTTTTTTTTTCATTTTTCGCTTTTTTGCGCGTTTGGGGTCAAAAAATCAAGAACGCGTTGACAAAGGTGGAGGGAAATGAAAATGTGAGAAATACCGTACTGGAGATAGAACGGAAGACTTTGCAGTAGCTTGAACTTGTTTGTTGAACGATGTTTTCTTTGAGGAGTGTGTGATATTGTTTTTCTGAGTGAGTGTTATACTTGTTTATACGTGCATGGAAGAAGCTTTCTCATAGAGAGTATTGTGTATATGCAAATGATCTTTGCTCTCGTTCCACAATTGTCACTACATTACACCCAAAAGAACAATGATTGTGTTGTTGGGACTAACACGGCTTTTAAAGTTCGTTATAAACTTTTCTCATTTGATAATTTTTTACAAAACTCTTCTCAACAAAATGAAATTCCGAAATATGGAGAAGCACAACAACGAAGAGGAAGAGAAGAAAAACGAAGACGAGTCAAAAGAATTTGTTGACAACATAGAGGTTCATTGTTTTGTTGTAGTAGAGCTCTGTTTTGTTGAGTTATTGTTTAGAAAGGGTAACAAAAATACACGCAATTGATCAAATAGATAAAAATTGTTCTTTTGATCCTCTATTTAACTTCTATATGCGCAGCTTAGAAAAAGCCACATATTCTATTACATGGGATAACAGCAATAAATTTTCAGGGAAATCATTATCATTAGAAGAGAGAATATAATTAACACGAGTAAAACGCGAGCCTTTCTTCTTTCCCATGGTCTCGTGATGTTATTTGCGTGTTATCATTATGCTACTGTTGGCAGCAGTGGTCGTAGTTTTTAGTGGGTATAATCGCATATTAATGGAAACAAGAAAAAATAAAAGTGTGGGCGTGTGTGTACTGCACAAAAGTAGTTTGTAGCATCACTTCGAAAAATACTTATAGGAACAGCCAGGGCTTTATCGCTATTAAGATGAAAACTGTTTATAATAATGTATGTGTCCAGGTGTTTTATGTGTATTTAGAGTAACAATCACGCGACATCTTTACATCTCTTTTACATTTGCTTCTAGACGCGTTTTGTAATGTATACTCTGCTACACCGTTAATTCCTTGTACGAATAGATGTAGCAGAGGTGTTGAGATGAGGCTATGTGTTTGCATTGTTCTTCTCTTTGCGCATGTGTGTGTGTGTGTGTGTGTACCTTAACTACCTATACTCAATTTGTTTTAAGCCGCTTGAGAGAAACAAAAGACAATGCAGTTTCATTGACTCATATACAAGTAGACTGAGATTGCGTGTTTCATCATTTGTTTAAACGCCACAATTTTGTTGCTTGTTGCTTGTTGATTGTTGATTGTTGATGATGGTGTGTGTGCTTTACCTTAAGTGTTCTTTTTGTTCTTTTTGTTGGGGGTGTGTCTTTGTGTCATTTGTCAAAGTATTTTATCGGGTATAGTATTTACATGCAGGATTTGTTAACCCAAATGTCAAACTAGCGATATCCCCGAACACAATATACACCAACACAATACACCACCAATTCTTACTATTCGGTCCTATAAATACATCATCAAATAACCCATTAAAAACAATACTACCAATACTATTTCCTTACTTTTACATCTATATACCCATATACTTCTCACATCTACAAGTCGCAATGTCTACAGCCACCACAGTAACATTACCATCAAGTCAAAGAGACCTTAGTATGTCTAATAAAGAAGCCATTAAATTAAGTACTACTGGTGCTACTACCAAGTTGTCACAACACGAAATAATACCCGCTAAAAGAGATGTTGGTGCATTGGCTAATAGAATCAATTTAGAAACCAGATCTTTACATGACAAAGTGGACAAGATGGTTTCTTTAAAGATGGCTATTGCTTTACGTAATTACAAAGTGTATCGTCAAGGATTACAAGCATTTTACCACATTTTTGCCAGTATAGAAAAAGCTTTAAATTACCAATTGGAACAAGATTCACAATGGTCAGATATGTTGAAACAAGTTTGGAAACCAGAAATTGCCAGAACTGCTAGAGCTGAACAAGATCTTTTATTCTTTTATGATGACCATAAGGAAAAGTTTATCAGCCCCAAAATGTCTCAACAAATTAAATTTTCCAATCATATTATAGAAGCAACTAAAGAAAAACCATACTTGTTGTTTGCATACCTTCACGTCATGTACTTGGCCTTGTTTGCGGGTGGAAGATTAATGAGATCGTCATTTGCCAAAGCCACTGGGTTTTACCCACTGAAGGATGGATTAAAACATGAAGACATTATCAAGATGGGATTCAATTTTTTCAACTTTGATGTTACTGATGAAAATTTATTGAGAATTATTTACAAGAGAGATTATGAATTGGTTACTAGAAATGGATTAACTGAAGAACAAAAATTGGAAATTATTGAAGAATCAAAATACATATTTGAACAAAATGCTCAATGCTTATCGGAATTGGAAGCTTACAACATGGAAAAGATACATGGTACTTGGACCTATATGGTTTTAACTAAAGGTTATTATGCATTGTATGCTATTGTTGCCATAATAGTATTGTTGTATTTGCAAAAAATTATTAATCACTTTATATAAGGAAAACATATATAGCATTACACCCATCTTTTATTTATTAATATAACGACTTTATGAGAAAATATTGACAAACGATAATCTATCCAGGGTTGTAGAAACACTCAATGGCTGAGCTGTTAGTTGATCGGACTTATCTTTGATTCCTGCTACCATCGGATAATCTTTTTCTTTTCCCCGAAACTCGGAATCGAAACGAATACGCGCAATATACATTTTTATAAGTCCGTTTGGGTCTTGAGAAATTCTTCACCAAACTCCCCTCCGCCACCCCGCTTTTTGGACACTATATAAATAATGTTCACCAGACCCTGGCGATCCCTAACTTCAAGAATAACCCCAAGACAGGTTTCAATTGCATCAATGTCAACCGCCACAACAAAATCAGCTCACGATATAGCCATCAGTTCCTTCAATTCAAATCATTCTTTATACGACATTTATCGTCCTTCATTTACACCCATTATCGTTGACCCCTTTTTAGTTGATCTTAATCTTGCAACATACAACAAGCAAGACAATACATTCACATTTGATAATGATAAACACATTGTTGAACTTGCATGTGGTACTGGAAAATTCACCAAAAATTTAATTGATAATGGCTGGGGTCAAAATTTATCGGTTGTTGATCCATCAAAGGGAATGTTGCAAACATTTAAACAAAATTTCCCCCAAGTAAACAATGTTGTTCAAGCCTCAAGTTACAATACTCCCTTTGATGACAATTCAGTTGATGCGGTAATTATCGCCCAAGGGTTCCATTGGTTTGCTGATGAAGAAAGTTTACGAGAAATACATCGTATTTTAAAACCAAATGGGAAATTGGGCTTGATTTGGAATTTCGATTACATTTCACCATCACAAGATTCAATTGTTCGTGAAAGCAATTACTACAATGCAGGCACAAGATATTACCAGGATTTAGATTTGAAATCCAACAAAAACAATCAAGAGTTGTTATTGCAACAATATTTTGCAAATCAAAAATGGAACGACGAAGTGACTAAATACGTCTACAGTTTCGACGTCAAAGTACCTCAATATCGTCATGGTAAATGGAGATCAATTTTGTTGTCGAACCCATATTTTGAAAATAAAGTGTTGGATCTGTTTGCCTTGTATGATAAATTGATTGATAAAGATGATGTTTGGAAATACTGGGAAACAAGAAGTTATATTACTGATTTGCCACAGGAAAAGAGAGACGAAGTCAAGGCACATATTGAGGATATTATTGCTAAAAACACCACTGATGAGAGCTATGATAAGGAAACAAACCGTTTGATTAAACCAATGGGCACTCACACCGTTGTTGTTCCAGTTAAGAAATAAACACATTCTTATAATAAAATATAAATGTCAATTACTACTAATAAACCTTCTGCCGCTATTCTATATCACTCTATTCCGCTTCTCTCCATTCTATCAGTTCAGCTTTGATGTCCCTGGCTTTTTCAACCCAGCCGAGTTCCAAACTTTACTCAAATAATTATACATGCGAACACTTTCTTCATCAAACTCAAACAATTGACCCTCATCAAACTCTTTTTCTGGTGAATAACTCTGCACCTTATCATAAGCACAATAATAATACCCAAAACATATAGAGTTTTTAACCCACCCCTTTTGCGGGCCCCATTCAGTAATAAACTCAGTTCGTTGAGCACCATAGGGTAAATTCTCATTGATTTCATCAATATCCTTATTTCTAAACTTCCATGATTTTTTAAATTTCTCCTCCTCCACTTCTCCATCCACCGGACTGCCCGGTTGTCTAAACTTTGGTAAATCAGGCGGGACAATCGCAGCACGAATCTGCAATGGTGAATTAAACAATTGATGTAATTCATCCTTGGAAAATGTCGATAATGGGAACTTGATTCGATCTCTAAATGATCCATTCTTCTTGCAATAGCCAAACCCTGAATTGATCCAGAGTAATTTACCATCTTTGTTCACATGCCCCGGGTGAGTTGAACATACTTCATTACTAGGTGAATTGGGGTAAAATTTGCGATTCAGAAGCACAGTCTTTTCACCAATGGATGCACCAGCCACGGGGTTAAACTCGTAATTTTCATCACCAGCTGTTGATAATGCCAACCAATATAATTCCTTATCGCCCCAAATTGACGATTGTACCGGCTCTGTCCAAAGCAGTAAGGGAAACATCATAAGCAAACCAACATAATGCTGGGTCTTTTTAAACGCTACAACGCCTGCTTCTTGATAATGCCTCCATCCAGTCATGTACTTGTTATTCAAGGTCTTTTCAGTTATGCGAGGTATATCAAATAACGTATCGATGGATCTTTCATTAGCTGGAAACAAATTGGTGAAGAAATTAGTTTCAATGAAATCGTTGGTGTCTCGTAATGAACGATCTTGGAAATAAAAAGTACCCGATCGTCTATATTGTTCAGATTCAAAAAATTCATTTGGTGGCACCAAAGGAACAGTATCAGCATCAAGCAACAACACATCATCAAATGTCGAAAAAAAAACCGCCAAGATTTTGTTTGTATAGCCAGGAAAATGATACTTGTATTGTCGAGCGATACAAGGAGCAATATTGACAAACTGAAGGTTTTGTTTGGGGAAATGAGACCCGTAATCTTTATAACTTTCTAGTAATTTCAACTCTGGCATGTATGCATCATCATTCGCATCCATGGTGGGGTTCAACAATTCTTTCACGTCAACAGTAGCTGCAGATTCCATCCATTCAAGTGATCGTTTAGTTATATCTCCCTTATGCATAATTTGTATCGGAAGCTCATTGTTTAAAGCCCGTAATATCTTGATCAACTTCATGATATCCTTTGCATGTCTCGTTGCTGCAGAAATGACAATTCCTTTACCTCTGGAGTGCTTATGCACAAAATCAATATAGTTTCCTTTATCCACATCGGTCTTGTATTCAGTAGATCCATCTTCGTTGACAACTGGCCATCCAGTAGACCTATCTTCACCAGGAACTTTGAACAACGGGAGCTTAGTGGTCAAAAAGGGGAAAAATTTAGAGCTCAAATCATTAAATGTTTCCTGTTGGTCTTCATTCAACTCTTGACCAATAAAGCACTTGCCAAACACTCGCAACTGGGTAGTGACATCTGCCATTTCATGCATAACCGCTTTCGATCTAGCGACATTTGCATCAAACTCCTGCAGAATCGTTTTATTGTCTTCTCTAGTCAAGACAAATTTGTCCTGTGAATCTCGATGTTGCTTTTTGAAAATCTCTTCTAATTTCCTTTGCTGCTCTTTGAAAAACGACTGCTTTTTATCAGAGGATTTGTCAAATCTGCCAGCAGCCGAGTTATGCGTCGTTAGTTTCCATTTAGGGTTTTGTTGTTGAAATTGATTGAAAAATACTTTGCATTTGTCATTTAATGGCGCTTGCCTTATACGATCCAAATCATTGGCAAATGCTTTGGTGAAGTTGTCGTAACCCAGGTACAAGTACTTTGTATAATGGAAGTCTTGCCTTATTTTGAGATTATGCGCCTTGTATGAATCTAGATCGAATCTCTCAGTATCCCAAACCAAGTCCCATCGCTGTTTGAGTTTGGTGGATGATTGCAATAGTAGGATACTAATCAGTAGCGATATGAGTATAAGTGCTAAAAACACTATCCTTTTGAATGATAATCTCATGTTTTCTTCAACTCGTGCCAGTGGTTCTCCTGTTGTTACCTTAACTTTTTCCTAATTTATAGTTGCTGTGTAGGGTTTTGGGCAATGACTTTAAAGTGAGTAACTTATCGAGTTTGATCTCTCTAGAGAACGTATGACACCTTGAAAAGGACTTTAGCAATTACGAAACCAAAAACTTAGTGTGAAATTGTTCATTTGGTTTGGTTTTTGTTCAATCGGGTATAAAAAATCTAAAGATGCAAAAATAGTAAAAAAAAAAAAAAAAGGTTTAAGCCACTTTTATGCTTTGAATAAGCTCTAAACGCATAGCTCGGAAGGTCGTAAAATATAAATAGAAACTGAGCTTTCCTTATGTATTGAGAATCGGATTTGCACCCTTTGCAACCGATATGAGATTTTCAACTCGGTGTTGCAACTGGGGTGTATGCTTTATTTTCTTGTACCTTGCATCAGTCGACATAAAAACGCAACATCGCATTGATCCCACACGCCCTCGCCCACGTTCTCGCTTTCTCTCCCCTCCCCTTCTAATGCACACACTAAAAATTTAAATCCCTCTCGCTCACAAAAAACAAGGCGTTTGCAAACAATGCACGAGTTAACTTGACAAAACAAGGCTGAGACCAAATCTGAGCATAGGCATCGGCCTATACTTGAAGAACGTCTCACCTGCTGTCTCTATCATAACACGCTCGATCAATTCTCTATAAAGAGTAGTTATTTTCCCAAAGATGTATATTTACAAAGCTAAAGAACAACCACTATTTTAACGAGCTTTACCCTCAGCTGCTTTGACATATATAATATCTCCATCCTCAACGAAATAATCCTTACCCTTTTGCAACAATTTACCAGCTGCTTTAACACTTGCTTCGTCACCATACTCAATCAAATCATTATACTTGATAACTTGTGCCAATATAAATGTTCTTTCCAAATCGGTGTGAATAGTACCAGCAGCTTGTGGAGCAGTATACCATTTTCTAATGGTCCACTCTCTAACTTCATCGGGTCCACCAGTAAAAAATGAAATCAAATCCAACTTCTGTCTCATGGCAACAATAATCTTTGGCAATGCTGATTGAGCACCAATTTCTTTACAATAAGCTTCTCTTTCCTCATCTGAACCCATACCGGCTAATTTTTCTTCTAATGAGACCGATACTGGAACAATCAAATCACCAGGTGAATTTTTATCAACCCATTCTTTGATTTTCAAAAGATGCTTATTCTTTTTTCTAATGTAATCTTTTTCAGACAAGTTGATCAAGTATATGACTGGTTTAGCTGTCAACAACAACATTTGATTTATAGAATCAACCTCCTTTGCAGTCCATGTTTGATTGTAAACTCTTTGACCATCTTCCAATAATTTGATAATCCTTTTGACCAATTCTGCTTCTTCCTTCTTTTGTTTTACTTCCAAAGATTGTCCTCCTCTTTTGGTGATTTTCTCAATTCCTTCCAAATATTTTGTTGCAAATTCAATATCTTTTAATCTCAATTCATCCTTGACGATATCCAAATCAGCAACTGGGTTAACTTCATCATTAATATGGATGATGTCAGCATCATCAAAAGCTCTAGTCATTTGGAAGATAGCATCAACAGCTCTAATATTGGATAAGAAATTGTTACCCAACCCTTCACCAGAAGCAGCACCTTTTGTCAAACCAGCAATATCATAAACAGTTAGAAAAGCAGGGACTTCACTCTTTGGTTTGTACATTTCACACAATTTGTCAAACCTTTCACTTGGAACAACAACTCTTGCTTCTTCTGGTTCAATGGTAGCAAATGGGTAGTTTGCTGGGTTACCAAGAGGAGATTTGGTAATGGCTTGGAAAAATGTTGATTTACCCACATTTGCTAAACCAACAATACCACATTTCAAATTGTTACCTGGTCTTCCTAATAGGATTGGTTTCTCTTGCACTCCTTTCTTCTTTGGTGGCATAATGATATATTCTAATATGTGTAGATGGAAGAAGAATAGACAGTTGAAGGACTTTGAAATTTTTTTCACTCCGATTTGAGTTGAAAACAGTTTTTGGTTAACTTCACACGAACACAAGCACATATTCAAACTTTTTTTTTTTTTTTTTTTTTCATTTTATAGAGAACCAACCTGTTATACTTAGCTCCTCAATAGGCTATACATCACGATGTTTACCACTTCCATTAAACACATACGATCCACTGGCATACTAAAGAGGTCACTCACTACCAGTACGATTTTGCAAAATGCTGCAACCACTGAAGCAAAAGCCACTTTAATAGAATCATCGTGCAAAGCAGGAACACCATTGAACTTGAAAATTTTTAAAAAGGGAGATGAACCTGTTGCTAAAGAGGACTCAGAGTACCCAGAATGGCTTTGGACTATGATTGACCCTAAAAACAATTTGGATAACATCAAGAATGAAAATTTCCTCAGATGGAGGAGAATTAAATTGCAAAAAGAAAATAACAAGATTATAAGGAACAACAACTTCTTGTCGAAAATATAGTGCATTTGATCTTGTTGGGGTATACATTGTCTGTACATTTAGTTCTATCATGTATATAAAGAAATCATTTTCTTACAATTTTATAATTGCAAACTTTTTGTATTTAGATTCAAGATCTACTCTATTGGCACAATTTTATGATCATTGTTGTAGATAGCTTGGGCAATTGATATGGTGTTATCGTCCAAGTTGAATACGGCATAAACCGATCTCAAAAAGTTGTCTCCAAAAATTGGTTGTCCTGGTAATAATGTGAAAACACATTGTGCAGAACCAGATGCATCTTTACCAACTTCTAACACAAATTCCGAAATATCAACATTGATATCTTTTTCACCATTAAAATTGAATTGGAAGTAGTTACCGGCGTTGCCCAACCAACATGGAATCTTGTAAGCACCGATGGTACCATCGTACGAAACATTACCAAATAAGCCAACAATACTTTCAACTTTGTCTTTGGGAAGGAATGAATAAGTGGTGCCAGAGTCAAGCAAAACCAGGGTATTTTGCAAATCAATTCCACCGTTGAAGGAATCAGTTCCATTGTAAATAGTGGCAGATCCTACTTTCCCTGGATGTGTACCATTTGAGTCAGATCCTGGAGATGCATTTGTATAGTTGTTAAGGGAAGCGGCAATATGGGATAAGGGAATCTGTGAATAAAGATATTCACCATCTTTGGGAACAATGTCAATTTCAATCAACTCACCAGTGTATTTTGCGTGATCGATTCCCCCAAATAATATACTACCTTGACTAGCACTACTTGAATCCAAATACAATGAGTAAGCGGCTTTAGCAACCAAATTCTGTTCTTTTAAAGCATGAGGGATGTTACTATATTTCGTGGAAGTACTTTCCAATCCGGGGTACCCAACTCCAAAAACACCAATTTCAGAAGTGGTGTTTTCAACAACAGCAAAATTAGCTCTCTTCAATACGAAATCGTCAAAGAATTCAATGTTATCTTGACCGAAATCACCAGTAGCAGTAGACCCATCGAGATAGGAGATATTGAACTCAATACTAGCATTCTTGTGCCATGTCGATGATTTAATAGGGTTGAAAGTTCCATATTCTGAACAATTTAAAGAGCCACCATTTTCGATACAACTTGGGTTTTGTGCACCAATAACCCAAAGATCAGAAGATCCAGTATCTATCATGATTTGGACTTCTTGTGCTGGAGATCCAATGGAAATGCTAGCAATGTACATAGTTTGAGCATTGTTTAAATCAACTGAAAAAGCGCCAGTCTCATTTTCTTCGTTTGTATCGTCACTTTCCAGACTCGTGGTGTTTGTTTTACTACTTTTACCCAATCCAAGTATATTTTTAAGACCTTTAGGATTCTTACTCTTGTGTTTCCCAAATTTGAACCCGGAATTTCCAAATAATGGAGCAATACTTTTCTGTGCATTTTGTCCTAAAAGTGTACTGGTAATATTTTCAAATTCATCCTCGAGTTGCTCAAAAAGTGGCAATCTGTTAGGGAAATTACCCAACCCATTAGTGTTTTGAATCTTGTTAACCGATAATGAGAGAAATCCATCACCAATCAAAGCCAATGCGGTGGATGATAGCAAAATAAGCTGTAAAAACTGGTGCATCTTGTTAAGTGAATGTAAAAGCGAATGTATTAAAGTTGGACAAGCTGATACTTAGGGTCGGGATAATCTTTGATTTATCAAAAGTATATCGACAAACTTTTATACTTTTTTTTGGATCTAGGTTCCTGCTCTTTGAGACAATATGGACCCGCTGCTTTTCGGTACCTGAAATGGGGCTATAACTTCTCTGCACAATAGAAGCTTTAAAAACAGAAAGTCACTTTTCGAAGTCACTTTTTGAGACCTATTGAATGAACAATACGTCATACAGCCTTCATTTGTGCAATGATTTGTTTACCATTCTCGAACTTGAAACCTTTTTCAATATGGAAGATTGTTTTCTGTTTTGCACCCGATTTTGTGATTCTGTAAACAAAAAACAAATAAAAACTTTCACCTTATAGTGCAATTGATGTTCTAAACCAAAACAAAAACACCAGGCATGAGATCCCCAGATTCGAGGCTTACATGTGCTTTGAAATGGTACCTGATTATGTACAATGACTTATGCTAGCTATGGGTCTATGCTTCTCTTAGTCTTTAATCTTTTCCGTTACATCTCACAACAAGACGCGAGAACATCACTTTTATGTCAGGTAGCGGAAAGGGATTGTCGATCCCCCTCGTCTAAAGTAACACAATAAGAACAACATTAGAGCCATGGACTGTTTCTTGTTTTGTTGGTTCATTGTTAAAAATAGTTACAAATGACACGACTCTTCCAAATTTTGTGATCTCTTCTGGCGAGTTGCCTAATCGGGGTTCCATTTCCAAATTCATTATGATGCCACCATACTAATTCGAAACATGGAATACCAACCTACATGGCAGTACCCTGTAAGATGGAGAGTTACATTCATAAAGAGTCAATGGCCAAGCTTGGATGTATTTTAATGAAATAGGTGTTATTAAGCCGCAGTATAGTTGTACACAAACCTATTTAACCACACCGTCATTCTGTATTCCTATTTACCATGGATTGGATTCAAAATCATCTGCTCCTGAGTCACCCCAGTTCCTATGCATAAGAGAGTTGGGCATTTGGACACTCTTGAATAATTCATCACCTTTGAAATTGGTTTGTTTATCAGCGTCTGATTTACTCAAATCATCATTCTTTTCTTCAATTTCATCACCTTCGTTGACATCGCCATCTTCCTCGTCATCATCTTTTTCATACTCGTATGTATCGTTCATTTCCAAGTTTCGGTTTTCGGTGATTATTTCGTCAATGTCGTCAACGATACTTATTGGTAAACTAGGTTGATATTTTTTGGCTCTTAAGACTCTAACTCCACCAGTACCAGACCCATAAGTATTGATCAACTCAGTGAGGTTTGGCAATGCAATTTCAAAAATATAATTTGGATTCAAGTACACATACACTTCTTTGGATAAAAATGTCGATTGGGTCATGTAATGTTGAAAGTTTTTATTGACTTGATTTTCTCCTTGCTCACTCATCAAGGATTTGATTAAATTGACCGATTTCTTGGGTAATTTAGGTTCATCAACGGCATACTTGTACAATTTGTGAGCTACCTTATACAACTGGTAATAATTCAAATAGTCAAACTGATTAATTGTATTGATTAAGCTCTCTTCATCTTTCAACGAAGTCATACACTGAAGCCACTGTAATAACTCTATTGTAGGTTGCAACTGGTTTTTACAAATGTGATAAACAGAATCGTAGTAAAAGTCCAAATTTCTAGGATCCTTTTTCAGTAACGATTTGTCCTCGCTCAACAAGTTGTGCAATTGTACATTGGAATCCCCAACTAACTTGTTTAACCCACCAATATCATCATGTTTGTACACCTTCAAATCACGAGACCGAAGCCAATCCTCAATAGTTGATATATTGAGTCGTATTTGAACAGCTTTGGCTCTAGTGCAATACTTGCTTTGACTAATGATATTATTGAAAATAATACAATTAATGTAATAAAACACTTGTGAAAATGTTTGTACACGGAAAAGTTTATCAACACTATGGATTTTCAACACGTAATCCAAAGCGCCAAGAACTTGAATATATCTCAATGGCGATGGTTTCATCAAGTCATTCTGTGTTGGCGGATACAATGTGTTTAAAATATCATCATAGTTGTTAGGATGTGATTTATGTTTCTTGAATAAATTCCAATCTTTGGCATACAATGTGTTGGACACATCAATCAAGCTAGTAAATTTCAAAATACAATCATCAACTAATAAATTCAAACGAGAGTTGATTGAAAATGACAATGTAGCAATCAACGACTGGACTAGATTGATAATTTGTTGCAAAAAGCGAGGAAATTTAAGATAAATTTTTCCCTTACTGAAGTAAAAATGCAAAAATTGCAACGCTGAAAGCCAATAACTGAGCAAAACGATATCTCCAGCACCCATTGCACTGGTGTCTTCCTGCAACGCCATATTAAATGCCCCCGATTTAGTATTGGTGATTGATCTCAATCTTGCAGTAAAGCAATCAAACAAAAACTCTGTTAACTCATTAGAATCCACTTTCAAATGCGAGAATCGAACTAGTTGAAATAGGATAGCAGCTGGAATTCTGGTGTTGTGTTGATATGTCAAGTTTGATCTCAACCTAAAAATGTAATTGATCAACGAGGGAATGTCACTATCGGTGAACTTGATGTATTGTTCAGGAATCAACTTATCATATTCAAAGTCTGGTAATCTTGGAATGATGAGATCTTTAACCAAAGCATCCTCATCATCAGCCTCATGTACCGGTTCTTCTTCATTTTCGTCTTCAACTGTAGCCGACAACGTTTGCAATTTCAACTTTGTCAGAAGATCATCTTCAAATTCATCAGTTGGTGTAAATGTATTCGTAGTAAAGACTTCTGTTTCATTTTCAATACCCTTGTGCTTCAATAAGTTGTGTGACTTGAAATATTCAATGATTTCTGTTGACTCAGGATTAAGTAAAGTGATTGCATTTTTCCCATCATCTTTAGGACTCAAGTAGGGGTCAGCTTGTGAATTGATCAATAATTTGACCATGTCGATTTGGTTCAAGTATACTGCCCACATTATTGGCGTGTAGTATACAACAGTGTCATGTAGATCGGGATCTGCATTATGATTTTCCAATAATGAAGTTGCAATATCGTCATTATTGAAACAAATGGCATAAATTAATGCTGAAACTCCGCCACTTTCATTAGGATACAATTTGTTGACTAATTCCGGATATGCTCGCAATATACGCTCCAACGTGACAAGATCACCATCGCTTGAACTTATAAGTAGCTCAACAATCGATTTATCCTTACTTTCTTCAGATGTGGACTCACCGCCTGCTGCTGACGCTAATGATGATGCAAACTCAGAGTCTAGCAACTGTAATGCCTTTTTTGAGTTGATGATTTGACTTAGTAGTGGATCGGAAAAATTGAGTATATTGCCGAGACCATTTCCCAACCCCCCAAATGCGTTGGACAACGGACTTGTTGTGTCTACCCAAGAATCCATCTATTCGTAATGAGATCTGTAGTACAGCGTAGTTGATAAGCTTTCTGGTTTGCAATTGTGTGAAGTACGTACAGCTAAACCACTTTCTCTCCTGCCGATTTTTCGATTTCTGAACAATTTTGCACGCATCGGTTTAGAAGAAAACCAAAGGAGAGCCCATCCTTTTTAACAACATTACAACTTGGGTTTAGTCCTTTAATTTTTTATCTAGACGATTACATTATCTGTTCATTCGCTGTAATACACCAGAAACATCACCCTTCAACCTACTAATCATGTCAAAGTTGGTTAGACGCGCTATAATCCCAGTTATAACCCTACTATTCATCGTTTGCATAACCATACTAGAGAAAACGAAAACAAACACAACCTTGTATGACAAATCGAGTGAGATATTTGATTCAATAAGCCATTTCACATTTACCTCTCCTCATGGAGTTAAACCAAGCCCGAATGCCGAAACTCCCCCTTCTCACCAAGCATCGGGTCAATCGGACACAGATAAGCAAAATGCTGAACACGAAGAGCCAAAGGAAGAGGTTCCAGATCCATGCACTATCAAGAACCCATTGAATCAAGGTTTCATTGACTTGAGAGGGCTTTCAGCCATGGGCAATGAAATGAAACCATTACCTTGGAAATCTCGTGGTTATGATTCAGGAAAGAATTTCACCGTTGGTATTTGCTCCAACCCGTTCAAGCAATCCCACAACGAACTAAACGAGATCCAAGATAGCGTCAACTCAACTATGATTGGTGCTTACTACGTTGATCCTGCAACAAATAAATATGTTTCCATGGGTGAATACTCTTCACATCCAATTTTTAGAGGTCGTAAATTGACACTAACTTACGAAAATGGATCGTATTGTAATGCGTACGATCTGACTTCGGGGGCAAGGTTACGAAAATCAACTATTTTGACATTTACCTGTGATCGTGAAATGTCAGCCAAAGCATCGGTCTCATATGTTGGAAGCTCAAATGATTGCACTTTCTTTTTTGAGGTGAGAAGTCACCACGCTTGTCCTACTGCTGCGAAGGCAAACAATATGGCTGCCGCTTGGATCTTTTTATTCATATTCTTGGCTGCATTGGCGGTTTATTTCAGTGGTGGGTTACTATACAAGCACATGAAAGCCAGTCGGAAAGAGAATAGGGTTGCATCTAAAGCATAAATAGAGAGTCTACACTTGATAAAGAAGTCAACTTTTTAGATTTTTCAATCAACCATCTCTTCCACCCTCTCTATAACGAGTCGTATATACTGCTGGTGACAACATTAGCAAAATTGTCCGTTTCAGTTCTCACTTCGCTACGACCAACAATCTTACCACCAGTCTTTGCCAATCTGATTGAAACACCAACTTTACCGCCCCAAACATCTTTACCCAATAATTTCAATGTATGTGAGTTAGAATCACTAGGCACATAATCAGAACCATCCAATGGTGTCATATTCAAGCTTGATCTCAATTTGTTCACAGCATTCTCCAAACTGTCAACATTGACAATATAACCAGTGGAGTTCCCGTCTTCTGACGATGGCAATTGATCAAAAATAGCGGAAAAGTTGGAATTATAGAGTGGATTAATGAAGTCACCGGCAAACAAAACCAAATCATCAATTTGGTACTCATCAGACCAACCGTCATCTGTGGGATCTATTTGACCATCTTCATCAACATCTCGGTTGGTGTAGGCAACAGTGTTTCCAAACGCTGATAAAAGCTCTTCGTCATCCACTGATGGTGTACTAAAAGAAACGTAAACAACACCTGTTTCATTTGGTCTCAACTCCGGCAATGTAACAATCAACTCCTCTTGGTAAAGCTCATTGTCCGGTTGAGCAATAACGGAAATGTCTTGCAATACAGTATGTGGCAAAGTGTTATTGATGTTGTATTGTAACACCAACTTTTGAGACTCAACAAACAAATGCTTAACAACGCTAACAACAATTTCATTCTCTTTATCAGTGAGGTACAATGGTGTTAATGATGATTTTGTCAATTTGCCATACAGTTCGAATTCAGAAATAGCTGAAAGATCTTGTGCATATTCTTGTTGTTTCAATAGATCGTTAGCGCTACTATCGGACCTCTCTTCGGACTTGTCATTCTTCTTGGTACCTTCGTTAGATTCAGCACTTTCATCAGAAGAGCGCTCCAACTTGTTCAACTTCCTATTGTACTCAATTGATTTCAATTCTTCGGCTGTGATGAATGGTACCTCAGATATATCAAATTTTTCATTAAAATTCTCCTTGTCACTTAAGTAGTTGACAAGTTTGTGTTCCAAAGCCGACAAGTCATATCTTGAATCACTGATGATCAAGTTCTTCTTTTTGTGATTTATAAAGTTTAATGAAATTGCAGCTCTATCTCTCACTTCATCATCGACATCGTTCAAACATCTGGTTAATAAGATAACAATGTTTTTTGAAACATCACCGCCACAAACTGCAGCAAACTTGGCTAAAGCTATAACTGCAGATGCCCTGATTATGGAATTTTCAAGCACCAATCTGTTGTAAATATGTCTAATGTAATACGAAGGATTTGAAGTGGATGGACCCTCATCACCCAACAAGTGCAAGATACGAACTGATAATTCGGTAAACTCACAATCTTCAATAAATTCACATAAATTCATCAAAATCAATTGTTTGGCACCTTCGTTTGGTAAGAATTTGATTAAATCAAATAAGGCATCAACAATAGCAGTTTTCAACTCAAGAGATCCATCATCCCTCAACAAATCAGTTAAAAACGAAACCAACTTTTTGTGTTTTGATGGGAATTTCAAAGCCAAGTTTTCAATAGCGTCAATAATGACAATCTTGAAATCTTCTGTAATTTCATCCATAAGAGATGTCATTTTGGTAATCAATCTGTCCACACTTTCCCCTCCAGTTGAACTTTCAGTTGTCCCTGCACCCATAGTCTTTAACAACGTCGTAATTGCCAAAGTGGATACAGATCTATTTGAATCATTAATCAAACTCTCCAACTCCAAGTTAATGACCAATACTTTTTCTGGGTGCTTGATTGATATTTTGTTGATCAATCTAATGGCAGCAAATCTGGTAGCCGTTCTTGGGACACCCAACAATTTCTGTAAAGTAGTGACGATTTGCATATACTGGTCATCTTTCAACAAGTGTTGCAAGTTGATCAAAGCTTTACTAGCTTCTAATTCCACCATATCCGACTTGTGTTTCAAAAAGCCAGACAAGACTGGGTACAATTGAGGGAACAATGCCTCGTCATCATCCAAAATTTTGTTGATGTATCTGATCAATTGAATAACTGACATTGAGTTTTTCAATGATGATCCTTCCGACAAGGTCGTGACCAACTTCATCAATGCAATTTTATCATGGTTTCTCAATTGATAAATCAATCCCAATGCATGATACTGGTACATGAAAGAAGTGGATGGTAAGTTGGAAGTGGCATTACCGTAGAATTCATGTAATTGAAATTGATTGGGAGGGAATGATTTATAAGACTGAATGGTTTCCAGCGCTTCGTTTCCGAATCTTTTGACTACCTCCTTAGCATGGGGCAACAAGTTGTAGGATGAAACCAATGCAGCCGAGGATATTATCGGGTTCTTGTCAACAATTGCATTCTTGTATAATCTTTCTGCTGCTGTGACTGTGGTTGGATCCAAGACTTTGGACAAAGTACGAATGGCATTGGGTTTGTAAATTGCGTCTCCACCTTGAATATCCTTCATAATTGAAGACGTGACCATCAAAATGTCATCTGATGTGGATGACAATTCCTTAATTGTCAAGTAAACCAATTGTCTCAACGATTGATCCTTGTGTTGAAACAACTTCGAAATGGAAAAAAACAACGTAGTTGACTCTTGAGCTGGCAATTCTTCACCATTGTAAATCAACCTGAGCAACCTTGCCAACAATTGTCTACATTTTTTGGCATTCACCGGAGTAGCATTGAATTGTTGAAGACATTCTTGAAACACAGCCATTTTATCCGGTGTATTGGAAGTCGTAGCATACGCATCTTGCTTTTTGTATGACAGTGTAGACATTACGGATAGTGCAACTAGCGTCGATGTATAGGGGTTGCAATGCTTGTAGATGTTTGACTGACTACCTTTTTGTTGGTCTTTTCGTCGATCAGTTACGTGTTTGGAAGTTGAAGAAAAAAAAAAAAATAAACCAAAGTCGTGCATTGTGAATCAAAATAGATTCATGCCAAAAATGAGAGATAAAAATTTCACCAAGTTTTTGGTCCTATTGAAGTATTATTATCACAGGTGGGAAAAGAGTCGGGGCACGTTATGTTACCATTCACGAATATCATTAGGCAGCTGCTTGCTCCATCACCAGTCAGACCCATATTCAATGCAACTCCAAGACTAATAACACCTGCTACGATTGGTGCGTTATACCAACCATTGAGAACATTCAAGGTAAGAACATCCGTAAAAAAGTTTTGCAAAGACTGCTATTTGGTAAAGAGAAAAGGAAGAGTGTATGTTTATTGTAAGTCCAATGGTAAACACAAACAAAGACAAGGATAGAGCAAGCAAAAATCTTGAGCCAGTGGAATCTAAGGATGGGCGGAAAACTTTTTAGTCATGTATATATACTTCATAAACATATTTCATTCAACCATTGTGTGATTGGCTTTGAGCAAGCTTGACAGCTCGACCAGACGAATGCTGGCCGTGCTTATTGTAGGGTGAGCTTTGACCAAAGGACGACATTCGATGAACAGATGGTTGCAGCTGTTGATTCGTTATATTCTCTTGTGAGTACGATCCTGTTCTAGAAGAGGTCAAGGTCGACAAAATGGCATCCTGCCATATCTTGTTAACCGATCCCATCGTCTCTGCTTGCTTCGTTTGAAAAGAAGGAGCATACTCCTTGAATGTATTTGCATTGGGATTGCCACTGTCGGGACGCTTTTTCGACTTTGCAACTTTAATTTCGCTGTCATCACCAATTAAATTCTGAATTCTGTTTAAACTTTCACCAACAGGGTTTAAATGCCTTCTTACGTTTAAATACTCCCTGTTGAGCCTTTCAAATTCTGTTCTTGACTGAATTGAATTTTGATGAGCATTTTGTACCATGTGAAGCAAGCCATTTACATTAACTGTTGATCCACCTCTATCTGGAGTTAACATCCCACTACTGAATCCAGGTACGCCCTGAACATTTCCAGGAGTTACAGGAGTTAACGGCACTATCGTTGATGATATACCGTGCTGGCTTTGATATGAATTTGGATTACTTGGCCATTGTCCACTCGAATTACTTTGATTGTAATTGTGCGAAAACATTAGGTTATTTAATGATAGGTTAGAAAAGTTGGACCTTCTTGCTGGGTCCATGTTTGTGACATCCAAAAGTGAACTCTCTCTTTGCAACCATAATTTTTGCTGTGTTCTGGTTTCGATGTTCTTCGAAGGACCATGCAGCAGGTCAGTCGATGAAGATGTACTTCGAAGAAACTCGTTATAGTTGTTTGCACCATTATTCAAGGGATTTGCATTTTTGTTGTTTTGTATGGGACGCGTTTCGGGAACACGCTCACCACCTTGTTTATTTTGCATGTATTGATTATTCGTTCTTTGCAAATTGGTGAAAATGGTTTGATCTGGTTGATAGGAGTTTTTCTGACTCACGTTTTGGTTTGTAGTCACCGGTTTGGCAATGTTGCTGTTGACTGCTTCCATTGGGTTAGCTTTGAATGAGATCCCACTAACTGACTCAGGCTGTTGTGGAACATTTGGATCATGTTTATTTGAATAAACCTCAGTCACCTTTGCACTCACTGGTTCGATTTTTCTGACTATTCCTGTTGATTGGGAGAGAAGTAAGGAGCTTCCGTAAAGGTTGTTGCTTTGAGTCACATCTTCAGTGGAACTCTGCACCGATGATACAAGATCAGGTCTCTTTGGCTCATTTTTGCTTGGGGCTACATTGCCATCAAGTGGCTTGCCTTCATCCACGACATCTAACTTGGGACCGTTGTTGTACACGACGTCGTTTTGAGGAGTCGGGTCAGGAAGTATCCTATTGATTTGTTCATAAAGACTCGGTATGTTTTGATCAGAATCCAGCTGCGTGGTAGAAACGGTTTCCTGACTGTCAAACCTCTCTGGCCGAGGAGCAACCACATCATCACTTTCGTCAGGTGGTTCATCAACATCTTCATATTCTTTATCATCGTCATCCAAATTCAAAGTTGCCTTTCCTTTGCGCGCCATGGGTTTGATTCCACCTGTTGTAGCTGCTCCACTTAACCCTTTAAGCGATGAGTTTGATTTATTTGATTTAACTGATTGATTCGAAATGGTCTTTGTCAAAGGTTGCAAACCAGTGATTTTCGTGAACGACCTGTTATTTCTCTTTATCGTAGCAGTATGTCTCCCACCTTTTGTCAATCCATCAGTGGATTTAGATCGATTCAAATTTGGTCTGGTAGTTGCTGGTGCGGTGGATGTTGACAACTTGTTGAGCAATTTGTTATGCGACAAAGACCTGTTGTGTGATTTAAGTCTTGATGGATGAGGTTTTCGATGAGGTGTAAGACTCGATGTATTCACCGATATGTTGGATGAAGAAACTGACCGACTTGTGCCTTGTAATGTGGGTCGTAGGTGGGTTGCATTGTGGTTACTCTTGTTGTTTCCTCGAGAGAAATTGGAGTTGTCGGACTCCACTGAAGGTGATCTCGAACGGTCGGATCCTTCTTGCTTCTCGATTCTTGGGCCCTCGGTGGTCATGCTATGATTGTTGACAAGAAAGGGTTTTAAGCTTCGTTGTACAAAGTTGAGTGGAATAATTTTGTCTTGAGGTAAAATGAAGAGACTCGGCGATTGAACACCGCGCACATGACAAGTAATATGGGAGAGACAACATGCTACATGCGTTTGGATCTACAAAGAGGATATGATGAGGTGATAAATTGGGGCTTTTCGTTGATGAGTGCTTTGTTGAGTACTCGATTACAATTCAATAAACTGGCGTCTGCTGCCTAATTGGCCTCGAAGTCGAGCAAAAGTGTCCCATTTAAACTTTCGAAGTAAGATGAGTTGATCATTGTGGTCCATCCAAAAGAGATGCTGATTATTTTCCCCACATCTCACTGACGGTTAACTGACTGACCCCAACACATGACCCTCATGCAAGTTGTGGGAGTAAATTACACACAAAAACAGCTTGTAGGCAAAACAGTGGAAATCGAAATTCGTACACGAGACTTTTGACGCCCTTAAACTCACAATCAAGATCAATAGCAGCGCAATCACCAGTCGGACGGGCCACGTGTTACGACTCATTATTAAATTTTGTGCATTACAATGCATTAAAAATAAGGTTGCGAAATGGTTTGTTGTGGTGGAAAATTAAATCCGATTGAAATTTCCCATTGTTTGAACAAGGGAAACGATTAATTACAGACGAGGGCCCATGTGCACAGTACCATCTTGAATAAAGACAGTATTTACAATGCAAGTTGGATTATAAAATGGGGCAAATTTGACCAAAAACAAAGCACGTCGGTATGAATTTCATCATCAACAATGGTGGTGGCTTTCAAGGTATTCATTCTCCTTGGTTTAGCAGTATGTGCGTTGGCACAAACAATTCCAGGACACGGTTCCCTACAACGTCAACTAATTTCCAAAAGGTCTAGAGACGACATTACGGATGAGATTTTCCTTAACCTACCAGCCACTGAGATTGACTTTATAAACTACCATCTCAAGAATTTAACTGATGCTACTGGTTCCAAGTGTGATAAATGTAAGAGCAGGATTAAATATGCAAAGTCATTGGTTGATGAATACCCAGAGCAAGAGCATTTAGTTACATTGCTTTTGTTTAAGGATTGCACTAATAATGCTTATTATCCTGATTCATGTTATTATGAGGAGTTCTTCGTGACAACACACTCGCAAAACTTTGAGGCGTTTAATGATGATTACGATTCGGGTATTACTTCTGGTACAAGTGTCAATTTCTTTGATAATGACTTCCTTCACGTCATTAAACATTTTAATGTCTCCAGCGATTTGGATTTAGAATATTATTGTTATTTCAAGGGTAAAAAGGCGTGTGATTTACCTGAAACGCCAGATGTGCAAGAGCTTTTTGATATTGAAAGTTGGTGGCCCGAAAAGAAACCAGAGTATAATAATCAACCACAGTATAAGAATAATAGCGAGAGGTTTAATGTTGTTCATGTGACCGATTTCCATATTCAGCCGAGGTATGAATTGGGTTCGGAATCCAATTGTACTGAATATCCATGTTGCTTACCAGAGTCCTATAACAAGCAGCTTCCCGGTAAGGATTACAACTTCACTCAATACTACAAAAACCTCGACCCCTTTATTGACACCTTTGATTTCTCGTTTTATCCTGATGCTCATTACGATGAAAACGATCAGTACATCAAAGGGGACTACTATGATTTCCCAAAGTATCGTGGCTATAATTGGCAAAATGCGCCAGCAACTAGCTTTGGAGCCTACCTTGCAGACTCTCCTGAATTGTTAATGAACAACTCTTTGGTTGAAATTGCAAAGCTTCACAACGAAAAGAATTTCGAATTTGTTTTATTCACTGGTGATTTGGTTGACCACGACGGTGTCCATGCAACTCCGAATGTTACCAAGAACTCAAAAGTAACTGCATTCAATTTGATCAAACATTTCTTGAACAACATTACTATCATGCCTTCATTGGGTAATCACGATTCTTTTCCATATGCACAAGTGGCACCATTGCAATTCGATCGTAACAATTCATACCAATACAATATCGATGACATGGTTAATTTGTGGGTCAATAATGAATGGTTTGACGAAAAAGATGCCAACGATTTGAAACATCATTACACTGGATTCTCATATGTTACCAATAGAGGGTTGAAGATCATCGCATTGAATTCAAACACTTATTACGCCGATAATTTATGGGCTTATATAGACCAGACAACCAGTCCTGACTTGTTTGGAAACTGGAAATTTCTCATTGATGAGTTAGTAGAATCGGAACAAAAGGGACAAAGGGTTTGGATTATGGCACACATTCCACCAAACAATTATGATGTTTTGCCAATTCAATCAAGAATCTTTGGCCGAATCATTGAACGGTTTTCTCCTTATACTGTTGCCAACTTGTTTTACGGACACACTCATAGAGATCAGTTTTCAATTTTGTACACAAGCAACGTCACTGCTGCTGATGCGGTTGCTGAAGATGTCATCAATATGGCATGGGTTGCACAATCAGTGACACCATACACTAACTTCAATCCTTCATGGAAGTGGTATGAAGTGGAACACGAGAGTTTTAACGTCATTAATGCGTACAACTACTACACTCAATTGAATTTGACGTTCACCAATGGTGGCGAAGAGCCACAATGGGAAGTTGAGTATAGTGCTAGGGATTATTATGACCCCGAACACACTTGGCCAGAAGATGCTCCATTGAATGGGACGTTTTGGCATACCTACGTTGCTACGCCACTATGGAACACTAGCGATGTTGCTTTCAACCAAAAGTTTATGGATCTCAAGTACAGATTAAGTCCATTGACTCCAAATTGCTCTACTCCCAAAGAAGGTAGGTTGAGCAGTGTTTGTTTCAATGACAACAATTGCTTTATCAACTTCTATTCTGATAATAATATCAAGTGTCAAAGTTAGACATAAGGGTCACTTTTATAGTTTTATCTAGTTTGTTATAAAATATACAGTTATTGCGTAGTAGTGATGTAGAGTGTGGTATTCAATTTTGTCGCGGAAAAACGCAGCACAATTTTTTTTTTTTTGAATACATCTTGGTCAAACACCATCAATGGATTTGCTAGAGAACAACTTCAACAATTCAGCCGAAAGGCTTGATAAGCCATCACAGTACTTGATACGAAAGGCGAGACATAACTATGCTGAACTCGAAAGAGCAATGACATCACGTACCGTGTATGTTGGAAACTTGTCCCATTTCACCACTGAGGAACAGATCCATGAATTGTTTATGAAATGCGGAGCTATTGACAAGATCATCATGGGTTTAGATCGAAATAAATTGACACCGTGTGGGTTTTGCTTTGTCATTTATAGAACAGAGCAAGGTGCACTCAATGCCATGAAATATTTGCAATCTACCATTCTTGATAGTCAAAGTATATCAATAGATTTGGACCCTGGATTCAGAGAAGGAAGGCAATTTGGTAGAGGTAAACATGGGGGTCAAGCTGCTCAAGAAGCTGCTATTGCTGCAGCTAATGGACAAGAATATGAAAGAGGAAACTTTAGAGGAAGAGGTCGCGGTGGCTACCGAGGAAGAGGAGGATCTAGAGGGGGATTTAGAGGTGGCTACAGAGGCAGAGGCAGAGGTAGTGGTCCTGGTAACAGTGGTGGGGAATACAGGGGAGAGACATCCGTTTACATACCTTCCAAAGATCCTTCCTACAATGCATCTGGTACGTTTAATCCCATGATATGAGATGATTTTGAAGGAGGATTTATAGTGTATCGATGCAATGTAAAAGTAGCAAAAGCAATTGCTCTTATTGCGATGGGTTGTAGAATCTGTGTACGATTCTGTTAAATCTAATGATTATAGGGCTCGGTCAATGAAGCTGGGGGTCAAAAGAGGCAATGTCGTGCACCTTCTACATAGCTGTAGTCCTTTACCAATACGAGAAATCTACAACATTCCTACAATACTTACAGTTTGTCCTCAATTTACAATACAACAAATTAATATATAATTTAACGAAAAAGAATTATATGTGTAATCCCTATCACAACAACGTCAAAACAATCCATTTTGACAACGAAGAGGAGTTCATAAACAAGGTGTTAAAATATACATGCCATCCACGATTCTGGAGCGAGTGATAATATCGTAAACAACAAAAACTTGAATCTGCAAATAAATGCCTTGAGAAGCTCTTGACTTACTAAGCCTAAAAATGTATGTGCCTATTGATAATCTATCTATCAACTCTAATCGATGAATACTCCGGCTACACCAAAGTAATCATAGCTGGCCGCTAGACCCCACCACGGTAAAACAGATGCATGTAGTTATCACCAGATTCACACAATTTGTAGAATGTAAAAAAAAGGTATACTTCCCATAATTGATCATGCGCTGGCCCTGAAGTTTATACATGGTGCATCTTTGATGTACTAAATGGGGATCAATAGTCCATTAGGGCAACTCAATTTAATAGTCCCGCCACAAGACTATTGCGATTTTGTTAGCGTGTTCCCTAAGACCTTGCAAAATTTGTCTTGGATGGAAGATTTTTTCTCCTTTTTAATGTTGTGATAAGAAACGTGGGGAGTTAAGATGTCATGTATGCTGTCAAGTGTTTTTGAGATAAGGGTGTAGAGTGAGGTTGTACGAGTGTGTAATGACGTATTGTGTGTGTAGTGACGTCGTGAGTGTAGCTATGTGTTAACTTGTGAGATGAACACATAATAGTAGAGACCTTTAAAGAGAGTTGTTTCATAAATACGAGTAGAAATCTCTAGTTTATTTAGCTGTGAATAGAGGTTTCTGATTAACGAACACAATTTTAGTTCATAAAATTTTATGCGACTCTGAAGATTTCAATCACCCTCAACAGTGCCACCTACGTAATGCGGAAGTTTACAGTGTATTTCTAATACATACTATACTGTAGATTATTATAACACAAACAATTAATATGGGAATAAACGAAGACAGTCGTAAGTGGCACCAGTTACCATTTCGCTAGCTTAATGAATCGTAGTGTTGTTAATATCTTAATGTCGCTAACAATCAAGATGTCTCAAAAAACTAAGCCACGACAAGCGAATATTCCGCACACTTTTTTTTGGTTGTTGCACGAAAATTGTGACAACGCACATCGGACCAACTCCATTGAAAGATAACATCGCTAAGCAATGTTGAGCAGCTTAGGTTTCAAAACTGGGATCAGAGCAACCTACAATGTTCTGGATAACCCATCATTTGTTAGTGAACCATGGACAGTGTACCCTGCTAAACACAAATCAACCAACCGAATAGTTTCAGTCTTCATTTTTGATAAGCTGAAATTTGAATCACAAGTTCATCGAATGTGTCAGATGTCGTCCTTGGCTGCAAATAGTAGTCCCAAAAAAGTGATCAAAGAATGCTATGAGTTGATCAAATTCGAAGTAAATCAATTGAGTAAGTTGAGACACCCACAGGTGCTAACTACACTTGAACCTTTGGAGGAGACAAAGACGAAATTTATATTTGTTACTGAAGCAGTTCTGAGTGATTTAAACACTGTCGCTTCAAAAGATTTGGATGAGTTATCGATTCAGAAGGGGTTGTTACAAGTAGCTAAGGGGCTACAATTTATTCACAACCAATGCAACATCATTCACTTGAACATTCAACCTTCTTCAATATTTATTAATAATCAAGGAGATTGGAAACTAGCTGGTTTCACTTTTTTAAAGAATCTCAATGAAATATCACCCCAAGAGCGAGACAATTTTTTTATCATGAATACATCGTCATTTATACCATTTGCCAACTTGAATTTAAGCTTTACGGCACCGGAATTGATTGTTGATGCACAACCTAAATTGGACTTTGCTAACGATATCTGGTCATTTGGGATGTTGATTTTTTATTTATACAATTACGACGACAATGAGCTGTTGATAAATTTGCAAGATTCCACCAGCATTCAAGATTACAAGCATGAATTCCGCAAATTTGAGTCGAAATTTTACAGTCATAGAACTAGTCCTAATGAGTTAAAGTACATTTTGAAAAAAGTGCCCGAAAAGTTATATCCTTTGTTTCCGCAGTTGCTAGCTAGGTACCCATACGACAGATTAAGATTGGACCAATTTATAGATTCCGATTTCTTTAATGGCACTATAATCAAAGCCATGTGGTTTATTGATGAGTTTACGACAAAGAGTATTGATGAAAAGTTGGTGTTTATGAAGGGATTACTCAAATTTGATCCAACAACACAAACAGACTTGATTAGCCAATTTCCTTCTGCATTCAGATCACTGAAGATATTGCCATTGTTGATTGGACAATTGATTAACGAGTTGACAGTTTTGGATGAAACAGTGGCAATAGACCCAAATATTGACGAGTTGATTTCATTGTCGTTGGATATAACTATGGCGATCTCGAAATCATTGTCAGCCTTGACTTTTCAAGATAGGGTTTACAATGTTTTACTCAAGGATAGTTCGTCCCTACTGGAAAAAGTTTACGATGTTGTTTTCAAAGATGAAGCAAAGAGCAAGAAATTAAAGACGTTTACTAAACTTATCAATGCTTCTGTCAAGACGAGATTGACATTGATCAAGAATTTGAATGTATTACAGGAAAAAACCAATGACAAACAATTTATGAACTTTATAAAGACCATATTAGACCTTGTATTTACCCTAGCGGCAAAGGAACAAGATCAAAAAGAAGTTCAGATTGAATTACAAGAGACATTTCTCGATTACATCCCATATTTCATTGACAAGATTGATTTTTCATACATGAAGAATACATTTTTCCCACTATTGATTAAAATTTTCCAAGCAACATCGGTGTTTTCTACAAAATTGAAAATTTTGAATACATTTGAGAAATTCGTTGATGCAAAGGCAATTGACAAAATAATCATCAACGAGCAATTTCTTCCAGTGACTAAGTCGTTGAAAAACCGAGAAGAGGAAATTGTCATACGAGTGTTGAAATTCTTTGAGAAAATCGTATCTAGTGAAGACATGAATTTGGATTTGAAAATGCTTGTTGAATCAATTATACCTCAGAGCTATGCTTTAGCTTTTGAGTGCACTGATTGTGATCAAAAGGAGTTTAGATCGTTTATCACAATCATCAACAAGATACAGAAGGCAATGACAGAAAAGAAATTGGTACAGTTGCCTGAGCGAAACATCAATGGTAGAGCAGCTAGTAGCACTGGACAGAGACAAGATGGAGGCAAGCCTAATTTTGAAGCATTATTGGAATCACAAGCCATAAAGGAGCCTGAGAAACCGGAAATTGCACCAAAGAGTCAAGTCATGCAACCAACAAAGAAGACCCCCACTGCTACGCGTACTTCAACAGCAAGATTGCATACGTTGAACACCACTAGATCCAAGTCCGCAACAACGGCAGCGAAACCAACTTCAATCAACTTAACTCAGTCAACTCCGTTGAAGTTTGGAGCTACTACCAATAGCAACACCGCCACATCTAACTTGTTTGATTCATTAAAGAGCACCTATGATAGACCGGCATATCACGATAATGAAGGTGAGGATGACTTTGATGATTTTCAACTGGCTGATGCAATCAACACCAAGTCAAAATCAAAACATAAGATCAAATGGACATCAGAAGCAGATAAGATGAAGAGTTTGCCCACCACGCCATTGAGTCCTGGTAATGGCGGCACATTTGCATCGATGGGTAACTCGACAACAAATTTATCGCATGCCAGTAACAACTATCCACCAGGATTCAATTCTTCAGTGTTGTCACCAAAGGGATCATCTCTGCAACCGAATAGGTCAAACACCACACTACCTCCTCAAAATCAAAACAGTGGTAATAGTGGTATAAATCCCGATCTATTAGATCTATTGTAGATAGGCGAGGCATTGTTCGTGCGACAGTAAATTGTTCATGGGAGGTTACTCATCTTGACGTTCTAAGGTTTCTTTGCAGTGACTCTATCCACTAAGGGTAAACAGTAATAAGAGATAGTTTTAGATTCAATTGGTAGCATATGTATATAGGTGAATACTAATTTTGCAATCTTTGTCTAATTGCACAAAGGTGATGATATTCATTTTTTGTCGTTTATTTTCTGCCGTCGTATAGAAATACAAAATGAAAAAAAAAACAAAAAAAAACATCTGATTCAAAGAAAAGGTAACTTGTGTGTTACTTGCTGGTGGCTAATTAGACCATACAGCTTCAGGTATTATTGGGGAGTGCTTTGTAAACTCCAACCACTGGCTCTTGCAGCAGCAGCAAGAGTCTCCTATTTTCTTAAGCGATCAGGTTGTGTCAAAATGAATAAATATTTCAAAAAACTCTTCTCCCTTACAGTGGGTACGACGTGCATCTGAAACACACTGTAGACGACACAAAACATTCGAAAGCGAAAAGTAAAAAAAAATTCATATAAGGGATCGATACGATACAGAAAGATAAGCTGAATGTAGAATCAAAGAACACATTTGTGTCTTACTAATTAAGATTTAACGGTTCTATCTGTTGCTTTCCCCTTTTTATCCTCCATGCCAATAGTTGTAAAACAAATCTGGAAACAAAGCCAATCTGAAATCTGTAATCTGTCAATGATTGCAAAATTTGTAGGAACGATGGGATTGAGTTGCGGCGGTTAAACATTGCTGGATAGTCAAGAAAACCCCCGTATCAAGCAGCATGCAGCTCATCGTTTGTATAAACCCTACAGGTAGACATCATCCCACAATTTACTATTTGATTTACGCACCAAATGGTATACCCAAACCACGCGTTTTTTTTTTTTGTTCTACTTTGACACATTCCAAGGATTGGAAATGGAAAATCATGCTATTGAAGAGTGAACAGGCCGAGAAGAGTTATATATATAGCGTTGAAGAATTCTCGAGGTATCTAGATATTTATAGACACTTTATTCTTGAAGCTACAGCAAACTAGTCCATTCCAATCCACAATTGTATACATATCCAATCAAAAAAAAAATATACTTTTGCATCTTCGGAATTTGCTGTGTCGTTTCTTCTACCCGATAAAAATCTTTTTTATACGAGAAGACAAACAAAATAAAGGTATAAAATTAAAGGTTTTTATATATACAAACCTATATATCATTCCCACAAGAAGATCTGAACATTCGCTTTGAAAATACCCCAAGCTACTAGCTATCAATAAGTAACCACTACTACTACTACTAGTACTACTACCATCACCACCACCACTAAGCTTCTACAACTTCAAGAATAAATTTTATCACACGTGCACTCGATCTCTAAGATCTTTTACTCAATTTTTCAAAGACCCACGTTTATTTCACTAGATCCACACAACACAACATGGATATCGTATTAGAAGTTTGCGATTATTACCTATTCGACAGACTATATGCTGCAGCTTTACCAAAAGGTGGCAAAGTTGACCAATTCATTCAAAATTCACCAGTATTTCAACAAGTTTCATCAAAGATTTCACAATTTCTTCCCTCAAGTTCATGTAGTGGGTGCAGTGATACAGTTGATAATGCTTTATTTGGAAACACTACTGCCTCATCGACTTTCTCCAATGCATTAAACTTCCAATTCAATGCCACTAGTGTTAATGTTGCTAACTTACCATCTTATTTGTGGTCAAAAGTCATGAGTTTGCAAAACAAATCGGAGATTTATGGATTGAAACCAACCTTCTTACCCGCAGGTGACTATTTCTCAAGTTCCATCTTGGCTAGGTCAAATCTTTTGAGAGAATCATTGACTATATTAGTGATAACAACCATATTTGGATGGTTATTATATTTAATTGTGGCTTACTTGAGTTATGTATTTGTGTTTGACAGAAGAATCTTTAATCATCCAAGGTACTTAAAAAATCAAATGTGGTTGGAAATCGAACGTGCAATGACAGCTATCCCTGTAATGGTTGCCTTGACCAACCCCTTCTTTCTTTTGGAATTGAAAGGATTTTCACGTCTTTATTTTGATATCAATGAATGCACTGGTGGTTGGAAGTTTGTATTTTTGCAAATTCCCATGTTCATCTTGTTTACTGATTGTTTGATTTATTGCATTCATAGATGGTTACATTGGCCCTCGGTATACAAGAGATTGCATAAACCTCATCACAAATGGATTGTTTGTACACCATTTGCATCTCATGCTTTCCACCCAGTTGATGGATGGGCTCAAAGTTTACCATACCACCTTTATCCATTATTGTTCCCATTACATAAAGTGTTGTACTTGGGATTATTTACATTTGTCAACTTTTGGACGGTGATGATTCATGATGGTAACTACATGAGCAATGACCCTGTAGTTAATGGAACTGCTTGTCATACTGTTCATCATTTATATTTCAACTACAACTACGGTCAATTCACTACATTGTGGGATAGAATCGGAAGATCATACAGAAGACCTGATGATTCATTCTTCATCAAGGAAACTACTGCAGAAAAGGAAAAACAAGAATGGAAGAAACAAGTTACTCAAATGGAGGAAATCAGAAATGAGTTGGAAGGTAAAGTTGATGATAGGGAATATGCTGAGGAATCGTAAGGTACCTTACCCGCCACAACAAAAGAGAACACGCTCGCTCAGGACGATACTAACCCCCCTGCTTGATGATAATGCGAAGTTATTTTGTTTAATAGGGAATGGGCAATAGGGACACTATGATCATACGATGAAGGACATTTATTTTATTTTATCTTTTTGTTTTTTTTTTTATTTTTATTTTCTTTAAGTCACCATGGTGTGGTTTTGCCATTCAATGAAGAACATTTGACAATGGTGCTAAGCATCGATGGTGTTCAATTTTATCACTTCTTTTTCATATATCTATATATTTGTGTGTAACATTTTATATCAATCAGAGACTATTCTTTACTTGACGGATCTGTCTTTCTGCTTCTTTTAATCATCCAACGTTATATACTCCCTATTAACGGTTCCCGGTTTACCAACCTTGAAGAAATCAGGCCCTAACTCAATCAAACCAGTTTCAGAGGCATACACCGCCCAATGGTCAGTCAACTCTTTTAGAACTTCGGGCTCCTTCTCAGCAAGATCTTCAGTTTCACCGGGATCTTCAACAACATCGAACAATTGCCATTTCTCAGGACCAAATGGTTTCGGGATGTACAATGCCTTGTATTGACTTTTTCGAATGGCTTGTTGTCCAAATAATTCCCACCCAGTAACTGTATTTTCATCATGGACAAATGAGGCTTTACCTGAGAGATAGTTGACCCATGATTTGCCCCGTGGAGTTGCCACTCGCCTTCCCTTATAAGTTTGCCCCGGATGTTTGACTCCAGCAAGATCCAATACAGTTGGCAAGATATCCATCACGGTGACAAATTGCTTCAATATTGTACCCGCTTGGTTTTGCAACAATGGTGAATAGTGAATGATCAATGGGCAAACAATTGCTCCTTCGGTTGACCAAGCTTTATACATTGAATGGGGTGCAGTTGCTGCTTGAGCCCATTGATCACCATAGTTGGTGAATGAGTTATAGTTGCCAATGTTGTTTAGGGAATTATCATAGTATTTCTCAACAAACGTGTGGATTTTCTGATTTGCCAATGGTAACGCTTCCATCATCTGTCCATCAGCTCCATTATCCGACATAAACAAAATAAATGTATTATCTAATTGACCAGTTTTTTTCAAGTGGTCAACTAATCGTCCAATTTGCTCATCGAGTATCTCCACCATTGCAGCATATGTCTCGACGATCTTAGTTTCCTTTAGCTTTTCCTCTTCACTCAAATCTTTCCATTGTTTACGTATGGTTTTGATAGGATGGGGATTGACTCTCTTATCGATAATCCCTAACTCCAAAGCTTTAGCTAATCTTTGTTTACGCAACACTTCTGGACCCAAATCGTAAACGCCCTTATATTTTGCAATTCTCTCTTGTGGAGCTTGATAAGGCCAATGTGGTGCTGTATAAGTAATGAATCCAAAAAATGGCTCATCCTCTGGCGTTTCATCGATAAATTGAATGGCTTTATTAGTGTAATTGACAGTGGAGTAGAAATCATCAGGTAGTTCCAGTTCTGGGTCCAATAACCGGTCACTATCAACATAAAGACTAGGCATAAACGGAGCTTGCTCTCCACTTTCATCACGCGTGATGTACTTGTAATGATTACCCGCCCCAGGCAACAACGCCCACGACTTGGTAAAGCCTCGCTTGCTTGGCCAATAAGGCTCTTTCAACCCTAAATGCCATTTACCCGAAATAAAAGTATGGTATCCATCATCTTGTAAAATTTCTGATAAGGCAACCACTTTATCATTGAGGTATCCTTCATACCCTGGCTTGCCCTTGAACGTATCCTGATGACGAGAGGCAAATTCAGCCATTTGTCCCAATCCAGCAATATGATTATCAGTGCCACTAAGTAGCATTGATCTGGTGGGTGAGCATGCCGATGCTGTATGGAAATCAGTTAATCTAACACCTCCTTCTTCAGTGGCTAGTTTGTGCAAGTTTGGAGTGTGTATCTCACCTCCAAATGGTGACAAGTCGGTGAATCCCAAATCGTCAGCAACAATGATTAGGAAATTGGGACGTGGTTGTTGCGCAATTGTCATGACAATTCGATGGTAGATAGATGAAGGATACCCCTTTTTTTGGCGAGTCCAAATGATTGATATGATTTCTTCATTGAAGGTGTAATATATTGGACAGGTCTTGAATTCGACTATTGTTCTGAGCAAAAAAGCGCCACAATTTGATTCGCGATAATTGATCCATGTTACGAAATTGAAGGACAATGGAAGGATTTAATGTATACATCAAGCGCATATGAGAATAAACCAATTAGAAGTGCTTCAGTCAATTTACAAAGGTACGGCTTTCTCGGTACACAGTTTTGCATTCGGTTCACAGATCTCACTGACGATTTCAGGAGAAATTTTCACCAATTTGTTTATAACTTGCTGCTTTTTTGAATTCAACAGTAGTTTCATAAACCAAGAGAGTTACGAGAACACTACAGTTAGCGAGCCGAACCCTACATGGAACAGTTTCATCACACTTTCTCTTGACCGAGTTGATAATTCGACGGTAATCTCTGGGCTTATAATCCTCTAGTTTGAGCTTTTACTTTTATCGCATGTGTATATCAAATTGACCACATGGCCCGTTAACTTTCCTCTTTAGAGATTAAACTGACACCCGCCTTGGTTTGATTGCAGATGTTTTCTTGACTTGCGATAGCTATGGGTTATGAGACATTCCGGGCCGAAAAATCTACCAGGTTTAATTTTGTACTGATAAAGTCAGGCGTCACATTGCTTTCGCTAAAAGCAACTAGTAACTGAAGACGCAATACATACCGATTCCTCATTGCAAACTACTTGAGCAAGCAGCCCGTATAGTCTTACCCCCTTGCTTCTTAGCCGTTCCTTGAACTTATGCAATAGAAGAGTGTCCCCAGCTTTGAAAGACATTTGCCTAAACAGGCTCTGTAGTTACACAAAACGAAAGCTATCAAACGTTAACGGCCCAATCATATATGAGTAGTGTACAATTGCACATAAAAATTTATATGCAGATTTAACGTTTAGTCTTTGCGTTATCAGAATAGAATATTCCTGTTAGGAGAGGTTTGAAATTTTGGTTAAGAAAAGGGTTGATAAGACTTTTTAGCAAATTTGCCTTGAGCGGAATATTTTTAGTGGCAGCTGACTAAAGCAGTATCATGCACGCCATTTGTGTGAGTATCGTCTATTTGATTACTACACCTAGACATACATCAAATTTTGGCCAATTTCAACGAGCATTGCAGGCTCTGTACATAATTATTTTCCCAGTTTGTTAATTGGTGTCTACAATGTCGTTGCAATGTTTCTTACCCCAAGTTTCTACCGCATTGAGATTCAATTACGAGGATAAAACAATTAAGCTTAAGCGGCTTTGCAGGGTGGTACTTCCCTTTTTCGCTGGACAATGTTTTGCAACACAGGAATAAGAATTTTCTGTTATCTTCAATTTATCAAAATTTAATAAAAGTAAACAGATAAGAGAAAAAAAAAACTCAATTGATTGTTGCAAAACAATTGATAAGGTACGTCTTTACGAATCATATCATATGAACACAGACAATAAGGTTGAGACAATGCAGCTGATTCAATGGGCTCTAGATGATTGCTTATAAAAAGATGGAGATGCCCCCAACATGAATTTTTTTTTTCACATTTTTCACTTACTTCAAACCATACACTATACATATCACCCAATGACTGATACAACATTTATTCCATTACCACAAGGTGCTGGTTATGCAATTATTGTCGGTTTAGGTGCCGTATTTGCTTTTGGTATGATTCTAACGACGTACTTGTTGAAAAGATACAACAAAGAAATCATCACTGCTGAAGAGTTTGCTACCGCCGGAAGGTCAGTCAAATCAGGTTTGATCAGTGCTGCTGTTGTTTCATCTTGGACTTGGGCTGCCACATTGTTAACATCAACTACACAAGCTTACAAAAATGGTATATTCGGATCGTGCAGTTATGCATTTGGTGCAACTGTGCAAATTACCTTGTTTGCTTCATTGGCAATTAAAGCAAAAGAGAGAGCACCCCTGGCTAGAACTTACTTGGAGATTGTTCGTGCAAGATACGGCACTGTTACTCACATTGTGTACATCTTTTGGGGTCTAGCCACAAACATCTTGGTCACTGCCATGTTGTTGAGTGGTGGATCGGCCACTGTACGTGACTTGACTGGTATGCATCCAGTGGCCGCTTGTTTATTGATTGGACTTTCGCCAACTGTGTACTCGGTTTTCGGTGGATTGAAAGCTACAATATTAACGGATTATGCTCACACTGTGATTATGGTTGTAATCATCATCATATTTGCATTTAGCACTTGGGCAACCAACCACAAATTGGGATCACCTGGAGTTGTTTGGGATTTGGTTACAAAGTTGGCTGATACAAAGCCAGTAGAAGGTAATCACGATGGGTCTTTCTTGACTTTTAATTCCAAATCTGGAGGTATTTTCTTTGTCATCAATATTGTTGGAAATTTCGGTACTGTGTTTTTGGATAACGGTTATTTCAACAAGGCTTTTGCTGCTAATCCAGTATCCGCTTATAAGGGGTATATTTTGGGCTCTTTGGCTTGGCTTCCGATTCCAGCATTTTGTTCATTGACATTGGGATTTGCCGCATTAGCTTTGGAACATACTGATTATTGGCCACTTGGTAGACCAATGACAAGTGATGAGGTTGCTGCTGGCTTAGTATTACCAAACGCTGCATCGGCTTTATTAGGCAAAGGTGGGGCTGTGTTGGCTTTAATCATGATTTATATGGCGGTCACAAGTGCAATGTCATCCGAATTGATTGCAGTATCAACCATTTCCACTTATGACATCTACAGAACCTACATCAACCCTAATGCCAGTGGTAAAAAATTAATCTTCATTTCACATATATCATGTGCTGTTTTCGCTTATGCAATGGCTGGATTCGCAATTGGTCTTTATTATGCCAACGTTTCAATGGGGTTCTTGTACGAGTTGATGGGTATTATTATTGGTGGCGCTGTGTTAAGTTCAGCAATGACCATCTTGTCTGCCAAGCAAAACTGGCACGCAGCTACGTTTACCCCACCAATTGCCACAGCATTGGCTATTATGGCCTGGTTGGTTGTTTGCAAAACCAAGTTTGGTTCTATTACATATGATAATTTATTCGAGGATGACTCAATGTTGACTGGTAATGTCGTTGCTTTGTTGTTTCCTTTGATTACGGTACCATTGTTCACCCTCATTTTCAAACCACAGAATTTCAATTGGAAGTTGTTGGAAACAAGAATCACTCGTGTGGATGAAGAGGAAGAGTTGATGGAAGCAACCAAATCTGACAATTTCAATGATGATGAAAAATTGTCTCCAATCAAATCACAAATTTCGGTAATTGCCAGCCAGTTGGTGGAAGAAGAGAGGGAGCACTACACCGAAGATCAACACACTTTGCATCGTGCATTCAAAAGATGTGTTTTTGTTTGTTTATTCTTGACTGTTAGTTTACTTGTCATATGGCCAATGCCATTATATGGAAGTAAATACATCTTTTCCAAAAAATTCTTTACCGGTTGGGTGGTGGTGTTTTTCATTTGGATATGGTATACTGTTTTCCAAGTCATTGTGTACCCCGTTTGGGAAGGAAGACATAGTCTTTTCCATACTGGAAAAGGTATTTATTGGGACTTAACTGGTCAAACTTATAAATTGAGAGAGTGGCAAAACTCTCATCCAGAAGAATTACACGCGGTTCAGTCACAAGTCATTGCTCAATTATCGAATCCACAAATTGTGGATGGTAAAGCTGTTGAGATGAATTATGGTAACATAGATGATGAGTTGTCAGATGAGAAAAAATAGCTTCTTTAGATGTTCTTCAGTGTATATGTATTATTAGTATGATTGATTTGAGAGAGAATCGTGTAGCAAGAGGACAGTGGCCAAACAAGTCTTCCACTTTCTTTTTTTTGGAATTGCTGCAAAATTGTTCCCCCCCATGGAGTATAGTTCTGCCATTGCATGATAAAGAGCTGTGTAATTAAGTGATTTGCAACTGATAACACAATAATGAATGCGGATTTATTTCGGGCCGCAAAATAAACACAAGCAAAAATAAAAAAAAAAAAAAAAATAAAAATAACAAACAATGCAAAGAATTAACTTCCTTTCTTTTATCAACCTCCAATAAGAAGACAGAGAACAAGTTGAAAAGATTCACGTGCTGGTAGCGACAAACTCACTTCGAAGCTAGTTAGTGCCCTCTTTGCTTCAAGAGAAAACGTTTGATACTCGTTATCAAGAGCATTAATCTAATGCTTGGCTTAAACTTTTTAGTCTGTGCCTTATCTATTAGCATGTAAACCCCCATCTGTTGTGGTGTTGGCCGGTGTAATCTGAGTGTGTAAATTAAACCCCAAAAGTAGGCTACTGGTAATAAAACATACGTACTTACATTTTGCTTCAACAATCTTTTGGATTTCATTACTTTTCGATTTTGTATGTCTCCGGACATATCCGAGAGTCTTACCAACCAAATATGAACAAACTCGAATGAACAGTACATGCAAGGACACTTTCGTCATTGGCACAAGATCCTACAAACAATAAGTCAATTTTGCCCTTTTCCCATTGGTTCAATGCTTTATCGTGTACAAAAGCTCTCTTAGCTCATCAATTTGCCTCACCCAATGGGCCGAAAAATTGGCGATTCAATAAGAAGCGACTTTTTATATAACGACATTCGTTATCGAAAAGGGAATTGCGACATTTTGTATGACACTCGCGCTAAATTGTCGTTTTGAGATACAAAGAGACATTTTCTCCCTTCCCTTTTTTTCTTTTCCTTATCAGAACTTTTGATTTGATTATTACACAAACCCACCCGAGACCAATATGCGAAATTTTTCATTCAAGTCTTCTTTTATTTACCGTTCCAATGTTATCGGGAAATGCCGCTTGAATTGTAGATAATGTCCCCCAGGCGTATAAAAACTCTGAGGATCCCACAAGATCCATAATAGTCTCACAGCCTTGCTTGCAAAATCTCCAAGAAACACACACTCTATACTTAACATGGTTTCTACTATTGGATGGACAGTCGAAGACTGGAAGAAAGCACATTACAGTGCAACTCCAAAAGAGTCATTCAAGTTATTAATCAACCTTCTCAAATCACAAAAGGCAGCTCCGGAAGATCCAGCATGGATTTCTTTAGCTACTGTTGAAGATTTAACTCACCAATGGAATTTTTTACAAACAAAAGCCAACAAAACATCACTTCCATTATATGGTGTTCCCATCGCCGTTAAGGACAATATCGACGCTAAGGGATTTGAAACAACTGCTGCTTGTCCATCATTTGCATACAAACCGGAAAAAGATGCCACAACTGTTAAATTGTTGAGAGATGCTGGTGCAATCATAATAGGGAAAACAAACTTGGACCAATTTGCTACTGGACTAGTTGGTACCAGATCACCATACGGAATAACCCCAAATACGTTCAATAAAGAGTTTGTCAGTGGTGGATCCTCTGCTGGTTCGGCATCTGTTGTTGCAAGAGGAATTGTGCCAATATCATTAGGTACTGATACGGCTGGTTCAGGCAGAGTCCCAGCTGCATTGAACAACATCATTGGTTTGAAACCTACAAAAGGTGTATTCTCATGCAGCGGTGTAGTTCCGGCTTGCAAATCGCTAGATTGTGTTTCCATCTTTTCCACAACATTAAAAGATGCCCAGTTAACTTTTGAGATCATGGCAAAAGAAGATGGAGAGAATGATGAGTATTCCAGAGAAATGCCAGCTAACCCGTTATTGAAATTCTCGAAAAAGCCAAGAGTTGTTGTGCCAACCAACTTGATATGGTGTGGTGAAACTGAAAATCCTGGGTTATACAACAAAGCAGTTGAAATCTTTGGAAACGACGTCGGGGCTGATTTAGTCTCGTTGGATATTGAACCTTTGCTTGAATTAGCGAGGTGCTTATATGAAGGCCCCTGGGTTACAGAAAGATTTGTTGCTGTGCGAGACTTTTTGACAATAAACCCACCGACAAAAGATTTGGATCCTACTGTGCTCAAGATTATCAAGGGTGGTGAGCACTACTCAGCTGCACAATGCTTTGAGTTTGAATACAAGAGACAAAAAATCTTGCAAAAAGTAAAGAGATTGTTGAAGGGTGTTGATGCAATAATTGTTCCAACTGCTCCCTTGACTCCAAAAATTGAAGATGTTCTTGCTGAGCCAATCAAGGTCAATTCATGTCAAGGTACGTATACAAACTTTGTCAACTTGGCTGACATGTCAGCGTTGGCTATTCCTGCTGGATTCAGAAAAGATGGTCAACCTTTTGGTATTACCTTGTTGTCACATAAGTTTAATGATTATGCATTATTGGATTTGGCAAGCCGGTACATGGAATCATACACCAAGACTGTACCATTCTTTTATGGTGCATTAAAAGACAAATTGATTGAATCAACCATCACGGAAGAGTTGCTTCCAAATATTCCCAAAACTGTGCCATCAGAACAAGTGAAATTGGCTGTTGTTGGTGCCCATTTACGAGGATTCCAATTACACTGGCAGCTAGAACAAGTGGATGCAAGGTTCATCGAGTCCACCACGACCTCAAAGAATTATAAACTATACGCATTACCAAAAACCGGGCCAGTGGCCAAACCTGGTTTAAGAAGAGTAGGAGAAAATGGTGCTCATATTGCTGTTGAAGTTTACTCCATACCGAAAGAAAAATTTGGAACATTCATTAATTTCGTTCCTGAGCCATTGGGAATTGGGTCTGCTGAATTGGTTACTGGTGAATGGGTTAAGTCCTTTATTTGTGAAGAGTCTGGTTATAATGCTCCTGGTACAGTTGATATTACAATACATCGTGGTTGGAAAAATTACCAGAATCACCTAGCTGCTGAATCGAAAAACCACAAAAAACCATTCAACTCAGTTTTGGTGGCAAATAGAGGAGAAATTGCTGTACGTATAATCAAGACCTTGAACAAATTGGGTATCAAATCGATTGCTATATATTCAGATCCCGACAAGTATGCTGAACATGTTACTAGTGCTGACGTGGCGATCCCATTGCATGGTACAACAGCTGCGCAAACATACATTGACATTGATAAGGTGATCAACGCTGCCAAGGAGTCAGGAGCAGAAGCTATCATTCCTGGTTACGGATTCTTGTCGGAAAACGCCGATTTTTCTGATCGTTGTGGAAAAGAGGGTATAGTTTTTGTTGGTCCTTCCGGTGGTGCTATCCGCAAATTAGGTTTGAAACATTCAGCTCGTGAAATTGCTGAAAATGCAGGTGTTCCGTTAGTTCCCGGATCAGGTTTGGTTAAGGATGCTAAAGAGGCTAGAGAGATTGCTGCCCAATTGGAGTACCCCATCATGGTGAAATCAACAGCTGGTGGAGGTGGTATTGGTTTACAGAAAGTTGACTCTGAAAAAGACATTGAAAGGGTTTTTGAAACTGTTCAGCATCAAGGATTGTCATATTTTGGTGATTCTGGAGTGTTTCTTGAACGTTTTGTTGAAAACGCTAGGCATGTGGAAATCCAAATGTTGGGTGATGGTAATGGTAGTGCTATTGCCGTTGGTGAAAGAGATTGCTCTTTGCAAAGAAGAAACCAAAAAATTATTGAAGAAACACCAGCTCCCAACTTGCCAGAAGTTACACGTCAAAGAATGAGAAAAGCTGCTGAAAGTTTGGGCTCTTCAATGAAGTATAAAGGTGCTGGTACTGTTGAGTATATCTATGATCCGAAGAGGGATGAGTTTTATTTCTTGGAGGTCAATGCTAGATTACAAGTTGAGCATCCGATCACAGAAATGGTTACCGGTTTAGACTTGGTGGAATGGATGCTTTTGATTGCAGCCGATACACCTCCAGATTTCTCCCAAAAAATTGAGGTAAATGGTGCATCAATGGAGGCTAGATTGTATGCTGAAAACCCAGCCAAAGGCTTCAAGCCTTCACCGGGTCAATTGACTGAAGTCAAATTCCCCAAATGGGCCAGAGTTGACACTTGGGTTCAAAAGGGTACTGTGGTCTCAGCTGAATACGATCCAACATTAGCAAAGATCATTGTCCATGGTAAAGACAGAAACGATGCGTTGAAAAAGTTGCGTCAAGCTTTAGATGAGACTGTTATTTATGGTTGTATCACCAATATTGATTACCTTCGTTCAATTGCCAACTCTAAAATGTTTGAAGAGGCTAGAGTGGCTACTAAAGTATTGGACACATATGAGTATAAACCACATGCTATTGAGATTTTGAGTCCTGGTGCTTACACTACAGTTCAAGATTTTCCAGGTAGAAGAGGGTATTGGAATATCGGTGTTCCACCTTCAGGATGCATGGATCAATACTCATTCAGACTCGCAAACAGAATAGTTGGTAATGATAGTACTGCTCCCGGTTTAGAAATTACGCTCAATGGTCCAAAGATTTTGTTTCACCAAGAATGTGTTGTTGCTGTTACCGGTGGTAAAGCAACCATTGAAGTCAATGACAAGCAAGTTGCCCAATGGGAACCAATTGCGATCAAGAGTGGTGACACATTGTCCATTGGAAAGTTGACTACTGGTTGTCGAGCATATTTGGCCATTAGAGGTGGTATTGATGTTGTTGAATACTTGGGATCAAGATCAACATTTGCTTTGGGTAACTTGGGTGGTTACAATGGAAGGGTTTTGAAATTTGGTGATGTTTTGTTCTTAGGTCAACCTGAAGTCTCGATTTGCACGTTAGCCCCACCAGTGTCGGAGCCTACACCAGTACCATCATCACTTATCCCCAACTACAACAATAAGGTTTGGCAAATTGGTGTCACATGTGGACCTCATGGATCTCCAGATTTTTTCAAGCCGGAATCTGTTTCAGAATTTTTTTCTTCAACCTGGAAAGTTCATTACAACTCAAACAGATTTGGTGTTAGATTGATTGGTCCAAAACCGAAATGGGCTAGATCTGATGGTGGTGAAGCGGGTCTACACCCATCAAATGCTCATGATTATGTGTACTCTATGGGGGCTGTTAATTTTACTGGTGATGAACCCGTTGTCTTGACTTGTGACGGTCCAAGTTTGGGAGGATTTGTTTGTGAAGCAGTTGTCGCTGAAGCAGAGTTGTGGAAGATTGGTCAAGTGAAACCTGGTGAGTCGATTCAGTTTATTCCCGTCACCTATGACTCTGCCAAACAATTGAAGCGTCAACAGGATGCAAGTATTAAAACCTTGAAAGGTGAACTAGGTGATGTGGAAAGTTATGGATTGGTGCACCCAGAAACGCCAGTGCTTTGCCAAATTCAAGTATCGGAAACGTCGCCAAAGATTACTTACCGTCAGGCTGGTGATAGATATATTCTTGTTGAGTATGGTGAAAACATTTTGGACTTGAATAAAGCATATAGGATCCACAAGTTGGTGGAAATGGTTAAAGAGTATAAACCAAGGGGAATCTTTGAATTGTCACCTGGAGTGCGATCAGTTTTGGTTGAGTTTACCGATGAGATTACTCAACAGGAGGCATTAGACACTCTTGTTGCTTACGAGAAGGAGATTGCGTTTGTCAACAAATGGAGAGTCAAGTCTAGAGTTATTAGATTACCAATGGCATTCGAAGATCAAAAGACTTTGGATGCAGTCAAGAGATACCAAGAGACCATCAGAAGTGAAGCGCCTTGGTTGCCAAACAATGTTGATTTCATAGCCAATATTAATGGCATCACTAGAAATGATGTTAAAGATATGTTGTACACCGCTAGGTTTTTGGTTTTGGGGTTGGGAGATGTTTTCCTTGGGGCACCATGTGCTGTGCCATTGGATCCAAGACATAGGTTTTTGGGTACTAAATACAACCCGTCAAGAACCTATACGCCTAATGGTACCGTTGGTATTGGTGGTAACTACATGTGTATTTACACAATGGAATCACCAGGCGGATATCAATTGGTTGGTAGAACGGTGCCAATTTGGGATAAATTGACTTTGGGTGAGCACTCTGGAGAGAAGCCATGGTTGTTGTCACCATTTGATCAAATTGAGTTTTATCCAGTTAGCGAGGCTGAAGTTGACAGGTTTTCCGAAGAAATGAATGTTGGTAGGTTTAGGGTTGATATAGTTGACTCTGTATTCGACCATGGTCAATACTTACAATGGATCCAAGCCAATTCGGAATCAATTGAACAATTTCAACAATCTCAAGGTGGTGAAAAAATGGAAGAGTTTAATAGATTGATTCAAATTTCAAATAGTGAATTGGAACAAAATGGAACAAAAGTGCAAGAGGATGAAAAGTTTGGTGAGAATGCTGAAATGGTGTACTCGGAGTACTCCGGTAGGTTCTGGAAGAGTCTTGTAAATGTTGGTGATGAAGTGAACAAAGATCAACCGTTGATTGTTGTTGAAGCTATGAAGACGGAGATGATGGTCAACGCACCAAAAGGAGGTAAAGTGGTCAAGGTGTATCACAAGAATGGTGATATGGTTGATGCAGGTGACTTAGTGGTTGTTATAGAGTAAATGTGTCATCTTATATATGTATTTAATTGATTTGCTTCAAATGGAATATGATCGATTTGTAGTGAACTTTTATAGCGCGTCTTTCTTGATGGGAAAAAAGAAAAGAACAATCAACAAAGCGTAATTCTTACACAATTCAATTGAGAAGATAGGCAGTTATGTCATTGGAGAATAGTAAGCAGATATCAGCGGCATCATTGCAACCTGAACTATGGACAACATCTTCCAATGATGCCCTTAAGATGTTTGTCACTGATGGAGAACAAGCAATCAATTTCCAACCTTTGTTCACATACCCAATTTTTGGAGATGCCGAGACGATATATGGGTACAAGGACTTGAATATCTTTCTATGCTTTGACCATTACACATTTAAGCCATTCTTAAATATCAAGTACAAGGAGAAATTGGATGACCCCGATTTGGTTGACTTGAAAGGAACCATGGATAAGTTTGTCCCTGAAAGCACCGTATTCAAAGATGAAATAGCTTGGGTAGATTCAATCAATGAGGAGAAGAAGGACTACAAAATACCAGGTGATCGAATTGACAATTTTAGAAATGATGACATGGAGTACCTGGTGTATAAGATCAACTTGAAACTGGCAGCTGGATTGGAGTTGCATAAACGATTGCAAATCCTCGTTTTATTGTACATTGAAGCTGGTTCATTCATTGATGCAGAAGACGACTTGTGGGATCTTTATGTGCTTTATGAAAGCGCTCCAGAAAATAAAGAGCCATCGATTGTTGGGTTCGCCACTGCTTACAATTATTGGAAATACCCAGGAGCCGAGAATTTCGACGATGGAAAATTAGAGATTAGAATAAAGATATCACAGTTTGTCATTCTTCCAATTTATCAAGGCCAGGGACTTGGACAATCGTTCTATACCCACCTTTGCAAATACTGGTTGGCGAAGGACAATATTGTCGAAATTGTGGTTGAAGATCCAAATGAAGGATTTGATGATATGAGAGATCGTGCTGACTTGAAACGATTGGGTGATTTGGGATTCGACTTTGACAAGCTAGTGGCCAGGGACATTGATCAGCACTGGATTGATAAAACAAGAAAACAATTGAAATTGGAAAAGCGTCAATTTGCAAGATTATTGGAATTGATTTTACTATATAAATTAAAGCATAACAAAGACGTATCCAAATCTGACGTTAGATTATTTATCAAAAAGAGGTTGTACAAGAAGAACAAAGAAGGGTTGGATGCATTGGATGAAGCAACTAGAAGAGATAAATTGCAAACAGCCTATCAAGCTTTGGAAGAAGATTATTATAGAATCCTTGGAGATTTGAGACTTCCGATCAAGAGAAGACTCGATGATGTTGATGTAAATGAAAGCAAGAAGCAAAAGGTGGATTAAGTTGATTGTTATTTTTAGCAGGTTATGTAATATAATTTGTACAATTATATATACAATTGTCTTGAAAATTAGTGCTGTTCAGTCGTGATAAAGGATATGCGTTATCCACTCTGATTCCTTCGTCTCCTCTTGTCGTTAAGATTGTTACTTTATCGACAACTTAGGACTACTAATCAAAAGGTTTACTATCGTGCAAGACTGAATTATTGCCGCAGAGATCTCAGAAATATAAAATTATTTTTGAAGGTAACATCCTCTTCCTCATGGTACGTCGGTATTAATACTCCCGGGTGACTTAATGACATCCGTGCAATAGATGGAACGAAAAAACGACTGCTTCAGAGAACCAACAATTCAAGACAGGACCATCCAAGGATATTTTATATTGAACTTATTTGTGGGTTAGCCACCGGAATAAGAATAACTTCTTGTGTGTTACATGCTGAGCTGTTGAGACTTAGCTCGTTTGACCCCGATCAATCCAACTTTCACAGTATCGTCGTTTGTAAATTTTCAAATGCTTGAAATATGAGACGAGGAGTGATGTCAAATTGCCAGAAAACAATCTTATCTGTCAAAATTAGCAAGGCGCGTGTGGTCTCCTCTCCTAATAAAGTGCTTGACTCAATTTGCAGTCAATCTATCTTATGGGTTTATCATTATAATGCGTGCGGCTCTTTCGTTAGGCATTTCCCAAAATGGAGCAAGAGTAAGTTATGTTTTGTTTTGTTTTGTATCAAAAATAGCAATTTAGTCGCCCAATGAGGCAATTGAAGATTTCGAACAAAACACACAAAAGAATCACATCAATTGGTAGCGGATAACCATTGACTGACGTCAGACGAGGGAAAACGATTCTACACCTCAAAGACTATTTACAATGAGCGTAAAAACACCCCACCTTGCCTGTCTTTGCAGGAAGCCATATGGATGTTACATCACAGATTTGTGTGCAACGATTACATTCTTTTTCGGACTTAAAGTCATTGATTTTTGAGTTTTGTATTTTTTTTTTTGTCGAGTTCGACATGTTTGATGAAGTTTGCTATCCAGAGCAAGCAACAAATTAGATACATAGAACTAATAAGAGGGCAAATTACGTATTCTCTACCAAGCATAATTCAGGAGAGCCATATCTTAGCCCTTCCCTGAATACACCATTGCCAATGTAGTTTATGTCAGCATCTTCTTGACCCGAGAGTCATGTGTGTGCAATTTTTATTGGCGCTTATTGTATTGTATTGTTGTGGATACATGTTCTCTTTGTTCTTTGTGTAACCTGCTGTTATATATATATATACTACATTGTTCTTTTTAATTAAATTGCCCTTTTGTCACTCATTAATTAAATCCCAGAATTTCACTTTGACTTGCTATTCTTCCATTCGGTATTTAGTATTTTTATGTTTAGGTTTAATTGCATTTATATTTAAGCCATTCATAATTCCCTTTATTCTTTTTACAATTTCTACTGTATTCTTTTTCTTCCAAACGTATATACTCATCTTTACAACCACGTTTCCAAGATGCACAGAACTTACTCAATGAGATCTTCAAAGGCTCCAACAGCCTCCCAATTGCAAGCCCCACCACCACCACCATCATCCACTAAGAATAGATTTTTTGGTGCTGGTGGATTATCCTCCTCCATCAGAAAAGCTGCCGCTGGTGCCACTGGTCCAGAATTGTCTAGAAAATTGGCTCAATTCATCAAGATGGAAAAGAATTTGATGAGATCCATTGAAGTCACTTCAAGGGAAAGAAAAGATATTGCTAGACAATTGAGTGCTTGGGGTGAAGAAAATGATGACGATGTTTCTGATGTCACTGACAAATTGGGTGTCTTGATTTACGAAATTGGTGAATTGGAAGACCAATACATTGATAAATATGATCAATACAGAATCACTTTAAAGAGTATTAGAGATATTGAAGGTTCAGTACAACCATCAAGAGAAAGAAAACAAAAGATTACTGATGAAATTGCTCACTTGAAATACAAGGACCCGCAATCCCCAAAAATTCCAGTTTTGGAACAAGAATTGGTTAGAGCAGAAGCTGAATCTTTAGTTGCTGAAGCTCAATTGAGCAACATTACTAGAGAACAATTGAAGGCTGCTTTCAACTACCAATTTGATGCTACTAGGGAATTGGCTGAAAAATACGCTTTAATTGCTGGTTACGGTAAAGCCCTTTTGGAATTGTTGGATGACTCAGCTGTTACTCCAGGTGAAACTAGACCAGCTTATGATGGATATGAAGCTTCTAAGCAAATCATTATTGATGCTGAAAATGCTTTGGCTTCATGGACTTTGGATTCTGCTGCTGTTAAACCAACCTTGTCATTACACCATGAATACGATGAAGATGAAGAACCAGCTGAAATTGATGACGCTGCTCAACAAGAATTTGCTAAACACGATGAACAAAATGAACACAATGGTGAACATACCGCTTAAGAAAAGGGAAGTTTTGGATTACAGAGAAAGCAAACATCGTACAAAAAGTCAAAGTCAAGTCTAACCATTTTAATTTCGTAATTCGTTTCTACCTTTGTTTTGTCTAATTAAATCATTTTTAATATTGTCTAAGAAAAGCTACACGATCTTGTAGGAGAAAGGGCTTACGCGAGTTTATTAATAAATATACACTACTCTTTACTCTTCCCTGATTGACGGTACGTGAGAAGCTCTAGTCGACTTGCCCGCCAAACTTGCATCATCGTCATCTTCATCGTCATCAGTATCCTCATCCAAGCGTGTGGTGGTCTTTCGCCTTTGAAAATCCTTTATATGTGCCGTGTTCAAACGATCAGTTATTTGCTTAAAGTAGGTTTTGCGTTGCTGCAACTGAGGCGTCGATTGTCTCGTCAGTAACCTTGTAAGATCAACTGAACCTCTACTTCCATCATCACCTCTAGATCCTGCACGACCAGTTGTGAACCCAATATTTTCTTCAGCAATGTTATCCTCATCAGACGTTTTCCTATCATCATATCTCGATTCAACCAATTTTTTCACCGCGCGCTCAACTTTCGCTGATACAGCATAAGGCAATGGAGTATCCTTTGAAGCTCTAAACAAAATCACATTAGTGCAATGTTCATTTTCCATTCTGAAAAAAATCCAAATAAATCGACGTAAAATCTCAGCTAAAGCCACGCAAAATGAAGTGACTGCACTTTGCTGAATTTGATGAGTAAAGAATGCATAAAAAATCCATTGGAACCGCAAAATCACATCGAGAACCATAGCTGTGTAATAATAATACGGCTTCTTGTAAAATAAATAATCCCTCAATAAGAAATGTTTGGAGCCAGTTTGTAACAATGACCAATCCATAACAATATCCCATATTGACGTGTAAATTGAATTGATTATTGCAAACACAATGAATACCACCCGGTTCCTCTCTCTATTATCAATACGATAAATACTCAACGTCATATAGTATACAGTGGATACTGCATACTTTAACATATTTGCCAAATGAGGGAACCAGTCCCCAGTGTCCATATAACGACGTATACATTGTAACAACCGCCACACACTGGGCAAAGAACTAAAGAAACCCATTAGTCTCGACCTCGACGATGTGCATGTATTTGCACTAGCAGGTTGACCACTCAATGTTCCTTTCCAATGATGAGAAAATAGGCAGAAAAAGAATGGTAGATTACCCATGGTGTATGTCAACGAACACACAATATCACCCAAAAAGAAATCTCTAAATTCAACAGGATAAAGACCAGACAAGAGCAACCTCCATAATGCAAATTGTAACCATCTTCGACTTGAGCCGTACAATGCATTTGTTGGCCAAAGGAATAACACCAACATAACGCCGAAAAATATCCATGGCCAATCACGACCGGGGAATTGATGGGGCCAAAAGTTGTTGAAACTGAACCACCCCAATAACGACAAAAACGCAAATGCAAATGATGGGAGTAACCAAAATTGCTTATAGTTCAAAGCTGAAGCTATATCAAACTCGAAAATGAATTTGTAGTTGATTCTAAACTTGTCAAACACCGCCATATTGATTCCAAATAAAAGAAACGCAAAAGTGAGTAGTAAAAACCCACCCCAAACTTGTAGCAAAAACCGCCCCTCTGGAAGTTCCCCCGTGATTGTCTTGTGCAACGCTGTATACAATGCCAATACAAACAACGGAATTCCAAATCCAATGAATAAACCTGAACTGAAAAACTCAGTATAGTACAGGGGTTGCTTCAAATCGGTCGAGTTGAACGTGTATGCAATCGTTTTCAACTTTTCCAAAGATTGTTTGCGATCTTTTGACTCGGGATCAAAGAATGCAATATAGAGCTCATCGACTTGATTGATGATCTTGTCGACTAAATCACTGGTTAAAAAGTAAGATGACGTGTTTATCCTCTCCATAAATGGTTCCATGATGTTTGTGTGCATTGCCTTGTCATATTTTTTGGTGATCTTTCTAAAGGCAGTCCGATTCATGGTTCTATATGACCTTAAAATTGACAACGCTCGATAATGTTCCAAAAGGGCTGCTTTCAATTGCTTCTTTGCGTACAAGTAAGGAACACCAAAATGTTGTTTCTTGGGTGTGTAATCCCGTCTTCGAGATTGTCGTATTTGATCATGAGTCTGTGGAATTTCAGGTCCCAGGGGTCCCGTTGGCGAGTATTCTTCAATTTCTGACTCGGAATCCAACGAAGTTTGGTCTGTAGTATGGTCACTCAATTCAACAACCCCGTTTCTAACTCGATTTTCAGCATAGTTCAAATCAACCGAATCTTGCACATGTAACGAAATGTCATCCTCATATTTCGCTTTCTTTCTTCCTTTCAATTTTTTCAAAAACGCCATTGACGGAAGTGAGGGTAAATCCCATCTACTCAACTCACTAATGAAAAATTTTGTGTGGAATGCTAAATCATTGACACGATGAGGTATAACCCGTTCACCACTTGCGGCAACACCATGTGCAATTCCGTTGTGCTGTCTTCGTTGTCGCTGTATCTGGTTCTTTTGATCTCTCATTTGGTACAATTGATCTTCCAATAACAAAAACCGCTCGTACACATCTTGCTCTTTTTCTGAATAAAACTCATCCACTTTCAACAACTGCTCATCGAGCCAAAGTTGAAACTTTCTCCGCTCAGTAAAGTAGTCTGTCTTGCTAGACTTGAGTGAATAATTAAATACTGATGTCCTTCGATTCTCATTACGGCTATTTGCTCCTGAAATGGGAGGTGCATCATCACCATACGATTCATCGCGTCTTTCCAAATCATTGGAGTCCAACAACGGTATTCTGTCATTGTTAGTACCATCATCCTTATTCCCATCTGCTGCTAACAAACTGGCTGAATCTTGATCATACTCGTCCTTGAGCTTGCGAATCTTCTTTATCAACTTCTTCCCACTTTTGTAATCAACATATTGGTCTTGCCATTCTGCAACCAATCCATCACTTAAAGCTTCAGCAAACTTCATAGGCAGCTAAATGGGTTTGAAAAACAGTTTATGATGGAATAGAAAGATGACAAAGAAGAAATGCAAGATTTCAAAATATGCGTGTGTTATATATAAATTAAAGCTACAACGTGGGTTGTCTGTGTGTGTGTGTGTGTGTGTGTGTGTCTCAAAATAACGAGATTTTTTTTTCTGATGCAATGTGAAATTTTAAAAGCTGAGCGTGTAAGTTACACTATAGTATTGAATTTGAAAATGTAACAACTCATTTTCATGTTGAAAGTGATGTTGAAACTGTAATGAGCGAACTTTAATCACTTTACCATCTCTCGCGTTGTGCAGTGTTATGAAGTTTCATGTCTGAAAAGTACTACTGATTCTGAAAATTTTGCGTGCGAGCTTTTCAAGAAAATGCATGGTTTAAATATCGATCAAAAGTACTCAAATCCGGGGAGGGGGAAACTATTATTGGTATGAAACGGATCTAGGGGCATTCAAATTACATCACCTATTACCCAAACTTAATACGACACTGCATTAGTACTCAAGTTGAGCCCTTGGGACAGTTCCGTAGGGGGTTAATACTGACATACCCTCAGCCCGCATTTCTAGGAAGAAGTTCAGGCTATTTTCCATTATCGTTTGCGGGGTGCCATCAAAACTCGTTGGCCCTTCAAATCCTCTTTTTGTACCATTGACGTGTTATGTCCGAACGCTACCTTGATCGGTCTTATTTACAGCGGATAAAACCTTGCTCGGTTGAAACAATTTAAAGACAAAAAATCTGGAGAAAAACTGAACCCCACTGGAAAAAAAGCTTAAACTGGAGCAACTATTTCTTCTTGAACCCTTGTACAACACTGTCAATCAAAAATCATGGAATTCAACGTTAATAACAAAATCGCCGTCGTCACTGGTGGTACTCGTGGACTAGGACTTTATTGCGCTGAAGCATTTGTTGAAAACGGAATCAAAACAATTTTCATCACCTCACGTAAAGCCAAAGCTTGTGAAGATGCCAAAAAACACTTGGAAGAGTTGGCAAAAAAAAACGGTAAATCTGTTGAGGTGATTGCTATCCCTGCTGATTTGGCTGTCGAAGAACAAGCTGAAAATTTTGCCAAGGAAGTGGCAAAGAAAGTTGACAAGATTGACATTTTGATTGCCAATGCTGGTGCTACATGGGGTGCTCCATTGGATGAGCACAACGTTGCAGCTATCAAGAAAGTTGTCAACTTGAACTTCGTTGCCGTTTACCACACTATCAAGTTGTTTACCCCATTGTTGGAGAAAGCAGCAACTGTTGAAGACCCCTCAAGAATTATCATCATGTCATCCATCATCAGTTTGATAAATAATGACATTGTTGGAACTTATGGATATCTCGGATCCAAAGCTGCTGTATCTCATTTGGGAAGAAATTTGGCGGTTCAATTTGCCCCCAGACACATTAATGTAAATTCAATCTTGCCTGGATTTTTCCCCACAAAGATGGCCAACGGATTGCTTGAAGTTGCAGGCGAAGGGTTGATTGAGACAAATCCTCGTGGTAGATTGGGAGAACCTGAAGATATGAAGGCAGCAGTCTTGTTTTTGTGTTCAAAGAGAGCCAACTACATCAATGGAGTCGATTTGCCAGTCGATGGTGGTGCTCGTTTGAACAGTCCAGCAGCTCACTTTTAGGTATGTTAAGTAAAGATTTAGATAATAGAGGACAACGTTGAGTAAACTAACTCGTTTTGAATTATACACAATGAATTCAGTAACAAACTGCTAATGTTAAAGAATTAATTATCTTTGTATACTTGAGTTCCTCCTAGGGAGCAATTTGCGCGTGCAAAGTCAACTTGATATCATCCGATCTGACCAAATTAATCTCTGTACGCTTGTGTGGCTCCACACTAATCGAGACAATATTCTTATTGGCAAGAAACAAGATACTCGAAAATACACCAGCAGCAATCTTTTTCGTATTAATTTCATTCTCGTCTCTCACTGGCACCAACTCGGTAAAAGTTAATACACACTCCTTCCCCTGTGAATTATTGGATTTACCCAAATCCACCAGCCTTTGTACGAAATATTTTATAAGCTTTTTCAATCTAGGTGTTAAATTTGGTTGCAAATTTTTGTCATCGCTAGATAAACTGAAACTACTCGATTCCACAAGAGCTCCATCACCTTCTTGTTCACGCTCTTCAAGACGACTTTCATCATCAAAATTGAAATCCAAATCCAAGACAGTGGCATCAAAATGTGTCTCGACACCATCTGAATTTCGATGCCCAATTTCTTCTAAATTCCCACTCAATTCATCATCGTCATAACTTTGCAAGATTCTTGACCTTTCAACTTCCATTGCCAACTGTGAATTTCTTGCTTGTTCTGATGCTTCATTGGCCATAATCTCCGTCCGATGGAATATACCCATTGTTCGATTGATACTTTCCTCAATACTAGATGAGTTGGAATTGCGAATGCCATTGTTTCCGTTAGCCCAAGGTCTAAAATTTGTCATGTTAAGCTCTTGATACACTTGTTGAACTTGGCGTCGTTGCGGGACAAACGAAGACTTGTATTTCATTATAGTAGCGTAACTGTCATAGTGGTTGATTATTGATTCTCTAGTCAAGCTTGTGTTTTCATCAATCACTATTTTACGCTTTGGGATACGAAACGATGTACTTCCTGTTGCCTGGAGATTGGGGTGCTGTCTTTCTGGACTCGCTCCAGCTTGGAAAACCAAATCTTGAACTGCAACGTCAAAATTCTCTTCTTCTGTAGAATGCGATCCTCCATAAGAAGCTACCCTTTCTACAGAGTCATCCTCCAAAAGTCTCCGAGAAAGCTCGACTTCCTTACCCACCAGTAAACTGAGGTCAGTTGTCACCTCTGGCTGACCAATCTCCAATATCTCACCATCTTCATTGAATTGCAAATTGACAAGTTCATCATCAACAAGACGTCTATGCGCGTTCGGTAAAGCAAGACTGGCCTCACTAAAATCCATTTCCATGTGGTCATCAATAGCCACACCAAATGGACCCAATCCAGCACCACCACTAGTTGAAGTTACTTCACCAGTGTTATCAAAAATGGTGAATTCACGTAAATCCAACTCGGCAATTTCCAATTTACGTCGCTTCGTATCGGGATTGTCCTCGATCTCCAAGCCCGATACATCACACAATTGCATCAAATCATGTTCAACATAAAACGCATAATCATTTTCTAAAAAATCAGCTCGTTTCAAACCACGAGCTCCATCATGTTTCATAAGCTGATCACAACGCTTTGTTGATAATTGAAAATAAGCATTTTGCAATCTCAATTGTACATGGGTCACTTCACTCAACACGTGGGTGATTTTTGATCCATACAAGATTGATATACCATGTAATACATTTGATGAGAATCGGATATTGACACCAGCAATACTATCCCGATGGCAGTTGATCAACTCTTTGCACAATTCTGGAATCAGAATGTTTAACAAGTCATCTTTTCTGATAATCTTATTTCTTGATGATGTTTTTGATCCTAGGGTGGATAAGAGCCACGCTGTATGAAGACCCCTTGATTGATTGGTGATGATATCCATTTAATCAGTAGCAAACCCTAAAGTCTTAGCAAGCCCAATGAAAAGTACCCATGTTTAAAATGGGTTGTGTGTCGTAATCATTCTCAACACTTGGAAAAAACAACCGTGTGGTGGATTTTGGCTGCCAAAAATTGATAACCGAAAATGGCGCGTGTTATTCACTCGCACAAGGTTCATTCCCATTGCCACCACCACTAACAAAAACACTATAGCTCTTTCTCCCTTTTAGTGACCCGTATTAAAACAAACAAAAAACAAACGCATTTATTAATCTTGTCTATACATTTCCACTCTTCCCCTCCCTAAGTCATTTTATAGTTTATGTTTGTCAACTTCTCATAAATCAAAACGAACCACTTTACAGTGGATTCGTAATCATCATCATCAATCGCGGCATACAAATATGCGAGAGCGCCCTTTGTCAAACGTTCATCATACCAGGTCTTGTTACGATGGACATTAAATTTTGGTACACCATAAATCACTGAATTGTAGTAAAACTTGTTATTTTTGAAACTGTCCAAAATTCCTTTAATTCCACGAGAGGATATCGATTCGTAACCTGGAGATGCCAGGGATGAGTCTGCATTGATATTCTTTTGTGGATCTTTACTCTCCAAGTATGTGTGATCTTGATCCGTCAACTTCAAATCTCTTTCCAAGTGCGATAACTTGTAATTGGTGACTTTGAACTGAGCAAAATGTTGCAACTTTTTGTAATACATATACCAAGGGTAATCTTGACTTAACCCTTCTTCAACTCGTTCATTATACTCATCAAAGCTCTTTGCCAGAGCCACAATTTCATTCATTAACAAAGTAAATTGGTTCATAATTTGATGAAAATGAACTTCTTCATCGGTATCGAGATCCTGGAAAATGGAATTCTTGTAGATGAGATAGTTTGAGACAACTCTGTCTTTCCATTGTGATAACTTTTCCTTTTCAATCTCCAATAAACGGAGATAAAATGATTGAATTAGTTTGAGATATTTATAGGTTTTATAGTCAACAACCTCATGTTCGCTCAAATTTATTGCCAAGAGCCCCACAAATCTGATTAAAGACCCATGTAACAACAAGTCTTTATCAATGTCCTTTTTAATCAACCAGTCGCGTGAGTAATAGTTTGAGTTGGGAATGTACTTGGCACTATCTCTTTTCCCATCATTACTAAATTTCAAGTTTATAATGGGAGTAGATAAATGTTGCTGGAAAATTCTTGCTTCCGAGTCAATCAAAGGCAAGCCCAAGTTATTATTAATAGTAGCATTATCTTGTTTCATCCAATACTTATGCAAAGTAGTATATTCTTCACCGTCGTCGTCATCATCGTCATCGTCATCATCCTCTTCTATGTCAATGGCATCATCAAAAATGTCATCATCAAATAGCTCCCAATCAACATTTGTGCCCAGCGTCTTTAAAAATGTTGCATGTTTGGGAATAGGAATGTATTTTGATGTTTTCTTCAACAAATGGTTAATCAATGGATTAGAGTCGACATCAAACTTGCTTCCAGTAACAGTGTCAGAGTCAAGATTGATATAAGACACAATTGATCTCTTGGGGTTAAACACATCGGTGTCATTAGTGAATAGCTTCACCCCCAACGAATCCATGTAGGAGCCATCCCACGATACAAATTTGATATTTCTCAATGGTTTCCACCCTTTTTCAATCAAACGCTGATAATTTCTCATGATTTCAAAAAGGACTGCATGACCCGATAAAGGATTGTTTGATGTGAATGAATCACGTCGAGCCCCAATTATAACGTCAGCATCGTTCATTATACCCTTCAACGTACCCACAATATTTGTCAATTTTGTCAGTTTACCCTTTTCAAACACGCTATCAATCTCCAATTTGAATTTGGATTGGTGATATGGTGTGTATTCCCATTTTTCAAAAGTTGACTCATAAGCATTGTTCAAGTGTGTATCAAGCACTGGAAGCAACAATTTCTTGCTTATTGGAATCACTGGGATCTTTGCCTCCTCGCTATTGCAATCGCGTGAGATTGCTACATTCATATCAGATGATTTGGTCTCCTCATTGCCCAATGTATCTAAATCGAAAAATGTTAGAGCACCCACAGCTCCATAATGCTCGGCTAACGCAATCTTTTCACCGATTGTGATGTTCCGCACTTCAAGATAATTTTTGATTATGAAAATTTTACCCTTCAAATCAATTCTATTACTCAGCAATAACTCATAGTCCTCTGGAGTACCGTAGTTAACAAACACAAACTCAGCAGTTACATTCCCATTCACACCATAGCTAAAAAACCCTGGTGTCTTAAATTTCGGCTCCAAGACTTCCGATTCATATACAACTTCATCTTCGTTGTCGCGTAATTTGATTACAGACAAGCGTGGCTCCTGTGCATCAACCGCGTAAGTATATTTTTCTGTGATGAACCCAAATTCCTTAAAATTTGATTCAACGTAGTGACTCAATTCGGGATTATCACTGGACAATAGATTGTACTTTGCTTTGTTATTTATAATGGTAAAATCGTATAACCAATTGTCGATATACTCTTCCGTGGTTAAGTCTTGATGGCTGTTGCCGATTCCGGTATATTGTAGAAAATACCGCTTGACGTCAGATTTCGTCAAATGTATTCCGTGCCACCGTCTATAATCTCTTGACAATGAAGTCCTTGGAAGAAAAGTCAACTGGAATATGATTAAAGCTAAAACGCCTAGACTGAATATCCAAATGAAACCTGGACGTTTGGCTAATTTGATAATCTTGCTCATTCTATCGTCATCATCGTCATCGTTATCATACAGGCCACCCAGGTGACTTCGGTCCAATGGTAACAATAAGCTGTGTTCATTAGTGTTCGCATGTAGTTCCTGTGGTGTTATAGGGTACGTTTGCGGTTTAGACAGATCCACATCGTCGGGTGATTCACTAGTTTCGATATTGATATCCACGTGCGACTTGTTGCTATCTTCAGTAGTGGATCCATAAAATTGTGCATGTGCTGAGTCTGTACTTGAGCCAGTCTTTGCTTGCATATCTGAAGCACTAGTGTCATTGCTCCCATTCTGTTGACCTGTATCGTTCCCCAACATTGTGTATAGTGCGATGTAACGGGTAAGTCGGTGACAAAAATGATTGGATCTAACCTAAGTAGAACAAAAGTTACCGTTTGTATAGAACAACTAGTTGGTATTTGACTTTCTTAAAAAATTGAGATGTTCATGTATCGATGTGTTTGAGTTATCCAGTGTAAGCTTTGGAGGAATACAGTTGGATGGAAGAAAAGGAACTGGATGTGAAGTATAATTTTTGTGGGTTTATATTCTTGTCATTTAGGGGAAAATCATCTTGTTGTTCTATTTTTGTGTCATTCAATAGAAAACGTTACTTAACCGATACGAACTAGGACTTTTGTACTTTCTATAAATAGATTATCAAAGGAGGTGTTAATAGAGAAGGAGAATGATACAACACGTCGTATTAGGACCAGAAGGGATAGGTTTCTTTTAAATGCACACTCTCAAAAATTACTATATGGAAGTGAGTGTACGTTGGAGTCTTTAACGACACGCTGAATCCTATTGTGTCTACAAACTGCCAAACAATCTATAATTAATTTCAATTCACGAATCAACAAAGCAATATTCAATTTCGTTTTTGAAACAATTGCAGCTGGGAGTGGTCAAACGAGTACTATAAAACAGTGTCCACAAGCAATTTCACCTGGCTTTCTCTTCCTCGCCAAGCAAGCCTTCCAACACATCAACATCAAACATGTTGGCACCTGATTGAAGTGTTTTTGCCAACACAGTCAATGATGCTTCCTTGAAGTCTGGTTTCTTCCTCAATTCATCAATATCATTTTCAAATTCCTTTGTCATGAGCTTTAAAAACCGCGTATTGATCTCCTGTTTCGATTGCCCAATTGAGTTCGTTACCTCTGTGAAATTCGGTATACTTTTCAATGCATTAGTTGTGTTTGGATTGGTTATTTCTGATACAGGTGTTATTAAGAATGGAATTGAGCTTAGTTGCTGTTTCTGTTGAACAGTCAAATCATCTGGAGCTTTCTTCGCCAGCTTAGATGGTTCCTCAACTGTATCGAGCTCTATATCGTCCATTGTTATTTGTTCTGCAGTTGGCGGTACATCTTTGTTATTTGCTTCATCTTCACTATCTGATTCACTCGATGATGAAGAGGAAGAGGATGAAGACTCAGATGAAGATGAAAAGTCTTCCGTTCTTCTCTTTTTTCTTCTCCTATTTGAGGTTTTCCTTTCACGGTTGTTTCCTTGCTTCGAAGTGACGGCCATATTGATTCTCTTTGGGGTCCTATTTGATGAGTTTGGTAAACCGTATTAGATGGTGATGAGATCTAACAAAAAAAAGTTTTGACTTGTATGCAGTATTGAGAGATTACCTTCATCAGAAACACACTTCTTTGGGCGCCTTTTAGGTGTGCAAAACTGGACAAGATCCAATTTAGTCAATGGACGTAGCTGACGTGATCTGGTTTTGGTCTGGAGGCTTGGATTGTCTGTTAGAGCAAACACTGCTAATTGTAGAGAGAAGGAGATTTTTAACCTTTATTATACGTGATACTACGTAACGTATACAAAAGATTTCCGAAGCAAAGCAATTTTTAACGAAATGTTACTCTTTATCTAGTGCAGATATTGAGACTTCTACACACAAGTAGTCATGATTTGGTGGTGACGAGGGCTGTTGATGTGTGCCCCCAATCATGAATGAGTTTTGGTTGAAGAAAAAAACGCTACCTTAGTGTACATATGTAAACCAATTTTTCGCCTTTTTTCGGGTGGATTCGATTGTTGGAACAACAACGTGGTACGATTTCAAAACCCACAAAGTTTCTGTAGACACACAAATCTGTTGTTATCTTCTGTTGAGGAAAGTTTACAAGTTGTGTATAGCTCCCCCTACGCTTTTTATCTTGATCTGTTGCCTCTACTAGCTAGCGTATATCGGTTTCACTCTACTTTTAAGTTTATTTATAGAATAACTAACTCTAACTAACCTTTAATGAATCTTGTTTTTGTGTAATGATGTAAAGTGAAGAGAAAGAAATGTACAAAAAAAAAAAAAAAAAGAAACGTAAAGAAAGTAAAAACTTTGTATTAAGGAAACAACAAGAGAAGAAATTAATCATTCAATTCCATCACGAGGAGCAAAACACGTTTGTTATAGTCAACAACCAATCTACAACTGTGATACAGCTGGTCTATATTCAAAGATCAACAACTGACTGATTGTTTTTGGTTTTTGTTTTTTTTTTTCAGGTGACTTACTTTAGGGTGCTTCGGATTCCATCATCCTCAAAAACCACACAACTTTATTTTACTCAGATGTAATTGAACCCTTGTGGACTTGTATCATCATCAAACCCAAATATCACGAACGCGATTACGCATATTTCAATTGCCGGCTCTACTAATCCCAATGGACTAAACTTTGGAAGTTTTGAGCTCAAGAAATCAAAGAAACTGCAACAAACTACAACCATTTCCCCCATAATCAGAAACAAGAAATAAAAGAAGATCAGTTCAAAACGCACCTTTATTATCTCACAATGTACACTCCAATCGAGTATATACTCACGATTATCTCCATTCTTAATTTGTGCACCGCATTTGTAATTTACATGGTTGACAAGAGGGAAGGAGTTTCCGTCAATTCCGGTAAACATTTCAAAAGTTTTAGAGTTTGTATCACCATGTCTATACTTTTTGGTGTGGCTTCAATGTGTTTTCTTTTGAAGAATTACAAATTAAATGGTGGAGGTGAGGTGTAATAAAGGAACCTCCCACAATCTGGAAAACTAGCAACTGCTGAGTAGAAGGTGTGACACAGGCTACAAGTTTTTTTTTTTTTCAAAATTTTGTAAAGTAGGATAAAAATATAAATATCATTGATAATAACTAACAAATAGAGTGATTGGTGGTTTATTCAGTTTTTGTTCTCTTTTCGTCTGATTCTTCTAATCCTTCCAATACATGTGGTACTTTGGGCAATCCATTACTTGTTGGTTTAACCAATGGAGTAGACAAGTCCGAATGGAAATCTTTGATAATTGAATCAACATCATCAATGTTCAATTGTCTAACATCTCCCAATTTCTTAATCTTTTCAGTAACTTCTTTACATTGAGCATCAGTCAAGTGTAAATTCAATTGATCAACTCTTGATTTAATTGCATTCCATCCAGTCAACCTATTGGCAAAATGAATATACCTCGTTAATCCAAAATCACTAGGACTTAAAATCTCATAAGTTGATGGATTAGCCAAAATTGCCTTGGCATGGATACCAGCTTTGTGAGTGAAAGCACAGAATCCAGTAATGGGGTTATTAAATGGAATGTTGACTTGGACAGCTTCTGCAACTAAATTTTCCAAATCTCTAATCTTGTGAACTTTGTATTTAGACAAGACATAATCACGATCAGCAGCAATCATTCTTGCCATTAATCCACCAAGTGGTGTTATACCATTACGCTCACCAATACCCAATACTGAAACATCAATCAATTTGGCACCACCTTCCAAAGCAGTGTACGCATTTGCAATAGCACATCCAGTATCATTATGGAAATGGCATTCAATGTCACAATTCACCACTGATTTCAAAGTACGTACTAATTCATAAACTTGTCTTGGGTTGGCACAACCAACAGTATCCGCAATACCAACTCTATTGACACCAATTTTATCAACTGTACGATAGATGTTCAACAAGTCAACCAAATCTGACCTAAAACTATCTTCACTGGAGAAACGAATCTCTATTCCCTTTGATTTAACAAATTCAATAACTTCAATAGCACTTTGAGCGATATAATTCATATCTTTACCGTGACTATACTGTCTCAAGAATTGTGAAGTTCCAATAACAACATCAACTCCATCAACTCCAGTCTCAACGGCAACTCTGGCATCATCCATATGACACCTAATATGAGTCAAGATTTTAGCCTTCAATCCCAATTTACAAATGGCTTCACAATCCCTTCTACTTTGTTCAGAAGCCACTGGCGATGTCAACTCAATATAATCAACCCCAAAATCATCCAAAGCTTTAGCTATTTCAATCTTGGTCTCAGTAGAAAAGAATGCGTTGGCAAATTGTTCACCTTCTCTTAATGTACTTTCAATAAGTTGAAAATTTCCAACATTTGACAAGAAATCAGCTGGGTTGGGTCCATATGGGTTTTGTTGGATTTTGTGACTTAAGTTTTCACTAACCTCTTTGAATCCGTTAGCAGACATAATGTACTGTTGTTGTTGTTAAGCTCGTGTGTTCTTCTTCGTGATGAAAGATGGATGAATGGCTGTTTTTTGAAAATTTGGTAAACTGCGTTATCTTGAAGTAATGAGGTGTGTGTGCATTGGCTAAAAATTAGAGAAAAGAGAGAGCGGAAACGGAAAGAGGAGAAAGATGCGCAATATATAACGCTGAAATTGGTAGCGATTGTACAGGGAATACCAAGTGGTTGAAGTGATGTAGGCAGCTAATGGTAGGGAAGGCACCAAGTAGTAGAAGGCCTCAGAACACCAGAGAGAGAACGTATCAGCGGGAGACTTTAGAACTCTTTGTGTTAGATTGCAATGTTACGTTGAGTCATCACCTTATCGATACAAGACGTTAACATAACAATTCACACGTACCTAATTCAACATCTTACATGAGTAGCTGTCTCCTATCAGACAATTATTGTTGAGGAATTAAATTGGAGGATTCTCCCCCAAATTGATTGCGGTGGATGAAATTCGGGTGAATTTCCCAAAAAGGACCAAATCCGATCACAAAAGCTAGCCCACGAATAAATTGATTACTTGCTTATAAATATGAGTCAAAACCAGCACCTTTGAAAAAACCCCTGCAACTACATAATCATATCTATACAATTAGCAAGTATGTCAATTGAGCTCAAGTACAATAACTTAGGTGAATCAGGTTTAAAAATTGCTCCCTTGATCGTGGGGTGCATGTCCTATGGATCAAAAAAGTGGGCAGAATGGGTGTTGGAAGATGAGGAGGAGATTTTCAAGATTTTAAAGAAATGTTACGACGTTGGATTAAGGACTTTTGACACTGCTGATGTGTATTCGAATGGGGTATCAGAAGTGATTTTGGGAAAATTTCTTAAAAAGTATGATATACCAAGGGAAAGAGTTGTCATCTTGACTAAATGCTTTATGGCTATGAACCCCAGAGATTCTGGCTTCAATGCACTCAGAGCTGGTAACTTAAGTGACAAGGACTTTGCCAATTCCAAAGGCTTGTCAAGAAAACATGTCTTGGATGCAGTAAATGCTTCTGTTGAGAGATTAGGTACTTATATTGATGTTTTGCAAATCCATAGGTTAGATCCAACAACACCAAAGAAGGAAATTATGAAAGCATTGAATGATGTTGTTGATCAAGGACTTACCAGGTACATTGGTGCTTCAACAATGAAAGCGACAGAGTTTGCTCAATTGCAATTTATTGCTGAACAAAATGGGTGGTACAAGTTTATCAGTATGCAAAACTACTACAACTTGATTTATCGTGAAGAAGAAAGAGAAATGATTCCATTTTGTAAAAACAATGATTTGAGTAAAGTTGGAATCATTCCATGGAGTCCAATCGCGAGAGGTGTATTGACAAGACCAGTTGGCGAGACTTCACAAAATAAGAGACACGAGTCCGACAAAACTTTTGCTCTTTTGGGTCTTGATGCCTTGACTGACGTAGATACTGAGATAATCAAACGAGTTGAGAAAGTGGCCAAAGAACGAAGAGAGAGTATGGCTGTAATTGCAACAGCTTGGGTAATCAGTAAAGGATGCAATCCCATTGTTGGACTTAATTCTGAAAAGAGAGTTGAAGATATTATCAGAGCAACAAGTGTAAAATTGAGTGATGAAGAGATCGCGTACTTGGAAGAACCATATAAACCCAAACAGTCCCTCTCTTGATAAGTGAGTCAAGTCCAGTTGGAGTCAAAGCAAATGGTGGTCTCAACAGCAGTATGTAAAATAATCATACCACGTATTTTTTATAGCCTCAAACTGATGACGACGCGTTTCAAACTTTTGCAACCTTCTCATTCCTGAACTAAAAAAATTCTGAAACACTAGATTTTCACGCACCGCACACTCTTTTGTTGGCTCAAAGTCCTCCCTAAAACCATAGGCAAATGCCCGAACCACGCCACCAAGATGGATCCAAAACAAGCAACCGTCTCAGGGATATCAAGAACCAAAATGAGGCAAAGTACAAAGAGGAATTGTCACCAGCCCCAAATGAATCAACTCCAGATGCAGAAGAGTTAGAGTTTGAAAGAAATTTAGATTACTTATTAAATAATGAGGAGCTAGTAAATGGTACCGACAATCAAACCTATGTTGCAGCAACTGGAGCCAATGAAATTGAGATCAGTATTGTATCGCAACGTGATGGGAGAAGTGGAAAGCTGAAGCCAACGAAACGAACACAACGACAAATCAATCTTTCGGTAGCAGACATCATTGGAGATATAGGTGAGCTTGAGTTTTCATCCGATGAAGAGGAAAACCTTAATACAGCAGCTGGAATGGAGCCAATTGATTCTAGCGATGGCTTGAAGATTAAGAATAAAAAAAAACTGAAGAAGAACAAGGGCAAGAAGAAGTCCCTCAAGGAGATTGATGATGGGATGAGTGAAGATCTAGGAAAGAATGCAAATGGGAGCAGCAAACCAAAATCAACGACTGATGAGTCCGCGAGTGGTGCTATCATGGAAAATGCTTCACTTCAGCAACATAAACCTAACTTGAAAACCGACAAGACAAAAGAAGCTTCTCCAAAGTCCTCAAACCGCAGTTCAAAGGCTAAAACCAAGGAAAGGAAAGTCGATGAGGAACAAAAATCATGTGGCTCAAAAAGTGATGGCGAGTCCCCGATAAAGAAAAAGTCAAGAAACAAGAAACTGAAGAAGCGGGAGGATTTTCAGGAACCAACGACCGTCGTGACAGGTGTAGAACCTTCCCAAAAGAGTACTGAACAACCATCTGAGTCCAACAACACCAAGCAAAGTCATGAAGGAAGTCCCAAGAAGAACTCGAAAAGGAAGAACAAGTCGCCAAAGAAGAAATTGACATCAAAAAATGAGACAAATGGGGAAAATGTACAGGCTCCAGCAAAGACTGCTTCAGAAAATACTGAAACTGTTTCGAATGAACAATTGAGTGGCTTTAATGATGAGCTTATAGATTCAGCGCATGAAAAGGAGAAGGCAAACGAAGACACCAGTAAAGGCGAACAAATAAATAAGAAAGAACATGAAATCAAGCCTGCGCCTGTGGTCACACCGACAAAGAACAAACCACGAGCCCATTTTGATAGAGAAAATCAAACCCAACCGTTAAGCTCTAACCTGGCAGGCGCTTTCAAAAATAGCCAAAATTCGAATAACACCGTATCTTCATTATTCGGAGTCACCTTGAAACCACTCAAACTGTCATCCAGCAAATCCGAGCACTTGCCCGAACTTTCTCCAATCAAAACAATTATTGGAGTCTCTCATCAGCAAATCTTAACCGCCGACTTATCAGATGTGAAACTCAAAACTATTATGAATGCACCATCAATTTCGAAATACGCTGCAAATTGTATGAAATTTGCAAAGAAATACGAAAATGAAGTTTTCAACAATTACAATTTGAAGAAGCAGTTTCTCACCTTGTGCATCAATGTTGCTCTTTACGAGTCCAATGGGTTCAAGAAATCTGTAAAGAAATATCCTGATATACTTCATAATTTTGGCCATTATGACGAGCTCAATTTGGCAAACACTCATACAACAATCACTGCATCTGAAAGAGAGTCACATCGAAACACATTGGACTATTCAGTATTTGCCTATTTTGGTCACATTTTGATCTGGGCCCTAAATTTGCAAAGGAAAGCTACGATTGCGCTCTTTATTAGTGAATATGACATATCACTCTCACCTAATGAGATCAAAATGAAGATTGGTGGGCTTCATTTGTGGGACAGGTTATTTCGTGAATTGAAGGGAATGAATTCAAAGCGATGGAAACATGTCTTGAAATTTAGAAATATATTTGCATTGGAAGAAGATCAGTTTATGGTTATCCTACGGTTTATGAAAATCACCAATATTCCATAACTTAGCTAATGTGTGTATATAAAGAAAAGAGAAATCTCTATCAAAATAATCTCAATCTTGTTGTACTTTTGCATAAGTTGGTGGTCTCAACCTTCTATTCAAAAACTGTACTAGCCAAACCGGGAACAAACTTACACTCAAAATTACCAAAGTCTGCCACAAATAAGTAACCGAGCTAATATACTGCAAATCAAAGTATTCCGACAACATTGGAATCGATCCAACGTACGCCAAGAATGTCACCACAATGGTTGCCGCCATTATTTTATTCCATCGATTAACTGAAAGCCCAACCATAAACAACTCGTTGTACACTAAGCAAGAGAACGACAACGCAACCATGGTTGTAAACTTTTTCGGGAGAATGGTCTGAAACTGTTGAGACAATAACTGAATCACACACCCTTGGTATAGGGAGATAAACACCCACATAAAAAACGTCTTGTATGACAATGATTTTCCCAACGTTAACTCCTTGTATAATTCCGGGTACAATTTGGTCAAATGCTCATCAACATCACAATCAAGAGTGAGTGAAAACACTGGGGCCATGGTATAAACAGTAGAGTATCCCACCATTAACCAACCTTGATACAATGCAATAGGTTCAAATTTGGATGAAATGGAGTATACCGCTTGTGCCACAGATATCAACAATCCTCTATGGATAACAAATTGACCCAATTTAGCCGACCTCTTGTACGAATTTCTTCCGTGCCATAATAACAACTTGGTCAAGTAGCAAAATTGATCAATACTGAAATCGGCAGCCAAAGAAGCTTGTTTACCTTCCTTACCAACGATCCCTACCCCAACATCAGCACACTGGATCATACTAACATCATTACCACCGTCTCCGATACAACAAACACGTTTACCAGTGACACGTCTGATTTCAATTGCGACATCAGCTTTCTGTTGTGGTGAGCACCGACATGCAATCACTGCTGGCAATTTGATCGCAATTTCTAAAAACTCATCACAGAAATACTTCATGTAGATTGCCAAGGACTCGCCATCAATGAGCAAACACGCATTGGGATTGGTTCTCAAATATTCAATTTGGTCCATTGCCAAATCAGGATCGGACAATTTAGTGACTTGATGCACATATTGACCTCGCGAAATTAATCTCGCACTAATTGAAACACATTTGGCGGTCTCCACTTTATCACCAGTTAACATCCAAATTTTTATCCCTGCGTTTCTCAATAATTCAATTGATGGCTTTACATCTGTTTGTAATTTATCCTCAACACCCGTCAATCCGAGCAATTCTAAATCTTGCTCCAAATAATAGCTAACAACCTTTTGCATTGTTTGGTCTCGGTCCTTCATTGCAAGGGAAGCTTCTCTATAATTGGACGAGAAATCTTCATATACACTAGTGGACAAAACTTTGCGACCAATAACTAACGTACGCAAACCTTCTCGAGCCATATTTCCTGTTTCTTCATCAAGCCAATCGTTCGATCCAACAATCTTGGACATCACCGTATCTGCACCCTTCTGTAGAAACCACACCTCATCTCTGAACTTACTCTTGACGAGAATTCCCATACGTTTTGTCTCTGAGCTGAATGGAAAATTATACAACACCTCAAATTCAAGTAATTGGCTCGTATGTACATGCATCAAGGTAATCTTGTGCCTGTCTCGTTTAAATAATTTCAATCCGACAGTCTCGCAAAATTCAACTATAGCAATTTCATCTGGCGACGCAGCCTGGTAGGTTATCTCGCCAAATGTTGTATCCTCAACGTCATCATCAAATACCGGGGTCACATTATGACATAACGCCAATGTCAACACTAAATCACAGACTCTCGCTGCCAAATCCTTCTTCCGCAGCAGAAACTGAGGCGAGCTGAGGTAGGTTATCAAGTTTTTCACATAATCAGAGACGATATCAAATGTATCACTAGTGTAACTAACACTTCCCAAATGCAACCTTTTCAAATTCATTTCATTTCGTGTAAGCGTGCCAGTCTTGTCACTGAGAAGATACTCTATTCTGCCCAAATCCTCTGGTATAGTTGATGTTCTCACAATTGTATCAGGGATGGATGGATCGTTTTGAATCTGTGAAGCATACACTGACTTTGCTAAATCGAGATTAACACGAAGCGACAGTGGGATAATGGTTGAGAACAAGATCAAGAATCGGAGAATATCGATATACCACGTTTTCTTCAAAGGTAAACCATGAGCAAGCACCAATGCAACAGATAATGCAAAAACAACAGCACACAAGATCTTGGAAACACTGTTAATTTCAATTTCAAGTAAACCTACCTTAACACCACTTTTTGTTGTATTCATCAGAAGTCGTGTCTCAATCCCGGTGTATATAACCAAACCTAGCGCTGTTCCCGATGCCAAAACTGTATTTGCCCATAGGGTTTGATCAACAGATAATGGATACGTTTCGGAAGATGTTGGTGAGGTTGTCCCTGTTGAAGTAGGCGGATTGTAAACCAATTGCCCAGTGAAGGAATGGATCGATTTTGTTGGATTCCCGATGATTAGCGAGATTGAGTCAATGATTTGACTAATGGTGGATAAGTTCTGCGTGACACTGGGTGCAACTCGTAATTTCCAATCAGTTTCACCATCCAATTGGTCGGTCTTGATGAATACTTCACCAGTTTTTTCCGTTGATTGTAGCAATACCATATCTGCAGGTATTCTTACATCCTTGTGTAATCGAACAATGTCTCCCACCCTCAAATCCTTTGATGCCACATATTTTGGTTCTGCTGTTAGATTGGTCTGCAGGCGGTTCAATACCTCGTAAACTTCGTAATTTTGCTCCCTGTCTCTTCGACGTCTGGTAATGTCATCACTTGCTTCTTTTAACATGGTCACAAAAAGTACAAATGCTAATGGCACAATATAAGAAGAAAGGTAACCGATCCTTAGTTGCGGTACAATTTGTGATAATGCCACCACCAAAAAATATAGATTGAAAAAGAATTTGAATTGTTCATATAAAATAATTGGTATGAAGGTGATTGGATTGTATTTTGCATTGGAAATGGTGTTTGACGGATAGATGTTATTGGCTCTCAGGTTTGTCGTCTTGGCAGAAATGTATCTCTCTGCACTCAAGTTGTTGATCCTAAAATCAGATGCACCTGATACTTTCAATCTTTCCTCATTTAGCTCACGTTTAGCAGCATTGAAAAGAAAGACAAATTTTCGAAAAAAGTGTCTAAATCTCGATGAGACTGACCTTGCTGCTAGGTTTAATGATGAACTGGATGAATGATGCGATGACTGATGTCCGCTGTATGGGTATGCATTTGATATCAAGGGAGAATTGTCACCACTATAATCTTGATCGCTGTGGTCTGATCTTATTGATTGCAAGGGTATGCCTCCATTCGAATTGATGGAACTATTTCGACTACTGTGCTTGTTAGCATTCTGTAGTTGCAAGGTATTTGTAGCACTATTCAAAGCACGATCTAGCGAGTTGTCCAAGTCGTCAAACGATTCAATATCACGACTGAAGGAGTACCGCCTTGTTGACGACGTCATTTGTTGTAAACTTTACTGGTGCAATAGGATATGTTTAGAATTGATGCGTGGAACTTTTCTTGTTTTCGCTTGTGGGTTTTTTTGTTCTGGATCATGTGTCGCCCAAAACTACAGACGCAAGTAACGTGTGTCAACTAGTACCACAAATGGCTACAGTGATAAGATAATAGCCACGCTCTTGAGAATGCATACTGCTCGCTACAGTTGAATAAGGAGAAATGGAACCATCGCCGAGAACTGTGCATATCGGAATATAGGTCGCAACGTTCCCTACTTAAGCGGTGTATGATCTGATGGCACAGGCTTCTCTTTTCCTCAAGTAGTCGATGGGTTAGAGCAATGTTTGTAAGAGTAGTACAAGTCAAATTTTATCATCTACGTGTGTTGTATCTTTCACGGCCCACCCCCGTATTAGTTTAATAGCAACACCCACGTGACTCGAAAAAGAGATATTTCTCTGCCATTGCGTCATTAGGTAAGTAAGGCTAAAACATAAAAAGCTGGTAGCGACAGCCACACATCTATTCCAAAATTAACAAATTTTTTAAAGATAACAACAACCCTTACTTGAAACTGTTAAAAAGTCTTTGTATCTGTTAGTACTATAAGTTTCTCCCCCTTACAATTGCAATCACTACCACCTCGAAACAACGTCGACTTACACATACACTGATCAGACTAGAAACTAGACAATATCTCCCACTAACTTTTATGCTGCTGCTGAGTGAAGACGATATTGCCGAAACGTTAGCAGTAACTGCATCGTCGGGATTCCATGCTTACACTTTTGGGTCAAAGCTTTCTGATAGGTTGTCGCAGTTAGAAGTAGAACAAGAGCAAAAAACTCATACTTATTTTGGCAAGATCAAGGAATTTCTCAAAATCCAGCTTTTGGGGTACCCCAACAGACTTGAAAGCTATATCTTAGAGAATGAGCCCAACGATTGTGCATTGATTGCCAAGTATCGCCAAACTACAGATATTGATTTAAGCAGGGAACCAACATTGTCGGTTGACAAACTCACCTTGAATACCTTGCATATTCCCCATCCACTTGAAAGCTTCATGAGAAACGAAACTCACCAACACGTTGATCGGGATGTATTGGAGAAAGTGAACAAAGAACTACAAGAGAGTCCAATTTTATTTTTCATTCATGGGTTGGGAGGACAAATGTCACAATTCGAACCTTTGATGGGTTTGCTCTCGCAATGCGCAGAAATTGTGTCCTTGGATTTACCAGGTTTTGGTAATTCAAAACCTGTCGATAGACACCACAAGACTATATCCAATATCAGTGAATTGGAGCTGAAACGCATTTCCTCTTCTGTGGAGAGCATGTCTTGGGAAGACTTTCTGGCCCACAATATTGTCAACATCATTCATGCCTTTCTACGGCAACAAATTCCTGAGAAAAAGGTCATACTAGTTGGTCACTCCATGGGTACCCATATTGCGGTGCGAGTAGCAAAAAAACTTTCAGAATGCAAGGTCGAAGGTTTGATTCTTCTTTCACCACCGGATGTTATTGACGATTCAGTGCCTGGGCTGCAGGACTTGGAAATTGGAGGACTATCATGGCTTTTCAAGCTCTTTGTTTATCTTCCGTTTTTGTTCAATTTGTTTCGAACTTGGGATAGACTTCCTGGTTTGCAGAGTAAAAGTGTGCGTCGGCAATTACCGAAAAATAGTCTGTTATACAATAGACTTCGACAATTTCGATGGAATTTGGATATCGATTCGTCAACATTGTTGAAGTATGTTCGTGGATTTAAAAAGATAACAACATCGGACTTTGTGGTGGCAATCAACCGTTTCAATAACAACAAGAGTGATGACCGTGCTTACGAAAAGACGTTGTTGGTGTGTGGATCTGAAGACCACGTTACTAGTGTCAAACACATCCATCACATTGACAAGTTCTTGACCGAGACTTTCAACAAGAAGATATCATCCGCATTGGAAGTGAAAGATGCTGGACATTCATTGTTGCTAGCCAAACCCGAACTAACCAGCGGTGTCATATTGAACCACATTGAAGCAAAATTGCCACAGCGATTGAACTTGTCCCCTGCTTGGGTTTTGAAAGTCAAAGCACTTATATCAGGAGACAAATGGGGTTTGAAAAATGAAGAAAAATGGTTGAATTTGAAACCCATATCTGATAATATAAGCAGAGGCATAGAGATTTCCCCATTATTGGGAATGAAGACATTGAGAGAGGGGGATGCAGTTCATTCACCAGCGGTAGTGGAGCAATCTTATTACGAACAAGGAGGTATTGTCAGGGGTAAATTAATTGCTATCATTGACATATCATCTGATATTCCTCCATACAACCCACAATCTTTCAAAAACATTCGTTACTACAAATGTGCAACAGTATCCAAAGTTGTCCCAGATCAAGCATCCATTCGTAGGTTCATCAATTTGGTGAAGGAGATTTTGGACGAAACAGATGAAGAGCATCCACTTATTGGGGTGCATTGTCATTATGGGTTCAATAGAACGGGGTTTTTGATTTGCTGTTATTTAATTGAAGAATTGGGATGGTCAGTTAAGGACGCTGTAGAAGGTTTCAAGCTCGCAAAACCACCTGGAATCAAACATCCTCATTTTATAGATGCACTATACGTTAGATACGATACTTAGAGTTAGAAGTATATTAATAAATAATCATTAACGAATGTTCAGAATTCATGAGATGTTTACATGGATCCATAGGTAAAATGTGTTATAATCTCTATTTGAGCCTAAAAATGAGCAGCTGGACTATTCAAATGAGCACCACCGTCGACGGGCAAATCAACTCCATTAATGTAATTGGCTTGCTTTGAGCACAAGAACATCAATACTGTCTTCAAGTCCTCCGGTTCTCCCAACCTACCACGAGGATTTGTTTCAGTCAATAATTTACCTCCTGCTTCAATTAAGCCATTAGCCATCTTGGAAGGGAACCAACCTGGCAAGATTGAATTTACATTAATGTGTCTGGGGGCAAACTGAACCGCCAAATTTCTTCCCAAATGGGACACAGCAGCTTTAGAGCCTGCATAGCCATAGGTGCCTACAATGTCGTTCGTAGAATAGCTTGCCACAGATGACATAATGACAATCCTTGATGGGTCTTTGGCTGAGGCTGCTTTTTCCAACAATGGAGTAAACAATTTAATAGTATGAAAGACTGCAACAAAGTTCAAGTTGATAACCTTTTTAATAGCTGCGACTGTGTGCTCTTCCAATGGAGCACCCCACGAAGCACCAGCGTTGGCTACCAAAATGTCAATCTTGTCAACTTTCTTTGCCACTTCCTTGGCAAAGTTTTCTGCTTGCTCTTCAACAGCTAAATCTGATGGAATTGCCACAACTTCAACTGATCTTCCATTCTTTTTTGCTAATTCCTCTAAGTGCTTTTTGGCATCTTCACAAGCTTTAGCCTTACGTGAGGTGATAAATATAGTCTTTATTCCATTTTCGACCAAAGTTTCAGCACAATAGAGCCCTAATCCACGAGTACCTCCAGTGACGACGGCGGTTTTGTTATCAACACTCAATTTCATTGTAAGACTTGATTTCAAATGTTAGAATGTTGTGACGTAAATGTGGCAAAGGAGAAATCACATCCCCTTTTTATTTGAAACTCGGGTATTGGTAAATTTTCAGATGAATGCGGAGATATCAAGCAGACCCCACTTTTTGAATAAAAGAAAAATATCAGTGTAAGATAATATCCGCCGAGAGGATAGAAATCGGTACAAAGGTAGGAAGAGGTTAATGAAGAAAAAAATGAGGTTAGAGGTTAAAGCATGCATGGGGGAGATGCCGTATCGCAGCCTGTAACAAAACTACTCGAACGAAAAAGTTGCGGACACAAAAGAAGTCGCTACTTTACTGTTCCAGTCAAATTCAAAAACATTAACCAAAGGGGCAACTTTTTGCTCAATTGACTCATCTAAGGTTTACCTCTCTACGTATATAAGCTATATGAAAATCGCGAGATGCTTCAATAGCCTTGTAGCTCGCTGATGATGCGTCTCCACCAATCGGAGCACCAACTTGAACATGGACTTTGTCGCCAATAGTTTCAAATCGACACTTTGTAGTGTAGTAACCAACCAATCCGTGCTCTACTATACAGTCAGCATGGATGGACAATCGATCATATTTACTGATATCCCCAGTATTGGACAACATATTGAAATATGTTGGATCTTGAAGCAATTCATTCAATACAAACTCAAGAAGTAGTGAAGCGGCATTTTTGATGAATGATGTGTAAGCTGTTAAAATGAATGGTTTGGTTGTTGGCGCGGATTTCTTGTAGTACGACCTAAAGCCAAGACTAGCGAGGACTCTATTCCTAATCTGATCACTTAGTTCATAGCTTGCATCAGCGATCGTAACTGGTGCTTTTGTCAATTTTGCAAGGTCAAAATATGAGGCAAACTCCGCTGGGATGTCACAATCGAAAGCGTTTTGAAGCAAAGTATCATTAAAATCTCTTTCGAAGCCTTGTTCCTTGAGTGACTTGAACTCTTCTTCTCCCCCTAGTAGCAAAAACACTCCTATTTCATCGTCTGACTTTACTGCCAAATTTTCAAGCAATGAATCGTCACTTTGAATTCTCGGCGTTTGGATGATATCATATTTCAACCGTGGCTTGTCATACCCCTTGTTGAGTAGTTTTGTCAAATTGGGGAAAGACGTTCTTGCTTGGAACCACTGTGCAGGTAAAAACACAATCTCTAGAGGCATTTGATGAGGCGTGAAAATCGCAATCTTTGTGAATGTTAATAGTCTGCCAGACTTATATACGAAGAAAAATAAAAAAATACGAAATGAGTCAATTCGCGTTGGCTAATTTGCAACAATTAGTCACCAATGAGGATATTCTAAAAGTTTAATGTTGATAGAGACTAATTGGAGACTGTAAGAAATGACTCAGGATATTGTAGGTAAAGACTGGTTTGTTGGAAGCAAGAGATTAAGGATCAAGCAGAGATATAGCGTTCACTGGACAAGTTTGTCAATCGAAGCTCATTGGCGGAAAACAATCTAGGCTATCTGACAGTTATGTGACATCAATTGCTCTTTATCAACGAGTGCTTTCTTAATATGCGATCGGTGTGCTTATTATCCTACACATGTACGACAATTTGGTTGCAAAATTGTGCGAAATTTCATTCACTCGAAATGAATACAAATACGTGTATAACTACAAATTGTGTTACGCGCTCAAGCGATAATGTTGCCTGTCGTCCAGACAATATAGAAAATCATGCTGAGCACTTCACTACTTTCTTCTTTTGACCATCGTTGATCGATCTGTTTGGTATCTTCGTTTACATTTAGTTTTTATACGACGGTCGTTTAGTGCACAGAAAGTACAGAAAACATATTGCGCAACAAAGCAACTGCCAAGACGAGACGCTCAGCCACCAAAACGCATGCTTGATCTATCATTGGTTGGTTCCTAAACACGTCATGAAAATTCATGTTTTGATTCTGTGTATTAAAGCTACAATAATAAGACGTGTAAATCAAGACGTGTTTACATAAAGACGTGTTTGGAAGTTGGATTACCCAATTCTGTCGAAGTATAAATACAAACAAACATTTCCTTCTTGAACATAGCAATTGTTGTGCTATATTCCAGTTTCTCCTTTTAGTGTAAGGCACACCTTGTGTCTGCGCATTTTTTTTCTTCTTCTCCTCAATTCTCCGAGGGTCGCAAATGAGAGTGACACGACCCAGATCAAGGTAACGGTCAAGAGGGGTAGGAGGATGGTCAAATGTAGCAACAGAGTAATGGTTAGGACATTGCCAAAAAAGAGAGGTCTCCCCACTGCGGAAATTCATCCCGACGGAAAAAAGTGCTAATACGTAGCCCATTATCGAAAATAGCAATTAAAGAAAAAATAGGCGAATACATTATAAGCTTTAAAGGTGTATGCAACAGGGAGGGGGGGCTTTATGCGACTAAGACTGGCTCTTATCTATTACCGCATATTCTATTTTCCAAACATTGTAACGTAAAAGAAAAGAACATGCAACCATCGTATAAAACTAATAAATTATTAATGTATTGTGGCGCTCTTAAGAAAATCATCCGATCAAAAATAGTTTAAAACCAAAACAATTACACAAAAATGAATATCACAGTGTTCCGGTTAGTTAGTTATTTGGCTTTTTACAAATCTTTATGTAATAATTTTTGTTGGGAAGAGCTGTAGTAACTAAGAAAATTTATAGTTTTAAGCTCACCTGTCATTGTATTAAGGTAGGAAAGGTAATTGTAAACGACTGGCAATATGTACAATAAAACTCATTATTTGAGGAGATTTTATTTCCAATTGCCCCTCTTTTGTGTCACAACCACATACAGAAAACCCATATCAATAAAAAAATTATAACCCAAAACAAACTGCCAGGCAAATATAAAAACCAGCTACATTTTCCACTTTTGGATTTGTAAAATCAGTCTCACCTAACATCACCAAGCCTGACTACCAACTTCCCCAAAACTTTGCTTTTATATTTGAATCTCGGAGGCTAGCTAATTATAATAAAAAATGTACACCTACCAAATGAAACCAACATCGAAAGCTTCTGCTGCACTCCTAATCGGCTATTTAAGTATATCCACAACATTGCCATTTATCTTGTCATACAAAGAGTCCACGATGAATCTAAATCAAGACAGTAAAGGTACAGCTTCATTTAGGTCGCTTTTTACAAAGATATAATGAAGAGAACAAGGGTCGGGTTTATCAGGAGTGAACTTAAGTTTACGTAGCTCTAATGAATGATTTATTAATTGATGAAGGTGTAGAGAACACGCTCTTGGTCCTAGAGACATTGCCTTTTGATATAAGGCGCTTTGAATTGTGTTGTCTTGGGGACATGGCCGACCCGAATTAAAACTGTGGCTGACGCAAGATAGCCGCACCAAAGAAAACACGCCATTTTTTGATCAAAGGGGGCAATAAAAGATCGATCCTACAAGGGTGATAAATCAGCCATTACTTTTAATGATAGCTGCCTATTTACATAGTTTACTTTTTAGCTTTTTTCCAGTGAGCGTCTTTGAAAATTGTCTTGAGCGTATTTAATGAGTGAATGGTGTCAAACATTTGTTGTTTTTGATCCAAGTTCATCGAAGGATTGATGGAAAGGTCGTGACTAACTTGTAAAGAAGCAGCGTTATTATTTCCTTTCAAATCAATTGCGTCAACACGGCCTAAAACAACACTACTAATTCTACCCTTCAACACTTTTTGATCTGGTTCCAAATTCCAATTCTTTTGTAAGATGAATCTATTTTGTGATGAAGCTGGTGCACTTTCAATAATATGTTTTGGCAACCTGAATGGGTATTTCGAGTCCAATAAAGATAACTTTGCAACTGAAGCCACTCTTGAACTAATTGAAGAAACTATACTTGGTACTTTGCCATAAAAAAACAGTTCTGGCTTCAAATCAGGCTTCAAAGATTCAACAATTAGTTCTTTTGATTGGATTGGGGCAGCGATTGCTGGCTTATCACTTCCTGCTGACCCTCTACCATCTCTTCTTTGTCCAGCAACTCTTCTTTTGAAAGGTCTGGATGCAGGTTTGTTATCGCTGTTTCTAGTAGCTTCGCCACGACCTTGCCATGGTTTTCCTCTTGATTCTTGTCTTTGAAATCCTGCCCCAAATGGCACAAATAATTTTGAAGAACGAGGTGTTTCTGAAACTGTTCCAAATGGGGAGTTGTTTGAGTTGATGGGTGTAGTAAATTGGTTCTGTCTATGAAATCCATTATCCGTTTCTTTGTTGATCGTTTGACCGAATGGTTGTGGCTTTGCTTGCTGAGTAGGTTCTCCTTGAGGTTTACGGAATCTTGCTCCTTGTGAAGCACCCGATTTGCCTCGAAGAACGTTTGTTGTTCCATTTTCTTGACCTTGGTTACGAAACGGACGGGTTGAGTGGGAATCTTGGTTTTGGGCACGAAACGGACGTTGTTGTCTCTGTTGATTACTCGCTCCTTGTTGCAGGAACCTTGGCGGTTTGGACTTGAATTGCGGTGGCTTCCAAGACCGAGCTTTCACACCTTGCGGCTCTTTCCCCAACTGTCTTTGTTTGCTTAGTTCAGCAGCTTTTGTAGTAACTTGGTCAATCCTTTTGAAGATATCGTTCAAGTTGAACTCAGGGACGGGCTTACCTTGTGCATCACCATTTTTTGTTGAGTTAAACCTTACCAAACTTCTGGCAGGTGTATTTAACAACCCTCTTTTTGAAGTTGAAGCCCACATCGACAATGAAATACTCAAGCTATTGGGGGTTTGAACGGTTGTGAAAATTTTTGATTCACTTTTTCTTGTTTTTTATTTTTTTCGTTGTCGTGAGAGAATGTCGCGACAAGGTCCATTACTTGTGAGACACTTCTACTACAGAGAATAAGCAAACAGAGGATCATTGGTGTGGATAGGCTTGATCATTTGTGAGATTTTCTCCGATTGAAGTAATCTCGGTTCAGATTGTTGTCGGTATAGCTAAAGGATGCAGTGTCTGTTGTATTGAATGAACTACATTTCACTATATACAGCATCAATATTATCGACAACGGCTCATGGATGGGCGTCAGGGATCACTTTCGTTGGAAGTCGACTCATTTCAAACCACATCATGTCAACAGTAACCTAAGTTGGTGTACACTCCATATGGTTTTATGTTTCCTATTCTATTCTTATAGGTTGCAAAAAATGTTCTCCTATAATGATAATAATAATAATAATAATAAGTAATTTGGTATAGAGTACACTACTCTTGTACTATTGGTAGTAACACAGCAAAAACACGGAAACAAAATTTATTGGTTCATATTGAAACTTACACAATAACAACCATACACTAACAAAGCAGGAGCTACCAATTATCATCAAATGGAACAAAATTCTTTCACAATTTTTTTTTTTTTTTCGTTCTCTCTTTCAGCCAACGAATAGAGAAAGAGTTTTCCAGAGGAGGATTTTCATAGTAATTTTCATTCTTTTCTTTCAATATCAACAACAGTTTTATACACACATATCACATATTACACATAGAATGTTGTCAGCACGCCCTGTTTTACGTAACGCAGTCCGTTCAGCTGCTGTTGCTGCTAGATCATCAGCCAGAGTTGTATGTATAGAGTTTTGTCAATGGGTGAATGGACGGGATAGGAAATTCTCCAATTCGAGGTAAAGCCAATTTTGATTCGCCATCAATTGACTCACCAAAAGCTTTAAAGAGACCCAATCGATGTTGCTATTAAAAAACAACAGTCATTGGCTTTAATTGCCTTTGATGTTGTCACGTCGCTGGATTCATCCTGTCCCAATCATTACATGTCAACACAAGTACTAACTTTTTCTAGGCTCGTCCAACTTTGTTAACTGCTCAAAGATTTGCTTCAGCCAAGGCTGCCCCAACTGAAGTCTCTGCTATCTTGGAAGAAAGAATTAAGGGTGTTTCTGACGAAGCTAACTTGAACGAAACTGGTAAAGTTTTATCAGTCGGGTATGTATACTAGAATTCACGAAGAGTGATACTAGAGTGTGAGCTCATTGGTCTTGTCTACATTGGCGTTACCGATGGCGTCGCCTTTGTCGACACTATTGTCGGCACCACTGGTTGTTTGATTGCGTCGACATTTGCAATTTTCATTGGCCAATCAATTTTTTTTTTCGGCCATATACGCACACACTCAATTTTTTCTTTGTCAAATATCTGTACTAACAAAAACATCTAGTGATGGTATTGCTCGTATCTACGGTTTAAACAACATTCAAGCTGAAGAATTGGTTGAGTTCGCCTCCGGTGCCAAAGGTATGGCTTTGAACTTGGAAGCCGACCAAGTCGGTGTAGTCTTGTTCGATTCCGATAGATTAGTCAAGGAAGGTGAAACCGTCAAGAGATCCGGTGAAATTGTTTCCGTTCCAGTTGGTCCAGAATTGTTGGGAAGAGTTGTTGACGGTTTGGGTAACCCAATTGATGGTAAAGGACCAATCAATGCTTCAGGTCACTCAAGAGCTCAAGTCAAGGCCCCAGGTATCTTGCCAAGAACCTCTGTCCACGAACCAATGCAAACTGGTTTGAAGGCTGTTGATGCTTTGGTCCCAATTGGTAGAGGACAAAGAGAATTGATCATTGGTGATCGTCAAACAGGTAAAACTGCTGTTGCTTTGGACGCTATGTTGAACCAAAAGAGATGGAACAATGGTTCAGATGAAAAGAAGAAATTGTACTGTGTCTATGTTGCCGTTGGTCAGAAGAGATCAACTGTTGCTCAATTGGTCCAAACCTTGGAACAAAATGACGCTCTTAAATATTCCGTTATTGTTGCTGCCACTGCTTCAGAAGCTGCTCCATTGCAATATATTGCTCCTTTCACCGCTACTGCCATTGGTGAATGGTTCAGAGACAATGGTAAACACGCTTTGATCTGTTTCGATGACTTGTCCAAACAAGCTGTTGCATACCGTCAATTGTCATTGTTGTTGAGAAGACCACCAGGAAGAGAAGCTTACCCAGGTGATGTTTTCTACTTGCACTCTAGATTGTTGGAAAGAGCTGCCAAGATGTCTGAAGCCAACGGTGGTGGTTCATTGACTGCTTTGCCAATCATTGAAACCCAAGGTGGTGATGTCTCTGCTTATATCCCAACCAATGTTATTTCCATTACTGATGGTCAAATTTTCTTGGAAGCTGAATTGTTCTACAAGGGTATCAGACCAGCTATTAACGTCGGTTTGTCTGTCTCCCGTGTCGGTTCCGCCGCTCAAGTTAAGGCTATGAAGCAAGTTGCTGGTTCATTGAAATTGTTCTTGGCTCAATACAGAGAAGTTGCTGCCTTCGCTCAATTCGGTTCTGATTTGGATGCTTCTACTAAGCAAACCTTGGCTAGAGGTGAAAGATTGACTCAAATCTTGAAACAAAAACAATACCACCCATTGGCTGCTGAAGAACAAGTTCCAGTCATTTTCGCTGGTGTTAACGGTTACTTGGATGACTTGCCAGTTAACAAAGTCGGTGAATTCGAAGAAGCTTTCGTTGCTCACCTTAAATCTGACTACTCTGACTTGTTGAAATCTATCCAAGAAAAGGGTGAATTGAGTAAAGAACAATTGGACCAATTGCACAAGATCACCAAAGATTTTGTTTCCAACTTTAACTAGATTGGGGAGGGTGTATAGTCATATATATTCGGAAAAAAAATTTGTAAGTCATTAGATTAAAAGTAAGGGAGGGAGCTAGTTGGGAGGTGGCGTAGATACACATTGAGAAACCCGATTTTCAATTTTAATTTTTTAACCGGTTGTATCCATTCACACAAATAAACTACCTATGACACACGTTTCGATAGTTACCGGTGCTTCGAGAGGTATGTATACAAGCTTATCTCAATTCCGTTCATTTGCTAACAAAACTCTTTAGGAATTGGTAAAGCAATCGTTGATACTCTTTTGCAAACACCAGAGGCAAAAGTTGTTGCCATAGCCAGGTCTCAAGACGCCCTTCAATCCTTGAAAGATCAATACGGCCAAGATAGTTTCGACTTTGTCGCAGGTGATGTGACTGATGCTACTACCATACAAAAGGCAATTGACATTGCTGTTACTCAATTTGGTCAAATAGATTCGATTATCGCCAATGCTGGTGTTTTAGATCCTGTCGGTACCATCAACACCACATCAATCGAGGATTGGAAAAAATTGTATGATGTTAACTTGTTTTCAATTGTACAATTGATTCAACTCAGTTTACCTGAGTTGAAACGTACAAAGGGTAATGTCGTTGCTGTAAGTTCAGGAGCAGCCACTAAAGCTTATAGTGGGTGGTATGCATACGGAAGTTCAAAAGCTGCCTTAAACCACCTCATTTTTTCTTTAGCAGAAGAAGAGCCTGCAATACAGGCGATCTCAATTGCTCCTGGAGTTGTTGATACGGAGATGCAACAGGATATTAGAGAAAAGTTTGGCTCCAACATGAGCAAAGAAGGATTGCAAAGGTTTATTGACTTACACGAGAAGAAGCAATTGTTATCTCCAGAAGAGCCGGGCAGAGTATTTGCCAACTTGTCATTAAAAGGTTGGCCAGCAGACTTGAATGGACAATTTCTTCGATACAATGATCCCAAACTTGAATCTTACAAGTAGATTGTAGTTGAGAATCCAATGAAAAAAAAGAGAAAAAAGCAAAATTATAAATTTATTGACTTGTTTGTAGACGCCCAGTCTTGATTACTTCTTTAATTTATCATGTTCCCTAGGCATCTATTCACTGCTAGAGCAATTGCTCGTAGCTATCAAAAGCAAAGTTTAGTATTCAGGAGGCTCAAATCTACAAGACCTCCACCAACTCCTCCACCAACATTAAAGGGAAATACGTTGCTCATTTTGGGTGCATTGGTTATAGGTTCAACCATTGCTGCAACATTATACAATAGAGACGGTCCTAAATCTGCATTTGAACCAAGTGGGGCCACCACGCAAGCCAATACACCAGAGTTCACACCCGGCAAGATCAACGTTGTGTTTGTTCTTGGTGGCCCAGGGGCCGGTAAAGGTACCCAATGTGACATTTTGGTAAAAGAGAGAGGTTTCACTCATTTATCAGCTGGTGACTTGTTAAGGGCTGAGCAAGTTAGGAAAGGATCGAAATATGGTGAGTTGATTGCCAAGTGTATCAAGGAGGGAACCATTGTTCCACAAGAGGTTACGATTGAATTATTGAAAAACGCCATCAAGGAAAAATACCAAAATGGTCAAACAAAGTTTTTAGTTGATGGATTCCCCAGAAAAATGGACCAAGCATTAACATTTGAAGAGACAATTGCCAAATCAGCCTTGACGATTTTCTTTGAGTGTCCTGAGCAAGTCATGTTGCAAAGGTTGTTAGAGCGAGGTAAAACTAGTGGAAGAGCCGACGATAACATTGAGAGTATAAAGAAGAGATTTAGGACATTTGTGGAAACATCGATGCCTGTGGTTGACTATTTTGACAAACAAGGTAAAGTTGTAAAAGTGAGATGCGATCACCCTATCCCTGTTGTTGCCAAACAAGTATTGGACGCATTAAAGGAAAAAGGAATCCAGTTTTAGATGTAGTTATAGAGTAGAATATAAATGATTGAGACGATAGTATTTGGTTGTAGAGGGGGGACGAGCTCTGGAAGAAGCTTTTACAATGTTTTTGTTTTTCCCACATTACACAATTCTTTGTATTTTTCCGTCACCAAAAAACATCATACAAAAAGTATAGCATTCGACTTAAGCTATTTAACAACCATTACTCTTGATCAAGAACAATACTGGCAATACTACTCAATTGTCGGCAACTGATTCATCAATACAACACAGAAAAAAGGTATGTTCTGCACAGATTCTTTTTTCCTCGTCGATCACATTACTTACTAACAAGATTCCACCAGAAGACCTAACGATGTCTCTAACCACCGGCCTCCCGCCCAACTGGACCATTAAAGTGTCCAAGACTCACGACAAAGAATACTTTCTCAATCAAGCCACCAAAGAATCATCTTGGGATCCACCATACGGGACTGACACTGATGCATTAAAGGATTATTTGAGAAAGTTCAAAGAGAATGGTCGTAAACCAGTCATCAACAAAGACGGTAAAATTAGAGCCAGCCATATTTTGACAAAACACAAAAATTCAAGAAATCCCAAGTCGTGGAGAAATCCCGAGATAACCATTACAAGAGAAGAGGCTATACAAATCTCAAGAGAACATCTTTCAAAACTTTTAAAAGGCGAGGCCACATTTAATGAGCTAGCTGAAACTGACAGTGATTGTAGCTCTCATGGTAGAGCTGGAGACTTGGGGTTTTTTGGTAAAAAGGAAATGCAACCAGCTTTTGAATCAGCAGCATTCAATTTACACGTTGGAGAACTAAGCGATTTAGTTGAAACTGACAGTGGCATACATATAATCCATAGAACTGGGTAGATCATATAATATATATGAAACCAATGAAGTAAGATTCTCGTCTATTTTATCGCTCTTGTTTGGGTTCAATCAGTATTTTTGAAATGACTGCAAGACTGGTCTATGACCTTTGGAGTAGATTGCGACTCCATAAAACTAGTTAGCGACTAAGGTGATCGCTTCTCATTGCACTTTGTTTCCGCTGTGCTTGTTTACTTGCTCTGATAGACAACTTATCAAACTGGGAACTTATTTTTGCTACCTCAACTTTTCTCTTTCAATCTGCTCTTCTTTTGACTGGTATTCTAGTCACTTTGGGTCTACGGCACCAAATGTCATGCCACAAAAATGGAACACGTTGGGCATTTTGACAGGGGAAAAAAAGAGGTATTGTATGTAAGGAATGGCACCACGGCAAACGCCCCCGATTGAGAAAGAAGAGCCGTTTACTCAAAGAGCTAACCCAAAACCCATTGTCTTTCTATTAATAAATGCTCTTGACATTTTTACGTAATCCCATACGTAGTGCCATTCGTCTCGCTAGCTTTTCCACTCCCCAAAATATTTTTCAAACTCCGCGAATATATCAACAATTTCCTTTTACAAGAACACATCAATTGCAATTGCCTAAGTTATACAGATCAATGTGCTCCAACGGTCAATCTAACCCACAGGGAAGAGAAGTTTTACCCACAAATGTTACTCCATTGCATTATGATTTAACATTGGAACCCAAATTTGACACTTTTAAATTTAATGGTCAAGAAACAATCGATTTCAAGGTTAATGAGAGAACTGATTACATTACGTTGAATTCGTTGGAAATTGAAATTCAAGAAGCCAAGCTCGATGAAGTTCCCATCAAAGATATCTCCTACGATACTGATAAACAAACAGTCACCTTCAAATTGCCAGATCACTTGGTTGAAGGATCGCAAGCTCAATTGCACTTGAAGTTTATTGGTGAATTGAATGATAAAATGGCTGGTTTTTACAGATCAACTTACAAGGAAGATGGCAAGACCAAATACTTGGCAACAACGCAAATGGAACCGACCGACTGTCGTAGAGCATTCCCATCGTATGATGAGCCATCTGCAAAGGCAAAATTCACCATTTCGTTAATTGCTGATGAAAAATTGGTTTGCTTGTCGAATATGGATGAGAAAGAGACGAATTTGATTGGTGAGCACAAGAAGAAAGTCATTTTCAACACCACTCCATTAATGTCAACCTATCTTGTTGCGTTTATTGTGGGTGACTTGAAATATGTCGAAAACAATAACTATCGTGTCCCAATCAAGGTTTACGCCACTCCTGGATCAGAGCATTTGGGTCAGTATTCAGCAGATATTGCTGCCAAAACTTTGGCATTTTTTGACAAGAAGTTTGACATCCCATATCCATTGCCAAAATGTGATATGGTTGCCATTCATGATTTCTCTGCTGGTGCCATGGAAAACTTTGGGTTGATCACCTACAGAACTGTTGACTTGTTAATTGATCCTGAAAACACCAACGTCAACACTAAGCAAAGAGTTACTGAAGTCGTGATGCACGAATTGGCACATCAATGGTTTGGTAACTTGGTGACAATGGACTTTTGGGATGGTTTGTGGTTGAACGAAGGTTTTGCCACGTGGATGTCTTGGTATGCATGCGATGCATTGTATCCTGACTGGAAAGTTTGGGAATCATATGTTTCCGATTCCTTGCAACACGCTTTAACATTGGACGCTTTGAGATCGTCACACCCTATTGAAGTACCAGTTAAGAGGGCTGATGAGATTAATCAAATTTTCGATGCAATTTCATACTCCAAAGGTTCATCATTGTTGAAGATGATTTCAAGATGGTTAGGTGAAGATACTTTTATCAAGGGTGTTTCCAATTACTTGAAAAAGCACAAGTGGGGCAACACCGAAACCTTGGATTTGTGGAAAGCCTTGAGCGATGCTTCAGGTAAGGATGTAGTCAAGGTTATGGACATTTGGACAAAGAATATTGGGTTCCCAATTGTCAAGGTTGAGGAAGATGGCAATTCCATCAAAGTCACCCAAAACCGCTTCTTGGCCACTGGTGATGTCAAACCAGACGAGGATAAAGTGTTGTACCCAGTATTTTTAGGATTGAGAACTAGCAAAGGTCTTGACGAGTCATTAGTTTTGAATGATAGATCCTCCACGTTCAAATTGCCAACTGATGACGACTTTTTTAAAATTAACGGGGACCAAGCTGGTATTTATCGCACTGCTTATGAACCATCTAGGTGGAGCAAATTAGGAAAAGCTGGCGTTGAAGGAAAACTTTCAGTTGAGGATCGTGTTGGGTTGGTAGCAGATGCCGGATCCTTGGCCTCTTCAGGATTCATTAAAACTTCAAGCTTATTAGATTTAGTCAAGTCATGGTCAAATGAATCCAATTACGTTGTATGGGACGAGATTTTGACTAGAATTGGATCCATCAAAGCTGCCTTATTGTTTGAAGACGAAAGTACGAAGAATGCATTGAAGGTATTTACCAGAGATTTGATTGGTGCCAAGTTGAATGAAATTGGTTGGGACTTTAAGGAGTCTGATTCATTCGCCGACCAACAATTGAAGAGCTCTTTGTTTGCGTCTGCAGCAAATGCTGATGATCCAAAAGCAGTTGAATTTGCCAAAGACGCATTCAAAAAGTTTGTTGCTGGAGATAAAAAGGCCATCCATCCAAACTTAAGAGCCACTATTTTCAACATCAATGCTAAGAACGGGGATGAACAGACCTTTGATAAGTTATTCAACATTTACCAAAACCCAGATTCAATTGAAGAGAAGATTGCCGCATTAAGAGCACTAGGCAGATTCGAGAAACCGGAAATCATGGACAAAGTAACTGGGTTGTTGTTGCAAACCGATGTCATTAAGCAACAAGACATCTACATCCCAATGCAAGGATTGAGATCACACTCTGCTGGTGTCGTCAAGTTGTGGGAATGGTTAAAGGAAAACTGGGACAAGGTGTATGAATTATTACCCCCGGGATTGTCAATGTTGGGATCGGTTGTCACTTTGGGTACCTCTGGATTTACCAAGGAGGACCAAAAGAAGGACGTTGAAGAGTTTTTTAGCTCAAAGGATACCAAAGGGTACAACCAAGGTTTGGCCCAATCGTTGGATATCATCACCGCCAAGGGCAAATGGGCCGCTCGTGACTCAAAATCGATTTTGGAGTGGCTTTCTGCTAATGGATACAATTAAAACAATATTCTATGTAGGTACTAAATTAAATAGCAATTGTAGCCCGGAAACTAATGGATTTGCCATAACAAAACTTACGTCTTTGTCGTCTGATACCAAGAGTAGTCCCTTTCCAGTGATTACTTGCACTAAATCGTTTGCACCTTTGGCAAAATCGGAGATCGACAATACCTCTATGATATCTTCTCTCACTAAAAACAAATGGTTATCAACAAAATGGACGGAATGAGCTTTGAAATCGAATATCAAAGCTGTTTCCCTTGATAATTTGCCATGTTTGTTGATGAATATAGCAAATTCAGAATAGACAAGTAGAAATTCGGTATTGTTGGTAAGTTTGAACATCCCCATTGGTATGGAATTTGATGAGGTGACTAGTTTCTTTATGGTTTCAAGCATGGTACTAGGTGTCTTTCGAGAGAATTGGTCCAACTTTTTCCGTTCAGTCTCAATTTGTGGCAAATCAGGTACTGATCGTGGCATCAACTTGTCCAATTCCATAACTTCAAAGCCTTTGTCTGTATGTAATGCAAATGAAGAATTGAAAATGGAGATACCAAAACACTCTGCTTCAATGTAAAACTTTCGATCATCTTTGAATCGACTGAATATTCCATTATTATCAATTTCCGGAATAAGCACCTTAAATGACGTGACATTCAACTTCTTCTTTGCAAAAAATAACATTGGGATATTCTTATGCAACGCCATGGAGAAAAACAATACAGGGTCTTTTGAAAGAGAGGTACCAACAATCTCTCTTCGGGTTCCCGTGTAAACATCAAGCATTTGACGAAGGAAATAGTAGCGTAGGGCCTTATCACTTAAAATGATAACCAACCCAATACTAGTGTCGACATGAATCTTGTTGAAATCGCCACCGCTGAGTACTTTCCTCCATCGGCTCTTTGATTCACAACAATATAATCCAGAATGTAGCCCAACAAAGGTGAATTTCAAATCCATATACTCAAAAGCAGTACAACACTGAACACTACTTTGAACAACTCTGCTTCTAGGAAATTGTGGGCTGTAGATGTCATCCAGTCCCAACGATTGCATCTTTTCGACTGAAGTGCGGCAAAGGTCATGAATTGTATCATTCAGTACCACAACAGGCAACTTTGTGATGCGACTTCCAAATTCATAGGCAAAACAAGTTGATGATATGGCTTTCGCGTGGTACATTTTTGTGCTTAAGAGTCGTCTATTCATATTTTCCCTTGCCATGGTTAAGTAATTGATCCAGTCATTTTTTTCCCGCTCAGTTTTGCAAATGAATAGATACGAGTGTCTCGGTCTCCCAGCATAACGTAATTTTATGCCATATTTGAAATCCTCTTCCTCTTGGTGTGCTGTTTTAGTAATTGGTGATGACGAAAGTTTGATTGTCGATGGCGTCATTACACGGTCCTCAAACGAAAGAAAATCAATTGGTATTGGATCCTCGCAAATCTTGTATTGATTCCCATTAGGTTTGGGAGTTTTTAAACGTTCGGTGATGAGAATAACATTGTCCAAGAGAATAACGTGATTGATTTGGGAAGTAATCTTTAGATCGCTTCGTCGAGTGAGATCTCCGCGACAAATAAGTTTCCTATTGATGGATCCAAGATTCAAGTTCTTCTGACGAAGACTTGATTTCCAGTATAATTGAGTCCTCAACTGCTCAAGTGCGTGGACATTATCGGCAAGCTTCTTTGAATCGTTAATCTTTGACCCCAATTTCTTGATCTCATCACTCGCTTGTTTCAACAAAAAGTACTCCGGTTCATGCTCGTCAAATCTCTTTTGAATGTCCAACAATTGCAACGGAATTTGTTGGTACCTCGAATTGAATGTACTAATGAACAAAATTGGCACATTAACTTTCAATTTTTTAACTCGCGGCAATTGCCCAATACGTTGATCCACATACGTTTTCAAATTGGGAATTCCAAGAAGTTCCTCAATCATTGGCATGTTATTCATATAAGTCACCAAATATGGCCGCACTTCTTTAGCCCAATCAATGTAAATGTTGACAATTTCAATCATGTTTTTGATAAATTTACCCTCTGCTATAAGCACTTTCAACAATGGTTCAAACAACTGGTTTTGATGTATTTCAACAATAGATGCACCGGTTTTAATAACTTTCTCTTCAAACACTTTTATCTTGGAATTGTTCAGTCCCAAAAATCCCTTTGCAGCTTTGGCAAACAGCGGACCAACTACATCGACAAAGCATCTAGCTCTCTGTATAAAAGTCTGTTCGTACCGCAACAAGTCAAAAATTAATGATTGTCGCTTAATCATGTTGGTGTCCAAATCACGCAAATCATCGATGGTTAATCGCCAATGTGTGGCCCAATCTGGGGCTAACACGATATCCTTGATGTTCATGCTTCTCATCTTCCGCTCAAGATTCATCATTCGACTGAAAGGACAAATTGTCGAGTAACACGTTACCTCTTCATCTTTAGTGTGAGGGATTGTAGTATAACATTGTAGTAGCTCAGGAAGTACACCATTTACATACACCTTATCGTCGAATACAACAACACTTCGATCTCCATTAGCATTTGGCCTGTGTAGTTCCATTACTTCAATCGCTCGAGCCAGTAAAAAAGAATTGAAAGCTCTTTGGGAGTTGTGCATCACATCATCAAGAGATACGTCACTTCGGTGAAACGCAATCAATCTTGTAATTGCTTTTATCAACTCCTGCTTCGATATCGTCAGATCGCTCAACCAGATTTGTAACTTGCAACACCATTGAAACAAATTAGATAAGGACCACACATTGGAGCAAATTTCAAAATGCTGTACTTGTAAAGCAGACGAGCTGAATGGAAGCTGTGGAAGTTCCAAAGGAAGGGGTGGTAACTCTTGTATTTTTTGGGGGACTGGTGGAGGCGAGCCTGAAGGTAACGGGGGTGCAGTACTTGTTGAGCTAATTTCGCGACTTGGTGGTAGTTCGGGTAAAAAGGAATAATCAAAGTAATCAGTTACTGGCGATTCATAATTGTAAACTTCTTCTTCTTCGTCATAAAATGGATTATCCGAAACCACTCTATACGGCGATCCAGGGTGATGTTTCGAGTATAACGAGTCCTGTGGTTCCTCGATATCTTCAATGTGATCATTCAACATAAGGATAGGCTTATCAAAGTAACCACCTTGATCAGGTCTTTTCGGTGATGGAGACCGACTTTGTGGATAAGAATACATGGATGATCTCCTGTTGGGTGTGTATGTTGGAGATGAACCTTCCAGATCCATAAAGGAGGAGTCTATGCTTTGTCTCTGTTGTATGGGAATTGTTGATTGCGAGCTCCTTGTGCTCAAGTTTGGAACATCGTTTATCTTTGGCGAGTATGTACTAACCGTTTCGTCTATAATTGCCTTTGTTCGTCTTTGTGACGGTGAGTCAATGTCATATGCAAAACTACTATCAAAATCATCGTCCAAAAAGTCTTCAATCAGTCGCGTAGGATATGGCGGTGCATCATGGATTTCTGCTTCCACCAGCACGGGATAAGGTAGCGTTGAATCTAGGGATTTGCGTTTCAACACATTTGGACTTGATTGGGACCTCGACATTTGTTGATAGCTTCGCTGCGGTAGAATACGACTAATTTGTATACTAGCATGGGTGGGTCTCGATGGTGGGGAATATATACTCTTTGAGGGAGTATTTATCAGATCGTACTCCCAAATCTCCTTTGGACCTTTCGGTTTAGGCGAGTCGAATGAAGTGAAGGATTCATCAAAAGAAATCTCTGCAGCGTCATACGATGGCTCTGTAGGGGTAGGCACCGAGTGGGGTAATTCATTGGTTCTGTAATCAACATGCTGTGCGGGAAATGAACTTGAGAATTGGCCCAGTTCTGGGTATGGTACAGACTGTCTTTCGTGAAAGCTGCTGCGATTTGTCTCCCTCTCCGTTTCTAAAGGTGGAGGCTTTCTTCTAGGTGCCTTTCTTGACATTCTGAAGCACTAACCATAAACGCAAAACGTGTCTATAGTTCAATGGTACCAATTTATGATGAGGATGTATCAAGTGTTAAGTATAGTGTGAGTTGTGTCGCCACTACTTTTCGACACTACTGTTGACAGGTTGTGTGATAACATTGTTTTGATTCTTTTTGTTTTTCTTCTTTCTTATATGAACGCAAAGTTGCAACTAATGCTACCCACTGTTAACAACTATGGCTGCAATAAAGATTACCATGGGTCGTTTTGTATACACCCAAGTGTGCGAAGCTCTCTTTCATCGGAGGCTATACTGTTCATGGGTTTGATGGTCCATGTTGGGTGTGCTATTCTTTTGGAAGAAATCTTTTGCAATATGCCTGTCGAGAAATTGTTTTTGCTTAGAAGTTTTATTCACGTTCCTAGTTTTGACGTAACAAAACCCCGATATTATGAACTTGAAGGATGCTACACTTTTTCAAAATCTGTTTCCCTTGTTGGCAGGACTTATGTTAGACCTACATAACTATGCAATTGCTTCTTGGTGTCGCTCTGTATGAGTAGACACAGTTTTAGAACCTTCCAGTCGCGTCTCAAAGAAAAAAAAAAATGTTGCATCTTCAGCCAAATTCACAATTGCTTCCAATAAACAACAAACTTTCATCATGTCGTATTCAGCCGAAGTCAATCAGTTGGTTCTGGAGGGATCCAAATCATACGCTTCAAAAGATTACGAATTGGCTTCCGAAAAATATGGAAAAGCGTGTGAAGTGTACTCTAAAGAACACGAAGGAGAAGAAGATGGAGATTTGTTATTCTTGTATGGAAAAGCATTGTACCAAAACGGTGTAAGCAAGAGTGAAGTATTGGGAGGTGTTGGAGCTAATCAGAAAGATGGAAAAGAAGAGAGGCCAGGTGAGGAGGATGACGATGACGATAACGAGGATGGAAAGGCGGAGGATAAATTTCAATTCTACGATGCTGAACCAATTGAAGGTGAAGAAGAAGAGAAAGAAGACAAAGAAAAACCTACCGAGGGAACAAACAAGAACCAGGAGATCCGCGAAAGTGAAAATGGCAATGATCAACAAGAAGAAGACGAAGAAGAAGAAGAAGAAGAAGAAGAAGAACCTGGTGATTTGGAAATGGCATGGATAATTTTAGATGCAACACGAGCTGTATTTGAGGAAAAGCTTGAATCTGTCACCAAGCCTAAGCAGTCGCCACCTTATATTAAGAATGATGACGACCCGATTGACGATGAATACGTCACGTTTTTAAAGAAGTTGTCAGAAACCTATGATATATTAGGTGAAGTGTCATTGGAAATGGAAAACTTCCCTCAATCAGCTCAAGACTTGACCAAGTCACTTGATTTAAGATTGCAATTGTATCCATTCGACTCACCGCTTGTATCGGAATCACACTATAAACTAGCGCTTGCTTTAGAATTTTGCGTTGAGGATGGACAACAAGATATAACTGAATCAAGAAAGAAAGCGGCAGAACATATTCAACTGGCCATAAAATCAACAGAAGCCAGGAACAAGAAAGAAACGGACGAGTCAGCAAAAAAGAATAATGAGGAAATGATTGGTGAATTGAAAGAAAAATACGAAGATTTGATTAAGGACCCAAGTGAACAGTTGCAACAGGAACAATTGGACATAATGAAGGGAATTTTGGGAAGCGAAGCTGCTGGTGCTAATGCAGGCCAAGCAATCATCAACAACTTGACTTCAATTGTACAGAAACAAGGAGAAGAAGGAAGCAGCACTACAGCAAATGCACCAAAGCCAGTCAACGATCTATCGGGCTTAGTAAAGAAAAGAAAGCAAAGTAAAGATCCTAAGGCTTCAAAAAAAGCAAGAAAGTGATAACTGGTATGTTTGTACGATTAGGAGTGTAAATGTAATGTATAAGAAAGGAGTCAATTTTGTTTTTAGTGTCGTGTCGTAAATTCTATTCTCTTTCTCACCTTTTATATTGCGCGGTACATGTATCGTCCAATTCCCTGATCTTGTCACGAGACATGAATGAAAGCGACACTACTCACCAATAGCATGTTTGAAGTATTACTGTTGAAGTGAACTAGTCAACGCGTTCACTTGAGCGTCATATCTCTAAAGTTTGCTTCTCTGAATTTCATATGGAATCAAGTTATATAATTATGTCAATCTTATGCTACTGAGGGAACAGTTTTTGCTTTCACAAGACATGTTTCGTATTCATTCTGTTCCACGGTAAAAACGTAATATTACAACGCGGAGAATTTGTCAAGAAATTACTACATGGGGAAGTTGTTCGCGGTGTTTTATTCATTTTCTTTGCAGTGCGAATATCGGCGCCGGGAACTGCGAAAAAAAAAAAAAAAAAAAAAAAAAAGAAACACGCTATTTCAAACTGCTTGTTGCAGCACCAATAAAATTAGAGCTTTCTGTAGTCAACTTTCGTAGTCGTTAATAAAATCTTTTGCTGGAGAAGGTTTGGAAGGATGCACTAATATTTTCCAACTTCTTGGGATGAATGGGTGACGATGGCCCGTTATGCGAAAAGAAAATATCACATCATAACCTCTAGCGTTTTCAGATATTGGTAGCGCATTTTAATGAAAAAAAAGCATTCCCATTCAACCGAGGAATAGATTTGAATGTTTTATTGTTTGTTTGTTTTTTCTGGGGTTAGGGGTTTGTTTTTGTGCAAAGGGACAAAAGGAAGGTATTCGACGGTATTACATGCGAGACAAACCGACAAACTACTAGTGAGAGAGCCGAAATACTTACTTGAAGGTAACATGTACGAATCGTGAAAGATATTACAACGTAAAGTCATGTTCAAAGATCAATCCCCCCCTACGTGTGTTAATTGCGGACATGACCGAGGACTAACTTTGTAGTTGCTCGAAGAAATCTAAAAGTCAAGCATACGTTTCCAAAAAAAGAACAAGGAATAAGCTGCTTATTTACCTTATTGGGGACATTGTAAGCGTTCGAAAAAAGCAATAAAATGCAGAATCTATTCAGTTTGTTTGCGAACTCGCCCGTTAACGTAGCAAATCAGAGCGGATCTGAAATGTGTAACACCACAATACAGAAACAGTGTTACAATGGGGGAAGTGATGGTCGATTCATGAAAGCGGTGCAATAACACACCATCCTTAAAAACCCAAAACCCTTCCTTCAAACCTCGACTCGAAAAACACCGACGGGGCTAATAATATACAGGTTAAAGAAAGAAAGAGAGAGATGGACAATCTTTTTCACACACTAACTTGTTTCTAATTTATCGCATGTCAAAATCCGGGGAAATGCGAAATAAAAAAAAAAATAGAAGAAAAGGAAAACCAAATAGCAGGTATATTCTTCGCAGAGCGGGGGAGGTGTAGGGCTTGAACTTGATCAGTGGGAAGAGCGTCAGAAAGAACAAGTATTCCGTCCTTTTTGTTGGAAGAATGTTAGCAAGGTTGACGTCGTTTCCTCGGATGGTCTCTTCTTTCTACAAAATGATTAATGATGACTCTCTTATTCTTCCATGTTTTGTGTAATATTAATTATATTTGTTGGCTGAAAATTTTAAAACACCGACGACAGTTCCAAATGTTGAAAAAGAGTAATGAAAAAGAAATGGACTATAAATATCATCCAATATTCTCCTTTGCTAGTTTTGTTGATTTACCCTTTTTTCCTTCCCTTTTTCTCTTTCCCTTTTCCTTTACAACTAACTTTCAATCACTATAGTTATTATCACACTACAATGGCTTACACTCCTATCGATTTAAAAAAGGAAGAGCAAGACTTCCAAAAAGAAGTTGCTGAAATCAAAAAATGGTGGGCTGAACCAAGATGGAGAAAGACAAAGAGAATCTACACTGCTGAAGATATCGCTAAGAAGAGAGGAACTTTGAAGATTCACTACCCTTCTTCTCAACAAGCTGATAAATTGTATTCACTTTTGCAAAAGCATGACGCTAACAAGTCTGTCTCTTTCACTTTTGGTGCTTTGGACCCAATCCATGTTACCCAAATGGCTAAATACTTGGATTCCATTTACGTTTCAGGATGGCAATGTTCTTCAACTGCTTCCACTTCAAACGAACCATCACCGGATTTAGCTGATTACCCAATGGACACTGTTCCAAACAAGGTTGAACAATTGTGGTTTGCTCAATTATTCCACGACAGAAAACAAAAGGAAGAGAGATTATCCATGTCCGCACAAGAAAGAGCCAACACCCCATACACTGACTTTTTGAGACCAATCATTGCTGATGCTGACACTGGTCACGGTGGTTTAACTGCTATCATCAAGTTGACCAAATTGTTTATTGAAAGAGGTGCTGCTGGTATCCACATTGAAGATCAAGCTCCAGGTACCAAGAAATGTGGTCATATGGCTGGTAAAGTTTTGGTCCCAGTTCAGGAACATATCAACAGATTGGTTGCCATTAGAGCATCTGCCGATATCTTTGGATCAAACTTGTTGGCTGTTGCAAGAACCGATTCAGAAGCTGCTACTTTGATTACATCTACCATTGACCACAGAGACCACTACTTCATTGCTGGTGCCACCAACCCAGAATCTGGTGATTTGGTCCTGTTGTTAGTCGAAGCTGAAGGAAGAGGTGCCACTGGTGACGAATTGGCTTCCATTGAAGCTGACTGGACCAAAAAGGCTGGTGTTAAGTTGTTCTCCGAAGCTGTCATTGATGAAATCAAGAAGGGTTCATACTCCAACAAGGACCAATTGATTAAGAAATTCACCGACAAGGTCAACCCATTGTCTGAAACTTCCAACAAAGAAGCTAGAAAGTTGGCAAGAGAGTTGCTTGGAAAGGATATCTACTTCAACTGGGAAGTTTCAAGAGCCAGAGAAGGTTACTACAGATACAAGGGTGGTTGTCAATGTGCTGTTATGAGAGGTAGAGCTTTCGCTCCTTATGCTGACTTGATCTGGATGGAGTCAGCATTGCCAGATTACGCTCAAGCTAAGGAATTTGCTGATGGTGTTAAATCAGCTGTTCCAGATCAATGGCTTGCTTACAACTTGTCACCTTCGTTCAACTGGACCAAGGCTATGCCAGCTGACGAACAAGAAACCTACATCAAGAGATTGGGTGAACTCGGTTACGTTTGGCAATTCATCACATTGGCTGGTCTCCATACTACTGCTTTGGCAGTTGATGATTTTGCCAACAACTACGCCAAGATTGGTATGAGAGCATACGGTTCACAAGTTCAAGAACCAGAAATTGCCAAGGGTGTCGAAGTTGTTAAGCATCAAAAATGGTCAGGTGCTAACTATATCGATGGATTATTGAAGATGGTCTCTGGTGGTGTAACGTCAACCGCTGCCATGGGTGCTGGTGTCACCGAAGACCAATTCAAGAATTAGGGGTGTATAGTGATTTGTACTTAGTTACGAAATTGTTTTTTTTGTATTTCATGGACTTTATGTGAATTGTAAGCTAAAATACGCGGCTCATCTGAGACGGGAAAAAATGATGTAAAGATCTACTTTTATGCTACATGAATGGGGTTCATCGTGCCTGGTAAATCATTAAAGTCATTGAAACGACTGCTGCTTTCACAGGAACCACAACGAAAGAGAAGAAGGCGAAACCATGTTCTTTCAAGTAGAACTGTAGCCAAGATTACAAAAACATCAACAAAGTTTACACAAGACAATTCCACTGGACGTGAGCCACACCGCAAACTAACCATTAACCACCTACCCATAAACTTGATGTACAAGATATTTCTCCTAGCAGGTCCAAATAACAACCTTCCTTTACTTAATAGGACTTTACACGCCAACTTGCAATTCAATGGAGATTATCAGGGATCCACAGAGACTAACACCAACTCATGGGCCCATTACTCGTTAGCACTACAAATGATAAAGACGTATTTTGTTGCTGATCTAAACACTCGATTGGATAATTCTGCCATCGAAACCAAAATCAAGTACTATGAATTATGTATTGATAAGTTGAACCAGGTGCATATAGAAGTCGAACGTAGCACCTTTTACCCCAAATTGCTTGATAGCTTAGGGGAGCTTAGACTGCTATGGCTGGAATACACATTTGTGGCGGGAAGGTATGTTCTCGACGCGTCAATCCTAAACTATCGATTTGTGTCAAGCAAATTGTTGAAAACTTTAAACCTGGTTACTTTTGGTGATAAAACTCATAAACGACAGCTTTTACGATACATGTCTCGAAATGATATCTATATGAATCAAAAATTAAGACTTGCATTTCTCAAGGTAAAGTTTGCTGAAATTGATGCGTTGGCCAAACGAGTTCATTTTGAATTAAGAACGGAGAATTTTGCACATTCGTCAATGTATGATGAGTTTGACAAGTACTTGGACTTTATCGGTTCTAAGGATGACCAGGAGTTACTTTGTGATTTAGACCCTTTGGTGAAACTGGTGGAGAATCCAGCTCTACCGACATATGATGATGAAAATGTGACTGGAAGTGGTGGTGTCTCGCCCAATAGATCGAACTTTTACAATTTCAACAACGGATTGAGTCGTGGCCATGTCTTTTTTGGTGAAGTCGAGAGTAATGAGAACCAATTTGCAATTCCCAGTCACATATACACCAAAAGCATTTCGTCGCAAAGGTACTTTGACCTCTTATGTTTTTTACTTACGCAACCACATAAAAAAGTCAAAGCTGATTGTATAATCAATGAGATTCTCGAAGCAAGGAAAACAGAAGAATATTCAGGTACTAAAGTACCCTATCTCAACGAAGTCACACAAATCATCTTCAATAACTCAAAGTAAATAACTTTATAAAAACTAATAGATCTACTATCTTCATATTCTCTATACAAAAGCACTTAATATTGATGATCAATAATAGGTTGATGTACTCCATCTGGGTGTTGTGGCTGTTGTTGTTGTTGTTGTTGCTGTTGCTGTTGCTGTTGCTGTTGTTGATATTGCTGCTGGTAAGGATCACTCAAATGGTGCTGTACTGGAGTAGGCATAGTTATCTCATGGAACCACGGGTGCTGCAAAGCTTGTCTAGCAGTAATCCTCAGCTCCGGCCTCATCTGTAATAAACTCATCAACAAGTTCAATCCCATTGAATCCAAGTTAGGCACCAACAAACGCAAATCCTGTGGGACAAAGATTTGCCAATTGTTCTTATAATTAGGGTAAGAGCTGATGCCAGGCCATGTACGTTCATTCGGAGTACCCATTAAGCGGAAAATCTTGATTAATTGATCATCGTTTGCAGTGCCTGGGAACAATGGTTTACCAGTACACATTTCGGCAAAAATACACCCAGCTGACCATATATCTATCGATGTTGTATAAGCTCTGGAGCCCAACAACACATCAGGAGCTCTATACCACAAGGTCACAACCTCGTTGGAAAAAGTGTTAAATGGGATCCCAAACGCACGAGCCAATCCAAAATCACCCAATTTCAACTCACCTTTACTGTTGATCAATAAATTCTGCGGTTTCAAATCACGATGCAATACTCTATTATCATGGCAAAACATGATACCTTTAAGTAGCTGAAATAAAAAGCTCTTGACAATTTTCAAGTCCAAAGCCCCCTGTTGTCCATGAACCTCCATGTATTTTTTCAAATCTTTGTCCATGTATTCAAACACAAGAGTCAATTTATTCTCTGTATGTATGACATCGTACAAAGTGACAATATTTTCATGATCCAACTCCTTCATCAATGAAATCTCTCTAATCGCCGTCGATGGCGTACCTTCCTCTGAATCCAAGTTGATTTCCTTCAATGCAACCAACGCACCGGTCGCCCGGTTACGACCTTTGTACACGGTCGCATACGTTCCTTCACCAAGCTTCTCAAGCTGTTGGAACCTTAGTAGAATGTTAGTAAATGGATGCAAATATACAACGTATATTCTGATACATACTGGGATGATGAACCGGTCATTATTTCCAAAGGCAAGCGATTTGATCAACGCAGTGTGTTGACGCTTTTTCAAAAAATTGTTCAAAAAGAGAGAAATTATGAGAGATTGCCAATTTTGTGCGACCAAGTCTACATTTACTACTACAAACGTCTACTCTTTATACATGTAACCATTTAATGACTTCTAGGTGCTTTTTTCATTAAATTCAATGAATTCTCAACCCACCCTTCAGCACCGCCTTCCATGGCAATTATATCCAAAACCCGCAACTGTGAAATTTCCGACGGTTCTTCTTGAAACGGTTGCACCTTTTCACAACTCATCACAGCTGCATTCCTTGTACTTGGTATACGAAGCATTTCCTTTTCAACCCGCCATCCATTCAAAATGGCAATATCTTCAACATGGTCAACTAAGGAGCCATATGTCGAAGCCAGAGCTTGATTGAGCAAAGCTGTTTTCACTTTTTTTGGTGGGAACCTCATTCTGTTACCGTTTAATGCATGTGAGCAACAAGGGATCACCATAAAAGGATGTCCCAATAGCGGAATCCAGCACGTCAATTCATCTGAATGGTTTCCTATTAAAAAAGTATTTTTCGGGAAATCTTCTGTTGTACAAACATAAGATGAATTGAGCAAGCTTTCAGCTGTGTGATAAGTGACTTGATTGTTCATTGGCTCAGCAAATTGTCTACCATTGTCCTTTATATGTGGAGCAATTTTGGCCAATGAAGGGTGGGGCTTCAACAAGATACTAGGGACAATGATTTTTTCCTTCAACTTTTCCTGGACTTCTTGTGGATATACCTTCCACGATTTTCTAGCTCGTGCATCGATCCCTTCTCCCTTGTACCCTTCCATCATCAAAATGTGTACGAGAAGCCCATTTCCACAACCCAAATCACGGAATTCAAACTCGTCCTTGTTAAACTTCTTTGTCTTCCAATACTCTATCAAAAAGGCTGCTATTGCAAGGTCTTCAAATACGTGTTTTTTGGGATCCGTTGACTCACACCATGAATTGACCAAATCAGATGAGTACTTTGACTTTAGCGTGATGTACCTATTTTGGAAATCCACCTTTGACACAACTAAGTCGTGATTGACCCGCTTTTCATATCCTACTTTTACACCACCCGAATGTTTCGTTGAAGTTTGGAGCAATCTTAATGCAATTCTAACCGGTCTTTCGGACAAGTCCATGTTCTTTATTTTATTTCTCTCCTTGCGCCAATCATCCAATTCAAAAGGTTGGTAATGAAGAGATACCTTATGATTGTGATATAGTATCCCAACGGCGTAAACCGGAGGTAGATAGTATGGAGTATCCTCTGCTCTGCTTATGTGTGGCACATAAACAACAAGGACGCTTTGATTGTCCTCGGTCTTCATCACCAAACATGTCTGATTAATAATAAAATCTTTGAAGGGGTTTCGTGGTATCATGCGTCTCACAATTTCACACCTGTTCTTCAAACTGAGTTGACATCCATCCAAATTCACCTCTCGTACATTGACATCTTGTAGATCCTTATGCAATAAAACAACATCCTTTTCTCGATCTTTAGACTCAACCTCGGGTACTGAATTTATCAACTTGCTTATAAATGTAGTTTCCCCTTCATTTGGATCAACAATTTTCTCTTTTAAAATATCAGCTCGTAGTATAACGGTAGAGTTGATATTCGGTTGTCTTATAATATTGAGCATTGCCTGTTCGAAATGGTTGGGCTCAAATTTGGCACTTTTTTCATAGATAGGACACCATCTCTCCCCCAAAATAGACTCCTCCAGAATTAGTAGATGCGGTTCTGTTTCCTTGTTCTTTTTTGGAGGCATGACACACGATGGGCTCATAATCGATGAAACCAACCCTCTTTTTCTTTTAATTTTTTTTTTTTGCAAAACATATCTCATCGGTTTTGGAAGTTGCAAAACTTTGCTAATGGCAACCAGAAAAAGGAACGACGGAACGCTCCAAGAGAAAAGCTTCTTACATGCAGCCGTGAGTGGCTGCATGTGCGTGGCTTCACGCGCTACTTTTTTTAACAAGAAATCGACGTTGCTTTACAAGTCTATAAAGTACGCATCCACTGCATCAGTAAACTTATGCTTCTTATAACAATAGGGACATTTGAATACATCAATTCCCTTTTTTGAAAGGTGCCAGACGCTTTCTTTCAATGCCAAATGATTGCAATACCTTAAGGCAACCACTTGTGTATTGAGGGGATTATCAACTGCAAGCTTCCTCTTTCTCGTCTCTATTTGACCTTTTGCATCATTGTGAACCGTTATTGACTCCTCTATAACTTCTGAAAGAGGTATAGATTGTTCCCTAGTAATTGGACAAATGAAAATGGGATGGTTTTTGAACAAGAACCTATTTGAGTCCGGTAGTTGGAATGGTAACTCAAAATGAAACGATGCGACGCTTCTCAACGACAGCAGCTCCTTCTCCACCTGGCTGGACTTTGCCCGATCATTAAACTTTTTCATCTTTAACTCAATCAGATTGTATTTGTAAAAGCTTGGTAAGTATATCTGGCCAGCTAAAACGCTTTGGAACAAAGATGAATCACTGGATAATTTCAAATTCTTGCAATATTCTGCAACAAAATCATGAGACAAGTTGGCAAATAGCTCGTCATTTTCATGGACGTCATTGAAACTATTGAGCAACTCGGTGACAAATTCCGCTTGACTTTGTCGCCCATTGCTGAGCACCTCCTCAGCCTCTATTGAAAATCCTTGTTTTAGCTTCTCGATGAAATTGCTTATGGCTGTTTCCTTATGTTTTTGGCGTGAAAAATTCTCAATTCCCGAGTCTGAGTTGAAAAGAATCAATGACATCAATGGCGCTAGCTCATTCAAGTAATCTTTCAAAAATTTACCAAAGTGATCTCTTGAGTAGAAATACGCCTCAAGGGCATCATTGGCAGTAAATTTCAGCTCCTTCCCATTCAATAATATAATAAATTGAAGCATATGAAACTTGAACTCAACTTCGCTCAAAGTACTACTTCTTTCAATCAATGGCACTTTTTTAATAGCTCGTTCGTTGAATTTAGTTTCGAACCAGCCCAAAGCGTCGGTCAAGTCATGTTTGATGCAGATATCATCAACAATCAGGTTGAGCAATTTAAACTTCTCAGCTAACTCTTCGTCTATCGAAATGGAAGGGTCATTCAAAAATTGTTTTACCATAGCAGGCACAATATTACTCTGTCCAATCTTTAGCAAATGTAAGATTATGGCCTTGACCAACTCTTGTCGGTTTTCTTGCCTAATGCTCCTATTTTCCAATTCTGGCGGAATTCGATTGATTGAACTTATCCCTATTTCGTTTAATGATTTGTCCAAGTCAAAATCACCCACTGGGTAATTATCCATATTCAATGGGTATATGTAGGCGTCATCTAAATTAACTCCGAACTTGCTATTATTAAGCACATTCTTCAGAAATTTATTGTTGGCTGTGTTGTACGCCTTGAGTCGATTGATTGATGATTTGTACCATGTATCTATCTGTTTCAGTAATCCGCCAATCTGCTCCTTGGTGTTGTTGTGGGTCCCGCCATTTTGCACCTGTTGTGACTCCTCTTCCTCCGCATCCACTTCGTTTTTAAGATCGGATTCCAAGTCTTTCAACAGTTGAAGAAAGGTGTTTGAATCATCTAGTAACTCACCGAGACTCTCCTCCCCACTTTTATCAAATTGATTCACTTCCAGGATGAGAATGTTTAGTAGTGGTGTTGTTGTCATGATAGTGTGGGGGACTGTACTTGTGATAAGAGGAGGGGGGACTTTGGGAAAAATCAAACAGCTTGCGAAATCCAATCGCATATCAGCCACACATAGAGAGAGAAAGTATGTGTGTGTGTGTGTGTGCGTTATCCAAATCACAGACATACATTTTACAGCGGTGGAGGGTTACCTTCGCAGTTGGGGAGTACAGCTTCTAATGTTGCTACGTCAAGAAGTAAATAGCCTTCTATCATTCATCAATCAAAACAAGCATAACCGTTCATACTATATATCCAAGTAATCCGCTTTGACCAACAATTCTAATGCCAAATGAGTCGGGATATTGAATTCGGGAACATCGCCGCTCTCAGCTTGGTCTTTGTATTTGTAGTGATAGTATAAATATTCAACAATACACTCTAGTATATCACCATCCATGTCAAGATCTATTCTACCTGTTTTCCCTTCTTCAAAACCTTGCGAATTTCTTAAAACCGACGATATCGACGCCACTTCCTTCAGTATGATGAACTTGAAGTTATCTGAAGAAACTAACGTAACGAATTCAACCTCCAAATCAACCATGATGTAACGTACGATATTGAAGCTTTTGCTGTGAAGTTGGCAATAAAAGAAGCGATTTAATTATTTTTCCCAATCGCGTTCATCCAAACAGCCATAAAGAAGTACATTCCTTTCGTCTACAAATGCCAACAAACCCTAGCTTCAATTGGCTGAGATTGCAAAATGTTTACTATGATATACAAACCTGCTATTTGCCATTGAGTTGGTCGATTGAAAACTTGTATTCCAACTACAGGATATCTTTCGCTCCTAATACCACATTGATTGCCGTTGCATCCAACTCGGTGCCTCATCCTAACCTTGTCGAGGTGTACGGGCTAAGTGGGAATAAGGTAACATCAGTGGTTTATAATAGTACACCAACGGATTACATCAGTGATTTTCATTTCCGAAGAGAGGATTTAGTGTTGATCTTAAATAATGGCAGATTCAGGTATTATATAGATTTGGTAGGGAATTTTAATGAGTACCGATTTACGGATGAGTTGATTAGTTTGGATGATATGACAGTCAACGGAAAGAATAATAATGAGTCGGCAGTTGAGACCGGTCGGATGATTACCAATCTCGAGAACGATGAGGTTGAAGAGATTATAAATATTATAGAAACACAAACGTCTGACAACTACTTAGTAGTGAGACTCGAGGACAAGCTCATCTTGACCAATTTGGAAACATTTCAAAACTATGAGATTGATATTTCTAGCTGCTCATCAAAGGGTATCGAAGGGTTGTCAATTAACGAAAGTGGAGAAAACGTGGTTATCTACATTGCTTGTCAGAAAACGATTCTTGTATTGAAAGTTGATTTTGGACTCTCGATTTTTGAACTCGTTGATCAAGAGCTAACCGATGGGCCCTTCAATACTATTTCAATCTCCCCGAATGGTCAATTGGCTGCTTTATACAATTCTACACATAACAAGGTTTTTGTCGTTACTAGCTCATTTGATCAGATTCTTTTAGAATACGATACCTCAAACGATTCTGGCTCACCCTATCAAGTGTCATGGTGTGGAAATGATGCTATTGCTTTGTCTTTGAAAGATGAAATCAAATTGATTGGCCCAGACCAACAATCAATATCCTTCTTTTACGATATTGACGAAGATGACGAGTTTGATCTCGACAATTTGTTACTTAAAGACTCTGGAAAGAACAATTTACTGTACACAATCCCCATCATTCAAACATTATCAGATGGTTTGCGAGTTGTGACTAGTGAAAAAGTGCAATATTTATACAGGGTTCCAGAAAAAACGGTGGCAATGTATCAAATCGGCTCAAATAGTCCTAGCAGTATATTGGCGGATTGCATTGGAAAGTTCGTTCTGAATGCCGCAAAAGCGCATGCAAACATAGCTTTGTTAAAAGCAGATGGCGTACTTTCTATGGCCATGGAAGATGTACTTCAAGTTGCTCTTGATGAATTAGATACCAGCTGGCACAAAAAGGCTTTGAAAGCAGTGTCGTTCGGAAAAGTTTATGCAGAAGGAACATTCGATGCAGACAAGTATGTAACGGTGCTCAATACCGTCAGGGCTCTAAACCAGTTACGAGCACCGGAGTTGGGATTATTCCTAACCCATCTGGAAATACAATATATTGGCTGGAAGGAAGTTGTCAAGATGCTTCTAAGAAGGAACCAGCATTATATGGCCTTGCGTATAACAAGGTCTCTAGGATTGAAGGACTTGATGCCTTTAATTTACATTCACTGGTGCTGCTACAAGATACGAAAAGAACTGAATCTCTCAGATATACAATTGTTCAAACTCATTGCCAATAAGTTGTTGTCCACTTCAAACAAGAAAAGAAATTACATATCGATTGACATGATAGCAGATGTGGCACACGAAGAAGGAAGAGTCATCCTAACCAACTTGTTGATAGATTTAGAGCCTTCCATTGCCAATAAAATAAAGAAACTTGTTGATTTTGATGAGGTAGAACTAGCCTTGGTTAAAGCATTTCAATCTGGTGATTATTCCCTAAGTCTTTTGATGCTTATGCATATTCAAGATATTTTACCCACCTCTGACTTTTTTGAGATTTTAAATCAAAATGAGAGCAAGCATTATAATTCAGCAATTCAAAGCGAAATACGAGATTTGCAAGTGGAAATACCTTCAGATACAATTCCAATCAAAGGTGAGGTGATAGGTCATACTTGGGTGGAATCACTTGGAAAGTCTCACTCCAAATTGATGGAAAAGTTCCTCACTCATGAAGATAAGACACATGAATTGAACTTGCTCAAGCTAAAAGAGTTTGCTAGAACTCAACTTGTTGCTGAAAGTGAAGGTGAAGAGTATTACAATAGTTATAAAAAGTTGTTAACAAAGTGTTTGCGAAGATCAATTCGAACTACCACCATGAAAGCTATAGAAAGGGAACTCAAAATTCTTGAACTTCAAAATAGATTGGGGAAGACATACCTAACCAATTTTTATTCTGAAAAATCATTGACATCAATTTTAACCAAGTTGATCAAGATGAATCAAATCAAACCTGCAAGTAAAATTGTCAAAGAGTTTTCAATTCCTCAAGAGAAATTTTGGCATTTGGTATTGAGTACGTACTCAAAAGCACATGAATTTGACAGATTGTATGAATTTGTTTTTGGATCATTGGATGTATCAACTGGAAAATCACCCATTGGGTTTGAGCCAATTATTGACGCCGGATTTGCTAACAATGCACCTAAGGAGCACATCTCAGCATACATTCGTAATTCAGTCAAGTACAAGTACGATGAGAAAATTCGGTTATTTATAAGAAATGAGGATTATGAGTCAGCAGCACAGGAGGCGTACAAGAATAAAGACATTGAAATTCTTCGAAATCTACAACAGAATGTACCCAACTCGGACACAAAAGCTCTACAAGTCATCAAAACGAGTATGCAAAAGTTGGGTTATTGATTTACGAATTGAATTCTCCATTCCTTACATGTCCAAACGTAGCGCCATCCTCTCCGGTTAGCCAGCTGGGTATCTCTGTTGGATTTATGACCATCTCATTTGGATCAGTAATTGCTGTTGATAGTTCGTGAAGTCCACCAAATACGTCGGATCCAGAGAATTTGAGTTTGATGTTGGACCTTGAATTAGATTGGCCGGGGTTGATGGGTTCTTGAATGACAAACTCGGCGACTTGTAATGGTGTACGCGACGCAAATTGAGAGCCGGGATTCAGCTCGGATGTGTTTAGTAAAGTATTGTCTTCAATCGCTTCAAATTGCCGTTTTCTTGATGTGTGATTATCTGTAACGACTCCCTTAAATCGAAGACTTGCAACAATCTGTGATATATCACCTGTGTGATCTGCATCTTTGGCGTGGGACTTCTCCTGTAGCATGTGATGCTTGTCTAATGCACCGAATGGGGTAAGATCAACAACACCATCAGCGTATGGGGTCCATATACCTAAACTTCTTCCCAATCGTGAGTCTCCCTTTAACGTATAAATTGTCTCCAAAGATTGAATTGACTTCTGATCCAATGGTGTGTCAAGTTTTACCGGAATGTGATTATGTGTATGTATACATTCCTCAATAGTTTGCATTATCAAATTGAAAAGTATATCATTGCCCTTTACTGAGTGCAAAAGGTAAGGTGACGACTCACTCAGTAGACAAAAAAAGAATGGTTTGTGGGATGTCACTTGTGGCCCCTCGCCGTCCAATAGACCTTCTTGTTGGTTGAGATCAAACACTTGAACTCTAGTTATGTGTAAAGGTAGTTGTGGGTGCTTTAATATGTAAACATGGGTAAAATAAAGTTTGCTCAATCTTGCAGCCACATTTTGAGTCACATGTTGAGGGTCTATATCAGGACAACATAGCTTGTCTTCTAAATCTGAGATCGTTGAATAGTTCCAACTAAAATGTTCAGAAGCGTCTACTATCAATTGACAATCCAATTGAGCAAGTTGTAGTAGATTCAATCCATTTGTCCAATACTCGTATATTATTTTCCGAATAACGCCACCCTTCTTGCCTTGTGCATTCTTTCGAAAGCTCTTGATTTCTTTGAGTAGTTTATTACAGAGACCCTGCTGTGTGTAGATTGAGTCCTGGGGGACAAAAGGTTGTGTGGTTGTTGATTGTGTCCAATGGATGCAAAGTTGGTACAAAGAATTAATGTGTAAACGTTCAAGTAGCGTGGAGAGATCGTGAGTGGAGCGGTGCGGTATGTATGTATCTGGTAGTGTATTAGCGCTCTTTGTAGTCTCCATTGAAGATTGTCACTGAAACAAAGTAACCAGATCGAGCAGTTTACACTAGATTTAATCTAATCTGGCGTGCAAACATGTCTATAACTATTATGCTACCAATTTTGTCTCAAGTTTTTGTGGATTTTTTTTTTTTGCGATGCTCTTCACTTTTGCAATTTTCAATCCCCCCTTCAAAAAACTTGTACTCCATATACACAGAGTCTATTCACAGTAAAGAAATGTCGGAAACTGAAAGTATACCAAAAGATGTTGCTGAAGCTACGCCAAAAGCTTCAGCAAACACTACGAAACAGATGAACGATGACGGTTTAGATCACAAAACACTTTTCGTTCGTTCGATACCGTCTGAAGCTACATCAGAAGACTTGTCTACATACTTTTCCCAATTCGTTCCCGTCAAACATGCAGTTATTGTAACCGATGAAAATAAGCAAAGTAGAGGTTTTGGTTTCGTTTCATTTACCATGGATGAAGATACGTTGACTGCATTGGTTGAGTCAAGAAAGACCAAATTTCAGGGGAAATTGTTACGAGTGGACATTGCCAAAAGAAGAGATAGGAAAACTCAAGCACCTGATGGAAGTTCAATTTCATCAAAAAGGTCTGAACCAATTGAGAAAAGAAGAGCTCGTTTGATTATTAGAAACCTACCTTGGAGTTGCAAGAAACCAGACACGTTGAAGAATATTTTTCAAAGATATGGTGCTGTGTTTGATGCTTATATCCCAAAGAAAAAGGGAGGTCAAATGTGTGGATTTGGGTTTGTTATCATGAAGAAAAGAGTTGCCGCTGAGAGAGCTGTAAAGGAGAGTAAAGGGTTAAAGATTGATGGGAGAGAAGTTGCTGTCGACTTTGCCGTAGAGAAGTCTAAATGGGAACAAATTAAAGACGAAGAAAGTGAAGATGAAGGTGAAGAGGGGACACAAAAAGGAAAGGAAGCCACAACTGAAGATCACTCTGGTGATGAAGCTACGGGCGGTCTTGGAAGCGATGAAGAAGAAGAGGATGACGAAGAAGAAAGTGATGATGACGAAGAAGACAAAAACCATGAGGGATCAAATTTTGGCGAATTGAATGAAATCAACACTGATGATGAAGTTGACTCCGATGATGATGGTATCAAAATTGAAATTGATGGTGAGCCACAAGAAGAAGAAACTCCCAGAAAAAAGAGTAATAAACAAGAAGCATATTCAATCTTTGTACGAAACATTCCATACGATGCTGATGAAGAGAGCTTGAAAGAGCATTTTGAAGCTTTCGGACCAGTTAAATATGCTCTTCCTGTTATTGATAAGGACACAGGATTGTCCAAGGGATCAGCATTTGTTGCATTCAAGAAAGAAGATGCGTATCTAGACTGTCTTGATAATGCACCATCAAATACTGGCTCGACCTCAATGTTGATTGCAGATGACGTTTCACCAAAGTATGTGTACCAAGGGCGTATCTTGTCTATCACGTCAGCAGTGGATAGACAATCGGCCAACAAATTAGCCGAAAGGAATGCATTAAAAAGAAAAGAAGCACTTGGCAAAGCTCCTTCTGAGAAGGATAAGCGTAATTTATTTTTGCTTAATGAAGGTAGAATTACTGAAAATTCCAAATTAGCTCAATTTATCACCAAAACAGATATGGAATTGAGAGAAAAATCATACAAATTGCGTGTACAACAATTGAACAAGAACCCCACTTTGCATCTATCATTAACTAGATTAGCGGTTAGAAATTTGCCGCGGGCAATGAATGCTAAAGCTTTGAAGGCATTGGGAAGGAAAGCAGTGGTACAATTTGCCACTGAAGTCAAACAAGGACAACGACAACCGTTATCGAAGGAAGAAGTTTCTCGTTCAAACAAGACCAAGGAGGAAATTCAAGAAGAAATTGAAGCCAAGTCGAAAAACTCCAAACATAAAGGTGTTGTTAAACAAGCTAAAGTCATTATGGAGGTCAAGGGATCGGGAGAGGCTGGTCGGAGTAGAGGTTATGGGTTCATTGAATTTAGAGATCATAAAGTGGCATTACAAGGATTGAGATGGTTAAATGCCCATGAAGTCACAATTGATGAGATTACGGAAGGAATGACTGAAGAAGAAATAAAGGTTGCCAAATTAGACGGATTGAACAAGAGAAGGTTAATTGTTGAATTTGCGGTTGAGAATGCTCAAGTTGTCAAGAGAAGAAGAGAAAGGGAGATTATTAGTAAGAAATTTGATAGGGAAAAGGATAAAGATGGCAATGATAAAAAGAGGAAACGTAATGACAAGGAAGAAGAAGAACAAGGTGGAAATAGGTCCAAGAAGCAACGTCATGGTAAAGGGCCACTGAGGAAAGGCAATATGAACAAAGGTGCCAAACCACAAGAGACAAAGCTGGAAAAGGAACCAAAGAACAAATCGGGTCTTTCTGATAATATCAAGTCAATCATTGGACAAAAGAGAATGAGAAGAAAGGGAAAGAAGTAGTGAAGCAGTGTGTATAAAGCTCAATAAGACGTGGAAGTAGTACACCTTACTCTATATCTAAAAGTATCATCATTTCATTAAAAAGAAAAAGAAAAAAAAAAACAGAAAACCAACATATTTCAAGTCTATAGAATTATTATAATCAGTCATCATCATCATCATCATTATTATTATTAACAAAGAAGAAACGTATTGAAAATCCTCCTTTACAAAAAGTAATCGCTTCTTTGTTGTTTAGTGTTATTATTCTTTAAAGTCAAATCACCATCTTGTACAGCACTGAAGATTTTAAAATTTGGTTCCAAATCCTCATCAATTTGCATAACACTAGCAACATTACCACATCGATAACAATAATTTGGTGCTGACCAAACAGTAACCACGTCTTTCTCCTTGAAATGGTATCTGAACCCTTCCATTACCAATTGATGAGCTCTAGCAATTAATTGTAAATTATTTATATGGTTAAATTCACGTGATACTTTTGATCCAAATAACCATCCAGCACCACGTGGTGATACTGCCCAAGTGTCAACATTATCAGGATCGGACCATACCAAGTCACAAAAGCCACCTTCATGAGGCACTTCTTGTGCTCTTGAAAGCACTCTGATTTGATCCAACATTCTAATTTCGGGGGATAAGCCACCATGGACACAAAGAATCTTGCCATCAATTATGGCAGCCAATGTTAAGAAATCAAATACTTGACAACAATATTTCCATACTGTGGTTGATCCATACTTGGTTAAACATTCTTCATAAAAGCCGTAAACTTGAGTAATTTGTCGGGTTTCATGATTACCTCTAACCATGGTTATACGATGAGGATATTTCACTTTTAAAACCATTAGCAATGTGAAAGTTTCCAATGAAAAATAACCACGATCAACATAGTCACCAAGAAAGATGTAGTTTGTTTGATTATCATCACTGGGCAATCCACCAGATATTCTAAACAATTCTAATAAGTCATGAAATTGGCCATGTATATCACCACATACCGTGACTGGCGATTGGACTGGTTGGATGTTGGATTCTTCCATTAGTAATTCCTTCACTAGTTCACATAGTTGTTTCATGTCTGATTCGGATAATGCTACACAGTTTTTAATCTGTTCTAGCCATTGATCTGGACCTCGTTCTCCCATATTTCTTTGTAGGTATTTTTGATATTTTATGAGGTTAACTGTCTGAATATTTATTGTGATAGGATGTTGGTTCTACTTCCTTTAATCTAGGACTAAAGTGTTTGAATGAGTAATGTAGGTTTTTGAAGATGAATAATTGTATGTGACCATTAAAGTTGAATTTTTTTTTTTTTGCTTCTTTTGGCCGTTCGATTCTAGAAACAACGATGACGATTAGATATCAAAAAGCAAAGGAAGTTGTGAGTGATTGGTTTTAAATTGGTAGTAACCCAGTTGTCAAATGTAGGTTGCCTTAAATATATAGACACAGTGTAATATCCAATATTTGTGAAACCAGTATATATTAATGGTTAATTAGATTGTGGAAAAGGGTTTGTCTACTTCCTATGGATTTCTTTCATCCAAATTTCAAAATATTTTATGAAAACTTTTTTTTAAATTTTCAGACCATTCTAGTTGAGATTGAAAAGCAAGAGATAAATAGCATATACCACCACTGGTACCACCATTGCTTCACTCCAAGATGATATCATATAGGACTATTACTCATAGCAAATCCATAGCTACACAAACTACCCGATTTCTAGGGACAGCTTCCCGCAGATTAGCAGCTGACTCCACTGCATCGTCATCAACAACAGAATCAACTATTGAAACAGACTCTCCTGACAGCACTAATTTTGAACAGTTCAAAAGTAAACAATCGTGGAGAGAATCATATGCACCCGGATCATCAGCACAAACTGATTTAACCGAAAACTTGTCGAAAATCACTCAAAATATAGCTAGTGGAGAACCACCAATTCATATAGCTCAATCCTTACAAAGAAAATTTAGAGTTGGTACTACATACAATCCATTTGATTTCAGTATGAATAGGTTGAGAATGGAAAGAAAACAAGCTCAATTGCAACAACGTAATCTGGAAGATCCATTTGAACGTAGTGGTATTAATCCTAGAAACTTGTATTTGATGCCAGAGGTATTATCACAGTTTTTAACGTCAACGGGACAAATTTTACCAAGGCAAACAACTGGATGTAGTGCTGCTAATCAAAAGAAATTGACTGCTGCTATAAAGACTGCTAGAAACTTGGGGTTGTTGTCTACTGTACATAAACATTATCGTTTCTTACCAACAAGGAATTTATAATCATAGTAGCAGTGACCAGTGAGTTGATAAACATAGTCATGTAAATATTTGTAATGTGATGGATGTTAGCACCATCGTTTATGTACAAACTATTAGACTCGTGTAGTTACAAGGGTGTTTTAGCTCTAAACCAATTGAAAACAAGCTTTGAGTGGATATTTTTGGTAATGAGTGCACTACCCTCCACCACTAAGAAAAATCATTTCACTTTTTTTCCAATTTGCAAATGACGCTTTTGTAGAGATTTAAAGCGCCCAAAAATTCCTACACCATTAAAAAAACACCCATTCTACACACTTCCAAAATACCAAAAGGAATTTACAAACATATTCAATTGTTGCCATAAAAGAACAATGTTATCAAGAGCTATTAAATCGTCATCTGCATCAGCTGCTTCTACAGTTAGATACTTTTCCACTTCAAGAGCAATGTTTATTGAATCAGGAAGCAACATTGGAAGAGATTCATTTCATGAAAAGGAAAGAGCTCAAGAAAATGTTTACATTAGAAAGCAAGAAGAAGCTCAATTGAAAAAATTGAAGGAAAAGTTGGAAGAACAAAAGAAGACAATTGAGAATTTGGAAGAAGAATTGAAAAACCACAAATCAAAGTAAAGTAAAGTAAAATAAAGTAAAGTGTCATCAGATTTTGGGGTGAGTTTGGCCGAGCTATGACTTTCCGCTTTTGCTTCAATTGATGGTGATTGCTCAATGTGATTAATCAATTGAGTGTTTATGACAAGTCAATTGATTGAAAATGGGATGGCAATTTACTCAGCTTTATATAGTGTGTTTTTATTTTCTGTAATGAAGGATACTACGTCTTTTTGTTGATCACCCATAGGGAGGGAATGTAGTAAAGCAGGAGGTTTTGTAGGGTCTTTTTTGTGATGACGATCGGTTTAATAGTCGCGAGCTCGATTGGATTGATGATTGTATGTAGGAGTAGAAAACATTGATGTTGCATTTTATTGAGACGAACCTTGTGAGGGGATGCATTACGACCGTTAGCGAATTTCATTGCCATAATGCAACAAGTATAGCCGACTAGAACCCGTAAGTACCAGATAATTGCAACTCTCCACTTATGAGGGTCATTCACATTTGAACAAGTTCGTTCATAAATGTTAACCACTTCACGTCATTAATTAGATGTGACTCTAATTTTTTTGAAACTCACTTGTCCAACATGATGTTCCGTTTTGAAAAGAATTGTTGCTGGTGAATCACATTTACCTAATGTAAATCAAGAAGCGAGTATAGCCGAAGGGAATGTGCTACAGCTCATCAATTGTGAATTTTTGAATTTACGTTTTTTGCACCCAATATTAAGCAAAAATTAGCCAAATGCTCTTTGGTGAAAAAAAAAAACAGCCATAACTTACTGCTCAAATTCTCCACTTTTTCAATGGGAGTGAAAAGCAAAGCACACAAGCAAGTGAATTCAACAACCATCGAAATGCAAAGCAAGCTTGGCCGCTTAAAGTTGAGAAGTAAGAAGCAAAAAAGCAACAAATAGTAGAGGGGAACAAACACACAGGCTCTCTTTTTATACAGGACAGGATCAGCTCGAAAAGCAACAGGTTATTAAAAGAGGGGAGACGTAAGGTATCATTTGGTTGTGTCATTCTGATCTCAAATGGAACGGATGAAAGAAAGAAAGCAACCAAATACGGAGTTAGGATGTGCAAGATTACTTAAAAAGAAGTAAAACAAGGTACACATAATAAGCCCACCAAATTTGAAAACAGAAAAAAAAAAAAAAAGAAAGAAAAAAGGAAACCGTTTTGATTGTTGATGAATTATGCTATCAGAATCATCATAATAGCAAACTTTTACCATAAAGGAGAGACATATATTTGTACATATTGCACTTTGCTCCTCTCTTACTTCTTGCATCGCTCACTATATACGGCTGTTAATCAAACTACTACAGGACATGAATTAATTGTTTTATCTATGATATGAAAAATTCGACAAATTAAGCGAATCAAGAAATGTAATACATGGAAATTATATACTGTTGCCTGCCCTCTTCCTCTTCCTCCCTCTATACTATCATACTTGCTGAAATCAGTCCTTCTTCTATCTCTTTTCTTGTATATTCAACTGTTCAGTGTACTATTCTAGATATCTTTTGTTAATTCGTCATCACCTGTTTTTGGGTCCGGTACTCAGTGCAAGTGTGTTCTACAACAGCAATTCAATCTACAATACCATAATTCCAAACATAATTCCAAACATAAACACAAACATAAACACAAACACAAACATCAGTAGTACCACATCAACAAGTACCACATCAACAAGTACTACGTAGTGCATATGAATATGCTAAACACTTTATTACTTAAAATAGCAAATAACCAAATTACACATCCAAACACACATACTTTTAAACTTGTATTCTATTATAACCTTTATTATTATATACAGGAACACAAAACAACACACAAAACAACCCACAAGTAGATTTTATATCTCGAATGCGGAAATTGCAATAAATAAATATAGAAGATTAAAAAACAAAAAAAAAAAAAAAACCCTAAACCATCAAGCATATATTCAAATATTCCCTAGCCGTCAGCACGTATCCCTTTCATAGCATTACCTATTTGAGTCTGTGAATCCTACTTCCATCCAAGCATGGTACTTAATATCTTCCAAAAGAAAGAAGTAGAGATGCTTACAACCACAGTAGATTTAAGAGACGATGAGTTGCAAAAACAAAGATACAACCACCGCCGCATTCAACAACAACAACACTTTTCAAACAAACAACCTCACCCACACCCACAACCAATAACACAAAAGGCAGCTACCACCACTTTACTACCATCACCAAGACTACAGAAATCATCATCACCATCTTTGCAACAACAACAAAAACAACAACAACAAAAGGCTAACCAGCCACAGGCAAATGATAGCAAAAGAAGAACATATATTTCCCATCGTATAAACTTACCAAACGCTAATCGAAGTAGTTCTTCAAGTCCACCTACGAAAAGCTCCAACCATGTTCCCAGTATTCCAGAAACTACTAACAGTGGTACAACAAGCCCACCAGGTGTAGCTAATTCAGACTCACTTACACCAAATGATACGGTTACTACAGTGAATTCACCTACAGCAGATGTCGTGGCTACCACCACAAATGCACCATATCACTCACCAGATCTTGCGAAAAAATCCAATCATCTCAAAAGAGGTGCTTCACCGAAGGAATCGGAGGTTGCAAAAAAGACCCAGATTAGCAATGAAGTTCTTGCTCAACGTCGAGCTCGAAGAATGAGAGCAAGGCCGAGACCTAATTGTGGGAAAGCCATCACTAAGCGACAACAGGAAAGACGTAACTCGATCACATCAAGAGAATCAAGAGAGTCAACTAATTCTCAAAGCATTTTATTAACGAATGAGGTTACGCCATTGATGGATCTGCAACAACTGACGCGGCCAATGATTGATAAAGAGGGTAGAAGAAAGAACCTACGCTCTGGTCGATCAGCTAATCATGATGAAGCGCCGAAACCTCAATTCAGTTTGCCATACCCAGTGAATGATGAAATCATCAGTATTATAATCACTGATGAAACTGACGAGCAAGAAGAGTTGGCGGAGACTCAAGAGCCTAGTCCCGAAGAAGCTTCAACGAACTTATCCAACTTACAAATCCAAGAAGAAGATGACGAAGAAGCAGGCAAATTTCCAGCTGGATTTGAACCAATCAATAACACGCGCAGCTTCAAAATTGGAAATATACCCAGAAACAATACCTATTCTGCACATGATACGCCAGCACAATCTCCTCAGTTAGAACAATTAAACTCTCCGCACATTGAACCTATTCATGCATCCCCACAAGAAGGAAGAAGTGAAGTTCACAATGATACTTTGCAACAACTAACAGGACAAATGGAATCACCCACTCATGCTTCATCTCAATCACACTCGTCTCCCATGCAGCCCACCTCGTCGCAGAATTCCACGTATCATATGGCCTCAAATGATTTTTCAATAAGTCGGACAGAAGCCGTTGCATGTATATTGGAAAGAACTGGAAGTACTGCCCAGGGCAGCAGGCGAGGTCAACGATACCAGGAAATGAGACGAAGGCAAAGAGCACAAAGAAATCAAACTGGGCAACCTCAAGAAGCTGATGAATTAATTCACGAAGAACCAACAATGGCAGGCTGTGATATGCTGAGGACCGCAGACCAAATTAATGCTCTGACTGGTAGAAAGAGGTCTGCCATCATGGAAAATCATAACGACACACCGTCTTCCCCACTACATCATCGTGAGCCTTCATTATCTCGACGTTCGACCATTGAAGATACTAGAGCTCGAATTATTGCCCGTTTAAACCAACGTATAGATCCAACAATGTACCCAAATGAACCCAGTACCAATCCTCGTTCACACAACAATGTTGAACAAGACGAAGAAGAAGCACCACCACCATTGGACGAGTACGCAAATATAGAACACAACCAACCATCAACACCACCATACCGCGAACGCCTTCACAAACGAGTTGACTTGATCTCATTTGACCCTCGTTACGTTACGCCAGTTTTACGAATCAATAAAAAATTGATTCGCACACCAAACAATTTACGTAAAACTATTCGCAAATTGATTCAATTAAAAATTGTGCCCGAGGAGATTGATTTATGGAAAATTGATCGTATTGATGATGGACAATTTTATCGTGTTTTGCCGCAATTGTTGAATGGTGATGATGCTCAACAAGAGATTAGAGCCATGAATGAAGCAATGCGGGTGGCTCGTGAACGTACTGAATTGGAATTTGAACTGGAGATTCAACGAGCTATTGCTATTTCAATGGAAGAACAAGCTCAACGACAATTGTTTCATGGGTTTAGGTATAATGGACCGTCGAGAAGTCAAGCAGAACCTCGCGGAGGGCAAGGAAAAGATGACGATGGTGGTGACAATGAAGATGTCGCTGTGAGTCGTGGCATGGACAATGGGAACAGGGAGGTGTCATCTGATGAAGATGGCGATGGTTCTAATGATATCAATGATGTGTTTATCAATGTTGATGATGCATTGAGGATTTGGCAACAGCAAGAGCAACAACAACAACAACGTCAACGAGATGATAATAATGATGATGTTAATGAAGATGGCCATCATTTACATCCGACAAACATGATGCCGGGATCATTCAACTATTTGTTACCCGCCCACACACACTCTTCAGTGTCGTCATACATGACTGCTGTTTAGAAAGAAATCTTACATTGTTTTATGTAGAGGAGTTTGCTTTATACGGATGTATAATTTGATTGCAAATATTTTCATAACTTCATATAAACACAACACACTGTAGATGGAATCTATTCTTGGTGATTTTAATTGATTTTGGAAACAGTCAATTCATTTAAACTGTGATTCATCCCGAAGCTTCTCTTCATCCCCAATGTACCAGCACTTTGCAATGATCTTTGCTCATCATCATCATCATCATCATCACCTGCATCATGAGTAGATCTCCGTCTCCTCGATGGTCGCTTAATTATTGTTCCATACCGTCTCAACTCATCCAATCCACCACCACCATTGCGTAAACTAGGTAAGCTGCCACGTGTCTTGATTGATCCCAACGCTGATTTACTCAATTGACTAATTGAAGAATAGGATATGGTATCGTTTTCCAGTTCCTCTTCATCATCCTCTTCTGAGGAACGATATTCCAACATTTCAGCAAGTATGGATCTTCGATTGAGCACTGTGTTTGTAAACTCTTGATCCCGTGGATCAATCAATACATCGCCATGTTCATTGGTACTTGCCGTGATATGTGAGCTAGTTGTGGTTGAAAATGTAGTGGTTGAAATTATGTCATCTTGAGAATAGATCGAAGATGAAGAAGCAACATCTTCATCTTCATCAACACCAGCACCGGATCCAACTGGTGGAACAACTTTCGAAGAGGTGGCATCAGCTTTTGTTGTCGCTTCATTCTCTTTCTGAGCAACAGATCCAGTTACATCATCATCGTTCTTCTTTTTTGGCAGTAAATTCGAAGACATCTTCTTGAGGTTGTGATTATTAACCGCACTCGTGATTGTCCCGTCATCATCACTCAATTCAGCATCACGTCGAGCGCGTTCAAATATCATATTGATGACATCACTAGTCTCCTTTGTGATCAAATATTGTTCAAATTGATTGATTTCCTGACGCAACTGAATACGATTGTACAAAACACGTAATAAATAGCATTGCCATAAATGAGAAATTTTGGCCCTGTTGTAAACATCATCATCATCATCATCATCATAATCTGTCTGCTCTTCACCTTCTCCATGTTGGTGCTTCTTCTCCTTCGAATGTTGTGTCATATAACTCGTATCCAAATGCGGTGGAGGCACAGGAGGTGGTGCAGCTTGACTACTAGTGAATAAGGATGAAGTTGCGTCACCACCACCGCCAGTGGCCCATGATGGTTGATCAGCGTCGCTAGTGCCAATCTGCGGCGATGGAAACTCATTGTCATCATTGTCACCTACATTGAAAGGCGATTGCATAGTGGAACCTCGTTGGTTACCTTGTTGCTCCTTGATCTGTGATTGGTACAAATACCTTGACTCTTGTTGGCTGATGTAATTTGACAAATGAGTGTATTTACCTGTTCTCTCATCGGCAATTTCTTCTGGCGTGAGCAATTGTTTATTGAACATTGAAGATCTCAGAGCTGCACGATGTTGTCCTTGGTTTCCTTGTTGTTGTTGAGAAGGAGACATTGGTGCAAGACCAGCACCAGCATATCGTTTCAAATCATCATCCATTATAACTCTCTCGATTTTGTCAACTTTACCCAATTGAGGGTTATTCACCGGTGCTGAAATTTGCAATTTGCCAACACCAGGAACAACCTTACTACCTCTCACCCTCAGTTGATGAGCAAATTGATGATCAAATTGATGAGCTGGTGGTATTTTGATCGATGCCAATCGTTTCAAATCTTGATTTTGAGGATTTTCTCTCACTTTGCGAACCAAAGATTTGGATTTCTTTATTGATTGTGATGATGATGGGTTTGTACGAGAAATGTCCCTATTACCTCTTCTTCTCCTTACACTAACTTGTCTCTTTTTCGATGACGATGCTTTGAAATTGTAGAATTTGAATTTGGTCCAAAATTGGCGGATTTTCAATTGTAATCGATACCACCAACTTCCTTTTTTAGTTTTAATGGCATTTTGTCTAGTTAAGCTAGCACTTGATTGGATAGAAGGGGTTGTCGTTGAGGTTGCGGTTCCATTCGTATTCCCCAAACCACCACTACGAGTTGCACCAGTAGTTTTCCCACCACGAGCAGCTTTATTTTGATTGTTATTCATGAGCAATGATGATGTGATTGATGAAGTGGGGCTCTTGTATAATCGTACAGTACTCGTTCGATTAACAATTTTCAGCCGTGAGTTTTTACCCTTGGTCATTTTGTTCTTGTTGAATAAAGATTTGGTTTTGTTAAGCCCAGTGCTTAATCTGCCAACCCTTCGATTGGTCAATAATGCTTCTGGCTCTTGCCTTGTTGAAAAAATGGTTGCTTGTGAACCCATTGATTCGGAAATATCATCCCTATTGGACACTGAAACTGATTGAATATCATCATGAGCAGTATTGTTATTCACTAATCTATGGGGATCCATTGTAGGTGAAGTATTGATAGAGCTGTTATGAGTGTTGTTGTAGTTGTTTTGATTCTCACTCAACATCGTCTCTCGTGAGTTCCCGCTTACATCCTCACTCGTTCCATTGTTTCTTGCTTGATCCGATTCCAAACTGGATGAAATCATTGATAAATTATCTAATCGTTGTGAAATGTGCGGGTTTTGTTGATCAATAATAAATTGTGAGAATCTTTTCGGGACTTGATTGAATGAATCATCATCAATTGGACTCAAGGGAACACCATCAGGACCAATTCGCTGATGTTGTGATCTTGATCCTGACCCGGAACTACTATTCTGGTTGTATTGTTGCTGTTGTTTACGGGGACTTGATCTTGGTGTAAACTTTTTTGACCCACTACCACTGCCACTAGCTGGATGATTACCTGTAGTGGCACTTTGACTTTGTGAGCTAGGTGATGCCATCACATCATCCAAGTTGTAATATGGATATTGAGCAATTGCAGCAGCAGCACTTAGGGATTCACTCGAGGTTGATTCAACTTCAAGTCGTTTCAATGAATCTTGAGTCATTTCATGTGGTTGTTGAAGAAGTATATCAGTGGATCTTGAGTACAGGTGGTTCAGGCTACTCAGTATCTGATTCAGGTGATTCAGGCGAGTCAGTTGGGTCAATTCAGTGCTTGGGTTTTGATCGAAGTCTTTGCTTGATGATGATGATGATGATGTATAATCAGGATGTGATTCCTCAGTGAAGGGATTTTGTGCCGATTGAGCAAGCGTCGAGTGACCAGTGTCTGGGACCGATGTTTGTGGTGTTGATTTAATCATCGTGAATACTCGGTTATGTATAAATGTGTAAAGTGTAATCCTTGACGAAGCCTTAATGAAAAATAGACGATTGGTTTATAGAGATTAGACGATGGAAAAGAACAAACTGTGGATTTGGTTTGTATGTTAAATTTCTTATTTCAAATCAACTGATGAGAACGATGAGTGTCAATCGTTTCATAAAAGTTCTTGATCTCATTGTTTAGTCACCTGTAATACTATGCGTTTGATTTAGTGTTCAAGTTTTTCGTAATTTGTTGATAAAGATGGCTGGCTGAGAGAAGCATACACAAAATCTAAATTTCAATATCAACCAGCATATAAAACAATTCACTAAAATAAACGAATACAGTATACACACAACTACATCAACACAATAACCTACTTCTTTAAACCGAGATGATATAATAAAACGTATACAAAAAAAAAAGCCACAACTGCTTACCCTTTTCCCTCTAAACTTTTAATTTCGAATCTAAAAATGGCTTCAAAGTTAAACTTTTGATGGAGCTAATCCAACAGCATTCTTTTTCAAATCATAAATTGAATAATATCTTCTTAAAAATGCATCACCAATAATGGCCAAATCACCAATTGGTTGAGGGAAATCCATTGGAGTAAACACTGAAATACATGAACCACCAACTTCTAAAATATAATCATAAGCAGTCAAAGTAAAATTGTAGCCTGAAAAAGTCAATGTTAAATCTGGCAATTCATCTCTCTTGGCACAATCAACTTGATATTGACCTGACCAAGACTTGGTTGCACCGATCTTGGAATTGATAATCTCAGCCAAAGTTGAAGGCAAAGTAATCAATGAAGTACCAGTATCGATGGCAGCACCAGTCTTAAACAATTCAGCGTATTCATCTCCCAAACCAATACCTTCAAAAGCAACTTCCCAATAAGCTTTTCTTCTAACTGGCAACCAAGTAATCTTTCCTTGAAACAATGATTCATCGTATCCACCAAATGTAGCAACTCCACCATCTTCTTCATCCTTATTTGTGTCACCTAAATAAAAGCCAAATTGTGGTGCATCAAGTAAATCTTGATTTATAGCATTGTAAATTGGTGGAACGATTTTGTTTACAGAAATTGTATCATAAGCCAAACCCAATATACCATCAAATTTACCAAATGCAAATGCCAAACCTGGTTCCGAAGTGGCTTCAGCAAAATCTTGTTTAGGGATAACCAAATCACCAATGCTAACAGTATCTTGTGAAATGTAACCCTCCATAGATCCAGAACCATATTGGATAGAAAATTCGGATCCATTGGCTTTATAGGTCGAAGAAGCATCGTGATCATATTTGGAATGCAAAAAGCAAGCCAAAGAAGTACAATCTTGAGATGGAACCCATAAATTAGATGAACCAGTATCCAAAATGACCTTGAATGTTTGTCCTGGAGTACCAATTTGAATTTCTGTGAAATATTGAGCATTCAAGTAATTTGTCAATGGTGCTTCAAATTTACCACCTTTATTTTCTGGTGTAACAAAAGGAATTTCAGCTTTATGTTTCTTACCGCCACCAGATAAAACTTGTTGAGCGCCAAATGCTTGAGGGTTACCATTGGCCTTGTTGAATAGATTTACATACTTGTTAGCCAATGCATTTGTATACTCTTGAAATTTAGTAGCATCCAAGGTTTCTTCATTGGACAACTTATTCAATTTGATTGAATGAGTTTTAGCATCAACGGTGGTGGCAGAGAATGCCAAGAGTGTAGTAGCAATCGTTGACAATACTGATAAGGAGAATTGCATTGTTGATGAGTTAGTGAGGGGTAGATGTTAGGTGCAATGGGTGGCGAATAATGGTAATATTTGTTGTTTTATGTATAGCAATAAACAAAACTAGGTCAGTTAGCGTGGGCGTGATGTGTTGATTGATATCTTCTTTTGTTCTCTTCTTTTGAAAGATGTGTATGATAGATATATAGATTTGAGGTTGAGGTTGGGTGGTAAGAAGAACAAATTGTGGAATAAGGAAGGAAATGGAGTTTATTTTTTGTTATGGGGGAGGGCGGCCAGAATTAAAGAAGGCGATAAAATCAAAAGAATGTAAAAATACATATGGTAGCATCAAACTCCTGATAAATAGCAACGTACTAATTTTGTGTGTGTGTGTGTGTGTGTTGTCCCAAAGTAGAAGTATAATTAACCCATTGGGAATGTTAAAAATTGAAGCTACCATACCAGCTTGTATTTTTAATCCAATAGTACACTACCCTCCTACGCTCGGACTTGGCAAGCGAAAGGAAAAAGTATGATGTAACCAATAAGCATATGAAGGAGGCTTGGATCATAATGAGAAAATACCTACCTAATTGATACACAGTGGAAGAATAAACTAGTTAAATCAATAGGCATTGTTGTTGTCAGTTGTCATAGGCAGTATGAGTGATCACAGCTCGTGCTGTAAAGTTTTGTTAAAGAAAATACTCCATGCATTAAAGACTCTGAAGTTTCTGTAAAGAGACCGATCTAAGTGCTTATGTTGATACCTTAATGAGTTCTCTTTTCTAATTGGTCTCAACTTTATTCCCAAGTGGTGTATTATCCTGTAAGTGAGTTGTGTGTTGTTTTATTTCGGCTAAATTCAAAAGATCAGTATCTCTCGGCTAAATTGCGAAAACTCTTAAAAAAAAACCCTCATCATGGCAACCATTTCTTTAAAACTCTTCAACCATTGAAGATAAACAACCAACCTAAATATTTAAACTAACAGAAGTAGCTCATTGAAGTTGATCAAAGATATTAAACTATTCACTTTCAAAATGTATGGATCAGGGTTTTTTTTATCGAGAGTAGAGAATCATCTTGCTAAAAAGCCAATTAGATTCACCAAAAGACAACAAGAAGACAAGTCTGTCAACACAACTGAGGATAACTCTAATGCTACTACTACTGCTGCTGCTGCTGCTACACCAGCTTCAACAACTGTGCCAGATATTCTCAAGAATGATGTAGTTGAATTTTCACCCGATCATGCATTCTACATTAATCCACTTTTGTCATCAGGTCATACTCAAACTGCCTATTCGGCCCTCAACAAATTTGATAAAGTTCATCAGGTTCATTATAAGAGAGAAATTTTAACTATTCAAGATACAATATATACATTACCCACTGGTGAAAAATTAAAATATGATCAATGGAAAGGACAATCAACCATTGCTATTGATTATGCTCTCAACTCAAACAGGTTTCAACATGATCCCAATCATTTGCAATATAAGCCATCGCATCAAGGTGACAAGTTACCACCAAGAACTGAGTTTAAAGACCCTCAACAAGAATTGATCAAAAACTCCGACGATAAGCCATTGGTTATTGCGTTGCATGGTTTATCAGGTGGCTCATATGAAGCTTATATTAGAGCAGTTATGGAGAAAGCCGTTGATGATCCATACAATTTTGATGCTATAGTGTTGAACTCACGTGGATGTGCTTGGCATACAATTACTAGTCCACAGTTGTACAATGGATTATGGACTAATGATTTACGATACTTTATCAATGAATATGTCACCAAGAAATGGCCCAACAAGCGTATTTACTTGATGGGATTTTCATTAGGAGGAGCTATATTGGCCAACTATTTAGGTCAAGAGGCTGACGCTGTATCTCCACAAATTAAAGGAGCAGCAATGTTTGGTACACCATGGGATTTCCCTGACGGAGCATATCATTTAAGAGATAGTATTGTTGGGAATAAAGTATACTCGCCAACAATGTGTCAAAACTTGTTGAAATTATTGACCCGTCAATCTGATTTGATGAGTGGCTCACACGATATTATTAAACAGTACAAGGAAGATCCCACCAAATTTCAATTGAAATTTTTAAAAGATTTCGATGACTACTTTACGAGTAGATTATTTGGGTTAAACTCAGCTAATGAATATTATCGTTTGGCTTCACCAATACAACGATTAATGAAAATTAGGGTGCCTACTTTGATTGTTAGCTCTAAAGATGATCCAGTTACTGGATCAAGATCATTACCATATTCAGAAACGGAATTGAATCCATACGTTACAATGGTTACCACCACAATTGGAGGACATTTAGGATGGTTTACATGGAATGGTGGTAGATGGTATACATCTCCCATCTGTCAATTTTTTGATGAGTTGGACAAATGGAATGTTGATGAATCTAGTATTGATGAGAATGTTGATTTACCATTTGATATTTCGCATAGTTGGAAGTATGATAGATTGGTGGATAACATGTTGGTTGAGTAAAAGATCAGTAAATATAGGGAGTTGAGTGTATATAGGTTTGACTTTTAGATTGTATTTAGGTAGAATCGATTTTTGACTTGTTAATATCCGACAAGAACTCTACTACAATCCATAGCAGATCAATGTTTTGCAACCATAATCAATACTGTCTGTATAAGCATAATGTAAAACGTTTGCAAAGAAATGAGAACACTACATTTACAAAGGATTTGAAGTTGCAACGACACTGGAGCTTTATCTCCGGTGAGTCAAGTTTAAACAAAGGCTCGGCCCAATTTCTTGGCCAAGGAGCAACAGCTTTTTGTTTTTGTCTTTTTTTTTTTTTTTTTTACCTCGGCGATGTGGTATATGACTGACTGTATGCACTACTTTTTTAAATCCGAGACACGGAATTTATCCATAACCGTTTTAACTCCGAAAAGACGCACAAAACAGTAAAAGAACGACAAAAAAAGACGTGTCTCTTTTATACGACAAATTGTCTCTTATACGATGAGTTATATCACACTCAAGCTCTGTCCAGCATACAAGATTATACATGCGAATATATATGTTATTATATACGTAATTGTATACCAATGCTATCAGGCTAAGACCTAACATCATACTTTCTTGCAAGCAACTTGTGTGTAAAGTTAAAAACTGAATGAAACACGGCCCGAAAAAAGAAAAAAAAAAATTAACCAGAAAAATATCTTCTCTTTGCTCCTTAAGTAAAACGCACACGGAAAATCAACAAATATTATAAAACACAACACATTCATTACTAAACGCCCTTTTTTCCAGCAGTCACTAGAACACAACAAACATAAGTTGCTCAAGATTGTTGGTCTTGCTTATCATTTGTTAGACTCAAGAGGCCCAGATAAGAGAGAGAGAGAGAGAGAGAGAGAGAGAGAGAGTTCTTACTATAACAACTAAACTATTCCCAATAACTTAATCGCTTTTTACTTTTACCCACACAATAATATGTTTAGTAAATTAAAACTGAAGGTATCTGGTTCAAATTCCAATACTCCATCAACTTCAGAGACTTCTTCACTCAATGCTACAACATCACCGGAATCATCATCTAGTGCCAATACCAATGGAACAGTCACTGCCAATGGTGGTAAATCCAAATCAAATTCAAAAGAACTGGTCAATTTAGGTCCCCCACGATATACCCCATTTGAAGAACCATCTTCAGAATCACATATTCCACAGGAACACAAGCTCACAGATGATGAGAAAACCAAATTTCTCAAAGTATTGAAACATTTCCAAAACCCTGATTTGGTTATTGCTGATAGTGAAGAACATCATAAACATAAAAACACCGCCAATGCATCACCGTTGTCAACTGATGAAAGATCATGGTTAACAAGAGAATGCTTCTTGCGGTACTTGAGAGCAACGAAATGGCATGTCGAAGAAGCCATAGATCGAATTGAAATGACTTTGGCCTGGAGAAGAGAATTTGGAATCAATCACATTTTGGAAAAGGATAACATTGTCAATGGTGAGTTGACCAGTCCTGAAAATGAAACTGGTAAAGAAGTAATATTGGGCTATGATAATGATTCAAGGCCTTGCTTGTATTTAAAACCAGGTCGTCAAAATACCAAAACCAGTCAACGACAAGTGCAACATTTAGTGTACATGTTGGAAAAAGTTATCGACTATATGCCATCAGGTCAGGATTCATTAGCGTTATTGATTGATTTCAAGGCTCATCCAGTGGGAACACAAGGTGGGAAAATCCCCCCAGTTGGTGTTGGAAGACAAGTGTTGCACATTTTACAAACCCATTACCCCGAAAGATTGGGTAAGGCATTATTGACAAATATCCCCTGGTTAGGATGGACGTTTCTCAAGATTATTCACCCCTTTATTGACCCCTTGACGAGAGAGAAATTGGTGTTTGATCAACCATTTGTCAATTATGTTCCCAAGTTACAATTGGATAAAGATTTCCAAGGTGATGTCAATTTCATTTATGACCATGACAAGTATTGGCCCAAGATGATTGAAATTGCTGAAGTTAAAAAACAAAAGTATTTTGAACGGTTTGAAAAATTTGGTGGTGTGGTTGGATTAAGTGAAGTTGACTTAAGAGGTGATAATGAGGAATTGATTCATCCTGTAGGAACCATTTAGAAGTGGAATTTGCACATACACAAACGTATACATCACATAGATTACATCATATAGAGCTTAACCATTCTTTAATACTTATTACCAGACTGAATCAATCTCCCCTTTTTATCTATACAACAAACGGATTGGCATTTTTTCTCAACTCAACAACTCCACTATCCAAATCAATCATATGTTGCCAATCAACAGGATACATTAACCTCCCAGCACCGCCACACAGTTTAGCCAATACCACACCCAAATCATTTCTAGCAGTTGAACAATAATAATTTTGTCCATCACCCAAACTAATAATCATACATCGTACAACATCACCAGGTTTAAAACATTGGCCAACAACAATCTTGTCTCGTTCAGTTGATCTTATATCGGATGCACGAATTATGCCACGATAATTTTCACCCAAGTCGTAGATTGTTGCTTGTGATGGTGTTGTTGTTGATGATGCCACCGTTTGTATATTGTGGTTGTGTTGCGATCCACCACCGTGCGGGAGAGATGCTTGTGCTGTGGCGCCATTGGATCCGGTTCCTGAGTCGGATAAGATGTTGCCGCTGCCGCTCCCACTGGCAATACCACCACCAATTGTTTGTGCGTTTTTCGATTTTGATTCAAGGGCAATGATTTCGCAATTGGCTTGTTTTTGGGAGATACGGGTAATTCGTACCAATACAATATCGTTCTCCTGGGGGAGATTGATTGGAGATGACAATGATGAGACGTTGCGTGTTTCACCACTACTGTCGGCAGTCTCGTTAGCATTGTCGTTGTCAGTGTTGACTCGTTGATCTCTGGGTATGACATTGACGATATACGACAATTCCTGGTTGTCTTTATCCTCACTTGGCACATCACTTGCCTCTAGTGTATTGTTCACTTTAACAAATTGGGTCTTGCCTAGTATTGTAGCACAAATGATTGATAGACTCTTGCCATCATCAACTTCAATTGAATTAATCACTGTGCCCGACCCGGCAACATACTTTACTGGGACATTCTTCTGTTGTTGCTTATCTTGGAATAGATTCTTTGTTGGTGTTATGTATTGACCAGGTACAACTGACTTAGATTCCATTGCTGAGGCTAGGCGGAATGAGCTCTATTTAAAAAACTCAACTGTAAACTCATCGGTGATTCTGTACGCTTTGATTCTGTTTTTTTCTTCCTACACTGTGTTTGGTAGCGACACTTCCATCGCCCCTCAACAAAAAGTGCAGCAGCATCATCGTCCATTTTCGCAACCTCACTCCTTCTTTCTTATCAACAACTCATCTACACACACACACCCACAACCACTCTTTCCCTCTTGACGGCAAAATGAACTCGAAATACCCACCATACACAAACGACAACACAACCCCACCCACAATCTCATTACGTGATTATGACGATGCAGAATGGGCGGAAACCACATGTGTTGACTACAAACCTGATTCGCAAAGTTATGTCATTGTTGACTTGGACAAGACTGATCATATTGTGGCTCATATTGACCAAAATGACAATAAGGTACTAGATATCATTTTCGCTAGTGCCAAGGAAACTCATTCAAAGCAGCAGCAACTGCAACAGTAAACAGGTACAAAAAGTGGCAAATCTTTTCATATGATGATGATGATGATGTCAAGATTGGTGTGATTGATTATTTATTTACTTATTTGCTTAGTTTACGAATTTTGCTACTGGAGAATTTGGAGATGACTTATGTGCGTTATCGCACCTTCACTACGCTTTCATATCCTTGATACTTAGATAAATCTAAATTCGTTAGACTTCTAAAACCATCAACACTATATGTAAAACTACCCATTCTATCACCTCCCTGCCTCCTCCCAAAAACTGGAACCAAAAAAGAATATTAAAACCAGCCTCTACCTTGTCTCAAACACCATTAAAAAAACTGAGTATAACAACGACTCTCGACATGAACTTCCATTTCACTCTTAATCATATTCATCTCCTCTTTGATTTGTTGTGCCAACAATGGGGTCAATTGATTACATGTGGCAGTATCTGGATGTCGATCATACTCTTCATCATTATATGTGTCATACAAAATGATTCGCGAACTGAATCGAACTCCAGATTGTTTTGTAGGGACTGGAGGCGGAGGTGCAACACGTGGTGCCAATATATTTACACTACCATGGTTGCCATTGCTAGTGTTGTTGTTGTTGTTGTTGTTGTTGTTGTTGTTGCTGTTGTTGCTCCTCTTCCACCTGCTCAACATTGATGTGAATGATCTAGGTGATGAACTAGTAGATGATTGATCAGATATGGACGGGATCTTGTTATGACTAAATTTAGTACCAAATGGTGGTGGTGGCAACGGTATCCTGAAATCTGGTGAATATGAACCATTTGATGACTCAACAGAGTTGTTTTGATAATTGCTCTCCTTACCAAATACGGATCTTGATTTTGATGGTGGAGTTTTGTTCTGACTTTGGTCATTGTACTCATAAGAGTCTGGTTGGGTATTGCGTTGCTGTTGCTGCTGTTGTTGTTTTCTTGAATTCACTCCAACTTGTGCTTCTTTTGAGGTAGGCACTAGGTTCTCCTTCTCATATTCACTATACTCTTGATTTGGCTGATTATTAATCAAACTCAACCCTTCATCTCCACGAATCGTAGGCACTTGCCCCATGTCTTCTTGCACCTCTTCTTCATCGTCTTCTTCCTCTTCGTCATCGCTGCTGGTTCCAAAGCCACCACCAACGGATGACAGATCATCATTGAATGAAATGGTAAAAGACTGATGAGAATCACTGCTTCTCAAATCATGTTGAGCAATCTTACCCGAAAATGAAGGTTTATTTAACCCTTTAAATGACATGGATATAGGTCGATTGTTATTGCTAGATTTGCTCTTTTTGGTGGTTCTGTATGCACTGTCCAATATAGGTGAGTTCGAAATCACTTCAGTGGCGTTGTCATCACTATCCCTCTCCTCTGCAACATTATTAGAACATTGGGGGTTGACTTCTTTTAGATGTTGATCAGAGTCTACCACTGTGTTGCCATAGTCACGATCGTTCTCACTATCATCCAAAGTTGTGTCATCATTAGCTGCCAATGTATCACGATTGACTTTGCCACCAAGCTTCTCAAATCCATCAACAACTTCAACGCTTGTTTTGGGTGATTCGGTAGTGTTCATCGAAAGCGGAGATGGAGATGGCGTCCTTGATTCAACTATGAGTGGGACTGGCGAGTTATGACTTGCTGTACTATTAGGAAAATCAACCGTATCAATTCGTAATGTAGGTGGAGAACGAAGTTGCGAAAGAACTGCGCCATTCTGTTCTGCTTCTTCTCCATCGTCATCATCGAAGCGAATATCAGGAGGGTCAACCATTTTCTCTTTACTACTCAATTGTCCCTTCTCAGTGTCAGTAGTAGCCTCTGCTCTTATTCGCTCATTAACGTCAAACTTTGGCTCATTGATGTCAGGTCGTGGACTAGCTGATGCAGAGCCTGTCACAGCTGAGGGCGAGTAGTTGAAAGTCAAATTATCAACATCGATAAAATCACTGAACTCCATAAACTCGTGTAGATCGGACCCCTCTGTCAAATTAAATTGTAAACATTGGTCATCAGAGCGTGGCGAAGATTGAAATTGCGACTTAATAAATGAGGCTCCAGAAGGCTGTGAATATACAGAGCTTGAATTTGGAACTGCCTCCTCGTCATAATCGTCGTCCAATATATTTGCATCAATGGAACTGGGTTCAATTTCTTTACTCAAATTACTTGGTTTGCTGGCTGAGTTTTTCAATATAGAGCCTGATCTGGTAATGCCGCCGGAATTGTGAGGTGACGATGTAGGACCATCGTAGTGCACAATGTTATCATCGCTTCCATCGTAGTTGACAAACGAACTGCGTTTGTTTGATTTGATTGACTTTAAAGACCTTGACCTCTCCAACGATACAATACTTTCAACTTCATGTGCACTAAGCGATCTTGGAAATAACGCTTCTCCCAATAACTGGTAATTCTTGTCCTCCTTGCGACTGGGGTATCTCTTTGGCACCGGCGAAGCAGATGGTGATAATGATGCTGAAAAGGGCTTGGCATCATCAGTGTTGGCAAATGCAGAATTGCAAGCTGATGGCGCTGTTTCCAGAATTCGGGCTGGTCGCTTAATATCAGGTGAACTTTCATAATCAACCTTGAATGGAGAGCCAAATTGAGTATCTTGAATCAAAGGTGGAATCAACAGAATTTCCTCACCTTGTTGATGATTCGATACTCTCTGCACTGGAGGGTTTGCCTGTAAATTCTTCGAATCGTAAACGTCAAACTTCTCATCAGCTGACGGATCAAATGATAGTCTGTCGTCATCATCCTCATCTTCTTCTTCTTCTTCTTCATCTTCTTCTTCCTCCTGCTCCTTCTTGGTAGCTTCTTCTGCATCTTCGTCTCGCTCGCGGACATCTTCGTCGGCATCTTCAAACTCATCTTGGTCGACGTCACTGCTTTCAGAAGAACGTTCAGCAGTAGTTAATGCAACATTATTGTCACTAACTTCACGGATAAAATTTATCGAGCCAGGAGTAGCAGCGGCCTTGCTTGGTGGTTTTGTTGTAAATCTTTCGTCAAGTAATATTGGCGAGCCATCAAAATCATCCACATGTTTTTCTTTTGGAGTAGAAGACTCATTGGCTGACTCTTTTGCAGAAACTTCTTCCTTTGGCTCTTCTGTATTGGATTCTTTTGCCTTTCCCATACTATAAAGTTGATCTGATGATTTGTTCTTTTTAAACACACTCATAATCGATATATTGGATTTAGTTTTTGTCAAAGGTGGAAGCAGCAAGTCGGTCCTATTCTGATGCTTAGTAGTTGGTGAATCCTCCAGACGATGTAACGGAATATTGGTTGTTGAATATGACTTTCCGGTCACTTGTTGTGCACGTGTATCAATTGGTTCCAGTGACTTGTTCAACTCATGACTTTTAGACTTTGACTTGAATAGTGTTCTAAAGCTAAACTTCTTCTTTTCAGTTGGTGCATCGTTTACACGCATGTTGGAACGGGAAGCCTTGTTCAAATCATCCATTGTTGAGCTTCTTTTGTGCAGTAGTTGTGGTTTACCTTCATCGCGTGATGATTTCTTTGCGAAATTCAACGAAAATGAAGAATTCGACCTCAAGTGAGGAGATCTCTGAGGTGTCGTAGGCATTGGTGATTGAGCTTTGTTTTTAGATGGAGCGGCTTCTTCGTTGGATATGTTACTTTTCTTTCCTCCCCCCTTTTGTAAATTTTCTTGGTTCGGAGTTAAAACAGACAACATGCTCGTTGGTTTGCTATCTCCCTTGTTTGACTTCTTTGAATTCAATTTGCTCTTCTTATACGGTTCATAATTCATATCAGGGTCGAAATCCTGTGGCTCAGATGTTGAAGATTTTGTTCCCAGATTTATTATTGTGTCGTCGTAACGTGGTGCTGAAAATTTCTTTTCCGGATTATTATTTTGTGCTGGAATTGCCGGCTTTGATAATGGTGCAAACGCGCTCTTCTTGAAATTTTGGCTTGTCCGAGTATTGAATTCGTGATGATGGTGTTGATGTTTTTTTGGTCTTCCACCACTCTGAATGGATAGGGTTTCAACGGTTGCTTGTGAATTTGAGGAGAGATTGTCTAATTTTTTATCCCTTGTGTCTAAATTTGAATTATTTGTTGTGTTACTAAAATTGGATTTAAATTTATTCTGGGTTTTTTCGTTCCTCTCCTTCGCGGCATAATGCGAAGAATTATGAGGCGTGAACTGTGGTAAATCGACACTCACAGTTTCTTCGCTGATATCGTTCGTTGGTGACTCTGTAGTATCATTTATGAGTGTATCGTCTTTTGATCCCAGTCTTTGCTGCACGCCGGTTTCAATGACCTTTAATTGTGGAGACTCAACATTGTGTTGCGTGAAATTTTGAAACGTGGGTGGCTGTCCCAAGATGGGTGTGTCATCAGTGCTATATCCACTCCCACTGATTGTTGAGATTGACGACTTGGTCATATGTGAAGTTTTCGAAGCCCGTTTATTGCTCGACCTGTTGGTAATTCCGTTATCATATTCAATTGCTTCATCTGCAGTCTCAAAAGTTTGCATTGAATTCACAGTTTCCAGGGTTTCATTGGGATTCTTGAAGCTAACAGGTGCTGCTTTCCTCTGTGGACTATATTTATTCCGTATATCCAAAGCATCTAGTTGATTCAGTGCATTCTCATCATCATCTAGGGATTGCTCCTCCCCATCATTCTTTTCTTCGTCCTCTTCCTCTTCCTCTTCCTCTTCGGTAACCTGTTCAGCAATTGTACCAGGCGTCCAATTCTTACTCTTTTCATTAAGGATACTCTCCAAAGCTCGTAAACTAGGAGAGGACTTGATCATTGAAGTTCGACTGGTAAAAGTAGGTAGTCTCAGAGTCAAAACCTCATTATCCTGTCTTAGCCCATCTTTAATACTTCTTGAGCTTATTGAGTTGGGTATTTGAATCGAGCTTCGAAGTTTATTGATATGATTGGAGCTATCATTGGTTGGTGCTGAATAAAAATTGTTTTCTGAAAAGAATTCATCAAAGTTAGTAGAAGAGTGTGAGTTGGACATGATGGGATGATGCAAAAGGGTTCGAGTGGAGGTGTATCTCTCTCAATAGAATGCTAAATTATGTTTGGTTTGATTTTGCCAATGACTTCGATAAGTTTTTCTTTTTTGTCTAGTATAGGAAACTCGAAGATAATAAAAAGCTTTAAAAAATGGTGTGAGTTGCTGCAATAATGAAAACTATTACGTAAGGTTTAAAATGCTGATTTGTGGGATTACCAGTAGGTGTTAATTAGGTTGCTAGATTGATGACAATAGTGAGACTGTTTCCAGATTTTAGGAAGAAGGGAGATGCTCTTCTGTATAGTTGTAAAGGGAATGGGTTATTTTTTTTTGGTTGTCAAAAAATTAAAGAAAAAAATTGGTGAATTAAAAGACGTGAAATATTTATTACGAAACAAACTAAAATTTCAACCTATTCACACACAATCTCTCTACTTTGTACCCCAATACAATAGTCGACGGTGATGTCGATGCAACACTCCAAGGCAATACTACATGTAATGTCAAAAGCATCTCATTGAGATCGATGCTGTCCTACATTAGGCAACTAAAAATTCAATCTCCTCTTTGCTCACACGTTTATTTTTTTGTCTACATGCTGTACTGTATACAAAGTATTATCTGTGAATAATTAAACCCAGTTAGGAAATCAATCAGACAAAAGGACAGACAGACATTTCCAAGTCAGTCAATACCAAGCGTTTTGAGTATTAACGTGCGTAAACTCGTGCTAAATTGAACTCGACGATCCACATTATAGCTCCCCCATTGACTATACCTCCACTGCGCCCTGTCTCATCTTCGTGTTTTTAAGGGGCTGGTTTGGTTGTTACACGGTCCTTTTGCTTTTTTTCCATTGTCGTAAATGTTACAAAAGAGAATTCTAAAAGGGTTTGTGTAATGGAAAAACTAATTAACACGCGTCAGTGGTCAGTCTAAATGTGCACGTGAGTATCACGTGCATATTGTATAAATATTCTTACATAATCACACAGTCACCTTTCTTCTTCAATCTTCCCAATCTACCAACTTTTTTTGTTGTCGATTGTGCATCTACTTGTTTCAGCTTCTTCTTTTCCAAGATTGGTCCCAAATCAACACCATTATAGCTAATACTTCCACGATGACTAGTAAAGCGACCTTTTGATTTAGATTCTATTCTAGGTGGTTGGGCCAAATCATCCAACACTGATGTGCCATTAGTCAGAACCGATTTCTTTTCGTCAAATACTGAATTTATATCCGCATCGGCTGCTAATATATCGCCTGATTGAGTTTTGACTATTGATAACGACTGTCTACTGTCAGTCTTGTGTAATCGAAGTACAGGATCCAACCCAAATTGTAAAATCGAATTAGCCATGTATAGAAACAATTTGATCCACAATACTTCCAACTCAATAGTAAACCTAGACCCAAATCGTTCATTAAAAGTTTGTATTAATGCCTCACCCATAATTTCGTAAGCCGGTGGCTCAATGCCAAAGATTCTTGCATGACTTTTACCCAATTTTTCAAAAAATGAATCCAATACCGATAAATCTTCCAAGTTGGCAATTGTCATTTTCATAACTTGCGCAAAACTAACTGCTTGATGTCTTAATGATGGCCATAGAAGTTCTAATTCGGGTGCAATGGTTAATAAATTGGCATACAACTGACGACAGAATAATGATGATGCCATCAGTGATGTTGTTGTTTGTCGTGGACTTGTTGTCAGACCCCTTGTAGATTCCCTTTTCAATCCTTCATCATCGCCATCAAATCCACCTGGCATATTTTTTGACGATTTGTTTTCTTCCAACAACATTTTATTCCATGTATATCTCAACATTTCAATCTCACGTTTGGTAAATTGTAGCTTGATGCGATATCGATCAGGAGTTTCCAAATCGTATTGTTCCAATGACATGTTTGTTTCTTGTTGAGTTAATTGATAAGCTGTTTGTAAATTATGTGCTAAATTATCACTTAAATCAAGTGGTAGATTAAATGTAGGATCTTGCTCCTTTCCTGATACTTGTGTGGTTGCAACGGTTGTCTTTGATGGAACAGTATACAATGAGGTAGTGTCACTAGCGAGGCTTTTGGTATCTATACCGGAAACAGAAGCTGAAGTTGAATTTGAATTGGGGGTGTTTGAAACCAGACCTAGTTTGGACTTGTGATATATATAAGGGGTCGATGTAGCTGACCTAGAGTCTGAAGCTAAATTTCTTGAAATTACTGAAGGCGCCATTTTTGAAATATTCGAAATTGTAGGGATATAGACTCCTTTATAGGTTTGAAACAAATTTAGCACAAATTTGTTAAAGTTTAACCAACACTTGATTAAACTTATTGAGCCCTGTGTATGCACGTATGTCTCTGGATTAAAAAAATGCGGGAAACGAAAGTTGACTAAACAGTATAGCGCCTTTTCTATTAGATAAACCCAGGATGGATAGACCAAATGTATCGTCTAAAATATCAAGTGACACGCAGTCTGGTTCGATTCTGCAATCCAATAACAAATCAAATGTTTCTTCACCTTCTATTTTTTTTTGGTAAATACGCAGCCGGTAAATTCCAATGAAACTGGATACAAAATGGGAATAATGAAACCGTTGAAAGCGTCGTTTGTTATTGTCGAGTATGCAATGTAAGCAGTATTTGGTTTGGACTACTATTGTATGAAAAACTCGTTTGGACACGCTAAAACTGTGTGACAGGCGTAACCGGTTTTATGCAGAAAGTGGTCTGATTTTGAAGAAGAAAAATTTAGTTTTCAAAAAATGCAAGATGTTTAGAAAATGGTTAGTATATTTATATTAGTCTTCGTCTTTGTTGACCAAGGGGAGAGAGATGTCAAAAACTACAAGACAATAATAATTAATTGCAAAATGTGTATTGTGTAAAATAATATTGAGGGAAAATGTATCCCCTTCTTTTGTTTGAAGTTAATATTATGTCACCAATGTTAATTACTTATTTTGAACACAACACTCATTCGGGGGAACAGAAGTTTCTGTGATTCATTTCTGGAAGTAACATTGTTGTTATTTGTCTCTCTCCCCCATTCAAAACAAAAGTCTCAAAAAGGTTTTTAAAAGTATAGCATTGTTTTCAGTTACAAGACGTTAATTGTTTTGCAATTTTGTGCTCAGTGTATTGTTTTATTTCAATTTTAATTTCTTGAGCTCTTACACAAAATACAAGACACAGTAAAGCAATAAGAGAAAGGGGGATTATACTAAAGTTTCTGTATGTTTGATGCAAAAGGGGAAGGGGTTTCATATAGTTGTTTTGTTGATATGGCTCTACTATTTCTACTCCAAAATGTTGGTCTACAGTGCTTGACTTGATGATACATAGGCTCAAAACATGCAAAGTTTTGACGAAGTATGTACAATGACTTAAATTTTGTGAGCTAATGATGTAGTTTAACAAGACATACATAGAAAAACACAATAGGGTAAACACCTCCCTCAATATTCAATTACAATTGTCTTTTGCAATCTTTCTACCGGAAAACAATAAACAGTTACTTGACCTCAATATACACAAAACCTGATTGTTTTTCAAAACAACAAACCTCATCAACCAATGATTTTCATCCTAGACCTTACATAGGTAAACAACTTTTTTTTGTGGTTATTAATTCAACCAAAAGTTAACAAACCATTTTCACAAAAACCCAATGCTACTTTATATACACACTATCGTTAAGCCCAAGTTACTAAGAACACTTTGTGGTCTAGATCGGATCGACACACCTCTTGCATGCATCCAATGATTTTTCCACTGGTGGCCCTGAGTCCATAGGTTTCTGGAAGTATAGTTCCTATCCTCACTGTTAATCACCAAACCAAATTAGGATTTGTGATGAGTTGAGTCGAACTCGATGTGATAGTTGTGAGTCACAAACGATTACATTAGCCAGTGATTCTAGCTGCTTTGTATACTTCCTCAAGGTGTTTCCTTTTCATGTCGAAACCATACTGTATTTCTTTAAATTGAAAGAAATTTTTGTTTCAATTGCCGTGAGTATTTATAAAACACGAAGCGAACTCATCACCTCCACATTTTTGCAAAATTAATTTGTTTGTCAGTGGCGTGAATTGGCGCCTTGTGCTTAATTTTGATGCAAGCAGTCTCCCCCCCTCCTAGTATCTTCTACGTCTTGCTAACAATCTCTTCTATAAGACCGGAACTGCTGAGGCTAAGAAAGGCTGAGCACAATGTCCAAAATGTCTTGAAAATGTAATTGTTCACTAACAAAATGATAGAATCAGATACCTTTTTCCTGCAAAATACATATGCGATGGCTTAAAATTCTAATGGCATTCATGTTTCCTGCAATCGCCATTTCCGCAGACACATTTGATTGACAAAAGTTCGTCTCAGAGGCTATGCTACAAAAATGTCCTTCCCTTTCTCCCACAATCAAATTTCGTATCTGTGGGTGATGAGATCTGGAAGGCGTAGACTTGCATTGTACATGTCTTTCTGCATTTTTACTAATCGCAAAACATTGTACAAAATCAAAGAAGGAGAAAAAGGGAAATTTGTCGGATTTGTCCGTTTTCGTAATTAGGAAATGATGAGATTCAGTTCATTCTACAAGCCACCTTTCAACTTCTCGCAATATATGAGTTTCCAAGATAATCAAATAAAGTTTCATAACTACACAACCTTAGGAAGATAAAAAGCAATCAGGACATACGTTCTTTGTGCTTGCGTAGCCTAAAAGAGTGTATATAATTTCATTCTACTTGCATAATCTTGGTTGATGGTTATGAGTCTGACTGATCTGCAGTTAAACCTTAGTATATTATTATCAACTCACACTTTTTACACCCCATATTGTGGCGCGTTCCCATGCGATAGACGTGATTGCCCCCCCCTTTCCTACAATCAACGTAGGCAGACCACAAACGAAACATAGTCAATTTGACGCTTTTTGAAAAAGCTTCGTTCGGAATTCTACATGAATCCAAAACTTTTTCCACTGTTGTAGAGTGATTTCCTAAATAGGTAAAATTATTGAACTTTCAAATACAACCTTTATCGCTGACATTCCCACTTGGTTTCCTTGTATAGCGACAGCATTCACTGTTCTGCTCCTTATCGTCCTCATCCAGCTGATCACAATTCCATGCAATTCTATTCTCTTGTTCATGAAGCTTTCCTATTTTTGCTTTAGCTCATTCTGCATTCGAACATATCGTTTCAAATTGACAATGACGGAAATAACAACCCCATTCTTTGCCCCACCTCTAAACAATAGGAACACTTCTTATCAACATGTTTCAGACTCAATGACCTCATCATGGTTGCATATCCAGCCTTTTGTCTAATAAAAAGAAGCAGGTTTGTATTCGAGAAATAGTACGTTACCCCTTTTCATGGTGGTAACAGATAGTGACGAGGACTTCTATTAACGGAGATAATAGTTCTCCCCTCGTGATTTATTTCGAAATGTGATAAAAACTCCTAAAGTGTCACTCTCACGTGCGACCGCAGGTACATCTCCGAGCATCGCAAAAAGCAAAAATGTCAAAAAAAATGTGACGAAAAGCCCAAGTCTCATCCATGGAAACCACGATATGACGACCTTACCATTCACCTCATCTACAATTGACCAAGTACGATTAAATCTAATACACTACAACCTTTGGACCCAAGTGGAAGTACACAACAATTATATACTAAGCGGTTTACCCCCCTCCAAATTGGTTTCTACTGATCCTGATTCGAAACATGAATGGATTGTATGTAAACGATTGAATGAGCATCGCAAATTGAAAGTGAGGGAAATTAATTCTTGGTTCGAGGAGATAAAAGAGTATAAAAAGGATGGAAGCGAGGATGGCACTTCGGGAGACGTCGATGAGCCAGATTCCTGTACTGAAACCAGCATGCAAAATTCTAATATCAATGATGCACAGCAAAATGAAGTTGAAAACCAACTCCCATGTATCTCTGTCCAAAAGGAATCAATCTCCGAAGACAATCATTCGTCTACTTCCATTTGGAAACCGATTGATAATACCATGAATGGTAAAGGACGAGTACGTAGGCTAACAATTGCATTGATTAACGACGACGGTACAATAGTCTACTACTTCATTCATGATGGAATCACCAAACCTCGACAAAACTAAACTCTACAATGATGTATAATCGATTAATCTTTATTCCAACAAATGTGATACATATATACATACATAAATAATGCACACTTTTGATGAAACTTTGAAAGCTATGTACAATATGGGGTTGATTGATCTGTCAAGGTGCAAAGTAAAAACTCTAAAACATCAAAACATATAGAAAAACAGTAGATTTAGGACAAAGGGTGAAAATAAAACACGTAATTCATCATCATTGAAATAGACACAATATAAGCATAAAGTCTGTATTGCACTAATCCCTCGTATTCATCTATTCCTTCTTTTCTTCAGATGATGATTGTTCACCACCGTCTTTGTACAAATCCTTGAAAAGATCAATAGCTGCATTTTGCAATTCTTCGGTCTTGGCCTTCAAGTCTTCGGCAACAACTTCTTCACCGGCTTGTGCTTTCAAGACAATTTCTCTCAATCTTTCGATGTGTTCTTTAACTTTGTCAACGGCTTCAGTGGACAATTTCTCTTTATGTTCATTCAACGAGTTTTCAGTGTCGTTACACAATTGATCAGCTCTGTTGGCAGCTTCAATAGCTTCTCTCTTGGATTTATCGGATTCAGCATATTTCTCAGCATCATTGACCATCTTTTCAATTTCAGCATCAGATAAACCAGATGATCCGGCAACAGTGATGGAAGCATCCTTGTTGGAAGCTTTATCACGAGCAGAAACCTTAATGATACCATCAGTATCAATGTCGAAAGTGACTTCAATTTGTGGAACACCTTTTGGTGCTGGTGGAATACCTGACAAGGTAAAGTTACCAATCAACTTGTTGTCTCTGGTCAATTCTCTTTCACCTTGGAAAACTCTGATTTCAACCGAGGTTTGTCCAGCAGATGCAGTTGAGAAAATTTGTGATTTCTTGGCTGGAATAGTGGTGTTTCTAGCAATCAATCTAGCGAAAACACCACCCATGGTTTCAATACCCAAGGACAATGGAGTAACATCCAACAAAACGACATCTTTAACTTCACCAGCAAGGATACCACCTTGAATGGCGGCACCCAAAGCGACAGCTTCATCTGGGTTAACAGCCTTGGATGGTTGTTTTCCAAAGATGGATTTAACAGTCTCAATAACCTTTGGCATTCTTGACATACCACCAACCAAGATAACTTCAGAAATATCTGAAGTAGATAATCCAGCATCTTTCAAAGCCTTCTTACATGGTTCAATGGTCTTTTTGATCAATGGCTCAACCAATTGTTCAAATTGTGCTCTGGTAATCTTTTGGTTAATGTGTTTTGGACCAGAAGCATCAGCAGTGATGAATGGCAAGTTGATTTCAGTAGAAACAGTGGATGACAATTCAATCTTGGCCTTTTCAGCGGCTTCTCTAATACGTTGAATGGCCATTCTATCCTTTTCCAAATCAATACCAGTTTCCTTTTTGAAAGTGTCAACGATATTTCTAACCAATGCAATGTCGAAATCTTCACCACCCAAGTGAGTGTCACCATTAGTTGATTTGACTTCGAAAACACCAGCACCAATGTCCAAGATGGAAATATCAAAAGTACCACCACCCAAATCGAAAACAGCAACAACTTCACCATCCTTCTTTTCCAAACCATATGCCAAAGCAGCGGCAGTTGGTTCGTTAACAACTCTCAAAACGTTCAATCCAACAATTTTACCGGCATCTTTGGTAGCTTGTCTTTGAGCATCGTTAAAGTAAGCTGGACAGGTGACAACGGCACTGTTGATCTTTTTACCCAAAGCAGCTTCAGCGGTTTCTTTCATTTTGTTCAAAATGAAACCACCAATTTGTTGTGGTGAATATTGTTCGCCTCTAGCTTCTAACCAAGCGTCACCATTTCCGTGCTTGATAATCTTGTAAGGAACTTGATTGATATCTCTTTGAACTTCCTTATCTTCATATCTACGACCAATCAAACGTTTGGTGGCAAACAAAGTGTTTTCTGGGTTAACAACAGCTTGACGTTTAGCTGGAATACCAACTAATCTTTCGCCATCCTTGGTGAATGCAACAATGGATGGAGTAGTTCTTCCACCTTCAGAGTTTTCCAAAATCTTTGGAGTTTTACCTTCCATAACAGCTACAGCTGAATTGGTGGTACCCAAGTCAATACCAATGACTGGACCAGTTGGGGCAGCTGTGGTGGATTGTGCACGAACAGCGGCAAATCTAGTGGAGGTTGGTAATTGACGAGCAATGCTTCTCAACGAACTTCTAGCAGACAACATTGTTTATGTGGTTTATTCTGTTGAAAATTAGTGTCTCCAAATTGAATTTATTCAAAAAAGAATAGCAGTTGGATGGAGGAGGATTTTTGGAAAACTTTTTTATATTTGAAAATTTTATAAACGTCATTGCTTAGGAAATGTCGCAGTGATCTGGTAGCTCTATAGAATCATCATAGAATGTTGTAGAAAAAAAAAAGATCTCAGAACCGACAAAAGAATGAGTCCAACCAACTTTCGCAGCAAAAAAAAGAAAAAAAAATGTCTCAAGGGCCCAATTTCGATGCTGCCAAAGGCACCAACAAGTGAAGCGCAAGTGTGTAGTGACCAAAGAGAGTATGGAGGAATGTTGAACACTCCGTATTATCTTAAGAAAATATTGAAACAAGTCTGAAAATTGCAATGTATCCCTTCTGTTGTTGCTTCATTTTCGATGCCGGTCTCGACACAGACGCAATCAATGAGGACTCCTCGATACAAACGCAAGTCATGCAATTTAAATAAAGACGAAGTGAAAAGAACCACACAGATTGTTTATAATGGTACCAGGCAAGGAAGGATGTAGAATCATTTTTTAGAGCATTATTTTTATATCTCCACATCAATAACTACTTTATTTGACACAAAGTCACCCCTCTCTTATTCTTCTTTGCTTCCATTCATCCTGCTTCTTCTCACTCTTTGAGGTCTTCCGGAATATTGCCATTCATAACCCAAGTCAAGGATTTTTCCTTTCGAAAGCTTTCTAAGTATTCTATCATTTCATCATCCAGTTTGTTATACTTGTAGCTGCCCCTTTTTATAGCATCACAAATGCGTTTCCTTCTTTGGTATCTCTTACTCTCTTTAGATCGCGAGTCTCCCCTCCAATTAAGCTTTCCGTACTTGGCATCCATTTCACAAAGTGGCCCTTGACCCTTATAGCCTTTAAAAAACTCATCGTAAATATCACGAATGGAGGTTGGATTGTGAATAAACTCAATGTGAACTTTTGTTTCAGGTTTTACATTTTGGCCCTGATTGTTTGTAGAAGCATCTTGGTCCTCAGAAAGTAACTGATTTACCTCCTCATTTGCACCACCTCTTTTTCTCTTTCTTCCTCTAGGCTTTTGTTTCGCAGATGTGTCGTTTCGGGTTTCTCTTGAGCCTCGTGTTTGCTGCTGTTGGATTTGACTAGATGACGGATCTTGTCGCTCATTGGGAACCACGCCTGATATATGATGCAACTCGGGGTCCATATTATTCTCCAAATCTCTGTCTAAAGGATCCGGTACGGTGGTTTGATTCTGGTGGTGGGTCAATTGTTGTTGCATACGCTGCATCGAAACTCTATTGTGGTCAAGTATACTTTGTTGAACAATCAGACGTGGTTGCTGTGTCTGTAAATGATTCATGTTTTGGTTGATTTGCAGTGGCAAATTGTGACGCTGTAAATCACTCACATTGACACTATCTTGAAAAGCTCTGATTGAATGTAACATTGACTCATCGTCATCCTCTGTTACCTCAGGAGGAGCACCTTGTGCTCTCAATTCCATTTCAACTTCATCATCACCAGATTTCCCCTTCCTATGCATCAATTGTGTCACCAAATCTGTCAACAACAATGTGACTTTATCCAATTTTGCATTTTGGAAATCAAGCAACTGTCTCAGCATTGCCACTTCACGTTGCAAGGATAATATACGGTCATTTTCAAGTTTGCTCAATTGATTGGTCAACCGGTCAACCTTGGCCTCCAAAAACGCCACATTCTGATCGTTTGTACGAATACGCGAAGATGAGTTCATAGGATCGTGCAAATTATAACTCCAATTGTGTGTTTATCAACGTTAACCAGTGTCTTTTTTTTTGCAAACCCTTATGTATTGTCGTCAGCCTTTACAAGTTGCAAAAATGTCGGCAAAGGTTAGAAACCAGTTGTGACTTTTTATTGTGTTTATGTCTCATCAAAAGAAGTGGGCGATTTTCAGAAGAAAAAGAGTCTCGATCGCAAATGAGGCGCTACCAAACATGATCATTCACCACAATTGCAATACACAACAATGCTGTCAATCGTCTGACTCGGTTTAGTTATATTCCCCTATATCCGATTCTACCTCTTCAGAGCTACTTTCTGCAACTTCTTCTCTATTTTCCGCATCCGAAGCTCCGTCCTCGTCCTCTGTTTCGTTGTCCACATTTCCTTGACCGGCGTTCTTTTCACCTTGATCGGTCTCATCTACAGCAGTTCCTAATAAAGCCTCCTCACTGATATCGTCCAATTCATCAAATCTCGCTGTAAATGTATCGCCAAATAATGCCAATAAAGCAACACACCTGCCTTTTGAGTTTATATAAACCGCCCTGCATTTTTTATAGTCACCATATACCTCCTTAGTAGTTAAGCTCAATTGCATCAAGTTCGACAGCTTCGGGAGAAATAACCCAATGTTATCGGTGTATTGCGTCATTGTTTTCAAAAGTTCGGTGATATTGAATGGTTGCATAGCATATAAATTGAATTCATGTCGATCATAGTTCGTGCCTCCCCATGGTGGGGAGCTGAATATAAAGTCAAATATCCGATTAGATGGTACGTTTTTCCTTGCTTCTCGTATACTTTCCGGAATCCAATCGTAATTTATTTCTTTATTCTCTTTAAGTTTAGTAATTTCTCTCCAGTCGGCTTTCAATGTCCACGTCTTATCTTGAACTTGATATACCTGTGCATTATGTTCAGCACAACACAAATTCGTGCCATTGATTTCTATCCCACCTACTGAGTCAAAAAATTGGGCAAACTGGATCATATTCCCGCCTCCTCCGCAACACACATCCAATCCGTAATTAGCATCGGGTGGTAAAATCTTGACAAAGAGCTGTGCAATATATTTGGCAATCAATTCTGGAGTCACACTATACCATAGTTCTGCTGAAAGATATATACCTTCGTCGTATCTAGAAAATAATTCGTATCTTCGATTCCAAAATTTTCGCAGTGATAATGGTAGTGTGTGATATGTATGCATTAACAACTCACCATTGTACAGATGTTCACTGTAGTAATCATCCTCTTGTGTTTCGTACTCCTGGGTTCCCTGCTGGTTTTGTTGTATACTTTGATCAGTATCTTCAAGTCTAAGTTGACTCTTTTTCTTGTTCCCACGTTTCTTTTTCCTCCTTTGTTTCCCAATTTTTCCAGGAGAGGGAGACCTTTCATACGACATATCATTTAGGTTATCTGGCTTTCCATTATCTCTATCGACAGGTTCAATCGAAGTCTGAGACATTGTAAATTGATTAAGTGTTAAGAAAAGGTTAAGCACATAGAAAATGTGATATTTGTTAAAAATTCGGCGCTACCGATGTTTGCGTGATCACAGGGTTGGATAGTTGGAGATTGTGAGGAGAGTGACAGTGCACCATAGCATCATTTATGCAGTGAATACATACGGAAGGGATCCATCAATTACATAGGATCACACTTGAGACAACACCAAATCGAATTGTTTTTACTCGTACAATAAACTAATACACAGAAGAAAATCCCAATAGCCCTAACTTAATTCTCACTACATTGTCCACACTTTACCTTCGGCAAGGAAGATTTTATTATCCTCTTGCATCTTTTCAAGTCCAGATTCAAGTTCAAAGTCTGTGAACTTTTCCTCTTGTGCCATTTCGTCATTGATAGCCTTCATGACGCTATCAATTGGTGCGATACGTTGTGACTCTGGACCGGTAAACACATCTGAACGAATCACCTTCTGAAGCACTCTTTTGAATGTCTGGAACCTCTCAGAGCTTATTGTTGACGTTTGTTCGGTGTTTGTGGCTCTATCACCCAATGGACGATGCACATTGGAACTCGATTGATCTTCTTCGACCAACACAGCTTCTTGTTGTTGCTGCTGTTGTTGTTCATTTGCATTAGTGATGTGAAATTGTTCCAACTCTTCACCAACTTCCTCAGTCTCGCCGTCCACATCTTGTTCTCCTAATGGTAGTTCTGGTGTGGTATCTGGTGTCCTTTGTTCTTGTTGCTGTTGCTGTTCCATTAGCCTCGTTCTCCTAGTACTTGGTCTTGTTCCTGTTGATTCCTCTTCCGAATCCTCGTCAGATTCCAGTTCTGAATCAAAAGTTTCTTCAACCGTTCTTCTCTTCTTGTTTTGTTTCTTGGGAATTTCCTTAAACAAAGCGTACCGCAACATCTCTTCGGCAACCTTAGCATCCTTAACCTCAACACTTTTAGATAATCTCACCTTGGCATGAGCGGAAGCTAAACGAATCAAAGTTTCCAAAGTTCTTGCAGTTATTGGCGCCGTGTTTCTTTGATTGTTTCCGATCAAATCATTTCTTAGCGACGAGTAAGTAGTGACAATATAATCTGATGCGCTCTTTGTCAACACAGGCTTGATTCTTTGTTTAGCGTATTGAATATACTTTTTCAAAAATGGTATTGACAAAATTGTGGGCGATTTCTTTGAACTCCTTGCAACACCCGCATGCAACAAAGCATTGAACTTTTCAAATATTGGTTGTTCCAATAACTCTTGTTCATTTACCTCATCATCACCAACGGCCAACGTCACACTAGATTTTTCCCTAATTGGCTCCCCTTCCATCATGCCAGGTGGCACAAATCTGTGCATTCTCAACACATGTTCAGAAATCACTCTATCCTTTGTCGGATTCACATCATCAGTGACAACGAATAACAAATCAAAACGAGATAAAAGCGAATCCGGCAATGCGATGTTTTTATGTGGGTCCTTGTGCACATCATACTGGCCGAATACCGGGTTAGCTGCAGCAATGACTGAACAACGAGCATTTAAGGATGTATGGATACCAGCCTTGGCGATAGTAACTGTTTGTTGTTCCATGACTTCATGAATAGCAACTCTATCTGAATCAGACATTTTATCAAACTCATCAATACACACAATTCCTCTATCTGCTAAAACCATCGCACCAGCCTCTAGTCTTCTTTCACCAGTTTCCTTATCTGTCGTGACTGCAGCGGTCAAACCAACACCGGATGACCCTCTACCAGTTGTTGCAATGGCCAATGAGGCCGTATTCAAAACAAATCTTAAAATCTGAGACTTTGCAGTCGATGGATCACCAACCATCAAAATATTTATATCTCCTCTCAAATGTGTACCATTATCCAAATTCTTTTCCACACCTCCCATCATCATCAATAAAACTGCCTTTTTTATGTGCTCAAACCCATAAATTGAGGGAGCTAATGATTGGGATAAAATGTCAAAAATCTTTTTGTCCTTTGAGAGCTTGTTAATGTTTCTAATATCGTGATCAGTAATCTTTTCTTGCGAGGCAACTCCTGTTGATCTCGCATGTAATGGGTAAACCGAGTTACCTAAAAGAACCGTCTTGAATGAGGAATTGTTGTTTACGCCACCACCCAATGCACGGTAAACACCAACTATTTGAACACGATCTCCTGGTTTCGTTAAATCGACTAAATCGTCATCCAAAATAACATCAACCGATCTTGGCAACTGACCAGCTGGAGCGGTTTCTGGCATCTCTTGGACGGATATCTTTTGATGGTCTTTGTATGTTGAATAACCATACTCAGTGGTCAATTTATTTCCATCCATATCCTCTGTGGGGTAAATTGGAGGGGTTGAAATAGCATCGAAAGAAGTGGTTTGATCTCTGTATTCTCTAGCATAAAACCTGCCTGTAGCATCGGCATATTGAACCGACCTGATAACCTTAGGACGAACCAATGAAGCTCTCGTGACAATACCTTCAATAGAAACCATCTTTGATAAATAGTTTGAGTCAATAGACCTAGGGGTAATCGAATGATTACCAAAAGCTCCCTTAAAGCTCAAGTAATATTGTTGGTTGGTATCGAAATCATTTGGGAATGATGAGTCGCTTGGGTCGTAGATTGTTAAAACAGTATCTCTCACGGCACGTTCACAAGCTGGCAAATAATCAGCTGGTTGATTTAATAAACCTTGCCAAAATTCTCTGTCAAAATCTCTTATTTGGTCAATCGAAACATTCAATCTATATTTACCTTTGATAATCAAGTCTCTTATTTGAGCTCTGTAATCAACGCCGGTGTTTGAATCAATTCTATCCAAGAACTCCTGAAACCTTCTTACCCTGTCACCAAACACAGCATCCAAAGGTTGGTCATCAAATTGAGTAGTATCGTCCATGACTGATTTAGTGAATCGACGATAGAAATGATAATAATTTGAGCAAAAAGATCAGTCGAAGTGTGTGAATTTACGATTCCTTTTTCTATAAAGCATCAGGAATGGGTTTTGCAAGAAGGAAAAATAAAAAAAAAAAAATTAGAAAATCAACACGCGTTTCATAAGATTTCCCAATGCGGTTAAATTAGAATGGTGCGGATGTAGTACAATTTCAGGTTTCACCGCCTACGACAAGTGCTGAAAGACATCAGCCTCGTAACCATTACGCATATACACTTAATCTTCTTATAAATTCCATCCTTGAAGCAAGTAATTTCCTTCCTTATCCTTCTCTGACAAAACACCATCGAAGGTTTCAAATTCAAGAGCAGCTTGACTCTTGTATCTACGCGATTTTTCAGTTTCCAACAAACTCTGATAACTCCAATCCAAAAAGTCCTCCATATTGTAGTTCGGCTTTCGAAATGGTTCACCAAAAATTTTGGCCAACGTGGCGATATTTGGATGATAATGCCTCATCAACGTTTCTAATTCCCAGAGCGATGATTTGATGGCTTGCGTATTTAAAGGATTCGTCTCAAGATTGTCAAAGGGGTCTCCAACTTGTGCATTGTCGTCTGTATTATGCAACATTATCATACAAGTTGGATGTCTTTTCAACAAATTGTAAATGAATGGGATGATGATAACCACACCTGACGCACTTGATGTCAACGATAATCTTGCTAGTTTCTTTATAAATGAAGCCACTAAATTTGCAGATAAGTGGGTGGATGACAAGAACAAATCACATAACCGAAAGAATCTAGATCTATACCTCGTGTAAAACAACTCAGGTCTCAATAACGAATATAATTTGGAGTAAAAATCGGGATACTCCAAATTATAGCTCTTCATCAACTCGTAAAGCGAGTTGAGTGATAAAATTGGTATAATCAAGTCGTCCTGTAAATTATATGCATCTGTTAAGAAATCCATTAGGCTCTGAGGTTGTGACATGTATGGAATGATTCGTTTATGTAGAATGGACAAGATCAATTTGTATTGAGATGAAGACAATGGGTACGATAAAAGTGACAACACACATTTTTGAAAATGCGATTTGAACTTGTTGTGTTTGTAAATGGTTGATGGCAATATATCTTTTACAACAAGTGTATTTTCATTCTCGAGGTCCTCCGAATGAAATTGGAGTCCATTTCGTATAATCGTGACAAAGTTTGCAAATATTCTCTGAAGTTCCTTTTCAGATAAATCGTCCTTCCAAGAACATAATACCTCATTCAAATTGTCGAAAAAGTAAAATTGCAAATCCCAGTGGTGCTTGAAAGTGTCAGCAAAATCCATAACGATGAAGTTATTAGATGATCCATCTGGCAAGACTTTGCCTATGTTACTATGTAATATTGCTTCAAGAAATAGCTGATACGTCTTTTTGGGAAATTGCTTTTCTAAAGTTTGACTTTCCAACTTGATGAGATTCAAAAAAACTTCCATTGAGTCTAATTGCAATGACGTTTCATTGGATAGATCAGTCAGTAACATCTTGAGTATTGTTGATTTAAAAGCTTTGTATTTATCTGCCAACCAGTTGACGACTAGTCTTTGCTTTTCGTTGTGTTTCTTGGATCCTACCATCATCCCCTCCTTGAATAATGCTTCAAATCGTTCGAAAAGGGTAAGAAGAATATGGCGGCCCATTTTCTCTGTGTCTGTAACCTCCTTTTCCATAAAAGTGCTCGGAATTCTTTGTAATAGACTGAGCAAAGTGATAAAGTTGTTAAACTTTGATGCATCTCGAATCTGCTCTCCAAGTGAAGTTACATCCTCCAATGACAACACAGTTAGTTCATCCTTGTGTCTCTTCTGTTTGTTTGTCTCTGATTTTTGAGAAGGCTTTCTCTTTGGCGGCATTACGGTCACAGAGTCAATCAGCTTAAATAATCGTTGTAACCTCAATTATTGATGAGATGAGTACCCTTCCCTTTTTCTTTTTTTTTTTTGCATCACCAAACACGACTCTTTTTGGGTTTTGTCTCTCACTTTAAATACCAAACCACAATTGAGAAAAATTTTTCTACATCTTCTTTTTCCCCTTCTTTTTTCTCTTTTCTTTGTATGACCTTCCAAGTTTTATACTACATGATGAAATCTCGCGTATCAGTCATTGATTATGGCCCTCTTTTGGAGTTGTAGTTAGCCTTCGGGCTGATTCCTTTGAGAGAAATTGCGGATCCTCCGTTGGGTTTTTTTTTGATATGATGACAGTGTCTGGCGCAACTATATCTTGTTACATTCTTACAGACGCTTTGGAGAACTTCTGACCCATAACAACTTGAAAGGTTGTACCGCTGAGAGTCAACAGCTATGTAGTTGAACAAATTGTCAGGAATCAGAGGTTCCTAAATCTCGAGTCACTGGTTGCTGAGCAATCGCAATTGTGAGAGATTCCAATGGCTTTCTAGTCAATTTACCGATTTTTCAATTACTGGCAGATAACGCTCGTTTCTTCAAGAACTTACGACTTCTTTCATCATCGGGATGTAAACTGCTCCTCTACAGTCCTTCACAAAAACAAAGATTGACCACATGTAAGCACGTTACACTACCTATCTCTAGTTACTAGTCCAAGATGTGGCTAATACCTCGAGACATCACCAATCGATTCCAGCCTAAAAGGGTCCATCGGGTACAATCTTATCTCCGGATTATTTTTTCTTCACCGAAATTCATAGCACTATTCCTGTCTTCACGATTTTTCCGATTGTTTCTTCGATGAGCAATTGTTTTACCTCGTCACAGAAACTCCGGTATCAGCGATGAAGACTGAGGAAAGCAAGAGCGGCTCTTCCGAGGTCAAGTATAATTGGTTTCAAAAGTATACAATAATATTTATCAGTTCATTATGCTCAGTCGTATACGCAACTATACTATGTACTGGTGCAATAATCCATAGTTGGTATCAAGGAATCAAAGGCGAGAACAATTTGAAACCACCTGATATTGAAGTTAGAAGTCATGGATATGTACCGAGACAAGCGTTCCAAGACATGAAATCACTCAAGGCGTCTCGCGATTTGCAGTATTATCTTCAGGTATTAGGTTTAGATTTAGAAGAATATGACGTTACGACTTCAGATGGGTACATTTTAGTCTTGCACCATATAATAGACCCAAAGGAAACAAAGGAGCAAAGAGATTTGAGAAAACCAGTGTTTATGCAACATGGACTTCTATCGTGTTCAGGTAACTTTATTGCCAGTGGACAAAATTCATTGGCGTATTACTTTCACGAACAAGGAAAAGACGTCTGGATGGGAAACAACCGTTCATGGTTTAGAGCACGCCATGCTACGATAAAGGGTAACTTGTACAATAGCGAATTGTATTGGAAATGGGGAATGAAGGAGTTGGCGTATCAAGATTTACCGGCTATGATTGAAACAGTGATGAGCATGAAACCAAAACATGACAAGCTTACTTTATTCGGGCATCTGCAAGGTGGTCTCCAAAGCTTCCTTATGTTGCTGAACCCGAACTTTTCGTTTATTCATGAAAAAATTGATTTATTTGTACCATTAGCACCTGCAATCTATCCGGGACAATTGTTTTATACACGATCATTCATCAAAATACTCGTCAAGCTACCCAAATCATTGTGGACGATGATATTCGGGTTTTGTGCCATGCTTCGAAACTTGTGTCTTGTTCGTGACACGATTGCTCAAACATGGTTGTTTGGTAAACTATCCTACTACATGTTTAAATTTTTATTCGGATGGACTGGACGAAACTGGGGTAGCGACAAATTGGTGTGGCACATCCTTTTTATTTTTAATATGAGCTATGTCTCGGTTCAATTGATGCAGTATTATTTGGCCAATTTTGCGCCCGGTGGCTTTGTCGAAATGTTGCAACCAAAAGAAACGTACTTTAACGGTGATCACTATTCTGTTAATACGTACAAATCAAATGATGCAAAAATGGCTTTTCCGTATCACATTTCCTGGTTTGGGCAAACCTGCAAAGTACCTATTTTAATCTTTACAGGTGACGATGATTATCTTGTTGACGGAAAACGATTGGTGTCACATATGCAACATTACGAGCCAGGGTACATTGAAGGTCAGAATTTCAAGCACTTCAATATACCCACCTATAACCATTTGGACATTTGTTGGGCTGAGGACGTTATTGGAACAGTTGGTTACGAGGTTTGCAAAGAATGGGAACAATTGGAAGGAAGAGGAGAGGAAGGAGTTAATGAAAAACGCGTAAGTAGTGAGACACCTGACATGTGAGTGTATATCCCAATTTGGTGTGGCCGCGAACGTTGAGTATTCCTTTCACAATGTCACGAAAGGGCACCTTTGTATTTATTAATTGTATTATATCCATATATCAAATATTGAGTGAACCATCCATCTTTGAAAAAGCGCAAATTTGACATATTAAGGATAAAACAATGATGGCGTCAAGGAACAATCTTAAAGCATTACTCAAAAGAGATAGACGCATGCAGTGTGTTATTGCCTCTTTAAAATAGTATCAGCCACTCATATACACGTTCCTTAGTTATTTTGATGGCTCTTTCTATTGTGTCAAGTTTTTCTACACGTCATTTTCACCAAAGCGCAATATTGGCCTGAAAAGTAAGTTATTCAATATTGCCACCTTGGCTTTTCAATGAATATGAGGACTCTTTACTTGCATTCAATGCGTAGCAAAATATAATCAATTATACTCTACCAATCAGAAGGCTATAATGTGCTCGATAATATACACCGAAATTAGAGTTAAGGTTCAATTCCCATTTCCCCTCCGAGACTTCTTTAGCATGACATTAATTTTTCGCCAAAACCCTCTTTTTTTTTCCGTAGTTAACCCACATTGTATCGACCACAATTTTTCTTACAAGAAGAACATTGACCAAACTCTTACTTTGCTACTGAATCCACTCCACCTTTTGCTTTCTGACTAACATTACTCACAATCGACAGAGTTTCAGCCGTTGGGTTTTTTAAAAAGTAAAAAAATAAAATAAATAAATAAATAAAACCTATTAAAGCAACGACAACTGAAATATTTCCCCACCCCCGCCACACACTTGAAACATGACTAAACAACAGATTCCAATCTGGCTAGATTGTGACCCTGGAAACGATGATGCATTTGCAATCTTACTTTCGGTGTTCAACCCGCGCTTCAAGTTGTTAGGAATATCTACCGTTCATGGTAATGCACCATTGGACATGACGACACATAATACGTTAGCCATGTTGGATCTATTGAATATATACAGTATCAAAGTTTACGAGGGTGAAGACAAACCGTTGGTAAATGCTCCTCGCCATGCATTAGACGTCCATGGCTCAAAAGGAATTGGAGGGGTGGACTTACCGGAAACGTCAATCAACAAATGCGTCACTTCGATTTCATATGTTGATGCAATTAAGGAAGCCATTGATGCACACGCCCATGAAATCTGTCTTGTTGTTACCGGCACAATGACAAATATTGCTCTTTTGATTAAAAAGTATCCTGAGGTTGTTGATAAGATCAAGTATATATCTGTGATGGGAGGTAGCTTTGGTATGGGTAATGCCACTTCATATGCCGAATTCAACTTTCACACAGACCCCCACGCTATCAAAGCCGTTATGGATAAATTGCAGGATAAAATGATCTTAACACCATTAAATCTCACTCACAAAATCATAGCTAATGGTGCTATTCGGAAACAGATTTATGATGAAGAAGATGAAACAAGAAATAGTCCGCTAAGAAAAGCCTTTTATGAGATATTGATGTTTTATAGCAAGGCATATGCTAAACTAGAGGATATGAAGAGTGGACCTCCATTACATGACCCAGTAGCAGTCTATAGCTTGCTTCCAATCATTGACAAAGATTGCGCTAAATACGGTTACCAATATTTAAGAAGAAAGTTGGATATAGTAATTGGTGGACCTCACGAGGGAGAGAGCATAATCGTGAATAAACTGTTACCGCTCGATAAGTCAGAGAATGAAAGTGTCTATATTGGGGAGAACTTGAATGCACAACAGTTTTGGAGCTGCATGTTAGATGCATTGCATACAGCTGAGTTAAATTTGAAATAGAATCTAGAAAGTACGTAAAACGTTCAAACTTTGTTAGAGTGGCCCTTTTCGGGTAGAGTATTTACTTCTGACATCTTCTTTGCTCTAATATAAATATATTGAAAATAAATCAAATAAATCCTGCAAAAGTCTTGGGGTCTGCAAGTTGATGCTTGAGGTCTATCTGTAGTATCATTTACATATCAGCGCCTTGTTCTTCCACTGGTACGGTAAAAGCACCTGACAAGTAAATAGCTGGTTCGTGAATGTTGTGATGTTGATAACTCAAAACACCAACACCACCGGCATCCAACATCAATTTTGGATCATGGTTGATCTCTTCGTGTACCCACCTAGCAACAAGACACCTCAAGATGTGTCCATGAGCAACAACAATAATATCACTAGGTTCGCAATCTTCCAATGCCTTGACGTGAATCAGTTTCAATTTGTTGATGAATCGGTCAACTCTTTCAGTAACTTGTTTGTAATCCTCACCACCTTCACAGCCATCCCTCCAAATCAGCCATGGATGATCGCACGAATCAAGGCCTCTTTCCAACCTTGATTGTCTAATCGCAGCGGTCTTTTTACCTTCATAGTCACCATAATCCCATTCTCTAATATCGTCATCATACTCAATAGGGATTTTGTCTCTAATTTCTGGAGGAATAGCCTCCAAGATCAATTGAGTGGTATGTCTAGCTCTACGTCTTGGACTGGAGAAAATCTTGGTGATATTCTCTGGCTTGATCATATTTGTACGAGATGGTCCAATCAAGCATTCACCAGTTCTTCTCATTTGCATCTCTCCAAACGGAGTTAGTTCAATATCAGTAACCGATGTGTGTTGACCACTTTTGGACCATTCTGTTTGACCATGACGGACAAATATAACCCTAGGGTCTTTGTACTTGTGTTCTGTTGTCATTAAAATGCAGGGAAAGAGTTATACGAGTAACACAGGACTTTTTCCTATACTGCTGATTGTAATTACCGAGAAGAGAAGAATATGCTACAATCGTTGAATGGGCAATCTTAAGAAAAAGTTTTAAAGAACGGGAAAAATGGCACATTGTAGTACAAAAACGAGTTCGGATAATTATTGCGGAACTGAATAAAATCATCTTTACACAACAACATAATGAAACCAATGCAGCGGAAAAGGGTGAAACTGAAAGCAGGTGGGGGTGCACCCAAGGAACTTCCAAGCCGTTTGAAGAAAAACGTGGCTCTAGGAGATTTCAAATATCGAAACTCAATAGCATGCACCATGATATGCAGGGGAACCGTTGAGACGGCACCCGCATATCCGCCTTCCATTATAGTAATAAACTTGTCAGCAAATGCCATGAATATTATCACTTCATCTTCTATTCTTTAGCTAGCTTGGCTTTTGTCTACCACCTCTTCCCATCTCTTCCAGATCAATATTTCCCCGGCCGCAAATATAACTCGTCTAAGATCGAATGTGAGACTTTTGCAAGAACTTTAGCCACAGATTTTGTTAGAACCAAGCTCTTGGACTGTGGTACTTGTAGAAAGTTCTGTCGTTAAGTTAGCTTAACTGTAGCTCAGTTACGTTCTTGTAAAAATGCGTACTTGTAGATTTTGCTACTTTAGCAACGTTAAGTAGTTGCCAAGCAAGATTTTGCAAACCCTCCTTCAATTGGAACACTACTAGATCGGATCCCTGGCACAGAAAAAGACTAGATTAGCTGCTTTTTACAAGTATACGTATTGTTGCAAAATTCGTTGTAACATTCCTGTATGGAGAAAGTGAGAGAGAATTGAAGAAAAATTTCACAAGGTCTGCGATTACATACATCACTTCACTTCAATCCTATTCCGTCACATCATGAGCTCTCCGAAAGCACAGATAACGCAAAAGTTGATATCGGTATTGAAAACTTTGCCCAACGAGAGGTTGAAACCGTACGCGTCTTTCAAGGAGTCACAACTAAAAAGATTCGAAGATCGGGATGTCGTATCTTCGATTTCGGAAGAGGATTTAAAATTGCAATTTATAGCTTTGAAAGAGCTCGTGAATGATAAGTACAAGAACTATTATAAACTAAATGACAAGTTGTTGAAACCAAAGGGTAATCCAGAGTACTACAATCGTTTGATGAGTGAGATTAGAGGTGAAAAGAAAGAATCTTTGCTAACAGCAATGAGAACAATCGTGTTTGGTAAATAGAAAAAGAGTATTACGGATCCAACTTTTTATTTTGTAAATAGATACTAATGATATATGTTCAATTCAGTCGATGGAGGTTTGTCTTTGATGGGCATGTAGAGTGTTGAATTAAAATGCGTGCGTGTCAAAATCGCAAAAACTTTAGCGAATCATACCATCGTTTAAAGTATTTTTTCAAATACTATCCTTGTTAGGCATCTGAGTATTCCACATGTCATTCAAAAGAACTATCCAGCAATCAAAGCCACTACAGTCGCTATTGGTATTGGGTGGTTGTTTTATCATCTTTATATGTTACTATTCAAACATATTTAGTTTTTTGTCAGGTTCATCATCAACCTATACACCGGAGGAGATCAATACTTTGTTGCAAAACAAGGAGTCGCATATAGTTGCATTGAGAAAGACCGAATTAGCTGCACAAGGCTTGACCAAACCATACCTAGATGACAGTCATTTTCATGTCAAGAATTGGAATCTCAATGGGCATCCACTCGTGGAAAACAATGAGTACATAAGATTGACCTCTTTGGTCCCTCACTCTGCCTCCAATATGTTTAGTAAAATGCCTATACAGGCAGAGTCTTTTGAAATGGAGTTGACTTTCCATATTCACAACAGCGAAGCCAAACATGGTTTGGTAGGTGATGGCTTGGCTGTGTGGATTTTAGATAGACCTAGTGAAATCGGTGATGTATTTGGTGTTCGTAATGAGTTCAACGGGCTTGGAATTATGATGGACACATACAAAAATGGAAAGCGTGATACGTTTCCGTATGTGAATTTAATGATGGGAGACGGACGATCTCGCTATAACAAGGCTACTGATGGATATGAGACTCGTTTGGCAGGGTGTCTGGCCAAGGGACTTGTGAACCCATCTTCAAAGGAAACCAAAATGAGATTGGTATATATCAAAAACGGATACTTGTCCATTGATTTCAATTATAACGGTAAACATGAAGATTGGGAAAACTGTGTGACGTTAACTGACGTTCAATTGCCCATGATCAAATTCCTCGGTTTAAGTGCTGAAACTGGTCAATTATTTGAAAATGTTGATATAATAGAAAATAAAATGTACGCCTTGTACAAGCCCAATGGCGGATTCGTCGAATCTATCGACGAGTTGAACGACTTGATCCACGAGCAAAATGAGTTCGAGCATGAGGCTGCCAATTTAGCAGGCATCAATGACCAAGTGAACCAGCAGGCGAAGAAGTCTGGTGGTCGAAATAGGGCGTTTAAGAAGAAATTGTCTGCACAACGTCGAAGGACATTGAAACGATTAAAGAATGCTGAAAAGAGGATAAAGGAAAGAGAAAGAAAAGAAAGGTTGGAAAAGTATGGTGATCCGGATGCAACTTTTATCAAGAGATTAATGGGTAGTACGTTGTGGTTCGTCAAGATTGTCATTTACACGGTCATTGCAACCATTTTGCTTTGGTTTGTATGGATTGTCATTCGAGTTCAAAAGCAGAGGAGAAAGAAGAAAACTGCTGGTTTATTAGATTAAATACATTAACAATTTAACTAAAGTTTTCTTTGTCATATTCACTAGTGTCTTTTTCTGAGTTGTTCTTTTTCAAGCAAGTCACTCTCTTTAAGTAACTCCACATCGTCCCTTTCTGTGGTCAATAAAAGTCCAAACGTGTCTCTGCTTATACCAAGTAATCTATTCAAAAACTTTTCATAAGATTTCAAAGAGGGGCTGAATGGGTTCAATTCCAATGAGGAGCTTAGTAATTTGAATCCACAACGTATCAAGGTTCCCTCTTGTTCTTTGTCGAATGAGTAAGCATCAGTGACAACAAAGATAGTTCCATTCTTGGTCTTGGATTTCTTTTGTAACAAGTATTCCTGATACAACTCCCTTGCTCTTAATACAGCCCATTCAATCAACAACTGGTCAAAATCAACTTTTTTGAAAACTTTTCTAACGTGAATACCAGTGATATTGACAATGAAATTATCTGGCGTTGATTGCTCCCAATCTGGTTTGAGTGTACCAATGGCAATTGGCTGATCTTTGTAGATAATCAATTCTGAGTTTTTCCCATTCTTCAAAAGTGGTGTTTTGGGATCCTGAGCAAACTCTTTTACGTCAAAACCAAAAGTATAATCACAATATTTTTGCGCAACATATCGATCAGTGATGGCACCAACTTCATCACCCAATATGTATGCAATAAATCCAAAAATACCAAAAATACCAGCAATGGTAGGACCTGACTTGATTATATGGAATATGAAATCCCGTTTGTTTCTTGACGCAATGAAGTATAATTCTACCAAATTATCACTGATTGAAATGTAATCCCACAATGCGTAGACTAAAATGGATGGGAAAATTAATGAATACAATGCAAGTGAATAAGGATGCCATATAATAAAACGAGTTAAATTAGCCTGTGATTGTTTGTATCGGTCTCCATGCAATGTGACTGCTGCTTTGGTCAATTCAGGAGTCAATGCCGATTTGGACAAGGTTGATGGAGCTCTTGCATCCAAAGGTGTATTCAAGTCAATATCCTTTTGAGTCACCATAGTTTCAATGTATACAATTTCAGTCCAACAGAAAGGAGTGTTTGCAACTATTCTCAATTGTAAATTCGCTTGGAAATGGAACTAAGATGAGATGAGGAATAAAAAAAACACTTGGCTTAAATATTCCGAGCCAGCTTTGTTGTTTTACTAAGTGATACAAATGTACGTTACCTAATGGGCTCTTTGTTGTTAGATGACTTACGTGAAAAAAGAAATGAAACCATTTCAACATAGAAAAAAAATTGGTCTCCCTTTTGTGTAACAAATTCAAAACTTTAAAAGAATTGGATTATTAGCGCACGTGGTGCATTTCCTAATTGAGACGAGTACGTGAGGCTCAATTGCTTATTTAACTGTAAATGAATCAACAATGTTTTGGTGTTGATATGAAGACCTTTCATCGGTCAAATTTGTATTTCTAGTTTGTGCCAAATGTAAGCAAAAGGGCCGATTATAATATCTCACTTCGCCACAATTTGTCGATGCATGAACGGGCTGGAAAAAGGTACCAAATTTATCAGAAGAAGCAACTGGGGGAGGGGGATAATCAGGTGATGAAATTGTTTATATTGTATATTCGAGTTTCGACCTCAAGCTACATGGGTTCTTATGTAAACAGGATACTGCTATATTTGATACCATGATCAATGCATCGCCAGAAGCTTTCCTGCAGAGCCTTGAAAGGTTGGTACAAGCTCAGTTGGTGGATTCGTGACTATTGTTCAATCACTACCGCTTCCGAAACTCTTTCTTTAATAGTATACCTTCTTTCAACTGATGTGTGTTAAAAAATCTTTCATTTTGCATCGCGCTAATTTTCCCATTGTGGAAACTGTGGCTGCAAATAATTGCAAATCAATTTAATTTTTTTGTTGATGATATAGAGCCACTTATACCTATCTGACAAAGAAATCAGTTGATCAAAAAACGAAAAGGTATATATCTCTTCCAAACATCCTTCAAATTACTACATTTACATATCTTTGTCAAGTTAGCCCCTATTTCAACATGCCCTCCATTTCCAACTTGAACTACGAAGTTCCAGTTCTGGTGTCCCCATCACAAATTGAAACTATTGCCATTATTGGTGGTGGAGCTTCAGGGGCTATTATATTGGACAGCTTGCTCAAAGAACCAAACTCTAGAATCAAAAGTATAACTATATTCGAAAGACAACAAAAAGTGGGGGGGATCTGGTATTTCAATCCTCAAACTATACCAACTCCCAATCATATCGTTAAAGCAGGCAACATAAATTTCCAAAATGATCCACAATTAAATAACCCATTTCATGTTCATAAGTACACTCGAAAGTTGATTCTTCCTAAAAACACGCAAGAAAGATTTATCCAGACCCCTAGCTATCATGGTATCAAAACCAACATCATTGAGAAGATGATGACGTACAGTGACAAAAATAAGTGGCCAGTGGAAGGTGCTGATGAGGAAAGAAAATACGTTGCTGGAACAGTTGTACAAGAATACATCGAGGAATACATTGGTCGAAATTTGTATGACCCAAGAGTCAATTTGAAACTAGGATCGACTGTTGAAGACGTGGAAAGAATTGATAGAAATGATGATGCTCCAATACCCTACAAGTTTCGTTTGACAATACGAGAGCAATATGATGACAAACAGGACTACTGGTACCAAAAAGAGTTTGACTCGATCGTCGTGGCAACCGGACATTATCATGTACCCTTCATTCCAGGAGTGTCAGGCTTGAGAGAATTACAAGAAAAGCATCCTAATGTTGTACAACATGCTAAGTTTTATCGAAGTTCGGATTCATACAAAGACAAGACTGTGGTAGTTGTTGGCTCGCGTGCTTCAGGTAGTGATTTAACGAAGTTTGTTGCGAGAGAGCCTGGTACCAAAGTTTATCAATCAATCCGTAACATTGATCGTACCAAAGTTTTTTCAAATAAGCCCAACGTAACAACGAAGCCTGTTATAGAGAACATTGAGTTATCAAAGAATAACATTGTTGTTAGATTCGCTGATGGGTCAGTCGTCACCAACCCTGATCACATAATTTATTGTACTGGGTACCTTTTTTCCTATCCATTTTTGGATAGATTGTTTGACAAGTCTCTTACGAACGATGGAATAACAGTTTCAAATTTATATCAGCACACTTTTATCATCAATGAGCCATTGATCACTATCATTGGAGTCCCTGTCGATGGCGTTTCCTTTAGAGTATTCGAATATCAAGCTATCTTATTGTCGAGATATTTAACAGGCAAGATTGAATTAATTTCACGCAACAAGCAACTTGAATGGGTCAAACAGAGGTATGAATTGAAAGGGAACTCTAGATTGTTTCATACCATTGGCGTTACAGATGCTTTAGAATATGCAAAAACATTAACACAATTGGGTCACGTTCTGGAAAAGGTAAGAGTGGGTCGTCAGTTTCCTTCCATGACAGATGACGATATAGCTGTGTATAAGGAGGCAGGGGAGAAGTTGAGAAAATTTTGGGACGAAAGATAGATGTTGATTTTCGTAAAGAAATAAATTCAGTAGAGCAATAGATAATTTTCATCTAGCGTTGTTCTATTATTTTTTTGCTGAAATTGTTGCAAAATTCTCTAGTCGCCAATATGGAAATCTCATCCCATCCGCAATGACTAAACACTAACTCACAACGTGGAAAGTGTTCACCCATCGTAACAAAGTATAAAGGAATGGTGCCACTAGCATAGCTCGTTGTAGTTTTCAAATCATATTAGAAGTGATGGAAAAAAAATTTAGCGTCGCCCGGTTTCGATCCGGGGACTTCAGGGTTATGAGCCCTGCACGCTTCCACTGCGTCACGACGCTATTTTATGGGAAAAAAGTACCTTAGGAACCTCAAATGAGTGAATTTTTAATCACGTAAATTACACTTTTTGATGAGTCAAGTGCAATTTTCTTGCACTTTTCAACGGGCACTAGAAACACCCATACCTTTCTTTTGAACCCACTACGGAATGTCAGAAGCAGAATCAATATATATCCCAATACCACACTTTCCCCCATTTAAGCTAAGGTCGTCGATGATTGACAAAGACCCCGTCATATGGGCTCATTTGTTGGAAGCATATATTAAGTTGATACAATTATTGCTTGATCCTCAATCACCAAAATTAAGCGTAAAGTCACAACAACAGTTGCATTTATTCTTGCAAATATACCTAAAGGAAACAAGTACTGAGGGAGAAAGGATTTTCTCATTGGGGGCTATTAATCCAGATATTAAAAGCAATACCGAAACTTTACGAGCATATGTGTTTCATTTAATCAAGAATTACGGCTTTGTTAAATTGAGTATGACTGGAGAAATGATTTGGGATTTTGTTCGAATATACTGTGAAAAGAATGCTCAAACTGTGAGGGGATTGATTGATGGATCTTTTAAATCAAAGTTTAACGATAATAAAAAATCAGGTAGTATTTCATCCATCCCAGTGTTGCAGAAATATCTCGAAAAGTTGATTTCCGAGGGGAAAGTTAGATCCACGCACTTGAAATTTCTTACCATGCTATTGGGACAACATGTTTCAAAAACAACTTACTCGATGGGATCAAGTAAAATTGTAAACACGAGCCAAAACAATAACAGCTTACAATTTGCCGAAAGCTTCGTCACTACAAATTGGATTGAGTTTTTGGACCTTGCTTACGCTGACGGGAAAAGTCCGAATGCAGAATTGGTGAAAAACGTGATGGTTCTTTCTATTGTATCCTTGTCTGCTCCCAAGTTGGCAAAGTTGGCCTCTAGCTTGGGAATCTCGTCGGTGGACACATTGAGTATTGCGCCCCTATTTGGTGCAATTATTACGTCTGACCCATTGAAGGACTTAATCCCAAAATTGGAGGAAAAGTTACCATTTCTCAGGTTTGTTAGCAAGGATGTTGAGAACGAATCCGAAGAGGAAAGTGAGGGGAAGTACGAAGAAAATGTTGAGGGGATTTCTCTTTTGGTAGACTTATTTCCCGATCTAACTGAAAGGAAAGCAAAGATAATTTTGAAAGACTACAGTGGAGATGTGGAGTACGTGACTAACTTGCTCTTGGAGAACCCCGATCGAATAAGTTCCATAGAGGAGAAAAAACCATCTGCTCAAAACAAACCAGCTGAAGTTGCAAACCACAACATTCCAAAGCGATCAATATACGATGACGATGATATTTCAAAGGGGGATTTCTCAAAAGCTTCCATTGTGTTTGGAAAGAAGAACCGCAAACAAATTGGAGTGGCCGACGATGTTTTGAAAAAAAAGACGTTGAACGCGGCATTGAGATTGATGTATGAGAGTGACGAAGATGAGCCGGATGATACATATGATGACCAGGAAAAGACAACAGGTTCCGAAATGGAAGATGACTCTAAAAAGTGGAAAGGTTCAAAGATGACACCACTTATAGATGAATCCAAACCCGCTTTCTCCCCAGTTGACCCAATGGAAAGGCATCTCTTTGGTATTTTCAAAAAAGATGGCACCAATGCTTTTGATAAATCTTCGAGAAAGTCTAGTCATCGACAACAAATGAAAAAGGATACAAATTGGTCAGATGAGCAGATTGAAGGCTGGTTGCGTATGCTTCTTAAATCACCTCGGAGGTACAAGATTCTAGAAGAAAATTACTTCTATGGTGGTGGGAATCCCAACAGGCAACCGCGGGCTCCAAAACAGGCCAATGGTCCAGTGGAAGGATCTTCATCAAAGTCCCCTACAGCGAAAAGTAAAGAACAACCCAAAGAACAGGTTAAGCGTTCACATGCAAGAAACGAAAAAAACAAAGCTAGAAAGTCCAATCATAACCGGAAGTCCCGGCATGACAAGAAGTCCAGTTTGCAATTGGCTGGTATGAAATCAGAGGGGTAAGCACTGTATCTTCTATGTAAAACAAAGTGAGTAGGTAGCAGGAAAAACACAAAATATTGTTCTCCTTTCGAAAAAAGTATCTTGATCCCTCTCCATTTCATCCGTCACTAGTATCTTCCAAAACCAAAAAATGATTACAGCAATTTTCATATACGATTCCAAAGGAGATATACTTATATCGAAACTTTACAAAGATGAGATAAAAAGGAACATTGCCGATGTTTTTCGAATACAAGTGATAAATCTGGCGTCGTCGGGGAGATCAAATCGAGATCAGCGAACACCAGTGTTGACGTTGGGATCTACGTCCTTCATTTATATCAAACTGGGTAACGTTTGGATATGTGCAGTAGCAAGGTCTAATCAAGACTGTGCAGCAATTTTGGAATTTCTATACAAACTAGAGTCACTCCTTTGTGTGGTTCTATGGGAGGACAATAAAAAGAAGTCACTGCAACTGAAACCAACCTTATCAGACATAGCCATAGTCAATAACTTCTCCCTATGTTACGACATCTTGGGTGAAGTGTGTGATTACGGGTACCCTACAAACATGGACTTAGAATACTTGAAGAAGTACGTTGTCGGATTAAATGAATCGAGTCTCGGAATATTTAAGAAAGCTTCGTTTAACCCATTGAAGAAAAGCGCCCCTCCAGCACAACCAGCCCCTGTTCATCAAACTGTCACATGGAGGTCTCCCACAATCAAGTACCGGAGGAACGAGATTTTCTTGAATGTGCAAGAAAGAGTGAATGTATTGATGAATTTTCAGGGAGATGTACTTCGTAGCTCTATAGATGGAGCAATCAAAATGAAGACACATTTATCGGGCATGCCGCAATGTCGGTTCGGGTTCAATCAAAATACCATATTGCTTTCCAACTACGACGTGTCAAATGATGAGAGAGAAGGGGTGGTTGCACTAGAGGATACCAAATTCCATCAGTGTGTAGAGTTGGGAGCATTTGATAGCGACCGATCAATCCAGTTTATACCTCCAGATGGTGAATTTCAACTCATGAGTTACAACTGCAATCAAAACATTAACTTACCATTCAAGGTATACCCACAAGTACAAGAAATTGGAAGGAACAAGATCGTATACAAAATCAGGATGAAGTCATTTCAACCACCAAAACTTCCAGCGACTGAAGTGGTGATGCATATTCCTACTCCCAGTGGGGTATCTCTGACAAGCATATCCAATTCTAACGGGAAAGCCAAATTTCATGCCGAAGAGAATGCAATAGTATGGAAATTCAATAAATTATTCGGAGAACAAGATAATATATTATCAGCTGAAGTTGAAGTGAAAGCACATTCAACCGAGTTCATTCAATGGAATCGACCCCCGATAACTTTGGACTTTTTTGTGGATATGTTTTCCAGTTCAGGATTAACCGTTCGATATTTGAAGGTTCAAGAGAAATCCAATTATAAAACCGTAAAGTGGGTCCGTTATACTACCCAATCAGGTTCCTACGAAATTAGATATTGAGGAGTATAGGAAATAGATATAGAGCTGCTCTGGCGGCATTAAAATAATTGACCCTCATTGACATACTCATTATCGTACTCTCTAGTTTAACTGATTATTGATGCAATCTTTACATTTCTCATTTGCTCAATGATCTGACTTCGCTGAAGGAAGGAAAAAAAAAAAATAATTACATCTCAACTATCCATCCCACAACTCACGAATAAAACAGCCAATAAATGAGAGATTTGGTAGTTCTTGGAGGATCTTCGCATCCCTTACTTACGAAAGCAATATGCCGGAACTTGACAATTGAACCAAGCAAACTAGATTCGCATAAATTTGCCAATGGAGAAACGTCAATCATTGTGAAGGATAGTGTTCGTGAAAAGGATGTCTTTATTGTTCAAAGTGGATGCGGCCACGTCAATGATACTTTTATAGAATTATTAATCACTATTGCTGCTTGTAAAACAGCAAGTGCCAAGAGAGTCACTGCAGTGTTACCGTTGTTCCCATACTCGAGACAACCTGATGTGCCCTTCATGCCGAATAGCACGGGGGCTCCTAGTGTGTCAACAACAAAAGACAACTATACTTTTGAGAGTGCTCCAAGTACTCCTAGACCATTGTCCAAAGATCGCAACAGAGGCTATTTTAGTCAAGCCAACGAGGGAGCCACCAAATCCGGGAACAAAGACACCATCAGAGTCGACACGTTAAAACAGCCGCCACAACCACCAAAATACACTCCCAAATCAGTGATTACCAATTCCGCAGCGACTCATTTCTTGCCCCAAATTGATGCCCAAGGTAAGACTGATAGCGGTTACAAACAATGGATCTCGCCCAACGGAACATTGATAGCAAATTTGCTCACGACTGCAGGTGCGGACAGAGTAATAACCATGGATTTACATGACCCTCAATTCCAAGGCTTTTTCAACATACCGGTTGATAATTTGCACTCGAGACCATTGATGAAACGTTACATCATTGATTACATCCCTAATTACCGTGAATGTGTGATTGTGAGTCCAGATTCAGGCGGGGCTAAGCGTGCTACAGCAATAGCCGACTCTATCGGATGTACCTTTGCCCTTATTCACAAGGAAAGGAGAGCCAAATTACCCAAGGGACCGCCTCTGACCTCTTCATCAATGGGCACAAGTTTATCAAGCTCCCAGACAATACAAACTCACGCTCCTCAGTCTCCATATCATCAAAATACTCCGAAAATGGTTGCAACAACAATGTTAGTTGGTGATGTTAAGGACAAGGTTTGTGTTTTGATTGATGATTTGGTGGATACTTCCTACACAATCACAAGAGCAGCAAAGTTACTCAAAGATGAAGGGGCCAAATTTGTTTATGCTTTAGTCACCCATGGAATATTCAGTGGAGACGCTATTAACAGAATCAACATGAGTCAAATTGATAAAGTTGTTACTACCAACTCCGTCCCACAGAGTGAGAATGTTGCAATATTGAAGGACAAAATTGAAGTTTTGGACGTGAGCAGAATATTTGCAGAAGCAATTAGACGAATTAATAACGGGGAAAGTGTGAGCATGTTGTTTGACCACGGTTGGTGATGGTATTATACAGAGCTGGGGAGTGAGAATGGTTTGGGGAATATAGAATCTAATGGATGCATCGTTGAATTTTGCATCTCAGCACCGAGATAGTAATTCGATCTTACACATGACTTTTGTTGAAAACAAAGCCTTGCTGCTTTTTAAACCACTGTCGCACTGCATTCCGAAAGAGTGCTACAATCGACTTGGTCGTGCAAAGAATATTTATTAGCGCGATCTCTCTGTTAATGGTGACGTGTTTTTGTGGTTTTTGTAAAATTGAGTTCCATGTTTTTTTCTTTTTCTTTTTCTTATTTTTCAGATTTCAGTTTCTACAGAAATAATTTCCTACTCCCTTTCTTTACTTTTCGTCGAGTACATTCCTGCTTTCAAACGACTACAAACCCCACTTAAGGTCAATTGGTTGTATATTTCAAAGCTAGAGAGTGTCACTTGCTACTGGTTCCACGCTTTTGCAACTATCAATCACTTCTTGAAGATAAATGTCTCAATCAATAAAGAAAAGAACGGGTACAGGAAAGAGGGTCCAACCGGCCTCTGAGACCATTGTTGAGGTTCCAGTCACAGACCACAATGTGAAGAAGACCAAAAAGTATGTTAAAGAAGTCGATGCTTTTGATTCAGCTGGTGAAAAGGAACCTGAATATAAGTATTGGGTCGCATTATCACTTGTTACCACGCTTGCATTCTATGTTAGGTTTACAAAATTAGGAACTCCTGATAAGGTTGTTTTTGATGAAGTTCATTTTGGAAAGTTTGCTTCGTATTACTTGGAACGTACATATTTTTTCGATCTACACCCGCCATTCGCCAAGTTGTTGATTGCATTTGTTGGATGGCTCATTGGTTACAATGGTCGTTTCAAATTTGACGCAATTGGGGACTCGTATATTGAAAACAATGTTCCATACCTTGCTTACAGGAGTTTACTGGCCATACAAGGAACAGCTGTTGTGCCCATCATGTTTTTAACCATGAAGACATTGGGGTTTAGCGTGGCCGCTTGCTTATTTTCCGGTATAATTGTTTGTTTTGATAATGCTCAAGTGGTAGATAGCAGATTGATTTTGTTGGACGCAACCTTGATTTTGAGTGTTGCGTTAACCATGTTTAGTTACTGCAAGTTCTCAACATTCAGACAACAACCTTTCAGTCAAAAATGGTGGACCTGGCTTTTAGCTACAGGGGTATCATTATCGTGCGTGATTTCAACTAAGTACGTTGGTGTGTTCACTTATTTCACCATTGGGATCGCAGTTCTTCACGAATTGTGGATCTTATTGGATTACAAAAAGGGGTTGACTTTGCAGCAGTTTAGCAAACATTTTTTTGCTAGATTATGGGCGTTGATCATTGTCCCATTTATCATCTATTTGACTTGGTTCTACATTCATTTTGCGATATTGACAAAATCTGGTCCAGGAGACACTTTTATGTCATCTGATTTCCAAGAAACTTTACAAGAATCCCCATTAGCCAAGCATTCAAAACAAGTACAATACTATGACCATATCACTATCAAGCACAAAGAAACGGGCGCTTTTTTGCATTCACATGATCACGTATATCCCTTGCGTTACGAAGATGGTAGAATTTCCTCAAACAAACAACAAGTTACTTGTGTAGATGTCGACAATGCATTATCCGATCCAAACAACCAATGGGAGATTGTTCCTGTTGCAGCTCAGGATGATGGAAAAAAGGGAAAAGATGTGTTTACTAATGATGTTGTTCGATTCAAGCACGTAGGAACTGGTGGTTACCTTTTGACTCACGATGTCGCGTCTCCATTAAAAGCTACAAACGAAGAGTTTATTGTTGTTTTCGATGATATTGCCGATAAAAGATACAATGAGACCTTGTTCAGATTAAAGTTGGATGTACCAGGATCATCTCCAAAGAAACAGAATCAAAGGAAGAAGATAAAGACATTGGCAACTCCTTTGCGAGTGTTGCACATGGATACGGTTGTTGCCATGTGGACTCATGATGACGAATTGTTGCCTGAATGGGGCTTCAACCAACAAGAGGTCAGCGGAAACAAAAACATCAAAAGCAAAGAGAATGTGTGGACTTTTGACGCAATCACAAATTTAGAAGAATCCGATTCTAGGAGTAAGTATGTGCCAAAGAAAATTAAGTCTATCCCTTTTTTGAAGAAATGGTGGGAATTACAAGGTTTGATGTTCCATCACAACAACCAACTTAGTTCAACGCACCCTTTTGCTTCGCAACCTGACTCATGGCCACTTGCTTTAAGTGGTGTGTCATTCTTCAACGATAATGAATCCAAGAAGCAAATCTTTTTTGTTGGGAATGTGATTGGTTTTTGGTTGGAAGTTTGCTTCTTGTCGATCTATGTTGGTATAATTTTGGCAGATCAAATTACGCTTAGAAGAAATTATCATTTGTTAAACAAAAAGGCTAGATCAAGATTGTACAACACATTGGGTTTCTTATTTATTGGCTGGTGCGCTCATTATTTCCCATTTTATTTGATGAACCGTCAAAAGTTTTTGCACCATTACTTACCTGCTCATCTAATAGCAGCCTTGTTTTCAGGGGGATTAGTTGAGTTCATTTGCTCAGACAATTCAGCAGATGCAGGAAACATTAGTCAAAGACGTAAGAAAGTTAAAATGACAATTTTAGTGGGGACAGCTTCAATTTGTATCATATGGTTCTTTTTCTACTTCAGACCAATTACATACGGAGATGTGTCTTTGACCCCAGCTGAAGTAAAAGCAAGACAGTGGTTGGACATCAAGTTGCACTATGCTAAGTGAATTAAATAAAGTATATCTTGGTTCTGCTTCCATCTCCTCAAGTATATATTAGCCATATAATCATTCATATACTGACTGTCAACACAAGGAGTGTTCGCACCTCGTGCTATTTTTTTTTTTCTTGATCTCTGTTTCATAATCACTTGGATCTAGATCCATCAGTGCCAAAAAATTTGTTAGAACTAATACACAACCAATACATGTCGGTAAGATCGTACCTTGTGAAGTTGAAGCAGGCATTGCACCTGCAAGCACCAAAGACTCCCTATCGAGTTGTTACGGGCAACCAATCAGCGGATATGGATTCGGTTGTGTCAGCCATCACATTTGCATATTTGACATATACCCTCAAAACTCCCGATCAGTTTATGATTCCCTTGATAAACATTCCTAGAGCAGATTTTGTCTTGAGAAGAGATATCAACAAGCTTTTGCAATACCACGACATTTCTGAAGACCTACTTTACTTTGTTGAAGATTATGAAAAGTTTTTGAAAGAAAGCACTTCAATCGAGCTCTCGTTAGTGGACCACAATGGACTACAGGGGGTTGAGATCAACAAGAGCTTTGACGCAGGACTTGTGAATGTAGAGGCAATCATCGATCATCACGCAGACGAGGGAATGTTCCAAAATGCTAATCCAAGAGTGATTAGAACGTGTGGCTCAAATTCGACGTTAGTGTTTCAATACTTTCACAAGTTGATAGCTGGAGATGAAAGTTTTTGGAAAACGAATAAGGATGTAATTGAGTTGTTGATAGCTCCTTTGTTGATCGATACCACCAACATGACACAAAAGGTTGAAGATCCCGATGTTAAGGCTTTAGAGTTTTACAAAAAAATCCTAGATGGTGACACTGTTAGTTTTACAACACAATCAAGCTATGATGATTTCTACAGAACGTTGAAAACAGCAAAGAAAGATATCAGCGGATTTAGCTTTGCCGAAATTTTGAGAAAGGATTACAAACAGTTCAAGTTTATTCATGAAGACAGGGTTGGTTTCAGTTCCATAGGCAAACCGTTACTGTGGGTCACAAGCAAGTTTTCGGTTGAAGATATCAAGAAAGATCTAGCAAAGACTTTAGAAACAAACCAGATTGACTTGTTAGTCATAACATCGTCTTTTACTCAAAAAGAGACTGGTATTTATACTAGAGAATTTTGCTATTATTATGAAGGAGAAAATGTGAGATATGCAGACTTGTATCAACTCGTTTGGAAGCAGCTCGAATTGAGTACCGATTTGTACAAAAGCGACGCTATCAGCTCTTTGACAAACGCAATTAATAGTAAAGAAGCGCATTTGAAAATTTTCAACCAAAAGAAAGTTACAGCTACCCGAAAGCAAGTTGTCCCTATTGTGAAGGAGGTATTAGAAAGATGAAAAAGTTATACCAATGTGGGTAGGTAGCTGACTAGATATTTTATAGAACCAATTTCAACATTAGAGTGTATTGTATTTTCTTGCAATGCCAGGGAAAGTTTATCTCTCACCTCCTTGTACGGTATTTCCATCTGTTCGTAACCGCCGTAACTTTCACCACCCTTTGCAATCGAGAACCACAAAACTTTCAAGCATTTGCGAAAATCTCGTCCGTCTATTGTCACATCGACATCTGTATTTAGTATCCATAGATACACACTCTTTGCATCAACTTCAATGGCAAACTTTCTTATCGCCAGGGATTGCATCTTGGTAGTAAACAAATTCACTGCATAAAGCAACGGATTGTATATAGAAATCAAGGTCCCACTCCCTGCTGTGAATTTGAGGTCTAATTTCCACTTGAGCAATCGTATCACATTTTGAAATTTGTCGCCAATAACTTGACGACATGCTTTGCAAACGTAGAGAGCTTCGTCGCCATCACTTTCAAGTAGTTGTAGAGACTTGTTAATGGTTTGCAACAAATAGAATGATCCAATGATTATGGTATTGTTATTCTTCGGTTTCAATATACCATAATCTTTGTCTGTGGGTTGATTATTCTCTGGTTTATGGCAATGCCAAAATTCCATGAGCTCATACCAATAATCTCCAGGCATGTCTTTGAATATAAAGTCGAGTGAGTCAATTAGTTCAAGTTGACAATTGCTACATCGGAATTGGAACTCGTTTTTGGATCCCAACTTGGAAGTATGACTTTTTAACCACCCACATGACCACTTATCTGGACCATCGCCAACGTTGTTTGCCAGTTCAGTATCTATTTGCGGGTCCACCTCTAACGAAATTTGAAGATTCGAGCCCAGAGTTTTGACGCTGGTTGGAGTTGCGCTTTTGACGGCCAAGGGACATCTAATTTTTATCAGGTCTTTGGCTCTGATAGATATTGTGATGAATTGATCACCTTCGAGTTTTACCCCAGTAACAGCATGAAAAGCACCATCCACTATTTCAATAGACAAGCGATTGAGTCGTGGGAGATATTCCACTAAATATGTCATATCTATCTATTGAGAAACAAGTGAAGATGCGATGAGAGATTGAGCTACCAGGACGAAGTGAAGTATACAGCGCCGCACTAAAACGCGCTACGCGTGGATCCTCACACTTTTTTTCTCACCAGATAGATTAGATAGAAAGAAAACAAACTGGCTATACCCTCAATCCACGTCATGTCATCTAATGATCATATAATGGACGAAGCAACTAACGAAAATGGTACCAACAGTAACAACTTGCTAGACGATTCGGCTTTACTTGGAATTGATGAACCGTTGAAGCTTAAAACTAGGAAAAAGATTGCCAGGATCGATGAAGAGAGACTCTTGCATAACCCTCGAGGATTGCCATACTTGATAAAGAATCAACGAAGATTACTTCGAATTATTGACAAACATGACAAGGAATTTTACAAACAAGAGAAGGAGAAAATTTCCATCCAGCCCAATTACAAACCCTCAACTCAGCTCAAACACGAACATGAGTACAAGAATTTAGTGTCAATTTTGCAATTTTATCAACTATGGTGCCATGGTATGTTCCCCAAAGCAAACTTTAAAGATTGCGCTTATCTTATCAGATCTTTGGGTCACAAATCCTCGCAGCTTCGTTTGTATAGACGAGAGTTGATTGAAAAGCAAATTTACAAGCTAAAGGTAGCTAAAGGGATTATCGATGAAAATGAAAACGGTCATCAAATTAGCAAAGAAACACTGGCGGAGGATAACAATGCTTTACGTATGGAAGAAGATGGCGGTGTACTTGAACTTAGGCCCACAGCTGTAACTGCAGATAACGACGATGACGATGTCGAGTGGGATTTTATGCGAGTTGGTACAACGACCAACGGTGAAATACAAGGCAGGACAGAAACAACGGAGATTGCAAAGAGTACAGCAGATGACGCTTGGGATGACTTGGAGGATGACGACGTAGACGCAATTTTTGAAAAATCAACCAGAGCTGCTCCCAAGATCTCAAACAATGAAGAATATCAGTTTGAAGAAAACGAAGAAGAAGAAGAAGATGAGGAACTTGCAATGGAATTAATGCGACAAGTGGATCCATGAGTTTTGCCGAATTATTGAGAGCTGATATAAATCTTTCTATATGTGCACGCGTGATTGAATACAGCAGATACCATTTCACTATCAACTGGTTTGTTCTTGCCCGAAAATAGTACAAGTAGAAAACCCCCACTTCTTAAATACAAATCGACATACTTGGAACTCGTGTCCTTTTTAGTCACACTGCTCCTAACTAATTTTGAGTCATGTCTAAAGAATGGCATTAATAAACCATGATTAAATAGTGTGTCCCGCTTCAAATTTGTATACTCCAACCCAAACTCTGATATAAAAGCCTTGTAATGTATTGAGCTCTGGTAAAACTTTTCAAACTTGGACTGCGATATTGTGCCAGTGGTGTGCTGATTGTGGTGACCCACTAATCTCGTCATAAACTCGTCTGGCAATTTTCTTGACTTTACAAGTTTGTTTGCATATTTGAACAGGTCCATATCAACCTTATCGATCCCTGGAGGAAAATAGTCACCCAAAATCCGGCATTTTTCAGCTACTCGTATTTCCAAAAGGTAAACCAAATCATATCCGTAAGACGTGGATAATAAGTTTGACAACACACTTGCAGCTTTTTTCAAGGAGCCAACTTTTAATAGCATATGCCACATCCTCTTGTCGTCAATGAAGTCTGTGGGCGGAGAGGATTTCAAGCGGTAATGACCCGTACTTTGGTCGTTTACAATACCACCTCTTGAAAACTTTTCCTTCTTTTCTGATTCATGAGTTGAAGATTCCCTCTTGACCTGCTTGTTAAATGCGTAGAAGCGAACATTCTGATTTTGGTTATAAGGACCACCCGAACCGTCCCTTTCATAAACTAATGACGATTTGTTAGTTGTAGGTCTTCCCAACTCCATTCTTAATTCCAGAAGAGAATCCACTTTGGCTCTATTGCCATATAATAACAAAGAGTCAGTGAGCCCTTGATAAGGTTGGCGATACCTATCTTCAAAGGGCAGCTCTAAGTACTTCATAATTCCGTCTCTGTACGAAAACAAAGAGTTAAATGATTCCTCAGAAAATCCTTTCCTAGATTGATTGTCAAATATGGCTAATATTCCGATAACCTCCTGATTATCAGTTAACAACGGCACTCCACAATAAAACTTCAAATTTGGCGGTCCAGCAACCAATGGATTTGTACGGGTTCTCCAATCTTGAGAAGCGTCCAACAATAAGAAATAGCCATTTGATAAGATGGCATGCGAATCAATTGCCACACAACGAGGGACAGAGGCAATTCCTAAACATGTTTCAAATTTGTAGTAACATTTGAGGTTATCAATCAATGAAATGGAAACACCACATACTTTGAATTCTTTTCTTAACTTTGACAATAATTTGGTGAAAAATTTAGAGCTAGTCCAATGTTCCAAATCCTTAAATTTGGTGACCTCTTCCAATCTTGAAATTTCGTTGTAGCTCTCTGGTGGCTTCATGTATCCCGAATCCTCCATGAAAGGGGGGCAAGGGACTTTTGAAAGGTTCCATTTTCCCTAAATACGAACTTTAGTTAGTAAAAATAAATGTAAAAAATTGGTACATAGAAGAAAAACTTACTTTTGAATAAGCATCAGTAAAGTGCGCTTTAGTCAGCTGAATGGGCTTCAACAGTAAATCCTTGCTTGATGGGATAAGTTTCTCAGGTATTCTTGCTTCTTGCCCAACTTGATTTTTTTGGTATGATACTGAAATGTGTTGATTTGGAGCAGAGACTATTGTAATCTTTGTGTTGACCAAAGGTCTTCTCGATGGACTTTGAGCTTGATGGATATTATTTCTTCGCATGTTTGTTTTGAGAATTATGATGGTTTATGGGTGACTCTATGTGTATGTGAAAATTGGTGTGAAGAGGTGAGTAAAGTTTTGCAACCACCTTTGAGAAAAGAGCACTCAAAAATACTTATAGGAAAAAAAAGGAGAGGGGAGATAAAGTGTAAGGATCGACTAAACGACCACGGATGCACCCGACTTTATTACTACTACTCTATTTAGAATCTTCCATCTTGACATCTTGATTTTGATCCCCACCGTCCCCGTCTTGATCATTCTTTTTCGACTCTTCGGGCTTATCACTTCCTCCGCCTTCGCTTTTAGCTTTTTCAGCAGCTTCCCTCTCTTGTCTGGCCTTCTCTTCTTCCAAAGACAACCTCAATGCTAAAGCCAAATCAGGATCCATGTTGGGGTCAATAATGTCTCCTGCACCGGCAACACCTCCACCGAAAAAGTCCTGTTCATCACCACCACTACCTGCACCTCCGAAAGCACCTTCTTCCATCAAAATTGGAGAAGTGGCAACTACTTCATATAGCAACCTTGGCCCTGGTGGAATTGTAACCAAATGCGAATTATCGTGGTTGTTCACAATGGAGTGGAATTTTTCCAATTTGCTTGTATTTACATTCTCTTCACCAAAGTTTATAATATCAATAGCCACATTGTTCTTCTTCATTTTCTTGGCGAGTTTCTCCAATTCCTTATCGGACTCTTCCAAGGGGGACCCAACGAATATTATAATCCTTTGGTGTTGTACTTTATTTTGACGATGCTTTAAAGCCAATGCAGCCACCTCGAGTCCATCGCTGAAATGATTTTCGCCGGAGATTTTAAGATCGTGAATGCTAGACAATATCTTACCAAAGTCTGTAGTCAACGTACTCATTACTATTGGGCGTGTGCCACCATGAGCCAATAGACCCACAGTGTTTTCAGGGTTTGAATTGATCTTATTTTGAAAAATATATTCAACAGCAGTCAATTGTGCATCATATCTAGTGGTTAGATAATCCCCATTTCTCATATACTCGGAGTTATCGATAGCAATCATTGTAGCTTCAAGAACCATTTTGAATGTGTATGCAACTAAGGTGTAGTGAATTCAGATAGTATCTAGTTTTTACTCTTGGGTATGATTTTTTTTTGCCACACAAAATAATGAGCGAAAAACTCTCAAATCTCATAACACATTGAAAGGTAGAGACTCAGCATGAGACTACAATGGGATATACAAAACAGGAAAAACAGGCATTGATTAACCACTTGAAGCTAGAACGCTCCAGAGTAGCGAAACAAAACGAAGAGGCTCTACAGAAAGCGACTCAACAGACATATCTAAAGGTTGTTAGAAGATTGAATCAAGTTAGTGTGTCATTACGACAGGTTACTTTGAAAGATGTGCTTCAAGTTGAAAGGCGGAAAAGATTAGAAGCTAGAAGTTTGATAAAAGACATTCAGGAATTGAAAAAGAATTTGGTCAAACAGAAAGTAATGTAGCGATAGCAAGGGGGTGAGGGAGTAACACCAAATTAATTTGAGTCAGAGTGAAGTCGCAAGCCGAATAAGGGGAATCTACAACTATGTATTTGAAAAGTTCTAATATCTGTTTTAAATAAATAGTATACACTATGCATCTTCAGGAATACCTTCATGGAAGTATTTACCTTCTGTGGTTTCTTGAATAATCCCAGCTCTAATACACCAATCACCAAATGGTTCACCATCGTTTCTCTCCTTACTCCATCTCTTGAACAAGTCCTTTAATATTTCCAAAATTTCATCTTCTTTAATCGAGTATCGGTAAATTTTGTTTAGTCTCTGTCCATGATGTCCACCACCCAACATCAAGTTATATGCACCATAGGCTTTACCAACTAATGCAACTTCTGCAACCCAAGGTCTAGCACAACCATTTGGACAACCAGTCATTCTCATAACCACGGAATCATGTCTCAATCCATAGTCTTCAAGAGCGTTCTCCAACTTGGTGATTAGTTGAGGCAAGTACCTCTCAGACTCAGCCATTGCCAAACCACACGTGGGGAAAGCAACACATGCAGCTGATGACAATCTCAATGCTGAAAACTCAGTATTATCTAACTTATATTTAGCCAACAAGTCCTTGACATCTTGCAAGTCTTCATCTTTGATGTTGGAAATGAGTATATGTTGATTACCGGTTAGTCTAAACTCCCCTGATTTTTTGTTTTCGAGCAAGTATTGAGCAATTTTACGCAAACCTGTCTTTTGAGGTAACTCTGGAGTATCTTCAATTCGACCGTTCTCAATGAAAGCAGTAAAATGATTGAATCCCAATTCATCCTTGCACCAACCAAAATGATCGACGTTGTTCTCAATCTTGAATGGCTTAGGTTCACCAAATTTGTACCCCAACAATTCTTCAACTTTGGATTTGAAGACTTCGACACCCATGTCATCAATTGTATACTTCAATCTAGCATGCTTTCTGTTCGACCTGTCACCGAAATCTCTTTGCACCAACATAATCTTTTCACAGGCAATATGTATCTGATCTCTTGGGATGAAACCAAACATCGATCCTGTTCTTGGGTACGTCTTTTTGTTGTTGTGAGTAGTACCCATACCACCCCCAACTAACACATTGTATCCAATCACAATGTCATCTTCAATAATTGCAATCAAACCGATATCATGAGCGTACACATCGACATCGTTGTATGGTGGTACAGTAATCACAATCTTGAACTTTCTTGGTAAGTAAGTTACACCATACATTGGCTCAACATCAGCCAAAACATTACCTGCAACCAATGTTTTCTTCTTGGTTGGGCCCTCTTTACGGTTTTCCCAAGCTTCTCTATCTCCTGGTTTATCTGATGGCATTCCACCCTCTAACCAAATCTCATGGTATGCTGTTGTGTTGGGCAACAAGTGGTTTGAAATTAAAGTACCAGTTGCAGAAACCTGCCCATGAACTTTGGCATTATTTGGCAATGCTGATACCATAACGTTTCTATTAACATCACCACATGCTGCTAAAGTATCCATCAAAGCTGCATTCATGCCTCTTATTGCTGGTTTCAAATCGTGCTTGACTACACCATGAAGTTGAAAAGTGGCTCTCGTTGTCAATTTCAATGTCCCATTACCTCTCTCATCAGCCAATTCGTCCATCTTCAAATACTGCTGTGGATTGGCAATACCCCCTGGCAATCTCACACGAACCATAAAAGCATAAGCAGGTTCGAGACCTTGAGCCTTACGTTCTTCTCTTACGTCACGATCATCTTGCATATAGATACCGTGAAACTTGGTCAATTGTTGATCAACAGCGCAAATGGAACCAGTTGATTCATCTTGCAATCCTTCGGCAATAGTTCCTCTGAGGTAGTCAGAACCTAGCTTCATATCTTCATTAGTGATTGGTTTTGGTTCTTCAACACCTTCAACATTGTCCACACCCAAAGCGGCCCAAATCTTTGGAATCCACTCATTGAATCCAGTGGAGAATCCATCGGCATCTTGATCGTCACCTAAACCAATTTCGGCCAATTCGACACCACCATATAACTTAAGCTTGGCATGTAAATCCTTACCAGGCTTGTTATAATAGTGCTTATCTTCCTTTCTTGGCCAATATTCTGAATCACCCAAACCAAACACAGAAAACCTAGTACCAGAAAGATCCAAATCATTTGAGTTCTTGAGACCATCCCAAAATTGTTTACCATTACCAGGGAACTCACCTTGACCGGAAGTTGAAGTGACAAAAACAATATTGGTTTCGTTTGGAAGATCCTCCATTGAAATATCATCCATGGGCAAAACATTTGCCTTTAACCCTCTTCCCAAAGCTTGCCTGTTAATTTTCTTGGCCAAACCTTCTGCATTGCCACCATCGGAAGCAAAAGCTATGGTCAATGGTGGGCCGGATAAACCCAGCAATAACATTGCATAGGATTCATCAGCAATCTTTGCTTGCATGAGCTTGGCTTCAGTGTTGGCATTTGCTGTCAAATTTCTAGACAACAATGGATCCTTCGCAGCAAGCAAGGTTAGCTTGTTTTCCTTGTCCAAAAAGTCTTGCAATTGTTTCCTCAAGTTTGAAGAGTCCAATTTGAAGACGTCAGACTCTTTTGCAGCATTAGGGTCAAATCTATACAATGGCCAGTACCCAGTGTCAACAGCTTTTTTAGTCTCCTGCAATACAGCCAATGTATTGTCGGACTCCTTATGATATGGCAAATATGCTAAAACGATGGATGGTCCGTTGAACTTTTCAGCCTCGATGAATGCTTGTAAAACCTGGGTATAAGAAGAGTAAACTGCCACTGATGCGACATAGCAATCACCGTGGTTCATTGCATACAAACCAACATCCTTCTTTCTAAACCCATTGACGGTTTTGTCTAAAGACTTTTCTTTATATGGCTCAGAATCAATGATCAACATGTTGATGTTTTTGCCTGACGTGATAACACTGTGAACACCTGATGAACCCAAATCATAAGACCAAGCATCTGAGCCTATAAGCCAATTTCTGTTGGTGGTAAAGTAACTCGACAAAGCAAGAAGTTCTCTTGCAGTGGTTGAGGATTGATCGGTCTTTAGCAAGTCGATTGCCTCAAGCGGTATTCTGTTTTCTACTCCACCATTCTCTTGCAACTGTACCAACCATTGTGATAGCAAATCGATCAACTTGCTATTATCTTTTGTTTTGAACTTGTTCTCCTTCAAAGCCACTTGCACCAATCTGGTTAAATTTTCTTGTTGTTCTTCATCATACAAAAATGATCCAAAACCATATTCAGGATTGGTTTGCAATCCGATATTGTCGGCTTGATACTCATTCAAAATCTTCAAGTTTGTGTCATTAACTTGTTGAAGAATCTTCAAGTAGGCTTGTTCCAAATTATGAGCCTCAGATACCGCCTTTTCGTATTCTTGATGCTGTTTACTTGAAGTTTTATCACCATTTGTCTCGCCATAAAATATGTTTTGAGATGGTTTATCAGTGTGAACATTCAATACAAGTTTAGTCAAAGCATCATTGTAATCGACAATGGGACCGAAAGTTGCTGATACAATTCTCGTAAAATTTTTCAAAGTTTGATGCTCTGAGTAGTTGGCAAAGAAATCAAGAAGCAACGGAGAAAATTGCGAAAAGTTGCCGTTACCTTGTTGAACAATAGTAAGCGTTTCAATTTGAGCAGGCACCAGTTTGAGCAAACGGGAGATGGAAAATGGTTGGTATACCTTGACGTTGATCACCAAGACTCCAGCTTTATTTGCTGCTTCCAATAAGGCATCCTCTAATTGACCGAGGTAAAGAATGGCATCCTTCTGTTTTTGACTCTTGTTTATAATTTCGAAAGGTTGGACATCAAACTCTGCCAACACCTTGTCAAATGATAGGCCTTGCAAATCTTTCAAAAACACGCCGTCAGAATTTTTGATAGTTTCACTGGATTTGTATGAGGAATTTGAGACATAAAAGTGAAAAACCGAGGTGTTCGATTTCTCAGACAAGTTGTACGCCAAATTTGCAAATTGATAAGTTTCACGTGGAGTTTGTGACACCAAGATCGGAAAGTTTAAATCTTTCAAACTTGTGACAGCAGTAAAGTCTTTGTAATTTATTTCCACGTGGTTGACAATCTTGTTGTTCTTGAAAGACGAGGCCGACAAAAAGGGCAAGTTCTTCAACAAAGTAGCAGCATCTGTAGTTACTGTAACAAAATCAAGGTCCAGTTCCTCCAACCCATCGTCCCCTCTATCATTGCGTTGATTGTCTCTATCCAACAAGAAATTTTCCACAATTGCATATGGATCGTTTGAATTGATTAAAATATTTGCATTAGCTACCAACAGAGCAAATGGTGACTGGACTGATTTGGCTGGTTGGGTAACAAAGTTAACTCCATCAACTTGGTCTATCGTTTTCGCAATACCCTCTTCCTTGTTCAAACTCATCTCTCAAAAAATAAATAAAATATTGCTCCAAGATCAACCTCGGATATTTTCCCTCTAATAGAAAAATGCAGAACTGAGACAAACAAATCTTAACTAACGTTAAGGCTGGAGAAAAGAAGGTTTAAAGTGAACTTGAAAAATGGTTTCAAAAGAAGTCGAGAATAAGTCTTTTACAAAATGGAAAATTTTTGCAATCAAATATATTTCTGAGATTGGTATGTGATAATGAATGAAAAATGTATGGGGGAGAACAAGAATAAAAACAATGTTTGTAAAAATACTTATATGCAGTATCATTTCTGATTACTCGACTGCACGTGCAATAACTAATTTAGAAAGATCAATTTAACTTTATACATTAATCTTACACAAACAATTTACTTAATGTGGGTGGGAAAATGAAAAGCTAATGCGGCTAATGAAGCGTAAAACCTAATCACAACAAAAAGCAATCTCTTTGCTAGTTGAAGCATGATGCAATAACTACCGTATATTACGAAACGTAGAAATTGATCATGACCTTCCCTCTTTTCCAATCTCATACATATGTGTCACTCTTGCGTACCTCTTCTATTTATTAATTTTCTTTTTGCAACAAAAGTTGGCTATTAATCAAGTGACCTAGTCGTAACGGGACCCATTATACAAGTAAATCTTCTCAACGTGGTCTCTGCTGCGCACAAAAAATGTTTGCAAACTACATGTACTCAAGAGATATCAATTCAATTGTATTAGTTGGTTGATCTAAGAGGCGAACCTTATGCCGAGGGATTTAAAACATTATCAGAGCTTTACCGAGTGAAATGCACGTGCTAAAAAAAATTACTCACGTCTTTATTGACGCCTGTTGGGAGCCCTTTTCCAAGCAGCATGGTCCTTTGGCCTATAATTCAATGTCCCGATACATGAAGTGTACGGAACCAACCTATTATACGACTCTTTACCATTTGTGGGCGACTTTATATTGGTGTATGCTTTGTAAACTGACAATGGCGTCCACTCAACATCTCTATCCGACCTTTTTCTAATCAGTTCTGGAACTTCGGGACTCGGTGGAGATTCTCCATTCAAGAATGAATCTTGAATTACAAATTCTTCTCGTACTGTCTTTAAAACAGCATCACTAACACATTTCGGCTCCAAAGAGGATAATCGAACCTTCATTTTATTGTAAAATCTCGTCGATCCAGTTGTTTCATCGTCGGGCCACTCATAAATCGGCGTCGTTATATACCTGTCACCCTTATTACGTGTGATATTAGTTAACTTCACAGTTGGAGATGGTCGCGACAGAGAAGCAGCTACCACCAGGAGTTGTAGTGCGAGTGGATCACTAAAAAAATTGGCATCCTCGGCTCGTGTGTGATTTTCATAAGATAGTCGTTCATCCCACACACATTCTTCATCATCTTCTTCTTTACCAAACTCTGCTGTTTCTTCATTTGAATGATATTGCATGATGTTGTCATTCTGGTTATAATTGTTTGAGCTACCAGCTAAGTCCTCATCATCGATAGTGCTGGGGGAACACAGTACGGACTGGATATCCTTGTCATTAACGTCGTCGTCAACCTTGCCAAGTCCATCTTCGTCGTACTTCATATTATTGTACCCGGTAGTATTTACATTTGGTATGTCTTCGTTGTCGTGCAACATATTCTCCTTCTCCAACAAATATTCCCAATAACTGGAGTCCAAATGGTGTTCAAAATTGAATCCATGGCTATCTTTATAAGTATTAGCGGACAGATTCAAAAGACTATCGCTTGATAGATAATCTTGGTTTGTTGGAAGATTTAAATTACTCGGGTTCTGGCTGTCAAGCATACCAAGAAGATCAGTGTTGTCAGTGTCATACCCAGTTGAAAATGTTGGCCTCAACAGCTGTAGCGTATGATTTGATATTGATGGTGAAACCTCAAGTCCACTATTATGGGGCGTGTTGTTGTGCTGATGAGGATGAGGATGGTGAAGTGATTGTTGTGCTATCTGCAAGTACTCCCATTCGATAGAGTTGAAATTTATGTTTGAGTGTGGATCCACTGTGAAACAATGTGTGCTATCTCCATTAAATGACAAATTCTCCACGTCGTTTGAATGGCTCTCATTTTTGGTATCATCTATTTCAATATCGTTGGAGAAGTGGGTGTTGTCATATTCAAAGTTCATAATAAGTGAATAAACGGGGAAGGTGCCTTTCTTCTTAGTATGAAGATTCTACGAATTGTTTTGAGTGTTTGTCAAGCTTTTGATGTGTCTTTCCCTTCGTGGTGTTCTGACCTTGAAAGGTGATAGAACTTGAAATAAGAAGCAAAGGAAACGTTTGCACCACTAGAGACTCTATTCAGTTGTCGTTGTTATAACAAAAAAAAAGGAATAGGGAATTATGATTTGAGATCGAATGATACGCCCACTTTCGTGTAATTTGTAGAGGGTTTGCGTTGTTTAAATCGATTTTTATGTTATGTTGGGAGGACTTTTTATATATGTAAGGCTGGCAGGGGGGTTAGGGAGAATATCACTAACATCAAAGTGAGTGGTTTTGTGTAAATTTAAACATTATTTACGCTTCTTTGATGCAAGACTTTACAAGAGGAGCTCGAGAAGAGTTTTATTGGCATATTAGTGTATTTACTCACACGAAGTACGCCAATGTGTTTCGTCCAAAATTCACTCTACAAACGAACAGAAATCAAAATCTTTCGGAGGTGGTGTTAAGGTTCCAGATGTGTTGCACATTTCTAGTATCTTCTGCTAACGTAGACAATTTTGCAACCATTTTTTTTATTATTTATTTAAACCACTGACTGGTTGTTCTCTCTTGTATATCACTTAGCTTCACTTTAGCTCTCCATTATGGTATAACGAACAACCTCTACTTTGTCAACATACACCTGAGATGGATCTACTTGTGTTATGCTTGTGCCACCCAACGCCTTTGCAAAATCAATCACTTTTTAAGTTCTCTTCCAAGGAAACGATAACAAAATTTGTACTTGAACATACAGGAAGATTTTTTTTGTACAGTCGTGCAATTAGGCCAAATTGTTGTCTAATTTTTTTTTTTTTTTTTTTTTTTTCACATTTTTCACTTACGCGCTCACTCTATGAGTCAATCGGATTGATGTCATGCACACTATACATTGAAGGATCAAGTGTCACATAAATACTAAAGATTCGTATAACAAGACAGCTTTACACCAGCATTTTGTTTCTTTCCAGGGTACCTTCTTCCATTTTTCTTGGAGCGATACAGCAAAATTCTTGTTGATTCATTTATTTCCAATAATTCACACATATTTATAACCCATTTTAGTTAATGATCAGGCTAAGTCCAATTGTTGCATCTAGGCAACTCCTAGCACCTGTTCTCCTACATCTGAGCAGATCATCTATCAGAACAAATTCTACAATTGCAATTGAGACGAAATGGCCAGAGCTTTCAGAATCAGACTTTATACAAAACTCTCAAGGATGCAATTCAAAGCAACCAGACTACATAAAATTGATTTTAACCTCAAGGGTTTATGATGTTGTCCTGGACGCAGGCACGCCTTTGTCGCATGCAATTAATTTATCCAGAAGATGTGGCTCAAACATATACTTGAAGCGTGAGGATTTGTTACCTGTTTTTTCATTCAAGTTGAGAGGTGCATACAATATGATTGCTCATTTGCATTCTAATGCAAAACAGCCAATGTCTGGTGTTATTGCGTGCTCTGCTGGTAACCATGCACAGGGAGTTGCATACTCGGCAAACAAGCTAAACATTCCAGCCACCATTGTGATGCCAACTCCCACTCCCTCAATAAAATACAGCAATGTTTCGAGATTGGGCTCACAGGTTGTTTTATATGGAGATGATTTCGATTCTGCAAAGCAGGAGTGTGCCAGATTAAGCAAGGAAAATAATTTGGTAAATATCCCTCCATTTAATCATCCGTATGTTATCGCAGGTCAAGGTACTGTTGCATTGGAAATTACAAGACAGTTGAGACTAGACAAATTAGATGCTATTTTTGTTCCAGTTGGAGGTGGAGGGTTAATAGCAGGAGTTGCAGTTTATTTGAAACACATTGCGCCGCATGTAAAAATAATTGGAGTTGAAACGTATGATGCCAATGCTTTATACCAGTCGTTAAAGAACAAGGAGCTGACACAATTGGATAAAGTTGGTCAATTTGCCGATGGAACTGCTGTCAAGGTTCTCGGAGATGAGACTTGGAGATTGTGTAAAGATTTGGTTGATGAGGTTGTGTTGGTTAATACAGATGAAATTTGTGCAGCAATAAAGGACATTTTTGAGGACACAAGGTCAATCACTGAACCTTCAGGAGCTTTGTCAGTGGCAGGATTGAAAAAGTATATTGAGAGTCATCCAGAAATTGATCACAAGAATAAGACTTATGTCCCTGTTTTGTCGGGTGCAAATATGAACTTTGACAGATTGAGATTTGTCAGTGAAAGAGCGGTTTTGGGTGAAGGTAAAGAGGTGTCATTAGCTGTAACTATACCGGAAAAACCTGGTGAATTTGCAGTGTTGCAACATCTCATCAACCCAAGAGCAATAACCGAATTTTCATACAGATGCAGTGGACTCGAGAAAGCCAACATTTTTGTATCCTTTAACGTTGCTGACAAAAAGGTTGAAAAACCAGCTGTCATAGATGCCATGGAAAAGGCAGGGTTCGAAGTTGTTGACATTTCGGAGAATGAGTTGGCAAAGTCGCACGGTCGTTATTTGGTTGGTGGAAAGTCACACATTTCGAGAACCGAAAATGAAAAGTTGTACCTGTTTGAGTTTCCAGAGAAACCGAATGCTTTGTTCAACTTTTTGCAAGCATTGAAGAGCGACTGGGATATCAGTTTATTCAATTACAGAAACCACGGTCACGACGTTGGTAAGGTTTTGTGTGGGTTTATCTTACCAGATGGGTCCGAAGCTGAATTTCAAGAATTTTTGCAAAAGATTGGTTACACATTCATCGATGAGTCGGATAATATCTTTTACAAGAAGTTTTTAAGAAACTAAACTGTTAAAAGTACATGGCGGGTCTATAAAATTTTTGTATATACAAGACGATTTTTAATCATCACGTCGTAAAAATGTTTGGTAAGCGTCGTTGCCAATGGTTACTCTTCCACTAGCCTTCATTTGCTTTTTACCTTCCTTTTGTCGCTCCAATAACTTTTTATAACGTGAGATATCGGCGGCATGTAATTTCTGTGTAACGTCTTTTCTCTTGGCTTTTATCGTTTCTCTTGCAACTACTTTATTGTTGACTTTTGCTTGTATAGCAACTTCAAACAACTGATAGCGAAGATATTTTTTGAATCTTGTGACGTAATCTTTACCTTTAGTCAATGCTTGAGATTTGTGTATGATTGTTGTCAATGCATCTTGTGGCTCACCATTAACGCACAATTCCATCTTGACAATATCTGATTTTTTATAACCAGAGTCCTCATAATCCAACGAGGCATACCCCTTGGTGCAACCCTTGAGTTTGCCAAAAAAATCTTCCACCAATTGCGCCATTGGGAGCTCGTACTTTAGCATCACCTGTCCTGTGTTCAAATACTCAATATCCTTTTGCTCGCCTCTATTATTCAAACAAAGTGTCATCACAGTTCCAACGTATTCATTTGGCAATGTCATAATAGCCTCAACATACGGCTCCATAAAGCAGTCAACTTCGTTTCCGATCTTGTTGGTGGGAAATTCGTCAGGATTGGTAACAATCTTCTCCCTTCCATTACGATAAACGACTTTATAGGGTACTGTTGGTGCAGTAAGAATAATTTTAGCTCCATACTCATTTTCCAATCTCTCCTTGAATACTGAGGCATGCAATGAACCTAGAAATCCTAGTCTCCAACCCAAGCCTAAAGCGTTTGAAGTTTCCTTTTCCAACGTCACTGACCTATCATTCAACACCAAGTTCTGCATCTGGTCATCCATTGCATTAAAGTCTCGACCATCAGCGGGGAATGCTCCAACAAACACCATTGGCTTGGGTTCTTCAAAACCAGGGAGAGGTTCTAATCCTTCACTTTTCCCCAATTGGAAAAATGTGTCACCTACCAAAGCTTCCCTTGGGTTTTTCATTCCAGGAATCACATATGCCACTTGGCCAGCTTTAATCCAATCCATAGGCGTTCGATCAGGGTACATTATTCCCACCTCTTTGATATCATACGATTTGTTTGAATGCGCAGAAAGCACCCTCATTCCCTTTTTCAACTTACCATCCACTACGTGTATCAACATCACAACACCAACATAGGGATCGTGCCATGAGTCCACAAGTAGAGCTTTCAATGGCTTATTGACATCTCCCGAAGGTGCTGGGATTTTTTCTATAATGGACGGGATAATATCCTTCACATTCAAACCGGTTTTTGCGCTCACCGGAATACAATCTTTGGGATCCAATTCAAAAGTAGACTCCACTTGCTCAACGGCCCTTGGAATGTCAGCCAGATCTAGATCAATTTTGTTTATAATCGGAATCAATTTGAGGCCCATGCTGTAAGCCAAATAAAAATTCGCAACTGTTTGTGCTTGGACTCCTTGAGACGCATCGACCAACAACAATGCACCACCACAAGACGCATAACTCCTCGAAACTTCCGCTCTAAAGTCAACATGACCAGGGGTATCAACCAAATGAAGTAGAAAATCTTCCCGGGACTTTGGATCATTGTAAATCATCGAGACTGTTTGGGCCTTAACTGTGATGCCTCGTTCCCTTTCAACATCTAGCTTATCGAGCACCTGTGACTTGGAGCCTGGTTGAATAACACCCGTGAGCTCCAAAAGTCTATCCGAAAGTGTTGACTTGCCATGATCCACATGTGCTACAATGCTGAAATTGCGGTAGTTTGCAATAGGAATCTTGGAAATTCGTTCCTCCAATTCTTTACGAAATTTATCTTGGCTTAGTTTTTGTCGCTTTTCTTCGGTGGATAATACATTTAATGAAGATGTCAGTGAGTAGTGGCACCTTATTCGGATGCGACTATATCGTAGTGAAGTACGTATGTGACGCCATGACGGTAGAAACATTTCCTTTGATCGTATGTTTGTTGCATCAACTGAAAAGTTTCAATTCTTTTTTCATTTCGCTACACAAGTGGAAGGCACACTAACCGTCACTATATTCAATTGTACATTCAAAGACTATACAATGTTTAACTATTAGCCTTGGCGAACTCATCCACAAATTTTGCCAATTTTTCTACACTCGAAGTTGGAACTGCATTGTAAATAGAGGCTCTGATACCGCCAACTGATCTGTGGCCTTTTAAACCTTTCAATTTGGCAGCGTCAGCTTCAGCAATGAATTTAGCAGTCAACTCTTCACTTGGTAACTTGAACACTACATTCATGTTGGATCTAACTTCGGGGTTCTTCACTGGTAAGTTGTAAAAACCCGGATAAGAATCCAAAACCTTGTACAATAATTCTGCTTTCTTGTTGTTGAGTTTCTCCTTTGCTTCGAGACCACCCTCTTTGAGGAGCTTTTCAGTGACTAATTTCAAGATTTGACACGCAAAGATAGGAATTGTGTTGTAAGCCGAGTTGTTTTTCACAACGGTCGGGAAATGCGTGGCAATAGGCAGCAAAGGAATATTCAACTTTCTCAACTCTTCATCGGAAGCTTGATCCAATAAATCTTTCCTGATTATGTAAATCGTCAAGCCAGCAATACCCACATTTTTCTGCGCGCCTGCCATAATGAGTCCATACTTGCTAATGTCAACTTTTTTCGATAAGATGTTTGACGACATGTCTGCAACTAGCTCAACACCTTTAGGCAAATATTCTGAGCCTGGCGTATCCTTGAACTCATTCCCATGAACAGTCTCATTATCGCAAACCCATAAATAGGAAGTGTTTTCTTTGATTGGTTCCCACTCTGAGTAAGGTGGTATGTCACCATAATTTATAGACTTTGTATTCACAGCGATATCCACTTCAAAACCCAAACGCTTGGCCTCCTCTGTAGCTTTTGCTGACCAAGAACCAGTGACTGCATATGCAGCTCTTCCTTTCTTACCAGTTCTTTTGGCGTGATTGGCAAACAAATTGTAAGCTATAGAGGAAAACCCAGTGGTACCTCCACCTTGAAGAAAAAACACTTCATAGTTGTCAGGAATGGCAAGCAATTTCTTCAAGTTGTCTTTAGTGTCATCAATTATCGCAATTGCTGGCTTTGAGCGGTGTGAAATTTCGGCAACACCAACTATGTCATTTTCGTAGCTGATTAAGTCGTACGCAGCTTGTTGCAATACATCGGTGGGCAAAAGTGCAGGTCCTGCACCAAAGAAGTCTGGATCTTCTCTATCCAATGTCCTGGGTTCAACCATTGTGTTCTAGTGAAATATTATTGTGGGAAGAGTCTACAATGGTACAAGTTGAAAAAAATAGCAAACGCTGAAAAGCGCTGTTTGAAAAAAGACACCCTTTGCCAAAACTTTTTTGCAACTTTCTATGACTCAATTTCTATTACATTTACAAATTTCTCACACCGTTTATAAAGTATACTAGTTCCACATCTTCGGTTTCATCTAGCAAACAATGGAGACTACAATTTCTATGACCTATACATAGAATCACGGTTTTGCAACGTCCTACAATTTTGGACGCCAGTTGCCAATCCTTTAATTTAACACTGATGTTTACCACTTCCGGGGTCCCCTCGAGTTCTGAGTGATCCAGCATCATTGTATCAACGTTTCTCAATGACTCTCGTATGGTTTCCGCATCATTTGATATGGGCTTATGGAACTCAAGCTTCGTATTCCAACCCACTGTCACTTTAAACTTGCCATCTTCCTCCAAGACGAACCGCAAGCTTCCTGTATCTCTGTTGTTTGCTTGTATTGCCACAATATCGTTGAACGTTGTTTTCTTGAATTTCTCTAAACGCTTGAATATGGCGATAAACTCATTGGGTAGTCTCACTATCAACCCAACATCGGAGTGGGATGGTTCCTGAAAAAAATCCTGAGCTTCCTTTAATATCTTTACAGGTATTCTGAAAGTGTGGTTAATAACATTGGAGTTGACGTTGATATTGGAATAGAACAAGGCCAACGACGCTGTTCGTCCGTTTTTTGTGCTTGTTCCCTGCTCCCCACTTGCATCAGTTCGCTGTAGCCTTATATTTAACCCCTCACTATTGGCTTTGTCAAAGTTTCTCAAAGTTTGTAGTAGTAGATCTATATTTATCTCCATCAGAATGGTGTTGTCTCTCATACTCTGAATCTCCATGCTTTCGAATAGACTCGAGGTGGTGAACTTACACCATACTTGTGGCTCCAGGTTGGCAGATCCAGTGTTTACCAGTATAACACTGAGTTCTTTTGACGTGATTTTAAGTATGATAAACTTCCGAAGATGGGATATGAGTGCCAAAGTATCTTTGAGTTTCTCAATGTTTCTAGTCATAAGCTTTAGCTTCATTTTTGACACACACTCTCTTTTCAATAACGCTTTGATGTAGAATCGGGGCCATCAGTATGAAATTCAGTTGAAGCACAAAAGATGTTTGGTGTGAGAAATCCATTATTGAAAAAAAAGAGAAGAAAAAAGTAACAAGATTCAATCAAACACACGTACACACATATATATATATATCGCCAAGAGCAATACCTCACAAGAACAAATCATGGGCGAAAAGGATGCCTCCTTCTCCAATGAAGAAAGTTTCAAATTTTTTGGGCTTGGAGGGTGTAATGAGGTGGGACGATCGTGCCATATCATTGAGTACAAAAACAAAGTTATTATGTTGGATGCCGGGATGCACCCAGCATTGAGTGGACATGCATCATTTCCGTACTTTGATGAATACGACTTGTCCAAAGTGGACATTTTGTTGGTGAGTCATTTCCATGTGGACCATTCAGCTTCATTACCCTATGTAATGCAACAATCAAATTTCAGAGGCAAGGTTTTCATGACACATGCAACTAAAGCAATATATCGCTGGTTAATGCAAGACTTTGTGAGAGTGACATCCATTGGAAACTCAAGGACGGAAGGCGGTGGTAGTACTAGTAGTAATGACGAAGGTGGGAATATATACACAGATGACGATATATTTAAATCCTTTGACAGAATTGAGACTATTGATTTTCACTCGACAATGGAAGTTGATGGAATCCGGTTCACAGCTTACTACGCCGGCCATGTTCTTGGTGCTTGTATGTATTTGATCGAAATTGGCGGGTTGAAGATACTTTTCACAGGTGATTATTCCAGAGAAGAAAATCGTCATTTACCTTCCGCCGAAGTCCCACCAGTCAAACCTGACGTTTTAATTACTGAGTCAACATTTGGAACTGGTACATTAGAGCCCAGAGCTGAGTTGGAGACGAAACTTACGAACCACATCCATGCAACGCTAACAAAGGGAGGACGTGTTTTGTTGCCAGTATTTGCCTTGGGTAACGCCCAAGAACTATTGTTGATTCTTGACGAATATTGGGAAAAAAACGAAGATCTACAGAATGTCAGTGTTTATTACTGCTCTGATCTAGCTAGAAAATGTATGGCCGTTTACGAAACATACACTGGTATCATGAATGATAAAATACGGCTCTCGTCTTCTTCTGATGATTCAAAGTCTAGCCCGTTTGATTTTAAGTATATCAAGTCAATCAGAAACCTTTCAAAATTTTCAGATTTGGGTCCATCCGTAGTTGTAGCAACGCCGGGTATGTTGCAAGCAGGAGTATCCAGACAATTGCTAGAAAAGTGGGCACCAGAACAGAAGAATCTTGTGATATTGACAGGATACTCCGTAGAAGGAACAATGGCAAAGGATTTGTTGAAGGAACCACAAGTAATCCAATCATTAAATAACCCAGATTTGAGTATCCCCAGAAGAATTGGAATTGAAGAGATTTCATTTGCTGCGCATGTTGATTTTCAGCAAAATTCCGAATTCATTGACAAGGTATCTCCTTCGAAAATCATTTTGGTACATGGTGACTCAGTTCCTATGGGTAGGTTGAAATCGGCGTTGTTGAGTAAATATTCCTCACGAAAGGGTACCGACAAAGAGGTCAAGGTATTCAACCCCAGGAATTGTGAAGAGCTTACTATTCCATTCAAGGGATTAAAGATTGCTAAAGTGCTTGGTTCACTTGCAGAAGAGCAATTGCAGACTTTGAAACATGAGATTGAGGAGAAATTGACTGAAGTTGATAATGACGGAAATGATGTCAAAATGGAGGAGGTGGACGACGAAGATTCCGAGAAAAAAAGACAAGTCAATGGAACACTAAGCACTTTCAAACCGGGTCAAGTTGTTTCCGGAGTACTCGTTGCAAAAGATTTTGAATTGGATCTTGTTCAGTTGCAAGATTTGAACGAGTTTACTCAGTTATCCACATCGATAGTCAAGTCCAAAATGAATCTCAAAATCAATGCAAATTTACCATTGATGATTTGGCATTTGGAGCAAATGTTTGGTTACATCAATGTTATCAATGATGATGCACAGTCATGGGAATGTGTGGTTATGGACGTTGTAGACATTTTAATAGATAGATCAAAAGGTCCCGGACTTTACATCTCGGTGGAGTGGATTAATGACAATTTAATGGCCGATTCATTAGCAGATAGTATCATTGCTATACTATATTCGATTGATTCGTCTCCAGCATCAGTGAAGATGTCATCGGCACAACATTCTCATAATCATCAACATCCCCACATCAAACAAGAATTTGAGAATGACACTTCGTTGACTTCCAAGTCAGATATTGCGAGTCGGATATCTCAACTTCAGCTTTTATTGGAAGCTCAGTTTGGTGAATCTTTGGAGAATTTAGAAGATGAGAAGGCTAGGATAACAATTGGAAAGAGTGTTGCTAATATAGATTACAGGACTTTGAAGGTAGAGTGTGCCTCAAAGGTGTTGAAGGATCGTATAGAAACAACCATCAGGAGAGGAACTGTACTAACAGCTCCATTGGCTTTGCCACCTAAATAGAATATAAATTGTTTGTCTACAAGTACCAATACTACTCTTCACTCGCACCAGAGAAACCACAAAAAAAATTCAGCTTTAACATCACCTAGCTTGTCTTGCAGTGCTTACCAGGATACCGACAAGATATTGCTACCCAAAGGAGAGAATAGCAATTCATTAGCAGTACATTATTACCAGATACTTGACATATTGCAGCACCAACAATGAGGTATGTATCTTCACACGAATGGATGTATTGTGTCTAATCCTGTTACTAACTTCTCTCCCATTTAGTGAATTCATAAACCGTCCACGTTCAGAGCTAACTGAACTCGAACTTGCCAAGTTGGAAGAGTTTGAATTTTTACATGGACCAATGTCATTAATTAACCAAGCACAGAAAGAAAATACTCCAGTGATAATATCGTGTCGGAACAATCACAAACTAGTTGGTAAGATTCGAGCTTTTGATAGACATTGTAACTTGGTATTGGAGAATGTCAAGGAGTTGTGGACCGAAACAGTGAAGAATGAGTTCAATCAAACCAAAAGTGTCTCTAGGGAGAGATTTATTAGTAAGTTGTTTTTGAGAGGTGATTCTGTTATCATAATATTGAAAGCGTGAGAAACAGAACAAGAAGAAACCAAGGTTTCACGAATTATATATGTAAAATTATAATACACACGTCTAATATCCACTATTAAAATTGAAGAACCTGTTGTAGCGCTAAACACCGACTCTGAGTATATTTTGACCTTGGTGTCTAAACTTGATAACTTCATGTCTCTCCATAATATACAAAGCCTTTTCCAATGCCGAGCTGCTAGCTTTACCTGAATCGACAAACTCCTTTCTCAAAGTTCTATAAGCAGTAGACCATCCAATCGGTAACCTTCTTCTCAATTCTTGCTCGACCTTTTTGATTTCGGCATTCAAATTAGCATCAGCGCTGTTTCCAAAGCCTTGATCAACAGCATCCATAGTAGACGCAGTAAACAACCTAATAGCTTCTTCAACGTGTTCTTCAGTGGCTACTGGACTCAATCTCAATTTGGCCAAGGATTCTGTTATACGAATGATAGCTTCCAATTGACGAACGGTGATAGGAATTGACGATCTTTCATTCATTTCTTTTTCATTGATTTGTAATCTTCTTCTGATGGATACAAAGTGAGACGATAACCTCTCGGAAGCTTCAGCGGTTAAACGTGGCGCACACCTCAATTTGACGTATTGAATATACCTCTTCATTGTCTCCACTGGAATCTCACCTTCTTGTTGCAATTCTTGTGTTTTGCCACCAGCATGAACATCCATAACATGATGAGCTATGGAAAGATCTCTACTCTCGTTGTGATCGTCTTTGACAATGAAGATCATATCAAATCTCGACAAGATGGTCGTTTGAAAATCAATGTTTTCTCCAGGTGATTTGAATTCGTCATATCTTCCAAATACTGGATTAGCGGCAGCCAAGACTGATGTTCGAGAGTTCAAGATTGTTGTAATACCAGCCTTGGCAATAGAAATCGTTTGCTGTTCCATGGCTTCGTGAATGGCCACTCTATCTTCATCTCTCATTTTATCAAACTCATCGATACACACAACCCCACCATCAGCCAACACCATAGCACCTCCTTCCAAGTAGAAATCCCTAGTTTGAGGATCCCTTTGCACAGAAGCAGTTAAACCAGCGGCAGATGAACCTTTACCGGAGGTATACACCGAAATGGGGGCAATTTTTTCAACAAATTTCAACAATTGAGATTTAGCTGTACCCGGATCACCCAACAACAAGACATTGATATCTCCTCTCAACCTCATTCCATCTGGAAGAATCTTTTTGGACCCACCCATCAAGAGACACGTGATTGCCTTTTTGATATCCAGGTTCCCGTAAATTGAAGGGGCAATCGAATTGGCAAATACCTCGTACAAGTTTGACATTCTTGACAATTTTAAAAACTCTTCTTCCTCTTCTTCACTAAAGGTGATACCTTGCCCATTAGCACCATTGTCAATATCTGTTTGGATTCCGAGGACTTTCAAATAAGGATTACGTATGGCAACATTGCTAGCGCTGCTATTACCTGCTCTTTGTTTGGATTGAAAAATTGAGTATATACCAACAACAGTTACTCTTGTACCTGGTACAACCTGATTAGTCAAGTACCTATCACTTTGCAACAAAATGTGACGCGGCATTTCACCTACAGGAACCATGTCGGGACATTCTTGTAACTTTAGTACTTGTTGATCAACAAAATGAGATTTATCGTGGTCGATAACATATGAATCCTGGGGGCATTTTTCTTGAGTTGAATTGGGGTCTATATTGTGAGGGCTCTGGCATTTAGGCAACTGGATAGGACCAAAACCAGACTTGACCTTCAACTGCATGGTGTGCTTACATTGACGACAAATCAATTGCACTTCAGTAGCTCTTGATGACAAAACGGAGGCAGAAATAACGATACCACTCACTCTAACAATTTTAGAAATGTGTTCAGAGTCCAAGTGTCTTATTGAGACTTTGTTGGCTTGTGAATACAAGATTAATTGGCAAGTTGGAAAATTGGTTGGAATTTCATCTTTTGACAAGTAGGCTATTCTCTTAGCAATATCAGTTATGGCAACCTCAAAAAGTGGAATCATTTCAGACGGGTCATCCGTTAATTTTTTGTTCAACTCTTCATTAAATCCAATAAGGTGTTCACTATCCACTTTGAGAAAGTAGTTGTTGATCAACAAGTTTTCACGTAATTGATCTCTGTAAATGAATTGTGAATCTAACCTAAATTCTAATATAAATTTACGAAACGCTTTGGTAATCTGGTTGAAAGAGTCATCACTTGGACTTTCACCTTGCAAGACTGGCGCTGAGTACACGCTTGGACGTTCAAATGACATAATTTCCGTGTGAATGAGAATCAATGAGATATTGTCTATAGTTCTCTGAAGAGTTTAGTGCTGATTCGATTCTAGTTCCACAAGCAAAGAAATGAATGTTGAATAGTGGGATCTTGGTGAATAAGGAGGAGGAAACTGAGAATGAACTGTGATAAATTTTTATAAAAAAAATAACGTGTAATCGTATACTATTATTTATCCCAATTGAGTTAAATTATTCAAAATCTGCATTTTTGTGTAACATTTGTTTGTTTACACGCGTTACACAAACATTCTTTTTGAAATGGGACCTGGTAGCGTATCTACATGTGGTAGCACAAAAGGATCGCATTCCATCTGCTCCATCAGATGATTAGGCACAAGCAAAAACGAAAAAGACTCAGTCCTACATGTTGCGATATCCAACGAGACTTTTCACAACTGCTCGCGCTCTTAATGCTATTCCGAAAAAAAACAAACTCCCTCCTCGACCAAAGTGGTTGATCAAAGAAGAAGAAATTGAAGAGAGTTTCATTAAAGGTGGTAGAGGTCCTGGTGGACAAAAGATCAACAAGACAAACTCAAAAGTGCAGTTGACTCACAAGCCAACTGGAATAGTAGTTACTTGTCAAGCGACAAGGTCTCAGGAACAAAACCGGAAAAAGGCGAGGGAGATTTTGGCATTGAAGTTGGATGATTTATACAATCCAAAGACTAGTAGGAATGCTGTATTAACTGAGAGGGCCCAAAAAGTAAAACAGAGTAAGACAAAGAAATCAAACAGAAAGTATCGGACATTGGATGAAGCAAAAGAAGATGAAAAAGCCATGCGATTACAACAAGAACAAACGTTAATTGAAGAGCTTAGTATTATTGACGAAGATGAGGAGTTTGACCAGTTTGTAAAGACTGCAAAAGTTGACTTGAATGGGTTGAAAGAGTAGTGTACTGTGGGAGACAAGGGGGAAGGGAGAAAGAAACAAGACAGGGGGAGAAGAATGAAGAAATTATTTGCAACCAAAATTTATACACACACACACACACACACACACACACAAACAACACACCAGACTCAAATCCATCCACATACCAGACACCGCTTCCAATCAGTGTGTTATGTACAATGTCTGGTTCAGATACAGCACTTCTCATTCTATTGATCATTACATTGTCATTGACCGTGTTCACCTTACTCATGGTTACGTCACTCACAGATCCATACTGGTATTTACATATCTTGTCAATCAAGACTCGTCAAAGACAAAAGGTTTTTGATCAATCAAGAGTTTCTGCTGACTTGGAGCTGCAAAACGACTCTACTGTAGATCATCTGAGAAGCCGTAGATCCACCACGAATGGATCAAATATTGCATTGGATAGTTATCCAATGGGTTCTTCTGTCCTAGAAAGAAACCATAACGACGTGCATGAGAACCAACCAAGTGAACATGAATCCACTGAGGAAGTCCCTGATTCGGAGAGCGATCGGATTGCATTAGATGAGAATGCAATTCATGATCCTCAACTCCATCAAGTGAGGGATATTCCTCGAACTAGGGATGAGACCGTTGAGAGTTTGAAAGAATTTGGAAGTGCTTACGAAAAGTTCGATGCCACTGGGCAGAATCAATCCTTAGAGTACGACTCAGCAATCAATCTTTCTAGATTTGAAATACTTGGAACGTCTACTGATGCTGTTGCGACAAATGCTAATAAAGAAGCAGAAGAAGAAGAGGAAGATGTTGAACTTGACACGGATGATAAACAAGTTGCCAATCCAACAATTATTGCGCATCCGGCCACAACTTCGTCTATTTTTGAGTCAGCTCAAGTTCAACCAACACCCATAACACCTATTCCGCAAGTTAGTAAAAGGGAAGCTGTTCAAAACATAGACAGGGTGAAATTAATTCGTAAAGTTTCAGATCCACTCTCTGATGGCTTTATTAATGTTGGGGATCATGTCATTGTTTTCAGACCATTTGTTGGTGTTAGAGATTTTGATTTTCCTTTGTTGCAACCAGGTGATTTGATTCGAATTAACAAGTTTTTTGTATTAGAAGAAGACTCCAACTGTGACAATCCAGACGAACGAAGCTCGAATCCTGCTGAAACACAAACGATCCCCGATGAAGGTGCAATTGATCTAGCAAACTTGAGTGAATCACTGCTGAATGATTCACTGCAAGATAGTCGTGCCCAAGAATTGACAGTGGCAAGGGCTGATGTTTGGTACAAGAAGTTGTATTGCACAGGGATGCTATCAAATACCTATCTCAAAGCATCCACATCGCAAGAGTTGATGTGGAAACATCGGGAAGAGTTGAAATATGACATAAACTCTCTTACAAGAGACTTCCCTTTGAATGTGGTTACTCTGGAGGAAACTATTGCAAGAGGATCGAGAAAGGGGGTTGTTATCGATTGATTTATCTTTCCTTTTTTGCTAAGAAAACTTCATCATAGCTAATAGTATATTCCTGCTCTACTTCACGTATCTTCTCTCTTTCTAGCAATCTTTTTCCATTTTTCATTCATTTCCAATGAATCTTGTAAACATTCTTTTGTCACTTTAAGATCCTGTCGAAGGTTATCAATAACTTTTTGAGCTTCTTGGTCAATTCCAATATTAGCCACCAATTCCAACATTTGTTTCAAGTTGTGATACAATTTATAAAATTCATTCACCAAGGGCAACTCCACCACTTCAGAATTATCAATCTCATTATAATACTTTTGCACCACAGTTTCATCCATGTCATTTATTTGTTTCAAGTCAATCATATCGGATGGCGCAGGGATCCCCAAGTCTAGTTCAGCACCCTTGTAATTTGTAATTTGTAAATTAACCATTGACAAGTAATTCTTAACGTGGTGAATGAAATTTGTCAATTTATAATTTTCACCAGTGATGCTCTCAATAATCATTGTTAGTGATTTGATATATTCTGACGAATCATCGCGAACGATTTTTTGAATCTTGGCAAGCTCAACGTTATCAAAAGATATCCCTAGATTCGAATTGTTGTCAATGATGGGGGTATTGTTGTAAATCTCTTTATCGTTGACTACTTGATCGCTAAGATTTATTGTTGTTGTTGTTGGTCGCAGCGATGGTGTTAGTGGTATTCCATATTCAATAGTTGAGCTCAAACTTCTCTTTTCAAGTAACTTGTTTTTTAAATTGCTGATTTCTAAATTTTTGCGTTTCAATTCAACTCGATATTTTGCTTGTAGATCCTTATTTGATGTCGTCAATGTTTTGACATTTTTCAGTTGCAACTTATTGGTCCTACTTAGATGTTCAACCTGTTTGGTTAACAAAGTATGGTCTATGAGTGAATCCCGACTCTTATGTTCTTTGCTAGCCAACTTCTTTTCTAGTGTCAATACATGACGATTTAAATCATCTATCTGGCGATCTTTTGCCAATAATGTTTCATTGAGCTTTTTCTGGCGATGACGATTCTTATCGATACTCAAAATCAACTCATGAATCACACGGAGAATATTTTCATCGTTTTGGCAAATTGTCTCGGTAGTCTCCACGTCAGCAATGTTGGGGTTGTTTTTGATTTGATCTGATACAAGATAAGACCAGTTAATACTGGGGAATAATAACTTTGTATCGATATATGCTCGTGATTCCAATGTAGCGTTAACAAGCGCAGCTAGTGCCTTTACTCTTGACACACTGTCTGTCTTCTCTGAGGGCGGTGTCATGTAAGGGGAATATGAATTGGGGTTTCTTGCAATTAAGTTTTAAACTGGTTTTAGGGTTTTGTTTTGTTTTGATTTTCTCATTTTACACAAAAGGTAAAAAGAAGCATTTTGGTGCATTGAAAATTAACATCTACGATACTAAAAGATATGTTCATCAATCTATAGTAGTAGAGATTCGAGAGTCCGTGAATACCTACAGACGAGTTCCGTGTATAGCCATTCGGTTGAAAATAACTCAAATTTCTCTACTTGACTACAGTATGCTGTCCGATTGCCCTCAAAACAATGAATATATAATCATTTCCGTTTCTATACTTCAGTATACAAATTGAGCCATCGAAACAACAGCGCTTTCAGCTTTCTCAATTTACATTCTTGCCAATCATTCAAAACAACCAGCAAAAAATCTAATGTCCTTCAGCTTCAACTTCATCAAAAACAAACCAATCTTCATCTGGTTTAGTTTCAGAATTAGCTTCAGTTGGTTGTGCAGCCTCAGCTTCAACTTCATTTTGCTCATACTCTTTAACTTGTTCAGTTGACAATTCGTGAATTTGTGGAATGGTTGGTTTACCTGGTAATTGAAACTTCTTAACTGCGGAATCAATCTCTTCTTGTGAAAGGGCTTGTGGTTTGAATTGTCTAATGTTTTGGACATACAAGTCTCCAATCAAGTTTGATCTTCTAGGAGTGATTGAAAACAATCTTCTTGATGATATACGCTAGAGGAGGAGTTAGTATAAGTCTGGTATGGTGCATTATGGACGGGGGTTCGCAATGGCTCTCTTTTTGAGCGTGGATTTGAATTAAAATAAGTCAACAACATAGCCGCAACAAGACAGTGGTGAATTAAATCACCCCCATGTGTCCCAATTAGCTTCCTTAGCATATTCTCACGCTTGTCGTCGCTAAAGCCTTCTTTCTACACCTCTAACATCGTCTTGTCAAATTGATATTTCCAATAGCCAACTCCAGAACATGAAAGCCCCTCCCGTATCTGCTGGCACTTCCTATACATACGGCAATTGGTCTGAACATGTTTTCCTCTGTTGATCTATAATTATATGATATCGTTGAACTGTTTCTGACGACCTTTTTTTCCACCTCTGTTTTTCCTATTCTTTTTTTTTTTTCATCACCTAATAATGGTAGTGTATTGGACCTCAATTTTAATCCTCGCAATTAGAGAATCTTGTAATTCAATTGGACAGAGAGAAATTATGGATTCACGTGATACTATATCAAGATAACGAAACACCGACCGCTTCGAAAAAGGACCCATAACTTGACATCTAAGTGGTCGATATACACCCAAAGGAAGTATCAAATCCCCAGTCCTCCCCTGTATATTACCATGCCGAAATATTATTGTGATTACTGCAAGTCATATTTGACTCATGACACGATGAGTGTTCGGAAATCACACTTGATGGGAAAACATCATATTAAATACTATTGTGACTATTACGAATTCAAAGCTAAAGAGACTGGTGAATGGAATCCACAAGAGCTAATATATGAAATAACATTTGATAAATTGAATAAAGGTATACCTGGAGGTAACGATATCAAGAATCAAAGTAATGGCTACTGGCAAGCACCTGACAGGAGGGGAGACAAAGATGGTATGGATATTGATCTGAGAGCAAGTGCTAGTGCAGACAGGAAAAGTGGGGACATTAACAATGAAGAAGATGGCGAAGAAGAAGAAGGATTCATGCTTCCTCCGCCTCCTCATTTGAGCGGGTTCCCACCTCCACCTCCTGCGATTTATAATACAATGCGGGAAACTCAACTCGCAATTCAAAGGATTCAAAGGTGAAGAATGGGGAAGCATACTCCAGTGGAGGTTATGTAAAAACTTTTATAGTGATGGTGGCCAATACGTGCAATGATGTTGATGAAACATTACCACATAAAAGGGTCCGAATCAAAGTTGAGTACCCACTATATCGTCTAACGATGACGTGATCAACCGACATCAAATATATTCCAATGTTCAAGCATTGGCAACCACTGCATCTAATAGATATAAAATTCTCAATTGTATCTGAAACTATATAAACTATATAACTTTTGAAAAAAAAATTAAAACACCAACAAGCTTCACTCCACTCACATTCTTCAACTTACATTCTTTCTCTCTTTCTTGTAGTTGTACATTAAATCCATAAACAACCTTCTAAAAGGAGCTCAAAGCTACAAAAGCTCAACCAATACCCCAAACACGTATTGTCGCCTTCTCTTTCCCTGTGTGTGTTTACAAATCAGCATCATCTTCATCAGGCAATGGCAAGGCAGTAGCTTGTTCCATTTCTTGTTGGTATTTTTGCATCAAGTCAGAGTCAACTTGAACTTCTGGTGGAGCCAATGCAGGAGAAGCAACAAATTCCAATTGTGGGTTACCAACCAATTTTCTAGCTAACCACAAAAATGGTTTTTCGAAATTATAGTTGGATTTAGCGGAAATGTCATAATATTGCAAATTCTTCTTTCTATGGAAAGTGATGGTCTTGGCTTTAACTTTACGTTCTTTAACGTCAACTTTGTTACCACACAATACAATTGGGATGTTTTCACAAACTCTCACCAAGTCTCTGTGCCAATTAGGAACATTTTTGTAGGTAATTCTTGAAGTAACATCAAACATAATGATACCACATTGACCATTGATATAATAACCATCTCTTAATCCACCAAACTTTTCTTGACCAGCAGTGTCCCAGACATCGAATTTCAATTCACCAAAATTGGTGTGGAATCCCAAAGGATGAACTTCAACACCCAAGGTGGCAATGTATTTTTTTTCAAACTCACCAGTTAAATGTCTCTTGACAAATGTGGTTTTACCAGTACCACCATCACCAACGAGAACTAATTTGAAAGTAGGAACTTCTTGTGCCATGATTGATTTGGGGTTTATCTCTATTAATAGTATCTGATTATGATGTATTGAGGAAAATACGATGAATGGAAAACCTCCCTTTTTTTTGATTCAAAAGATTGAATTTTTTTTCTTTTGGTTTTGTTTTTCTTTCGATGGAAGAGGGAGAAAAAAAATTAAAAAAAGTTGATTTGGACAAGAAGAATAAGCAGCAATAAAGTATGAGGACATAAAAAAATTGATTGAACATGGTAGCGTACACTAGATGAGATGAAATTCTAATTTTTAAAGTCGCAAAGGTAAAGTGTCGTAAAATAAGAATTAACGACAATGCCTTAAATGTGTTTCAAGGGATGGCCCGAGTTGACATAGTGAATTAGCTGTTCCAGGATCACACACTCAGCAGCCACGAACGAAGTCAAACTTGATACTTGATCTTGCTCCACTTTTTCCTATTTTTGAATGCATGGTCTAGTGGAAGTAGCTCCTCTCTCGAGTTTTTAAAATTTTGCAACAAAGTGATGGAAAAGAATCAAAAAAAACCACTCAGGGAAGGGAAGTTGAACTCTATGCCAATCACTACATTCAGGAAACTACAAGTTGCACCACACAAAAATCACTTTTATTACCCACTTACAGTTCCAGTGCTTATGGCGATTGATTTAATTACTATGAGTAAGTGAAGATTTTCCGCATCGAGAATATAGACAGCCAAAATCCCTCGTACACAAAAGTGCCTGGACTAGTTTGAACTTTGCGAACTTGTTTGAAGCCCTCTTCTCGCAAGATCCTGAATCTGATTTAGCTTTGCAGGAAGGTGGACTGCTGTGGTAACCTGTGTCATGTGTTTTGGGATTCAAAAGGGGGCACCCGTCAAGGCCAAAACAATTTAGTTGGCATTATACTACAGTTGACATAGGCATGGTCCATGAATAAGTTCAAATTTTCATGTATCGTCTGTCTAGCCTATGTAATTTTTGAAGTACGATATGCTATTTTGGGTTATTTCATGCACCTAACCCCCAACACCATCATGCAAAAGCGAAAAAGAAAATGCAACGCAAGGGAAGGTGGGCAGAACATGGTGGTGGGTTACAAAGGAAAATGATTGTACAAGCGTCGCGCGTGTCGGCTTACTCCCATTATTATTGGGGCCTGGGTTCGTAACGATGAATGCATGCTTTACTTGTTTTGTGTTTTTGAGAGGGTCTATTTGAAGCGTATATTGTTTTTTTTTTCGAAGCCATACACACATAGTAAGTTTCAAGGGGGAGCTTTCTGCATTGCTTTTCAAGAGATGAACTTACTTCTCTCTACACGCTTGCTGCAACCAAAGGAAGCCTATCAAAAAATACCGACTTTTGAAATTTTGACAAAGTTTGGGTTTGCTGCTATTGGGTAAAACGCGTGAGGAAAAGAACCCACATGCATCACATGTATACGCAAATCATAATATTATCATTGCATTGAAATACGCAAAGAGAGAAAAGACTGTTTTCAAGGCGAAGGATAATATTATTTCAAAATGGTTGAAAAAAGGCAAAGGACGTGTTTCAATTCGTTGTCGTTCCCAACACAAAATAGAGGTGTTTAACCAAAAGCTTTTTTTTCAAAGATGTGTTATGGAGGTTTACGTTACAACCACATGTGGATAACCATTAACCATATGGATTGGACTCATTGAAGTAATACTTTTTTCTCCAATGGTTATGAGAGGGGAAGTTTGAAACACAGAAATAGGCTTTGCAAACAATAAGGAAAAAAAAAAAAAAAAGTGAAAGAGAATAAACAATAACACACACACATGTTATATTGTTTGCAATAAGGAAACCAATACTTGATTACTAGTGCATGGTGTTTTGTGATACCAAAAGCAAAAAAAAAATAGAGGATACAAAGCGACACAATTCAGTAACAATCGTAATGCTGTCGGAGTACTGGTGTTGGTTCAATCTCTTGTTTTGATTTCCTCGTTAACAAAGGGAAATCATTTGTGTGTGTGTGTGTGTGTGTGTGTGTGTGTGTGTGTGTGTGTGTGTTTGTTGCTTCAGTCTGTATGTGTCAACTAGTTATGTTACACACTTTTTTTGAGACAAGAACTCTAAAAATAGCAACAAACATAAGAGCATACTACACATTCACTTTAATGTATCCGTTCGTTACCCACTCTTCAATCAATAGAGTTTAAGAAATACGGATGTCCTATAGTTTTTAGTCTATATGAAAGATACATCTTCAATCAATATGTTGTTACACATTTAGCTTAAGGATGTGTTTATGTTTCCAACTTGAGGCAAAAATAAATTAAAAAATAAATTAAAAAAATAAATAAATAAATAAATAAATTAAAAAAAAAAAAATCAACAGACAAAAAAGGAGTGGTTGGTGTGTTCGTATTGTTTGTTTGTTTTGCGTTGTGTATTGTGTAGCTTTTTTTTTTTTTTTTTTTTTTCATAACCAAATTTTTCCTTAAATTTCTTGAAACACACTCTCTGTATAATACAATACCACACACACAGACACACACACCATACATCACACACAGGCATACACATACCACCCACACCACCTCCATCACACACGTCAAGATAAAAAAGAAAAATCAACACATTCGCTACTAGATACCATCTTTTTTTTTTTTCAACAAATCTGTACCAACCACTAGCAAAACTAGAGGCAACTCACCTTTTGTCCCTTTAGAAATACCGAGTTGTTATTGTTGTTGTTGTTGTTGTTACTGCACTTTATACCAACTTTACACCTAGTATCTACTTTGCCCTACATTTTGGCATATCTTCTCCTTTGAGACAATGTATCAACAAGTGTTTTATAACAATATGCACCGAAATGGAGGAGGTGGAGGGGTAGGAGGAAACGCAGCGACTCCATTAAACGTTCAACGGTATATCAATGTCCCAGGAATGAACGGAGGTGTACCCCCTTCACCAATGACACCTTTAGATATGAGTTATGGTCAGTCAATGTTGCCATCGAATTTGTTTGTTAGTACGCCATATTTCACCCCACCACCATCAGCTCAATACTTTCCACCGATATCTCACCATTCATCACTCCGCAACTCACAAGTTTCTTTAGCAAACTCACATGGGTCATATTCAAGGAGTCGCAATAGGGGCCATCAACATCGTAATAATAGCAGTCAGCACCACCAGGAACATCACCCGGAACATCCCCAGCACCAGTATCAGCACCAGAATGTTCATGAGCATGGGCAAGATGCTGCCCAGAAGATTACAAATGGCACTTCAACTCACAACCCAACTAGTCAAATCAATGGCTCAGCTCCTGTATCAGAACATAATCTCGAGCATTTGAATCTTTCGAGAACGGTTATTTTGCGAAATATTGCTGATGATATGACATTACATGATTTGTTGGACCATATTGATTTTGGTCCTATTGAATATGTCAAATTGTTCACCAAAACTCCACCACGTTCTCTTGACAACAATGGCTCAAACGACATCAAATCAAACAAAAACTGCACAATATCATTTATCAATTCCAAAACATCAGTGATGTTTTACTTGAAATATGCCAAAAACTCATCAAACTTAAACAAGTTGAGGCTGTCTTTGCGATCGCAACATTTGAAAATTACACTTTGTGACATGAACAAACCCCAATATGCTAATGCCCCTCCCAAACAAGATTATATCAAATTGAAAAATTTAAACTACATTATTGACCATAAAGCAACGCGATGTTTGAAAATCTCATTCAGTATTAAGGATGTATTGCTGGACGACACAACTGCTGATGCTAGATTAACCCACTTGAAACACTATATTTCAACTCAATGCGAGAAGTTTGGTGACGTTGAAAGCTTTGAAATTGAGTTGGATATACCGGGGAAGGATGAAGAAGGAGATGTTGCGGGTGACGACTCAAAGATGACACTTTTAGGCGCAGCTACAGTTCATTTCACTTCGATTGATGCTTCAGTAAAAACTTATGAAGACTATAACAAGAGGATCGTCCATGACTCGGAAAAAAGACGCGGTGGTGCTGGTTGTGATGGCGAAGTTGACACCATCACCAAAAAGAAACGTGATTCATCAAATGATTTATATGATGTCAACTCCAAGTATGGTATTCATTTTATCCTGGCAATTTTCCATAATGACAGGTGCGATAAAACACTCGTTGAATATAGACATGAACTTGAAGACAACCAACCACCTCCTACAGAGGGAAACGGAAGACTGATGAAGAAGAGTTTTACGGAAAATGGAAGTTGCGGACTAATTGCAGAGGAGGGTCCATTGGGCAACAGTTCTGAAGTTGGTAGTATTATTGACTCTCCAGAACAGCAGCCACCACCAGCCGACGTGCATATAATTGACCCTGTTAGTCCCAATTCTTCTGACATTGAAAATGCATCACCCATCATTTGTGACACTTATGCATTGTCATCTGGTGACCCTTGCAATGAACACGAAGCGCATGCACAAGCTTCAATTGCTAGTAATGGTGTTTATTCAATGATATCGTCTGATGCAAGACAATTGAATGCAACGCCGCAGTTTGTACATATTCCATTCACGACAGACTCGCCGTTTGGGTTACATTCCAACTCGTCATTTGTGTCAAATTACAATCCAGATCCCATCAATACTGGTAACAGGGCAATACACTTGGGCAATTTGCATCCTCATACAACAATTGAGGAAATTGCAAACAATTTAAGGGCAGGAGGCTTGGTTGAGTCAATAAATCATTTTCCAGAAAGAAGAATGTGCTTTGTTACATTTGTTGATGCCAATATTGCGTTTAAATTCTTTATGAATCATCAAGTATTGCACCAATTGGTTATCCACGGAACAGATGTTAGCGTCGGGTGGGCAAAAAAGCATAGCGGTCCAGTACTGAGAGAAATTGCCCTTGCTGTAACTGCAGGGGCTTCAAGAAATGTTTACCTAGGACTTCGAAATGGTCAAGTTGAAGATGAAACTACACGCAAGCCAATTATACCAAGCGAAGATGAGTTGAGACTGGACTTTTCGCGTATTGGTGGATTAGAGCAAATCAACTTTTACCACAATAAAGAATGTGCGTTTTTAAATTTCTTGAACATTTCAGATGCCATCAAGGTTGTACATGCATTTGAGTGCGAGGAGCCCATTGCAGTAATCAATTTGACCAAACTGCTTCGTGGTGATCAAGCAGCGGCAACTGCACTTTATCAAAAGTATAAACTTTTCAAGGTTAACTTTGGAAAAGATCGATGTGGAAACCCACCAAAGTTTTCTTTTAGAAAAAATTTTGACAAAAGCTTAGGCTCTACATATCATCAATACCAGGACCAATTACATGCTTGTGTGGGGAAATCAAAGAAAGGCAAAAAGAGTGGAAATAACAAACAGGTTAATGACCGTGATGATGATTTAAAACGAGAACAATTGGACCAACGGGAAGGTGTTATTGACGACGAAGCGGCTAAGGTTTTTGGAATCATCAAGGAATCAGAAAAGAATACCGTTGAATCGGTTGGGGATGATGATAAGCACAAAGAGTTGTTACAAGATTCGGGGGTCATTGATGAAGAGGCAAGAGTGGAGGTGGCTGATTCTCCCGACGCAGATGTGACACAAGCGCCAAAAATGGGTCAACACAAGGTCACCGAAATTAAAGAGCATTCAAATGGCGATGCAGGGCAATCACCAGTTGTTGTTGATGTAGCAGAAGAGAATGAGGAGGGCGAAGAGGAATACGAGGACGATGATGACGATGAAGACGTATCCATTATCATTGGCTCTGATGACACTGTTTCCACCAATGCTAGTGGCAAGTATGACAGTTTTAATGACACTTTTGGCTACAAGGCCCACAGACTGGAGGATAGACGTCAAAAAGTTTATCATCAACCTTACTATCATGACCATGCAAGTTGGAATGGAAGAGGATCAAGAAACTCGTCGGCGATGTCAATCAATAATGGAGTTATGATGCATCCATACGCGCAGTATGCGTCACCCCAGTTCAATCATCATCCGTCTCTCATGAGTCATACAAGCTCTACAAGCAGTTTCCAAGCATATCAACCATCACCAAAGTCTAGAAATGGCTCATTTCATCACCATCAAACTCATTTGGCTGGCCCTTATCAACAACAAATGTATGCAATTCCGCAACTGCCACAATTAGTTGGGCAGTTTGCTCCACCACCACATGTGAGGTATGTTCCAGTAATCCAAGGCCAGCAAGTCATGCCTACTGCGATGCCAACGCAAATGCCCCCCGGTTCCATGGGTAATGGCATGTGTGGCTCTTCAGGTTCTCAAGTTATGGCACAATATTTGGCACAGGCACAGCAAGGTGCTGCTCCAGCAATGTGTACCGGGCCAGTATACGCTGTTCCTCATGCAAGCTACAATTACCATGGCCCACGCAACAAACTGAAAAACAGAAAGGGAACTGACGAACAATAATGGCATTGCTTTTGAGTGATCAGTTGTAGGTGAATTCTTTTGCAGAGGTTGATGGAAAAATATGTTTATGCGCTCGTGTTTTTATCTTTATTTTTTACGTATATGTGAATTGGGTTTTGCAAATCCATGTAAATGCCATTTTGGATGCAAAAGGTAATAAAAGTACAAAAAAGGTTTTTATATTAGCTATTTTCGTAGTCATGAAAGTATAACTGAGGATGCGAATCCATCTTATTTTGCTGTATTGGTGACTATGGATGCATATGTACCCAACACAGCACAGGATATAGATATGACAATGCCAATTTTGATCAAAATTCCTTCAATGATTCCAATTTGCGCTTTGTTTAATTGCAAATAAAACAAAAGCGGTAACGTTAAACAAACAGTATAACAAATGGCACTTCCCAAAAACGACATGAGCTTACCAAATGACGTAAACAATAATGCAACCAACAATAACAAACAACAAAATACAAATCTGGCAAACACTCGAGCAACCTTGTTTGACATTGATTTTGCATTGTAACGTGGGGCAATCTTGAGCATGTTTTCATAAGAACTAATGATTGGTCTTGTAACTAATGGAAGTTTACTAATAGGTAATATCCCCATAATTAAGCATAATGCCTTGTTGACCCATGTTGGATAATTGTCATTTTGCATCAAACTCTTAATTATGGAATCATCGACTTGAAGGCCATACATCAAGTATCCAGTGGCGCCAATGGCAAAATCAAGCAGAAACGTAACCAGAAATGCCACGTTACTTGCATGACTAAACTTTTGCGGGTGTCTCATATCACGATACAATTCGGGAAATACCGGGTGTCCACCCCATGGCATCATGAAAATTCCCAAACTGAACAACAAGTTTTGAAAATTAGTTGGCAACAATGTTGTCGGTGCAAACTGTAAAAGTGATCCGGGTGTCTCGTTGATTATAAAGCCACAAATTATAACGATTAAAATGATCCCCATCGTAGCTAAGATTCCCATCAAACTGAATATAGAAAGTATGTTTAAAGGTAACAAACTGGTGAAAAACACAATTGAAACTATAAAAACTTTCAATCCAACAACGTGAGGCCAAATAATGACAAAGCAATCAGTAAAGAGTAAAATCAATGTCAATGCAGCACCAATCAAATCCATCACAAAGAAAAATGTCACTAATATGGCAAAAAATCTTCCTCCATATGCAAATGCTATATCGCCATAGGTTAACAAATGTGGATGATGCTTCAAGATTTTGCCAAGGTATTTTGCCGTGAAGTTTGTACTCATTGCTGATCCTAGTAGTAGTAGGATACCCATTATCCAGCCACTTTGTCTAAATCCAAATGGAATCGACAATAAGCCTATCCCCACCAAAGTATTTATTGAATTAAAAACGGTTTGAGGTAAAGTGGAACTGCCTATTCGTGAAATAAATGACTTGTGACTATCTTGCTTCGATATCGTTGGGACCAATGGAGTAAGCTCATCAATCATACTCTCACTATCGCCTCTAACTTCTCTTTCACCACCGCCCGGGCTAGGAAACTGGAAATACTCCAATCGATCTGATCCTCTTCCACTCCTCTGACCACCATCATCATCAACATCAATGATTGCTTCTTCATTCAATGGTGATATTGCTACTTCTTCTCCAGGTATATTTGACGGCAGATCTGAGTAACCACGAAGTAAACCATTGCGTCCATCTTCAAATTGTTCCATTAATGATGAGCCACTGTATTGTTGCGCTCGGGAGAACGACGAAGCAAAGTTATTGAACGAGTTTGCGCCACCGTAATCCATAAAGGATCGGCGTCGTTCTTTAGGGATCTTCACTGTTGTTTGTTGTGATGGGAGAGACATGTGGGAGATGAAAATGTGTTTAGAATATTGTACAATAGAGAGGAGTTTGGAGATTTGAGATGACTCGCGTGATATTCACTTTTGATAAGAAATTTTTCAATTGCGGGATTCCTGAAACCAGTTTTTCGTGTCCTCTTTATTGAGAAATTTCAAGTTCAACTAAATTGAAATTTGGAATTGTTGATAAAACGTTTGGAAGTGGTTTTCTGGTTTCTGTAAGAATATGTGACGCACTGGAAGATGCTGAGGTGTGTAGTGGAACTTCTAGGTGCTTGATCTGGCTTATCTGCCTGTAAATTTTTTATGTGATGCATGATGCAGGTCCAATGTGGTGGAGATTTATAATCTCGTATCAGAAATTAGAGAGGGTAATCTAATTACTCGAGCAATGGATATGCGAAGACATTGATCTTTATATTCTCGTAACAGCTCCAGCGAGAGTTTTCCAACCCCATCACACACCTCGTGTCAAAGTTATTGGCACGATGCGAATGGTAGCGGCAAGAGCGACAAGCTTCCCCCCCCCTCATCGTAATGTTGAAAGATTTGAAATCAACCATGTCTTTTGTTTTGCATTCCAACTGCCACACAATCATTCTACTTCATGATATACGACTCAATCACATGTCAGATCTATTCCAAGAGATAGCCCAGAATCTATACGTGCAGTGAAGTGAGTTTTCCTTGACGTGCTATTATTTAACGTCAAATTTCAAAATCTTGAGTTTAAAATGAGAGATTATGCGGGTAGAATTGAAAAGGTTAAACATCTCCAAGAACTATTGCAACGACAGGGTAAGATAATAATAGAAGCATGAGCCGCTAAGTAAAACGTATATGACTATATCCAACGTATATGACTATACGACAATAGGGGCAATAAAAAAACAGTACTACAAATTATCAAAGGATGAGAGAAGCCTTTTTAGTAATAGAATGGCGGTCACAGAGGAGTTTTCAAGTTATGCAGACTGAAGCATTGGTCGGATAACAGTGACTCTCATTTCAGTTTGCTTTTTGTGCAGTCTCAACAGGAGGAAAGGGTAACACAGTAATACGATGCGAAACAATGTCAGCTAATAATGCACTTTTCTGCACATCAATGCAATAAATCCAATGGACCCGATAAAATGAGACAACTTTTGAATTTACTATTAAATTTCTTTTACAGATGATGCCGATCAGTCTTTTGATCTTTGGGGGGATCTTTTCAATTCAAGAAAAGTTTTCCTATGTATGATTATGTCTCAAATTGAGTTGCCAGTTTCGCTACCCAACTAGACACAGGAGAAGAATACGTCGGTAACAATACCAAAAAGGGCTGTCAAAGAGTGTACGGTACAAGGGTCTTCGTTAGAACGGGTCAAAGTAAGACAGCTTTAACTTGTCAATCGGGAACAATTTCTATCATATTTACACAAAAGACATGGGATGGTTCGATTCTTTTCAGGATCTTCCTGGTTCATTTCTTTTTCTTTACATAATTGCTAGCTTTACAAAGGAATAATATTCGTTACATCACTTGGGCAAAAGGGAGTGGGGGAGGGATCTTCAAAATATTGCAAATGCAAAATCACGCTTTGCACCTGTCAAATGTTGATGCTTCTTTTGGAGTAAGGGGTAACAAATGTAATACGACACAGGTTGTATCTTGTATTACGATTAAAATGGGGGCTAGTGATGGGGAAAGCCGTCATAGAACAACAAGATGCAATAGGTGTAACTGGCCAGCGCAAGGGTCACTTAGTGGTGTGTGCCGAATTTTCAGCGGATATTGCACTATTCAAAATAAAAAAAATTAAATATTATTTGTGTTGCTTCTGGATAAGTGTTTTACTTATTATTATTTCCTTAAACTGGGCCGAAAAAGATTGTCAATTCAGGCTTTTGAATTTGATTAGATTTGCTCAACGGACAATGAAGTTCATTACTAATCATATAATACGTTACCTAAGAAAGGCAGCCTACTCAACTACATTTGCTGCTAGAATTAGAATGATTTCATTATTCAAATTTGGTATTTAATGTGGTCGGTATCCTTTTCGAGACAAAACCAAACCACAATCTCAATATTTCTTAGTGTTTACATTTGTGACATTACGCAGAATTGCAACTCCTTTGTGGAACTTTGTGGTGAAGAAATATCGCAAGCTCGTGTTATAGTTACTTAAAAATAAGGCTTTATTTTCAGGTTAAGTTCAAGATTTTGTTTTTTAACTCATCACGATAGTTCGTTAGCTTTACAAAAACCTTAAATCCTTATATTTCCCGTGATTTAAGTTTCTCATTTGATACAATTAGCTTGAATCTTCTTTCTGAGATATCCTTTGGAGATCCACAGAACAGGAACAGGTGCTAGATCTTTATACTACAGATTTCTGTGTTCACGATTCGAAAATCGTTCTTACTTTTTACACATCACAATCACTACACACGTGAATAAATGAGCAAAGTTATGGAGCCGCTTTCGAATACCACCTTTTATGGCTCAAATCTAGTGACTAATTCTAATGCAGAGCAGTTAGCTTTGTGCACGAAAAAGAACGTTCACCAACAGGAGCCTGAGAAATTGCAAGCCCTGGATCAACAACAACAGCAGCAGCAACAACAACAACAGCAGCAACAACAATCAACATGCACCACTAAACAACAGAACTCCCAAATTCTAAAACAGACAAGTACTCCCAATGGTGGGGAGACTCCATTGTCTCATTTGTTTCAGTCAACGTCTCAGAACAAGAATAGAGGACCTCAAAATTACCTAATGGACTATTCTAACTATTATTCTATTCAAGCAGGATATCCAGCGACACAGAATGCAGAGTTCTTAAACTCAGCCTCTTCAGTGTCCTCCATCGTCCACAATGCATACCCCGATTATCAAAGTGGCTTCAATCGGGCGGTCAGTCCCATAGCACAGACAACCAATCAAGAGTCGCCATTGAAACAACAACAACAATACGTACCCTCGCAGACTCAATACAACCAACCAATCTATTCACTGCAAAGTCCCTATCTGATATTTCAACAGCAAGATTTTTATGCAGCAAATTTAGGAAACAGGCCACGAAGTAATCAGCAGCAGACCTACGCTACAAAGAATGGACACCAGACGCTCAATTCTACTTCACTGCAAATAATGTACCAGGGAGAGAAGAATGGGTTGGAAAATGATGAGAACGAGATGCGACTCCACCAAAATCCTCAGCAACTACTACAACTACAACTACAACAACAACAACAGCAGCAGCAGCAGCTGCTGCAACACCAGCCACAGCCACAACAACAACTGTTAAACCAGGCATTCATGAATCCTAGTCCTATGCTGTACGCACAAGCCACTCTTCCCCAGTCATCTTTACCGTACACTTCACCATCGATTCTGCTGACATATTATCAAGGTTACGCGGCACAAAGGCAGTACCAACAACCGGTGGCTAAGCCAAAACCATCAGTGGCTGGGCTGGCACGGAATCAACTGGTGTCGTCTACCCTTACAAATAAGTCCAGAAACTCATCAACATTTTCGAGCAATGAAGAACATTCTAGGGCAACTTCCATTAGCAGCTGCATACCACAAACGGAACCGGAACCACATATTGTCAAGCCCCGCATTGCTACTTATTGTTGGCAAGAAGAGAACACAAACTGTTATCAAGTACGAATCAATAAGATTTTGGTATCACGAAGAGAAGACAATAATTATATAAATTGTACCAAATTGCTCAATGTCACCAAGATGACGCGAGGCAAGAGAGATGGCATATTGAAAACCGAAAAGGTTAAGGATGTTGTTAAAGTTGGTACAATGAACTTAAAAGGGGTTTGGATCCCATTTGATCGTGCATATGAAATTGCTCGCAATGAGGGTATCGATGAACTCTTACATCCATTGTTTGTGAGGAATATCAAGGAATATTTTCTTACTGGAGGACACAAGCTAAAGAGTGAAGAAGAAGACGCGGAAGAAATTGAAAACCTGCGCACAACCAAAATTGAGGGTAAATCAAATCTTGAAGTATTGGATGAATCAAATAGTAGCTACAACAAGAGTGCAAGCTGTCCCACAGGTGAATATGCTACTTCCTTGTCCTCAAATGATTCAAACTAGTAAGGCAGTTGATTTTGGCTAAGACGTTCATATGGTGGGTTTGTGAAGTGGTTGCAATTTGCAATTGATGATTGGTTTTAGTTTTTTCTTGCAAGTTTATGTATGAGTTCTTTAATTTTGTATATGTTGTAATGCAACAATTTGATAATTTATGCATTGTATAGTTATTGTCTACCCCTGAAAGTTAAGGTTTTCGACCGCCTAAATCTGTCAAAAAAAAAGCTTAAAGTTTATTTTAAAGGCAATGTGTCCAGAGCTTAGTCAAGAATTTTGGTGAGAAAGAAATTGCGGCCTAGTTTCAGGGTTGAACGCTTGACGAAGATCAAGCACCGGTATTTCCTGGAATGACATGGCTGTGTTGTTGACTGGGGGTAAGAGAAGAATGGAAATGAAAAATTTGTCAAGCGTGCTTTATAAATCGTCTGATTTTCATCGTGAGCCACAGTTTTGTATATTATTTCTCTAATGGTGGGGGAATGAGTTTGTTTGGGCGCGATTTCATGATCTAACGTGACAGAGTTTTGTAACCAAAGAACAGGCTACTTTTTCTATTTGCTATCTACTATATTCGTACACTAATCTAAGAGTTGAGCTACTGTATCAACGACCGACTTTTCCAATCCAATAAACTTGTAATCCAATACACTTCTGGTAACACTTTGATCGTACCTATTCAGTCTTGGCGAATACTTCTTTGCATCTTCGGGATTACCTTTTGGCAAAATCTGATCCAATTCATCAAAATTAGACCTGATGATATCAACCACCTCTTGGTTGTTGTACCTTCCAGCAACAGCAAATAATCTTTTGTTTGCTGCATCTTCTTTAACGAAGGCCACGATATGAGCTTTGGCGCAATCTCTGACATCAACAAATAAACCCGCTTCTTGAGGAATCTTATCGCTTGGTTTCAACTTTAACAACTCATTGATCACCTGTGAAGAATAGTTAAGGCCATCTCTATCAAAATCAGGGAACGCTTGTGGTCCAAAAACAACGCCTGGCAAAATAGTTGTCACTGTGAACTTTGGGCTCTCATCTTTGACAAATTTCCACACGGTTTCCTCGGCAAACTTCTTGGAGCCTGCATATCCATCGCTGACTTCGTGCAAGGACTCTTCCCAAGTGACCGGATTCCAATTTTGCTCTGTAACCAGCTCTCCCTCTTTGAGAACGGTTCTACTTCCAGCGACAGCAGCTAAAGATGAAGTGACAACAACCTTTCTTATATTTTTCCCATGCTTTTGTATTGCTTTAAGTGCATTGGTTGTTCCATAAATCGCTGGGTCAAGGAGGTCCCTCTTTATATCTTCAACATCAAATTTGACTGGGGAGGCGGTGTGGATAAACACTTCAACCTCTGGGTGTAAATCCAATGCATTGTCAAACGCTCCATCCGCTGCAATGTCCTTCACCACTTCGTACTTGAAGTTCCCCACCGGTAACTGGGATCCTTTAATGTTGTTACTCAATGTCTCACCCTTTTCAGTGCTTCTAACGGATCCAATTACCTTGTAGTTGGCTTGTAGCAATTGCTTGACAATATTTTGGGCAATAAACCCCGTAGCTCCACTGACAAAGATTGACATATTGGTGGATTGAGTGTGGGGAATGGCAGGATTGATGCAAATTGAGGAACGGCTGGGTTTAAAATGGTGGGTTGCTATGATTATTCTGGAACCTTAGAAGTTTACATGCAGGAACAGAGCTTGCACCAAAGAGTGAAACGTGAAGAGTCTTTGCACGGTACTGCTCGAGGTTCCGCAACAAACTTCCACTGAAGGGAGTCAAGGAGTCTACTCTGATATTATCAACTGAAGTGCATTTCATTAAACTACTAATCCATTACTTACTAGCTTCTTTTGACTCGGACTTTTTGTCATCCTTGTGGTTCTCTTGATAGTCAGAGTATGCCTTTTTGGCATTGTCTTGGAAATTGCCACCTTTTGAAAAGTCTTGGTAAGCGTCCTTGCCGTCTTCTTGTGTGACTTTACCTGACTTGACGAAATCTTGTCCTTTTTTAATAAATGAATCCATTTTTATGTTTGCTGCAAGGGGAAAGAAAAATTGGCAAAGCGAAAATTGGAAAAGAGTACGGTTCTGTCAATATTTATACTTTTCGTCGACGACTTCTAACATCTCGTTAGAGGAATTGTGAGTCTTTGTGGAGCGGCGTAAAGCCTCTTCCACATTGCTATTGTTTTGCATTTCTTTTCATTTATTCTCTCTAGCTACTTTACTCTACCTCGACAAAAGTGCCACGAAGTCTTTGCTGCAGTTCGATGGTTTCAAATAACCCCTTGAACGTACCCTTCCCAAATCCGTTATGATGGTGACGCTGAATTACTTCAATAAACAAGGTTGGTCGGTCATGCAATGGTTGAGAGAATATTTGCAAAATATAGTGACATTTCTTTGTGCGTTTGTTTCTGGTTGTTGGATCGTAATCGATTAGTATATTGAGAGACATGATTTCAGCAATGTCCTCGTACAATTCAACATCATCCTTTGCCAAACGTTGTTGCAAGTTTCTGTAGTATTGATTACTAGCTTGGTTGAATTCGATTCCTCTTTGAATTAACGCCTTCACCGTCTGAACTATATTATTTGTTCGTAATGCAATGTGTTGAACCCCAGGACCACCGTAAAAATCATTAAACTCTTCAATTTGACCTTTGAATTTAGACTTGACTGGCTCATTAATGGGCATTTTTATCTGACCATTACTCGAACTCATCGCAATGGATCTTAAAGCAGTAAACCCAGTGGAAACATCCATTTCATCAACTGACCAGTATTTATGAAACCCAAACATATTGGCGTAGATTTTGGCTTGGGAAATCATCTGATTCCACGAATAGTTCTCTACACAATGATCAATTGTAGTGAAGTGAACAGCAGGTAACGCATCCAATTGCTCTTGGTAACCTTGAGCAAGTCCCATGATTGATTCAGAGTACCTCGGTAAGAAAGTTCCCGTATAGTCTATATTCTCAATCAAGGTGTGCTGTATGTCAGTGTTGGGAACTGTAACTGTGGCCAACTTAACTGATCCATTTTCATCCGAAAGTATGCGTGGTAATCGGATGATTCCAGCACCTGCCTGTATCGCTTTCTGGAAAATAGCATCCGCACTTTTTACATTGAATGCTATGTCCATTACTCCCTCAGCGTGGTTCTTCAAAAACTTCTGTATCAATGTGCACTCCATTATGTCATTGTAAATCAATTCCGAGTCATTGATGGCATCAACAATAATCTTTTCAATCTCCCGAGAGACTGCTTTGTAACCTCCACTCTTTATGATAGTATTGTACATGTGCCGACCAAACCTTAACGACTTTAATGGGTTTGTACTCAAACTCTCTATCCTGTTGTTAACATAATCAAACACCAAATCCTCAGTAGTAATTTTAAACTCTTCCAAATAACTACTCATGTCGTGATCAAACTTTTGGAAAAGGGAAAGATCCTTTTCAAAATAGGGGAATCGTAACACATTATCATCCTTTATTGTTTCCAAGGTGTTTACAATCTCCAAAAAGATAGAACCATTCTGAACAACGTGAGATGCAACCAATCTTGAATCATTCTCTAAACCCCTGTAAGCTACTTCTTTGAACCCCATAGCTAGCTGTAAGTATTTTGACATTTGCTTTGCATTTGAGCTGCAAATTTTCAATGAGTGAAAGTTGATGAATCCGTCAAAAGGGTACTTTGATATGGGAAATCTATCACCAATCAACTCATCACATGTGAACTGAAATATCGGATCAGCTTCATTAAACGGGTAGTAAGGTAGTTCGGACAACAAGGTCAGTTCGGACAAAGCATCAGGAGGCGGCAAATAACTATTAACTTGTGTGCCATTTGGATTTGAAAATAACGAGTTAGCAGATCTGTTCATGTAGCAAGATGGAAGCTATGGTGATGAAGTGTTATGTGTTTTATTAATTAGCAAATGAGTTTGAAGCTTCGATTGACTCGTGCAGGTTTTAATTACAAAAAAAGTGGCAACAAGTAGTGATTGAATGGCGTAAAACACATTTTACGAGAGAGAAATAAAACCCATTTGCAACCAAAAAATTGTAGTCAACAGATACCATATGTTTGATTGAGAAAATTGTTACAAGTAGGATCAGTCATCGTGGGCCCATTAATGAAAGCATACTCCTCTCCATAACCACGAGAAAGTTATATTGACGGGTCATAATAAGTTGAATGTTTAACATATATATATTGTCGTCCCTAGGAGAGCTATTTGTTCTTTTCTGAAAAATGCTTCATGACTCTTGTGAATCTGCCAATCAAGTCGATGCCACCGTATAGCCCTTTCCTCATTTTTCAATACTGTCCATCAATACTGGCTCAATACTCTCGCTTTTTGAAGTATTGTTATCCATTTTGGTCAATCCTGTCTCATCTTCTTCCAACTTTTCATCAGCATTCCCCTTGATATCACCTAATCTAATGATATTACTTGATCCAAATACGATATATGGGTGGAAAGGGATAAACACATACAACGCAATGACCAACATAGCAGCATCCAAGCACATAATGTACACCTCGTGTGTAATCAAGTATCCTCTAAAACCTTGCGCCAATTCGACAACTCTGTAAATGCAACGAATGAAAATTGCAATTATGGCACATGTGACTGCCAAGGGGAAGTAATTGTATAACGGTCTTTGTCTAATATCACTGTATTTTGGATTGTAAAAGGGTTCCAACACAGTTCTTTTGTACTCAGCAGAGGCTTTTGTATTGAAGAATAGTTTGAGGAAATTTTTCAATCCTGGCTTTAGCATTTGTTGTTGATTGTCCTTTTCTATAGCATAGCGTGCATGAGTGTCCTTTTTAGGAAAATATATTTTCCATATAAACACGAACCATAGTGAAACATAAATAGACATTGCAAAAGCCTGAAATGCAATACCAGCAATCATAGTGTTGGTGCCTGGGTCGGGACTGGTGTTACCCAGGGTAGCGGCACTAGCAACCCCACCTCCTGCAGCTTGGATAAATAATGACAAAATATCACAAGCAATGAATATGTAAGCATACCATAACGGCTTCAAAAATGAAAACTGACGACCGTGAATAATAACCAATTGACCCAATAAGAAATATATTCCACCCATGGTAAATGCAGGTGCAATAGTCAATGTCACCATTTGCATTACATAGTACAGGAAAGAGCTCATGTCATTGAAAGACAAAACCCTACCAAGGAACCCCAAAAACTCCAATAACGCTCCACAAAAGAATGCAATGTTGAACCACCAGTATCTCGATTTTATAAATATTAGGGTATACCATAGGAATGTTATCGAAAATGCAGCTAAAAAGAATATGTTTCCCGGACGTGTCAAACGACGTATACCATACATGTTTTCCTCCCACGCTAAGTCCTCTAAATTTTGCGTCAGATTCCAAATCATCTCTGTTGCTTGTGCTTTGATACTTTCTGCTGTTGCGGTCGCTAGTATGTTTTCGCCAGAAATGATCGACAAAGAGGCCTGCGCACCACGAGCTGCTCTTGAGGCATGTATATAGTCGTTTCTTTCCATTGTTGTTGTGTGGCCCGTTAGTGAATGAAGGGCTTTTGACAAGCTCAGCTCAAGTGCTGAGTGCGCTGAAGTGGCTACACTTTTCAACGAAGTTGATGTGGCAGTAGTTGTAGGAGTCCATGCTGCTATTGAGGGTGACTGGTCCATCTGGGTGAGAAATCGTAAGTGGATTGCTTTCTTGAGTAAAGAGATTCAGTTTGAAAATGAATTATTCGATCTCCCTTTATTGTTTGTTTTATGTATATGGAATATCGGACTTATTTTATTTTTAGGCGAAGAAAAAAAAATAATGAAAAAATGCAAAGAACAAAACAAAAAAGTCGGTTTGTGTTACAAACGATGTGTCCAAAGGCTGTGCTGCGATGTGATGTAGCTTTCGATTTCTCACACTTTTGCTCCTATTGTATTGAATTGGATTGTTGATTCTGTGTAATCTTCGTATCTTTCAACCACTTGGGGTACACGATTCAGATGTTTTATGCTAGCATATATAGACCACACATGTTGCGCGGGAAAGGTTTGGGAGCTCAAAATGATATGAGCACTTTATGATTCTTTCAAGGATTATTGCATCACATAGAATAAGTTTATGTAGTTTGCGCTGCCCCACCATCAGTGGTTAGAGTCGTAAAGAAAAATACAAATATGAGAACGCCAAGAAAACACTGAAATCAGCATAATTACTGCACAATAGTGCCAAACAGAATCGCACGATAACAGCGGCGAGGAGGCACAGCAATGTTCCCCAAAAATTGCAAAAAAAGTGAAGTCGAACTGAATGATTCTATTCTTTTCACTAAAAACCATTGATATAGCTTCACCCTTCCTTCTTTTATGAATCCATGAATAGCGTCATAAAGGTGTTGGTAGCTAAGACGATTAAAAATCACTTTCAAGTTTGTAAAAACAACTCATTTGAGTTCAGTGAATTTGGTTCAAACGCCAGCACATAGGAGGACTATGCAGGATCGTAATGTCATGGAATAGCTGGTCGACATTGGTGTTTTGCTACGCACACACCAACAATTATATTTGAAAATTAAAGTTAAACTTTTAGTTACAACTTTGTAATCAGTTACCCATTCTATACCCTGAGTATATTCAGATCCTAGTCTATAAAGAGAATAAATGCGATTTTGCAATTATCAATCAATACCACACTGCCCAAAGATTTACCTATGTCTTGTACCATAGGCATCATGATACTCCTCTCTGCTTTCTAATGGGTATGAATCACGTGGTATATGACTGTTGTTAGCAGAATGAATGCCTTGTGGTGTGTAATCACTCTCTATTGGATAAGAGGCTTGATGATTTGCATCCCCAAGATCAGCCTTGTAAGACGTTTCACTACCATGCTTCTCGAGATCTTGTGTTTCCCCATATGGGCTTCCAACAGCAGTGCCCTTTCTCGTGGCATTGCTGTCATACCCGTCATCTACAGGGTATAATACTTCCTCTTCTATTTTCTCATCAGTGTTTCCCTTAATATCGCCCAACCTAATGATATTACTAGCACCGAAAACAATGTGTGGGTGGAAAGGAATAAACATGTACAAAGCAATAAACAACATGAGAGCATCCAAACACATAATGTAAACTTCATGAGTAATCAAGTAACCACTGAACCCTTGTGCCAATTCAACCACTCTGTAAATACAACGAACAAAAACGGCAATAATGGCTAAAGAAACTGCCAAGGGAAAGTAATCGTACATCTTTCTCAGCCTAATGTCAGCATACTTGGGGTTGTAATATGGCTCCAAAATATTCCTTTTGTATTCTGCGGTTTTCTTTGAGTTGATGAGCAACTTGAAAAAGTTTTTCACACTTGGTTTTAATACTTGTTGTGGATCAACAAGATCACTCTTTTCTGACGCCAATTGAGAAGGATACTTGTCAGTTTTCGGGAAATAAATTTTCCAAAGAAAAATTGTCCAAAAGATGATGTAAATTGACATGGAAAATACCTGGAAAGCAATACCAGCAATCATGGTGTATGTACCAGGATCAGCATTTTCATAATTTTCAGCTCGCACACTAGCAATTCCACCACCAATAGCTTGAATAACCAATGATGTGATATCACAAGCAATGAATATATAGGCATACCATAGTGGCTTTAACACAGAAAATTGACGGCCATGGATTATAACCAATTGCCCTAGCAAGAAATATATTCCACCCATGATGAAAGCTGGCGCTATAGTCAAAACAATCAACTGCAACAAATAGTAAGGAAAATATGTCATGTCGTTAAAAGACAAAACTCTGCCAAGGAACCCCAAAAATTCCAAAGCTGCACCACAAAAGAAGGCGACATTGAACCACCAGTATCTTGACTTGGCTAATATGACAATATACCACAAGAAGGAGATGGCAAAAACCACCAAAAAGATAATGTTTCCCGGACGAGTAAGACGACGAATATCATAAACATTTTCATCCCACCACAAGTCATCCAAGTTTTGCGTCAGATTCCAAATCAATTCAGTAGCTTGTGCTTTAATATTGTCGGCAGTGGCTGTTGCTAACACATGTTCAGCTGAAATGATTGATAACGAAGCTTGTGCTCCACGAATAGCTCTGGATGCACTCACGTATTGTTCATTGTTGATTTTGGTTCCATAACTACTAAAATCACGTAATGCTGCTGACAAACTCAGTTCTAAAGCCGACTGTGCTGTGGTTGCGACACTTTTCAAACTAGTAGTTGTTGGAGTGTTGGTTGAACTTGGAGTCCAAGCAGTGATTGAAGCCAACTGGTCCATACTACTAGTAATATTAATTGCTAAAATAACAAAATGAGTTAAAAGTTTATTTTCTTAGATATAATCGCTTTTGGGATGTATTTGAATTGAAATCAGCTGAAAATGCCTCCTGTTTTTCCTTTTCTTTGGTGACCTCTAGTTATATTTATATATTCTAAATCACCATCCGTTCTAGTAGTCTCCCTAAAAGAAAAGGTGAATAGATGTGTAGAAAAGGGCGTATATCAATAACAGTTAGTCAATAAACGGAAAAAAAATAATAAAAAACTTGAGCTATTTTGATGGTTAAGATTTTGTGTAACATTTATTTTTCGGTTCCGCTCATTTGTTACTTCCGTCTCAAAGAGTAGCCGCAAAGTGTTAGAAGAGCTGTATTGGTTTTTTTTTAGTACATGGGCCACCTATTTGAGTAAATCGACTCAAATTGGAGGCTGTGATTGCATTCAGCTTACATTGATACTTCCCAACCCCACCCTTTCAAAGCTGGTGACCATTACACCAATGATACCCTCTGTTTTTTCAGTTTCTCCGTACGTATTCGGCATTAGGCGTTTATTCACATGAAAAAGGTCTAAATTTGGAAACCAAAATATCGAGTATAAGATAAATCCAGCACAGGAGATCGCTCGTCCAGTAATACGACTACAATTCACCCTAGAGAATAACAATGATGGCCAAGAATTATCAGGAAATTGAGGCACCCTGATAGTAGATAGACCACAAACTAAAGAAAATAATGCGGCTCCAAGCATAGCCCCTATTCTTGTCTCCAGCTAGCACTGATTGTACAAACCATAGGAGTAATCAATAGCTTACGGTCTTCATTCAGCCACAATGCAAAGGAGAGGCTGATTTTTTTTGCATATACACATACATCTTGGGTAAATTGATCTCAGCAAAAATTGCTTAACTCCGAAACCCTAATTTCTAGTTGACATGGCACTAAAAGCAGCAAATAATCTCCAATAGGCGCTTAGTCAGCAAGATGTAAGCGCATCAATAACAACACAAGACCGCCGATAAGCTTGGAGACTAATCTTTCGAACTGAGCCTTAGGCGAAGTTTCTTTTCCAAGTTCTACGCCGTTGCTGCAAACGGTTTTGTGAATAGTTGGACATGGCGAGGAATTATTTTCCACTGCTCGAACACAATAAGATGGCTACAAATTGGTCGTAAATCTATTTATAGTTGGGCAAGCTTTCAAGGTTGATACATTTTTTACACAGAGCGAAACAAACGAAACAATCTGTATTGTCATTCTGAGCGTGTCCATCATGATATGGTTAAGGCAACTGTATGGCAAATCAAATTGATAGCCTTTAACGAATATAGAACCGGGATTCAAACGCAGCTACAATTGCTGTAACCTGTTGTCTCGACTGATAGATCCATTGAAAATGTTAAATTTGTGTGACAACGTACGTGCCAAAGCACACAAAGCACTGGTCATAAGCAAAATAAGACAACGAGTTCCCACCACCCACCCCACTCTCCACGTGCTGAGAAAGCTACAGTAATCACATTGCGCATATGTACAATCTACAATATTTTCTCACTCATTTTTCCAGAAATGAATGTATTTTGTTCTCGTTATACGGCTATATTAGTTTGTATTGGTTCCTCTTCCTCATACTCAATTTCAACTCTAGGTCTTCTCTTCTTCTTTTGCTTAGACTTTGTATCATCTGCCTTTCTCTTTTTCGAACTTCCTTCTTTAGCTTCCTCTTCGTCTGCTTCTTCATCCCCCTCTTCATCCTCACTCTCTTCTTCACTTTCACTTGCACTTGCATTATCAGAAGAATCATCCAACCATTTCTCTAAATCTTCCATATCAACCAAATCATCATCACCTGAATCTTCAACATACTCGACTTCTCCCATATCATCCTCGTCTTCCTCCTCTTCGCTTTCAAGTTCAATTTCTTCATCTTCATCGTCGTCAAACTCTTCCTCTTGTTCAACTTCATCAACTTTACCCAATACTTTTCTCCAAATATTTTCATCAACATTCAATGGTTTATCTCCATATGCACCACTCTTTAATCTCTCTAATAATTCCTTTTCAATAGCTTTTTCAATCTTGGCTGCAGCTAATGCTTTCCTCTCTCGATTTTGTTCTCTTCTCTTCAACTTGGGTTTCACACCAACCAAATGTCTCTCTTCTTCATTCAATGCCAATCGTCTTTCTGTAATTGCCACTTGTGTTAATCTTGTTAATCTTTGCTTACACTTGTGTTGTAAAAATTTTTGCCAATATTGCAAATGGTGGTCAATTTGCGCTAATGCCTTATTGTAATTCTTGGAAAGCTTGATTCGCTCCCACCATCTATTGGGCATATGAGCTCTTTCAGCTGTTTTCATATATAGATATAATTTCCCCCCTACGTTTTTCACAGTGGCATATCGAGCATTGGCCAAGGGACATGATTGTCTCGAACATAATCCACTAACGTTGTATTCATTTCGACAAAAATTCTGTTTCTCTGTTTTAAGTTTAAATGCACAGAATTGGTGATTAATCACTTGCCAAATTACTTCGTCAGACATGGTGAGTTTATAGGGATTAATGCTAGAAAATAAATAGTTTTGTTTATTGCGACTGAAAAAAAAATGCAAAATGTTATCAACTGTCCTTCAATTTGTAGTTGTGAACCTCCTTGTGTTTACCTTCCTTTTAGATTGTATCTCTATGATTATCTCTTGTTGTATATTATGTGATATAGTCACTTCTTCTTGAAGTCATTGAAAGAAATAAAAAAAAAAAAATTGTAGTAAAGAGAGAGATGAGCTCAGAAAGAAAAAAGCATAATACGAATTAATCCTGCATATAAGCGGTGCATATGTAGATACGAGATATACATGGGAGCTATAAAGCTTCCTGTAATACCACGATATTGATCATATCTTAAAATAGACATCGATGAGCATATCTCAAAGGAGTCCGACCTTATCGTGTACTGAGCACGGCGTTTCTGCTGATTGTGATTCCCCGAAATGTTTTTCACTCTTTGATACAATTGATACAACAAAGAAAAGTGATTCCAATATATAAATCTTGCCAAGTTATTCTAAGATGTTTTTGATACAACTGTTGCACCTATGGCCTAAATCATCACCAACGTCCCATCTGTTGAAAACGACCCCATTTACAATGTCAGCGATTCCTGTATATCTTACCCTCCCAACGCAACCAAAATCCTCTGAATCAGTCCTTTAAACTTCTTGGTTTATTCGGCACAACAGGCTTAACTTTGACCTTCTTTGGCCCTATAACTTCTCCAAATACATTGGGGTCCAAGCCATTCACTATACGAGAAAATGACATCAACGTGACGCAAACTTGATACGGATCCTTCCCCTCATACAAATCAACAGTTTGGAAAATCTCATCATGAGGCAAGTTCAACATCTCGCAAAGTTGTAGAAACCAAGAAATGTTCTCCATTTGAATGAATGCCATTTGCGATGACTTGAATTTTGTGGTGGGGTTCTTTGTACCTAAAGGTAATTTAACTAGCTGGCCCAAGCGGCATAGTACTTCGCCATCATGTAGTAGATCTATGATATTCAAAGCGTCAAAAGAATGAGTTTTTGTTGAGTATTTGGCAAACAAGTTGGGATAATGCGGTGATATCACATTGTACAAGTACTTCATCACATCCGGTTGGATATCGTTGTATCTAACCAATCTGCTGTTGGTAAGGTCTTCATCTAAAGTAGTGGACATCAAGATTTTAAACAAGAAATAACGTCTGTCTTATGGGTGACTGTTTTTAAATGGTGTAAATTTTTTGTTGGCTCATTTGGAAAATCCTTTTGATGGCTGTTGTTTGTTTGTTCTCTTATTGACGTCATATTTGGTCTTGTGACGATTGAAATACAAACACAAACATACAAAATTTGGTCGCCGCATCTACGCTTTCCTGCTAAGTCGACACAATATATATACAATGTGTACGTGTACATGTTTATTTACTTTTCTACTATAGATTACCCACAACTCTCTAGTTGTGCAAAGTCTTCTCATAAGAATGTAAACCATGAACACCACCTTCGAATTGTGCAGAAGCAGTTCTAAATTCGAATCTAACTGAACCACTATCAACCTTTTCTCTCAATTCACTGATTGATTGGATACCGATATCTTGTAAAGAGTGTTGTAACCCATTGTACAAGTATGGAACAAATTTGGTTATGGAACCCTTATCAATAACTGATCCACTAACACCCTGAGCAACAAAAACTTTATCAGTCTCTGAAAAATATCTTGATGTTGATGCATTGGCATTGGTGCTGGTTTGTTGCATAGCATCAATCGATCCCATACCTCTATAGGCTTTCAATCTTTGACCATCTCTGTAAAAGTAGTCACCAGGAGTTTCTGCAGTACCAGCCAACAAACCACCCATCATAACACATGAAGCACCCAAAGCCAAAGCTTTGGAAATATGACCAATATTTCCAATACCACCATCGGCAATACATGGAACACCAAACTTGTTGGCAAATTCAGTGACCCCATAAACAGCAGTACCCTGTGGTCTACCACACGCCATAACTTCTTGAGTGATACAAATAGAGCCTGAACCCATACCGATTCTCAAAGCATCAGCGCCAGCTTCAATTAACAAAGCAGCTTGCTCTCTAGTGACAACATTACCAGCAATAACTTGAAGTTCAGGGTACTTCTGTTTGATCCATTTAAGCATATTAATTTGGAAAGTCGACGAACCATTAGAAGAATCAATGACAACAACATCCAAGCCAGCTTCAACCAACTTGTCCAATCTTTCCTTGTCTGCTTCCATGGTTCCAATGGCGGCACCACACAATAACTGCTTCGAGTGGAAAGATTTTGAGGCATTGGGGAAGTCGTGATTCTTTTGCAAATCTGTCAAAGAAATCAATGACACCAAATTACCATTTGAGTCAACAATTGGTAATTTACCCTTCTTGGACTTCCTCAAAATTTCATTACCTTCGGTTAATGAAATACCTTGTTTTCCAGTGACTAATTCAGTGGTCATAACCTTTGAGACAGGATCGTCGTTGTTTTCGTGAAATTGAACATCACGAGAAGTGATGATACCCATCAATTTTCCTCCAATTTTACCATTTTCTAGATTGAAATTTGTTAGTAACTGGGTTCCCTGTTAAGTGTCATATGTATACTAGTCAGTTGAATATAAATTTCTCCCCAACATCGTTTGATGTGACTCGGTAGAACGAAAGTTATTAAATTTTTATAGTTGATCATCAGGGTAAATAGGTTATGACAAAAGTTGAGGAAAAAAAAATACATACCAGTAACTGGGAATGAGGTGAATCCCATGACTTGCTTCATTTTCTTGACGTCCCCAACAGTGACATCTGGCGAAATAACGACTGGGTCATTAATAAACCCATTTTCATACTTTTTAACCTTTCTGACCATCTCAGCTTGCTCTTCGGCGGTACAGTTGTGATGAAGAATACCAATACCACCCAACAAAGCCATATGAATAGCCATATTCTCCTCAGTAACAGTATCCATGGGACTTGAAACGAATGGAGTCTTTAAAGTGATCTTCTTGGTCAACTTGCTTTCCAAGCTTACGTTGGAGCTTGGGAAGTTAATCAAACCAGGCAAGATTAAAAAGTCATTATAAGTTAAACCACCAAAATTGGTTGAATCAATCAACTCCTTGATTGATAACCCATCCTTTTTTGGATACTCTTTCAAGTAGGAGGTGGCTTTTGATGCTTCGTAGGTCATTGTAATGAGGATATATCAGTAACGAAATCGATATAGCTGTATGAAAGGGGCAGACTTTGCCAAAAGAGAAAAGAAGAAGAAACAAGCGATGAGTGAAATTTTTTTTTCATTTTTTTCTCAATTATTATTAAGAGATGACAAATGGGTTTTCTATTCCATTTTGGCAAATTGCACGAACTAGAAGGCTGCAATATGAGAGACGCGATATATACCGATGATGCAAACGTATACTACGCTTGCTTTGTTTGTGAGAAACTTTTCGTTTGCTGTGGCATTTCTCTTTATCAGCTTCCACAGAATGCACTTCAGTTGTTTCTCTTCGGAGTCTCCTACGGAACAACATTTGAACTATATACGATGTACTTTGAAAAGTCTCCCCAGCCTCTACAAAAATGATAAGCGGATAAAAGATTCAAACAGTCACAGCGTTTATCAATCGGACTCCTTTAAAAGTTAATAATCATTCATCAATATATCATTATCCAATTCAGTGTAGCGGTTCTTTATATGCATTTCACCAATTTGAAAAAAAAAAAATTCAAAATTCAAACATTTGCAAATCGAGGTAAAAGGTTTTTCATCTTGTTTGGATATATATCGTTTCGAAACGTACCACTTATAACTGCTCTATGGGAGAAAGAGCAGAAGAGACATTGCTAAGGAAAACGCTTGAAGGAGATGAAAAATTTTTTTTTGCAAGCTTTCAACATTTTCGTGTTCATCGCGCTTTCCTCTCTCATACAAAAAGATTGTACATTAGACTAAAAACTATCGTTTATTTCAAAATACTCCACTACGCTCCAGCGATGGTTGTTGTTGAGCTTTGAGCTGCTTAACGTATTTTTCAATCTTTTCCCAACCTTCTTTTCGTGCAGCTTCGCGACTCTTTTGTTCACTCAAGGATTGATGATATAACATAGTGCAGTGATCATACAATACTGGGTTGTGATCCATAAATACTTTTAATGCTCCATATGAAAGTGAATGGATATTTCTATTCCAAGTTGATGTAGCTGAATTATGCAGTAACATACTAGTCTCTTCATCGAATCCAGGATTGAATTCATCACTTAATTGATTGGTAGAGTTTGATCCTCCTGCGTTTCCTGCTTGCATTGAGCTAAACAGATCATAGTATTCTTCATCTGAGAGCTCATTTCCATTAAGGTCTGTGTGAGGATGACGTTGCTGATGGTTCCCCTCGCCATTCATGGACATTGACAAGTCGTTTTCCCCATTTTGTCCATTATTATTCACCGACGCATGGACCTGGAATATTTTATGGTGCGGGTGAGTTGGATCATTCGCACTTGGTATAATACCTTGCTGCAAATCTTGCAAAACTAGCCCTGCATCAATCAAGTTGCCATTGGCATCCACTGTTGCATCGGGAAAATTGGCCAATTTTTGTTGCATGATGCCATTCTCAATACCAGGTTGTGTTGCATTTGTCAACTCATACAAAGATGCAAAAATGATCGGCAACACGACTTCGGCATTTTCCGTTATTAACGTTAGAAAATATTCATTTGACCAATAACACAAAACTTTTTCACTAACCTGATAATGTGATGAACTTATACATTTCGACAACTGAGCAAATAAGGGGATCTGGATTTTGATAAACTCATTAGGTTCCATAACTTCGAAAATATCTTCAATCTCGTTTAAAAACATAACTTCCTTTGGACTGTTGATCTTGGGCCAAAATCTTAACAACCCCATAATCACATCTTCAGTCAACGTGGGATCCTTTTCCAAGAATTGGACAATACAGTACGCCAACTGCGGGTGGTACAATGACAAACATTTCACTTTATGCAAAGGAATTAAAACCCGTACCAAAAAAATCTTGTGCTCCTCTTTTAATGGAAGTGCAAATCCATTAATGATTGAGCCCATAATCTCCAACAATTCACCAACACCGTTAAATCTCTCTGTTTCATAAATAAACTGCAAAAACACATTGTTGATTGACTTTCTAATAAAGCTTCTCAAACTTAAAAACTTTCCGTAAATTCTATGCAATGTAGTCTTTAAACAGTCTCTCTCCCTTGGGTCTTCTGAATCAAACAACTCTAGTATTCTCAAAATAAAATCATGGTCAATATACTGCTTGGCAATTTGGTGTTGAAAATCAGGCAGCTCAATGAATCTCAAAAAAAACTCATAGATTGCTTGCATGTGTGGCCATGCTAATTCACTGACTGGCTCATCTTCATCCGGGTCGTATACATCGCCAATTGGATTGACTGGGGGCGGAATAGGACGAAACAAGTTCTTTTTAAACATATTGACAACATGCTTGTACATTTCATCAGTATAGGAAAATCGATTGTTTGATATAAAAGCAATCAATTCTTGCAATGTCATCCGTTTAATCTCCTTACCTCTAATATCAAAAGTGGGGTCGCTGAAATCAAACATGATGTTACACTGATCAATCTTTTGAATAAATAAATTAATTTGATCCTCTGGCAATACCTCGTCAAAATTTGGTAGTTTGTTGATTTCTTGGTATCTTTCGGATGTCGTTGGCTCAAATCTGGATGACGAATGTCTTTTTGGTGCCGATATCAAATCAATATCAAACGAGTCCCTACCAGGTGATGATATATTTGGATTCAACTGATAATGTGATTGTGCACCTTGTTGACTGTGGTGGGCTCTAGATTCAAAAGATGGACTTTTTGGTGAAGTGGGTGTGGGTGTTATGGGTTGCGAATTCGAGTTAAAAGATACATTGCCAGCACCTTGATTCGGCGTAACTATCGAAGGCATCGTAGTGGGAGTGATTCCTGTGTTTGCTGCTGACATATTAGCTGCTGATGTTGGTCCAGAAGCTAATGATACAGTGCTTGGAAACACACCCGAACTATTTGACGATTGTTGTGATGGTGAGCCAAAAACAGCATTTGAATTATCATCATTAACAACAATCCTTGGCGATTCTGTAGTTGGCAGACCCTGGGGTGAGGTGGCTGACGTCATAGTTGTATTGCTATTGGTTGACTTGATCGACACCGCACTGTTTGAGCTATTGTTTCTAGAAGGACTGGGAGAGTTTGACTTTAGCGAGGTTGCTGAGTTTGTCATTAGGTTCTTGGAGCTCTGCAGTGATGCTGCTGTATTCGATGTAGAAGATGATGATGATGGAGACGAGGACCTCTTTTCACTCTTGTCCTTGTCTTTCTTGTCCCCTTTTTTGTTTGTAGATTGACTCTTGTTTCGAGTTAATCTATTCTTGAATCCTTTCATCATTTTGGATATTGGTATTGGGAAGAGTCCCTCTGTTTGTGTAACTGGGGTAGTAGTAGTGGTGTCTTTATAAGATAGAATAGTCTTTCTAAACACACCTATAACTTTTGTCGACGTTTTAGTGTGTGTGTTGTTGATGAAATTCGCTGAAGTTGGGTGAGAGTGAGAAAAAATAAAATAAAAAAAAGAACAAAAGCGACTGTACACTGTCAGTGTCTTCTTTTATTTTGTGAAACACATAAGATATTCTATACACAAACAGTGGGTGGTGGTGTAATATGGTTGTATTCAACTCTAGATTCAAATAGTACAACAACTATGTACTCAACTTACAATGGCATAGAGGCATCACCCTTTATTATGCATAACATAACTTAGATAGGTATTCCATCCAATACTAATCAAATTAACCGCTAGTAACCTGTATTGGACTGGTAGCAAGTAGAAGTTGAACCATTGAAATATTGGCCAAACTAGCCAATTGCTTTTCAATGTTATCCACCAACTTGTCTCAAATTTTGCCATTATGTGCTCCAAGTATGGTTTTCTGTTTTCCAACACCGTCATGGCAGCGTAGTACAATGGTATACCAATGAATGGAGCAAAAACCAACTGATCCACGGCAACTCGAAGAATTGTTGACATTGTCCTTTCATTTTTGCCTCGCCACACAATTTTGGTATTGAGTATCTTGTACCACTTGTCACCTATTGGAGCGAATATGACTCCTCCATAAATAATTGCTCGCAATGTTCTCAAGTAATCATATGGTTGGTCGGGGTTGGCTGGAAAAAACATCTGCGCTGTGCAGTCACCTGCGCCTAGCAAAAACCCAGTACTAATCATATTTGTCATGAGAGGCCTCCTTAAGAGAAGCTGATTGTAGTTGTTGAAAAAAGTTCGCATAGTTAAGTTAAAGGAGGAGATCAATGACTTGTATATTGTACATTGGATTGCTTGGAAATTTATCCCTTTCAATGATAACGCGCTACCTACGCCAGAAACAAACATCAAGATACTGAGGATTTTAGATTACTTATACACCCATTAGCTACAGTTTACGCATGTATGACTAATCATATACCATTACGATTTCCTGATCATCATCTTCAATATCCACCAATTCCTCTAGTCTCTTTCCGCTTCCCTTTCCATGGCCCCTTGTATTATGTACAAAGCTCAAGAACGTATTCCACCCCGTAGACCAAACATTTGCGCAAACGATTCGCAAATGTACCGGGATGAAATAAAGATTCACTAGTTGAAACCCTGGCCATACCGTCCAATTAGCTCGAAGTACCGTCCACCAGTTATTCTCTAGCTTGTTGCGAATCACACCAAATGGATCCTCATGTTGTGCTAGCATCACCATGACTGTGTTGTAAAGTGGAATCCACACAAAAGCTGGGAAAAGCAATTGATCAACACCCAAGCGAAAGACAGTGTCATAAAAATGCAACCTTTTTCTACTCTTTGTCTCCATCATCTTTCTCTTGACCATGCTTATGAATGGGTTTTTCATCTTGGGAAGCGTTTTCCCGTGCCATAAAACACTTATGGGTGCAAAAAATATTGAGCCGTAAATCATTGCTCTCATGGTTCTTTCTGGAGTGTATTCACTAATTTCCGTAACTTCAACTTCATACCCGTCTTTGTCTGTTTTGGTTGTAGTGATAGTGTGCGGAAACAACGACTGAGCAATGATGTCTCCGAGGCCAAAGAAGAGCCCGGTAGTCACCATGTTGGTGCGATAGGGATATTTTTTTAATAGATCATTGTACGATGCTAGCATCTGTGATCCCACACAGTGTGATAAGCGAAGAGTGAATCAACTTGAAAAGTGGAAAAATTTCGCAAAAATGATTTGATTTTTCATTTTGTAAATTTTTCTTTTTCGTTTTTTCCGTTGAGCGGTCTCGGGAATTACGTAAGCAAACCCAAAGATAAAGGTAAGTTTGGTATTGGTTGTGTAGAAAAGATGCTACTATTGAAGCGTGTTTGGTAAATTAGGACCAAAGTGGTCTGTAGATATATGGACTTGCCTGCTATTTGGAATTTCTTAACATTCTCGAGTCTTTTGTGACAATTGTTTTGCTTCATTTTCATACCAAAATGTCTCCTTTTCAAAGTACCTCCTCGGAGTCTTCCATTTTGTTCCCATTACACATGAGCTAAGTTTACTTGATTTGATGCGTAGAATCACTCTTAGCTAACCACATAAACAAAATCAAGTGACTTAGCGCTACCGCAATATGAGATTCCAAGACTCAAACAGCTGCGATGTCGTGTGATATTTTGAAATGCGACAATGTTCGAAGCAATGACGTAATGAGCATTCTCACATGAAATTCCCACGCCTTGTGAAGCCATTGTTTACACCCAAAACAATAACAATGTGGAAGAGGCTTTACGCCGCTCCACAAAGACTCACAATTCCTCTAACGAGATGTTAGAAGTCGTCGACGAAAAGTATAAATATTGACAGAACCGTACTCTTTTCCAATTTTCGCTTTGCCAATTTTTCTTTCCCCTTGCAGCAAACATAAAAATGGATTCATTTATTAAAAAAGGACAAGATTTCGTCAAGTCAGGTAAAGTCACACAAGAAGACGGCAAGGACGCTTACCAAGACTTTTCAAAAGGTGGCAATTTCCAAGACAATGCCAAAAAGGCATACTCTGACTATCAAGAGAACCACAAGGATGACAAAAAGTCCGAGTCAAAAGAAGCTAGTAAGTAATGGATTAGTAGTTTAATGAAATGCACTTCAGTTGATAATATCAGAGTAGACTCCTTGACTCCCTTCAGTGGAAGTTTGTTGCGGAACCTCGAGCAGTACCGTGCAAAGACTCTTCACGTTTCACTCTTTGGTGCAAGCTCTGTTCCTGCATGTAAACTTCTAAGGTTCCAGAATAATCATAGCAACCCACCATTTTAAACCCAGCCGTTCCTCAATTTGCATCAATCCTGCCATTCCCCACACTCAATCCACCAATATGTCAATCTTTGTCAGTGGAGCTACGGGGTTTATTGCCCAAAATATTGTCAAGCAATTGCTACAAGCCAACTACAAGGTAATTGGATCCGTTAGAAGCACTGAAAAGGGTGAGACATTGAGTAACAACATTAAAGGATCCCAGTTACCGGTGGGGAACTTCAAGTACGAAGTGGTGAAGGACATTGCAGCGGATGGAGCGTTTGACAATGCATTGGATTTACACCCAGAGGTTGAAGTGTTTATCCACACCGCCTCCCCAGTCAAATTTGATGTTGAAGATATAAAGAGGGACCTCCTTGACCCAGCGATTTATGGAACAACCAATGCACTTAAAGCAATACAAAAGCATGGGAAAAATATAAGAAAGGTTGTTGTCACTTCATCTTTAGCTGCTGTCGCTGGAAGTAGAACCGTTCTCAAAGAGGGAGAGCTGGTTACAGAGCAAAATTGGAATCCGGTCACTTGGGAAGAGTCCTTGCACGAAGTCAGCGATGGATATGCAGGCTCCAAGAAGTTTGCCGAGGAAACCGTGTGGAAATTTGTCAAAGATGAGAGCCCAAAGTTCACAGTGACAACTATTTTGCCAGGCGTTGTTTTTGGACCACAAGCGTTCCCTGATTTTGATAGAGATGGCCTTAACTATTCTTCACAGGTGATCAATGAGTTGTTAAAGTTGAAACCAAGCGATAAGATTCCTCAAGAAGCGGGTTTATTTGTTGATGTCAGAGATTGCGCCAAAGCTCATATCGTGGCCTTCGTTAAAGAAGATGCAGCAAACAAAAGATTATTTGCTGTTGCTGGAAGGTACAACAACCAAGAGGTGGTTGATATCATCAGGTCTAATTTTGATGAATTGGATCAGATTTTGCCAAAAGGTAATCCCGAAGATGCAAAGAAGTATTCGCCAAGACTGAATAGGTACGATCAAAGTGTTACCAGAAGTGTATTGGATTACAAGTTTATTGGATTGGAAAAGTCGGTCGTTGATACAGTAGCTCAACTCTTAGATTAGTGTACGAATATAGTAGATAGCAAATAGAAAAAGTAGCCTGTTCTTTGGTTACAAAACTCTGTCACGTTAGATCATGAAATCGCGCCCAAACAAACTCATTCCCCCACCATTAGAGAAATAATATACAAAACTGTGGCTCACGATGAAAATCAGACGATTTATAAAGCACGCTTGACAAATTTTTCATTTCCATTCTTCTCTTACCCCCAGTCAACAACACAGCCATGTCATTCCAGGAAATACCGGTGCTTGATCTTCGTCAAGCGTTCAACCCTGAAACTAAGCCGCAATTTCTTTTTCAGTTGAGAAATGCCATGATCAATGTTGGTTTTCTACTCTTAAATCATTACGAGGAAATTGGTCCAACTGAAGCAGATCTTGCTGAGATTAAAGAACAGGCAGAGGAGTTTTTCGCATTACCCGACGAGGTGAAGTTAGGTTGTGAAATGACGAATTCAAGACACTTTTTAGGGTATACTCGTTTGGCGAATGAGATTACTGCATCCCATACAGATTGGAGGGAACAAATCGACCTTGCTACCGAACTTCCAGCTCCATCAGAAGATGAACCAATTTACAAAAACATCGAAGGACCAAACCTTTGGCCTGATGCCAGTAAGATTCCAAACTTTAGACCCACAGTGGAGAATTATATCTCAAAAATGACTAGGTTGAGTACAGTTGTGAGAAAACTTGTTTCTGAATCCATTGGCTTAGATAGTGACGCCCTTGATGGTTACTTCAAGCCAAACCAACAGTGCAAAATGAAACTCATATCGTATCCAGATGAGTCTGCGTTGGCAAGCACAAAGTCGGTTGCATTAGATGACACTCCATTAACTGGCCAAGGTGTTGGTCCCCACAGAGATTCGGATCTACTCACTTATATCTTCCAAGCTACTGACCATGAAAATTCCTTACAAGTGCAAAATTTTCAAGGAAAATGGATTACGGTTCCAAACATCCCCAATCACTTGGTGGTCAATAATGGACAGACATTGGAGGCGATAACTCAAGGTGTCTGTAAAGCCACAATCCATCGGGTATTGATTCCGAAACCGGGAAGCGGTACTAGGATTTCAATTCCATTTTTCCAGACCATTGATTTAGATTGTTTCAAAACTCCGGTGAAGGATATTCCTGAAGACATTATAAAATTGAAAGAGGAAAGAGATCAAAAGATTAAAGATTGGGCGGTTGATGTAGGATTTCAGTTCAAGCCGGATGTTGAAAAAGAGCCAATCGGCTACGCTGTGTTTAGAAACAGGATCAAATCCCATCAGGATGTCGCGAAAAGATGGTACCCCACTATTTTGAAGCAGGTATTGCAAGAATACTCCTATTAATATGTAGGTTATATATGAAATGAGCACAATATTTTGAGTGGCCTGTTTATGACAATTGAGTAAGGGGGACCCTCACTCGCTATTGATCATATGGGAATCCAATGGTCAACTTTTCTGCTACTTATCCTATCCGCTTCCCCATATTAGTGGGGCAGTAATAGTGTTCAAAACCAGCTTCCCAAAAAATTGGCTTTAAAAACGGGTTAATGCAGGTGCATGCAAGATTCGATCATTTCCAGAAACATGTGCTTCACCTCAACTTTCGACAGCCGCAACTTGGAGCTAGGCCCTGCAAAATGTCCATTACGAGTATGGAAAAGATGCCCCTCGCTATTTCCATTGCTGTGATTGCCAATGTGTTGTCACAGAAAGGGTTGATTCCGAATCAAAATTTAGAGCGTGCATAAATTTGAATTATTTACCCGGCAGGTATTATAATCATGAGGGTTTCTTGGTATAGATTATTTAAAACATGAACGATTCCCTCAAAATCATTGCTTTTGAGGGAAAATAAGGACTTTACGATGAAAGTGATAGTTATCGGTGCTACTGCCTACATAGCACAGTATGTGATCAAGGAATTGTTGAAAGAAAACATCAATGGCATTGGAACCGTTAGATCTAAAACAAAAGGAGTGTACCTATCAAGCTTGATTAACTCACAACATGATATAGTGCCCAATATTATGGCAGAAGGTGCATTTGATCAACTTTTGTCAGAAAACAGGGATATAAATTGCTTTATACACACCGCTTGCCCAGTTGATTTCAAAGCAAAGGACATACAAAATGAACTTTTGCAGCCAGTAATAGAGAAAACAAAAAGAGCGTTGCAGGCAATTGAAAAATGCGGCAATGTAAAAAATATAGTTGTTACTTCATTTACTGCAGCCGTGCGTGACTCTAGTGGGGGTAGAGACCGTGATGCCTGGATTACAGAGCTGAGTTGGGAACAAAATCACTTTAGAGCAAGGTTTAGTTTCACCTAGATTGGGGTACGATGCTGCAAACACGTACGCAGAAAAGGAGGTATGGAAGTTTTCCGAAGCTCATAAGGATTTCAATGTAACCACCGTGAATCCAACTTTTGTATTCGACCCACAAGCATATGAGGTTAAAATTAAAGCAAAAATCAATGAATCGGCCGAAATCGTCAATCGCGTATTGAAATTGAAACCTACAGACAAAATTCCACTCCATGTTGGGCGTTTTGTTGATGTTCGTGACGTGGCAAAGGCTCATGACGCCGCAGCCAAGAAACCAGATGAGTTTAATGGTAGAAGATTAATGCTTCTTCATACAGGATGTTCCAACGAGTTGATTGCGCACATCATCAATCCAAAATTTCCAGATATGGCAATTTCAAAAGGACTGTTGAAGAAGCACAAACAACAATTTAAAGAGGGCGATATGAAGTGGGACAATTCAAAAACTAAGGCTCTCTTGGGCTTCGAGCTCAGGTGTTTGGAGGATTCGATGGTCGATACAGTGAAACAAATTATTGAGGCAAACTAAATTGCAATGTAATGGAATATGGTGGGTTATATGATAGAATATATGATAGAATGTGACCTTGAGCTTTCGCCCTACTTACTTACCTACATGAATTCTACGCCACAATTCAACGGAAAATGAAGTTTACGTGTATTATGCGACTATGAATCTCACTGGAACCGACTTACTTAGAATCAGATTTCTCATCTTTAGAGTCAGACTTTTCGCTCTTTTTGGCTTCTCCTTTGTGGTTCTCCTGGTAAGCAGAGTAGGCTTCTTTAGCACTGGCTTGGAAGTTGTCACCTTTAGAGAATGCTTGGAATGCATCTTTAGCGTCTTCCTGAGTGATTTTACCAGACTTGTACAACTCTTCTCCTTGTTTAAGTAATGAATCCATTTTGAAATTGGGTGTATTGGTAATTTGATTGAGGACGGGAAAACATTACCTGAAGTTTTGTTGAAATTTGTCCATCTTTATATACTCCAACAAATAAACAATAGAATTCGACGTAAAACTTGAAATTTGGTCCCTTACACAAAAATAGAACTTGAAACGATAAAAGTTGGTAATTGGCGGATATAAACCATCCTATGGGTAATGGCATGCCATCCTTAGTTCGTTGTCGAGGTGTTGTGCACACTGAATGATTTGTACAGTACATGAGCCAAGGAGATACACCAGGAAACTTAGCCCGAGTCCCTTATCTGGGAATTGACGAGTATTTTTGTGTCACCGACCATCTCATCCATGGAAAAAAGCCGAGGGTCAATGAAATTGCAAATAGTAGACGCGGTTTGCATCTGTCATATGTGGGCCATATCAAATCAAGTAGGTGTACATCTCATTTGCCTCTGGGCTATGGTGAAGGAGCTTTCACACATTGAGGTTTGCAGAAGGATTTTACTCTATTCAGTAGCGTTTGTTTTCAACCACCTATAAGTGAGCACATTTTCTACCCTGCATCAGAGTCAGATCTTTGTACCATCCATTCCAGCAGCTATTGAGTGATTGCAGCATCAACAGATGTTCTAAGCTCGTGCCTTATTGGGAGAGTTAATAGATTTCAAATAAAGAATCAATTTTCATTTCCCAATTGGGGCAAAATGTAAACATAGACTAAACAGATCAAAAAAAAAAGAAAAAAGTAGGACAAAACTGCACCCAAAAATGAGTTTCTATATATCAAGAAGTTACAAATTCTATAATGAAAGAATGTTGTGATTTATATTGCTTTGCTTTCCACTATTTCCATACTTTGATTGATAACACTCCATCAAGGATTTTACCAAGGCTCTTCGACTTTATTTTTGCATTTTTTGTATCGAAACCAAGCTACTTTCTTCCACAAGTGTTCCAACTTTTATTGCCAGTCTCTCAACCCGACGGCATATCCAAAACAATAGGTTACTTCTCCGACGTTTCAATCGTTGTCACACGATGACTAGCTTCTTCTCTAGGTCGCCAAGGCATCAGCAAGCACACGATATGGGAGACATTTCTCAATCAATGGAGAATGTTTCAATATCAAGCAATATGATGGACATCGATACAAGCTATAGGTCTCCTGCTCAGAACAAAACCGTTTACGGGACATACAACTCCAGTCCAACTAGGGGACAGATCAACAAAGAGAATATAACTCCGTTGAACTCGCCAACAAAATCGATATTGCATAATTCTCCAGCCGCTGGAGCACATTATTCCAAAGGTGGGGCCTACCAATCACTGCAACCTTCAACTCCTACGCCAGTCCACCAGCGCGATGTTCTTGCAGCTAGTAACAACAACCAAAACAGGAGACGGACTCTTCAAGATAATATCAATCAATTGCAACCACCACCAAGTCAACGGTTCAAGCTCACACATGAAGAGTTCCAAAAACGCGCTAATAACCCAAAGACAAAAAGGTTGGCCTCAGTTGCGCAATTGTACTTTTTGGATTATTATTGTGACATGTTTGATTATGTCATTAGTAGAAGAGAACGATCGCAATTGGTGGAGAACAAACTTCTTACTGACCCAAATATCAATCAAGATCCTCAAAGACAACAATTAGAATGGAAAAGCTATATTGGTCGTGAAAGAGCTTTTTTAAGAAAGAGGAGATTGAAACCCAAACACAAGGACTTTGAAATGATCACCCAAGTTGGACAAGGTGGGTATGGACAAGTGTTTCTAGCTAGAAAGAAAGATACCCGTGAAATTTGTGCGTTAAAAGTGTTGAATAAGAAATTGCTTGTGAAATTAGATGAGACTAGGCACGTTTTAACAGAGAGGGACATTCTAACAAACACTAGAAGTGAATGGTTAGTGAAGCTTTTGTACGCATTTCAAGATCCAGAAAAAGTGTTTTTGGCTATGGAGTTTGTACCTGGGGGGGACTTTAGAACATTGTTGAACAATACTGGTTATTTGATACCACCCCATGCTAGGTTCTATATCAGTGAAATGTTTGCAGCTGTCAATTCGCTTCATGAGTTGGGATTTACCCATCGTGATTTGAAGCCAGAAAACTTTTTGATTGACTCAAAGGGTCATATCAAGCTCACTGATTTTGGATTAGCTGCGGGTACTGTGTCGAATGATAGAATTGAATCCATGAGATTAAGGTTGAAAAACTTGGAAGATTTGGAAGAATATCAAGTGCCATCAAGGATGATGATGGAAAGACAAAAGATTTTCAAGCAAAGTCAAGGGCATCACAACTTGGCAAACTCCATAGTTGGTTCACCTGACTACATGGCATTAGAAGTGTTGGAAGGAAAGAGCTATGATTACACAATAGATTACTGGTCATTAGGGTGTATGTTGTTTGAAGCTTTGTGTGGGTACCCACCTTTCTCCGGTTCCAAACAGGATGAAACATATCACAATTTGAAGAATTGGAAGACGGCATTACGCAGACCTCAAACAAAAGATGGAAGATACGTTTTCAGTGATCGTACTTGGGCATTGATTACCAAATTAATCGCCTCTCCATCCAACAGATTGCGTACTTTCAAGCAAGTTCAACAAATGGCATATTTTGCGGATATCAAAAGCTGGAATAACTTGAGAGAACGTACACCACCATTCACTCCTCAATTGGATAATGAGGAAGATGCTGGTTATTTTGATGACTTTGAGGATGAAGAAATGATGATGAAATACAAGGACGTTTTTGCCAGACAGGAGCAAAATGAACAACTATTGGAGAGGAGTAATGTAAAGAGAGTTGGACAAAACAATTTTATTGGGTTTACATTCAAACACAAATCAAATCCAAATAATAAATTTGGTGCAGGGGAAATCAACTTATTGAATGTAGGTGGTGCTGTGGATGCCAATTCAAGATTGAATCCGTTGGCCACTTTATACTGAAGGGTGATGCCTTTTTTCTTTTTTGCATAGTAATCGAAAGACATTTTAAGTTTCATTCCCCCCTCCATATGTAATCTTTTTTTATCTTCGTTTCAATAGCTTCCCGCTGTTGCTTGTGTAACACCTCCACCGTGGTCGCACTTTTGGCAATCAAGTCAAACAATTGAGACTCGGTGAACTCTCCCGCACTTTCCAAAAGTAACAACTTACCAACCTTACCCTCTTCTATGCTGAAACAAATCACATGATGAGAATCGCTAGTGGCAATGATATCTCCGGTCGGGTCATAAATTAAATTGCCCAGATTGATGCAAACACTTGTCGATGCAAAGCTCAGGTACAATGCCATGTCAGCATCAATCAAGGCAAAATAGCATCCGTTTATTGCCGCGTTCAATTCGTTGCATGTATATTCTGGTTGTTCATCAACCACCAAGAACTGAATCACAATTTGAATCAATTGTCGAGGATACTTGTACCTTATTATGAGTGACTGGAGTAAAGAACGCAATTTATCCTCGAGTAGTTTTTCCCTAGTGGTCGAAAGTCCCAGGGAAGGACGTACTATTATTTCTAGGCTCGCTTGCGTGGGTAGTTCTTGACGCACTTTTGGCTCTATTGGTCCTGAAACTGATACCAAGCATTTTGTTCCATTCATGGTTAGTTCAGCTGATCCATCAGCATTGCTTAGTACCGATGTATTTACTTCCATGATTGTAAATGTAGTAAACTCATCTCCATCATCTCTGAATTTTTGAACTTTTTTATTTTTTTTTTGTTCAACTTTATCTCAGTGGAACCATGGCTGATTACGAGAAGCAATTGCTTGAAGACTTGGATAGTTCAGATGATGATGACGATGCCCTTGTGAGCTCAAAAGAGGACTCCCTACAGCAGCTGTTGGCCGATTTGGTTGCGTTCAATGCAACTACGAGTCCGTTTCAAGTTGTACTAGAACACCCAGACATTGAGTCCGTAACGGAGTATTCGAGACTATCTAAGGTTTACCCTTTGATACCAATGTTAAAGGCAAAATTCGAGGAACAGTCATTAGATGACAGCAAGACTGATTATTTGGAGTTGTTAGCCGAGATTGATAACGATGCAGAATTCCAATCTGAAGAGTACAGGTTTATTGTGACTATCAACGAATTGTCGTCCATCATAAACAACGAAATTCTTGCATTTTCCATGCTCTTGAAGATGCAATACAAGTTGGTGTTTCCAGAGTTAGAGAGTTTAGTACCCAACAACGTCGACTACGCAAGAATAGTCTTGATAATCAAACAAGATCTTGTCAATATTAAAAACTATGAAACAGAGTTGAAAACAATCATGACCAACGACAAAAGTTTACTTCTTGTAATATCAGCATTACAACAAGCACGGGGTGGATTTAAGTTGTCGGAAGGGGATTGGAACAAGATTGTGTCATGTGCTTTGTTAATCCTTAAGTTGGATGAGATTCTACAACAATTGTCAAATTTTATATCAAGCAAGCTTGCCAAATTTGCACCTAATGTTGCGGCAATCATTGGGCCAGTCGCGTCATCCCAATTATTAATTGCAACGGGATCTTTGAAACAACTTGCATTGACGCCAGCATGTAATATCCCATCTTTAGGGATTAGAGATCTAGCGACGAGCACCAAAACTGCCTCAAGAAATATAAGGCAAACTGGTTACGTCTACCATAGCGATCTTGTCAAGTATCTCCCACCAGAAATCCAAAGATCAGTAATGCGAATTATTAGTGGCAAAGTGATTTTAGCAGCAAGAATTGACCTAGCTAAATCCGCTCCTGATGGAAAGTTAGGAGAGAAGTTTAAGTCCGAGATAGAGACAAAGATTGACAAGCTATTAGCACCACCAGAGCAGGTACCAAATAAGGCATTACCGGCTCCCATTGAAATCAAGTCGAAAAAGAGAGGTGGCCGCAGGTTCCGCAAAATGAAGGAACGGTTTCAAATGTCGGAGTTGCGCAAGGCGCAAAACAAGATGGAATTTGGTAAACAAGAGGACACGATTATGGATGATTTTGGTGAAGAGATTGGTCTTGGTATGAGCCGGTCTGGTGGAGGCAATAGATTAGGGCAAATACAGATTAACAAGAATACCGATGCAAGAATGTCAAAAGCAATGGCCGAGCGGCTACATAAGCAAAAAGTAGCTGCGAATGTTGAGAATTTTTGGGATGAGGATTTTGATAGTATTATTTTGCTGAAACCGGTGAAGAATACAACCCCAAATGAGTCAGAGAGTAGATGGTTAGGTACACTGATGAAGAGCAAAGCTAAACTTGAGTCGAATCCAGAGAAAAAACGAAAGTTGGAGTAGAGTTTTATAGAATGCATAGCTTGCTTGGAATTTAATGAGTCAATACGAAAAACAACAAAAAGACAAAAAAAAAAATTTTCAGATTTGAGTGTGGTTCCTATATATATGCTTCCAAGCCGTGTGCATCTCCTCTCAAGGCCCAATTTATACAAATTAATATTACGGAATAGACTATACTTGCAACGTGGAGTACAATTTAGAAACATGAGTGACATTATTAAAGAAAAGCCAGTTGAAGCAGCTTTGGTTGAAGTAGCTGAATCTTCAGAACTGAAACCAAAGACTGCAAAGGAATTGGAGAAAGAAAGGAAGAAAGCTGAAAAATTGGCCAAATTTAATGCCAAGAAGGCCAAGCAAGCAGAATCATCCAAGACCAAACCTGAGGAGAAGAAACCAAAGAAGGAAAAGAAGGAAACAGCTCATGTACCCGAGTTTGTGGACAATACGCAACCAGGTGAAAAGAAAATATTAGCTTCTTTAGACGACCCTGCTTTTAAAGCATATAATCCAAAGAATGTTGAAAGCTCGTGGTATGCTTGGTGGGAAAACCAAGGTTACTTTCAACCAGAGTTTACTGAATCAGGTGAAATAAAACCGGAAGGATGCTTTTCGATTCCCTGTCCTCCTCCAAATGTCACTGGTGCTTTGCACATAGGACATGCATTGACCGTATCGATTCAAGATACTTTGATCAGATGGAACAGAATGCAAGGGAAGACCACTTTGTTCATTCCAGGGTTTGACCATGCTGGTATTGCAACTCAATCAGTTGTTGAAAAGCAAATTTGGGCCAAAGAAAAGAAAACTAGACATGATTATGGCCGTGAAAAGTTTGTTGAAAAAGTTTGGGAATGGAAAGAGGATTACCATGCGAGAATCAAGAACCAATTCAAGAAACTTGGTGCATCATACGATTGGACAAGAGAAAGGTTTACATTAAACCCAGATTTATCTGAAGCAGTCACTGAAGCATTTGTTAGAATGCACGAAGATGGAACTATCTATAGAGCTTCTAGATTGGTTAATTGGTCTGTTAAATTAAACACTGCAATTTCGAATTTAGAAGTGGATAACAAAAACATTCCAGGCAAAACCTTATTGTCAGTTCCTGGTTATGAAAAAAAGATTGAGTTTGGAACATTGACCTCATTTTCATACCCTGTTGAAAATTCAGACGAGAAAATTACAGTTGCAACTACTAGACCGGAAACTATCTTTGGAGATACTGCAGTTGCAGTACATCCAAATGATCCAAGGTACAAACATTTGCATGGAAAATTTGTCGTTCATCCATTTGTTAATAGAAAATTACCAATTATTACTGATGCAGAAGCTGTCGATATGGAGTTCGGTACAGGTGCTGTCAAGATCACCCCAGCGCATGATCAGAACGATTACAGCACTGGTAAGAGAAATGGTTTGGAATTTATAAACATTTACACCGATGATGGTTACCTCAACGAAAATGCTGGTCCGGAATGGAAGGGAATGAAGAGATTTGACGCGAGAGCCAAGGTTATTGAAGAGTTGAAAAAGAAGGATTTGTTTGTTGAACAAAAGGATAACGAAATGACAATCCCGCTTTGCTCGAGATCCGGGGACGTTATTGAACCATTATTGAAACCTCAATGGTATGTCAACCAACAGGAAATGGCCAAGGAAGCTATCGCTGCTGTTAAGAATGGCGATATCACAATTACACCAAAAACATCTGAAGCCGAGTATTTCCATTGGATGGAAAATATTCAAGATTGGTGTATTTCCCGTCAGTTATGGTGGGGTCACAGATGCCCAGTATACTTCGTTGAAATAGAAGGTGAAGAACATGACAGATTGGACAATGATTACTGGATTTCTGGTAGAACCCAAGAAGAAGCTTTGAAGAAAGCTACTGCTAAATTTGGCGGCAAGAAATTCACTCTTTCACAAGATGAAGATGTTTTGGATACTTGGTTTTCATCCGGTTTGTGGCCAATTTCTACTTTAGGATGGCCACACAAGACCAAAGATATGGAATTGTTTAGCCCAATGTCAATGTTGGAAACTGGATGGGACATTTTGTTCTTTTGGGTTTCAAGGATGATTTTGTTGTCATTGAAAATGACTGGGAAAGTTCCTTTTAAGGAAGTTTTCTGTCACTCTTTGGTTAGAGATGCACAAGGTCGTAAAATGTCAAAGTCCTTGGGAAATGTTGTTGATCCATTGGATGTGATTACAGGTATTCCATTACAGGGGTTACACGACAAATTACTCATTGGTAATTTGGACCCTAGGGAATTAAAGAAAGCTACTGAGGGTCAAAAATTATCTTATCCAAATGGTATTCCTGAATGTGGTACTGATGCATTGAGATTTGCTTTATGTGCATACTCAACTGGTGGTAGAGACATCAATTTGGACATTTTGAGAGTTGAAGGTTACCGTAAGTTCTGTAACAAGATTTATCAAGCCACCAAGTTTGTTTTGGGTAAATTGGGCAGTGATTATGTGCCTCCTATGTCAGCTTCACTAACAGGTAACGAATCACTTGTTGAAAAATGGATATTGCATAAATTGACAACCGCAGCTAAAAACACTAATGAAGCATTGGAGGCGCGTAATTTTGGTGATGCGACAAATCACATTTATAATTTTTGGTACGACTTGTGTGATGTTTACATTGAAAACTCAAAAGCTTTGATCCAAGATGGTACACCAGAGCAAAAGAAATCAGCTCAAGATACTTTGTACACCAGTATAGATGGTGCATTGAGGTTGATTCACCCATTTATGCCATTCGTCACTGAGGAAATGTGGCAAAGATTACCAAGACGTGAAGGAGACAAGACTGAAACCATTGTCAAGGCTAAGTATCCAACTTACAACAAAGAATATGACAATGATGATGCGCTCAATGCGTACGACTTGGTCATTGATATCACCAAAGGTGCCAGATCATTGTTGTCTCAATACAATATTTTGAAGAATGGTCAGGTCTTTGTTGAGTCGGCTAATGAAAAGATTTATAAGATTGCTTCTGATCAACAAGATTCAATTGTTTCCCTCATTAAAGGTGTGGAGAAAATCTCTGTTGTCAAAACAGCACAGGAGGTTCCCTCAGGGTGTGCATTACAAGCAATTGGCCCTGACTGTACTGTTCACGTTTTGGTCAAGGGACAAGTTGATTTGGATGCTGAAATTGCTAAAGTCACAAAAAGATTAGACTCAGCAAGAGAAACAAAGAAGAAGAATGACGAAGCTATCAGTAAATTCACCGAAAAGACCAAACCAGAGGCTATTCAAAGTGCCAATCAACGTTTGGAAAAAGTCACTGCTGAGATTGAGGGTTATGAACAAACTATTGAAATATTGAAAAAGTTGAAACTTTAAAGAAGAAGTAGATACAATTATATAGTATATAATGAACAGAAGGTTATTATATTGAGGGCAATGATGACTGAAGCTGGTAGGGAGTGGTTGCATTGGGCTGCATTTCAAGTACTGCTTGTGCCGAAATTCCAAAATTTTATAGCCTTGTATTCCCCCTCTTTTATCGAATATAAAGCACTATTACCCCTTGAAGTCATCATTTTCGCAAATTTTCTAGACTCTTCTTCCCAAACCATCTCACATCAATTTCACAATAGATTCATTACTTAAACAAGGAGAAGAGTTGTACAAGTCTGGTAAAATTGCTCAGGAAGACGCTAAAGATGCATTCCATGCATTCTCTAAAGGAGATAACTTTCAAATCGGTGCTAAAGAGGCGTACGCTGCTCACTGGGGAAACCACAAGTGATACTAAAATAAGAGGCAGGAGACTGAGCCCAACAATGACAACGATGACAAGGATGAATCGAAATAGTGAAACTTAATATACGACTATGGAATACTAGTTTGCCAAACCTTTGTGTAAAATCCGTCTAATAAAAGGATATGCTCTACTTTACTTGGCATCGAGAAGTTGTTTAACTGCGTCAACTACCGATTTTTCAAGTGGAATAAACTCAAAACCCAAAAGCTTTTTAGTTTTGGCATTGTCCCATTTCAGATTTGCTTTCTTCAATTCTTCATCACTTTTCTCAATACTTCCTTTTGGAATGTCAGCATTTGGAAAATGTTTGTTAATAATAACAGCAAGAAGTTCATTGGTCCATGCCGAGTCAATGAGTAACAACCTTTGCCCATTGAACTGATTTGGGTGGTTAACAGCAGCAACATGAGCTTTTGCCACATCTCTGACATCAATGTATAATCCGGTAAGTCTAGGGATAGCGTCATCTGGACTCAAGTTCAAAACTTTGTTGATGATCTCTGCTGACTCATTTAGCTTCTCTTTATGTTTTACCTCGTACGCTTGAGGGCCAAATACAAAAGTTGGATTGACGGTTGTCACATTGAAACCCGTGTGTGCATTAGCAAACTTCCAAACTTCCTTCTCAGCAAAAGTTTTGGCTGCAGCATAACCCAACCTCGTGCTTTTCAAGCCTTGCTCAATGGTGATTTCATTCCAAGCGGATTCTTCTAATGTACTATTCGAAGGTCTGTTGCCGCTTGAATCACGAACAGCCGATGTTGACGACGTAACAACGATGCTCTTTACATTGCTGCCAAACTTGTCAATTGCTTCCAACACGTTTTTGGTTCCCTCTATTGCTGGATCCAAAAGACCAGTTTGTATATCACTAACTTCGAAATCAACTGGACTTGCTGTGTGAATAAAACTCTCAATATTTTCGTTGTCTTGTAAAACCTGATCAAAGGCACCTTTTGACGCGATATCAGGTACCACCACGTAAGAAAAACTCTTTGAACTGATTAACTTCGACAAATAGTCACCCTTTGTTTTTGTTCTAACTGAACCAATCACTTGAAAACCTTGTCTCAAGAGTTCCTTAACTACGTGCTGAGCAATGAAGCCTGTTGCACCTGAGACAAATACTGTCATTTTGCAATTGATGCTATGGGATAAATTAGTAAGTTACTGATGAGTTTGTTATACTTGTGAAAGACGAGGGCGTATTTTGTTGAACTTAAAAAAAGCTTCAGTTTGCAATTGATTAGTAAGATTTTTGTTTTGTATTGCAGCAACTGTGGCTCGGGACGCGGTTAGCTCCGTTTCTTGACGCCTATCTCCACACTTAATTACTTTTCCTGAATCTGACACTCTTGAGCAACTATGACAAATATTGCCTGGTACGAGAGTAAGCCTGACGGATGAGTATATTTCAACAAAAAAGTGCATTTTTCTGCACATTTCAACGCAATCATATGCTAGAACTTCGAGCAACAATTCTCTCCTCGTAGGAGGCTATCAAGACCCCTACAACTCCCGAAAAGGTTGTGATTAAGCTTTTTCCTATCTAAATGCTCTACATCTCGTTTTGAATGTTAAAAAAGACCCATAATCATCATCCCAGCTTTGCTAATAGGAAATGGAACACAGCACGATGAGGAAATTACCCATAGTCACCAAACTTGTTGATTATTAAGCTCAGTTGTAAAGGGATAGGCTTGAATTAGTAGCCATTCATTGTACCATGGCGTCGTACATGTCTCAACCAGCTGTCGGTTTCGTTTTTGGTTAAATGTGGCATGTAAGGGGGGAGGGCCTTTTTAAAAGTAGGCGGGTGGGTTATTTCGCCTGATGTCGGTTATAAGGCGTGACATAGAGGTCAATTTTTACACAGACTTTTTCGGTATATTTCCGAAACAGCGTGTGGTGTTATAGTGACTCCTTCTGCATTTTTGGGTTTTTGGAAATGAGTTTTGAGAAGCGCAAAAGGTTATATTTTGTATTGAAGAAATTTAATTCTACGAAAATTGGAACAATAAACAGATTTTATGGCGTGGTATATGTCTTTCAAACTGCTATCCGTTTCGTCGACACATGTTGGAGCCATATTTCTCTTGAGTAGTGTAACGTTTGTAGATGCTTACATGAGCGACATATGTTTCGTGGGCTTGTTTTCTACGCACCTCATTAGCACTTTGAATTATGAAGTCATTATTGTCACCGTCGTCACTAATTCGTGGTAAACTCTATAACGGGCCAACAACTCATTATTCATCTCTCATTCTTTTGTTTATCTTTAGTCCCAATTAAGATCAATCAATTATTTAGTAAAAGAGTCATGTTTTATGCAATGCAATAGTCTGATGTTTCTTTTCTCACTATATTTGTGCTGGTAGTAAAAGGCTGTTTTAGTTGTTTGGTTAAAAATCACCTTACAAAATCCAAAATATAATTTGTGCGTTAAGAATGGAAATGAAAAAAATAAAAAATTGTCTATGTTTGGTAATTCAATATGTGCATACCAACCAAAAACAAACGGATGTTTAGTTTTAGTTTAGTTTTGTTTGTGCTAATGCCGAAAATATCTACACGACGGTGTGGGCTCCACTGCTACTCGTTGTGGGATTGTTCATTCTTTTGCCGTCGGCATCAACCGATTTCACCGATTCGTGGGGGTGGGCGATTCATCTTTTTTTTCTTAACAAACGTTTTTGTTCGGAGTTTTGATTGAATTTTGTGCTACAATTAGTACCACTCAAAAATCTTCCACACTTCCGGAGGGGGTCTTTTACCATACAAGCACCTTTACAAAACATAGTGTAGATATACCGCATTGAGGAGTACGTTTACCTTTCATAGGCACATAGCACGGAGGTACCGTGCGTTCTTTCTATTCTTTTCCCTTCCATGTGTAGCCATACTTAGAGAAATGAATGGCTATTACTTCGCCAATGCAGGATGAGAGTCACAAAGCAGTTGCACCACAATTTAAACTACGCATTTTGCGAGCATTCATGTGAGAAAAAACCCCGTGAGTTGTATAGATAGTGGTGGGTCGTACGATTAACAGTAAATGATTGTCGCGAAGTATTAGTCGTTGCAATGGTCTACTGAATCTGGTCTAGACATTTGTTGTCCCAAATGCTTTGGGAACTTCGAGACTGTGTTTCCTATGAAATGCAAACAATTTATCCAACTGTTGTGTGTGTGGGGCTCAACCGTTTGTTGTACAGAGACACACCACACCACACCATACTTCCAGATACACAATCTCCAAATCAATCAGATCAGGTTTCAATTGTTCGGTGATGACTGTATATACAGTCTTTATTACATAATATATTACATAAGTGTCATAGTAGTCGAAATAAGAATTCTTTTTTTGTTATTTTTTTGTTGAGTGAATGACACACTTGCACAACAACAAGACACAAAGAGTGTAATAGACTAGACCACACCATCACCCGCTTTTGCATTTTTTAGAACACCACCACCACCACAAATTGGGAAACGAAAACGCTTAGTTGGGATCTCTACTCATGAAAAATAAACATTGATGTTATACGGACATGTGACGAGCTTGGTCAGTCGTGAACAGTCATGCAGAGAGGACGAGTTGGATGTTGGACTTTTTACTCACAGTTGTAATGCCGAGGGAGGAACATTCAATGTAAGTTTTCTTACGAGCACAAAGTTACCTTTGAGGACAAGAAACGAAAGAATAAAACAGGGTATTTTTTTTGTTCTCGGAGTTTCCAGTCACTTCGACTCGTCAAAGGAGAGAGCTGGCCATAGGGAACGACCGGCATAATATGAGAAAAGCTTGAAACCCGGTACAAGAAGTTTAAAACTGCTACCACTCAAACAACCCGCATTAAAAAACCAACTGCCCAACCCGAAAGTGATACAAACATAAACAACACTTGAAGAAAATGCTTGTTATTACATCACAAAAGGTAATGTAATTTACAGTCTGAGTTCTGCATGCTACTTAAAAAGGTAAAAGTTTAACTTGTAAATGTAACAAGACGGAACTAAAGCTCCTGTACATTCGTGTAAATAGCTGCTACATGAATAAGCGCCCATGTACAGTAAACAAAAAAAAAAAAAGAAAAAGGAAGCGCTGGCCAATATTAAACGCTGAAACCATGTTTTGCTTCAATCCTCGTCTTCTTGTCAAAGAAGAACACACCGGAGTCTACGTTTTGTGTAAGCTTTGAAACACCACCACAACGAACCTTTAATCATACTATGAGAACTTTAATTTAGTTACCAAAGAGCACCACCACATTTAATAAGAAAAAGAACAATAAGATTTTAAGAGTTTAGCGTCAATTTGTATCACAAGAAGATCTCCATTTTGTACCATTGTAGTAATACTCTAAAATTTTTTTCTTCTCCATAAAAAAGAAGAAGTACATCAAACAGTAACAAGTTCACACAGAATCACACGATGTGCGGGTTTCCTTAAATTTCAATAAAGTACATATATAATACAACTCTGTTTCCCTTTTTTTTCCTATATCTCATTACTCTACCCTCTTGGTTATCAAAAAAATTATCTTACGTTAACTCACAGAATATCCTTATACCAGAGTAACAACCAAATATCAAATTATTGCTATTGAGTTTGCTTATTAATTCATACAACTACAATTACAACTGCTATTGCTACTACAATTACAACAGAAATCTCATATCATAACTGATCACTAAAGCTATCTACGATGTCTACTGAACAACCAGCTACTGCCAATGTTGGCAATCAAGATGAAATTACTCCATACAGTGAAGGTCAACAAGATGCATCTCACAACCCAAACAAAGATGTGTATGGACCACACTGGGGTGAAGTTCGTTCTGAAGGGGATTACATTTATTTCGGTAATGAAAGGTACTTGCGTTCCGATTTGGCTCAAGCCTTTGGTGGTATGATGAACCCAGGTTTGGCTCCACCACAAAAGACTGAATATGCAAATCCGGCTCCGTTGGGTTTAAGTGGTTTTGCATTGACCACATTTGTCCTTAGTTTAATCAATTGTGGTGCTAGAGGTGTTCACATTCCAAATATTCTTGTTGGGTTGGCTTATTTCTACGGTGGTGCTGCTCAATTGCTTGCTGGTTTCTTTGAACTTATTTTGGGAAACACTTTTGGTGGCGTTGCATTGTGTTCATATGGTGGATTCTGGATGTCTTGGGCTTCAATTCAAGTTCCTGCATTTGGTATTATTGCTGCTTATGATGGACACGCTCAAGAACTTGAGTTTGCTGTTGGTCTTTTCCTTCTTGCTTGGGCTATTTTTACATTTTTCATGATGATTATGACCCTCAAGTCTACATTAGCATTCTTTTCCATCTTCTTCTTTTTGACGCTTACATTTTTGTTATTGGGTATTGGATCAATTTCTGCAAGAGAAGGTGTCACTAAAGCTGGTGGTGTTTTTGGTTTATTGAGTGCATTTGCTGCTTGGTATAATGCTTATGCTGGTATTGCTAATCCACAAAACAGTTATCTTGTGGTTAAGGCACTTCCATTGCCAGATTTGGAAGACCGTTGGAGAGGAAAGGAAAAGACTAGCCAAGCTTAGAGCAGAATAAGGCCAATGCTTTTTAATCTGATTCCCTTTTTTCTTTAATTAATAATAACGAACTATCGTCTTCTCCATCTACTAATTTTGTTAATACATGTTTATTCTAATTTGTTTATGATTTGTAAACGGGCTTGCATTTTAATAACAATTATTTATTTTGAAGAGACGTCTGTTATTGTAGAATGCCAATATAGGATTTTCAGTGTTTGTATTCAATTGATATCTCTCCAGCTACTAAACTTAGAAGCATGGTTGTCTAGCAAAGTACACTCAGCTTTGATACCTGGTTCATAATCTTGCCCATTCAGTACAATTGTAAAAAATAAACTTCATTAGTACTTGTCACGTCAATGTCGGAGTTCGATTAACTTTCGGTTCCACTAAATTGTAAGAGCGGATCTAGAATAAGACGGAAAAAAATAATTGCCGATACAAGACTTGACCACTTTACAAAGACACAATTGTTTCAATGCGATAGACATGTGTGTATATATGTATTATTATACTAATGCTTGCTATGTGATGGGAACTATAAATTCGAAAGAGGAATGAGAACGCGATATGAAATTACTCTCTCCCTGATTCTTTCCTGCCCTTGACTAACTAAAAACTGGTCTAACCTGTACCAACAAATCCTCATCTTGTTCAACATTGATGATTGTTCTAATGAAATTACGCAAATCCAGCGATAAGTTGCTATAATTGATACCTAAATCATCACTGCACAATAATAAACAATCTGGTTTTAGATTTTTCAATATTTGTAAATACCCTTGTACATTCGAACACTTTAATAGCTTAAAATTTGGTGGTATTTTCAAATTCAAGTCATCTTCATTCAAATTTGGTGGAATAATGAAAATCATATTCTCTTGTGTAGTAAGTATGTCATTAAGCGGCAATTGTGACGATAGGAATGATGATGAAAGTGTGATTGCAATTGACTTGTTGAGGTACTTTTTAGATATGGTGAACGATTTAGTAGTTGATAACGACGTCTTACCTTTGGACTCTTGTTGTGATGATGACGATGATGATGATGATGACGATTTAATATATGAGTCGTACACTTTGTAAGATATGGCCACTGCTGACGTTGCTATTAGAGCTGCCAAGTATAATGTGGGGTTTCTTTGTGCTTTTCTGCTCATCATAATTGATTTGGTTGGGAATATATATGTATATGATAAAAGTGCCTGGCGTGTATATCTCAATTGTAAAAACTATGTGTGGTTCTGTTATCTGTATCACACACAAAAGTAAATATCAAAAGGTGATTTATATCTTGATGTAAATTGTGGATATGTCAAATGTTTTATATCTTCACAGTGTCTTTTGGAACCTCCTTTTGGTGGCTATATATATATATATATACAAATAATATACTTTTGTATAATGAGGTTTGCTAAGAAATGATATTGCCAAAAATTTTTGTTGAGACAATTTTGTTTTAATTTCTTTTTTTTTCTTTCTGTGAACGTTTGGCGTTGGTGTGTTTAAGCTTTGAAAACTGAATTTTTGCAGACAAATGGGAATGGTGAGCTAGAGTTCTGGGTTCTGAGTGTAAATTTGATAGATATAAAGTAGTTATTTAAAAGGAGATGTGGAGAGTGAAATAGCTTCTCCTTTTATTGTAGCTCATTTGAAATTGGTTTGTGAATCATCTGATGTAAGTTCATCAGCCCACAGAATCATTCCGTCGATTTGGTAGCAGCTTTTCACGTGATTACATTTATTCTTTTTTCCCAACAAAATTTTTTTTTTTTTTGCGTCTAAAGGGGGGAAGGGGGTGCGGAGTGTGGAGTGTGGCGTGTGGAGTTTGGAGGAGAAGAGGAACAAGTAGAAAGTTGTGAGACAGTATGTTGGTGGTGGTGTATGCAGACCTCATTACGGATGTGGAGGGAATCTAGTCCACTTGTATCATAGAGTAAACCTGTTTGTCATAAAACGTAATACAGGTCATATATTATTGTCACTATGGAAGCAACATATTTACCACAACCACCTTCTCCTATTTATCCACTACGATTCAATTCTTTTTGTCACAGCCAGCAGCCCATCAAGCTCATTATTACTGTAATAGCCTTGTGAACACTTCATATCAGTATAAATACAATATTGCCTCAGGGTAGTCCTCAAATGCGGAGTTTTGAACCATCTTCATATGTATATGCCATGAATCACCGTCACTGAACCGCACTGCAAACTCTGCAATGTTTTTACGTATCTTTATTGCTTGGTCAACCCATAGTGGCACCTCATGTAATTGATTTTTCGCCACTGCTTGTGTGTCACATTTGTTACTTCCAACTACACAAGAGGCAACTAAATTTGGGTCCCTCCAGATCTCTGTGAACTGGAATAGGTGAAAAGTCCTGTAGGCACTTTGTCGCATGTATTCTCACCGTGTAACACATAACTCATATTTGATTGGACTGTATTAGACACTATGTTTGTCGTTATTCCAATCAAGCTTATCTTTATTTGTATGGTTCCCATATTCAATACAGCCTTGAACTTCTCAAAAAAGACCAAATAAAGAAGTCACTTTTTCTTCCCCTCATTTCTCCAATTTACAACATTGACATCTGAATTAAGTGTCATTTGTCCGTCTCTTCTCAAATGGGTTTGGACACTTGTTATTTTTGATAAGTTCTTTTATCCATACTTCAACCAGTGCCACCTCAAAAAATGTCAAAATGCCGCCTGTTCAACCGCTAAGGATAGCTAAACGGTCTTCAACAACTAAGCGTAAGTACAGTTTTAACTTCAAGTAGTTGCCGTCTAAGAGTATCTCAATGACTAATTATGGACTCATTTTCATTCAAAGTGTCTTGGGCCCCCTCTTTCATGTTTTCAAAACCTATGGAAATCTTGCATACAAATGATGGCCATGCACGCCAAATGCACTATCCACATATATTGCTTTTCTTTCAATGTTGCATCAATTCATCAAAGTGGGGCAGGGAATGCATTTCACATTTGACTAACGAATCCTACCCTTCATGTGCCAGAAGAAATAATGCAAGAATCAGAAGTTTGCAAATAAAGTTTGAAGATAAATCGTCAACGGTTGAATTATCTCTCCTCCCCTCCTCCTTCACAAAGCCACTCATATCGTTATTGTCTCAACAAATCTGTAAATTAGCTATCTGTATAGCAGGTAGCACATCAAATTGGACGGGGTTGCATGCCCTTTATCCACCTCGCAGACGTCGCCATGTGTGCTATTATCTGAAACCACCACAAAAGATAGTGTCTACGCGTGTGCGCAAACGGAATATGCTAAATTACTAAAAGGGGAGTGTGCATTGCGTTTTACATTTCCTAACATGGTAGTGCCACACGCAATTCTTAAGCACGCGAATTTCAGGCTCTATTCGGTTGAAGAGAGGCTGGTCCAAGAGGTTCAGGGAGACTAATCTATGTGGGTCATGTTGTTGTAGACCAACGGGTGGTTGCCCCCCCACAATCATAGCTGCTACGACCTCAACCCAATGTAACCTCAGTTCATGCGTCTGTTAAACCACAGCATCCACGTTTTCCCAAGCGGAAAACTTAAAACATTTTGGCCAAACGCTGTAACGTGGACCCGAAACTGCAACCACAACGATCTGGTAAAATTATTTTCTTGTACACTGTAATATGCAAAAGAACGTGTGTGTATAGTTACTACTCTTGGTGTAATTAGCGCATTGTCCGTATTAAGAAGGTAGTTTAAATCGCTTTCGTCGGAACTAATATTTTCTTTGTGCAACATTGAAATTTTTCAACTATGGCGTTTATCTAGTAATAACACGGTCCCCTCCAGTAGACACACATTCATCACTATTTAAATGGATTGAAATGTCTTTTACCATTCTTTCAGTTTCATTAAAATTTTCCTCAACTCCATAAGTCAAACTTTAGTTTCCAAGAATGTCACTTCATCCATTCACTCAAGCCAAAGACTACGAGATCAGATTAGCTGCAAAGTTGGTCAAGGATGCTTATCCAGCTTCAGCTAATGTCCATTTTGTTCAAATCGACAGATGTGATCCGCCCAAAAAATCAATGATCGATTACATCACTGCTGAAAGAGAAGGATTACCAACTCCAAAGATTCCAAGAGTTTTGTATTGTTACTATTATACCAACACGTTTGATTTCCACAAAGCCTTGGTCAATGTTACTGCCGGTCACGTCATCACCAAGGTGAAACAACCAAAAGGTGTAGTTGGTCCAAACTTGCCAGATGATATGATGGAACTTGAAGAATATTGCAACAAGCACCCCGCCGTGTTGGCAGAGGTTGAAAAGTTGAAATTGCCAAAAGGTTACACTATTAGAAACGATCCATGGATTTATGCTACTGATGACCCAAATGAAAAGAGACCATTGATTCAATGTTTCATGTATGTTTTGGCTGGTAATGGACATAGTGAATCCAACCACTATTCCTTGCCATTGAAATTTTCTCCAGTGTTTGAAGCTTTCACCAAGAAATTTATCAGGATGGATTACTTGCCAGGTGGATTTGATGAGACAACTACCCCGACTGGACCATGGCAAGAAGTTCCATGTAGGGAGTATCATCCAGACTTGAATGGTGAAACAGTAGCTAGAGATGTCAAACCATTGTTGATTTCTCAACCAGAGGGACCTTCTTTCACTGTTAAAGATGGTAAAGTTAAATGGCAAGGTTGGGAGTTTAGAGTTGCTCCAACTTGTAGAGAAGGTTTTGCCGTTTATGATGGTTGGTTCAAAGGCAGACAAGTGTTTTACAGAATTTCCTTGTCTGAAATGACTGTCCCATACGGTGATCCAAGAAAGCCATACCACAGAAAACAAGCTTTTGATTTAGGTGATTGTGGATTTGGTTCTTATGGTAACAGATTGAACTTGGGATGTGACTGTTTGGGAGTTATCAAGTACATGGATGGTCATAGTATTCATGCCAATGGTGAGCCAATCACTATTCCAAACACTGTTTGTATGCACGAACAAGATGATGGTTTATTATACAAGCACGTCAACTACAGAACATTGAATGCTGTTGTTGCTAGAAAGAGAATCTTTATTGTGCAAACCATTGCTACAGTTGCCAACTACGAGTACATTATCAACTTGAAATTTGTCAGTGATGGTTCCATTGATATTGAAACCAGAGCCACTGGTATCTTGTCCACCATGCCAATTGATGAAAATGTCAAGGTTCCATGGGGTACCATTGTTGCACCAAATTGTATGGCTGCTTACCATCAACACATTTTGTCATTTAGAATTGACCCTGCAGTCGATGGTCACAAAAACACTGTTGTTTTTGACGACACCAAGAAATTGCCAAAGGACAAGGACTTGAATCCGTTTGGCATTGGATTCGTTACCGACCGTCACTTTGTTGAGAAAGCTGGTTATGTTGATCAATCACCATTTACAAACAGAACTTACAAGATCATCAATGAAAACATCATCAACCCAGTTTCCAAAACTCCAGTTGGTTACAAGATCAATATGCCAGCAAGGCAAATGTTGTTGGCCGATAAGGATTCCTTCAACACCAAAAGAGCTACATATGCAACTCAACAGGTTTGGGTCACTAAATACCGCGACCATGAATTGTATGCTGCTGGTGAATTCACCAACCAATCTCAAAAGGATACTGGTGTTGGTGTTTGGGCCAATGGTGTTGACAACGTTAGAAATGAAGATTGTGTTGTTTGGGCCACTTTGGGATTCACTCATATTCCAAGAGTGGAAGATTTCCCAGTTATGCCAGTTGAGACTCACAATATTCAATTAGCCCCATTCAATTTCTTTGACAGAAATCCAGCTTTGGACATTCCTCAAGCTAACAACTCTTTCAACAAGAGTATCTTGGTTGAGGGTGAAGGCGATGATGCTTGTTGCAAAACTAAGATATAAGAGTCTGTGTAAGTGTGTAAGTGTATAAAGTATGAACTAATTGAAAGAGTTTTTGATATCGGTATATTTCTAATCATATTATTGTGTATTATTAAAATAATCTATTAAGAATGGTGTGTGCTTTTACGTTATGAATTAAATTTGTAGTTATTAAGAATTAGTCATATGTAAACAGAATACAATAGTTCATCTCCTCTTCATCCAACGACTTGATGTATAGACACTTTGACAATAAGTCCGGTTGGATTTCAATCTGGTAGTTACTCGACCACTCAATGCATTGTGACAATGACTTGACTATATGTACCGAAGTTCTAAATTTTGAAAAATTAATCAACTCAGGTGCATCCTTGGTAATGTTATCCTTGTTGACAAAAGTTGGTCTTTCGGCATTAAAAGTTAAATCTGATAAATATAACCCCACAAATGGAATACATCCTTTTGAAGGCGTAGCATGATTAATAGATAACCTAACATTCAAAAAGTTTTTCAACGGTGATGCCAATTCTTCCAAGGTTTTCAAAGTCAATATATCACCGGGAGGTAAGTTACGCCATGTGCTTTTGAAACCTTGCACCTTTTGTGACGTCAATGCCAAAATTACTTGCATTAAAGTTCCATAATTTTGCAAAGTTAAACAATGTTGAGCAATATGGATAAACCGAGAAATTATATTGATGCGTTCAACTTGGCTTTGAGTGAGAAGAATCTCTGATATAATCCAATTTACCATGAGATTGAACCTGGCAATAACCAAATTGACTCCTTTGTTTTTCATGTAATAGTCATCGTTGACTATTATCTCTAGCCAACTATTGACGGGTGTCAATTTCTTGTTCCACTTCAACTCAATCAAATCCTTCCAATCCACTTCCTGCAACATGTCCTTTTCAATTACGGTAAAGTGGTCGGCCAATGACTTTGAATCAAAGGACAACACAAATGAAATATGTGCATTGGTATCCATGATGTACCTCACCGACAAAAGATCACTTGAGGGAGAATAGTTGTCAAGGATAATTTTTGGTGAAGGGTGTTCCATTACCTCTAAATCATTAATTTTTCCTGGCTGTTGAAAATCAAACACATCCATTGCGATGCTTCTTTCTGGTGTCGAAGTTGAATGGTTGACGGAACTATCTGTCTTGAAAGTGGTACGCTTCCTGATTGGCGTTAATGGGGTAACATTACTAATATCGAAAGTTGACCCGATGGCATCTTCGGACCTTGCATCATTGATCTGACGAAGTATGTCCTCGGTATCTTCCACTTGGAAGTCACTGTCATTATCTTCATCATTTCTCTTTGGCGTAAACACAGGGACATTTTTCCCCTCCAATTTGTTGAATGCGTACTCAATTGGGTCCTCAGTAGACCTCATTGACTCATCGGGAATGGCGGCCAATTCTTTCAATGCGTAGGAGCTGATTCCCGGTATCACGATAGAGCCTCCCGACGAGCCAGTAACTGCCGTATTCTGTGTATGCTCAGCTCTGTTTGATTCCCGTCTGCTTCGAATAGCGACAGAGAAAATGGAACTATTGGCCATATCAGCTGAGGAATAACGTGATTGATTGTTCTTTTCAGAATTGATATCAACTTCGTTAAAGGGTAACTCTGTGAGTGCACGTAAAACGCTGAATCTAATACTTTTACGTGAGCTTTTTGAAGTTTGACGCGACATTTGTGATGACCTCAAGTTGATGGAAGGGCCTAAGCGATTTTCAATTTCCTCAACATCGGCCCTAAGGTTGTTGAATCCAGTTTTTTTGCGAAGACCGGTGTTATAGGTATGATTCCCCTTGCACGAGTTGCTATCATTAGTGATTGAGAATGCGGAGTCATAACTGAGATAAGACGCCATCGACTCTCTTTTGATGCCAGAGCCAATAGAGTTACGAGATATTCTCGAGATTCTTGGGTTGTAAACAAGGCTAGAGTGTGCACCTTCAATGTAGCTCACTCTTTTTGGTTTGACTGGTGGCGGACTCATGGCGATTCCCAATTCAGCTACTTCAGCATCGTACAGGGTAATATTGCTAGGGGTGGATATAGTGGAAGTCTCAAAAGATTGAGCGGATTGCGGGAAATTAAAGTTTGCTGCTTCATACACTTGATCATCTTTTGCCTTTGATCCATTGGTGATACAAAATTCATCAAATTCATCATGCAGCAAAAGGGTTTCCCTTTCTGCAGATGCATTTAAATCAACGGCATCATCGTCATTCCAATTGATACTTGCTGCCTTTTGGAACGACTCTCCTGAAATATTAAGTTCGTCAAGTATATTTTCCGAAATATTTCTTTGCACCTTGATAGTTTGGACCGGCCCATCTTCCTTTTCATTGATCAAGTTGTCAATCTTTATAATGTTCAATTCTGATAAGTCATTGATGTCAACATCGTCGTCATCATCGTTGTCATTCGACACTTCAATGGGTTGCAAGTCTACCTCTTGACGACTTGCCTCCTCTGGGACATCCACAAATCTATCTCCATCCTCGTCAATAAAACACCCGTCAACTTCGTGAATGATGCTGTTTGAGTTCGAGTCCATGTAGTACTGTATCAAATATTCTAATTCGTCAACGATTCTAGCGCTCAACACATCAACTCTGTTTCCAATATTCCGCTCATCCACTACATGCATAGCATCACATATTAAATCTCCAAGATTGTTAACTGAGGCATTTGAAGTTGATTGCTCTCTTTGAAGTGCCAGCGATGGTTTTATTTCGACATCAGAAGTGCGAGAATGTGCCGAAAGTGATCTTTTCCAGCCATCCATCAATTTTCTGATTGATTTTTTCCTCGAGAACTCGTCATGGTGATCCCCATCAAAAGCTGGGGGTAGAAACTGTGAATTGTCTGTTTGTGTTTGGAGTATATTCTCCTTGACAATTTTGCAATCCATTTTCTTGACAGGTGTTGGGGGAAGGATCGAATGAATTTTTGATGTTGGGAGCTTGACATTACCATTTGTTGAAAACCCGATTTCCTTATAAGGATCTGCCTTTGTTTTTCGGCTTTTGGTGGGTGTTGTCAGGTTCACATTTGGATCCTTTGTTTTTTTCAAATCCAAAGATGAATCTTTTATTTCCATTCGATTGTGCCTAGTTGTTTGAGCCAAAACCTTCTTATTTCTCAGTGGGTGTGGGTTACTTGAAGGTGTGCGTGGGGTTTGAGTTAAGTCTGGTGCTATAAAGGGTGATGATTTTGCCGAGATTTCAAATGAGGAGCCAAAAATGGGGGACCTCATCATTCTTTTATGTTTCTGCATTTCATGAATTTTGTTATTTATCGATGATCGAGATGACTGGTGGTGTAGTAAAAGGTTATTTATGGAAAATTGTGGATTTTCTTCTTGGCTTGAATCATCATCAAATATAAGCATCTTGTGATGGATCTTCAGATCGTATAATGAAAGCATGGCAGACCGACGATACGAAGGGTTTGTGTGTATTGACATTTCTGTATTCGATTTTGAAAGTCGGTTGGAGCTCTTGAGATCATTGGTTAACGGAATATTATACGTCGATAAAGTACTCTCCGTCATAATGATATTAATGTCAACTCCAAGGAGCCAAAATTTGTTCAATAATGAGAGCCAGTGCATTTTTAATTCTTTTAGGATTTTCGTCACATATATGTAGTCCCCAGTCAGCTTGAAATTGGTTTTGCAAATCAAGTTCGACTCCTTTATTATCCCATTAAGTGTCAGTGAGAATTGGTCGCATAGTTGGTGATTGTTGTCGAAATCATCAATAAAATAATTGATTATCCAATGCCGTAACACCACAAACGTTCGGAGCAAGACTAGTTTCCCGAGCTTGGTATTAGATTCAGTTCCTGAGTTGATGTATTGTAGTGACCAAATTAGTCTCGTTGTTAATAAGCCCATAATTTCGTTACTATTGGTGAAGAGCCTATAAGTGAGGAAGAAATCACTTATAAGGTTGTAGTCGATAACCTCGGGGGATGTCATTTGAACAATCAATGCATGAAGGGTGGCGTGGTTTATAAGCTCTGGGTTTTGTTCGTCAAATTTTACCAAACTAGTTTCAGAATTGTCGGTTGGCAAACACGGAAACAACTTTTCGTCATCAAATATAGATTCATTGTGTTTATTGTATTGGTATTCGGGGGCCATATGTTGTTGATAAATGCCTGTATCAGATAATGACTTTGAAATAAAATTCGGCTCTGTTTCTAAACTTTCGACATCTGGCTCGGGTAGCTTTTGCTGGGAGACGGGACTTTCCTTTATTTTGTCCTTTTCTTTTGATTTGGGAGAATGTGCCGCTCGCAATTTGGTTGACTGAATGTTGTTTGATGTATTCCCAAGTTGCTCTTCTTTTCGCTTCATTGATGAGCTACTGGTATCCACCCATGGATCATCCGATTGAGCTGATACAGAAACCTCTTTTTCCATCTCTTTGATGGTAATTGGTTCGTGATGCTAAATGTAAATTTTGAAATTCAACTGAAGTGAGTTTTAGTTGATGGTTTTGAACTTTTCTTTTCTCCCCTTGTTTATATTTCCACAAAGAAAAAAAATAAAACAACAACAAATGGTTACTATAGGACACCCTGAATCCTAGAAAAATGCAAGATCGACTAAAATTGAACAATGAACTCACAAATGGGGTTGAAAGAATGTTGACTGGTTGTTTTGTCTTTTTACTTGTGCTGTTTTGTAATTTGTTTTTGTCTTCTGTCTTTTTTTATTTGCTCGAACTATTCGTATGTTTTATTGTTGTTGGTTACTTTTGTTTTTGTTTACATTTTCATATTCATTTTTTTACGCGACTAACTTTTGTTTTATGAGACAATACAATGAAGTGAGAAAGAGAGACGGAGACGGATTGATCGTTGTAATTCCATCTTTTGACGATGAATTATCACAATCGAATATGTTGTGTTCTAATAAAATTGACTCTGTATATTTAGTTTGATTTTGGGCTTGTATTTTTAGCAACTACTTGGAAGTAATACAACGAATGTATAATTTATCCACCTCGGAAAACGATAGCCATAATCATTATATAATGTCTTGCTGGACAGGAGGCTAATTATTGTGAACTCGATAGCGGATGAGCCCTATTTGTTCAAAATCCAATTCGCCAAATCACTTTCTGGCCACCTTTCCTCGGAACGAAATGCTGTATGTACTGGCGCTGGCACTGGCACTGGCACTGGCACTGGCACTGGCAACTTGTTGAATTGACATACAATAGTCCACCGTTGCCCACAAATCCTTTCCTGTAAACACAATTCCACCAAAATTGCCGTCGCATTCTAACTCATATTCTGTCTAATTGCATTTTTCAACGCATCAAAGGGAGACTTTTTGAATTCGGGATTCTTCAACACATTACCAAAATTCTTGTGCTCCTCTATCATGATCTTCCTGTGTCCCGTGATCTTTGTTGGATTGGGTTTGTTCAAATTTGTCTTTTTGGTATCAACAAACTCTTCAATTGATGACCTAACTAACTTCGTCAGCTTGGACCCTGTTTCTTCTCCAACTGGTAGAGTCAGCAATAATTCATCCATTTTGGGCTTCAATTGTTCCTTTTCCTTCCTCTTTTGTCTACGCAAGGAAGATTTGCTAATCCCTCCACTCGTATTGAATGTCACTTTGTTCACCAACTTGTTGATAAACTGGTCACTCTTGTCCTGTTGTTTTTGTTTCTTTGTAGTTTTAGCTATCTTGAGTAATGTGTTTTCATGATACTCGTATCCAATATGTTGTTGTGACCCTTTGAGTTCAGAAATCTTACTGGCAAGTTGCGACTTACGTTGTGATTTGTCTCTCAATGATGATTTCTTTTTGATTTTAACCTAGCACTATTGTTAGTAACACGCATTCTTGTGAAAGAAGCTCAGTTGGGAAAATGGTCCCGTGGCTCACACCAGCGCACACATACCATTATGTCGAATGAAAGTATGAGTATTCACTATTGGCTGAGATGATGGCCAGTAGTATTTTTTTTTTTTTTCTTTTTTTGCTCCACGCATTTGATTGGGATGGGAAAGGAATAGAAGATTAATTTGCAACCAAAATTGCGAAAACCATCGTTTATGTGATTTACATCTGACAATAGGGACGTATAGTTGGCTCATATTATATAAGTTCATTCTGGAGAGCAAAACTATTACTATAGCTTGGGTATGGATTTCATAAAGCAATTACACATCAACATATTTACTTTTAGTACCAAAATTTTTGCAAAATTACCCATACTGATAAAAATCTTGTCGAAAATCGTAAATTGGAGGACTTCGCTTCCACTGCAATAAATTTGTTGGAAATTTGGGTTGGCGGTTCTGCTAAGCTCTCATTGTGAACCACTTCCATTGTATTCTTATTTTCAGTTTCTAAATTTATTGGTGGCTTTTTTAAAGGCATCGGAAGCATATTGTTTTCCGCCAATCGCTGCATATCCCAAACAATTGATCCCTCAGTTTTCCAACACCAGAATATCCAACCAAGACTATTCTCTTCAAATCCATAAAACTGCTGCCTCAAGAATAGCATTATCTCGTCTTTGTTAATGATGTTTTCTGGGTCGTCTTTACCGTCACAGCATCCTTTGTGATTGGATAGGTAGGTCCCTTCCCATCGTGAACCTCTACCTATTCCGTTTAAAAACTTCGTACAGTCATCTAAGGCACCCGAAAACTCTCCAACGATACTTGGGTGAACTGAGCTTCTCAATCTTTTGCTTTGTCTCCTGACATTATCTAGATGTTCATCAAAATTGTAGTTGATTTGCCAATCGGTAAAGCACTCGTATAAATGGTGATCCAAAATAAAATCTCCACCGAAATTGTTCCACGACTCAATGCTGTAAAAGGCATCATGAAGAACAAGCTTTGCACTGAGCTGTTTTTCTTTGAATGATGATACTGCAAAGCGATAAAAGTCCAAAAGTTTTGTCTTATTCAATAACCAGCCCATTGGCTCATTGACAACCTGGATACTGTGAACACCTGTCATATTTCCATACTTGTCCAACACGTAATCCACCACTTTATAAGTCAAGTTGGTATTCTCAATTGTGTTGAGCCATTGTGGGCTATCTGTTCTAAAACCAGAATTATCAAATCCGTTTTGACTTCCTGGGAGACCGTGGATACCAACTTGGACGCTCAAATTGTGTTTGTTTGCCCAATTGATTGCCAAATCAAGATATCTCTCTTGTCCTTGTACGTATATGTCATCTGGTAACAACCCAAAAGCCCAATAACCTATAGGAATTCTAACTAAATTTAGCCCCAAGTCAGCAATTTTGGCAAAATCATCTTCGGTGTAAAAAGTGTCCCAATGATAACTCAAATATGTTTTGGCTTTGATTCCAAGTGTGGAACACAAGTGATACTCATCGACGGGAAGTTCGCCATACAACTCCTCTACTTTCTCAAACAATGAAGGTGTAATCCATGGCTCTGTAACAAGCCACCCACCTAAGTTAACACCATAAACTTTTGACCGCAAATCATACCTGGACGATGTGTCTTTGTGGTGATATTCTGTGTCAAGCAAATCATATTCACGGAACTCTTGTGATGGTTGTGGGTTGAAGTGTTTTTGAGCTGAGCACAACACAAAGAGTATACTCAAAATGTAATTAGTGTAAAGGCCCATTGTAGGTTTTATGTAGTGTCCTCTCTATATAAAACTCAGTTTGTGGTGTTTGTGGTTATATTTGCAGCTATCGATTCTCCCAATTTTTCTGGTTTTTCCTTTGTGCGCACCAACGTTTAAACGAGAAAATCGATTCTACAGTACAAAAATTTCAATTTGATGAAGCCATAACAAAAGCTCATCTCGTGAACGTCACACTCTTGGTGCACAAGATTAAGACTATCAAGTCTGCGAAGGTTTTATTAAACGCATCATTTCTTACTTATAGGGTGTTTGCTACAAGAAATAGGGATTCAAAGGACAAGCTCAATCTAGAAGGTGTAATGAGCGGTATACAGGATTCGAAAGGTTCCGATATAACACATTCCGAGAACCAACTACAGTTGACTCACATCGAAAGGTCTGATCACGAACTACCGAACCAAAATCACATCCAGTCTCAAAAATCACCCAGACCCGAGGTGGATGCAGGGCTAGTACTCGATGAGGAGTTAAACATGTTGCTCACAACCTCCAACCCACAACAACAACAACAACCAGATGAACATGAGAAAAACAAAGGGTCTCAAGAATCCAGTTTGAATGAACCTGTTGTAGGAAGCTCCAAAACTGCAAGCAGCGCTCAAACCCCACTTTTACAACTTACAAATAGCCCAAAGGCTGCAGAAGCTGGATCATCGACACAAGAGATAAACTCAACCCCTACGCATGATCCTACCATCAAGTCGATTAATAAGACAGAGAAATCAAAGCGAGTCACGATGCAACAAGATCAAGATGTCGACGAACTGGCATCGCATTCGCGAGTCTCAGCGTATGCAAGGCTAGATTTTGAAAACAACGTATTTTACGTTCAAACTTTACAGGTCGTGCTAGGTAGAAAGTCAAATGACGATTTGATCCAACAAGACGTGGATGTGCACTTATCCGAAAGAAAAGCGATTTCAAGAAGGCATGCCAAAATTTTTTACAACTTTGGCACTCAAAGGTTTGAGATATCGGTTTTGGGAAAAAATGGGGCTTTTGTAGACGAAACATTTGTCGAAAAGGGCGTCACAATTCCACTCACAGATGGAGTCAAGATTCAAATTGGTGATATATCCTTCAAATTTATGCTACCTGCGCCTCCACCCGAGGCATTGGATCAGCAAAATAAGCCGAAACAGTTTAATCCCAGTGATGCTATCAACTTAAAATCCAATTTGTTTTCAAAAACTCCAATACAAAAGGAGTTACTCAAGAAACTGTACAATATTGAAAACAATCATGATAATAAGCTGTCTTTGCGTAAAAAATCAATGAGTAGGCGAGATTCATTATTGAGAATTAGGAAGCTATCAAATGCAAGAAGGAAGTCAGCGGCAGCAAATGACGAACTCAATGAGCTATTGAAAGATTTAGGAGTAACATCGATTGAAAATATCAATGAGGAAGAATCGGATTTGCTAGATGCACAAATTCAAAGTCTTTTGAACGAGGACAATGAGATGGGTCTTGGTGACAGTGTGATCAATCTTGCTCGTATGAATGAATCTGCCATCGCGGACGATGATGATGACGAGTTTGATTTGGTTAAAGGCATCGAACTAGATGCAAAGATGGAGAAGGAGATCTCGGACATCGATGCTAGCATCAATCAGCTAAATCGAGAGATTGCTGAATTAGCAACCCAAAGCGGTAATGAAAGTTTAATCTTGGAGAAGGATGATTTAAGAAAGAGCCTAGAGGAAACCAAGAAACAGAAGAGGGATAACATTTCTCAACGCAGGTCATCATTTGTGAAAAATGTTGGACCTTTGCGTTCGACCCCTTTAATGGGCAAGCCTGCATCAATTCGGCCAGCCATATCTTCGCAATTATACAACAGGTTCGGATCAACAGACAGATCATTGCCATTTTTAGCAAACCCGGCAATGCCACATGCTATACCTCCCAAATTGGAAGCACCTATTTTCCCAGTAACATCGAATCCGGGTGCTATACGAACACAACCTCCCCCACGTGTGATTGCGGTTGATGAAAAATTACATATTGCATCATACTACTATCCAAAAACACTGGAACAACCATCTCAGTTCCCTAAACCAAAGGCTAAGAAAATCATACCTCGGAAAACCCCGAAACGCGTTTATTCAATTGACGAGATACCAGAGCAATATAGATTGAAACCCAATCTTACATTTACAACGATGGCCACAAATGTTTTGAATACATCTGCAGCTAGTAATGGATTGACTATAAATGAAACCATCGATGCAATAAAGGAAGTTTATCCATATTTCAAGTATTGTCAAGAAGGCTGGCAGGCATCCATAGCCCATTGTATTAAAAACACGAAAATATTCAAACGAATTTCAAAAAGGGAACATGAATGGCTCTATACTATGGATGAGGCTTACAAGACTGAAAGGGATAGCATCAAAGCTAAGCACAAAGAATTTATGGATGCAATGATGAAGGCGGAAATTCTTCGACAGCAAGAGATTCGCCAAAATCAAAGGATGGGACAACAGGATCTCAGCAATCAATTGTACATGAGCAGAAATTTTCAACCTCCTTTGCCGACATCTGTACCTACAGCGCAGTACAATAAGGGAGCACAACAAGGAGGTGTACATGTTGCGACTCCTTCGAAACAGGTTGTTCCAGTCACAAACTCTCAGTCATCAGTACCACCAACAAATGATTCAAAAACCCAAAAGTCGTTAGATTATTTGCGTGCTGAATTATTTACCTTGTACAAGTCACGGAATGTTGCTTATGACAAAATAACAGCGACACAGCTTATAACGAAAGCGTTAGCCACAACGATAGCCCAAGTAAACAGCATTGGTGCTAAAGCCGGGTGTGGCGACAACGCATTGAATTTTTTGGTAGAAAAAGCTCCACAACAAGTGAGCAAAATTTTGGACATTGCTTTGACAAAATCCATCAAAGAGCATGACAGTGGAACTGGTGGTCTGACATTGGCTGTGAGCACGCCGTCAAGAAACAGTCCAATACCAGCTGCCTCGCAGCCGATCAATAAGGGTTTTGAAAATCTGAGCCTGATAACCAGTCCTCATCCAAAATCGGAAATTACATCTCAAGATTTGCATCTCCAGCACTCACATGAACCTCTGGAACAACTTTTTCGTACAAACTCCCCTTCTCAAGTGGCGCATGACTCGTCGCAACTGACACCAGCACCAAATTCAACCTTGCCGCTTAAAGTTGTCAATGGACCAAAATCACAGACGACGCTGCCGTCACCTCGTCCCTCCATGAAATCAACTTCAGACCCGCCATTATCACGTCCTCTGTTTGGAAAGCCACCAAATTTGGGAAGACCGGGCTCATATACGAGACCCCAGGCTTATGGTAAGCCACCGGGAGTGGGAAGTGGTCTTTCTCGACCTCCAACGTTTTTATCAAACAAACCAACTTTTCAATCAGGGATTAAAAGGGAAGCGGATGCTGAAGGCTATGACAACGAGCAACCCGCTAAGGCTGCAAAGATTCAGTAGTCAGTAGAAGGTGTAATTATTTACGTACTATGTAACAGTAATGTCATAGATAGGTTTCGGCGTACTTTGGAGACATCTCTATACAGCATATTAACATCCACGGTGTGCTGGAAAGAAGTAAAAGTGGAAATTGAGAAATTGAGAAATTCACGTGTAATCTCCAGTGGCGCGCTTTAATATTTTTGCGACATTGAAGTTCAGAAAAAAACAGAGCCAATCTAATTTAGTGGCAAACATCAACGAGCAACATTTAGTATTAAGAACGACATCCCATCTATCAATTACCCCAGCATGAATTCAATAGCTCAAAGATATACCAATTCGCAGAATAATGATGTATTGAATGAAATAAGTTCAATTAATACGTCACGCACATCACACCAACAACTCAACTTGGCTCCATCTATCGCCGTTCCACCAATTTCACAACCAACAGACTTCTTGAGAGCCCATACTGATGATTCCCAAAACCCGGACTGTAAGATAAAGATAGCACATGGTACTACTACCTTGGCATTTCGTTTTCAAGGAGGTATCATTGTTGCTGTTGATTCTCGTGCTACTGCTGGTAATTGGATAGCATCGCAAACTGTCAATAAGGTCATCAGAATCAATCCTCAGTTACTAGGTACAATGGCTGGTGGTGCGGCCGATTGTCAATTTTGGGAGACATGGTTAGGTACGCAATGTAGATTACACGAATTGAGAGAAAAAGAAAGAATATCTGTTGCTGCTGCATCAAAGATATTGAGTAACTTAGTCTACTCTTACAAAGGAATGGGATTGAGTATGGGAACAATGGTCTGTGGTCATACAAAGAAAGAAGGACCAACTATATATTATGTCGATTCGGATGGAACACGTTTGAAAGGTGATTTATTCTGTGTCGGTTCAGGTCAAACATTCGCCTACGGTGTGTTGGATTCGGAGTATAAATGGGACTTGACAGTAGATGAAGCATTGTATTTGGGTAAAAGAAGTATCTTGGCAGCTACCCATAGAGATGCATACTCCGGTGGATCAATCAACTTGTATCACGTAAATGAAGAAGGATGGACCTATCATGGTAATTACAATGTGGGTGATTTGTTTTGGGAAGTTAAAGAGAAAGAGAAATCGTTTGTGAATGTTGATGGATAAGCTTCACTGCCATTGTCATAGTCATTGGTTTTACTGAATAGATTCACGTGATAAACTAAACTTTGTTCCAGAAAAAATGTGTCACAGCCTATCACATGACCTCTCGAGGGCAATAAACTTTCCTCTTCTCTCTCTGGCGCTACCTAGAGGTTGCACACAAAAAAAAGAAAAAAAAAAACATAGCACTCTCATCCAGCAGAACAAAAGTGTCTGAGTGAAAATTTATTTGAGCTTGAACCAGAGGTATATCCAACAAAGCCACATATTAATAATAGCCAAAGATGGTATGTTTCTAGTACCCTTAGAGGATCGATACGTGCAGACCGTCTTGGAGAAGCAGTAGCGTTTATGAAATTAATCAAGCTCAAAGATGGAGAGAACAATCATTGAGGTGCAAGTTGCACCATGAACTATCCACATCAAAGTGTTACTACGAGGTAGCATTCTTTTACTCCTCTGTCTCGATCACCTCATTTCCTTCATTGATGAATACTAACATTTTCTCCCTAATAGTCTAGCAAAGCCCAAAATCCTATGCGTGAGTTGCGTATCGAGAAATTAGTCTTGAACATTTGTGTTGGTGAATCCGGTGATAGATTAACCAGAGCCTCAAAGGTTTTGGAACAATTGTCTGGTCAAACTCCAGTTCAATCTAAAGCCAGATACACCGTTAGAACTTTCGGTATCAGAAGAAATGAAAAGATTGCTGTCCACGTTACTGTTAGAGGACCAAAAGCTGAAGAAATCTTGGAAAGAGGATTGAAAGTTAAGGAATATCAATTGAGAAACAGAAACTTTTCCGCCACCGGTAACTTTGGTTTCGGTATTGACGAACACATTGATTTGGGTATCAAGTATGACCCATCTATTGGTATTTACGGTATGGACTTTTATGTCGTCATGGGAAGAGCCGGTGCTAGAGTTACCAGAAGAAAGAGAGTTAGATCAACCATCGGAAATAGTCACAAAACCAACAAAGAAGACACCATCCAATGGTTCAAGACCAAATACGATGCTGATGTTTTGGACAAATAATCGTGTTAAATTAGTGGGTCAATCATATAGTCACGTCATTAGTTTAATGCAAAAATAACCTTTTTCGGAAAAAGGAAGTTGTAGAGGCAGCGCAGTAATGGGTGATATGCTATTTCGTTGATGGACTAATTAAATTAGTCTACGATTGCAACGCGACGTGAATCACTCTGTGAGGAGCACTAGCCCAACAGCCGTTTGTCTATAAGTTGTACTGGGAATCCAGTTCAATAGTTGGTAAAGGTTTCAGCATCCGAGTCAGTGTGAATGCTTGCCCATCTTTGTACATATACAGTAGTGATCCTGAAAAGATAAAGTAAACAGGCAGTGTAGAGAAAACTTTACTAATTGTTTGAATCTACCTGTTTATTACTTCAAGCGTAGGTGTGAGAATTCTCTGCCTTCCAAATGAACGGCAGTAAATTTCAATCCCCGTTGTTTCAGGTGCCATACAAAGAAATGTTTGGGTTTTGACCGGTACCGGAATTAATTCCTATTCCAGATAATCCGTCAAGAGACCACAAAGTCAAATCTACTGATTGCGAAAAAAATAATAAAATTAAAGAAATTAAATTTCTCGTTTCAGGGCGTCCAATGACCCAAAGTAAAAGAAATAACTATATCCCCACGAATAGAATATTACCCCAAATACGAATCTGCATTTCTTTTCCCAATACGAGTGCACACAGTGATTGATATACCACACAACGAAAGTCCATACATAGTAGTTTACGTCTAATATTTTCAATTTCTCAGAACCAATAGCTACTTATCGCTTGCATTATCATGGTTTCTATCGGTTATGAGCCTGTGGAGCATTTGCCATATATTGCTGAAAACATAAGTCCAGAAGAAAGAGCAAACGTTGAGCAGTTGCTACGCCTAGAGTTAGCAAATCAATTCAATTCCAACATCACCACCTTTACTGCGCCCGGTGAAAACACTCGACATTTACTGCAACATCCGCAAACTGGTACATTACAGCATCACATAGCAGCTAATCCTGTTTTAAGAATTGGATCCATGCCCTCTAGAGCAGAAGAACCCTCACAAGCGCTACATTTTCAAACTACAATGCTTGATATGAATATACATCAATATGAAGAAGAATCAGACGATGGGGAAGACGAAATAATGAATGAAGGGGGAGTCGATTCAACGTATTGCCCTGACTTTCCGTTGACTTCACCTTTGGAACAATCGTCTTCTATTGGTGGAGACGATGCGCTTGATAGTAATCTGTACATAATATCAGGACGTACACCATTACAGCAAGGTGACTCAAACATATTGATACGACTGAGTCAGGAACTACAAACCTTTCATCTAAGACCTGTAACAGAGGTTGACAATGTAAGTAGTGATTTGATGTCAACTACTAATATTAAAAGAAAAACGATGGATGAAGTCAATGGCATGCGGAAGAAACGACAATTGAACAGTATTGAAAACAACCGAGAAAGCTTTCAGCAGCACTGGAGGCAAGAGTTGAGAAATGCGTTGAACGTGAAAGAGGCAAAGAAGACTAAATAGAGCCATAATCAGCACTTTATTTATATACGTAACATGTTGACTTCGAAATATCATTTATATATTCTCCAACGACTTACTTGTATCTTTTCTTTGCAGGAATATGTAATCGGTCTTGTTGCTTCCAACGTTAACCACCCGAGGGCATCCTTCTCGATGCTTCTCCAATCGACAACACTCTAAACAATAATACGCTTCGGTGCCGTTTTCATTGTTTAACCCTAAACTGTTACCACATAGTATACATTTATTTATCAAATCCCCTTGGGAGCAATCATGACAAATGTAGACTTTAGCTGTTGGTTTGACAAATGAGTCGCAAATGGGGCATCTACCGTCGCAGTTTGTGCATACTTGGCCAATGCGTTTGCCTGGTTGTTTCATACATTGTACAAGATCATATTGATGGCGTGACATTTATGTGTGCAGCTATAGTGGGGTTGGTTGGAGTAGGCCTGTTTTATAGTACTGAAAGTATTTTGTAAAGATGAACTTCGGGGGCGTATTGATGGCGTACTGATGGGGTCACGTGTACTCGTTCTTCTCATTATTTTCGCCCTGGTTTTCAAAATCTTCAAAAGAATGAAACTAAAAGACCAATTTTTACTTTTCTTTTTCTCTCAATTTCAGGCTCTTTTTGCAACCCTTCACCATATAACAACCGAATCTTACACGATACTAGAAACTTAACAAGAACCATCCATACCCATACAACAAAAGATACAGTCCACACATTCTTTCCAAATAATGAGTGAGTCTCACTGGGATGAATGCATGATTTGCTTGGAGCATATGCTACCAGATCACCATATCGGAAATATACCATGTTGTGCCAATAAATTCTATCACCAGGATTGTATTGAGATTTGGGCATCTAAATCTAACAGTTGTCCCACATGCAGAAACAACTTTCATCAAATAAACATTCTGCTCATGTCCAAACCAGGCGTGATTGCAAAAACGATCCAGATTCAGGATAAACTACTACCCAACCCCGCGATTAACCAAATCCCGTCGCAATTTATAATCGGCTCGAATGAGCACCGTAACGATGTGGAAGATACCAGCCCTTATGCTTCCGATGCAGGGTTTTGTTGTCTTTGCGCGGTAACGAGACGTAATTCACCGCTATTATTATGTCAGCAATGTGCGTCCAACTTTCATATCAATTGTCTCGGGATCAGTGATGCGGAAACCGACGACTATTTCAGCTGGTATTGTCCCATGTGTGACTGCCACCAAGAAACAATCTTGCCTATGCGACCAGTACGGAGAGCTCTATTTTCTGGAATGACAAGACGACAACCACCAACTTCCAGGAGATTAGTTATACGGAATGAAAATGATGAAATCGATGATAGCTTTTTATACAATGATGAACCGATGCCTGCGTTTAGCAGCATGCGGATGCATCATGATGAAGTACCGAGAGCCAGTAACGTGATCAATGGTGGTGTAATTTTGCGAAGAGAACAAAAAATGAGACTGCGATTGAGTGAGGAAGAAGTGAGTTCATGGAATATGTTTGAACAAGCTCGCAAGCAAGGTGATGGTGATGTGAGCATGGTTGTCACCTCGTCCTCAGCAGCTCAAGATGGAAATAAGCGCAGGCGAAGGAGAAAAAGAGCGGCTGAGCTTGTACAGCCATTAGAACAGCCCTCGATATCTCCCCAACAATCAGTGGCAGCAACATTAGGAAATTTGTCCGTACATGAAAGTCGAATATCAAATCTAATTGGTCAATTAAAACACCCAAAACGGCAACACAATTCCCTGGCCCTAACGTCTTCGTCATTGTCATCAGCAGGACCACTAACACTGGCGCCCTCAAATATGATCCCATCTTCATCGGCATCCGAATCAGCCGCATCAATAACTAATAGTCCTATGGAGTCAACCAACTACTCGAGTGATGATAACGAGTACATTCAACGGCGTGAGTTGACTTTGAAGGAGAAGCAAGTGATTCAGAAAATTGTACAAGGCAGGTTGAAGCCCAAGTACAAACCGGGCCCAAGTGAAGGGGGTTACATTACAAATGAGGAAGAATTCATTGCAATTAATAAGCGTATATCTCGAAACATTTACGCGCATATCATCAACGCAGTTGATGACGTGGATGAGTATTTCAAAAATGAAGAAAAATTGAGAAAAGTTGTAAATGAGTATATAGAGTGAATAGAGATTGTGAATAAAAGTGCACAAGGAGAATTTTTGCTGATTAGATTTTATTTGTGTGAGTATCACTTTGCTGTCATCGACGATTATCTTCTACGTGGTCCTTTTGGTTTGCTGAATTTTAGTCCACCAGATGGTTTGTTAGCTGAAGCCGACGATGAGGTTGATGCGGGGGTAACAGATCCTGACCCTGGGGTATCGTCTTCAGTAACATCCAACTCACTCAACTCCAACTCGTCCAAATCACCAACCTCCAAATTCTTATCCAACACGATATCGTCATTAAGGTATGTCTTTAAATGGTTTATCAAAGCGTTTTTCGAAGCGGCATAAATCATCCTATCCTTGACTGAAGAACCTGAGGGGCAACTGTAAATAAATGTGTACCTATTTGGAGCGTAATTGTAGATGGAATAAGTGGGACCAGAAGGTGAGTTACTTTGTAGTTTATTAATCAAACTGGTCACTTCAACGTCAATATCTTTTTTTGTCAATTTTATTGACTCGTCATTTAGATCAATATTGAATACCAATAACCGTTGATCATTTGCATTCCGAGTCAAGTTTTTGAATTCGGTTTCCAACTCATCATCGAATTTATACAATATATCAGAAGCAGTTGGTGATGGAGAAGACATACTAGCTAGCTCCTTTTTAAACCCATATTCGTGTCCTTGCATATGAGTCTTGTTATTTAAACTCTGCAAGATCTTTTCATCTTCAGTTAAAGGACCACTTTTCCCATCTTCACTGATCACTTTTTCTAAATGCTCTGCATCTAATTCATCCAATTCTGTCCAAGCTAATTTATAAGCAAAACTCGACGAACCCAAGCTCGATAACAAAGCGTTTTTGGTTGACGCATACAACATTTTTTGCTTTATTGGAGCCGAATCGGGAATAAAAGATATGAAAACCTTGGTAGATTTGTAGGGAATAATAATGTATGCCGGTTGTGGGAATTGTTTAGACATGTATGAATGAACTTGCTCAAATATAGACGAAAGGGAGGTTGAACTGGGTTGCGAAAAGGATGAATCTGGTATCAATTGAGTTGAATCTGGTGAGATCTTGATTACTATTGTATTAGTATCATTTTTGACCTCATTGGAAAGCTCTTCCGACACCGTTATACCAGATTGTGTGGACATATTTTGTTGCGAATTTGGGTCTTGATCTATTGGGATTTGAGCGTTGGAAATTGTCAGCGATAATCCCATTTCTTTATAAGGGTTAGTCGTGTAAAGCTACCAATTAGAAGCTGCTGATTTTGTGTAACTTTGAGTCCGCTTTTGGAAACGATGTAAACAAAGACATAAATACCTTCGACTTCAACCACACCTGGAGACATCGCCCTGTTTAGTTACATACCACAGCGAGAGAGAGTGCAAGAGAGGCTGATAACGAAGTGAGGATATTGGAGCCCTTTGCTATGCACATGACAAGAGAATGGGTCTTTTCAACGCATTTATAGCACTAGACTCAACGAGCATACCGACATTTGATCCATCGATCGACTCAATCAATTTACAAGTGAAATCACTCTTGTATCTATTCAAAAGACTACGAATCAACAAATTGTTGCCTCTTTTAAAGAATGGTGAATTGACATATACTGATTCGCTAGTCGGTGACCGCAGTGACCCCACATTTGCCAAACTTGACAAGACTTACAACGTGATAAGATTTAAGGAGATGTTACTCGATGATGAATATCGTGTTTTGGTTGATTTTATCAAGAACAAGTTCCGCTCAATGTGCTTTATTGATGACTTACCTACAAACTTGTCACGACCCCGAAGTCCAACACGTAACCTGTCAACGGATGCCGTCAGCGCAGTTGATGTTGATGATGATTTCCTCCCACCTTTTCTAGATTACAAAGAACGGAACACAAAATTGTTCAAGTTCACATTGTTTTCCATTTCACAACCTCATACAACTGAATCAATTGCAAGTATACTTAGTGGATCAAACATTTACATTGAACATAAAGTGCCGTTTTTGAAGCGGTACAATATCGCTCTTACTGCGACAAACAAAGTCATTGGCAAACCTTTGACTACAAAGTTTACCATAGATCAAAAGCAGAAGTTGAAGATCATACGAAACTATCTCACATTGTTGGCTACACATGTACAAGTGATGAGAATTTATCATGAGTATACGAAAATGCATCCGGTTGTCGTTGCGACAACCACTACAAATCTGCTCAGTCATTCAGCTTCAAAATTGTCACTCCATGATTCATCCCAAACGTCATCACCAACGAAAACGACCTCAAGATCAAAGTCGTCTCCCACGAAATTAGCAAGAAGAGACGTCCATGCCCAACCTGCACTTCGCAAAAAGCCGTCCGTGCTGAAATTACGACTTGAAGAATTGTACAACCCGGTAACTAATCCGCCTCAATTTCAGTCGACAAATGCAAATAGGGGCAACGACACAAGTTCAGTTTCAGCTTCTGATTCTATTACCTTGTCCGAAGATGTCGAGAGTAGGGAGATTTTACGTCTAGACGTTTATGAAAGGTGTAAACTTGCTGTTGGTGAAAAGATAAAGTCAGAGCGAAAGAAGCTAAACAATGACATGGCAAACTAGTAAACATTGAGAAAGCTTTTATAGAGATATAGAGGAATAGATATGCAAGACGATTTTCAAGAACGATAATTGCGTCCCACTTTGTAGCTAACAACTTCGCATTAGCTGCACTTATATAAAAAAAAAAAGTAACTGCACTAAATCCTTTGCTTACTATCAATTTTAGTACTACATCAGCATCCATCATGTCTTCATCACTCATACGTGGTTATAGTGTACTACTGCGCGGTCAAAGGCTGAATCTGCTTTTCAAGTCCACACTCAGGCCCGGTATCAATCAAGTAGCAATGTACGTCACTCGTCATCACCAACACCAACTACTCCATACGTCCTCTAAAACCCACAACCTCTTTGGCGGCGGGAACTCCACTTCGAAATCATTACGAGGCAAAGTCAGCTCCAACCCGGAACAGTTGCTAAAGCCACTGGCAAAATCCCAAGTATCATCGAACCCAGCTGACATTTTAACGCAAAATGACATTTTGATGTATTCAACCAAGCCAACAAATTATATCGAAAGTATCAAGCTGAATGGATTTCATTTATCTAATAACTATTTTATCCTGTCACCGGATTCGAATGGTGATTTAATTGGGTTGTGTTTGTTAGGGTCAGAGACGTTTGAGGTGAAATTAACTAATAGCAACAACAACAACAACAACAACAACAGCAAAAGTAAACAGGTTAATTTCTCCATTAACAACCACATTATTACATTTCATGACTCCATCCTACAGATATTTTCCAAGATCCATCCAAAACCGGAATTAGTTGTTATTGGACTCGGTAAAACTAGTCGATTGTTGAATAGTTCCAATAGAAATTGGTTTAGTGACTTGGGCATTCAATTGGAAATTAGCGATTCGACAAATGCCGGTCAGATTTATGACTTGTTGAGTACTGAGCGACCTGGAGTTATTGGTGCGTTATTGTTGCCGCCAAATTTGTAAATAGGGGTCCCGATTCGGGGAAAGAGTAGTTAGTTTATTTCAAAGAGGCTACACTTGGCAGTAGTTATGCGTCTCGAATCAACGTTTATTTATTGCGAAAACAAATGTAAATGAGTATTAACCGCTAAAATGTCATTATGTTAGCTGTAATTGTCTTTTACCCCACCCGATCCTCCAACTGTAGATGTTCCTGCAGCAACAGCGGCTAAAGCGGCAGCGGTATTACTTGCACTAGAAGACGACCTATTAGTAGCACCTACTCCCATATCATTGCCCATGTTGGTTGTACTTGCAGACTGGCCCGCTGGCAAATTCGCAAAAAATGTAGAAAATCCCAGCGGCGTTCCAAATGTAATGTTCCACGGCGAGGGGATCTGCATGACATTTGTCGCGGATGACGCTGATGAAACTGACATTGGTGCTTGTGAATTTGTTGGCTGTTGTGGTCCATTGTTTGGCACCAAATCACCTACGTTGTAAATATGCGAGTGTTGTGGTGTTGACATCATTGTCATTACCGGGTACTGGACGAATGGGCCACCCGTGGCTCCTATTGCGCCCGCAGCTCCCGCAGCTCCCATGGCTCCTCTCTGGCTGGATGTTGGTGGTGGATGCTGTGAAACTGGTGGTGGCATTTTTCCAGTTGAGTCCACACCACTGGTCTCAAATTGACCAGGAGGTTGGTGTGGCGGTGGTGGCGGTGGCATAGGAATTGACTGTGGATACTTTACATGTGTCCCCAGTTGTTGCAGAATATGTGATGGCTGATGTTGTGGTGGTGGTTGCGGTCCATGTTGCTGAGGAGGATAAAACAACCCTGAATGATTGGGTGAAGGCTTTTCAAAAATCTTGTCTAGCAACATTTTCGAATTCGGTGTAGATGAAAACCCACCACTGCCATGACCGCCAATTTCAAATGATGAATGATCGGTGGTTAAGTTGAGGTGACTTGAATTCATGCTATTGTGTGACAAGATACTACTATTGTTGTGATTATTCTCCTTTGTCGAAGACATTGTTACATTGTGATTCTCCATTAATGTCGACAGCTGAGGATGCAACGAGGGTGGTTGTAGTGGTATCAAAGTTGGCTGAGTTTGCTCTACTTTGATTTGTGGTTTACTTTTTTCATCCTTCTTGCCATTGTTGTGGTTGTTGTTGTTGTTGTTGTTGTTGTTGTGTAACTTTTTCTTTCTCCCCGATATTGAATTCACATCAGTTAAAACGATTTGAAATTTATTCATTCCTGCTTGCATTCTTGCCCTATTCTCAGCCTTGACTTTTTTAGGGTCTTTGCTCTTGGCCGTGCTTGCCAAATCTCCCGAAGAAGTCGTTGTCAAGGTATATCCTGATTTGAAGGAAGTGGTTGTTGTAGTGGGGTGAAAGGAAGATCTACTACGGCTGTGTCCCTTAGTCACAACTTTTTTAGATTTGACTTCAGTAAATATTCCCATTTTCGGTTGATTTGACACTTTTGCTGGTGTCGGGCTTGGTGGTGGTTGATTTTCCTTATCATCTTCATCTTTATCTTCTCCCAAATCTTCCTCCTCATCTTCCTCTTCTTCCTCTTCTTCATTGTGCTTGGTAAGCTTTTTAGAGTCAAAAGCATCATCGAGGCTCAAATTTGAAAGCCTTTCGGTCGACGTCACAAGTATTGTTGAAGGCGATTCGGGTCTAGTCTGTTTATTAGCTGGAGTGTTGAAATCTTGTTCAGATTCAATCAGCATATCTTTAGATTCCTTTTTGCATGGTGTTTGAGGTGTTTCAAGATCCTTTGCCTCACCTTGAATATTTTTATCTTCTTGATTAGATTGTTTTTTGATTCGACTAACAACTGTTGGAGACTTCATTTCAGGCTTGACATCATCTTCCTCTTCTTCATTATCCTGTTCATCTTCAGTGTCTTTGTCGTCATCCGGCTGGCAAACTTGTTTCCTAATCACTTCCTTAGCATCGCCTGCGTTTTCAGCTCTGGTTATGATACTCAATTTGTGAGGAACTCTTGGTGGGGTATCGACCATATTGATATTTCTCTTTGTGGCACTCTTTAGTGGATCTTGCAAAATCTTTCTATTACTGGCAACTGTATTCAAGCTGAATTTGGAAGGTGTTATACTGAAATTTTCAAAATTTAAACTCGTGTTGCAACCATCAACATTGTCTTTGGTCGTTCGTAGTGGAGAATCGATAAAGAAATCACAATTCTGTTGGAAGATCTTCTCATTGAATGGTGTTATATTATTCATTGGGTTTATGGTATTAACGCCACCACCACTACTCATTAAATTGAAATTGAAATTGTGGTTAATAAATGGTGTCAAACCAAAATTTTGATACTCATAGTCATTAATGTTGTAAGTTGGAACAAAGTTTGTTGATGTATTGGCACTTTGCGGTGCCTGCAGTTGCAGTTGCGTTGGTTGTTGTGGGTGTAGTAGTTGTGGTTGTATTTGTGCTTGCAGTAGTGATGATGATATAAATAGCTTGTTTGGCGTAGAGTTGAATGATATGATTTGTTCATTTGAATAAGTCTTTGAAATTAGTGGTGTCCAACCAGTTAAATTTGTTAATTGATTCGTTAATTTCGATGCCGATGGAGGTATCGACAACGAAGGGGCTTGTTGCTGTTGTTGTGAATGTAATGCATGAGCTTTTTTTGCTGATTGCATCAACGATTTTTTGAATGGTGTGGATGTTACTTTATTTGTTGCCGGTGTCTTTACAATAGAAGAAGTTCTATTCGGTTTAGAGTCAAATGAATCATCTCTAGCAGGCGATGAACGTAGAAATTCATGTGACATTGTGACGTAGTCAATGTGGTATGTGATCTAGCAAAAGGTTAACAAGCGTGAAGCAAAATAATAAAAACAAAAAAAAAAATGGAGCAAAAAAATTGGATCCACTTTGGTGACTTTGAGAGCCCGGTTGGAGTTAGCGCGATGGTGACGGTTGAATTAGAGTCAAGCAAGTGTATGGCACAGTTTTGCTCTACCGCAACTCAAACGTGTAGGTGGCTAGTAAAGTCTGTTTTGCTATGTATGTGATTATGATTGTGCTGGCGAGCAATGGGGGAGGGTGGAGGGCCGTGATCGATTTGAATTTTGGGATATGTTTATAAATGGTAATGTGTTTCCTCTTGTTAGCAAAGTGCAGTAAATTGGTGTCCACTAGAGTGATGATTATCCTTTCTCCTTTGATTGTAAAAGAAATAAAGGTTTTCTCTATCTTTGATGGTTTGATGTTTTGTTTTGTTTTGTTTACGTTTGTTTATGCTTTTTTTTTTTGTTCAAGATGAAACAGACAGAAAGAGCAACCTAACCACAAAGACGGAAACAATTTCAAAGTGGACATATTATATACCAATGTATACCATAAACACACAGAACATACTAAAGGCTATTTCTCTTCGCCTCTAACTCATTATTCACAAATGTAACATCGTTCAAAAGGTCATGTGATAAGTTATCAAAGTTATGACACTGCCTCGCTTTCCTCGGAATTCAGTTTTTATTTTTAAACTCTTGTTTTTGTGTACTCTTTCAAGATTTCGCGTTTTCCTTGAACTGTACTGGAAGCACCGGTTGGTTTGTCAACCACACCAAGGATTTGCCACAGCAGCCTCCAGTAATAATGTGGCTTCGTGTACTGGACTATGATCAGCTCTATTGATTTACTTTAGGCTTGCATACTCTACATTCATGGCATCGATTACGTCTTCTTTTTGATTGCAGAAGATTACAGAAAATTTCGCGTTTTTTGTGACGAAACCCACCCACACACACTACACATACACTACACACACACTACACATACACTACACACACACTACACATACACTACACACCTTACACTCAAACTTTTCTCCTCAACCTATATCTCATTGTCTATCACATCTTGACTACAACTCTTACAAAGAGTAGCAATTGTAACAGAAGAACAGAATGGAATCAATGTCTCACTCTTCAAATTGAGAGTTGGTAGTTTCTTGTAGTCTCTTGTAGTCTCGTGAATCTCGGCGAAAGGGGGAAAAAAACTGACAAAATAACCAGATGCCGTCCTTTGGAGATACAAACACTTTACAGCAATGCGATTGAAGAAGATACCCACCATCAAAACCTCGCTGCTATAAGATTGTTCAACGGGGTTCTTTTTTTTTTTTTTTTTTTTTTTTTTGAATGCCTTTTTACAACAAAGTAAAAGCTGTAACAAACACACCTTTACTTTTTCCTTTTTTTCTTTCTTTTGCATACTGAAACTTTTAGACAATTTTGCAACAAAATCGTCATAGATAACCTAATGTAAGGTTTTCTTGATCAACAATTGAAATGATCTTGAACACAAACGGAACTAGACAATGGCAACTTAAGCTCACACGTGTGTCCCCAATCGCAATAGAAGAGTAAATACCTACGACCAAAAACACCTTCAAAAATTCAAAACAGGCTTTAGTTAGATTCAAAAAAAATTACAAAACTTCAAACAAAATACAACAATAACAACAACTTAATTATGGATGCATATGCAATTACAAAATAGATTAAGCTTAACACGCATGGTCTCCCTCCATTTCTTTCTCCTTCTAATCAAATGAGATTTCTCTCCGTCACTCACTCACACACGCATTCTCTTTCTCTCTTTCTTTCTGTATCTCTCCCTCCCCTAAGCATGGTCGGCAATGGCAGCTTCACCTTGGTCAAAGTCTTGTTCAGCAATTCTCAAATTTTCAGTTTCGTTGGCCAATTCGTCATCATGATAAGCACCTTCATCATCATGAGCAGCTAAAGATAAAGTAGGACGGACAACAGCAGAATCAAAAGTCCATGAAGCCAAAGCATTTTCAGCATCAATGATAATTTGTTTAGAAGCTTCATATCCATCATAAGCTGGTCTAGTTTCACCCGGAGTAACTGGACTTTCATCCAACAATTCCAAAAGGGCTTTACCGTAACCAGCAATCAAAGCAATTTTTTCAGCATGTTCTCTAATTGAATCAAATTGATAGTTGTAAGCAGTCTTCAATTTTTCTCTAGTAATATTACTCAATTGAGCCTCGGCAACTAAAGATTCAGCTTCAGCTCTAACCAATTCTTGTTCCAATACATTAATCTTGGGAGATTGAGGATCCTTGTACTTCAAATAAGCAATTTGATCAGTAATCTTTTGTTTTCTTTGTCTTGATGGTTCAACTGATCCTTCAATATCTCTAATACTCTTCAAAGTAATTCTATATTGATCATATCTATCGATAAATTGATCCTCCAATTCACCAATTTCATAAATCAAGACACCCAATTTATCAGTAATATCAGAAACATCATCATCATTACCTTCACCCCAAAGCGACAATTGTTTAGCAACATCTTTTCTTTCTCTTGAAGTGATTTCAGTAGATCTCATCAAATTCTTCTCCATCTTGATCAAAATGGCCAATTTTCTGGCCAATTCTGGACCAAGAGCACCAGCAGCTTGTTTTCTAAAAGAGTGGCTGATGGAACCCTTTCCAAAAAATTTGCTTTTGGTGGATGATGGTGGTGGTGGTGGTGCTTGTAATTGAGAAGCAGTAGGTGCTCTACTAGATCTTAAGGAATAAGTTCTGTGCATATTTGGACTTTGTTTGAATAATAGAGTAAAACGAAAGAAGTTTTTGGTGAAGTAAAATGAAAAGAAAGTTGTAAAAGTAGAAAAGTAGAAAAGTGGAAAAGTAGAAAAGTGAAATTGAAATTGAAATTGAAATTGAATGTTTCTTCTCAATTAAGATTCATTTATTTTTTTTTTTTTGTTTTTTTTTTTTTTTTATTTTTGGTAAATTGATTTTTGACGATTTAAAGTCAGTCAGTCAGTCAGTCAGTCAATCAGTCAATCAATCAGTTAGTTAGTTAGTTAGTTAGTTAGTTAGTTAGTTAATTAATTAATTAATTAATTAGTTAGTCACACCCACAGCAAACTTCAATTCTTCTTCTTTTTTTTTTAAAAAAAAAAAAAAAAAAAAAATTTAGTTTACAAATTCAAATTTCACACCAAGACTACACAAAACACTAGCAAAGAGTAACAAATATATTACAACAATAGTTAATATTGTTATTATTATTATTATTGTTACTACGTACAGCACACGCACAGTTCACACAAAGTCACACTCCATATCTTCCCAATTTACTTTACTGATTGGCTTGGAGTTTGATACCGAGGCAACAATTGAGAAAAACTGTGGACGAAGCCAGTTGCTGCGACTGGTGGTTGACGCTCGGTCGGAAAAAAATGGCTCACTGTTGCTTCTGAGCGCGTTTGGTCACATACATTTTGATTGAAAAACCAGTAGAAGTAGTTCACGTCATCCCACGCAAAAGTTAGAATGACTGCATTTGAAAGAAGATATGTAACGGATAGTGGTAGTCACAACAAGAAAAATAGCCCGTATTCGTAACTCGACTATGCTATGTATTGGAGTGAGTGTGGTGAAAGACAATGGAGTGCTTTCCAGTTTTATTAAAGTCGAGGATAAAATTACAAATCACACAAAAGCTAGTTTTTCAGGCAGTATAAGCAAAAAAAGTAGCAACGTGACTAGTTTTCGAGTGGAAATGCAAGCAAGTCCTCTACCCGCATTATTGACTGACCTTTAGGGAAAGAAGCATTTATCTAGGATGACTACTTGCCCCACATTCTGCCCATCACAACTTTACTTTTGCCTCCTTGTGAGAAAGTAGAAGAACAGAGAAAGAGTCACTCAAAATTAATCTCACAAAGGAGAGTTGCTTTTGAAGAAAGTTGTGTTGTTGTTTGCTTTGTGGTTGTGTTTTTTTTTTTTTGCTAATTTGTTTGAAGCTGCTTTTGGACAAATTGAAAAACACAAAACATAATTCATTTGTTTACAATTTAACCTAATCGGGAGACTATAACTATGCTCTTATGATAAAACATCAAAGAGTTTGAAGCCTCTCTTTTCTCTTTTTTCTACCTTCACTATTGACAACTCTCTTTCTTCCATTGTTTCTTTTCAGTTATGGCTGGCTGTTGATTTTGTTGATTTGTCATGTATGACGTATTACACAAGGGTATTTTTTGTAGTGTGGTTGTAGACAACAACCTCGCACAATCCTTCTGCCTGTATGCAAACTGCACGGCTTTTTTTTTTTTCTTACTTCTTCTTCTCCCGGAGATAAAATTACGATGTCTCCGGATCTCAAATTGTAAACTATACAAACACATCTAACATCAAATCGTATAACTATCTTTATGTAGTACTAAATGGGTCTATTACAAGTAAACAGCGGTATTATGTTGCTCGCAAGACTTCTTCTTGTCGTTTTTATTGTCATATTTTGCTTTGCCCTTCTATGACCTTCTATTAATTACTCGGGGACAGTTTATTTTTTGTGACCACCATCGAACAAAAGCAAAAACTGTTCACAATACAAAGTCATTTGGTATCAGATATACACAAACATCACGAGGACAGCATGAAGTACGGAAAACACACATATACCACTCTAGAGGGTAATATGCATGGCGCAGTGGGGAAAGTAAGACATGCATCCGATCTAGCCCCTTTCGAGCCCTCTTTTCCTCCCCCCCCCTTTTTTTTAAATACCACTTTTTACACCTTGGCGGACACAAACTCTATCCTCCTGATCCGAAACTTTAATATGTGTTTCCCTGCATTTTCATTTCACACTTAGGAATGAAGTCATTTAATAACTAGAATCACATGAGTGCGCAAGCCATTCCCAAAACTTCACTAAAGTACCTTGATTCTACGACTCCAACCGTGTCTCTCCTTTTTCGCAACATCTTCGAGGTGTTTAACTTTTTTAAAAGAAATAGGACCAAACATGCATGGTTATAATATGTATGCAACAAGCGCCTAAGACGCGCCTAAGACACGCCCAAGGCCCAAAAAATAATTGGTTCCATGTCAATGCAAGATCCACGTCTTTTTCTTTTGAAACTCGTTGTTTCCAAAATCGCCAAACTATACTGGAGGCTGTGCTCGATGTACACCAATCGAGATGGTTTATGTGGCCATCTCGTTGAATCCAAAGCGTCCTATTCCATTTTTGTGCTTGATACAACGGAAATTTATCTATCAGTCTTATCATACTGGAATCCAGACCACGTTTATACGAAGCAGTTTACTAGATACAATGTCCAGACCCAGCAAGTTGGGCTTCTTGGTACATTTTCGTTTGTTTCTACAACATCCACGTGCGGAAGTACCAAAGTTTTTCAGCTGCAATTAAAACTATATCGGCAAACACATTTACAAACAGGACTCTGCGAGGATCTTACTTTTGCTAGTATTCCTAGAAGTAGGCTTCATATTTCTTATCTCTTGGTTGGTAATGTCTTTGTAAGCAGTTTCTTACTCTGGCAAGTGTCGCAGATGGTATCCATGCGACACACAAACTATCGAACAGAAAAACGAAAATTTGTTGTCTCACATCTCTGCAACGGCAAACGGGCAAAATCTGAAAATCATTATCAAAAATTTTCAACTTGCAACTGTTTCTCCAACAACCTCCAATACATACACATCGATAGCAAATGTCAAAAATAGTATCGAGTCCTGGGATTAAGGATGCGGAACTATTGGTATCCAGATCGATACATTTAAGACCTTATGTTTGGCCATTTACAATCATATATCCAATCTTTTTTCAATTGTATTGGAATCATTATGATACTTATTTCGTGGGTAGAGAATGGACTTTTGTGTATACTATAGCTATAGTATCACTCAATTTGCTTTTTTGGTTGATGCCTCATTGGAATATTGACATCAGTGCCCAATTTAACTATAGCAAAGTTGACAAGATTGAAGATGCAACATATATCAAAATTACCCCAGCGCCAAATTCTGGTATAGGTGAAATCAGTCCTATTACTCGTGAAACTTTCCATGATGGAGAAAAACAAACTAGTTTCTTGTATCAAAAGAGAAGGTACTTGTATCATCCAGAATTGAAGAGATTTTCTCCACCAGAGTTTGAATTTGATTCATTACCAAAGTTGCAAGTGTATCAAACTACAAAAGGTTTAAGTGGAGATTTGCAAAAACAGTACAGAAACTATGGATTAAATAAGTTTGATATTCCAATTCCTACATTCTTGGAATTGTTTAAAGAACATGCCGTGGCACCTTTTTTCGTTTTCCAAATTTTCTGTGTTGCACTTTGGTGTATGGATGAGCAGTGGTACTATTCACTTTTCTCATTGTTTATGTTGGTTTCATTCGAAATGACAACTGTGTTTCAAAGAAGAACAACCATGGCCGAGTTTCAAAGTATGGGGATCAAACCTTATGATATCTTTGTCCATCGTGATAATAAATGGCTGAAACTTTCTACAACAGAGTTGTTACCTGGTGACTTGGTGTCGATCACAAGAACCAGTGAGGATAGTGCATTACCCTGTGATTTGCTATTGGTTGATGGATCGGCAATTGTGAATGAAGCCATGTTGTCAGGAGAATCTACTCCATTGTTAAAGGAGTCAATCAAGTTAAGACCAAGTGAAGATAATTTGCAACCTGAAGGATTTGACAAGAACTCAATTTTGCATGGTGGTACCCTGGCTTTGCAAGTGACAAAACCTGAAAACTCCATTGTTGCACCAGCTCCAGATCATGGATCTCTTGCCGTAGTCACCAAAACTGGATTTGAAACATCGCAAGGCTCACTTGTTCGTACAATGATTTTTTCCAGTGAACGTGTTTCAGTGGGAAACAAGGAGGCTTTTTTGTTTATTTTGTTTTTGTTGATTTTCGCCATTATTGCCTCATGGTACGTGTGGACTGAAGGTACACGCATGGGTAGAGTTCAATCAAAATTGATTTTGGATTGTATCATTGTCATCACTTCGGTTGTGCCACCTGAATTGCCAATGGAGTTGACAATGGCTGTAAACTCATCATTGTCAAAGTTGCAAAAATTTTACATTTATTGCACTGAACCGTTCAGAATCCCATTGGCCGGTAGAATTGATGTTTGTTGTTTTGACAAGACTGGTACTTTAACGGATGAGGATTTGGTATTTGAAGGTTTGGCTGGTTTTAAAGATGATGATATTCATCATTTATACAAGGTTGCTGATGCACCAACAACAACTTCATATGTTTTGGGATCAGCTCATGCTTTGGTGAAGTTGGATGATGGTGATGTTGTTGGTGACCCGATGGAACAAGCGACGTTAAGTGCAGCTCACTGGACTGTTGGAGCTAACGATACAGTTGAAAGAGAAGTTGGTAAGAAAACAGAGAAAATCAAAATTTTGCGTCGTTTCCAATTTTCAAGTGCTCTTAAAAGATCATCAACCATTTCGTCAATCAATTCACTTCCAGGTAAAAATTTTGTTGCTGCTAAAGGTGCACCAGAAACCATTCGTAAAATGATTATTGATGCGCCTCATCATTATGAAGAAATCTATAAATCTTTTACGAGATCGGGTTCGCGTGTTTTGGCGTTGGCATACAAGTATTTGGACACCAATGTCAATGTCAATAAAGTTAAGCGTGAAGAAATTGAATCGAAGTTGCATTTTGCTGGGTTTATCATTTTCCACTGTCCATTGAAAGCTGATGCAATTGACACTATCAAGATGTTGAATGAATCATCTCATCGTTCAATTATGATTACTGGTGATAATGCTTTAACTGCATGTCACGTAGCTAAAGAAGTTGCCATCACCACTAAAGATGTGTTGATTTTGGACGTTCCTGAAGAACATCATGATGCCGATGAAGCTGATTTGGTTTGGAGAAATGTTAAAGAAACAGTTGTGATTCCAGTTAGATCTACTGACAAGATTGATTTTCACCAATTGAAACAATACGATATTTGTTTGACGGGATATGCATTGAATTTGTTGAGTGGACACCAACAATTGCTTGCTTTGCTAAAGAGAACTTGGATTTACGCTAGAGTCTCACCAACGCAAAAGGAATTTATCTTGACTACGTTGAAAGATGCTGGTTACAATACATTGATGTGTGGTGATGGTACTAATGATGTTGGTGCATTGAAACAAGCCAACATTGGTGTTGCTCTTTTGAATGGTACTGAAGAAGGTATGAACAAGATTATTGAAAATAGAAAAATCGAAGCTACAAAGAAAGTGTATGACAAACAAGTTCAATTATTTGCCAACTGGGGTAAACCAGCTCCCAATGTGCCTCCCATCATTGCTCATTTGTATCCACCAGGTCAAAACAACCCCAAGTATTTAGAGGCAATGGAAAAGAAGGGTGTTGCCATTACTGAAGATATGAAGCAAGCTGTTGCCATGGCAATGAAACAGCCAGTCAAGGTACCACAACCAGGTCAATCTCCAGTCCCCGCCGATGGTGGTAAATTTGCCGATACTATCCTTGGTGCATTAAACGATGCTGAAGCTGAAGATGAAGCACCAACTTTGAAATTGGGTGATGCATCAGTTGCCGCTCCCTTCACCTCAAAATTATCCAATGTTAGTACTGTTACTCACATTATTCGTCAAGGACGTTGTGCTTTGGTTTCCACGATTCAAATGTACAAAATATTGGCTTTGAATTGTTTGATTTCGTCTTATTCACTTTCAGTGTTGTACTTGGCTGGAATGAAATTTGGTGATGGACAAGCAACCGTTTCCGGTATCTTGTTATCTGTTTGTTTCTTGTCCATTTCACGTGGTAAACCATTGGAAAAATTATCCAAAGAAAGGCCACAAGATGGTATATTCAACATTTACATCATGGGATCCATTTTGGGACAATTTTTCATCCACATTGTCACTTTAGTTTACATCACGCGTGAAATTTACATTGTTGAACCAAAAGAACCTTCAGTTGATTTGGAAAAGAAATTCACTCCATCATTGTTGAATACCGGTATGTTTTTATTACAATTGGCCCAGCTGGTTTCTACTTTTGCTGTCAATTATATTGGGTTACCATTTAGAGAGAGTCTTGCTGATAACAAAGGTATGTATTATGGATTGTTGGGAGTTGCTGGTTTGACATTTGCTGGATCGACTGAATTCATTCCTGAGATTAATGAAGCTATGCAGTTTGTTCCCATGTCAACTGATTTCAAGGTCAAGTTGACTGGATCAATCATTGTTGATTTGGTTGCTACTTGGGCTATTGAAACTGTGTTGAAGCATTTCTTTATGAATTCACAAGCTGCTGATATAGCATTGAGGGATGAGGATTTGGAATCGACTCCAAAGATTGAAGCAGTCGAGATAGTGGAGGAAAAGATTGAAGTAGAGTAGATGCTACTGCTACTGCTACTGCTACTGTTACTGCTGTTGCTGTTGCTGTTGCTGTTGCTATTATATAGAGGTCTTTCAAATTTTACATTATATTAATAAATATCTAAGATTTTTCAATTTATGACACTAGTACCACCAAGTGTAACCAAATCTTCAACACGATTCAAATGCGATACTCGTATTACTGTGATGCCCGCCTTTTCGTAAATTGCAAAATTGGTCAATCTATCATTGATCAACTGTACAATACGACGAATGTCATCTTGATCCATTTGATCTTCATCACAAGTATCACGTACAATTTGAACTATTTTCGTGAATGAAAGTGATACCCCTTTGGTATTGTTACTACTACTTGAGTTTATACCCTCGAGATACAATTGATGTATAACATTGTAAATTTGATCCATCTTGGCAGCAAGGTATTGTTCGCGTTTCTGTTCCTTGGTTATTGCTCCTGCTGAATTGTTCAATTTCTCCTTCATTTTGATCCTTTCAAGTAAAGACATTCCTTGATGTTTGTTACTTTCCTCAGCGGCATTCTTTTCCTTGAACGTGAATTTCGATCGAGAATTCTTCAAGTCCGCGAATCTAGTCCTCAGTTTCGTAGGTGATGGCGAGGGCGATGGCGATGGCGATGCTGATGTAGTAAGCGACGGTGATGAATACATCTTTGTGACTTTTCTTGGTGATGTGGTTCGTATCCATACATCACGCAAGTTTATCATGGCAAGTGATTTGTCATCTTGATGCATTGAGATCCATTTATTCACCGATTGGGTAAATTCACCAACTCGATCTTTTCCCTTAATATCCGGAAACGACATATACGTTCCATGTTGGTTTCTATATATCTTGTATAATGGTGAAATCGCTAGTATGTTCTCCAAATTGTTAATGTTGATTTTCCATTGCGCCAAATTTGATGCGTGTTGGAGAATCTCTTGTGCCAGGGGGTTAGTGACGTGGTTGATGAAATGTAGCGAAAGTGTACTGTCAATGTATTTCACATTTGATATCAACCGATGAAATTCATGTTTCGGTATGTGTTTGTGTTTGATTATGTCCATGGTTGTCGACAGCTTCAGTTGGATGAGGAATGAGACGTCTAAAGAGTTAGACGCGTTGTTCAAAAATCTTTTTATATGTTCGCGTAGCGGAGTTTATTATTTCCAAATTGAGTTTTAGCTCCAACTACACATGAGCTTTGCATAACCTAGAACGACGCTTTTGGAAGCAACGTCAACAGGTATTCGATCTGGCCTCTACAGTGAATTTTGTCACAGCTTAGAGAAGGTGGCGTTTAGCTACTCTTTTAGAAAGCAAGATGCATCAACCCATTCATCTGAGCACCACAGCTGTTTCATGCGTGACGTATCGATTGATTTTGAACACGATCACGTTTCTACCCACTAGCTCATTAATCCACAAGGTAATGTGCAATGTCCCTCATCTCATCGCTAGTTAATCTGGTCTGGACCAAAACTCCGAGAGTGCACACATAGTGAGAAAAAATACTAAAAAAAAAAAACAATATTATGCAGCCTTTTTCTGCATTGCTATCGAGTACAAGATATTGATGAATGGGTAGTGAGCAACGAGAGGACCACTTGAAGAAAGGATCTAATGTATCACCATATGAGGCGTTGTTTGCGGGATCAATTGCAGGTGGGGTATCAAGAGCAATCACTGCTCCTCTAGACACCATCAAGATACGACTACAGTTAGAAACGCGAAGTTTTTATTACAGACAGTCCATTGCCACAGTGGTTAAAGGCTTACTCAAAAATGAGGGTGTCATTGCATTGTGGAAAGGTAATGTGCCGGCGGAAATCTTATACATCTTGTATGGTGGTGTTCAATTTGCATCGTACTCCATATTGAGTACCAATCTTTCTCAATTTGAGCAACATTTTCGAATCAACTTGTCACCATCCATACATTCGATGGTGGTTGGTGCTGGCGCAGGTTTAACAAGCACGCTAGCCACTTATCCGTTTGACTTGCTTCGCACACGGCTAGTGGCAAACAAAAAAAGAGATCTTGATTCAATGAGTGGTACAATCAAACAAATTCTTAAAAACGAAGGAGTGAGCGGTATGTTTGCAGGTATCAAACCTGCAATAATCTCAGTTGCATCTACTACTGGACTTATGTTTTGGTCATACGAACTAGCAAGATCATTTTCTCAGGAGTACAAAAGTATACCATTCATCGAGGGGATTTGTGGGTTCATTGCTGGCGTAACCTCCAAAGGTATAACGTTTCCATTAGACACGTTGAGAAAGAGGTGTCAAGTTTATGCTGTTGTTCACGGGACCAAGCCTATTAATGCAATGAAACTTTTTGTTGAAATAATCAAGAAAGAGGGTGTATTAGGTCTATACAAAGGGTATGGAATCAGCATTTTGAAAACAGCCCCTACCAGTGCTTTGTCTTTGTGGATGTACGAGTACACCATTTCATTTATGAAATCTACTCCATTTGTGTGAACCAATTTAGACTTTGAATAGATAATCATTTTCATCATCATCATTAGATACACTTCCTCCAACATTGACAAAATCTACATCTTCTTCCTCATCATCATCATCATCTTCTTCTTCTTCTTCTTCATCGTCATAATCAACATCACTTCCGTCCTCCAATTGGACACCATAATACTTTGCCAACAGGCCCGGCAGTATATATTCTCTATCGTCATCATCTGAATCATATCGTAAATGGCGCTCCACGTCAGACGTATTCGTAGTTGAATTGAAATTTTGGGAATGCGCGTGTAGGGATTGTGAAGCAGTTACTAGGTTTTGTAGCCTAGAAGATTTCCGCGAAACTTCTCGTGTGTCTTCAATAGTGGGTAGTTTGTTCGGAAGATGTTTCCTGGTAGCCGTCTTTGGTGACACTATTTGAGCGGGTTGTGCCTGTCGCAATTGCTCACGGATATATTTAGGCAATTGCTCGCCAACTAGTGATGTAGGTCTGGTTTTTAATTCAGGTCTTGTTGTTGAAGCCAGTTGGCCGCTGGAATGGTGTTCTAGGACTGGTTTGGATCTAGTGGTCACGCTCAAGTTTGTTATGCTCGTAGCTGCAGGCGTGACCAATTGGCCATCTTTGCCTGTGAAATCTGGGTTTGGTCGGGGTTGCATCAAATCTAAAGATAGTCGTCTCTGATTTTTGGTCAATCTCGGCATATCATGGGCTTTCTGATTCGGGCCAATCTCTGCCCGAGGTTGCTCGCTTTCAGCATTTGCATTGGTCTCTTGTGTTACCTCTTTAAAGGGCAATAGACCTATGGAGTCGATCATTCGTGACACATCTGTATATAATGACGATTCCTTCGTACCCCAAAGTGATACCAATTGAGGGGGATTCAAATCTTGACTAAAGACTTTAAGGTCAAACAACTCGTCAATTTTCAAATTTAAAAATTCAACGTTCTTGCAGTTCGTTGTCTTGGTGACCCTCTCCCAGTCAATATTGGTGTAGAACTTTGAGATATCTTTCAATTGATCAAGATATGTGTTGATGTAGTCCTCCAACTGGACTTGCTTTTCTGAAGTCCAATCCATTGCACCTTGAAGTCAACTGTGGGGTAATTGTTCTGGTCTATTGCTGCCAACTCATCAATCGTATACGCAAAGGGGGCGTTCTTGAGGTGTGATGTAAGAAACTCTTAAACTTTATTCTTCTTTGAGTGACTTTATATAATCAAGCGCGGCGAAAGAAAACAATAGTTTCCACGCACATTTTGACATGTTGACAAGTATGAATGCGCCATGCCAGAAAATAGAATAAGGGAGCGTTTTAATCCGCTGTGACTATACGTATAAGGTCAATTTGTAGGGCAACATGTCTCTGGATACGCTGTTGCGCCTGTAGAGGAATCTGATAATTAAAAAAAAAAACAAGGCAGAAAAAAAGAGTGGTCCCTAGCAGGATCGAACTGCTGATCTTGGCGTTATTAGCACCACGCCTTAACCAACTGGGCCAAGGGACCTGTTTCTGCGCAAGAAATTAAGTAGGTTTTACTGATTCGTTGGAAACGATTATGTGTAAGCCGCTCAATTGAAGATAATATTAAAGAAAGCTCAAGCTTGCATCCCTTCTGATTAACCAAATGGTTTGCTAATTTATTAGCGACACAAATCAGCCTGTTTCAGGTAACTTTTCGATTGATTGAGCTAACTCAATTGGATTTCATCGTACAAGAAATCTTCTACTGATTTGTTTACGTAGTTTTCATGCAAAATATATTGATGATAATTCGTTAATATAATGCATCGACATTATCGGAAAATAAGAAAGCTCCATGCACAACCAAGCAGAGCTAGGGGAGTTGAATTCATTGATGAAGCAAGTGGATGTATCATTTTCATAACATACCCAAGTGTACGTACCGATTAAAGCGCTCGCTCATTAAGCATCCACCATCTTAAAACCGCACTAAAGAGCACGCTGCGACATACAGTAGAGAAAGTTCTCAACTTTTCAGCTCATATTTAGAACTAAATTATTGCTCTCATGTTTCATCGTTGCAAAGTGTCTTAACCCGGTAGCGCAATCGCAGCATCTTCGGTTATTTTTCGAGAAGCCATCATCATCACATAGCAAGTAAGAGCTACTTTTCAACAAACGCTTTGGAAATGAAAATTTTGGTGGCGGCCGATGATACAGCTTCGGGGAAGTTAGTTGAGTGTAATAGAGGTACGGATACATCCAAACAAGTTGCTCCCCAACCTAAATCCATTGAAAATTGTTTCACAATACCAAAATTCAACTATAGCTCAAGAATAAAGCACTTGATTAATTACAATTACCGATACTTTATTGCTTCTAGAATTGATGGAACTGTATCGGTATACGACTATGAAGAGGACCCAAGTGCCGAGAAAACTTTAGCAGAGGATGAAAAAGACGAATTGGATACAAAAGCTGAGTTGTTTAAACATTTGCATGATTACAAGGTCCCCATCGCAGCCAGCGACAAGCCGATAGGGTTATTCAAGCTTGAAAAATTGGATAGCATTTTAATACCATACACCTCGGGTAGAACTTTCTTGATTTACGTGGGTGATTTTAAATTCGAGCCATTTGAAATAGAGTTGCCTAATGAAAGTCCCATCGAAGCATTTGCAGTTAATCCCGAACATGAAAATATTATCGCTTATGGGGGTAAAGAAGTAGATTTGAAAGTACTTGAATTGCATGATGAAAAGATCAACAGCTCAGTATTTAAAAAAGATTACAAAAAACATTTCAACCCGAAAGTTGTCTTTGCAGCCAAGAATGTCAAAAATGATCATTTAGACTTGAGGATTCCCATTTGGATTACCAACATTTTGTTTTTCAAGAATGACTCGAAAAATAATTATAAAGTGTTGACATCAACACACTACGGACACTTGAGAATTTACGATTCAACTCACGGGCGAAAACCAATGAAGAACTATCAAGTTTCACAAGATCCAATTTTGACATTAACATTTTCTGACGAGGGCCAAAAAGAGGTTATAATTACCGGGCCCAATAGCTTGATTGCCAAGTATTCCTTGACATTGATTGACGAAAAGGCCTTCAAAACCAACTCAGCTACAGCAGGCGAGATAGTGAAAGCAGTGCCAAAATTGCTAGGTAAATATACTGGTGGAAATACTGGTGCATCGTACGCAGTTGAGGTTCTTGAAAATGTTGTTGCTGTTGCTGGATTAGATAGGTATCTTCGAGTTTTTGATGTCGAAAGTCGCGAATTGTTAGCAAGGGTTTACCTCGGAGTCGAGGTTAGCTCGTTAATAGTATTGGACGATGAAGATGAAGAAGAGGAAGAGGTGAAACGCAAGAGAGAAGCTGAAGTGGAAGAAGACGAGGAATTGTGGAACCAATTGGACAAAGAAAAGAAGAAGCAAAAAACTTCTACCTAGATTTGCTAATTTCGTGCTCTATACTCCTACTGTCTGACCTATTGCTTGTGTTGATGACACTCATACACTTCCACTCACTTAAATAATTACATTTCCATAGTCTCAATTTCCCATCGTCACCAGCAGATGACAATATAGTGCCTGTCATATTCCAATTAACGCGCCAAACTTCACATTGATGATCATTCATCTTTGCTAGAGTTTCAATATTGAAGTCACCATTTGAAGTCTCTGTAGCTTTAAAAATCCTCACATAACCATCTTTACATCCAGTGGCAATCAAATGATAGCTCCTTCCCATGGATGGGGCCCAGCTCACTGATCTTATTAGACCATTGTGTTCCGGTAAGTCACAAACTTTCACATACTTTTCTTGATGTCCACCATCCTCTCCTGATTCTGTATCCTTGGGTGCGTTTGTATAAATAAAACCTTGATCCAATGCAACCACAATGAATTTCTCAGTTTTGGTGAATTTTGACGGACACCATTCAATGGCAAAACTACTCTGCAAGCTTTTTGCTGGGAGCAGCTGACTAAGTATCGGTATCTCTGTTGTGAGTGCCCAATTAGTCAAGTCATTGGGCTCCAATGATTCATAGACCCTGAAAATTCCATCACTTCCAATGCACCCCAATTTCAAACCCAAATGATTAGGAGCAAATTTGACGTCATATATTGGGCCATATGACTCTATGGCTAGTGTCGCTAACCTTGTCCACCTTCTACCAGATCCATGTAGCTCCATCGGCTGCTCCTCCCAAACTTTCACCGTCCTATCGTAAGAGCAAGAAGCCAATATTTTGGAGCTCGAGAACTCGGGATGGGCCCATGAAATCCTCAATATCAGTGAGTCATGAGCTCTCCACAGATCGTTCAAAATCCACGAAGTTGTAGCTGCATCAAAGTCAAATACTTTTATGTGTTGATCGGATGACGCTGTTGCTATATGTTTGCCATAGAAATCATATTTTATATCATGAATTAACTCTTCATGTCCTGTAACGAATGGCTGCATTGAAATTTCGTGAAGCGTGCACTTTTTTGGGGTGGATTCGCTTTCCTTTTTTTGAACTCAAATTTCTTTGTGTACATTTTGACCTTTTTTTTCCAATTCTTATGTTGATGTCAACTTTCCCCTAATCACGAATGCCCTCAAGATGGATTAAGTTGTCGCTCTTAGTGGGCGCGATTATGGCAATAGCTCCAAACAGCCCTGTGCGTACACTGATAGCTTTTGCCGTGATTGGATATGTGGTAACGGACCTGGTGATACCGAGAGTTGGTCCAAGCTTTGTGAAAATTGGTCTCAAAGGCAGAGACTTGTCAAAACGCCCACCTGTAGCAGAAATACCTGAAACAATGGGATTGGTTGCCGCAACCACTTATCTTTTCCTCATGTTTGGATTGATCCCTTTTGTGTTTTTCAAATACCTTGTTTCATTTGGTTCTTTGGCGAATGACGAAGTCATGACAGAAAACTACAGAACCCAATATGAGTCGATCAAGGACAACAAATTATTTCCACACAATAAGCTTGCAGAGTATCTAAGTGCCATATTGTGTTTACAGAGTACAACATTATTAGGATTATTGGACGACTTATTCGACATACGTTGGAGGCACAAGTTCTTTCTACCGGCAGTTGCATCTTTGCCATTGTTGATAGTGTATTATGTCGATTTTAGCGTTACATCGATCGTGGTTCCCTCGTTTGTAACAGACTTTCCTGGTGGTCCGCGTGTTCTAAGTTTTGTCAACAGTTTCATAAAATTTGCAAATCACTTGGTCACCAACATCACCGGATTATCATTCCAAACACTTCAAACAGATTATGTTGTACCCGATCAAGTCCCTAAATTGGTAGATTTGGGAATTTTTTATTACGTGTACATGTCTGCGGTGTCCATTTTTTCACCAAACTCAATCAACATTTTGGCAGGTGTCAATGGTTTGGAAGTGGGTCAGTCGATTGTTCTTGCATTGATATTCTTGATCAATGACTTTTGTTATTTATTTTCTAGCAACACCTCACAGGCAGCAAACGATTCACACTTATTTTCAGTCATTTTCATTGTCCCATTTGTGGGCGTATCAATAGCTCTTTTACAATACAATTGGTTCCCTGCTCGAGTTTTCGTTGGTGACACATACTGCTATTTTAGTGGTATGGTGTTTGCCATTGTGGGAATATTGGGACACTTTTCAAAAACTTTGATGTTATTTTTAATTCCTCAAGTTATCAATTTTATCTACTCAGTCCCACAATTATTCCATATCATTCCTTGTCCGAGACATCGCTTGCCTAGGTTTAATGCCGATGATGGACTTATGTACCCCAGCTTCGGAGAGCTAGAGAAACCGACCGCAAGAAGCGCCACCATTTTGACCATTCTAGAAGCAGTCAAATTCATCAAGCTTGAAAGAGATCCCACACTGGGTAGAATTATACGATTTTCAAATATGACAATCATAAATTTGAGTTTAGTTTGGTTTGGCCCAATGAGGGAGGACAAATTGTGTTTGCTTATTTTGGCTATTCAGTTTGCCCTCGGTCTTTTCATGATTGTATTTCGACACACAGTTGGTCCTTGGCTTTTCGGGTACGACAACTTGTCGTGGGGCGTCAAATAAAACATTTATAGAATTACAGAAGCTAAGAATAATATCGATAGTTACACTCTCCTTGCAAAAACTTTAATTTGTCGTGTACTGCTGAAAAGACACCATGACACAAAAATCTGAAAACTGGACTTTAAATATTTCTTTCAATTCACCACAGCACAGAACAACGAATACACCAACAACAATTAGTAAACATGGCAGGCCCACCACCACCACCCCCGCCACCTCCTCCGGGAGCACCAAATTTAAGTACGCCAGCCTCAGCACCACCCCCTGCTGCTGCTGCTATGCAACCTGGAAGGGATGCCTTGCTCGGTGATATTAGAAAGGGAGCAAAGTTGAAAAAAGCAGTGACGGTTGATAAATCAAAGCCAATGATTGATGGGAAACTGTCCATCACTACAAGTGCACCATCGCTGCTGGCACAGGGAAATGCTGTATCTGCTCCACCTCCATCCATTCCAACAGGTGCACCTCAATTGGGTGATATATTTGCCGGGGGAATGCCAAAATTGAAGCATGTCGATAATAGAGCAGGAATCACGCCTCAATCAGCTCCAAAAATACCAACCAAGACACCAGTTCCTCCCTCGGTCAGACCTTCAAAACAAGCAGGGTCTGCAGCGCCACCAATCCCAAGAAACAATCCACCGACACTGACAGCACCACCAATCTCCACGAGCGTACCACCGGCCCCTAAGGTTCCTCCTACTCGACCAAAGAAACCCAGTCATGTGAAAAACAGCTCCATTAGCTCGACAAACTCAATTGAATCAGCTTCCAAGCCTCCCCCATTACCTTCAGGACCTCCACCACTTCCCACAACAGCTCCACCAATTCCTACAAACTCGAAGCCTTCAAAGAAAACGGCACCATCAAATTCTATGCCCCCAGCACCGCCAGCACCACCAGCGCCACCAGCGCCACCAGCGCCACCATCTATGGCATCACCGACATCGTCAGCCTCATCAAACTCAGCCGCTCCTACAGCTCCTCCATTACCGGCGGGAGGCTTGCCTTTCTTAAGTGAAATCAATGCAAGAAGGGATGATAAGAACGTGATTGATAAGGCACCATCAGCCTCGGGCAACACACTGAGCAAACTAGGAACACCAAGCGCGCCACCTCGTCTACCAAATGCTGCTGCCCCTAAAGCACCACCGTTGCCACAAAGCTCTGCCCCTAAAGCACCACCGTTGCCACAAAGCTCTGCACCAAAGGCACCACCGTTGCCACAAAGCTCTGCACCAAAGGCACCACCGTTGCCACAAAGCTCTGCACCAAAGGCACCACCGTTGCCACAAAGCTCTGCACCAAAGGCACCACCGTTACCACAAAGCTCTGCACCAAAGGCACCACCGTTACCACAAAGCTCTGCACCGAAAGCTCCCCCGGTGCCATCCGCTGTCCCTGCACCACCTGCACCACCTCCTCCATCCTTAACACCAAAGACGCCCACTTCGAAGAGCTCTACAAAGTCAGCGTTTTCATCATCCGCACCTGCACCTGCGCCTCCAGCTGGGGGTGCTTTACCCTTTTTGGCTGAAATTAATGCAAAAAGAGACGATTCATTTGTGGTAGATGGTAGCCTGAAGTCACACACTACCCAACCAGAGTTCTCTACAGAAACATCGTCGCTGACGAAAGAAATTGGAAATGGGTCACAAAGCAATTTCGTGGGGAAATCCAAAAAATCCGCGCCATCTGCCCCACCCATACCAAACTCTAGTGTCCCTCCTATTCCAGGAATGTTGCCACTGCAGAGGAAACCAACTCAAATACCAACCCCACCAGCGCCATCCCAACAATCTTCGATTCCACCAACACCAAAAACCCCACCTGTTTCCCAAAAAGTAAAACCATTGATTCCACCAGTGTCAAATGATTCATCTTCACATGATGACACTAACAACAGTCAGACTTCCCCGCTGCGAGCTCCACCGCTACCAACAGGAGGTCCTCCACTGCTGCCACCACCACCACCTACGTCATCAGCACCCGCAATGCCAAAACTTAAGAAAGCTGCACCACCTCCACCGCCGCCTTCAGGATCCTCTCCGTCGTCATCTTCGACGGTTTCGAGGAGCAGGACGTCCTCGTCACAGCAGCAGCAGAACAACTATGAACTTGACTCCAAACAGCACGCTGGTTCATCATTGAGGAAGATATCAGCACTGGCTTATACTATAAATGGACACAGCAACAGTTCATCTTCAGGACAGAAAGTCGTTATTGATGACAAGAGGTTTAAATTTGTCAATGCCAACGCATTACCTAACCCTAGGCGATATGAAGGCGCAAAGAAGTTGTATCCCAGTGGAAGAGGTTCGTCAATCCCTTTAGACTTGAGTTTATATGATTGAGAGTATGAGGTATTCGCAATGTAAAACCATTCATTTTTCCATTATAGTTGTAAGCCATTTGTTATCTATCTCTATTCATTTATTGTGTCAGGCGACCATAGGTGAACAACTTTATCATAAAATGAACAAGTTGCAACGTAGTTCCCATCAAATGACCAATCACCACCATAGCACATACTTTCATGATCTCCTTTGAAATATCTATCTACTGAAAAGTCAGCACCTCTAGTATTTATGATTCTTGCACCATCGTACATACAGCAACTCAAAACTCGATTATCATTTGCAACGTGACTTGGAATCAACCTCCAAACACCACCATTGAGATTCTCTTCGTGCAATTTCTTTGGAATATACCCCTCAATCAACCTCGGATTTGTTTCATCAATACATCGTAAATCCCATACCCGTAAATGATCATCATAAGATCCAGTCCAGAGTAAGTTGCCACTTGTCGAGCTCCATTGCTTCGATGGTGACAAGATACTAACTATGCCAGCATTGTGTCCACGTGACAATGTCCATATTGGTTGAGATGCTCGTAGATCATGAGCAATCAATTGAGAGTCATCGCCACCGGTGTATACGACGTGTTGCAATTGACCCAATTCTCCAAACGAACCAGTCCAACATTCCAAACTATGTTGAGCTTCAAGAACTGTTGTTGTGTGTGAGATCAAGTCATGTATGCCCAGGTATCCACTTGTCAATGTGACTAGTACTTGGTTTGAATTGTTCGGATTATAGAATACTGATGTAATGCAATTCGACTCATCGTCATCTATCGTAACTTCATTGACAATAGTGATCTCGTCATTATCTTGACCGACTTTCCATATTATTAGCTGACCATTTGAATGAGCTGATAACAATTGAGAAGAATCTTGAGGATTGAATTTTATGTCAAGTATAGCTGATTTTGTAGGAACTGACGTCAACAATGCCAACGATGAATCCTGGGCATCATATCTGTACACATCTAGTGATCCATGTTTGATTCCACTCTTTTCCTCCAACTTGTATGTCCCGATATAAATCCTGCTAGTGTCATTAGGATGAATTCTTAAACAGCATGGCGGTAGCCCCGTAACTATTTTTGCTAATATAGAATTAGTTGCAACCATTTCGAAGAAAAGAGTAGATAGTGGGAGTCAAATCAAGAAAGAGAAAAAAAAAAAAGAACAAAATACATTGCACTGAAATCTGGAGAGGAATTGAGTAACCCCCGTCAACATCTTCACCCTCCACAATAGTCATGGGCTTGTACCAGAAATGGATGAGCTTACCAGTGAAAGCTCGTTATTATGTCGGATTTTCTACCATTGTTATGGCTGTAATTGGTGATTATGTTACAACGAGAATAAATGACGAGGTTAAAGCTCGTGATTCGATCATTGCTCAAATGGAGTACGATAGTCAACAAAAGAAGAACTGAACAAATGGGAAAAGATGCAGTGGTGTTGTATCATAATAGACCAGATGAAGAGACAACAGGAACTGAGTCAATTTACTTTGCGCTTTATCGCAACAGTAGAACAGGGTCAATGGAGTACCAATGTGCTAGTCACGGAGTATAAGGATCATCATGTAAATAGGCGTACTTTTTTTCCTTTCAATTAAAGCATCTATTCAACTAAATTAATATACAAATTCATCTCCTCTTCTTTTTGACACTGTCTTTTGCAAACATCTTCACCACTTAATACTTTAACAATCCCTTTTGCACAAATCCTTTTCTGAGATTACTAATAAATTCCAAGAATTTAGCTGGATTTGAATCAATGCCTCTTGAGTAAACAAAGTGTGATGCCAAATAAGTTGCAAAAATAGCCTTCAAATAAGCTTGTGGAACTCTGGCTAACACATTTTCAATACCAACAGTGGATAAAAGCAATGGAGGCAATGAGTCTAACAACACAGCGTTTCTGAAATCAACATCATCGTCCCAGAGTTCTTTTGAGTTGGCTAATTCATCACCCAATTTGTTAATAGCAAGCGATAACTTGTCAGACAAGATGGTGAATGGTATACCAGTTTCAGCCTTCAATTTCCACAATGCTTCAAATTCGGAATTGGCATTGGCAACAATCTTGTTCTGAACATCTTTGACATATTTTTGATAAAATTGTGGCTTTTCACCAGTTTTTGTATCAACACACATATTCTCCAAGAATCCTTTATCATCAAAAGCCAAAGCTGCCAAAACTTCTAATGAAGAAGACGTAACACCACCTTTGTTTGTAGATGCATCCTTAAAAATAATTGTGCCTGCTTTTTCCAAAACCAATTTAGCTGATTGAGTAATGAATAAATTAGCTCCTTCAACAAAGTAAGGGATAATCGATTTACCTGTCTTTTCGTCAATCAATTCATGAACATTGTTGGTATCAATAGCAGCTGGTCTACCACCACATGGAACAAAAAGATCAACTCCATTGGTTCCAAATTGTTCCTTCAACTTCAAATGGAAAGTGTTTCTAAAAGCAACTCCACTGGTAACAACTTGTCCGCTAGGCAAGGTTACATCGAAATCATCAACAAGAACAATATAACCTTGCGGTGACAACTTGGAACGGTCATAATGATCAATCATCTTTCTGGATTTAGCTAAACGAATCAATTCTTGTTTATCCAAACCATTAGGGTCGGCAATAACACCCGATCCATCAACAATTCCAACGTAGATTTCGTCTCTTGATAACAAAATCTCATTGGAACCCAAATCACCATCGGGTCCACCGGTTTGAAACTTGCGAATCTTGGAGTTGTCGATATTCAATTTTTCATAAATCTTGTTGACATAAGCTCTAACTGACAATGTAGTCATTCCATATTCATCATGAGGAATACCACCAATTGCTTCTGATTTACCAGTCAAGAATGACTTCCACCATGGTGCACCTCTTTCTCTGGCATGTAAAGTGGCCCAATCAACATATCCTGCAGTCCCTTCATCAGGTCCCAAAAACAAAATTTCGGGCTTGTTATACAAGTCGACATAATTGTCCTTCACACCAGGAATATGCTGCTTCAAAAGTAAATCAATTAAAGCATCAATATACTTTTCAAAACTTGCTTGGGCGCGATCTTGTGCTGAACCTGAATCCAACAAAATAACACCTTTGGATCCACCTTCAGGAATATCTTTATTCTTGCGTTGTTGTGTGTTTGCCAAATTATAGTTTTCATCAAAAAGATTTCTGGCATTAACATTATAAGCATCCAAATTTCTTGACCTCACAATTCTAATACCACCTCTGGCAATATCTCTGAATCTAATGTGGAAACCTCTGAAATCAGAACCAACAACGAAAAACATACCATATGGACGTTCAGGATATTCAGTTTCTGGTAAGAATGAAGGGTCTAATCTGAATGACAAGGCAACCTTTGTTGAAGTGTAAAAATTTGTCTTCAAGATTGACTTGTTGAAAGTATACAAAGCTCTCAAGACAATGGCATGATGTTCATTTTGAGAACATTCTCTACTAAGCAATTGTTCAAATTCTTCTTCGGAGCCAACTGGTTGTATTTGCGATAATCTTTGATAAGATAAAGTCTTTTCCATTGAGGATCTAATGTAATGAACATCAGCAAATTGACGATACAATTTACGAACAATTTCGCTTCTGACGTCGAACACTTCCTTGATGTAGTCTTGAGTGTACGTCTCTGACCTCAATCTCTTTTTCAAACTGCTCAACACTTCTGCATGTTCAGTTGATTTCGAAGGATCCAATAATGAAGATAATTTTTTGTACTCTGGTCCTAAACGATTCAAGAAGTGAGTTACGAAAATAACTCCAGATTGAGCATAAATTGATTCTTGTAATGACAAATCACCTTGAATGAATCTGGTGTGGAAAAAATTGTGAGGAATACAGTACAACAAAGAAGCTTCTTTAATCACTTGATAGATCGACAAGTCAACTGCTGATCTCAGTCTTGAAGTGACATACATTGATGTGATCGTAACTCCATTCGCAAATTGTTCCACATATTTTCTAGTAGTTTGCAATTTGTAATAATTGGCCAAGTCACTCAATGCTGAATTGTATCTTGCTGCTGTGCTTTGTCTATAACCAATAATTACACGATACTCATCAGAATTTTCAATTTGGAAATGTTTGATGATTGGACCAGTTGACTTGATGACTTCCTTGTTGATGCTTTCATACAAGGATTTAGTATTTTGTGATGCAATTTTCAAAAAAGTCTCATCACCAATCTTGTCCAAGTCCAATTCATCAGTGGCAACTTTTTCATTTTTGAATTGATTCTTGTAAACAAAAACCAATCTAACAATTTGTTCACCGAGATTCTTATTTTGAGCATAGATACCATTCAAAATTGGGTCAGTTTGATAATTCAATGGAGCAGCAAAATATTCAGCACGATAACTCTTGTTTGCAGCATCACTAGGGTCGATGTACTTGTCATCAATTAAACTTTCAAATGGGTTTCTAGCATAATCCAAAGCATCAACTGTGTCAAAAAACACAGCATGATCTTCAGCTTCTCTTTTGTAAGAAATCAATGGTTGTTCACCAGCATTGGCATAAGCTTGAACTTTACACGAGTACAAGGCATGAATATGACCAGCAATTTCTTCAGGCGTCAGTCTGGCGAAAAAAACATCATCAATGCCCAAAGATTCATAAAACCATTTGGCTTCGGATTCCAACAAGGATTCAGGAATAAACCCAGTAGAATCAAGAGCATCCAAAACTTGATCAAATTGGTCCTTTTTTCCACTAAATGGGCTATCAATGTAGTCGTGTTTTAGGCTCACTGCTGATGAGTTGTTGGAAGTGGAGTTTGATTTGTAGATGTTAAGGTTAGCAACACCTTGTTCGAGACTAGTCATTTTGTATGAGATTGCAGAATGTGTTGTCGGAGTAGATGCTTCAGAAATGTTGAAATTTTGCAACTGAAAATCCGGGGAAATATTTTTCACTATTTATAGTTGAGTTTTGTAGTTTTTATTGGCGGGGGAACAGTAGGCAGTTGTTGGAAGTTTTTAGGCGTTTATACAAAAAAAAAAGCCTAATGTGGTGTGTCTGTGTGTCTGTGTATGTGGCATTTTTCTGTTTAATGTTTAAATAAAAGGGAGGGGTAGTGTACATAATACTGTGGAGTGTGTAATAATGTATTAATGTAGTGTCTAATTGCACAAAAAACGTTTCAATAAAGTTTCTTCAATTTCTTTTTTTTTTCCCTCTTCTCTTTCAAGTTTCGTGTGTCAAAAATGCTCTGTGAGTGGGGAGTAGTAGGTATTTGGTTGTAAAAGAGTCGATGTCACCATATGTGTTCATAGGCTACCCAGAACCACCGAGATAATCAAGTATTGAAAACCTTATGGTAGATGATGTAGCCACACTGTCAAGAAGCGAGATTGAGTTTATGGTTTTGTAACAAGGGTTGGCAAATAGCCTGCAAGTGTCTGTATGTATGGAATCACTCAAAATGTGGTCTGCTGCCAGCGCACAGTCAATGTGTCAATATGTAAAGTCATGTAGTGGCAAATAACCTTAGTAGTGGTGGCTCTGCTGCTTATTGTCGAGGTATGCTAGGAGCAAAACGACTGGCTTGTAGATTGGTGTGTGTGTATGTGTGTGTGCTACTTTCATTTGGTTGCAAAGTAATTGGTTTGACCTTCGGAGATTTTTGATTTTTTTTTCTGTCTGTCCATTTGTCTGTCTGTACTTTCTTTTGTTCTGTGTCTGAATCTGTGTTTGCAATGTATGAGTTTTGGTCATTGTGCATTGAAACCAATTCGGGTATCGTCAAGCGAGCATTTACTTTTCTCGCTTTTTGTTATTGGTGCCAAATGGCCCCTACAGACTAAGAACACAGCTACTTAAAAAAACTGTGGCTACAAAGCTTTAGCTACGGCCGTAATCAAATAATTGTATTTTTCTCTCTATGGCTGAACTCAAAGAACGGCGTATAGAGTTTCAAATGACGAATTGTGGAGAGACAAATTGTCACGCAAAGATCCAAAAAAAAAGAATAGCTGCACTATGTTTTTTTTTTTCAATTCTGCAACATGCCAAACAAAGCACTGCTTTTGTTTAAAAGCTTTGGTTCATCATCATTGTTGTTGTCGTTGTTGCATTTTTGTGAATTTTGGTTTACATAGAAAATGCCTTTTAGCCAAGCTAAATGTAAGAGGAGGGGTATGGAGTGAAAAAGAGATACAGAAAGAAGAGTAAAGGTGGTGGTTGGTGGGGGTTGGCTTTCCTACATCCCAAAAATCCAAACTCAAACTCAACATCTTCTTATAGCAAAACTGGCAATTTAGTCTTTGCATGGTATTGTTTCTCTAATGTTTTTGATGTTGCAGATATTTCGTCCTAATAATTTCTTGGTATTTGTTCCGGAGCTTCGGAGTTGAGGGTGCCCTTACAATAAATGCCACACTGCTGAGCTGGCTTTATTTGTCTTTCACTAAAATGAAAAAAAAGGGTAAACACTGTGGATGGACGCTTTATAACAAAAGAAATGGCATTGACAATGTCCATTCCTTTGTGGGGCATCAAGCGAATAACCATTTAACGCCGTCTATGCAAATTTGCCAATTTGAAAAAGAAGAAAAGCACACCGACAAAAAAAAAAATAAAAACAAACATACTCCGGAGATTGAACTCCGAACAATTTCAACTTTAGTCATTCCTTTTATAACTTTTTCTATAAACGAAAACATATACTAAACTCAATAATGTTTTACTAAATGACCTTTCTCTTTTCATTGATGGGAAACCATTTACGCTAATAATTCCGTCAACTTACATTAGATATTTCCCTGTTGTTACGGAATTTTCAGCCACAATTTTGAAAAATGTAACAAAAGAAAAAGAAAAGATGAAAAATGATTTCTTCAATTCTGGGGTGTGGCATTCTAGACATTCAAATTATACCGAACATTAACACAAAACCAAAATAATTCCCCCGGTGTGAATGACACACTTTATTCAATGTCTTAACCGCTAACTATTCTTTTAGGAAGTAGCCCATGTTTTTGATCATGACGTGCCCTGATTGTCAACTGGTAGAACATACTATTTTTGTTTGTGTACATCTCTGTAGGTTGATACCTGCTTTACCGAATTGCTCTATACAAAATCATCACTTTCCCTCTAGAAAGGCTTCATTTATCAACAACAACAAAGGGCCACCCCCTTTACATGAGTTAGGTTGGTATTATTATCGTTCATTTATCACCAACTTCTCTTCAATAAACATCCATACAAACTTGCTCTTGTCTTAAGCTAGCAGGAATTCGAGAGTTTTGTCACTGGCTTCGTCTTCGGTTGGTTTCGTTCTTGACAAGCTGCGACGTCTGGCAATTGATACCTGACCCAAGCTTAGAAACCAAAACTACACGCTTAATTGGTCGTTGTTCAGAGCTTACCCATCAATACTGTCTTCCGTAGATGATCGTGACTATTCCTTTAAAATTTACGTTTGACAACGAATACACACCATTGTGATCGGCTGCGAAAAAATTAATAGTAGAGAATCTTCGCTTAATGCTACCTACTTGAAAACCAAAAAAATAAAAGAAAAGGCGCTTTTCTCTTTTTAATAATTCAAAGCAAAAAGAAAGAAAAACAACACACAATGAACTAAGGAAAAAGAAATAATTTTTCAAAAAAGAAGTCCACGCGGCTAATTGCCGCTAAATATAATAAAGTAATTTTGCATCCAAAAAGAAAATACCTTAGTGGGTCTAGAACAATTCAAAAAGGAGTAACCATGAACAGTGTACGTTTCCCACCTTATCTTATGCCCCCGTTACTCCTTACATGAACTTTCTCGTTTTCTTTTGTAACCCCCCACGACCTTTCATCAATGGTAAACCATCACCATCACTAATACTACCCAATCCTTTACTACTCTTGGCGCTGTTCTTACTACCATTTCTAACCATATGTTGTATTGGTGCCACTGAACGTGATGGTATAGTGTTCATATTGTGATTAGAATCCTGACCAAATGAGTAGTTACCAGAACTACTTGAACTATTTTGTCTCTGTATTATGGGGATGGGCACACTTCCACTTGTTGTTGATAATGATAATGATGATGATGTTGATGCCATTTGATTGCGCGTTCGCTCTTCCAATAGAGCTTGATACTTGTGAATGACAGCTTGTAATTCAGTGATTTTCTTGTCGTACGGTGAAGTTAACGATGTCAATGTTTCTGAAAGTGAAAGTTTAGTTTTTGCCAATTTGGTTTCGTATTGTGACATCGTTGAATTATATCGAAGTTGCAAATCTTTGTTTTCTTGGGTTAATTGGGCCAATTGTTGGGTTAGTATTTGATTCTCCACCTTGATATTGTAAATTTGATCTTCCAAAGATTTTTGAATTGTAGTATCTTCAGTAAGATCAGGGATAATTGGCTGCTGAGATTGATTTTCTTTGAGTTCTTGCCCAGCTAGTTCAGTCAATTTTAGCTTCAACTTTAATTGCTCAATCTCATAATCCTTGTTTGGAATTACGATCTTGACCAACTCATCATATTCCTTGTGATTAGTCTTTGTTGATTGTTGTAGTTCCAATAGCTTTTCATTGAGCTCGCGTTTTACAGACTCGAGTTGTTCAATTTTAGTAGTTAGCAAATCAAATTGACAATCAAACTCACATTGCTTCTCACTCCTTTCCTGCTTGATAGCGTTCATTACCTTGGTAAATTCATCTGCCTCATCACGTGATATCAAATCATCATACAGAGTATCTTCTCCTTGATTCCTTCCCTCTTTCATCTTCAAGTAATGAAATTTGTTCAAATGTTTCAAATAACTGGAAAATTCCAATTCATTTTTGAACAAAAGTAATTCTCGTTGATAAAAGTCAATAATTGATCCATCGCCATTCAATTTATTTAAGCTGGTTTGAGAAGGATCATTGCTCGGGTTATGCAATGTACTTGCATCATCTTTTGCTCCAGCAGCAGCAACACTCTTGGGCAATGTATTACCATATTCAAACACGCTTGGGGGTTCCAAATTTGTCGCTGATAAAGACATTGGGCGACCTAATCGAGTTTCTTGTTTCAATTTTTCATTGGTATGATCAGCGACAGAAGTTATGGGATCAATGGAACCAGTTCTGCCTGTAAAGTTGTTGTGATGGTATAATTTGTCATGTTTCACTGTGGTGAAAAGTCGTTCATGGTCGTATAACAAATCGCTGACGAGATCACGTTGATCTTGTTTAGGTGAGGATGGACAGGTGATCCCAGATGTATCAAAGACCTGCAGCAGGTCACGATTAGTGAACCCAAATTCTTTAAACTTCACCTCTTCTGTCCCTTGAGTTTCGTTGTTGTCCAAAACTAAATGTGTTGGAACAATTGACACTTTTCTATCTTGTAAGGCACTCGACTTCATAATTTGCTTTGTTGGGCCATTTGCTTGAAAATACATTGGACCAGCCAACGAAGATGATTGAGATAGTGTACCTCCTCCAATCGAGGCAGCATAAGAGCTTTGAACGGGCGTAGTTGCCTCGTTTTCCTTTATGAATATACCTGGATTCAAGCTTAAACACGCCACAGCAATTTCTTCCAGAGAAGCTGTGTCAGGTAGCCAACTGGTTGAACTTTTCAATTCTTTTACTTCATCATTTTCCATGCAGTACTTGGGATGAACAAGAAACCCCCCTAGTATCTGCTTTGTGATTGTCGCTGCTCTCAAAATCGGAGATGTCTTATCAGGCACCTCTAAGCTCCATTGTTTTAACCGTTCTGATGAAAAATCTGATGGTACGTGTTTAGCTAAGTAATCGAGAGGATCCCGAATAAAGGCGCCAAAATTGAAATAAAACAACCCATAAATAAAGGTGCACAAGTATTGAAAATTGAACCTTACGTCATTACCTGACTCCATTGCATAGGGCAACGCAATTTTCCAGGATCGGAGATCTAAACTTGACTCGGATGCGAAGGTATTAATGTTCCTCGGTACCGTTATTTGGTTCCAAGTTAGTATCCGCACATACACCAACAAAATATCCGACAAATAGTTGCCCAAATTATCAGCGGATTTTGGTATCAAAATGAATAAGTCATTCAATGCGCAATGCACTATTGCAGGGTCCAAGTCATAGAGGAGACATTTGAGCAAACTTTTGAAGAGGTCACTGTCAACAATACGGGCACCGCTTTTGACATCTGCACCAACCAAGTACCCTAGTAATACAATCGCTTCATGCCGAAACTTGACGTGTTGAATGTACTTGTTTAGCAAATGGCAATACGAATCAGTGTGTTTTAGCCCATACTCTAGCAACAATTTTGTACAATTGGACCGAATAAATCGTATTCTTTCATGATATGCTTGACTTTCTCTTTGCTCGTCTGTGACATTCAACTTCATTGTAGCTATCAAAGTATCTTCTCTCATGTAAATATCTAGTAGCTGTTGCGCTAATGAAGATGAAGCTCTTGCATGCAAATTGGTAAGAATTTCACATTTCGTTTCTGAATAACTCACCAACACCTTGTCAATAAATGTTCTCGAGTTTTCCACAAACGCCAAATCATAACCAGCGCTATCAATTGCTGACTTCAAATATGTCAGAATCCATAAGTGGAGTTCATTTTCACCAAACACATCACACACTTTAGTCAATACAGTGAGAAATTTGTTTTCCAAATCCAACTTATGTGATGACTTGATGTGTCCATTATATAGTCGGTAAAGCTCCTCGTGTATATTGTAACTACTTTGCTTTATTGCAGTGTAGTTATTGTGTTTGGCGAGGTACTCCTCAATCGTGGTAGTTAAGTCGGTATCTACTGATTTGGGCAGCCCCTTGTTGGCAAACACAGCTTCCAATGCTCGTACGAGAGACTTTGATGATCCCAGCATCACTTGGGGGTGGCAAGTTATTGATAGATGGTAATATTTCCTTGCCTTGAACTGTAAATGCTTGATTAATTCTTTTTTTCTACATACTCATTAACTGAAGATGACTCAAGATTAGCCCGATATGCATACACAAAGGGAAAATTAAATTAAATTAAATTATCTTTTTCTTTTTTTCTTTCTCGAAAGGCCTCACCAAAAATTGGACCCTTACCCAAACAGCTGAGTTGTACCACTTTGCAAGTACGATGTCGTCGTTTTTGAGTGTGATTGAAGAAGTTGACTCATTCAAGAAAACAGATGCGTTTTATACTTTTTTAGACCATGAGGGCCGTACTGCGCTTGGATACATTGATCCCAACGTTGTCGAATTACTTCAATCAGAACCAACGTTCGTCACTAATCATGAAACCAAAACAATTGCAATCGACTCCCAATTCGACACACTTAAAAAAAGAAACGAAATGTTTGCTGAGGTTGCCAATCGGTGGAGAGTTTTACCCGAATTGGATGAGATTCTCAATAAAGGATGGAGAAATGAATTGTATGTTGTTTACAATCCTTCAAAGACCCCATACGCATATATGGAAAGAGCATTTTCTGTACTTTTTGGAGTAGTGACATACGGTGTTCATATAAACGGATATGTGCCACCTGAACTATCTTCAAATGGTAAATTGAAACTATACATCCCCAGAAGATCCAAAAATAAATCAACCTTCCCTGGTATGTTGGACAATACAGTTGCCGGTGGTATAGGATACCCTCATGGATTGGAAACAACAATTATAAAAGAATGCTTTGAAGAAGCAGGTCTTGAGGAAGACTTTGTTCGAAAGAATATTAAAAACACTGGTGTTCTTACTTACATCTACTTGACCGATGACGGACGAGCAGAACCCGAAGTGGAATATATCTGTGATATAATCATCAAAGAAGACGAAGCTCATTTGATCAGCCCACAAGATGGCGAAGCTGAAGATTTCAAACTCATGGATATAGATGAAGTATTGAAACATGTGGAAAACCGAGCTTTTAAGCCAAATTGTGGATTAGTGATTGTCGATTTTTTAATTAGACATGGGTATATAACTGCTGAGAGTGAGCCTGATTATTTGGAGATTGTTTCGAGGTGTCATGTGAAATTGCCATTCCCCACTAGATAGAAGATTAAAGGAAACAAGTTTTATAGAAATAGAATGACTTGCCTCGGATTTACAGTGCAAACATACTTAATAAATTTTTCTCCGAACCACTGGACCATTGTAAAAGTGAATACCAGCAATTCATGGAGAGCTCCTACCATCTACAATTGAGCCCAATTGCTAACTTTAGCGATGCATTGTGGCGAATACACACTTTCCACTTTGTATGAGATTTTATCTCCAAACATGACTTTCCTTAAAATAATGAAAATAGGCTTTCAGCGCACCAGAGAAAACTTTGTATCCGATAACACATACATACTACTCAACAAATATCACCATGTCATTACCACATGATGCTATTCTCGATATGCTCAATCAAGTAGAGCAGGATGAATCCAACCCCAATGAAGAACTAATCTTGATGATTAGAGACAAACTTCTCGAAACTAAAGACGAATCAAATATTGTTTTGCTAGCCCAATTCAGTAAGTCCTTGTACACGGTAAAGAGGTCACAATTACTAATCCCAGCACTCGATTTGTATCAAGCAGAGAAGCCACTAGGGCCAGGAAATACGAAACAATTATCTTTGGAAACATTGCTTTCCTACTACAAGTATACCTTTTTCAACTTGGTTAATATCCTCACTGAAAATCCAACCGAAGCTGTAAAAACGCAAGCCAAATTATTTGGTCAGGTATACAATAACATTAATATAGATGAGGAATTTGTGGAGGAACAGTCGCTTTATGCATTGTTGGCAAAGAACATAGAGGATTTGTGCAACGATAAGAGAATTCCAAATCGAATTTCCAATGAAATCAAGACGAATATCAAGAATCAGAATACATTTGTGGCATTGAAGCATCTCTTTGAAAGCTCTGGGATCAACAGGATACCCATATCATCCATAAGGGGCATGTTTGGAATTGAGGACGTTGCCGCGGTCTTTGCAGGTCAAGAATCGCTCAATTGGGAAATAACGGATGACGTGTTAATTATGAGCAGGAAACTAAAGGAAATGAGCATTGACCAAATGGTCAAAGCTCAATTAGAGACAACTCGGTTGACCCAAAGGCTCAGAGATACAATGTAAACAGGGTATAGTGTTGCAATCTCTACATGGGTTGATTCCTACGCAAGCCTAGCTCGCCAATTCACTGCTGACATGTAAGCGCCACATTTGAGCCTCTGTATCATGTTCAGATCGCTTGTGAAGGGTATGTATAATGCAAAAACGTGATAAAAATTTTTGCCGTATATTGTTTTTAAAAACAACCAACTTGTTGTATACCCAAATGAGTGAGTGTAAGGTGACAAATAATTATCTACGGTAAGTGGTGATGCTAACTGTTAATGCAGAGGAAACTTTTAAATCGTGTTTGAGTAATACAACAATTAGGTCCTACCGACTGAAGGTGTATTGTAGGTATCTAGCTAAACTTATCTAAAACTAAAGACTACACAATTCTCAGTTGCATTCCAAGAGAAATTCCAAATCCTTTTTGTATTTAGATATCCCTTAAGTAAATCAAAGAGCACAATTCCGGTCTTTCTTGTCACTCCAGTGAAAAGCCAACCAAACCCAATCTCCAATTCCTTCTTTAGGATAAACTGCTAGCTGGTATATACAGACGTTCGTTCGTTATTTCCTACTCTAGTTAGTAATCCATAATCGGTAACTCTATAGAGCTTCATTAGTCTGGATGATAAACACTAACAATCCTTCCTACTTTACCTTTTAGCTCCTTTTAGTAATAACGGAGTTCCATTGCTGAACATCAGGTGTTTATTTGCTTGTTGTAAATTCTATCGTCTGATCAACTAGTGGGCGACTATGGGAGTTGCTGAACCGCCGTGATAGGGGGTTGGCTAAATTTGACCAAGTATCAATGCTTTAAATTTAATCTCAAGAAACACGTAATCAAGATCATGTAACAAGAAAGTCCATATTCCCAACTCATCCTCAAATTCACCTTTTAGCATAGTGGTGACAAGCTTCTGTAGTTTAGTTGGTTAGAACATTTGTCTCATATTGCTAACGACATGAGTCATCAGAAGATCGTGAGTTCGAACCTCACTAGAAGCATTTCTTTTTGCAATTTCCTAATGCTCACGGAAGATGAATGGATGTGAAGAAAGAGCTTATCGATTAGATGATAATGTGCAGTAAGTCACCAATAAAAAGAAACATACGGACTTGTTCAATTTTGTGGTCCTGTAATACGAACTGTGGCTTTGATTGATTTTTTTTTTTTTTTTTTTTAACTTTGTGAGAATCGCAACTCCAATCATAACAGGACACACTTACCCCAGATCAATGCATATATCATCACTTTTCAACTTTCAAGTGTTCTTGACTGGTTTCAATAATATCCCACCGCCTGAAATATATCGACCAGTGGTGCTTTGGCATGGTCTTGGTGACAATTATAACGGGTCTGGAATTCATAGTGTCAATGATTTAATTAGTGGCTTATATCCAGGCATCTTTTTCCATTCAATATACATAGACGAGGATCCTTCAGGAGATCAACAGAAGCTGTTATTTGGAGACGCAAACAAACAGGTGGATCAAGTATGCGATCAGTTAAAGAGTATTAAACAATTGGCAAGTGCCGAAGGTATTGATGCAATAGGATTTTCACAAGGAGGTGTTTTATTGCGTGGTTTGATTGAAAGATGTCCACATTTGTCATTTCATAACTTGATTACTTTTGGCAGCCCGCATATGGGTGTAATGGAAATGCCATTATGTAAAGATCCAAGAGATTGGATTTGTAAAAGAAGAAACGAGCTTTTGAAGAAACAAGTGTGGAATGATAATGTACAGAGGAAAGTACTACCTGCTCAATATTTTAGAGACCCCTTTGAATATGAAAAGTATTTGAAGCATTCATTCTACTTGGCCGATATAAATAATGAAAGAAATGAGAAAAATGCATCATATTTTACGAATTTGACCAAGCTTAACAAGTTGGCATTGGTCACTTTCACTGAAGATACCACCGTCGTTCCCAAAGAAAGTGCAATGTTTTGTGACATTGATACCAATTGGAAACAAACCATACCATTCGATAAAACCAATTTGTATGTTGAAGATTACATTGGGATCAAACGTCTTCACGAGTTGGGTAAAATTGATTTTCATTTCATAGAGGCGGCGCATATGGCAATCAGTGATGAATTTGTAGAGGAAATAGCTTTGAAATATTTAGGTAACACATAGAGAATACCAAAATCTAGATTACAACAACCTTTCACTCAACAAGAACGTCACTCCCAAAGAGCCCTTGAAACTCTTTTAAGACGTTCTCATTGACTTCACTGCTTTGGGAGTCACTTTTACAAAACTGCACAATTGAATCAGTGGAAATGGTACTAAAACGTGGTTTGTCAAGTGAGATTGGCTCTTTCATAGGATCGTGCTCATCCCTTGGAGGATCCTCAAGATCACGCTCTGCAACCTCTTTTGAGTCTTCCGGCAAATTAGAGAAGTTGTATTTTGCAGCAAGTTTCTTGACGTCACATTCCGCAACAACCACTCCTTTCTGGCCCCTTATTTCACTCATTTTAATTTCTGCTTTCATTTCAGGATGAAGCATGGCAATATTCTCTTTCTTCGACTCAACTCTTTCAGGCGACGGACAATTGGTCAACTCCGGCATCTCTTGCAAGCTGTATTTTATCTTTTTCCTTTCCAAAACATTGTTTGCTTCTGCATCATCAGAATCACCGGAATGCACATCGAAGATTGATCTTTTCCTTTTCACTCTCTTTTTGGAACGACTTTGATTTACATCTTTTTTAGGATTCACGGCAACGGCTTTACTGGATGAGCTGGGCAGCCAAGAAGTGCCCGAATTCTCTACCTCGTTATCATCAGTTTTTGCTCCACCTACTTTTTTGATCTGATCAGGATTCGCTTTATCCTTTCCGATAGCAAATATATCGCTCAAAGACGTAGATGATGACGAGAACTCAAAATTGGGATCTATGTCCAAAACGGGCTCTTTAACTCCTCCAGCATTAGCTTTTCCAAGAACTCCGCACATAATACTGGCCTCAACTTCAACGGGTTGACCACCATATGTAATTGAAAATCCACCATCGACATAGTTTTTCAAAACAGTTCTTCTAAAGTCAACAAGTTTACCACCACTCGAACTTATCACTTGCAAATACAAAGTTTCGTTTTTGAAATTTTTCGTGATAGGCTCAATTCTTATATTTATTTGCACTTCTGATCCAATCAAATGCGCTTCAACATCAATTTTAGGTATTAAAGACAATACCCTTTTCAACTTTGCACCAGCTCCAACTTTGAGACCTAAAAACAGCTCAAGTTGAGTCTGTGACAATGCCTTAGCATCCATCAATGTGAGTACATTATGGTTTATCAATTTTTTGATGCTTTGGATACCAATTGTATCTAGTTGTTTAAGCTCATTGGGGGAGCCTTCCCACCCCTTTGCAGTAATAGAACGCATTACGTACCCCAGGTTTATCAATGACTTTGCATCTTTTTTCTCAACGAAAACATCCATCATTGCCTTGAGTATCCGTGAAACGTGTTTAAACACAAAAAATTTGTCACCCAAGAAGCTTGATTGCAACTTTTGAGCACCATTATAATTTGGGAATTCTAGCCCACCTAGTTCATACTGGATAATAGTAGTCACCTTCGACTCTGATGGATATCGCATCAAGGGAGATTTGTTCAACTCTTTGTACAACCTTTTTTCCTGATGTTTAATCTTGACATCACAAAACTCAGTAGCTTGGGCAAAAATTTCAAACACTTCGAAAATAGTGAGCTTTTCATTTGCATGCAAGATAGCTTTCATAGTATCGAGTTTGATGTAATGCATGGTCATGGAAAGTCCAAACTTGGTACATTTGAAATCACGAATAAGATCCTCTTGATTCAACTCCTCTGTTTTGTTCATACAAAACTTAAGTAAGTTTTCTTCCGTGGTCGTTGGTTTTGGAATATCATAATACAGGGGGTTAATTAGGAAGCGAACATAAAAGTAAGTGGTTTTCAACCAGCTGAGAGCATCATCAATTGAGTTAATATTACCAACGGCAATTTCTGCCAAAAGGTTTTCGGGAAAGTTCATGTGCAAAGAGCTTTCGATTTTTTCAGTGCCCATAATTATCCTTTCATATTTTGATTTTAACTTGCTAGTCGTCATAATGATCGCTACTCCCTCTTCTTCAAATTGAGGTCTCCCCGCTCTCCCGATCATTTGCAAGATGTCAGTTTCTGAATACTCCTGAAACGTACTCTCACACCAACATTTTGTTCCTTTTACAACAACCAAGTATGCAGGTAGATTTATTCCGACTGCAAGCGTCGATGTACAACATAGATATTTCAAATCGCCACTCAAAAAAGCAGTTTCAATTTGTTTACGATCAGCATAGATCAACCCAGCGTGGTGATAACCAACACCAGTTTTGACCAAATTAGCCAACTCTCTATCTTTCAACTTTAAAATTGAACCCTTAGCAATCACCTTTTCTGCTAGAAACTTCGCGGTGAATTGACAACTATTTCTTGTTGCACAAAATATCAAAACTGGCTTCCCCAACGAGTGCTTACTTATAATTTCAACCAACTTTGAGTTCAATTGATTATCAAACGAAAAATCATTTTCATTACTCGGCCTGTAACCATAGACAATTTTTTGCAACTTGACAGCACGATATTCTTCTCCGAATGTTAAAGTCTCGGCATCGAGCCATGTCGAAATGTCGTGAGCATTTGCGACAGTTGCAGATATAGCCAAAATCCTTAAACCGACGCATATTCTCTTCATTCGTGTTATCACTACTTCTAAAGTAGCACCCCGTGGCTCTTTGAGTACATGTACTTCATCAACGAGAAGTAACTTAATCAAGCTAAACAATTTTTTGTAGTCGTTCCATTTCCTAGTGATCATGTCCCACTTTTCCGGAGTAGAAATAATGATATTTGAGTTACGCACACTCTCTGCCTCCTTATACGATGTGTCACCAGTCAACATACCCACTGTTATACCGAGGGGGGCAAATTTCTTAGACCAGTCGTCTTTTCGTTCGCTGCACAATGCTTTTGTTGGAGCTAGATAAAGTACCTTGAAATCGTACAATGTTTCATTGGCACGCAAAATTGCCAATTCAAACACAACCGTTTTACCTGAGCCAGTGGGAGAACTAAGCACGCAATTATTCGCAGTCCCATACACAATTTTGAAACATTTGGATTGCATTTCGTTAAATTCGTGAAACGGAAATACGCAACGCTGCTGCTGCGGCAAAGCACTAACCAGTAACCTAGCCACCCCTGGCGAGAATCCCGAACTTAAACGCGAGTTGGAGACACGTGAATAGTCATGATTGCCATTGACCCAATCGTTACTTTTATTGATTGACAGTGATGGAGCAGGAAATATATCAACATTGACATCTCCATTGTATTTGAACAGACTCGAATCTTGGGGTACCAAATGGATTCTCTTTGCATCCTGAGGAGGGGGTGATGATGAAGGGACAAACACGGTATCATATCTAGCCGCAGGCTCATTCACAAAATCGAAAGCTAATTAGTATGGGATTCATAGCACCATTATCTTTTACGTTTTAATTACCTTCATTACTATCCTCTGAATCAAGAAATGCGTTCAAATTGTTCAAGAACGACATGTTGATTTGGTTGCAATTGGAAAGTCTGTGAACTCAATCAGGCAAGTTTTTTTTAGTGCGTGAGTTGAGTTTTTGCGACAAAACAAAGAAGAGATGATGGCAACTGAACTAACCCACCGTACCCTTTTCTTCCACTTTCAAGAAGGGAGCTGAATCCATGACGGAGATGGATCGAAAGGAAAGATTGGTCTCTCTCAGAAAGAATAGATCCAAAAAGGGTGAAGCTGCCAATTACTCACAAAAAACCAGTGACCAGATCACATTGTACACTGAATCAGATACATTGAAAAATACCTCTTGTGAATCAATAATTCGACCGGAAGAGACTACACCATCTTTGCTAATACAATTTCCGGTAGTTCCACTAGAATCAGAGAAAAATTCACTCACCAAAGACATAAAAGATGACCTAGCTAGATACTACCAGGAAGCAAACCTAAGAACAAGTGAGGTTCTTGATAGAATAATACGGGAAAAGGTTGAGTAGTTGTGTGTAGTCTTTGACATTATAATTGATGTTCTGATGAGCTGGTTGAATTGATTAAGCTAAGATGCAATACCTGCTTCATGTTGTAAATTACCCAATAAGGAAGTCTACCATCTTCCAATCAAATAACTTTCTCGTCTCGGATTTTCGACTACACGCACTTTCTTCCTAAACAGTGAGAAAGTGTTGGAAAAAAAAAAAGAAAAACCGAACTTGTAGTTCGACAGAGCAAAAGTTTTCAGGTTTATTACAGATACATATTCAAAATGTCGATGATCAACAGACTTGCATTGAGAACTGTCCGCCCTTCAATGGGAATGGCATTTCGTCAAGCTCCGTATGTTCTTTCTTTTGGTGATTTCAATCTTTTAGGACTTGCATTTACTAACTATATATATCCAGAATTGGTTTGAGATACCTTTCAACTCCAGCAGACCCAAAACAAAAAGCTCAATCCATTGTTGACGCATTACCAGGTACCAATTTGTTGTCAAAAACTGGTATTTTAGCCACTTCTGCAGCTGCAGCTATCTATGGATTGTCTAATGGTTTGATTATCATACACGATGAATCTATCTTGGTATTGACATTCACAATCTTTTCAGCCATGGTTGTTAAATTTATTGCCCCATTGTACACTGAATGGGCTGACGGAGAAATCAAAAAGGTCAACGACTTGTTAAATGGAGCCAGAAACAAACATATCCAAGCCGTTGAAAACAGAATTCAATCTGTTGGTGAATTGAAAGACGTTGTTTCACAAACCAAAGATTTGTTCAACTTGTCTAAGGAAACAGCCAAATATGAAGCCGAGTCATTTGTATTGAAACAAAAATTGGAAGTAGCATCAGAAGCTAGAAACGTATTGGATTCATGGGTTAGATTCGAACAACAACAAAGGCAAATTGAACAAGAACAATTGGCCAACTCGGTCATCGAAAAAGTCAATAAGGAAATTGAAAATCCAAAGTTCCAAGAAAAGGTTTTGGCGGAGGCTGTTGCTGATGTTGAAAAATTGTTCAACAAATCTAAATAGTTTATACATTTAAACAAAAAAAGAGAAAGTATTGAATTAGATCGTATCTTGAACCAGTTGCGTCGGTTTCCATATGTGTAGAGAGTTGTCATCCGCTACACTAGCAATCATCCACTCATCAGCGTAGGACCAATCAAAATCATTAACACCCAACATATGACCGAGATGTTGAAATACCGTGGGCTCCTCTTTGGAAACATTGTGGAGTTTTACCAGGCAGTCTGTTGACGAGGACGCGAGTACCTGAGTGTGTTTGGGGTTCCATTTCAATTGGGTTATTGACTTTGAATGAGGTGTGAAATTTTTCACGGGCTCATCAAGATTACGCAAATCCCAAACATTGATTAATCCCTTTGAATCTCCTGTTGCAAATATTGTCGATATGTGAGGGCTCATTGCTATTGAATTGATCGGAGAAGGGAGCTGTTTGTGTATGATATCTCCTCTTATATCGCGAATGGACATATCTCCTGATTCCTCAACGAATCCAAACAATGAATCGTGAGTAGGGAACCATTCAATATCATTGACATCGCTGCTGCTCTTCCATGACTTTGAATTGCTCAAACCTTGGGATTTCGAATAATCTCTCAAGTCATATAAACTAATGTTTCCCTTTATATCACCCGAAATCAAGTACCCTTCTCGATTCTTATTCCAGTCCATAGCAAAAACCTCTGCCTTTGCAGTCAATTTAAGCTGTGGTTTGTTTGCTTCAATATCGTCTATAATCAGTTTTTGGAAACTTTTGTGCTTGGTCCTTTCAAATATTAACATATCCCCAAAATTATTGGCACTGGCGATAACATTGGGGTTTTGGGGCATGTAACTTAACTTGTTTACATCGCCAAATTGGTTGATCTTTTGCAAAACTTTCTGTTTAGGAAGCGAGGGAGCGTTCACTTCGAACTCTTCTTTCTCTTGATTGTAATCTAGTTTGTCAATTTGTATATGTTTATTGAGACCTGTGTATGTGGGAACTTGTAAAATCGATATCGAATCGACAGCCGACTGACCCAATGTGAAAGTTCCATGAAGTAGCCTTTGAAGAATGTAGTCGTCAGCAACTTCGCCTTCAGAATGCGTGATATCGGGAAAGAATTGCACCGTTAAAGATGGCCATAGTAGCGAAGTGGTTGACAAGTAGTCATAAACGTATGGTGCATTCTTCTTCCATATACGGTAATTGTTCTCGGTGTCTTCCCCTATCAATGATGATGTAGACGCCTCTTGTAACCTGTCTGTCTGCTCCGCTTCTTCGGTCATTGTTGATTTGGAAATATGCGTTGTTGAATAATTTTAAAAACAAGACGCGCAATGCAAAAATATGTGTTGATGATTTTTCCCTCATTGCAATTGCAGATGACAGAAGAGATTAAATTGAACTCGTCGAAGTTAGGTACTCAGGAGTAGTATGTTGAATAAGTCAATGACTTCGGGATAACTACTAACTTTCATAGCTGGAACGAATTCTATAAAAAGGAATTGGAAAATTTTCAAAGCAACAGTGATGACACTGGTGAATGTTGGTTCGATGACTCTGATGCAGAGTCCAAAATGATACAATTTGTAGCAGAAAAACTAGAGGACGGTGAGTTAGGGGACGCCACTCTGTTCCTTGATTTGGGAACAGGGAATGGACATCTACTTTTCAAATTGCTGCAAGAGTTGAAAGATTTCAACAAATCATTTACTTTTCATGGAATAGATTATTCAGCAGAATCGATTAGATTTGCCAAAGACATCGCAGAGAAGAAGTTCCCAACAACTTCATTCAAGTTTGATCAAGTTGACTTATTGGGCAATACACCACTTCTAGACAATAACTTCGACGTACTATTGGACAAAGGCACTTTAGATGCAATTGCTTTAAATCAAAATCTCATCAATGGAAAGAGAGGAATGGACATATACGCAAGCCAAGTCTCAAAGATGATGAAAAGAGGCTCTGTCCTTCTAATCACTTCCTGTAATTTCACGGAAGAAGAGCTTGTCAAAGTGATCACATCTGGTACCGAATTGAGAAAATGGGATCAGATTACGTACCCGAGTTTCCAATTCGGTGGTATAAATGGTTCAACCGTTGTAAGCATCGCGTTTATTAAGTAAGCTACATCTTTGACTTTAATTCATCGATATTCTTGATCAAATCGTCCCTTACTTGTTGGCTAGCAAATTTCAACAAGTACTGTATTGGCTTCCCTTCTGAAACTGAATTGAATCGAAGATATTTCCCTGGGGCCAAGCTTGCTTCTAAGCCCTCTAGAACTTCGGTTGTTTTTAGTATTTTGTAGTTCAAAATCACCTTCAACAATCCATGAGATCTCATAACTATCCTAACTTGGCTTGGGTCGTGAACTGATTGGTTCAAATGCAATGGACCCGCACCTCTTTCTTTCCAGCCTTCTGCCATGTTTGCAAACTGTAGCTCAAATAACTTCGCGTTGCAGTTGAATAACGAAGTTTCGTCTTCCTCGCCTGTGGTCTGCTCAACAGGGTTCAAATCAACTTGTTTAAACTGTTGAGTTGTAGTGCTTGTTTGTGATTCGTCCTTGCTATCTGCTCTAGGACCACCATCATCATCAGGAGCATTATTGGAATTATCCAAAAACGACTTTTGTTTCAATGATTCTTGAAACGCATTCCCAAAACGTGACTTCGACCCAAAAGTGCCGAATGATGATGTTGCTGCTGCCGGCGTAATCGTTTTCGCAGAATTTTGAATGCCCAAATTTTGCTTTTTGTTCATGTTTCCGAATGATGTGGTGGCCCCGAATACGGGTTTCGCGCTGGATTTAACGGAGTTAGCTTCGATCTTGGTGTCACTAGTTCCGCTATTACCATTGGTAGAGCTGAATCGAAAAGGCGTTTCTCCGAATGTAGCTCTAGGGGGTAGTGGGGGAGGCGAGTTCTTTTTGGCAGATTTGTTATCATCTTCAGTGTACGTGAATTCAGCTTCGTTAGAATTTCCCAGATCGGCAGTGCTAGAGTCATTATCCTTCAAATCCAATTCATCCTCCAAAAACTTGACTCGTGATTCCAATCGAGCAATGCGATCTTCAAAGACCTCTTTGACTTCGTTAATAATTGTCGTTTTGAGATCCTCATGCCCAATCAGCTTCGTGCGTTTTAGACTGGAAGATTCTTCAGTTTCAATCTTTCTCTTTGCTGGACTCTCCCCTGGCATGTTGTGATGTATGGATGGTTGATAAAGACGAGTTTGTTTATAGAAGCAAAGAAATCGAAAAAAGAAAAAGATTTAAGTTGCATTGATGTTTTCGCTGGAGCAAGCGCGATTTGGAATGCCGAACTGTATGCGACGTAGACCTCCCCAAGAGAAACGGCAATTGGATCGCATTATATAATCATGAAATTTCGGTGCCACCGTATTCAACTATTAAACTAAGCACGATACATTTACCTTGAAAGATCTACACATAAACAATTCCAAAAAAAACCCAAAGTTTTTATTCCCCTCCTCTAATGCTTCTAATGGACCTTCCTGATGAGGTTTGACCAGAAGTGTAACTATATGGTTTTGGCGCACTGATGGGCTCGTATTTTGCTGGCGGTGGCATCGCTATTGGACGAGTGTGGGTGGTAACGTTATAATGAGGATGAGAGCCCAGCTTATGGGAGTTATCTGATTTATAATGCAGCGTCGAGCTATTAGCAATGTGTATTCGCCTTCCACTTGCGGCAGCAGAGGCTACTCTCCCCTCCTTAACGTAGTCCCTACCACCTAACCCACCACCCAATCTTCTTGGCTTCCAATTTCGCCATACTCTGCTTCTTTCGACATCTACCAAAATGGTTCTCTCTTTCATTTTCACTCCAGTTCGAGACAACTCGGAAATGCATGCTTGTGCATCAGCTTCTCGCTCAAAAACAATGAAGCCGTACCCTCTGCTTCTCCCATTATGGTCGCGAATTATCAGAATCGAATCAATAACACCATATTTTCGAAAATATTGCGATATATCGAGTTCTGTCAAAGTATAGTCTAACCGCGCTATGAATACAGTTTTGTAAGGATCCTTCATGACTTCATTTTCATTCTTGGCAAGCAATTCGGGATCATTCCAATCTCGCATTTGACGATTGAAGGAATCACTTTGCTTTTTCCTTCTATCGTTGGCCAATAGAAGCTTTTGCCTGTGCTTTGACATTGCTGTTTTTTGAACACGAGACTCTCGTTGGGGTAATTCATTATCCACGTACTTTTTAATAAAGCTTTTGTAATTAGATACTGGGGATATGGATAATGTCGAGCGTTTTTCGGGTGGATAATCTGTTGGTGGAATGTGTACTATAGGTGGCTTCGGTTGAAACAATTTTTGAATGTCAGGTGGGTATTTCAGAGAGTCATCAGTCTAGGACATAGTTAGTAAATGGATGTTCTTTTCGTAACAGTTGCAATATACTTACCATATCATAGTATTTCGTCTTATTGGTGTAAAAAGGTGGTTACAAATTTGTCAGTTTTCTCATCTGTGAAAGTGATATTTTTGTGTGAACAGTTAAAGCCTGATTACTTCGAACAGTAAAAGGATTCCAAACTTTTCTCATTCTATTTACCAAGCAATATATGTAAATAGTACTTGCATTGTATTGCTTTAATAGTGACTTACTAGTTCTACAACCTTGTAAACTTGCGTTCACTTCATGTCTTGGGTAAATCCTTGAATAACCAAGCAAGCGCTACCTTCGTAAACTCTTCATGTCCTCCCCCTCCCCACTTTCAATCCTGACAAAAAAGCTTCATCAAATCAATCGTGTATCCAAATCTTTAATACGGGCGTGGCCAACAACGACATTCAAAGAAACAAACCGAAAGCAGTAAAAGCATCATGTTTGGAGATAAGAACAAAGAGCCTACTGAGATCTTTCTTGATAATGAGAAAATTGACCTTGACTCACTACCCATTTTATCCAGAAAACAGCTTCTGAAATTCAATGGAACCGATGACGCCAAACTATATGTAGCCATCAAGGGCTACGTATACGACGTTACAGCAAACACAAAAAGTTATGGACCCGGCAAGGCTTACAACAAATTGGTTGGGAAAGATGTCGGGAGACTCTTGGGTTTAAACAAGTTGCAGTTGAAAGAAGAAGATGGACGACTTCCTGACACTTGGGACTTGTCAGACTTGACAGAAAAGCAGTTGAAGATTGTTGACGATTGGATAGTCTTTTTCAAGATGCGTTACCCTATTGTCGCTCTAATTCAAGAGAATAGCAACTAGACTACATAGTTGCCAAAATGCAAGATTATTTATTATACTAGGTGCTGCTGTTTCATGTTACTCTCCACACCCGCTTCTTTTACTCTTGTTTTATAAGCAACCTCTTGTTTAGAAATTAAGTCCGACTTTTGTCCCAATGTTGAGCCGACGGAGGTGTTTTAATACTGCATATAGACTCTCCATCCTCACCAAAACATATTTTTCCTTTTTTCTTCTGGGTGTGTTAGATTCTGGTATTTTCATAAACCTAAAAGTATAGCCCACCTTAATAGCCCACAGGTTCATCTCACTCACTAAACCATGTCATTCTTGAAAAACATACATCACAAGGTCGAGGAGTTCAATGACGATGCAGGTGCTGATATTGGTGACTTAACAGGCAGCGCAAATCTATCGTTTGATGATATAAAACATATACGAAATGAAGGAGGAATATACAATTCTAATAGCAATTTGGACACGGCCCCTATCATTCCTACTTTGGGGACTTTTGGAAGGCAGGCCCCAATAAACCCTAATGGCAAGCTTAACAATGTCCAATACAGGAAACATATGAATCAACAGAAAAAGATGGCTCTACTTAGTGGTGCAAGAGCCAATTCATTGGCAGCTGGAGGTAATCCAATGCAAGAGGGCCCTCGTGCCAATTCCATGGCTGCGGGGTTCAATCCAATGTATGATGGTATGAGAACAAACTCTATGGCTACGAGCTATACAATGATGCCCGACCAGCGATATCAGTTTACTCAACAACAACAAAAACAACAACAACAGCAGCAGCAGCAGCAGCAAATGGGGGCGGCTGACCCTCGTTCCATGTCGATGACATCGCAAAGAGGTAATCCTATGATGCCACAGCAACAATTTGCAATGAGGCAGCAGCAGCAATATCCAGTTCAGTATCCACAACAAGTCGACCAAGGGGCTCGCTCAATGTCATTAATGGGCGGCGGAATGCCAGGTTATGGCCAAAATTACCCTAGAACCAAGTCATTGGGAGGATCGAGACCTTTAATGGGCACACCCCAAGGATTTCAAGGCCAGCCTCTTAGAAGTAGAAATTTGGTTACATCGAATCCTCAACAGCAAATGCCACAAACTGCCCCATTTAGAAATCAAATGCTCCCACAATCGCAATCCCAGCTTTTTCTAGAGCAAGGCATGAGAAGCGATGGACAATATCAACCGGCTGGTAGGTATGGTAATTCAGATGCAAGCAATCAAATGGAGCAGAACTATGTTCCCAACGAACTGCAACCAAGGCCCTACATTGACCAGAATGCACGATACATGCCACAAGCACAACAAAGACAACAACAGAGCCAACCATATCTTCAACAGTCGCAGCAACATCCTCCGACACAAATTAACCCTACTGATCAACAGCCCTCAAATGGCAATGTGCATTACCTAAATACCCAACAAGGGCAAGCCACGTTTAATTCGAGTGGCCACATCTCTACCCAACAGAACTCATCTGAAGCACTTGGCGAGGTCCTTGAAGAAGAGGAAGACAATCTGAATCCTGCTGACGAGGAAGATGTGATATACAAGTTCGGGGAAGAGGAGAGCAGGGGAGTCGGGTTGTCACGAAAATCGACCTTGAAAAAGAACAATTCCATGAGGGTACGTAAGTTGAACCTATTCAATGACGGCGAGCACAACAAAGTATACGAAGGTAAAGAACCGCAGTCAACTTCTCTGCAAGATAATTTGAAGCCGTTTGCATCCAAAGATTCAGAAGTCAGCTCTGAGACCCCTCCTGGAGAGAAGGCATTACATGCTGATGTCACCACTGTAGAAAAGGATTCGGCGTCCGGTAACAATAGTGTTGTGCACTTGTCAGATTCCCATTCAACCACACTGGACTTCAGAAAACCGCTGGATCTCAGAAAGCCGCTGGACCATCCATCACTTCACAGCATTGTGGCCAATACAGTTTTCAGCAACTTTAGGTCAGCTTCTTCAGAAAATACACAATCCTTTAGTCCGCATCTAGTTCAAACAAGAACTGAATCCCCCAGTTCGTTTTACGAGGCCAGCAATTCACCAAAGGGCAAAAACTTTGATAGTGAGAGTGAATTTCATGGAACAAATAGACAGGAGGATGGTGCAACTACCCCACCGACTGCTCCAACATCCCAAGTTTCACATTTGGTAGATGGTCACTATGATGGTAAATTTGACAATTACTCCAACATTACTGAACCTATCCAGGATGTGTCTGAAATCGAAAACAGAAGAAGATATAGTCCAGTACCAGATAATAGAGAACAACCTCAAGGACAAAGCAAACTGAAACCATTTGATGATGATTTTGAGCAACCGTCGATTAATAAATCAGGCAGCGTATCGCTGAACTCAATCCCTCGTACATTTTCGTCAGCTTCACAATCAAGCTCATCAACCAAAAAGGAGAAAAGATCTTCTTTTTCGGGAAAGAATTTTTTGAAGCGATTATCGAGGTCAAAAAGGTCAAGCACTATCGAACCTGACAGAGAGATTAAGTCTCACCAGAGAACGCCATCCTCCAACACAATAGGCTCATCAGTTGCTGAACGATCGATTTCTAGCAAGCCTTTGCCGTTTAGTAAGGAGGAGTTGCACATCATGAATTGTAATACGGAATTGCTCAATGAATTAGAGTTAATAACAAGGGAGCTAGCTTCTTCCATTAAACGAGAGTTGGCGTTGGAAACAAGACTCAAAAACCAGACGGTTTACTCTCACTCACCTGGTGGAGAGCCAGAGAATTTGGAATCTGTCATAATAGACAAAACCCAAGTTATCGCAGACTTGCAAGAAAAGCTAAACAAAGAAAAGAGACTCAGGTTTATTAGCGAAGAGCATGCATTGCTTCAAGAACTAGGTCAATCTCCAAGTCCGTTGAAGTTGGAATATGAAAAAACGGAGATTTACAATCAATTGGTATCTAAAAATGATCTCGTTAATCAACTTCAGAATAGGATATCTGAATTGGAGTCACAAGGCCAAGTTGACATCAATGCCATGGATAGCAATTTAATTGAAAAGATACAAATTCTTGAAGCCGAAAATGAGGATTTAATGAATCAGAATTATGCCCAGAAGGAGGAAATCAAAATACTAGAGAGTCAACGAGATGAATTGAGGGAGGTTATAGGAAAACTTACCTCTCAAAATAACCAGGATACAAAGCTTCTCAATGACAAGATCAAGGCATTGGAACTGAAATGTCAAAACTTGAAAGGTGTCAATGACAGACTCACCAATAGGGATGCCCAACCAAGCTCGTCCAGTGGCCCATCTTTTGGGTTCAACAGATTTGGATCAAGGGGGAAATTAAATGGTTTTACAATTGTTTCTCCGAATGAGAGGTTTTTGGAGGACCACTAGATTATATAGAAACATACAAAACCCGAATTCTTGTTTTTTTTATTAATGCCAAATTCGGTATACACTTATTTTATCTATGTTTAAGAGGTATGTGTAGTGTGTACAAAAACTATGCACCAGTGCTCGGTTGTACACTGCTAATCACGCTTCTTCTTTTGTGTGTGCCTCATTGAAAAGAAACTTGTTGATGACTTTCCCTATCAAGTTACCTTGGTTGTTTAAACTTGAAGTGTGGTACTTTGCTTTTTCGTACTCCTTTTCATTCAACAAGCCAGCATCAAATTTGTATTTCAATAAATCCAAAGCCAAATCGGTTGTAAATTCTGGATGCCCCTGAAAGGTAATGACTCTGCAGTTTCTTTTGTTGCCATCGCCATTGTCTATGCTCACCATTCCTTGAATAGAGCATTTACTGGTTGAGCCAAAATTAATAAAATCTGTAGGTAGTCCTCCCAACACAACATCTCGATGCGATTCAACCAAGTTCAAGTGATCAAACAATACAGCGGCATCATAGTCTTGCCCAGCATCATCTATATTCTCCGTTTGACTAAGTTCAGTGAATGGTGAATCCTTTAGTTTATAAATATCATCATTGATGGATATCGTGGTGATGCCAACTTCCCATCCATCATTGCTTCGATCAACCTTGCAGCCCAAAACCGATGCAATTACTTGGTGACCAAAACACAAGCCAACAACTGGCTTGTCAAGTTTTAGAATGGTATTTTTCAAAACCGATTTGAATTTAACCAACCACGGAAGGGTACTGAAAGCATCGCTACGTGAACCAGTTAGGGCAAATCCTTCTATCAAGTGGTTGTGGACTGCCGAGTATAACTCCTCATAAACTTTTTCTAGCTGCTCTGGGTCCTCGGTATTCAATTGGTACTTTACAAAATTGAACGATGTTGTGCCCGTGTTTTTGATTAAATCAATTGTGTTGTCACCAAAGTCTCCATATTTTTCGGTAATCCCTTGAATTGGAGTATCTAATACAAGGACGGCAATGTGTGGGGGTGGAAGGATCATAAGTAATGATGTTGGGATGAATTGAGCTTCAAAAAGGAAGCTTTAGCGTTATCTTTTGAATTGGGAGATTAGTAATGAGGTAATTTTGGCCAAAAAGAACAAAAAAAATCCAGCGCTTATTATAATCTACTTAGCAGTGGGGAAAGTAGGCGTTTTGAATAACGTAAATAGTGGGATGGTGTTGACACTCTTACAGAGACTGGTGTTACGTCAGGGATTTAGAGATCGCCACAGTTTCGCCGCCAGTTGATGTGGCTCTGCGTAACAAATTTGTTATTCTTTGTGTGTGTGTGTGACAAGATACACGCCTAGAGCAATTGACCCTAGGAAAACACGTTAAACTTGAACTAGAGTAGATAGGAAAGACTACTGTTCCGACATGAACCACCCTCCCCCTATCCCACACATACCTCCATGTAAGCAAAATGGAGTGAACCACGTTGCTGATCCGTTGGATTGAGTTCAGCTTAAAAAATACCTCCTCTTTGTACGATTGTTTCGTAGAGTGAGAGAAGAATGAGAAAAGAAAAAAACGCTCGAAATTTTTATATTTGACAAAAGCTTCGAACATAGAGGTTCCCGTACATACATTGTTTACTTTATTGGCGACATCAAAACCCACGTTCAGGATAGTGCTTGTGTAACCAGTGGCGATAATTTTAATCTATTGGATCTACATTATTGGTGCATTATCGCCATACCATTCTTTCTGCGGCTAATTTCCATTACCTTTTCACAATCAAATATTTTGTCGTAGTCAGACATTCAACACAATGAATAACAATAACAATAGTAATAATCAAAACACGCACACAGTGTCAAACCTTTCGGCAGGGCTCAAGTCTGTTTCGCTAAGTGATCAACAGCAAAACGAATTGAACCAGAACTTGTTGCAACAAATGCAGAATAGTTCCTCATCCAAGGAAGAACAACAGCAACAGCAGTCAAGAATAAGCCAGTTTTTCCAAAATCAACCACATGAAGGATACACCTTGTTTTCCCACAGATCGGCGCCTAATGGGTTCAAGGTTGCCATCATTTTGTCCGAGTTGAACTTGCCATTCAATACCATTTTTCTAGACTTTAACAACGGCGAACAGCGTGCTCCTGAATTTGTAACCATAAATCCCAACGCTAGGGTGCCTGCATTGATTGACCATTACAACGAAAATGTATCTATATGGGAATCGGGTGCGATTATCCTATATCTCGTTACCAAGTACATGAAGGAGAATAATGAATGCAGTTTATGGAGTGATAACCTTGTCGAGCAAAGTCAGATAAATTCTTGGTTATTTTTTCAAACAAGTGGACACGCACCTATGATAGGGCAAGCCTTGCACTTTAGGTACTTCCATTCTAGCCCAGTCCCAAGTGCAGTGGAAAGATACACTGACGAAGTTAGGCGAGTTTATGGGGTTGTGGAGATGGCTTTGGCCGAAAGGCGAGAGGCGTTAATTATGGATTTAGATGTGGAGAATGCTGCTGCTTATAGTGCGGGGACCACACCATTATCGCAATCGAGATATTTTGACTACCCTGTCTGGTTAGTTGGCGATAGAGCAACAGTTGCGGATTTGTCGTTTGTTCCTTGGAATAATGTTGTTGATAGAATTGGAATTAATCTCAAAGTAGAGTTTCCAGAGGTTTACAAGTGGACAAAATATATGATGCGAAGGCCAGCAGTTGTCAGAGCATTACGTGGAGACTAAGTAGTTGGTGTAGAGTGTATAGATATATCAGTATAAACCGTGGTTGATTTGTGGAGTTCCTTTACTTTTGTTTATTGTGTCTTACACAAGGCTCGCTAATCACGTGCATCTACCCCTAGATATCAACCCCTCAATTTAGTTTCTACGCTCCATATAGCTTTACATAACTTACGTCTTTTGACTATCGAACATGCCACTGAAAATTTTCAACGACTTTGAGTCTGAGGTATCAGCATTGCTAGTCTAACACTACGAAGATGTTCTGTTACTCCAAGAGTTGAGTAAGGCAGTATATAAAGGTTATTACAAAGTGGCATTCGATCTATTCCCAGAATTGTACATTACGGACTACTCCCAGAAGGTACTCAACATCGCTTATTCATCGATTGATATGGAGACCCAAATTGAGAGTATCAGCGCCGCCATTATCCACTACTTTCAACAAGCACCAATCCCTATCAACAACAATTTGTTCACTCATGAAAAAACGTTGCAAGCCAGTCATTGTCAATATATTACACGACTACTACATTAGACGGTATGAGTTTAATATAACACCAGCTACGGAACACATTATAGGCTCAAAATTGAATCTTTTGCATGAGGAGACGTCAGTTGCTAAAACCATAAAGACCTTCAAAATGTTGAAAAAGTGTGAAAAGAATCTTTATGAATTTTACGTTACATTACCATTTGGATTCATGTTGGTTTTTAAGACTTGAAAAGGAGAGGTTGGGGCACTAAACCATACTTGGAATATCTTTATAAATTGTATGTGTTATATGCGGAAAGGAAAATGGTCTTTGAATCATGTGCGTATCCTAAAGAAATGAGGGCTTTGGAGTTTCTCATAGCACCTCAGGTTACGAATGAACTTGCCGATTCGGGTTTCCGTGATGATATCTATGAGTAAACTGCAATAGTTTCTAGTTTGTTTATTTTTCGTTATTTGAGTTGGACGTTTCTTTGCCTTTCATATACCTTCTTCCATGTAGATTCCTTCTCCCTGTTGATTATGACTCTTTGCACCGAATCCCGTCATGCCATTGATCATATAAGGTCTCTATTTGTACAAATTATTTTTGGAAGTGACACGGTTTCTAGTAAAGCAAGTGTTTAGTTTAGGTATTCACTCAGAATATCAGGCTAAGCCAGTCATTTATGATGGAAATATCATTATTTTGTAGACAGGATCTTAGGTCGCACTAGTCTGATTACAATAACACCATCTTAATGTACATTAACGTAGTATTTAGGATGATTCCTCTAACAATTCTTAAAGAGGGGTCATATTAAGGTTCCCTGTAAAAATTTTCACCCCCACTTATGTTGAGTGTTAAGAAGTTTTGGCACAAGCACTCTCTGACTTCAAACAGAATCCATCAACTTACAACCGAGACAATCCTAGATCGGCATTCTGTCTCTCTTTTGTTCTTTTTTTTTTTTTCTTATTTTCGAGCCGCACGCATTTTCCTCTTTTAGATGGATTATGGCTTTTAGACGTCACATCTTAAACAACAACATTCATTAGAAGAGGGAACACAAGGGAGTCATATGATGGAGATACTACCTACTTCGACGGCATTGGGTATACCAAGGAACTGTAACTCATCTCAAGAAAACACTTCCGAGACGACGACAACATCATTACCAGACACTTCAACACCACCATCATATGCATCCCACCTCTTCCATGATATTCAAGCCTCTCGTCCTGTGAGGTTTATAGAGTCCTTGATGGATTCGGAACTTTTGGCTGACAATGAAATTGAACAAATTGAGCATTTCAAGTATAAACAAGGTCTTGAGAGAAAGCTAACAGTGACATCGGTTATTGGTTTGGGATTTTCAGTGATGGGGGTTCCGTTTGGGTTATCTTCAACGCTATGGATCTCTTTAATGGATGGAGCTAATGTAACAGTGCTATATGGCTGGATTGTTGTCAGTTTGATGTCTTTATTTGTGGTGCTAAGTTTGAGTGAAATCATATCAAAGTATCCCACTGCTGGAGGTGTTTATCACTTTAGTGCACTTTTAAGTAACGAAAAGTATTCACTTATCAGCTCATGGATCACGGGGTGGCTACTACTTATTGGAAACTGGACATATGCAATTAGTATAATGTTTTCTGGATCGCAGTTTATCTTATCGATATTTGGATTGAAAGACTTTGTATACAAGGAAGACAAGTTTTTGGTCTTGGGGGTGTTTTTCATCATCTTGGCATTTGTTGGGTTTATCAACTTCAAATTCTCCAAACATTTGGAAAAGATCAACAAAGCATGTATATTGTGGACGATATATACAGTGTTGGCAATCGATGTATTGCTCATATTCTATGCCAAAAGGACCAACTCTATAAAAGAGATATTGACCCGATTTGATAATTCTCGTTCAGGCTGGCCAGATCCACTAGCTTTCATCGTTGGCTTGCAAAGCTCATCATTCACCTTAACTGGGTATGGAATGTTATTTTCCATTACTGATGAAGTCAAAAATCCGGAAAGAAATATGCCCAAGGGAGTCATCAGTGCCATATTGATGGCATGTTTGACAGGTATTATTTTTATCATTCCTTTGTTAACGATATTACCTGAGCTTGAATTGTTATTAGATGGGGATAGCAATATCATGCCCATCGAAATCATATTCAAGCTCTCAACGGAGTCGTACCTTATAAGTTTTCTCATGGCCTGTTTGATGATTGGAACCGTTATATTCCAAAGTATTGGTTCACTCACTACTGCATCCAGAAGCACGTTTGCTCTTGCACGTGATGGAGGTCTACCAATGGCGCATTTATGGACTGAAGTTAATTCAGTTGAAGAGTATACGATTCCACGAAATGCGTTATTTTTGTCAATGATTGTATGTGCAGTATTGTCGCTTTTGTCATTAATCTCGAGATCAGCCTTCAATGCTTTCATGGGTGCTGCTGTGGTGTCGTTGGCAGTTGCTAATGGCATACCAATATTCTTGCTTATGTTGAACAAGAGACAAAAGATTAAAGGAGCAGCATTCAGGTTGAGAATATTCGGCTGGTTTGTCAATGGAGTGTCGGTGATTTGGATCGTGCTTTCCATCTTCATTCTTTGTGTGCCACCAGTTATCAAGAACTTGACCTGGCGCAAGATGAATTACGCAAGTGTCGTATTGGTTCTATTTTTGGGATTTGCTACTCTAGGTTATGTAACTTGGGGCTCAAGTTCTTTTACTGGGCCAGAGATTGAAACGGACTATTTTGAATTAAATAATTTAGAGGCTCATGGAAGAAAGAATTTGGAAAACTTTGTTGTTGGTGATGAAGATGAGGAAGAAGATAGTGGAGAAGAAGAAGTCAGCAATATTGAGGGCGATTTTCTGAAGGATTTTGAGAGCAATTATACGCCTCCTCCAGCCGTACATAGGAAGAAAACATATCATCTTCTAGAGGGGAGCTCCAAAAACACATCCAGCAGACTCGGTAGTAAGAACTTACCAAAGTTTATAACCTCAAACAACTCCAATGAGGAAGAATCGAATGAAATTTCAACTGAAAGCGACAACGAAGTGTTGTTTGAAGCGCGGGATGAGTCAAGAGAACAGGTGGCTAAGAGGGCTTAGAATTCTACACTCAGTGATTGGTTTGGCTTTTGTATATACGATGACTTAGACAGTTTCTTATAGAGGTTTTTTGATGATTGAACTTTGTCCATCTACTGTAGTGCCAATTTTTGCAACCTCTTCCCAGATGCATGACCTGCACACAAGATTCGAAAATCATCAAGAGAACATTGAGCAAAAAAAAAAAAAATTTCAGTGGGTAAGTTAGTTAGCCACTGAGTAAACACCAATACAAAAAATCACTATCAGCAGGACCTGAAGAATCGTTTCTCGTTAGTTACATTTTGTCATTTACAATATACTCCCATTTACTTTTTATTCAACGACACAAGTCACACAAGTTTAAATAAAAAAATGTCTGCAGATCACGCTAGAGATCCATGTCCAATCGTTATTCTCAATGATTTCGGTGGTGCTTTTGCTATGGGTGTTATTGGTGGTTGCGTATGGCATGGTATAAAAGGGTTTAGAAACTCTCCACATGGAGAAAGAGGATATGGTGCACTTTCAGCAATTAAGGCCAGGGCACCAGTAGTGGGAGGTAATTTCGGTGTTTGGGGTGGTTTATTTTCAACATTTGACTGTACAGTTAAAGCTGTACGTAAGAGAGAAGATGCATGGAATGCAGTTATAGCTGGTTTCTTTACTGGTGGTGCCTTGGCCATCAGAGGTGGGTGGAAACATACGAGAAATTCTGCAATCACTTGTGCTTGTCTTTTAGGTGTCTTTGAAGGTGTGGGAATGATGATGCAAAGATTACAAGCACAACCTACTATGGCTCCAGTATATCCAGAAGAGCCTGCCAAACTTGCCGCTTAGAAGTAAACTAAGTTGGTGTGTAGGAAACTTGTATATATGATGTAAATTTACAATACGGTTGGTCATAGACAAGTTTGGAACCTGTAGATGACATGATGGGAAAACGACAGTTGTGATAAATGAAACCTCATTACATAAATGTATGAATGGAATATGCAACCAACCCCAGGAAGGAGGTAGAACCTTCCAGGTACATAAAAGGTGTGCACTATATCGTAGAGCTAGCCATACTGAACACCAACCATTTTTCAGAGGTATTCGACAAGGGAAAGGTTGTAAGAATATTATGCGTTTCATGTATGTTGAGTGACCCCTTCTTTCTTTCTTTCTTTCTTTCTACCTCCTGTTTCCTCCTCCTCCTCTTTGTCTCTACAACTGTATTGTGTGCTTCACTTTGTGCTCAGTTTGGGTTTTTGTGATTCAATTAGAAATATATATACTTATATGTATATACCTCCTTCCTTCCTCACTCACCCCTCTCTCTCGCTAACACACACACACACACACACACACACATATATACACACACATCTTCAATCTCCCTTCCCCTCCCTAAAAAAATTTGCTATATTACAATAAAACATTTTGGTCAAATGGCAATCATAAGCAAGTAGCAAAGAATACTCAATATATATACTATTTCTTGAAAAAGGGTCTACAGACTTGGAATCAGTATTACCCACTCGTCCTTCCCTTTGTCAGTGAGAGGATTACACACAGTTTCAACCAACACATTTTTTTTTTTTTGAGTACCACAACCCTTTCCTTTTCCCACTCATTATCGCAAAAATTAAATTTTGGAGAGTAAAAATTAGAATACATTATTGCATCAAGATAATTTACACTTTCAACACCGGCATCAAACAGGCAGATAGGGAAACAAATTACAATTCAACCGCCAGCATTGTATTGAAATAAACGAGTATTCAATAGTTAGAACTTAATGTCGTATAATAATTACAACTTTAGGCATAATTCGATAGGTGGTAACTGGCATTTACCACCGCCCAACCATCACCAACAACAACAGCAACAACAGCAACAACAGCAACAGCAACAGCAACAACAACAGCAACAACAACAACAACCACAATACCCACTCAATGGAAGGAATGATGTACTCCCACAAGATCAAGTGTACCTACCGCAGCAAGCATACAAATCAAATCAAGCCCCGGGGTTTCGCAATCCATGGTTTTCGATGAATCATCTGTCATCAGCTGCGTCATCTCCAACTGCATCGTCATCTGTAATGTCACAGTCCCCCACCAAGTCTCATACTATACCATTATTACAACAGCATCAGCCTCCCCCTTTGAACAAGAGATTGTCCTTTACAAATCAGCTTCTGACAACTTATGAGAATGAAAATTCCAATGCCACCAACCCCCAGGTTTCCCCTTATATACATCCTCCTACTCGTGCAGACAATCCATTTACCCAGTACTTTTCCAATCCAGAAGTCACACTCAATAATCCAAATGATCGTCGAATGTCAGCGGCGGTGGATGGAACATACAGTAATCCGTATGGGTATAACCAACAAAACAGAACGGCAATGATGACACAAGGAGGAAACCTTTTTGGTGGTAATGGTGATGCTTCTGTGGTTCAAGGTGTAGCGCCAGGGCTTTCGCAATTCATTCATCCCAATATGGCTTCTAATGTCATGCCTGGAGCAAGCAGCGTTGCCAACCGAAGATCATCGGTTGCTGTCATGCCTAACCATTACTATCAGCAACCAATACAAGCTTACGATAGCAAGAGTGGTCAATATTACGCCTCACCTGCAAGACGGTCAGGCTCAATTGTCCAATATCAACAATACCAACAAGCACTTCAGCATCAAAAGGCTTCCAAATTTAGAAAACCCGCACCCAAAGCAAGGAAAATTCGCAACAAGTCGGAACTTACTCCCAAGGTTCATCAACAACCCAAATACAGACGGTGTTCAGTCAATTCTATCCACATATCACCCCTCAATGCATTATCTGTTTATTTGACCGAATCTTATAGCATCTGTCAGCCAAGAAAATTCCAGTATTCCAAATCAACAAATCCAAAGAGAGTCTTGACTAAACCTCTGGATCCAAAATTCAATAATGGGTACGATAACGAAGAAAGTGACTATATTCTTTATGTCAATGATATCCTAGGCAGCGAAGAGGGGAGAAAATACATGGTTCTTGATTTACTAGGATCAGGCACATTTGGGCAGGTTGTGAAATGTCAAAACTTGATTAATCAAACTGTATGCGCTGTCAAAGTGATTAAATCAAAGCCAGCCTACATGAATCAGTCATTGACAGAGGTACGTTTACTAGAGTTTTTGAACAACAATAGCGATGGAAAGAGTTTTATTAGGCTCTTGGATACGTTTATGCACAAGGAGCATTTATGTTTGGTATTTGAGCTTTTAGCTTCGAACCTTTACGAGTTAATAAAGCAGAACCAATTTCAAGGATTGAGTATGAAGTTGGTGAAGCTTCTTACCAAGCAGTTGCTAGACGCAATGGCGCAATTGAAAAACTTTCAAATGATTCATTGCGATTTGAAACCGGAGAATATTTTGCTTTGTCAGCCAGATAAACCTAATATCAAAGTGATTGATTTTGGATCAGCATGTTTCACAAGGCAGACCATCTATACATATATACAGTCGAGATTTTATCGATCACCAGAAGTGATTCTTGGCTTGCCATATACCGAATCTATTGATATGTGGTCGTTGGGTTGCATTGTAGGTGAGTTTTTTCTCGGCTTACCCATGTTTCCAGGTACTTCTGAATACAATCAAATTTGGAAGATTGTTGATATGTTGGGACCTCCTCCAAGGCACATGATTGAAGTGGGACGCAATTCATCAAATTTTTTCAAGAAGATACCTAGTGAAACCCCCGATGGGAAACCCACTTATGTGATAAAAACGTTTGAAGAATATACCCATGATTTAGAAGTTGCTAAAATGGAAAGTGGGTCAAGTCATGCACACAAGAAGGAGCAGCCGAACAAAAACTACTTTAAGCAGAAACTTTTAAAGGATATCATCTTGAATTACAAGCTACCAAGTAAAAAGATGACAAGTCTGATGGTTGAAAGGGAATGTCAAGAGCGATTATTGTTAGTTGATTTTTTGACAAAGGTACTTAATCTTAATCCTTTGGAAAGGCTAACACCACAGGAAGCTTTGAAGCATCCATTTGTTCAAGATGTGAGATCTATCGAGATGCCAGCTGTTTAAATGTGTAGGATGGGGCTTTTTTTGAAAGGTTTTGGTTGGTATATGGTCGTGTGCGAGGTTTCAGAAATCGATGAAGAAAAGAAGAAAAATTGAAGAGAGAAAAAAAAAAAAATACCAAAGAATGAAAATCGTGAACTTTCAACGAAAAGGTGCCTTCTAATCGATAGTTCCTTGTTGCCCATTATTGGAGATACCAAATCGACAACCAACTTTTAATCATCAATACGTTTATATACTTATGCTTGTATATACTGTGCAGCATTAATACAAAAGGATTTAAACAAGCATCATTTAACATTTTGCAAGAGGATTGACTTATTAACTTAAAGCTCAATCAGAATCATAAACAGCAATCGCTGAACTAGAGAACGAAACAACACAGCTAGACAACCTACATCATTCAAAAAACAAGAAAAAAAGAGCACCGCTTACGGCACATTCTGCATATCTTTCACATAACAAATGAACGTTAGTACTAGTGCTTTAGGAGTAAGAAGGAGGAAAGTTGCTACACAAAATATTGACGATGAAGAGAATGCTGCGGTGTTGAAATTAGGACCAGAATTTCAACTAACTCAGATAACAAATACTGGGGAAGAGCAACAGTTGATAGCGCTCAATTTATCCGAAACCAGGTTGTTAATCAGAGCAGCATTGAAAGAACGAAAGAGAAATCAAAAACCAAAAAGTCGTGCCAATCAACTGTCTCAATTGGGCTCTGACGAACCAATGGATTCAGATGAGGATGAGGATGAGGATTTGAACAATACCAAAGAGGACGAGATTTCTAATATGGAATTAGCAGGACCCAACCTGAACGAAGTTATACACAAGACATTAAACTATTTAACCAATTTTGCAAGATTCAAGAACAGACTGAGTTGTGAAACGGTTGAGAAGTTACTCAATGATTTCAATGAGCATTGCAAGGAGTACTTGCATCCTTTTGAAATTGCACAATTGGGAACGTTAGAATGTGAGGATGCTGAAGAGGCAAAAAGTTTGATACCGAGCTTACAGAACAAAGTGTCCGATGTTCAGTTGCAAAGTTTGTTGACGGAATTGAGAAAGTATCAAACTTTGTCATAATGACAACAAAGCATTCTCCGTGCTTTGCAAGTAATAGGTAAAACCAACAAAATGTATTATATACTGTTTCTAATTAGAGTAAATGCGAAGGGCCATTTATATAACGGTACAAAAGCATGTAGTACAGTAGTAGAAAATAATAGTGTCTCTAGTGCTGTAACTTTCGGGTCCTTGTCAATGCAATTTTCAAAGAACCAAAGATGAGATCTTTACGCGCGAAAAAGAAAATTGGCAGCATCTATCTTTTTTACACCACACATTACCATATTCCATACTAAATGAGTGACGAGGAAGAGATCTATGACGAGTTCGGTAACTTGATTGGAGAGTCGGTCGAATCCGACTCTGACTCTGACTCTGAAAGCCAACAAGAGGATGTCTCAAAGCAAGAAACTCAAGAGTTGGTGCGCATTGAGAGTGATGATAAAGAATCCCATGAAACTGCATTGGCGAATACGAATATCCCTACTAATGACGCAGAGATTATTTATGTCAACCCAACCAATTTTGCAGATGATGCTCCTGTGATTGCACCAAATGTCGAAAAGAAGATGAAAATGGTCATCGACGAAGAAAACTTGCCTCAATTAACCTATTCGAGAGAGTTTTTGATAAACACAATCAACGAGGTTCCAGAAAGAATACGAAATTTTTGCATTGTAGGGAATTTCCAATCAGGGAAAACGACATTGGTTGACCAACTTGTCCAAAGAGCCCATGCCACTAATCTCAGCAAAAACAAAAATTCCACGTATTTACACCCGCTAAGATACTTGGATAATCACGTATTAGAAAAAGATCGAGAAGCTTCAATAAAATCTTCTCCTATCACACTAATGCTTCCGAATAGTAAGGGCCGGTCGATTGTATTGAGTTTGATCGATACTCCTGGCCATGTAGACTTTAACGATGAGGTTATGGCAGGGCTTGAAGTATGTGACGGTGCTGTTTTGGTATTGGATGTGGTAATGGGTTTCACTTACAAGGATAAATTGGTACTCAAAGAAATCATACTGCGAAACTTGCCCTTGGTTCTTGTGTTGAATAAGATCGACAGACTTATCTTGGAGTTGAGAGTACCACCAAAAGATGCATACTTGAAACTATTCAACATTATTGATGACGTAAATCAATACGTTGCTCAAAAGAGTATGCGAAATTATACTATGTTTCAAAAGTTAACCCCCACTTCAAATAATGTCATATTCGCCTCATCCGATTTTGGCGTCAACTTCACGTTGGATAGCTTCGCAAACTTGTACCTGCAGAATCAGCAATCAGATAGCCAGCCGGTGGAATTTGCTGATAAATTATGGGGTGACTACTACTTCAACTACGACAATAATGAAATAACAACTGACTCAAATGGAGGCAGATATACGCGAACGTTTGTTACATTTGTATTGGAGGTGATTTATCAGATTGCTATTTACGCCTTAACCACCGAGCCCCCTCATAAAGAATTGAACAAAGTATTATGGGACAATTTTGGTGTATCCATACCTAAATCAATCTACAAAAAGGATATAAAGGTACTTTTAAAATCAGTATTCCAAGCTGTATTCAAACGTGACACGGGACTTGTTGATTCCATCGAGCAATCAATAAACCCGCCTCAGGCTTCACCAAAAAACTCACCAATGCTAGGTAAAATTAGCAAACTCATTGAATCTGCCGATGGTGGATCATTTTTGGCCTTAGCGCGTGTCTTTTCAGGGCTGTTATCTGTAGGAGATGCTGTTAAGATTTGTGTCCAAAATGAAGAGGATGAAGAGTCCAGTGAGGTTGAAGTTGTAATAAAGCAGCTTTACTTACCCGGGGGTAGGTACAAAGTGCCAGTAGAAAGTATTTCAAATACCATTGTTTTGATTCCAGATGTTGATTCGAGTATAACAAAAGGTGCCACAATCATATCACAAGACAATTTGAAAGATCCGATTTTCAAAATCCCCAACTATTCAATCGCGTCAGTAATGAAGGTGGTAGTTGAGCCAATGAATCCTACTCAAAGGCCGCTCTTGCTTGAAGGGTTGAACAAGATCTCCAAGTCATACTTGTCGTCGGTTTTTCAAGTGGAGGAAAGTGGAGAATGTGCCATTATTGCTCCTGGTGAATTCTATTTGGATTGTGTATTGCATGATTTGAGACTTTTCTTCAACAATGATTTACAAATTAGAGTCAGTGACCCAATGACGATCTTTTCTGAAACATGTATAGCCCAATCATTTACACAAATTCCTGTGACTACCCCCGAAGGTAAGGTTTCCATATCCGTTATTGCCGAGCCTGTGAATGACGCAAAATTAAGTTATGAAATCGAAAACGGTTTGATGGATATTCATCTTAGCAAAAAGGAGATGTCATCCTTTCTCAAGTCGAAATTCGGATGGGACGCTTTGGCAGCCAGATCTGTTTGGTCGTTTGGACCTGATGACTTAATTGGGCCTGACATTTTGCTAGATGATACCTTAGATGAAGAAACCGACAAAGAAATGCTAATCAATTTGAAGCCATTGATCGTGTCTGGATTTAAATGGAGTGTTAACGAGGGCCCACTTTTCAACGAACCTATCAGAAATGTCAAGTTTAAAATTCTTGAAGTTCATTTTGGACAGAATTCAGAGCCCTTTTTGAATGCGGCTCAAATCATCCCGTTGATGCGTCGCGCTTGTCACACTGGATTACTTACAGCAAAACCAAGGGTCATGGAACCAATATATCACGTTGAAGCCATATGTCCCTACAAAGCCATTCGCATTGTCAAAGAGGCTTTAAAACTCAGAAGAGGGCGTCATTACAAAGAAGAGCCAGTTGAGGGCACACCATTATATCGAATTGAAGGCTTTGTTCCTGTTATTGATAGTTTCGGTATGCTGTCTGATATAAAATTACATGCGCAAAACAAAGTGTCCATGTCATTAGTGTTTCTGCATTGGGAGATTGTTTCGGGTGACCCATTTGATGATACATGCCCCTTGCCTACGTTGGAACCTGTTCCCATGGAATCCTTGTCTCGTGATTTCTTACTCAAGACCAGAAAGAGAAAGGGATTGACTGGTGAACCCACTGTGCAAAAATATATAGACACAGAGCTCTACTTAAAATTAAAAGAGCGAGAATTGGTTCTTTAGTGAAGGAGGTGTTCTGAACTGGGGGTTGTTTTTATTTGGTTCAAGCTATATAGGTTTTGCATAAATCCATCAAAGTTTTTTTTTTAATTTTTCAAACTCATAGCTTTCTTTTCTTTCTTGATCCATCAGTTTCATTGTCAATGTAATCCACATGTGATATGTTATCAAATCCACCATTTTGCTTTATTGTATCCACTAAGCTGTTGTATTTCATTATAAAACGGGGTTGAGTTGATAGTTTAAAATCCAATTGTTTCGGTACTTTTTCCTTTGCAGTTGTACAGTCACACAACTTGTAATAAACGTCCAAAAAGTCTGAAAGTTGAAGATCTTTACAATACACATTGTCTTCAGTCAAGGCAATTCCACCAAATTGAGGAATTGATAGTATAATCTCTTCATCCAACTCAAAGTGAAATTCAGAAATTGTACGCAATATAGCAAAAAACTCATCAAGGGTGATATCTTCACTCTTTTCATCCTCAAATATGGCACTAGGTCCGTCTTGGCTATCCGTACGGAAAAGAAGAAACATGGCATTCTTGTGAGTCAAGTATATCGGGATCTTGTTATCCATTCCTCCCTTGAAATTAGGCAAATCTTCAACCAATGTATTTATGTCATCCATTCCTTCGTCAAAATGCTCCTTGGGATTGGATTTCAAAGCGGTATATTGGTTGTCCTCCTCTGGATTGGGACCTTTCGCGTCCAAATCGATTTCCTCCTTTTCGCCATTAGCCGTGACAACTTCGATCTTTTCGATTCCCTCCACCAGCTCAGAGGTAATCGCCTGGTTTTTATTGTCTTGGTCATTGATGCCACTTTGTGTGTCACTACCATCATTCGTTGCAACTGCTTCAGTGTCGACAGCTTTGCTCTTTTGAGCATCTTCTCCATTATGTTCGATAGTTGTCAGAGAAGTGGAGTCATTTTCTGTATTTGTTCCCCCTTTTGTCCCTTGGTTATTTGCTTTATCACTTTTGGCATCACTCACATTGTCAACCGTTTCATGAATTTTGAAGTCAATTTCGTTCACACCTTCCGCATTTTTCGTACTAGTCAAATTTGAGCCACTCTCTAGCTGGTTCCTGACAGTGTTGTTAACCGCTTCTCCTTGTAAAGTCTTGTCAAGTCCATATTCATCCTCCTTCTGCTCTTCCTCCTCCTCTTCATCATACTCTAGTTGCTCTTCAGCTGTGGTTATCTGACTCAATTTCAGGGGCTCTAGGACGACATCTCCGAGATCTTCAATTTTTCCCTCACTTGCTCCGGTCGTGGTGGATTCATAAACAGTATCTGCATCCGATGTAGTCGCTGTATTCTCTAGTTGCATTACTTCTGACGCTTTCGTCGTTTCATTACTTTCAACTTGTCCCTTATTAACTGTTTCCTCTTTTGCCTCGAACGTTTCACTGGCATTCAATTGCTGGATAATTTGTGGGCTCTCAGTGTCGACTATATGTGGTTGATCGTGTGCGCCAATTGTGCTCATTTCTGTAGAATTAAATGTTGATAAATCTTCTGAATTGATAGAACCGATAGGACCCTTTTGCAAAACCGTATCTTTTGTAGCCTCTCCTTGTTCAGGATTCAAATTCTCACCTTGATCCATGTCGCCGTACTCGCTGTTTCTTTTCCAATAGAGGTCACGTTCGGTTCTTAATCCAAATGAAAGAAAATCGTGTCCCTCGCTGCCCCAGGAATTCTAATCAGTAAGTTAGTATATTAGGTAGCCTATTGCTTGAACGTACTTTGAATTGAGTTAAAGATAGTTTCAAGTAAATGGTAAATAGTGATTGCTGATCTAATTCACGATATGTTGGAATATCGAATAAACCTAGGGTCTGTTTTTCTTTATTCTGACATTTCCACGCTTTTCTTGTTTTCACGCCGTTATTTTTTTTTTAACTTTTTGCTCTGCGTAAAATTTGATCCAAAGTGCACGAATCCCTCGTTACAAAGAGGGTGGGGGTCAAGAAGGTCTTGGGTACTATACAGTCAGAGAGAGCTTCTATAACCAACATTTGGTTTCTTGAATGATATAATACAATTGAAGTATACGTTGCTTTACGATGATGAAAAATCACTCTATTCAATAGATAAGATAGATCCGTAATTGGACCACGATGACACACACAATGGTCACATCTTTCAAGGTGCCCAAACTGTAAAATGTTGGGGCGATGTTAATGACAAAGGCTTATAATCATCTGCTCCAAGCTCCTCTGACTCATTCTTCCTAAAGTCCGGTTTGTCATCGTTCAGTGTATCGACTTCCTCTATCAGTTGTTTTGTTGGTTTATACATCATGCTCCTAGCTTCCGAAATGAGATTCTTGAATTTTTCCTTATCAAAAGCGCTTTGTTCTCCGGACCCTTTGGATTCCAAATACAGAGCAGCATCCTCAAGCTTTCCAATCACGTCGATGGTGGATTTGGTCAATGCTAATCTATCAACGAAATTTTCCTCTTGCTGCCTTGCTAAATTTTGTCTCTCACGTTCGTAAATCTTTTCTAATTCTTCGATCTTAGCCAATTTAGTCTCCACCTTTGAAAGCTCGTGGTTAATTATACTGGCACTAACTTTGTGCATCTCTCGTTCCTCATAGCTAGCAAAAACGTGACTGCGTGCCCCCACTATGCCGAAAGTGGTTGCGATGGCTTCTCCTTCTCCAGTTTGCTCCTCCTTATGTCCGTTCTGTTCCGATGATTTGTTTTCATCCTTGTATCTATCTTGCTTAAGTCCTGGATCATCTGCACTAGGATCAGTATTACCCTTATCTTCTTCAACCTGATCCTTTTTGTCTCCATAAACATCAATAACCTTTTGTCTAATTGTAGCATCCATCGCCTTTATAGCAGCTTCGCTTGCGGCTTTCGCGACCTCTCTGTCAACTAATCTGGTCATAAATACCAAGTTTGCCAACACGGGATTGTCGATGGAATTGATGGGATAATTTGAAGCAAATCTCAAAAGTTCAATGTCACTTTTATTGCCATCTTTAATGGGGTTGAATTTGTCTTCAAGAGGTAATTTCAAGAATTTAAGAACGCATTGTTGTGGAGTTTTGTCTTTTCCCACAGCTGCTGCGATTTGGTACCAATCATTCTTGTAGGTCTTCACAGCATCCACTAATTTGCTAACATCTTCTTGGCTCCACCCATCATTCTGCTTTTTCGTTACTGACTTGATCGATGTCTTATCATCTACTTCGTCCAAAGGGCGTTTTCTATTGACCCCATTCTTTTCAATGCTTGCATGCGATGGTGCATCAATTTGCAAAAGACTCTTTAATTTATCCACGTCAACTCTTTCAGGTGGTATCCTCGATGTATCAAATGGGAAAAGACCTCTTGGCGTATCAAACTTTACATGGAAATCTCCTGTATAAGGTAAATCAACCAGCAGCCCATTTGGTAGTTTCTCGATTGCGTACCCAGGTTTGAATTGTGGCTTGACTTGGTAATTTATCAACCCCCATTTGTTCAAAAATCGATGCACTCTCATCAAAGTCCCTACATCTCCCACTAAATTTCTACGACATGATGTTAACGTCAAAAACTCATTCGGGTTGAGCCTATATGAGTTGATCATGAAATTCCTGTAATTGGCATACAATTTGGGCGATTTCGAAGGATGGGTGGAATCAAAGAATTCAGGTAATGACTCCTTTTCAATTTTGTGAATCTTTTTCATGTTGAACCAACTAGCATAAGACGGAATGACTATTAGGTGGGTTTGTTTGACTTTTGGTGTTGGCTTCTCCACGTCATCAAGTTCTTCTTCTATAACTTGTTCTTGTTCTTGTTCTTCTTCATCGCCCGCTAAGGATGTAGTTTTCGATTTGACTACTGGCTCAGGAGGAAATGGCTCATTAGGTGCCGGTGGATTTGTAAATGGCGAATTGTGGTCAAGTGTTGATGCAGGCAACTGCTTCTCGGCTACACTATCATTCTCCTCCAAAGTGCTTGATGGTTCTTGTTTCACAGGGTTGCTCGCATTCGTCAGCACGTCTTGCATTTCAAAATCTTCCTCATTTGACGCGTCATTGGCATCCCCCATTAAAAAGGAGCTATCAAAGTTGTCATTCTCATCCACACCCTCGTCGGCATTAAAGTCTGCATCAAATGAAGGATCATCAGCCTGAGTGTATTTCAAGTTCTCATCCTCGCCAAGTTCTTGGTTCAACTCTTCTTGGTCATACTCTTTCATTCCCTCAGCTGATGCGAATTCATTTTTATGGTCTATGTCCATTGCATTCTCTGTTGGAATGTCATTTTCGGCTTGTTTGCCCTTGTTTTGATCATCATCACCACCAGTAGAAGTATTCGCCAAGGAGGGGTTGATCTCTCCTTCTTCTGCAATTGGTGCTTCTAAGTGATCAGTCGCCTCAGTCTTTTGCTCTATATCAGAATGATCAATAGCATTCTCATTTGTGTTCTGAGGATGTTCGGACAAACTTTGTTGAGGATTGTGTGCGACTGCTTCTTGATCTTGGCCGTCCCCATTGTCATTGGTCAGGTTAGTATGGTTACTTTCATTCGACACTGCCTCTATAAAGTGTGTTTTATCTTCAAAGGGCTCATTTTGCGGAGTTTGTTCCACTGGTATGGTAGGTAGTTTTCTATCCACAACGGCATCTGCTTCTAGCATCTGATCTTTTGAGTGGTTCAAATTGTCCACATTGTCCTGCTTTTCGACTGCAGAGATTTCAGGATTTTCTCTCGCATCACGTTTAGCTTGCTCTTCCTCCTTCTCAATCTCTGTATTTCCCGATACATTGTTGTTGGCTTCAAGTTCAGGCGTATCGTTGCCAGGCGGAGTGTCCTTGTGCACATCATCTGCAGCAGTGTGTATTGGATTTTCAGGAATGTTGTCATGCTTACCCCTACTGCTAACATCTTCTGCATTCAAGTGAGTCAATGATTCCAGCTCTAGATCTGGAGGTGCATTCTCAGTACTATTCGATCGCAAATGTTGCATCTCTTCCACTTGCTTTTGATCCAAACGCTCGGAAGTTAATGGCTGTGGCTCCTCTAATTGATCTTGATCCCGATATTCCTCCTCATCGGTGATTGTTTGAGCAGGCACATTATTTGACTCTGTTTCCTGTCCTTCTTCGTTGGTTTCCTCCGCCTGTTTCACTTTCTCTTCATTGGATACTGAGCTCATTGTGCAAATGTGTGCAGATTAAGAGCCTGTTTGCTTGGTAGTATCTCCTAGATGGTTATATTTCGCCTGATGTGGTGCTTGAATTTTAATTTGCGGTATGGATTAATCCGTCACCTAACAATAATATGCCCCTTGCAGTCCTCGATGCTTTATCTGTATAAATGTCTTCCTATTCAATTCAAAAATAGGTTTTTTATTCAAACTAATGGCCGCGTTGATGTTGGTTCACTTCAATATTGTGTCTAAACGAGTTGAAAATATACTGAACTCTCAGTCCGGGTAAATGTTTGGCAATATAATAGTAAGAATCGTGCCAAATAGACCGTACTTGTCAAGTATAAACCAGTGCTTTCAAAAATCTCCAGCCGGATGTATTTGAAGCAGGATGATGGATTTCTGTATTCAAAATACAAATACTTGAACCTCGCTTTTGTTTTCAGTTTTTCGTTCTTTTTGTCTCTGTCGTTGTGGTTTTGAAATTATTGTGCATGAGTACACGCAAAAACTAGGAAAAGACACCATCGAAAGCGTTTCGATGTTTGCAGTTGTGGCAAGCCCATCCTTAATGATACGAAAGGTTTTCCCTATGTTACTGATGTGTTTAGCTGTAAGTTACAAGCTTGTGTATAGTCAGTGTCTAAACTCTTTTGTGGGACACACGGGGGGACTTCTTCTAACAACGTTGAGTCAGTTTATGAGATAGAATTACAAAGGGTTTGGCCCATCTGCTACATCACTTTGCGTTCAAGGTCATGAGTTTTGCTACTTGTTGCTTAAAACTGATTCGAGCCATCCCAATTTTCTTTCCGTTCATTTTCTTGCTACCATTGTTTATTGCAAAACCTCGAAACATTGAAAATCCATGCAGTTATAGGTTCACTGTCAAGATGTATCAACACGGTCGTTTGGTGCTTATACATTAGTGTCAAACTTTTCTTGGTTTGAATTTAGTTACTTTTTGTTTGAATTTGGGTGCAAAATTTATTGTAATAAGAAGATGGTTGGTTATTCTTGATATCGTAGCTGTTTGAGGCTATGATCATGCGAAAGAACAACGCACGCGCGATTGTTAACAGATAGAACACTCGTGGGCTTCTTTCCAAGTCTACGTTGAAAGAGCATAGAACAAAAGTGCACATTCGAATGTACGCAGGGTATCATCCTTTTAATTGATTCTTTAGAGTAATGTATCTTCATTTTGTGTTACATCTTTTCGATCGGGTGAAGGAAGTACAAAGTCTTCACAAATTGATTTAAAGCAGAGAACACTCTTGTTCTCGTTTAATTTCTAATTGTACCAATCCGGGTCATCTGTGAACCTAAACGTTTGGATACTTAGGTATGTACATTACTGCCTTTTCAGTCTGGAGAACTTCACCTGCAAATGATCGCTTCAAAAGCATTCTTGCATGGACAGACGATGCCTCTTACATAGACCAGACACTGTCTCGAACACAGGTGAGCCGGTTCAGACATAACATGCAAACTCTGGTAGTTGTTTGTTTGCGTAGTATGCATCTGACTCACTCTATGTTTTGATTAGGCGATAAAAAAAGAACTTTTGTTCGAGGGCTACAACCCTACACAACTTGTTTGCACAGAGCTACCACTTACATAGTAAACCAAGCACAATACACACAAACAGCAGAGCGAACGTGGAAAAGGAGGAAAAAATAAAAAAAAGAGCTCCAAAATTTTCAGACCCAATAGTAGTTCCAGTTTACGATTTATCAAGCACATCAACAATGGTTCGTTACGCTGCCACCCCATCCAACCCAGCTAAATCAGCATCTGCTCGTGGATCTTATTTGAGAGTTTCATTCAAGAACACCAGAGAAACTGCACAAGCCATCAACGGTTGGAAATTGACCAGAGCTCAACAATACTTGGACCAAGTCTTGGACCACCAAAGAGCTATTCCATTCAGAAGATTCAACCACTCTATTGGTAGAACTGGTCAAGGTAAGGAATTTGGTGTTACTAAAGCTAGATGGCCAGCCAAATCCGTTAACTTCATCAAGGACTTGTTGAGAAACGCTCAAGCCAACGCTGAAGCTAAGGGATTAGACACTGAAAAATTGACCATCTCTCACATTCAAGTCAACCAAGCTCCAAAACAAAGAAGAAGAACATACAGAGCACACGGTAGAATAAACGCTTATCAATCTAGTCCTTCCCACATTGAATTGACCTTGACTGAAGAAGATGAAGTTGTTGAAAAAGCCACCGATAAGAAGGTTGTCAGATTAAATGCCAGACAAAGAGGAAGATTGGCTTCTCAAAGAAGATTGACTGCTTCAGCTTAAATTTTGAGATGAAGCCTTGTGTTCAATAGAGGGTGAAGAATGAAATATAACTAGGTAAAGTTTGTACATTTAATACAATGGTAACGAGAAACTTGTATCGTTTGGATGAGTTCGGGATGAGTTCCATTTGGAAGGAGCGCAATGTAGTTGTGTAAGCAGAAAGTGTGTGCGGTGATTGACTGATATCCATACTTCTGGCTATGAATTTTCAATGTTCCATCAACAACTTATCCTCAGGAGAAGTATATCAACAATCTCTGGAATTTGTGACAACCGAACAAGGTACAACTGTAGGCTTTGACAGCTCCACCATATCTGTTGTCTCCCGATCGATTGACAACAGGTAGCGCGCAAGCATTCTCATCGCTCCAAAATTAAATTTTCTTTAATGGCATCGCTCAGAAACAACCCTTTCAACCATTGGCATTCAATATCGATTAAAGACAAAAACATGGGTAGGAGCACATTGAAGCAACAACTCAAGCATCACAAGTCCCAGAATAAAGAGGAGCCAGTAAAGTCAGCAAGCAAGCACAAAAAGCTGAACGTTGTTGAACCAAAGGTTGAAGATGATAAGATCACACCAGCGGTTGTGCCCAAGCCTATTTTAAAAAAGATTGACGATGGGTCCGACGAGTATCAAAGCAGCTCATTGTCGAAAAAAGGGCTTCGAAAATTGCAAAAGTTGAAAGCCCAGTTGAAGGAGGAAGAGGGTGCTTCAGACGATGAGGAAGAAGAGAATGACGCTGAAGAAGATGAGGAACTAGACTTGGAAAAATTAGCTGCAAGTGAAAGTGAGAGCGATATCAATGGAATTGAGGATGACGAGGATGACGAAGATGACGAAGATGACGAAGATGACGAAGATGACGAGGAAGAAGACGACGACGAGGTCATTCAAGAGGAAGAAGCTCAAGATGATGTACCCTTATCTGACGTAGAATATGACTCAGATGCTGACATTGTACCACATACGAAACTCACGATAAACAACATGGCAGCATTAAGAGAGTCGTTGGCCCGTATTCAGCTTCCATGGGAGAAACATGCTTTCACCGAGCATCAATCCGTTACTAGCGCAGAAAACGCTGAGTCTCAAATCAAGGATATATATGATGACACGGAAAGAGAGTTGGCATTTTACAAACAAGGATTGGATGCTGTCAAACAAGCCAGAGCCACCTTGCTTAAACTCAAGGTCCCCTTCTCACGTCCAGTTGATTATTTTGCCGAAATGGTCAAGAGTGATGAGCATATGGATAGATTAAAGACAAAATTGTTGAGCGAAGCCGCTAATAAGAAAGCTTCAGAAGATGCAAAGAAGCAAAGACAATTAAAGAAGTTTGGTAAGCAAGTGCAGCATGAAACCTTGCAGCAGAGAGCCAAACAAAGGAAAGAAACGTTGGAGAAGATCAAGAGCTTGAAAAAGAAGAGAGGAACCAATGAGATTAGTAATGATGATGACTTCCAAATAGCCTTGGAAGAAGCCACAAAAGATGACTATTCGGGCCCCGGCAGTGGCGGTGACAACAAAAGGAGAAAAGTGAATGGAAAGAGGATGGCCAAAAACGCCAAGTATGGACAAGGTGGTAAAAAGAGTGGGTCAAGAAAGAATGATGCTGCATCGTCTGCAGATATTTCTGGATTCTCAAGTAAAAAAATGAAAGGAAAGTCTTCTAGACCTGGTAAGAGTAAACGTTCGAGAAGGTAGTCATGATACAGACTCGCCAATATGAGTGGGTGATGTAAATACCAATTGTCAAGTTAATTTTATTTCCTCCTTGTAACGCACTTCTCTGACTTCATTAAACGACCATTGTATTAGCTCTTTGCAAAAACTTCTGTTAAACTCGCATCGTTCAAGTTTTTAATTTTTTCATCGATTCGATCAAACTTACAACAACTCTGCATACCCCCTAAATCATGTCTAAAGAAGCAGCGAAAGATAGATTTTTGAATGTTTTCAAAGAGATTGTCGATGAATTAACAGGCATTCTTGTTTCCTATAAAATGCCTAAAGAGGCCATCACTTGGTTTCAAAACAATTTAAATTACAATACTCCTGGAGGAAAATTGAACCGTGGATTATCAGTAGTTGACACATATGCGATTTTGAACAACACCACAGCCGACAAATTAGATGATGAAACCTACAGAAAGGTTGCTATTTTGGGATGGGCAATTGAGTTATTACAAGCTTATTTTTTGGTTGCTGATGATATGATGGATCAGTCCGAAACTCGAAGAGGACAACTATGTTGGTACTTGAATGAAGGCGTGGGAATCATAGCCATTAACGACTCATTTATGTTAGAAGGTGCCATTTACGAAATTTTGAGAAGACATTTTCGTAAGGATTCGTATTACGTGGATTTGTTAGATTTATTTCATGAAGTAACTTTCCAAACCGAATTAGGCCAATTGTTGGATTTGGTAACTGCTGACGAGGACCATGTCGATTTGAGTAAGTTTTCCTTGGAAAAACATTCATTCATTGTCATCTTTAAGACAGCATACTATTCTTTTTACTTGCCTGTTGCCTTGGCCATGTACATGTCAGGAATTAACGATGAAAAGGATTTGAAACAAGTTAAGGATGTTTTGATTCCTCTTGGTGAGTACTTTCAAATTCAGGATGACTATTTGGACTGTTTCGGAACTCCCGAACAGATTGGAAAGATTGGAACCGATATTAAGGACAATAAATGTTCTTGGGTTGTAAATCAAGCGTTATTACATGCAACTCCAGAACAAAGAAACTTGTTAGACAACAATTACGGAATGAAAGATGACGAGTCAGAAGCCAAGTGTAAACAATTGTTCAAAGACATGGGTATTGAAAAAATTTACCATGAATACGAAGAATCAATTGTTCAAAAATTAAGACAACAAATTGATCAAATTGATGAGTCAAGAGGCTTGAAAAAGGACGTCTTGACCGCATTCTTGAATAAAGTGTATAAGAGATCTAAATAGGCGTGATTTTCTACAAAATAGTCTGCTGTCAAACAGCTTTTAATCAATTCATTCATTTGTATGCCACGTCTATACGTTAACTCTCTCCAATTCCTCTCTTCCTTCTTTGGTGTACAAGTACTCATTGTAGCTTTCTGCCTTATCAAAGATGGTATATACAATAGCGGCTGGGATTGCAACGTACAAGAATTGGTTCTTGACTCTTCTGAATGTGTTGAAGACAGCATTGTAAGCAGCACCTTTCAATGGCTTAGCGGCGTAAGGTGAGATGGTGTATTGAGTGATGTACTTTTGCTTGGGGGATCCTAAAGCTCCCCACCAGCCCATATATGCGTGTGGATGTGGTGGACCTGCCATGTTCAACTAAGTTTGTATGTCCTTCAAAGATGTGAATGAATAAAGCGGGTCTAATAAATAAATTTTCTTTGCTTCTTTTGGTGCGACATCCTTCAGTCTTTACGCCCAGTACATAATAATACAAAATTTCAACATTGTCATTGGACAGAAAAAAACGTTTTATACACAGGAACACAGAAGAAGATAATTGAAACTCTCTTGTTCTAATCATATACAATAGATAAATCATTTCTATTTGACCTTACCAACGATGACAGTCGACCTCGTTTAAAAAGGACTTTCCTGCACCATACTTCCACCATCGCGATAAACAACTATGAGCATTAACATCAATTGTACGATTCATTTCATGATTCGCATCTCTTGGTTTACAGATGCATCTTTTAGAGGCAATAATATCTTCTGAATGAGGACAAGCTAAGAATGGCGCGTGGTAGTAACCAATGTCTTCGAAATGGTGAATCTGGCTCTTGTCAGCTAGGAGACAAACACCAATTGAGTGCACCGGAGCATCACCCCATCTTTCATAATGAAATCCCCCAGCTTCACTCAAATGTTTGAAATAGGTCTCATATGCTTCACTACGAAAGAAGTTGAGGTTACCAATTTCAAAGTTTGACCAAAAGTGACACAAATTATACCTTGATGTTGACTCAGTGAATGTCATAAAGTGGGTGATTGTAGTTTCGTGAGTTGTCAAAAAGTCAAGAGCATTATTTGGATGGAGCAAGTTGGGGTGTTTCTCCATAAACGCTTCGACATTTTCCCAAAGGGTTGGAACGGTATTTTCAAACTCTGTAATGGCGATGACAAACCCATATATTTTATTGTTTTCACGAAGTAGCTGGAACGGATCGTATTGAAAATCACACATGTATTCAACATCGGGGTCAACTCTAAAGTACCATTCATAATTCAATAGCCGTTCTTGCTTGTAAAAGAATCCGGAATAGAAATGGCACATATTTCTATACGACCTCAGAAACCCGTAAAGCACATTTGTTGATGTGTTTAAGTTCTCATCCAACCTGGTTTTGTTTATGTATGGTGGTGGTTGCCAATGCTCTGCGGGTACTAATTCGTAATAAGTCTCACCGCTGGCCATTAAGCTTGTTTTCTCAACAAATTCTTCATCAAATGGTTCATCGTTCATAAAGACCCAAGGGTACTTGTACTCTCTGTTAAACCTATCCTCAAGTGAACGCATTGCTGAAAGTGCTCCTTCAAGCTCCCCATTGCGAACAAGCATTATCATTGTAGCATTTTCTTTACCAATTTGCTCCAAATTTCGTGGTGGGAAATGCTTTCGTAGATATGAATTGGTGGCCAACTTTGGTTGACCTTTTGCAAGTGGATTGTAGTTGTAGGTGGTCTCTTTCGGTAGCTGGCTCTGCAGATTGTATCTTAGTGCAAGATAGTAATTTATCGTAATCGCTGCCACTAGTAATACTGTTGAGATTTTGAACATCTTTGATTACTATGAATTCCCAAAATTAAAACGTGCATTTGGTCAACTAGAGTTGTATGATTTTTTGTATTAGCCATGATGCGGCTCGAAGGTTAAGCTCCAAAAAATGGGTAGAAGGTAAACGAATGAAACACAGTAGAGCGATTCACTGAATGAAAGAGCATATTTAATTTGTCATGCATTTAAAGAAAGTGTTTCATGGTTTTTGACTTTAAAGAAATACTGCAAGAATAATCGGCAACCACTTTTTTACAATCCTCTTTCGCTAAGTAAATGACAACACTAATTTTTGAATGTTGCCTTGCACCATGGATGGCACTAACATGCTATGCAAATGAAACAACAAGCAACCAAGCAGGGTCCGCCTCACTGAGCGATGCAACTTTGCCGAATATGTTGCAGGGCCATTTGACGAACTACTTACGTAATTGCAACCAACAAATTCAAATTGATAAAGCATTAGAGTTGAACTCAAAAAAGGTAAGTAGATCTTTGCTATTTGGAGACGGAACAGACTGTGCAATGATTTCTTCAGAAAGATTTGCCCTGCTATATTTTCAAACCCGTTGCAATGAAGTGTCAATCCCCATACTGCAAGCCGTAGTGAGCGGTTGCATAGATACGTTGATTCCCACAAATCGGTTCATAGAGCACGGTGTCGTCCCACACAAACATGTTCCACTTACCCTAGAGGTAGAGCATATCCTTAAGTCAAAATTTGCAGTTACTTCCTTATTTGCTACAACTCAAAAGATGTTGACACCAAACTCACCGGCGAGCAAACTAATTGAAGAAATGCGTAGGAAAAGAACAATGTCAGAAACTATAACCATCGAGAATTCCACCAAGTTTCAGTTCATCTTTTACTCAATTCCAACTCAGATTGAAAACAAGTGTGCTTCAACGCAATTGCACTCGGATTTAAGTGTCGATGACATGACTCAACAATTCGAAGAAGCCTCGTTTATAGGCATCACTGAAGCTGACCTTGGACGCAAAATGTTGATTAAAGACAACCCCACTTTAAAAGTATACGAGGAGGTAGATGCCATGATTGAGGAGATAAAATCATCTGCAACTTTAGCTTTCAAAGTATTCAAGCTTCCACATGTGGAGCTCGTGCAAAGCTGGGAAACAATCATTTTGGGTGCAAATCTCAAACAACTGATTTTGAACTGCTGCAAGACCATGTTAAACTCAGCGAGTTTTCATCTCGAATTGGGAAACTTTCTTGTACTTGAAGGAATGCCCGGAACGGGTAAAACATCGCTTGCAAAATCAGTTTTTCAAAAACTTGCAATATCCAAGCAAAAAATCGATGCCTATGTTCCCGCCATCATTTTAGAGTTTTCCACTGGTGAAATTTTTTCAAAGTACTTTGGTGAGTCCCCAAAAAAACTCCTGTCACTACTATCATCGGTTGAGCAATTACTACTCCGCCATCCATCGTCTTATGTGTTCCTACTAGTGGATGAATTGGAAACGATTGCCACAAGCAGGGAAAAACTGGTTGGCAATAACGAAGTTTCCGACGGCTTGAGAATTGTCAACATTCTCATCACTTACTTGGATCGTTTGAAGGTATTTCCAAACTTGATAATCATTGCAACAACGAATATGCTAAGTAGTATGGATTCAGCTGTAGTTGATAGGGCAGTTCGTGTCTTCAAATTTGGGAATCCCAATGTCACCGAGATAGAAAAAATCCTCAAGTTGAGCCTCGAAAAAGCCGTGCTCAAGAAAGGGGATATTAAGGAGCTGGAAGTAGCATCACTGTTGCAACAAATTGCTAATTTTTGTTATGTATGTATGCATGATGGCACTTTGTGATTGACGCTTCATTTACTAACCAATTATAGTCCAATAAATTGAGTTGCAGAAGAGTCAGTAAGTTACCAGCAATGGCGGTCGGCAACTTGCGTGAACATCAGAACTTGGGTGGTTTCGTTTGTGTACGTGATGCAATCATAGAAATGGCAAAGCTTTGTACGGATCAAACGTATTAGCTGTGCAAAATGCTACCAATTTTGTATTTAGCGGATTTATTATATTTTTTTTTGCTTTCCTTTTGCAATTCACCCAATAGAATGCGAAGAAATCCCTTTTACTAAAGGGTAGCGATTTGGTTAAGCATATTTGTACGCAATTTTTTCTTTCTTTTACAAAACACATTGCTAGGAATTCAAAATTGTTTTGATACAATCTAGAAATTTCGACATTTGTATATCATAATTCAAAGTATCGATAGTTGAGATCTGTGCCACTACCTGATTCTATATTCAAATCATAGAGTACACATATACAGGCCACATGCTTCGCAACTTCAAAATAAGGCCACGCCAGTTGGCTTCAATTCGTGGATTGGCCACAACCGCAGACCCAGCTGCAAACCCAAATAGACACCACGGGGGATTAAAGGATCAAGACCGTATTTTTCAAAACCTTTATGGAAACTATGGACATGATTTGAAATCAGCACAAAAGATGGGAGATTGGTACAAGACAAAAGAAATCATCTTGAAAGGTGATAAGTGGATCATTGACGAAATGAAAAAGTCTGGATTAAGAGGAAGAGGGGGTGCCGGTTTTCCCTCTGGATTAAAGTGGTCGTTTATGAACCCACCTGGATGGGAAAAGAATGTTGGACCTAGGTATTTGGTTGTCAATGCTGATGAAGGTGAGCCCGGTACATGTAAAGACAGAGAAATCATTAGAAAAGATCCTCATAAGTTAGTAGAGGGTTGCTTGTTGGCAGGTAGAGCAATGAATGCCACTGCTGCTTATATTTATATCAGAGGAGAATTTTATAACGAAACAGTTATACTACAAAATGCTATAAATGAAGCTTACAAGGCCGGATTAATAGGTAAAAACGCATGCGGATCAGGATATGATTTTGACATATATGTTCATAGAGGTATGGGTGCTTATGTCTGTGGTGAAGAGACTGCATTGATTGAATCAATAGAAGGTAAAGCAGGTAAACCAAGATTGAAGCCACCTTTCCCAGCTGGTGTCGGGTTATTTGGGAGACCTACAACTGTTGCCAATGTTGAAACTGTGTCAGTTGCACCAACCATCTTGAGAAGAGGAGGGGCTTGGTTTGATGCATTAGGCCGTGAAAGAAATTCTGGTACAAAGTTGTTTTGTATATCGGGTCATGTCAATGACCCCTGCACCGTAGAGGAAGAAATGTCCATACCATTGAAAGAGTTACTAGAAAAGCACTGTGGTGGTATCAAGGGTGGTTGGGATAATTTGTTGGGTGTTGTTCCTGGTGGATCCTCGGTTCCAATCATGCCAAAAGAAACCTGTGATACTGTTTTGATGGATTATGATGCATTAAGAGATGTAGGATCAGGTTTGGGTACTGCGGCTGTCATTGTTATGAATAAGCAAACAGATATAATAAGAGCTATTCAAAGATTTGCCCATTTCTACAAACATGAATCCTGTGGACAATGTACTCCATGTCGTGAAGGAACAACTTGGTTACAAAGAATGATGGACAGGTTTCAAACAGGGCAGGCAACTGAGAGGGAAATCGATATGATTTTTGAATTAACTAAAGAAATTGAGGGCCACACTATATGTGCGCTTGGTGATGCTGCCGCTTGGCCAGTTCAAGGTTTGATCAAATCATTCAGGCCCGTAATGGTTGATAGAATAAACGAATACCAAAAGAAGCATGCCGATTTAGGACCAGTTCAATATGGTGGATGGGTTGATGGAGGTAAAGTAAAGGATGGAGTTGTTGTGGATAACCCTATACCACATGGTCATTGATACGTCTTGTGAACGTATTCTATTTATATTTAGTCAATAGTATACAGTTGTGTCTAAATACCATTTTTTCCATGGAGGTAGTATCTGTATACTGATGTATTGTGTTCAATGAATGGAATGTTCCTGCGTTGGTAGATTCTGCCACAAAAACGGACCGTAATAAGATTTTCATTGAAATTGTTGCCCGTCTTAAGAAGAGCGAGAACAGCACATAGATCAAAGATTTTTTTTTTTTAGCAACGCCTACTTTTTGCATATCGTAAATCACTAGGGCTTTTACAAGTTTACTGTACCTTGACATACTAGAAACTTTGTAACAGGTTATTAGTACCTACCTAGTGGCTCATTCCGAATTCAGATCACCAGCCTTTTCATCAACCTTTCCATATCGAAACCAGTCACAACACGCGTTCTTTTCTTTGGCGAACGGCACAAGATTTAAAACTCCGAAGATTACGAAAATGAGATACCAAAAATTTGCTTTACCACTTGTATACATTTTTGCAACTGCTTTAGCTGCTGTGGCCAATGAAGACTATGCCCTTGGTGCTGCAGTAGTGTCAAACAATGACCCAAGCACTGGCCATGACAAATCAAATAACAAATTGAGTGTCGCTCCGTTGGAGGATGAAGACAATCATCCTACACCTGACCATTTAAAACAACCATTGAATCCATATCAGAGTTCAGATTCTGCAGTTGTGGGCACAAATTCAGGAGAAGCACCTGCTGAAGCACAAAATTACGATGCATTCATCATGTCTATATCAATGATTGTTGTCTCCGAGATTGGAGACAAGACTTTTCTTATAGCTGCTTTGATGGCTATGCGAAACTCAAGAGTTATTGTGTTTACAGCCGCATTTTCGTCATTGGTGGTGATGACTGTTTTGTCAGGTATCGTTGGCCATGCATTACCTACATTGATCTCTCAACGTGTTACGCAGTTCTTGGCAGCGGTTTTGTTTGTAGTATTTGGAGCCAAATTACTTAGGGAAGGGTTGAGTATGTCAAAAGACTTGGGGGTAGAGGAAGAATTAGCTGAGGTAGAGGAAGAAATAGCTTCAAGCAAGATCAATTCACAATTGAATGATATTGAAGGTGGTGCAGGTACCCATTCCAATTCAAATGGAAAAAAGTCCAAGCTCAGCGACATGGGCCATCAAATACAAAATTTAGCATCGTTCATATTCACTCCCGTTTGGATCCAAGTGTTTGTCATGACATTTTTGGGAGAATGGGGAGATAGATCTCAAATAGCAACCATTGCCATGGCCGCTGGATCTGAATATTGGTATGTTATATTTGGAGCAATTATAGGACACGGGCTATGCACTGCTACTGCCTGCCTCGGAGGGAAACTTTTGGCTAAAAAGATTTCAATGAGAAATGTCACCTTGGGAGGTGCTATTGCATTTTTTGTATTTTCAATCTTGTACTTTTACGACGCATATTATAATATCGAAAGCTAAACGGGGTTTCAATAGTTTAATTATATATAGATAGAGAGAGAGATTTTCAATGAGACACGCGCTTGTTTCTTGTTTCTTCTTTTAAAGCTGACCTTGACACAAGAACTTCATAACTTGATTTGGATGTAAACCCTTTTTACCACCACGAGTGATTTTACTTTCCGCTGCCTCTCTAGCATTTTCCTCTTCTTTTTTCAACTTGGCCTCCGCTTTTCCTTCTGAAGTCTCCATATACTTCAGCTCCTCAATTGTATGGAAACCATAAAATTGAAACTCCTCACGTAGCTCTTGCAATTTCATTAGACTCCAAGCTACATATTCATCTTCTTTTTCAAAATCAACCGGTCCCTTTTCCTGTAATTTTTCAATTGTCGTTATTGACGAATTGATCCATTCGTCTACTTCAGGAAGAGCTTTTTTCCTCAATAGCGTAGTCAACAAACCTTCGTGTTGACTTGTTGGGAAATTGATTGTAGGATAAACGTTTGTTCTCAAAAGAAGCTCCTCATTGTTGTACAATATGTTGGCAATTGATGTCAACTGAGTAATAAGCACTTGAAACTGGTTTTGGAAATGAGTAAATGTGGGTAGTTTGATCTTAGTTGGGTGTCTATTATGAGCATTTATCTGATCCGATAATTTTCGTAGCGAAACATGAATCTGATTGAGTCTATTGCGAATGGATTCAAGAGCATCTAATGGTATTTGACTAAAGTCCAGTTGCACTGGAGCTGTTGGAGTTGACGGCACCGGTGTGTGATTCATTTTGAGAAAGAATCGACGTGATATAATGTTTGGTTTTATCTATTTCTTCAACTTTATTTTTTGGTGTTTTCAGAATGACTAGCATCTTTGATCAAACAAAGATGATACGTGGTAACTGGAGTCTAGCACAAGAGTTTAAACAAAATGAAAGAAAGCAACAATCTAGAGTACAACAGCGACAGAAGCATCAACACAAGTTAGAAAAGCTCAAGAACATTGATCCAATAAAATTGTATAATAAGATTAAGAATTTAGAGTCCAAAGAATCAGGATCTGATAGAGATGAGGATCATTTGAAATCATTGCAAGAGGACTGGACGTTCATTGAAAAACACGGCCTACATAAGGTCAAAATTAAGAAGTTTCTAGAGGAGAAAGGGAAACAAGAAAGACATGCGTTAAGGTTGAAGAATAAGTTATGGGCAAGTAAATCAATCTATTTTAATCCGGAGTTGAACCCCTTAGGAAAAGTGCCCAACATAGCCAATCTTGATGAAAGCGTAGCTGGTGAATTAAAGAATTTGACAATACCACTTCGAGATAGGACACATTACGAGCCAGATCCACTAATTGCAAAATTGAATGTGAAATTGCCCGATGGAAACCCACCGAAATTTTACAAGCTCATTCAAAATACGGCAAGGTCAAAGATGTCAGGGCAAGAAGATATAAAGAAAACGTCATTGGAAACTGAAACTTCTCTGTCAAATGATACTTATCTTGAACAACTACTGCAACTATCAAATTCCGATCAAGATCATGTTTCGGACGAGCTGGAACTGGATAAAGGCTTCGATTCAACAAATGAACCAAATTTGAAAAAGATACGGTACAAGTGATTCTATCAAATTTATTCTATATACAAGCAATGCTTTTAATAAATACATACATGTTAAGCAAGTAAACGGTTACGTGTGCATCCCCCCCATACAGCCCCCTGCCTCAAAACTTTTTTTCACTTTCCCTTATCACGACAACAATCTCACAACCAATTCCCAAGTTCCAAACATAATGATTGAATTGGGTACTGTTCTAAGCAAGTGGGGTGTCAAACCACCATACATACTAGCAAACCCTTCCTCCTTGAACACCAACTTAAAGCATTGAATCAATCCGGTATACTTTGGCTTACCAGTACTTTCTAATGGTGCTTGTCTCAACCTTGTTCTCACAACTTCATGAGGATACGTAATTAAACTGGCCAAAAACTTGGCGAGTCCTGCAGCTCCTGATCTAGCTGACCATTCCATAACATGGTCTTTAGTTGTTTTGTTTGTAGGGTTAGTGCCATGAATTTTTAATGATCGTTTATTTATAAACATTCTCATTTGTTCATAGAGCACCCATTGTATAGTACTTTCAATTCCACCTAGGTACGATGCACTTAAGCCTCGATATAAGCTGAAGAATCCTTCATTTTTAACAACATTTTTTAAACAATCCCATGAATTTTTATATATTTTCAGCTTTGATTTATCCAACTGCAATCTAGTCTTGATCAACCATATGGGATTCGTTGCTGTTGAAGTTACAAAACCTGCATTGATACCGGAAACTAAATGCATCCAAGTTTGTTCGGTATTGGTGGTGGTTGCAAAATTTCGTATCAAGAAATCCTTAGTGGCTCCATATGTGAAGAAATTTATTGATCTTGCTGGTATTACTCCAACTAAATTAGGACCCAAACCTTTAAACAATGACCTTACTCCCTCATTCACATACATCCCCCTCAACGCACCCCCAGTCTCTGATAAATGTTGAAAAGCTTGCTTTATAGGATTACCTGATTTCACTGATGTATTGTAAACATTGTGATAGACATCTGATTGTAGTCTGGTTTTCACGACATCAAGTGGACATGTAACGACAGCACCAACGGTACCACCGATTCCTCCAGCAACAAAATGAACCCACGGTTTTGTTTCTTTAATCTCTGATCTTGTAAATTTTTTGGATGTGGTTGTTTGTGGCTGCGGTACAGCTGCATCAAGCTCGTATATTAGTTCTTCATTTTTGAAAGTCGATGATTGTTCGTCAGAAGCCATGTACTTGTACGCCTCTTCGGCATCTTTCTCGAGGCTCCTTAATCTGTCTTGTTCCTTGGAAGATAGGGACATCGTGTGATTGCTCAAAAGGGTGGAAAAGTTGCACTAGCAAAAGAAAAGCTATATTATGTGCAATTATACGATTTAGTTGGATACAGCGAGCGGTAGTAGTTATGTATTAATGGATGTCCCCAATGATCTTGCAACGGTTTGTTGGTGTAGTGATATAAGTGTGTGACTTGTGTAAGACCCAAAGGGTTCTTTCGATGCCAGAAGAGGGAAAAAAAAATTAGTTTTGTACTGCAAAAGTATGAATTTCAGAACCCAGCCATACTCTACTGGTGTGCTGCTTCCTTAGTAAGCATTTCGTTTCAGATGTGTATTAAAGGAGGTTCAATAGAGTTAACATGATACACGAATGAAACAACTAGTGACGGAGATTGGTGGTGGAGCAATCACGGGAAATGTCTCTATAGCTCATCCTCTTGTCAATGACCATCTCAGATCAGGTAGCGTAGTGAGCTATCAAATAGAGCTCACGAGATAACTAAAAACCCCACTACAAACCAACATCTCTGATAACATGCACAAGGCATTCATTAAAAGGGTCCTCCATAAATATATATACATCCTCAAAAATCCTTCTTTGAACTCAAAAATCATCATTTCAAGGTTTTGATGAAATTGTCGAGATTATATTCATCTTCATACTGTTGTTCATCCCACAACTCACCCAATTCTCCAACTGCACCAGCCGCTTTACCAGTCAAACCACCAGTAAGTTCTTCCGTAACATTATTGCCTCCGTTTCCAAGATTGGCACCAGCTCCATTTCCATTACCACTTGCTGCTCCATTATCGTTTGCATTACCACCACCTTCTTCCATTTTAACTCCACCATCTTCAACATCAAACAAGTCCAACAATTGATTAGTATCCATTGACTGTAATCCTGCATTTTGCTGATTGACAATGGTTGAAGCAATGTTCATTTTGAATTTTTGCAATCCCATAATCTTTTCTTCAAGGGTATCCTTGGTAATCAAACGATATACATTGACAACTTTCTTTTGTCCCAATCTATGAGCTCTATCCATTGCTTGTAAATCACTCATTGGATTCCAATCATGCTCAACAAAGATAACTGTATCAGCACCAGTTAAATTTAATCCTAATCCACCAACTTTAGTTGTTAAAAGCAACACATCAATCGAGGGATCGTCATTAAACTTGCGCACAATGGCTTGCCGGTTTCTTGGATCGGTACTTCCGTCCAATCTCATATAAGTGACTGATGGAAGATATTTCTTCAACAAGTCATTCTCAACGATATCCAACATATCTTTCAACTGACAAAATATTAAAGCACGATGTTCAGATATGACTCCTTCAAGGGGCATGAGTGCATCATTGGACTTCTTTTGACTCAGTTTGCCATAATCAGAATCTTGAGTTCCAATACCACATTCAAGTAGCAACGTTCTCAATGATTGTAGTTTTGGCGAATGCTCTATATTCCTCAATTGCGAATGCCTCGAAGCAAGGAACAGCTCAACTTCATCATATTTGGGATGGTTTGGTGATACAACCAATGCCGGGTGATTACACAATTTTCTCATGTATTGTAATGCTTGGAAAACATGCGTCTTACCCTCCTTTTCAGTCGAGGACACATCATTTTTGATACTTTCTTTTTCATTCTTGGCAAAATCACGGTACAACTTCTTTTGCAAGTCACTCAATTCACAATAATAATCTTGGATAATCTTTGGTGGTAAATCCGAAAGCACATCTTCTTTAAGACGACGCAACATAAATGGCAAAACTTGTTTGTGCAAGGATTCAAGTGCCAATGCACCAGCTTCTTGTTCCTTGGAGGAAGTTTTGCTATTTCTACTAGCGGCAATAGGCTTGGCAAATTTCTCATGGAAAACCTTTTCCGTACCCAAAAACCCTGGCATTAAAAAATCAAATAATGACCATAATTCCAACACATTGTTTTGAATAGGGGTTCCCGACAAAATCAATCTGTGCTCAGCACGAATTTGTTTTACTGATTTCGAGAGTTTGGAATTTGCATTTTTGATGATGTGACCTTCATCCAATACACAATAATTGTAATCCAACGAACTCAAATACTCAACATCATTTCGAGAAACATCATATGATGTTACAACAACATCTGCATGAGGTAGTTGGCTTCTCAATGGTGTTCTTGTACTAGGATTACCCGCATATACCAACACTTTCATAAATGGAGCGTATTGATTAATTTCTTGCTCCCAGTGTCCAGTCAAGGATGGAGGACAAATCACCAACGATGGCAATCTCCTGTACTCAGCAGTACCTGTTTCGGCGTACTTTTCTGCTCTGATATGATGATCAGAGGAGATTATACAAATGGTTTGCAACGTTTTACCCAATCCCATATCATCACACAAAATACCGTGCAAATGATACTTGTTCAAAAACGCCAACCAATTCACACCTTCTTGTTGATACTTTCGCAAAGTTGCTTTAATCGACACTGGTAAATCAAATGGTTTAATCTTTGATGGATCCATCATTTGTGAGATAAAGTCACGTTCTCGTTCTCTACCTTCCAACAATTCCAGTGGCATATCTTCCGGATCAGGAATACCAGCCTCCAATGGCACCAACTTGATGATTGATGCAAAAGTAGTAGTGGCCAAAACTCGTACATCATGATCAGAATCACTCATTCTTCCTAATACAGGTACAATCAAAAACATCACATATGGCAAAATACTAGCACCCATCACCGCCGAAATGTGATAAATAGTTTCAATGGCTCCTTGTCGTTCAATGATGCTACCAGCATTTTTCAACATTGGTAAAATGGACTTGACCAAAAATGTAAATGCTTTTGTTGGCGCCACTGAACAAATTGTGGCAAAACATTTGGCAGTTGAATAACGAAATACAGAATATTCTGATTTCAATCCTGGTAACAAAAGATCTAAATGATCGGTAATTTCCAGGTGCAATGATTGATCAATCTTGGGAAGTAATGCCTTTAATATACCCAAAGCATCAATAATGCTTTGTCCTTTGAACTCATCCTTGATTATTTCATCACTGTTAGTCGTGGCCAACTCCTTTAATGGTCCCACCATTAGTTCCTTCAATTTAGGCACTTTGGTAAATAGGTTCTCCTTGTATATCAGAATAATTTCCTCAAGCAGCAACAAAGCACCACGACGTTTGATTCTTGCTTCTTGAACTGCTCTTTCGTGTGCTGCTGCATCGGCATAATCACTGATGCCTTCCTCTTTCCTCAAGGACAAGATATTCGTCTTGAATCCAACATTGTGATGAAACTCAGGAACCTCTGCTGTATCAACACATAAAAAGGCACATAAATTTTTGATAATCTTATCAGCAACATTTCTCTTGCCCGAGTCATTCAATTGAGAAATCAAACTAGCTATTGAAAATACTGATTTCCTCTGCAACACTAACGATTCCTCTGATTTAATGCTCTCCATTAATGATTTAATGATTGGATTCAATTTTTTGGGAATGCCCGATAACGCCAATGCCGCACCGGCATAAGATGCCAATAGGGCAGTATTTTTCGAATTAATCAAACTCCTACACTCATTAACAGCGAGTGTGACTCTATGCTTGGCATCTTCCAAGACGCGGTTCGCCGCTAAACGATGACTACTGGATAAGTTCTTTTTCAACTTGTCATACACACCACCAGTAATCTTTTCGGCACTTTCTAGGGTAAATGCATTTGGACCGGCATCAGTCTCACCTTGAACAAGGATAGGTATTTGAGGTATTTTCGATGGAGATAACCTAGCTGTGGAGACAAAGCAATCGAATAATTGCAAACATGAAGTTCTTACCGCCTTGAGTGACGGTATTAATTCGCGAAAATATGGGAGTGAGTTTGGATTTTGAAGTGTTGACATTAACGTATCAGAAAATATCGCAATGGTTTCTTCATCCGGTGTATGATGCTGTTGTTGCTGCTTTAGTGATGTTGCAAATTCTTCAACAATTAGTGCACCTAGTAGTCTTGATGTCTCAAATGGTGAATTGAAGTACGATGACAAATGTTCAAGAGCTTTTTTCAAAGTGGCTCGATCTTTGATTAAAGCAAGAGTCTTGCCAAAAGCACTAGCACCAGCACATCGCGTAGCAATCATCTTTTCAAGCCCAATCAACACAACATCACCCTTATATACCGGCGCATCAATGTTGATTTTCAAATCCTCAATAGGTATACCATTTGTTTCAACTGGTTTCGACTCTTGAGTTTGCATTGTTTGCAGTCTATTGCGTTTCTTACCACGACGACAATCTTCATCATCCAAAGAACCAACCATTTGCCCCAGAGGTCTCATGATCAAATTGGTATCCATTTGGTAATTTTGTCTTGCTATTCCAATTGGTGTCATGGTCAAACTCAACAAGTCCGGCAATTGTGAAACAAACAAGGTAACTAAATCCATATTGTACTTGTCAATTTCTTGGAGCAATTTGTTATACACTTTTATTGATAGTAGCAAGACATCGGAATTTTGTTCAACCAACAAGTTTTGAAAAATGAGTCTAATGGTTTTGGCATCAATCCAAGTTTTGGTAATATTTTCCTCAGTTATGGATAAAAACTCCAACATGGTGCGTAAAACAGCTTTTCTCACATTTGTTATTGAATGTCTTAAAAAGGGGTATAATCTGGGTACCAAGTGTTTAAATGAATAACTGTCGTCTTTGGCTGCATCGTGTTGAATAATGTCAATTACTTCGCTGTGACTGCACAATTTCGCCAACAAGTCCATAACAGAACCAATTGAAGCTGACAAATCATCTCGCAAATTAATCAAACAATCCCAAATCACCGACAACAATGATTGAATTACAGTCTTTCGAGTCGATACAACTTCAGAAGCAATTGGAGTCAATGTCAATGCTGCCACTGACTGTACATCATCGTCACTTTCTTGAAGTCCATGGAGAACCATATTCAAAACTCGGTCAAACATATCTGGTTTACTTAGCAACACATCGGTTCGCACACTAACAAGATAACGAACTCCCAACATTCCACCATGTTTAGCCTCCCAACATTTAGGTGGTGGTAGTCCTTCTTGTAATGCCATTGTGTATAAGCAGTCAAATGTCTTTACAACTGTCAAATCATCCAAATGGATCAATAGTGCGGCCAATGTTTGGGCACTTGATTCCCTAACAGGGGCAACCACAGTATCAGAAACATAATCACCAAACCTATCAAGAACAAACAAGATGCATAACCGCACTGCCAAATCCTCCAAAGTCGCAGCGTTGTTGTGATCGTTTTCTTGTTTAGTTTTATTCATTATTCTTCCTGCACCTTTACCATGTATTCTAATCAATTCCCTTAACCCCAATGCGGCTCCGTGTCTAATTTCCCATTTGTCATCAAACAAATCAGCCAACAACAACTCGTAAACTCCTTGGAAGAGCCAGATTAGACCCGTTGCTTTATTATGCAAGGAAAGTAAAGGTGAAACTTCTTCAACTTTGGCTTCAACAACCAACTTTTCTCCACCTTGCTGCGAAGTTAAGTCATATTGTGGGTGATTAGCTCCATTGTTATCAGAATCAATATCCATAACATCCCCATTCTCAACCATTTGTCTTGAAATTGAACTTTGTGAAATGTCGACTGATTTCATCTTGTTGGCGGCACCCGACTTGGCATTAAACTTGGCTCTTCTTTTCTGTATAGCTTTTAACCTGGCACTAGAAACTGGTTTTGATGGAGTATCTAGTGGTGGTCTAGTGGTGGTGGTGGTGGTTGTAGTAGGCGTATCCGAAGACACTGTCTCATCGCCATAAAATGGCTCTTGCTTGATCAATGGGTCAGACTGTGGTTCCGTTTTAATTTTAATTGAATCATTGGTATTTGCGGTTTCTGTTGCATCTGGTGTTTCCTGTTTCGGTAGAATACTAGCTCGGTGTCGTTTGATTCTTCCAATTAAAGTTCGATCATCGTCACTAATTTCTTCATCACAATTTAAAGTGTTGTCTGACTTGGATGCTAATAAAGTGGTCCCACTCTTGATCAATTCATGTAAATCAAAATTACTAAACAGTAACAAATTGGATATAGAGTCATCAATCTTGTTTAATTCCAAGTCTTGTTCGATTTTAATCTTGACTTCTTCATGAGCTTCTTGTTTGATAAATTCCTTCGATCCAAATGTTAAGCTATCTTCAACTTCCTTTTTAACTAAAATTTCAGTGTCATTCTCTTCTTTAATCTGTTCCTGTGAGTTTGGATCCCATAGTGGTGCATTATTGACTATACCACCAAATGCTCGTGCAGCTGCAATTCTTGTTTCCCACTTGGATGATTTAAGAAACGGGTATACTCTAGCAAGTAAGTTTAAAATGTCTTCTGGGTGGGATTTCGCTAAATCTGATAATTGATCAGCAGCTGTGTTTCTAATAAATGAAGTTGATCCAGTCTCTAGTAGTACAACCAATCTATCTAATCTTGACATAATGATGGATTGTTTGTGAGTGTCATATAAGAGGCAAATAACTAATGAAACCCCTCTCTCCGTTTGAGTACTGTGTGTATGCTTTTGTCCAGTTGCTATAAACGTCGCTGTTGTTGTTGTCTGTTGTTGTTGTATAGCTTTTGTTTTTTGAAATTTGACTGCAAAAGTAAAAATCGAGTCGTGTATGTGTGTTCAAAAAAATGTATGTGTCTCTTCTTCTTCTTTCTTCTCTCTTTTCATAATTTGTCGTCCATATCCGTTTTGTCTCTTCTCTCTTCATATTTATATATAAATTTTTCAATCGATCATAAGAACGAAAAGTCATCAACAACAACGACAACAACGACAAAAACGAAAAAAAAAAAAAAAAAAAAAAAAAAGGAATTTAGTTTACAAATACAAAAGTTGTTTTGAATATTCGTACTCTTATCATCTTCTCCTTTCTTGCTTCTTTCTAAGGATAACAATTTCTGGGGTACTCCTTGTACTCCCACCAAGAAGTTTGCTTTAGAAGTGGAGTACAATTTTCTAATTCAATCCTTACATTTTCATAAACAGAGCAAAAATGGATGTTTTATAACTTCATAAAACGCGAGAAAATTGACCAAATAATGAAATTGTGGCTCACGTGACTTAATATCACAAAAACCAAACAACAACAACAACAAAATATCTCGCATACGCGGAACAGAGCGGACCAAAACATACGTCTATCTCTGAGGCTGAGGAATAACAAAGTACAGATGCTTCCATATTCGAGACAAGTTTGGTGCTACAAGTAAAATGCAATTTTTGGAGGCGCATTTTGTTTATATCATCTTTATACGAAGAAATCGTAAAAGCAACGATTGCCCATCACTTGTTTGCCTTAAAATCAAATGTGTCTTCTACAAAGACACTATTTCTTTGCAACATCTTGACTAATATGTCGTTTTTTTATTACACACACATCACACCCAACGCCCTGAAAAAAGACCAACAAAGTCTTGCTCCCTAATTGAACTTCTTTTCTCTTGACTCTCTAACTTCTTTCTTCTTACTCTCCAACTCACCCCTACTAGCATTATACTGAACATTAGTCTCTTGATTCATTGGATTTTCACTCAGTTTCTGAAACTCTTTAAACACAAGATTCTTAATCTGTTGTAATCGTAATCCGGGATTCTCCTTACGAATCTCGGGTAATCTTCGCTCTTCGTACGCATTATAAGCGGCTTTAACTCTTCTTTCAGGATGACGATCGATATCCTTATTTGAGACACCAGAGTCCTTACCAGTTAAAGCCAATGCTGCTAATGCGTTGTCTAATCCTGAAGCACTGAGTTCTGGAGTATCCTTATTGAAATCGAGGAAATCATCAATTTTACCAGTACGTTTAGCAGCAACTTTATCAGCACCACGTTGTTTCGACTTGATTGGCTTAGAAGGCAAGCTAGCTTCTTCAGCGGCTAGAAGCAAGTCACGTTCTTGCTTCTTACGTGCTGCTTCCTCCTTTTTGAATTGTTCTTCTTCCTTCTTTTTATTACCCTTTTTCGAACCTTCGTCCCATTTTGTTGCTTCTTCTTGTTCTAATTGGCTTAGTTGCTCTTGTTTCTTTTTGTTGGCCTGTTCTGCTTTACGTGCATTTCCAGCTGCCTTTTTCGAGTTTTCTCCAGTTTTCTTAGCCATTGGTGGGTGGTGAATTGGTGGGATATGACTACGATTATGATTTCAATCTTCTATAATTTTTTTTTTTATTCTTCACCAAAATGCGAACCTGGAAAAGGACAATTTAGACTTTTTCAAACTCCTCTTGGGTGCGAAAAACCCACCAATTCAAAGTTTACACCTTTACACAATAGCTTTTCATTCTGTTTAGTCATAATTACCAATATTTCATAAACTATACAACCATCCTTCTTCATTCCCTAACCCTATAATTTATTTGGTCTAAAAACAACTCTACCTCTAACTTTATTATTAGACAAATCTTGCATTGCTTGAGGCAATTTATCAAAATCAACAAAATGAACATTTGGTTTAATCCATCCTTTGGAAATCCAATTCAAACATTCAAGATTTTCAGCCGAACTTCCACCAAAATTGTAGAAAACTTCAACTTCTCTGTAAGCAAAAGTATAGTTTGGCATCTTGAATTTATACCTACCTAATCCAATTTGAGATAATGTACCTCTTCTCTTGATATACTTGTTGGAAATATCAACGCTTTCTTGCATACCAACAAAATCAAAAATAATATCAAATGATTCTGGCTCATGTTTGGAATCATTCAAATTGGTGTAAAATTCATGAGCACCATATTCTTTAGCAACTGATCCAATATCGGATTTCAAATCAGTGGCAACAATGTGACACTTGAATTGTTTCAAAATTTGAATGGCATTGAGGCCCAACCCACCACATCCTTGAACAAGTACTTTAGAATGAGGTTTAATTTTGTGACCAACTTTTTTAATGGCATGGAATGGAGTCAAGACAGAATCAGTACACACAGCAGCTTCAGCATATGAAACGTTATCAGGAATTGGTATAAGTGTTCTCAAGTTTCTAATCAATAAATATTGCTGAAACCCACCATCTTCATTCAACCCATAGGCTTGGTTATTGTCACTACAGTTACCATCATCACCGCTTCTGCAAGAGGCACAAGCACCACAAGCTTGACTAATTTGTAAAGCAAAACGTGAACCAACTTTAAATTGTGGCTTCTCAGCCAACTCTTTTCCAATCTTGTACACACTACCAGCAATTTCGTGTCCCATGACAAATTTAGTTGGCATTGGTTTTGGTGGCTTGGGTGCGATTGGACCACCAATTATGGTATGAGGGTCAGAAAGACATAATCCAGCAGCTTCAATCTTCAACAATAATTCGCTTGGACCCGGTTCTGGAATTGGCAAGTCGGTGAATTTGGTAATCTCTTTGGCACCTTTAACGTATCCGTAACCGTATTGAGTTGGCATTGTGTGACGAGTGTTTGTTAATTTGTGAGAGTGAAATACAAATAAGCAGAAGGGGGGCCAACTAGTCGCCTCTTATACCCTGTGCTTAATTTTTTTCAAAAGTGGGGGTGGGTAATGCATAGTCGTTTATTTTATTGGCTGTTTTCTTTGTTTGTGCAATACATATTGTTGTGCATACTTATGCGCCAAAATGAAAAGCGGATATAAATCCGCTCGGCTTAAAGTGGGAATGGGTAAAATCTCTTGCTCTCCTTTTTTGTATTTTTTTCTTTTTGCTCGATTCAACTCTCCACTCTTTAAGATAGAGGAGGTGGTAGCTTTGATGGTGGGAAATGTGGGGCAAATGATGCTTCACTTATAATGTAGATAAGATGCATACAACCCTCTGTGCAATACAATAGACGTGTTATTCTTGATATAGATGCAGTCTTCTGGACTCGCGTGTTTTATGTTTAGGAAATTGGCAACAGAACTTGTGGCAAATGCTTTATTGAAGGGTTATGGTCCAGAATTGCCAATTGATTGTCACCTCCTCATATGATTAGCAATTGTACTAAGCATCTGGTGGCAAATACTTTACAGTTTCATACGCAAAATTGCTTTTGCAGCCTCTACCTTCATAATACTCATACATCAATAGCTTTTAGACTCGTCTACAAAAATGCCTGTTTAGAGTATCTCAACTTGTACCCAACTTGACTCAACAACGGGAAGCTTCTACGCTAGTGTCCTTGGCAACGTCGTATTTGCTCAATTGGTCTCGGCAGTAACCAAAAGTGGCTAGAGGTAGCACATAAAGAAGTAGACAGGGTTGATGTAACGTATCAATTGGTACACATCCCTGCGTTCACAGTTTAGTGTATCATCATTTAAACAACTAAAGTGGTATAGATACCTCTGTTTGACATACCAGAATGCGACACTTGGTCATATGTTGATCTTTTGTTGTTTCCAAACACACACACACACACACACATCCACATCCACACACACTCTCTCTCTCCCCTTAATTTGATGATCACACCAAAAAAAAAAAAATGCAAAACTTGTTCACTTATAGCTCCTGCGCCCCCCTTTCAACATGTGCTCAAGCAGACTTGTATATTATGGTAAACGAATTCAATTTGCTGTAGAAGGTGGAATACCAGCCATCATTCAGATACGTGTATGTCAACATTCTCAAGTATAGAAAACTACGTAGTACATTAACAGTAATAACATATACAGTGTTTTAAATCAGTTACGTAATTCAACTGTATTTTGAAAAAAGTACACACACACAGACACACACACTTTATGTTTGTTTGTTTTTTTTCGTGTTATTTTTCGTTTCGTTTATTCAAAGTCAAACAACAGAATCAAACAACTACTTGCTACTACTAAAGAGTAAACCGAGATATATCAGACGTATCACAAATAGACGCCACTACCAAATCCAACATTAAAACTACCAAGCGCACCTGCAACGATGGATGATAAAAAAGAGCAAGCAAACGCTGCACAGAATCTTGCACCAAACGCAAATATCCCAAAGTTGAGCGTATCTAATTCATCATTAAATACTAGTAGTAGTACTGCCCTCAATACTAGTAATGCTTCTACCAACAAAACTTCTACAAACGACTCACCGAAGCTTCTTAATGACGACAAGATCAAATCGATACTCAACAGCGATTCAGCCCTTGATGTGCTTCTGGAACGATTGAAACAAAGTTTATCATCAGCAGAGGAATTTAGCAAGTTTATCAAAAAAAAGGCTCAAATTGAAGACGATCACTATAATCAATTGAAGAAATTTGCCAGTCACATTAGAACCAGTATGAAGAATAATAGCAAAAACTTGAAGAATGATTCCCTACAAACACAAATGGACCGCATCATAGGATTTGATGAAAGCTTATCGGGTGTTGGATCAAGTTATGTGACTGCATTAAACACAATGTATGATGAATTAACTTCATTGGTCCATACCATCACCAGATCGAGAAAGACAATCAAAGAGGAATATAGGCGCAAAGATAAGGAATGTATTGATTCTATATCAGCAGCCGACAAAGCCAAGACTAGATACAATCACCTATGTGAGGACTTGGAAAGACTTAAAAACTCCGATCCATCAAAGAAATCTTTTAGTTTAAAGAATAAAACTGTTGAACAACAAGAGGATGATTTACAAAGAAAAGTTGATCTTGCTGATCAAGAGTACAAGTCCAAAGTTGCCACATGCAAAAAACTCAAGGACGAAATATTGGTCTTGCATCGTCCAAATAATGCCAAAAAATTGAAAAATTTGATTTTGGAAATGGATATTGCTTTAAATGTACAACTACAAAAATATGCAACGTATAATGAAACTTTAATAATGAATTCAGGGGTATTGATCAGTCCCTTACAATCAACAAAATCTTCAATGAAGTCAATGGCTAGCTCAATAGATAATGAACGGGATTTGTATAAGTATTTGATTGAACATGGATCTAAAACTACAAACAAGTCTTTTGTTCCTATTGAATACCACATACACCCATCATTGGTCAAAGTTAAGGACATTGGTAAACCGTTTTTGAATAATACAAATAGAAACGTTTCCAACAGTGCAAGTAACATAAAGGCCGCCGTGTCAGGAAACCAATGGAATAACGATAAACCTAAAGCCAACATTTATGACAGCAACAATAGTAACAACAACAATAGCACCAGCACGAACACCAGTGCCACTACTTACAATGCAAAGACTGACACTTCTTCTACTTCAGCTCCATATTCGGGGGTATATGCACCACCGAAACCAAGCAACAACACTTTTAATAACGACTTGCCCCTCAGTACTGCCACCGCTACGGCCATCAACTCGTCCGACTCATCTTATAGCAACAATCCGCCACTGGGATATTCTTCACTAGACCCGGCTAGTCAACCTTCAACACCTAATCTCAATGGGCCAAAACCATTTAATTCAAGTGCCTCATTCAAACAACCAACATTTGGAGTATCCATTGAGGATGTAATCAAATTTGCTGGGGTTGACAATGTGCCCTTGGTTGTGCGCAGATGCATTGAAGTGATTGAAACTTGTGGGATTGATCTTGTTGGTATTTATCGAACAAGTTCCAATGTTAACCAAGTACAAAAACTACGTGAATCGATTGATTCAAATTTCACCAACTATTTACTAATTGGAAAAGATATCGATGAATCAAATGTCATTGACTCTGAGGTATTTTGTGTTGCTTCTTTACTCAAGTATTATTTTGCTAATTTACCTGAACCTTTGGTGACATCGGCTGCGGCTCAATCATTTATAGAAACGGTCAAGTTGAATGATGAACATTTGATTCATAAAAAATTACATCATTTGGTGTTTAGTCTACCTGATGGTGCTTATTTCACATTGAGAGCATTGATTTTCCATTTGAACAAGATAGCAGCTAATGAATCACGCAATAGAATGAATGCCAAGTCATTGGCGATAATTTGGGGACCAGTTATTTTCAACAATAATTCAACTAGTGCTCAAGACTTAAGTTTCAAGAGTAAAGTTGTTGAAGAGTTGATGGGTATTGCCACGGATATTTTCGAAGTTGATGAAGAGTGAAGTTGACAAGCTCTTTAATTTGTATAGAAGAAACACTTGGTTAATTGGTACATCTCCGTGCTAAACATTGTCTTTTCCTAGTACATCATCTTTGTTACCTTTTTCTTCTCAACTTTGGCTTCAGATGGTGAATCACCACCACTCGCATTTTTACTCTTTAAGTTAATTCGAGGTACTTTATGCACACGATGAGCAGTAGCAGCATTTGCATGAACTCTCCCGTTAGTCATCTCCTTGATCCTGAAATTGTTCCTATAATCTAGCTCGTTTTTGTCCTTTTCCAATCTCACTTGCCTTTTTATCGCCTCTTCTTGTTCTTGTTTCTCCTTTTTGACACGTAGTTCTTGCTTCATTGTTTCAAACTCGTCATCACTTATACCCATCAACTTACGTTGAACATCCATCAACTCCTCTTTCAACGACTCATGAAACTGAGAAGAATCGATGATGTTTTCTTGTATATCCTTATCGACTATACTTAGAATCCCCGTGTCTTCTTTACTGCCATGGTGGATCGTGGAGGTTGCATTATCTTTGCTATTTGATTGATTGACGATCTCACCTTGGATCAAAGCCGCGGTCTTACCCTTATTTTTCATCAAAATCAGCGGATCTGCTTTCACTTTGGATTCAACCATGATTTGTAGTTTTAGGAGCAAGTTTTGACATGTTTCTGATTGTTTGAAATTGGATAGGAGCTCTTTTCTTTTAGCATCAAAAGTTCCGTTTTTCTTGTAGATTGTAGTTAGTTGTTTCGGATCTGTAACCTTCGTTGCTGGTGGATCTTTTTGGTTCTCGTTGGACATGGCGAGTTGGTGTGGGAACTGAAACAGGAACTTTCGATAGCTCTATAGAGATGATAAGAATTGTGGTGGTTAAAATTTCTTTGCCGCGACGCTACTTTCTGGTGAAAAGATCGCTCCCTTCTTTATTCAACCAAAGCCAATGCCAAAGACTATTCCCCAGATATTGGACCTCGGGTCATCGACGTCGTCAGTGAATTCATTCGCCTCAACTGGAGATACTGCTCGCTTGGCCTCAACTTCATCCACGTCACTAGTTGGTGGTGATCACCCATCAAAAGTCACAACGAGTCATTTGTTGCAACATCGACCAAAGAAAAGGAAAAGAGCACCAGTTATTCAAGACGAGGACGCCAATATTGTTGGTCTATCGGAATCAACACAACGTCAATTAGAGATAAGCAAGCAATCATTATATGATGTTATCGATCGGGTTTTGAAGAATCAGCCATTAGGTCATTCTTTATCGTTTTTTTACGGCCGAGTTGAAGCCATTTGCCGATACAAACATGAGGAACAAAAGAAACTAGCTGACTACTTGTTTGAGAAGTTGGACGCGTTTTTTGAAGATACGATCGAAAGACCATTTTCAGGGCACAAGTTTCCCAGAGAGGACAAGAAATATACTCCCAATATCGAAGACGATTTGTTTGCTTTGAGTGTTTGCGAACGTGTTCTTGAGGATTGGAAAATTTGGAATACTATTGTAATGAAATTGAGTCAAGTGTTTGCATATCTTGAAAAGAATTACCTACAACCACACCACTCACGAAAATCTATAGCCACTTATGGTGAATCTAAATTTGCAGACACATATTTTACGGTCAAACGAGACGAACAAGGTAACATCAAGAACGATGATGTTATCCAGGAGACGACAAAAACCACCAACTATGGGGCAGTTGTAGTAGAACTGTACATTTTCGTTACTCTACTATACTATCGTGCAAAGTATTGGGAAGCAACGGAAAAGGACATTGTAAATCGCTCGCGGGCGGCGTTCAAAGATACAACAGCATTGACCGAACGCTTGATAGCAAAATCTGAAACATGGTCACAACTTTTTCCAATAACCACAGTGATTCTGCAATTTGACACACTCCCTGATCGTGAATATGTAGGATGGTTCTGTGATGAAAAATTTCAAAATGCTATTGAACTCAAGAAGAGATTTATGATTTTGGACGACGAGATTGCGCTTTACAAGAGTTGTGGTAAAGAAAAGGATTATGTTGATCATTTAGCAACAAGTTTAATATTCCTGTTGGTGTTTAAAGAGGACTTTAACGACCTTGTTTTAAATGATTTTGGTCAATTGATTGAATCGCCAGAAGAAATGAAAATGTTGAATAAGATGTGCTTTGGCATCGAGGGTCAGTTAGCAATCAATGGAGAGGAGAAAATAAAGTATGTGTGGAGGCAGTATTGTACAAAGATATTCATAGAGGCTATCGAAATGTATCAGTCTAATGCAATTGACTTACTGATGTACCCTAATGCTTTACTATACATAGATCCTATTTTGAAGGGCCTCCAAGAAAAGGTTACGTACTATTATGATGAAAATATCTCGCTAAAGTACCTTCCAGATGCATGCTTTAATGGAGTTGTTAATCTATCAAAATATAACACCTACATGATACAGCAATTGTGCAAACTTTGCGATTTGTACTTCAAGTCCAAACTCACTATTCTGGTTAAGTCCGTGTCAGCCTTGTGGAAGCTAGTGAGCAATTGTTACATAGAGTTATCCAATCAGGATGATTTTTTGACAGTTTACAAGAAGGATGCTTCGCGAAGATTGCTTTTGGGTAAAACATCCAATTTGAAAGAAGAGCAAGCCTTTGCAAAGCTTTTGAAGGATTTTGGTAAAAAAACCGATGCGTCTTCCAGTTTAGAAAGTATGTTTGAGGACTTGAAGTCTTCAAGTAGCGTGTACTCCAAATTGGTAAAGGTGCCCGATTTTGAATTTGAGCCATTAATTTTGGAAAAGTCGGTATGGCCAGAAATCCCTAGTCAAGACTATTCGTCAGTGCAACTACCTACTGAATTTACAACTGTGTTGGAAAATTTTGGTCAAGCTTTTCACGAAGCAGATGATAGAAATGGCAGAAAAAGATTGGATTGGTCTAATTACAAGTTGCATCATTTGACTATTGCTGGACATTTCGCCAATGGGGAGAAATCGATAACTGCCAATATGTTGCAAGCAATGGTAATTCTATTATTCAATGAAGCTGAGACGTTTACCTTGCAAGAGATAACACAAAAGACCAAGATGGATCCAGCACTTTTACAAGCGGTTTTGAACACAATGACCACCGGGAAACACAAGATTTTGAAACAAGAGGGCAACGTGATCAAGTTCAATCGTGCCTTTAAGGACAAGTCCAAGTCAATCAAGTTACCCATTGTTAAAGAAACAGCTTTGGATTTGTCATCAAGTAGAGGGACGTCGATTGATAAAGAGGTTATTGAAGCTATCGAAAAGAATAGAACTGAAGAATTCAAATCAGTGATTGTCCGAATTATGAAGCAAGCCAAGACTTTGCAAATGACAAATCTATTGAATCAAAGTATCGAAATTTTACAGAAACGCCGGCCAGTTTCGATAATTGATCTTAAAGCTGTCATTGAAAAGTTGATCACTGATGAGTTTCTTCGAAGAAGGAATAGAGATACAATCGAGTACATTGCTTAAAATAAAGGTTGTATGTATAGGCATGTCAGTTAATTTCGCAAATTATTAATAAACCACTAACTTTCACAATCCTCTATGTACGTTATTCCATAGCATCCCTTAAACTGGAACATCTTCTGGATCAGGATTGTTTATCCAGTGTTGACCAAAGTACGGAATCTTGTCGTAAAAAGTTTGTTGAAATAATGGCCAACCTTCAGTAAATGCGGCAATTCCACCAGCAGCAGCACCACCCCAAAAGATCAAATCAGGAATGTAAGCCCTGACCAATGGTGGGTTTAATTTTCCAAAATGTGAAAGAGCTTTGTAAGCTGGACCTCTAACGTACTATATTCAAAAACGGTTAGTATAGCTGATTGATGAGTATGTGACCCAATTTTTGATACACGAGTCTATTTGCCTTCGATATATTCCTTGAAGGGGTCATGCAGCAAAAAGACATACTGAAACCATGGTTCTTCAATACTGTTGTAAAAAACTCTAATGGTGATGTTTCTTCGTTGATATTATTTTCTTCTTGCTTCTTATTGGTGCGAAAAAATTTGGCAATTGTGACGTCAAGACAATATTTACGACATTGAATTTCGACATATAGAATGTTGCCAAACTACAACCATTCTTGATCTTCTTTGATACGCTAGAAATGTTACTACACAATTGCTTAGCATCATCTTGTGCTAAGGGCATCGTAGTTAAAGCATTAGAGCATGTCGAGGAAATCAAAATAAATACTTTTATTTCATTTTCTACATAAAAGCTATTCACCTAAGATTCTAAGCTACATTTGCGCCCCCGACAAATAGGTGTAGCTACTATTTCACATAGGTGTGGTGCGGTAATCATCATCCGTAAGGCGGACTTCCTTTGTGGCTCTAACACGCATCTGGTTGTGCCATAATATAATCGATAGCTTGACCGACAGTTTTTAACGAATCAGCCTCATTATCAGGTATTTGTATATTGAATTCATGTTCCAATTCCATAACAACTTCAACTACGTCCAATGAATCCAACCCCAAGTCTTGAACGAAACTAGCTGATTCGGTAATTTCACCAGCTTTCGCAGTGTCTACTTTATCAAAACCCTCTAACAATTCCACAATTCTTTCCTTGGCTACATCTCTGGTCAAAGATGGAAATCCAGCATACGAACGAACAAGATTGAGGTGAACTTGTTGTTGTTGTTGTTGTTGTTTGAGTGGCAATTGTGCAACTGATGGCATAATGGATCTGGAGGTTATAAGTTTAGTTGATGATGATGTGAATAATGGTCTGTGAGCAAATCTGAATGATCTCAATAAGTTGTTCCTGAACATTTCTAAAGTGTTGTGGTGTATGTCTCTTAAGTGAGAAAGTCGGTTAAAGGTGTGTGTGTGTTTATCTAGTTGATTTCAGTGTGGATTGGTTTTCTTCTTTTTTTTTTGTCGTCCCTCTTTTCCGCTTTCTCACTGGTTGAAAATTTTTCAGGGTACTCAGTGTGAAGTAGTCCCAGTTGTCTGTATATACCAACTATACCTAACTAACTGGAGCAGCATTTAGATTGTTCCATTGTCACAATGTTCTTTTCTAGCCTAGGAGCTAATTTGTGCTCACTAATAAGACCAATCGCCAAATCCCAATTCATACTAGCGTCAAAAGCAGCATCTGCATCGTCATATCTTCAATCAATTCAACGTATACGTCCAACAACTGCATCCCTCAAAAGCAACCTTAATGCGTCCCCATTTCAACAATTACGATATTCATCAATAAACCAGATCCAGCATTTTAAACATTACAAACCGCCAAAAAGAAACGATACCAAATCTCCCGATTTGCAAGGCAATCCATTCAAAAAGGGGGTTATATTGCGTATAATGATTCTTAAGCCCAAGAAACCTAACTCCGCGTTGAGAAAATGTTGTAGGGTTCGTTTGACTAATGGTAAGGTTATTAGTGCATTAATTCCTGGTGAAGGACACAATTTACAAGAACATCATGTCGTGTTGGTTAGAGGCGGTAGAGTTCAAGATGTTCCTGGTGTCAAGTATCATTTGGTACGTGGTGCTTATGATTTGGTGGGAGTTGCCAATAGATCTACTTCGAGGAGTAAGTATGGTGTCAAGAAACCAAAACAGTAGAGAACAAAGGAGAACTTGTACATAGAAGAAATGTGGTTATAAATGAAAATGTTCTTTTGAGTAGCTGTGGGCTATGGACGAAGATGTTCATGTGTAAACACGATCAAGCTTTAATATCAAACCTTCTACCACTTGCTGTCTTTCTGTTTTCGATAACTTTACCTTCATCATCCAAATTCTCCGGCTTGGCTCTGTTCAAGATTTTGAGGAATTCCTTGACTCTAAACCTCATTCTCGAGTGCATAAATGCTTTTGAACATTTGATATGGTAATGGAAATAACTCCTAAACATTTCAATATGAGAAATACAATTCTCACGTTTGTCACCTTTCACCAAGTGCCTTGGGAACAAAACAAACGTAACGTACCCTTTGTTTTCAGAGTCCTGCTTACCACCCTGAACGTACCGAGCAATATCCAATGGAGGTTCCAGCTGACTGTACAACACTTGAGGTGCAGTTTGAACTGACCTTTTCCTAGCATCAACAAACTCTTGCAAAAACACTTTACCAAACACTTTATCGGTCTCATCTTGAAACATGGTTGAAAAAATCACCGTTACTCTGTCAAATGACGGTTTCAAATATATCGTTTCATCAACACCACGATATTTGATCACCAACACTGGCTCGTTGGCCAACTCTTGTTGGATTTCTTCCGAGTATGTATTTGAATTACTATGTTTGGCCAGTAATTCGTCGTATCGGTCAAATGCTTTGTGGAATGCCGCTGCCATAGCGTTACGCTTTAATAAACTTAAATCATCAATCAAACGCAACTTGGTGTCTTCATCATCGGAAGCAGCAGATGATGCAGTATCCAATACAACTGAATAATTATAGCCTGTTTCAGCTTGGTTTGAAGGTAATATGGTCAAGTTTTTGTAAATTGAGTACTTCAGTTGTAAATACTCTTCGACATTGTATGAAACTAAATCATTCCAACATTTCACATTTAATGACAAGAGTAACTTGGATTTATCATCGGGTAAAGTACTAATGTGATAAGTGGTAAAGTCAAAATCTGTTATAATACGGTCTAACGATTTTAATGAATCTGTTTGAGGAAATAATCTCTCAGTGAGGGTTTTTTGTATAAGCAAGTTATTTTGTTCAATTTGCAACATTGCGATGGGATACAGGGAATATGGGACGTGGATTGCAAGAGTCAATTGAAGCTACCTATAGTGTTGGTGTGTAAAAGTTGATAATGACTGGTAGAGATTAGTGTCGGCAGTAAAAGTTCAGTTTTAATTTTTTTAATTGACTGAAAGTTTGGGCAACAAAAGAATACTTTGTTCATGGTGCACTACCAATATATATATATATATTGCGAAACTTCTAAATTTATGCCCTCCTTTTCGATTCATCTACTGGCAGAAGATACAACAAGTACTGCATATGCTACAGATACATTGAATGAACTCAACTTGTCTAAACATGTGAAGCCACCATTCTCTAACGGGTATCGAACTTTTGCTGTATACCCGACAACGAATTCTTCGAACCTCCTCGCCCACTTGATTGAGGCGGAGGCAACTCCTTTGACCACCCTGGTATATCCTCGCCACTCCCTCCAACGGGTCTTTCCAATACAACATTCTCCAAAGCCAATGCATCTCTCAACCAAGGGTGATTGATCATTCCCCCAGCATCAGCTCTTTCTTCGGGTTGCAATTGCAACATCGGCAACAAGAAATCAGCAATCTCAATCGAATCACTGATGGAGAACTTGTACTTCTCAACAAGAACATCTTTTAATCCCCACGGTTTTAACTTCAGGATGCGTCGCATTTCAAATCTTGAATTGAAAAAATCACGACCATAGAAACTTTCTTTAATCATCATTCTGGGGAAGGGGCCTAACAATTCGATAATTTGTGCAATATGGTCATCATCTTTGGAATATGATTTCCCATCTCTTGGATCAAATAGGTAGTCGCCTGTAAGTAGTTCAAAAATGAGTGATGCAAATGACCATAAATCACTTGAACACCCCCAATGATACCCAAGCAACACTTCAGGTGCTCGATATTGACGAGTCTGGATTTCATCAGTGAAATGATGGTTTGTCCAACAAGCATTGCCTAAATCGGCAATTTTCACTGATATCAATTCATCTTCATTAATCACATCGTCAAAATTTGTGGATGAGTCATCAAGTCGAAAATTTGAATCATTGGGGATTTGCATGGGATTGACATTAACTGGTTGATAACTATTGGAATTTGAAATTGACATTGAGCTCAAGGAATTGTTTAACGTCCCATCATGATCAATATCGTCACGATCCTCATCGTGCCGTTCAGCAGTGCTAGATAATGGAATAGGTGAGTCAGTAGTGGTTGCGTTGACAGTTGAGTTGTTTATAGACAAACTCTTGATGGGGGTATTTGTAGTCGTTGAGAATCCATATATGTTTGTGAATGATTTATTGAACGCTCTTAATGGCGACGGCAATGGCTGCGATCCAGTAATCAATGTTTGCCTGCGGGATCTTCTTCCTGACCTACCCAATGATGGAGATACAATTTGATTTGTTGGTGATGCAACTGACGTGGATGGTTTGCTTTTGGCACGATGGTTCAATTGCTCTGAATCCTTGATGTTGCCGTATGAACTATTTGCTGTTGATGTTTTTGATGATTTCAGTAACTTGCGTTGCAATTTACGTTCTTTGTTCTCCTGTTCAACCATACGAACAATTTGCTCAACGTCACCAATTTCGATTAGGACATTTTCGGGTTTCAAATCTGTATGAATTACACCGCATTTTCGATGCAAAAAATCCAACGCAGACAATAACTGTTTAGCAATTTGTTTTACAAACACAATGGGAATGCCTCTATGTTTATACCGACGAATCAAGCCCAATAGGTTCTCCCCCAATACTTCGAAAACCATCACTACATGTATTCCATTGGGACCTTTATGGGTAAAGGTATCCAATAGTTGAATTACATGCTGATGTCCAGGATGTTGAATATCGGATGTTGTCACTTTATCCAATAGTTTTATTTCATCAATGGCAGTTTCGGTATAATGTTTCGCTGAGCGAACAACTTTAACTGCCACATGGCATTGTTTGTCATTGTCTCTTGCAAGCCATACTGTTGAAAAGTGACCCCAACCTAGCTTCCGCACCAAGGTATATTTCCCATTTTTGTATTCTTCTCCAATGAAACATGGGTGATATCCTCCGGGAACGTAATCCTTTAGATCCTCTTCTTCGGCGGGGTTTACTGCCGCTTCTTCATCCTCCTCATCTTCGTCCTCCTCCTCGTCATCATCGTCAACTTTATCGTCAACGTCATCCTCATCTCGGTTACCAGTCTTGACGTTCTTGGACTTTTCCAGAGAATGATACTCCCTTTCTTGTAAGCTATATTTTTGTCCTTCATCCACCTTGCTTTCTACCTCCAGGTCGCCAAGTGTACTATGCGACCAGTCCTTTTTCCTCTTCTTCTTCTGATCAAGGTCCTTACTTTGATTGTACTGGTGATGCAAAAGAGAACGACTCTTGGACGACTTAACCTCGAGTTCGTATTCATCATCATCGTCATTACCTTGTGGTTGTTTAAACTCGTCCCATACAGCACCCTCATCGTCATATTGCAGTTCCAATTGAGATTCGATTATCGAGTGCCGTTTCTCCTCATCAAAGGTAGTTTTCAAAGGAGATAATTCCGGTTTGAAATGTTTGACAGAAGATGCCGTCGTTGATATATATGGTGAACTATGTTGGATCAAATTAGGTAGTAAAGAAGGGCTGGGAACTGGTTTAAAACTATGACCATTTTGGCTCTCAGCAAATGTGTTATTAGCATTGATCGTTATATCAACATTGTTACCGTTGTGTCCGTTACCTTGGTTGCTGTTACCGCTTTGCGTAGATCCACCACTTTTTGTCCTAAAATGATGTCGTTTCTTTGGCGTGCTGTCATTATTATTATAATGTTCCTGTCCCTCGTGAGAGCTATGCTGTGAGGATATAGATTGCTGAATGTAGTTGTGGTGGTGATGGTGCTGCAGGTACTGATGTTGCTGGTGGTTATGATATAAATCCAGGTGATGATCTTGCTTGGCCGCAGAGTTATCTGCTTGTTGTATAGCTAATGAAAGCTTTGATTTTGTATTTGGCATGGAAAAGTTCTCGAAGAAAATGCTTCGAGTCTCGATATTATAATGGTTAAGATTTTAGCAAGTTATGGTGATGTATATAGTGGACTAACGTGTTTGTGTGTCTCTGTGTTTCTGTGTGGGCCCTCTATTGATGACTTACCAGAACGTGGGTAAAGTCCAAGTATTCGATTCAGTGCTGCGTCTTTGTAGGCTACTTTAGGTCGCCTAATCACAAGCCGTTTCTTTTGACTGTTCTAATCCTTCTGAACGTGGGGTGTGTTTGTGGTAAATGATGTGTTTTGGTGTAGCTGCTATTCTGATGATGATGTTATAACGGGTACCGAGAAGATATTCTCTATCTCTCTCTGCATGTGCTTTAAGTTTTAAATTTTTTTTACTTTCTACTTTTTTAAGTTGTCGTTAAATTTTCGAATGTCATGATTGTATAACCCGCGACATTGAACTACATCATTGATACTCACAATTGCACCCACATTTGTCAATTTCGTATCAACCTACAGTCTCTTGGTTCTCTATAGCTTTTCCTTCTGTATCAATTTATATCTCCACTATATATAACAATATAAACAGGAAAAAAATAAAAAAGCTTTCCAAGTACGCGGCTCTTCTTAAGTAAGGTATAGCAACCTCTCACTTCTTCTTAGCCTTACTCTTCCCCTTCGGTTTGAATTTCCTCACAATGCCTTGTATTCAGTCCATCTTGGTATCACCTTCGGCATCCTTCTTGTCGTCACCGTTCTTGTTATCCTTTCTGGCATTGGCCATCTTCTCAGCCATAGCTTGGGCTTGAGCTGCTTCTTGTTTTTGTCTAAATTGTTCCTTTTTTTCTTGTTCTTTGGCCAAAAATCTACCTCTAATCACATTTCCAATAGATGCCAACTCTTCGTATTTTGCAATATATTTGGCTTTGGTTGATTCATATCCATCTTCATATAACCAGTCTTCAGCTTTTTGTAATAATCCAGTCAATTTCTCAACTTCTTCCTTCTTGGCGAAATCCTTGTATTGATCGCCCAACTTACCTCTCAACTCGTAGATATACTCTTCTAATTGATTCTTTCTTTCCTCAGTATCAGCAACCAATTTATCTTCAGCAAGCATTTGTCCTTCTTCTTCAATGAATTTCTGTAATTGAGCTTCTGGCAAGGCAGCACATTCAACCTCAATTGAGCAGTCATTCTTTTTAACTAATTTCTTGACCTCTTTGTATTGTGGTTCAGCTGTTGCTTCTTCTTCTTCTCCATCTTCTTCATCGTTACCTTTAGACTCACCTTCTTTTGGCTCAATCAATTCTTTAACAATTTGCTCTTCAACGGTATGAGCGGACTCGATGGTGTAGAAACCGGATGGATCATTTCTCAATTTCAATTTGACAGCAATTGATGACTCCCCTGCGCTTGGCTCAACATTACCAATCTTCCATTTAGCAATGAAATGTTCAGTTCCCTTTGGCAACTCCTTTGGTTTGGTATATTTAGCCTCAACTTCAAATGATGGTCCTTTTCTGTACAAAGTGATCATTTTTGTGCTTGGGAATAATCCTCCCTTGGGGAAAACTTCCAAGTGATCTTCGTCTTCATTGTCCTCCTTATCCCAGAAGTATGAAACAGTATATTGGTTATAATCTTCGAACTTGAATGGCCTGACCCTCACAGTTGGGGAATGGCAAGCACAGATATAAGCATTGCCTTTGGCAATAGCTTCATCTTGGTTCAAAGTAAAGGACAATGGTTTATTGAAAACTTCAGATATCTTGGTTTTAACTGCTGGAATTCTTGAGGAGCCACCAATAACTTCAACTGAATCCAAATCCTCAGATTTTAAACCGGCATCTTTCAAAGCAGATTGAATTGGAACGTGGATTTTTTCCAACAATGGCTTGACCAAGTTTTCCAACTCTTCTCTAGTCAAAGAAGACGAAACATCAACATCGTTCATAACACTTTCAATATTGAATGGAGCTTGAGTGTTGGCACTCAAAACTTTTTTCAATTTCTCAGCGGCAGTTAACACTCTATAATAAGCCTTTGGGTTTTCCCTAACATCAATCTTGTACTTCTTTTTGAATTCATCAGCAAAATGTTCTGCAATGGCATAGTCAAAATTTCTACCTCCAAAATGTTTATCGTAAGCAGCTCCCAAAATCTTCAATTCACCTCTCTTCACAGCAGCAATTGAAACTTGGTACGAACTGTGGCCAACATCAACAAATGCCACTTTCTTGTATTCATCTTCGGGTAAATCGGCTGCTTTGAAAACACCATAACCAACAGCTGCGGCGGTCATTTCGTTAACAATACGAACGGGGTTTAAACCAGCAATCTTGCATGCATCAGCAGCAGCACGACGTTGTTTTTCAGTGTACCATCCAGGAACTGATAAACAAATGTCATTAATGTTACCTTTGGTTTCTTTTACAGCGGTATCCTTAATCTTGTCCAAGTACATGGCTAATAATTGGGTTGCGGTAAATTCATGGTCTTTACCCATATATTTGACTTTAGCAGCAACCCCGTGATCTTTCTTGTTTTGAACCAATGGAACAGTGAAATATTGTTGTTCAATCTTGAAATCTGGATGATTATGTGGTAATCCAACAATTCTTTTCAAATTTTCAACAGTATTTTTGATATTTGAAGTTTGTTGATTTTTGGCGGTTTCTCCCAAGTATCTAGATTTAGGTCCAAATCCAACTAATGATGGAGTAGAACGATTAGATACTTCATTAACAACAATATCAATACCTCTATTTTTGGCACAGGCAATAACAGTATTGTTGTTACCTAAATCAACACCAAATGGAACAGACATCTTTCTTATTTATTACCTCAACTAGATGAATTGGGAAATTGTATTAAATGCTAAAATCCTCCTTTCTCTAATATGAAGAAAAGACAAATTGCGTTTATATATACGTATGAGGAAAAAGATGTGTAGGCGTTCTTTTGAAAAAGTTTTTCCAAATAGCTAGGCTCTCTGCTGCTGCTCAAAAATGGCTTTTCTTTTGTGTGATGAGATTTATATATGTTTGGTAGCGTAGAATATTTCTATGGTAGTGTATTGCTGAACAATATTCTATATAATTCGATTGTGTTCCAAAGTACACATGCATACTCTTGGCAAGATTCTATCGAATGGGATGGAACCAAATGTTGATCATCTTGAGGTTGTGATGCTTATTCCTTTAGCATACCTTAAGGCAATTACGCCTACAGTCATTCCTTCTTTCTTTGAAAGAATTGGGAGTACAGCTTTTCACAAACTTGTAGCTAGAACGTCCTTTAGTAATGTAAACATTGGTAGTACATAAAAGCGTGTATTTAAAGTGGATCTCAATACTTGCACGTGCATGCGGACTCAAAAAGCCGAGACTTTATCCAAAGAAACAACAATGAATATAGCAGGAGTTACTGTCAAAGAACAATCCGAAATGATTCACAACAACGGTTACAACACTCCTCTCATATGAACCACCCTAATTTGTATCAACCATTATACATCCACGAGCACCGTCGTGGTACAATTTTTTTTTGCATCCAATATTTTCGAAAGTCAGCGCCAGCCTGCCAAATCAAGATTGAGGAAACTATTAGAGAACAACGAAGTTCATTTAAGAACCAACTTGTCCGGGACAAAGTCTTTATTGGTATTAAGTCTACCCTCAGGTCATGCTTTCCCTCATATGTCTACCTCATGAAGCATTGGAAGAGATCTTTCATCAACTCAATTAACACCAAGCGTTGACGCTTGCTCCAATACATTCCAAGTTTTGTTTAAATATTAATAATTGAAATAATGTTACTAATTTTAAAAGTCCTTTAAATATGACTGAAGGTGTTCAACAAGAGGAAGAAGACATTGAAAATTCTTATCCTCATCATCAAGACGAACGGAAACATAACTCCTCGCCGCGCGTCTTGATGAGTTTCTTTTTGGGCAATCGCCTTCATGGAAGAGAGTATCGCACAATGTCGGAACTTGAGGCGAATCGGTTAAGAAATTAACCATAGTGGGCTTAAAATTTAGTTTTAGTGTTGCTAAATTTTACCTGGTGGTATACGCTTTTGAATACATATACAGGTATTATTTCATCTCTTTGTGCATCTCTTTTTCATTTTTAAAACTAGGGCGCTGTGTTGAAAGGATGCCCTCTCTTTCATCAACATCGTTAACTCCTAAAAACCTTGTACAAAGACTCTTTTATTACTTAGACACTCTGCAATCGAGTTTCCCTAAATACATTACTCCCCATGCTCCCTCTCTATCTAAGTGCTGTGTTCCAAAATTGTCAACAATGACATCCAGCCTCCACTACCAATCAATTGCAAATAATCTTGTTCTTCTCTATCCTTGACGTACCTGATCAACAATTCACATTCATCTTGACTTAAAATCCGTAATTTGACGATATAAATCAACAAATGGAAATCAAATATATCCGAGCCATGTGCTTTCAAATACTTATCTAATGTAGACAAGTTTTGGAAATCATGATTAACATCACCAAGAAAATCTCGGTTCTCGATTACGTAACCCGGCGTTGTCGAAAACATTGGATGTGGATCAATGGGGAACGAATCAGTTAATGACACCAAGAGGAATTCACCGGGGAATGTAGGCTTGGCATTTGTCTTGACTTCCAATCCATACTCATTGATTTTCAGGTACGAAATATCAGGCACATATCGAACATCATTACTCTCATTGACATAAATTTGTGATGGTTGAGTAGATCCGGTAATCAAATCAGCCTTGACCAAAGCTTCACCGCTGGTGCTAACTTGATACGACCTTGGTTCAATCTCACCTTGTAATCCACCAGAAATGACACAAGTGACAAACTTGGATGAAAATTGGCCATTGTTGCTATACTTTGTGGTGTTTGGGTTAGCAATTTGAAATTTTGCCGCCATGAGAATTTCCAAGTTTGTTAAAAAATAACTATCCTTATGTCTCTTGCACAATACGGTACCATCTTTTTGGCCCAGGTCAGTCAAATCTGTGAAAACAATGCCCACTTTATATATGCCCAATTTAGCAGCAATTTCATCAACCAACTGTTCATCGGGCCAATCCAGCAACGTGATCCCATCTAGTTCATCCAGTTGCGGTGGTTCAACGATAGCTTCAACTACTGCTTTGATACCCATGGGCACTTTTTCAAACTTTTCATATCTCCCATACAAGTAACCAAATCGTTGCACTCCTGATACCCGCCACACGTTGATAAAATCATTCAATATTGAGTGATTGGCATATTCCAAATGATCAATCATTCTAAATTTTTGCAATTGCAATGTGATTGGTGGTGGTTGACACTTGGAACATATACCTCTTGGATACGGTTGATGACCTTCACTGCATGACAAGTCTATTGCATAGTTGGGATTGTCCAATGGTGCTATATATGAAGATGCCAATTCTTTTTTGTTAAATTTTGCCATTTGCTGATTCAAGTAAGCGTGATAGGAAATATGCTTTATACTATGCTCTTTTCTGTACGACTCATCCCATGGTGATAACGGAGAACAATATTCACACATTCCCTTTGACCCATGACGACACATTGATGAAATTGGTCGTTGAATCATGCCATCCAACTTGTCTAGTTCGTCGTCAACAGGCAACTGTTTAACATTTAACGGACCATGGGCTGTTGATTTATTTATTGGAATGCTTGTAGATGTTGATGACGTAGGCACTGTTGTGGTTGAGTTACTCTTGACCGAGTTTATTGGTGCAGATCCTCCTTGTGTTGAAGCTGAGGGCGTTGGCAATGCACCTCCATAATTTATGTATAGTAAATCCCCATTTTTTAAATTCAATTCGGACACCAGTTTGTTTACCAATGAGCCGAGCTTGGTTGCGGTATCATCGTTGTCATTGGGTTTATCAGATATAGTTACATCATTGATGTCAACTCCATTGGGTACTTTTGACAATAATTGATCAGCCACTGATTGGAAAGTGGATGACGTATCAGTATTGATACGAAACATTCCATCTTTAGATCTGAATCGAAGTATAAGAGACATTGTGGGTTGATTGTGTTGTGGTGGTGAAAGAAGGATTAAATATGAGTAGAGCTGTTTTGGTGGGTCCTTCTTTTTTTACTTTTTTTTTGCCACAATAAAATACGAAATTGTGAAATCGCAAAGAGATGTACAAACAGACAATTATGCTTGTCTTGAGTCAAATAAATTCAGCACTCCCATTCATTCTTCAAATTACTCGACTATAATGCCACCGCAAATTACATTCATAAGCTTAACCAAAGAAATTGCCATACCTGTCAAGATCTTCATCAAAAATATCCCCTCAGATCCAACATCAACAGCACCACCAAAACCAGATCGCCCATCCACCACTGGCTCCACAACTAACTCCACAACCACGTCGCTATCAATCAATGAAAAATCTCCAATAACGATCCACAACATAAACCAAATTAAATTGAACAATGCACAAATTGAACATTTAGTCACAACGATATCGCCACGCGTCAAGAACTTGCTCTACTATAACCTCCATCACAACAAACAACAACTACTAAATGAAGAAGGATATGAAGTCAAAAGCGTGAATGAAACACTAGGCGAAACATTTGCCACAGCTGGTGACTACTTCAAGACCACAACTTTAAAAATTGATAATTTGAAAATTGTAATACCCATTGACGTCTTGTATCAAGTTCGGTATCAATTAGGATTGATTGAGTATGACGAAGCAAGGAAATATCTACGCGATAGTGGGTTGAATCTAGTTGTTGTAAAGCGACAGCAACAGCAACAAAGGCATAAGCAAGCTGGTGGCGATGGTCAAGAAGGAAATGAATCTGGTAATGTGCCTGTAACCACTGAGTCTACTCTTGATGATGATGATGAAATTGACAAAGTACAAATCAAACAAGAGGAGAGTAATGGTATCAATGTGAGTAATGCTAATGGATATAGTGGTCACGTATTCAATGGTAAACTGATTGTTGGTGATTTTGCAACTTGTATTAAAATTTACGTGTATTAAAAAAAGTACAATAGAGATTGCAGAACCACTCCATAGGGAGTACCATCCTCTGAATTATTATATCTAAATTAAACTTTGAAATGCATTGAAACTTCAGCTCTTGATGACATCTATAAAAACATATGAACAAAATGAAACATCTCAAGGATGAACCCATATTCCAGCTTCAGGCTTCAGACTCAGCAACAACCACCAAACTAAACATACCAGCACCATCTATTCCATGGTTTCAAGCATTTCATTGTGTCTTCCCACTTCATACCAGACCACTCGCTCCACTAAATGTCTGTCTACTCGATGATCCTCAAATTAACAAATCTCATTGCATGTGTTCTTCACCCGTTTCCTTCATGAGAATCTTCGTCGCAAACCGATAGTGTAAATGGGCGCCAATAAAACTCATTTCGAAAGAAAGGATTCAGAAACGACATCAGTGATCATCATCGAATTGAGAAAAACAAACATGACAAGACATTTTCCAATCGAAGCAAGTGAGGTACAATAGTGTCTCCAACACATCGACAATGTCAATTTTCTCAATGTCATACCTTGAACATACTCAAACGAAGATACGATAGTAAGCTAATTGTTCACCAAATCTTTGCTCTAACTCCCCGTTGTATTACCTTGAAAAACATAGCTTGTTTTTTTTGGGGGTTTTTTTAAAAAAATTTTTCTATTTTTTTTTGTATTTTTTATTCATATTTTCATCATCAACAGCTAGTGTACAATTCAATCTCAAACATTATTAAAAGGGTGAAAACACTTGTTGGGATATATGTGGACCAAAAACCCAATGTTGTTGTACCCGTTTCTACTCCATATCCCAATTCGAAAAAAAACTGAAAGCAAACAAAACCAAAATTATTATTATAACCTGTTGTGTATAACACAAGAAAACAATCCATTAAAATCACACCATAAATCAATCCAACTCTCTTCTACTCTCCCCTAGAAATTCAAGTATTCTCCCAACATATCATCAAACATTTGTTCTTCAGTCATCATCATATTATCCATCTGTTCATGTTGTTGCAACTCAAAATCAAACAAGTCTTGAAATGGTGCTGCAGACCATATTAAAAAGTAAAGCAAAAGCAAAAGCTTTTTTGTAGTTCCCCCCCCCCTCATTCAGTGGGAGTGAAAATCATAACGTGGAAAAAAGAAAATAAAACACGACCTTTGAATCTCAATCGTCCTTGGGTCATCTAGGTATGTAAGTCAGGAAAGACAATTGCTTCAATGCTATAAATCAAAGACAAAGACGTCATGTATTGCCGAATATTCAAATTTATGTAGGCAATGTCGTTCTGCATCACAAGTGCAACTCTCAAAGGAAATCTCGTCAACCAAACACGAAAAAAAGGCTTTTTCCACGTATATTAATTTCGAGACAGTTGACCACCTGGCACAAGCTGCTCCAAATTAATATACTTCCTTTTATTCGTCATATGTGGCTTGACAAAACCCCTTGAATAAACAAATGTGAGCATGTAATAGACATCCCACCCAATTGGAGCAATGATGAGTCCCATTGTCTTGACAAGCAGAGCACTGTAATTCCACTTTTTATCCCTAAAAATAACTTGATTATTTCATACAGAAACGGCCAGACGTATTTTATTCTCCTTTTCCAAAATTTCCACCAATGTGTGTTGAGGTTGTTGCTTTTCTTCTTCAATTGACAAAATTACTGCTGAATTTTGCCCCAGTTCGTAAATTGACAAGTTTGATTCTTGAGTGCTGACTTCAGTTGATGATGATGGTTGTGACTGTGTTGGTACATCCTTGAGCGTATTTTGTGAAAAGTTTCCCATTGATTCTTGTTCTTGTGTTTGTTGTTGTAGTTGTTGTTTAACTTCTTCAAAGGTGAAATCATTGAAATCAGATTTACTATTCAATGTAAAATCCATAGGTGAACTAGCTGATGAATGTAAACTGATTGGTGACAAATAGTTGTAAAAAGTTTTCTCATTCATCGCTTGAGGTGGTTGTAGTGAGTGCGTGTAGTTCTTATTGTTACAATCCTGTTGTTGTTGTTGTTGTTCTTCTTCTTCTTCTTCTTCACCAGCTTCCAACTTGGCATGGGCAGGCGAAGAAGTGATAGACGAACTTCTAGTTGAAGTTGGTGGGGTGGTAGTAGTTGTTTCCATTTGAGGCGAGTATTTCCTCTTTTTTGAAGGTGGTGATTGTGGTAACTTTTCCACCTTCACTTCAACAACAGGGGTAGAATCGTGTTCATGTGATTGATCCAGTTCTCCTTCTACATCATCTTCGTCATGATCTTCTTCTTCTTCTTCTTCCACTTGGCTGCCCTTTCGACTGCTGTTATTTCCACCTCTTCTTGAACCATTCAAGTTCGAGTGAATTTGACTCTTCAACTCAGACAAGTTTTCCAATCCTAAATCTTCAATGGAAACTTGGTCTTCTTCAGTTGGCAATTTCTCCAACAATTGTTGATAGCCAGTGGCAATCTTGTGTAAATTTTCCTCCAACTTCACCACATAAACTTCAAGGTATTCAACATGTCTCCTCTTCTTTTCTCTTGAAGCATGAGCTGCTCTTCTATTTCTAAGAATACGTTCAATCTTGCGTTGTTCCTTCTCTTCTTGAGTCTTGGCTCTCTTCCTAGGTGGTAATGTGCTTGTAGATGTTTTGAGTGAATCTAGTGAAGTAGTAGCGGTGGCATTTACATCATCAACAACAACAATGTCGAGTGGTGTAGTAGTGGCAGTAGTAGTATCTACGTCCATGACTAGTATGTGTGGGCTTAGTTGTTATGAGTAACTAGTGAAAAGGGGTAGTAAAATTGGTTGTAAAAAAATATACAGTTGTAGAAATTAAAAAAAAACCAAAAAAGGAGGGTGTGTTGTCCTCTTTATATATATAACTTTTTCTCTACTTTGAAATTTGTTACTATGTACACTACTAACCAACTAACTAACTACATAGCCTTATATTTTATTTTAATAATAATAATAATAATAATAATAGTGGCAGTAGTTATAGTATGTTACACAAACATAGTTTGAAATTAGCGTGTGCGTGTGTCTGTATGTGGTGTGTGTAAACAAATAACAAACTAATAGATCTACATTGTGGTCGTGTATTTTTGTATTGAAATAAAAAGAACTAAATTTAGCACCAACATTTGTATTGTTTGTGTTTATAATTTTATTCGCCACTCAACTACTAAGGGAGAAACAATAAGTGAGAATGTGTAAATTGATCCAAAGGGGGTATTTTTGAGTAGAATCATTTGGTTTCGTAAACATATATATGTATTATGGTACAGGAGCATAAACAAGGCTTACCTCACCCTCCCTTCCCCTTTTTTTTCTGCTCTTCCCCCCACCCCACCCTGTCACTCCAAACAAAACACATATCAAAAAAATAAAAAAAAATAAAAAAGTATAACATTAGGCAAAAGTCCTCTATACTTCTGTTTTTTTTTTTTATTTTTTTGATATGCTTTCAATCAAGATCTCTTCAAAGTGAATCAAGATTTCAACCATAATAGTTAATAGCAACTGCAACCTCATCTTATATCAGACTACTCTTCTCGTACATGTAATGTCTTATTTTTGCTACTGCGTTTCATCGTAAGATGGTTTATATCCTCTCCTCCACGCGTTACATTTTTGCAACACTTTCAACCCTTTCGGCTAATTCTACTCTTACTTTGCTACACCTTACCCTGTTATTCAAGATCGTTTGATTATTGATGCGTCTTGTTAGGTTGTGAGGTTCATTAGAGGTTGCATATACTGCTGTAGAGACTACAATATTATAAGTTTGTGAAGTGGAAGATGAAGATGAAGATGAAGAAGGGTGTTTTATTGTCCGATATACGGAAAATATTTTGTAACCCTTCTATAAAGCACAAAAGTAAGAAACCATCTAGATTCACCAATCTAAACCTTAAAAGAGAAAGAAGAGATTATGGTGCAATTTTTGATGAACGAGAAAGACACTAAGTGAGTTAATACTCACTTGCTGCAAAGAATCAGAAAAATCGTTTAGTTCAGTTCAAATGATGTTACAGTTTTGTTGTTGATTCCACTTTTCTCTTGAAACTCTCGAATATGTGATGAAACACAAATCTTGAACATAAAGCTTTTACAGTTTAAGCTTCTCTCTCTCTCCCTTTACGAATGCTCCCTTATTAGGCAAATATTGAATCAATTAAAGTTTCAATTTGATGTTACATTTATTCTTTGCTCGTTTCATCTTTTAACTTGGTCTGTTTCAAACATTACGAAATGTTTTTGCGCAATTTTTCTCTGCCTTTTTTTATGTGCAGTTTTTCTTGTCATTAGCAATTGAGACCATCTAACCTATACTATTGGCAACTGTCGTAAGGTTTAAAGAACAGAGCGCTTACCATTTATCGCCCGAAGTACAAAGGATCTTATTATCACGCATCTCTAACCTTAAGGAAGAAAAGCAGAAGCCGATTACTAGTCGTTACGCGTTGCTCCAGCCAAAAGTTGTTTTTTTCTCAATCCTTTTTCTAAGGCGAATTGGTGCATAGTGAGTTGAATGTAGACCCGAAATATTAGCCGAATCGTTAGCCCAACAATCAGGGTTCAATCATAATTCTAAACACAATATTGTCAAACCAAAAAGGGGCATCTCTTTACTCTTGTACAACTATTTCGTGTACAACTCTATTCAAGGCTGAATGAGTACTAATCCACAACTAACGCGATTCTTCGATTCTTCTCATTCGCGAATCCCTGCAAATTCTCTCCCACTTCTCATTTTTCGTTTCAACCAAGTGCATCAAGTCTAAAGGGGTCTAATTTAACAAACAGTAATCTAAAAGAGATGAGCAACATTAAAAACAAAACCAAAAGACCCAAACCTTACGATATGTACCTCTAAAACTTGACTTGTTTCCTTAATATCGAATGATACAAATGGTATTCGTTTAACGTAAAAGGAAATAGAACCCTTTCTGTGTTGCGCTATATAAATCGAACGAGGTATGCATAATGCAAGGTCTAAAAAACGATGCAGTGGAAACCCTATCGTAAGTTAGTATCGTGTGGCACGCTTTCACTAAGTAATGAGCTCATTTGTAAGGCGTAGTGGATTGTGAAGAAGCAAGGTCATACTGAGTGTATTCGCGTATAGAGAAACACATCAAGTTTTGCTGAAGAGTCGTAAAGACGGTGAGGTCTAATTGCAAAACTGACAAGGACAATTGCTTCCATTCACGTTATCCCTTACTGGAACTGAAATAGTTCAATCTTTAGTCTGCGTTTCTGCTTTTGGTCCAGTTATAAAGTGTAAACATCTGTCTGTCATCGCGGGTTTTCCCCAAAAGTGATGCAAAATATTATGTGGTTGCAAAAATAACAATTCTAATACAACGTCACTCTTGATGTTTGAAACTGGTTAAAAAGTCAAACTTTTCGACTTTTACTATCCAGTTCCTTTTTCCAATTACAATTGAGACTTGATTGATATCAGAGTAAGGAATACTTAAAATTTGTTGAATGCGCTTAGACAGGATTCAAGTGACATCGGATTTCGGAAAGATCTTGCTGGAATGAGAAAGAAAAAAATAAAAAAAAAAATTTTGACTCTGACAATGGGGAAAGATGCGCTCAAGCTTGTATGATTCATCATCTCCCCCACTAGATATTCACCCCGATAACAACAACAGCCTCAAGCACCCGTGTGTATATACACCACCACTACCATTCACGACTACGTCACCCCACTTTACAACAGGATTCGGAGCTCAGTTGCTACATGAAATCAGTACTATCAATCCAATCACATGTTGTCCATGGCTACGTTGGTGGTCGAGCGGCCATATTCCCATTACAAACACAAGGCTGGGAAGTAGATAACATAAACACTGTCCATTTCTCCAATCACACCGGCTATGGTCATTTCACGGGTCAAACTCTTGATCGTAATGAGTTAGCGCTGATTTTAAACCAGTTGATTAATAAGTTGCATATTGAATATACTGCTGTCATTACTGGGTATGTACCGAATGCTGAGTTGATACTGTGTATCAGAGAATATATCGTTGACATGAAGGGAAAAAGCGGAAACGAGTGTGGAAAGAATGGAGGTGAATGCAATGGAACAGCATCTCTGGATGCTTCCAATGCATTTACGTTCTCGCAATTGATTTACTTGATGGATCCAGTAATGGGAGATAACAACTACATGTACGTTGACCAATCATGTGTTGACGAGTATCGTAAATTGAGCCATAGTGGGATTGTTGATATAATAACTCCCAACCAATTTGAATTAGAATTACTCGTCGATACCAAAATCACCAATCGTGAAACACTTCAAAATTCCATCTTGCAATTACACAACCAATGCCATATTCCATATATTGTGATCACATCGGTTGAATCCCAAGTCATCAACCCAAACCTGACTGCTTCTCAAGATGACAACTATATTTATTGCATTATTTCTACAAAATCGACACTGGCAAGTGATGCTCAAATGAGAATGTTTCAAATACCAACAATCAAATCGTACTTTACTGGTGTGGGGGATTTATTTTCAGCATTGTTGTTGGATAAATTTGTTGCCAATAACGTATCAGGATCTAGTGATGCTTATGACAAATTGAGTAGATTATCTAAATCAGTCAATCAAGTATTGACAATAATGGCGAGAACTTTGAAATTGACACACAAATTAGGTATGCAACAAGCCAGGTCGGCATTGTCTCACAGCAATAAGAGCTTTCAAGTGGAGAAGCATACCGGAAGCGATGAGAATGGTGCCACCGTTGATGTCAACACTGTGTCTAAGGAAGAGGAGATTGTTGGCAAGATAAATGATGGTGAAACGATGAAGTATTTTGAATTGAAAGTTATACAAGCCAAGGAGTTTTACAATTATGATGGAGATGGTGAATTTAAAGAAATGAAACTATGATTGCGCGAGGGGAGAGGGTCGGGGGTATATGACAATCTCGGGATAAACGAGAAAGGAAGTTGAAGAGGTGCAAGATAACTATACCAAAACTTTTATAGATGGAACTAACATAGATGATGTTAAATTACAAAGTGTATCTTTACAGCTTCTCTCGTAGCATCGTTAAAAAAAGAAAAAAAAAAAAAACTGGGTGCAAAATGGAGACAATAGCGCTAGGTTCCCTAAAGAGTCTACACCCATCACCTACAAGATAGGAATGAGGCGCCTCATTCTTTCTTTTTAACGTCTTTTTTATAGATATGTATGTCTACAAATGCTAGATGAAAATAATTAACCTTGTTTTCGATTTAGAAAAGGTATAAAGTGTATTAACGACGTAATGAAGAAGTGAAATTTATAAAAAAAGGAAAAAAAAAAAGGAAGCTTCAGCATGCATCATCTCCTAGGACTGAAATGAGAACATGAACACATTGTCCAACACACCCATTTGAGTACTTCCTCTAGGTCCTGACTTCTAGCTCCTTTTGTGGGGTCCATACATGTTATCTTGCAAGTACTGAAACGTTCCAATATCTTCCATTCTTTTCAACAATCTAGCAATAGGAGGAGCGTAATGAGGATCAGTCAAAACAAATTGCAAACCATCACTCAAAATATTCCTCTCCTTTGCATAAATAAAATAATAATTCAATGGCAAATTGTTAAAAGCTCCATGTTCATACAACGTCTTAACAATGGGGTTGACCAATGAACTCAAATTGTCATTTTGAAGCACTTGCAAAACAATAGGGGTGATTATGCCTGATTGATTCAACGCCACAACAATATCATTAATACTTGATGAAACCAATTGTGAATTAACCACGGTGTTGATGGCATTGTTTAGGAATTGACTCAATGAACCTGCGTATTGATTGTCGACATCAGATGCTCTCTTGGACATCAAGTATTCTTCCCTTTTCTTGATTCTTTTCGCTTCTTGTTCTTGTAAATTGATGTAAACTGCATCTTTGGTAGTTCCGTCGTTATTGATTCCTTCAGGGTTCAATCCAACATCTTCAGCCAATGGAGGCGTTTCTTTAACATTGATATCTGATCTGTTGGTATCATTAGTGTTGGCTTTGGAAGTAGTATTGACTATCAAATCAGCAAGAAAAGGGACAGTCAAGGCGTGACCTTGACCTAAATCAGTCAATAACCAACCAATCCAAACATTATTTGGTGAGGATAATACGCCACCGGCAAAATCAGCTACTTTTTGGTTGTTTTCCTTATTTCCCAATAATTGGTCATAAGTTGATGGTATTATACCTGATTCAACAACCGCATTCATAATTTGAGTTGTATTGAGATTGATACTTATACCATTAAGACTAATGGTACTATTCTCACCGCCCAAATCGCCTGACAATAACAATTCAATATAGCTAACCAAGTTATCAATTTGTGTTTGGTTATTGGTTATTTCTTCAAGTAAATCGGGAATTAAACCAGATTGTTCAATGGATTGGAAAAGGTGGACATATTGGTCCACGGCGGCTTGGTTGTAGGTCAAATTGCTATCATCTCTTTTTTCTATGTTGTAGCCGTCTTTTGATGTTGCATCTGAGTAGTCTCCTAAAGAAGCTATCTCATCAAGAATGTCGTCGTATTGCAGGAAATCAAAACAGTGAACTATTTGGGAACAAAAAAGAAGTGTTGTGGGTATGAGTGATGTTAACTTCATGGTGAAAGATGTTGTGGTGGTAGCTGTGATGTGGGTATTTTATTTAGGGGAAAATGGGGGCTTTGACAAAGTTTGAAAGAAAGTAGTTTTTATAAGTCGCTCTTTATTAACTCGCTTGTGTTGTGTTGTGATACGGCTAAAACTTTCCGTTCCTTGAGTAGTTTCAAATAAAGCTCTCTATGGTGTGGATGTTGAACTATTTCAAATGAATGAAGCAAAGGTAGAAGCGAAAGAGCTTTCAAAGTACTGGTGTGATGTGTATCGAAAGAAAAAAAGTGGTGGGTTAGAAAGTGTTTTTGACCAGTGTTGTGGGTTTTTTCTTTCCTGGTTACAAAATTTTTTTTTTCCTTTTTTTTTTTGATTAAGTAGTATATAGTTTTTTCTTGTTGACCTCTCTCTTAAGACAGTATTAAGATCATGTAAATCTCCTCTTTCAGTTAGTCTATTTCTGTGTACTCTCTTTGGTCTTTAGTTTAAATTAGACGCTGAAATAATAGTGTGTCTCTATTGTTTCTTTGGCCATTGTTCATATTTTCATCCCCAAAAAAAGAAATAAAATTATTATACCAAGTAATTACACAAAAGCTGTTTGCTTTATCCATTTTCCCATATTGTAAGTAGCCATAGCGGATATAAAATATTAGAAACAACAGAAAAATAGCAAGATGACGATGTTAGAAGGTGCGGAATTTAGTGAGTAGGGAAGCAAAGATCGATAGGATCGTAGGTTGTGTTACTTCCGTTTTCCGTAACTACAAATCTCACTCTGTTGTCTTTCTCCTTACGTCTAATGCTTCTGGACTTTTGATTGGTCTCTGTAGTAGATACAGACTTTGCTTTGTCGGCCCTTTACCTTAGGTTGAGTCAACAAGGGAGGTATAGTACGTGATTACTCGATCGATCCACATCATCATATTCACTTGGTAGCATTGTTATTTCCTATCTAGGGAATTTTTTTTTTTTTTTCTTTTCTCTTTTTTGTCTCTTTAACTGTTGAGCCTCACCCATACTCGAATCAAAATCGGCCAACACTTCTTACAAAACAACACACATATCTTTACATCAAGCACAACACCTATGTTGAAATCTTGCCACTTAGTTTTCATCGCAACGTATTTATTATAACATCACTGCTTGTTGAAATTCTTTTTCCTCGAGGAAAATGAAAAACGGTTTAGCGTAAGAATGCACGTGATCTTCTTCATAAAAGGTTGCAAAATCTGCTAATCCTGCATATAGGTCTTTTCATACACAATATCATCAACACTTTCCTAATTGGGCAAGTCAAATTTTATGCATCATTATAGATCTCCATCAATCAAGAAACCTCAATTCTATAACCAAATCAGGTTATAAATTGTACAAGACAAAATACACTTCTAACTGTTGTTTAGCTTTGTAAACAATAGGAACAGTGACCAAGAAAAGCTTCTTATGTCAGGCTTTTGTTGTTAAATCCATTGTGTTTACATGTTTGATCAGTGCCCCTCCCTTTTAAGGTAAAAAACACAGCTCTTCGAGGTTCCCCTGCTTATACCTTCTTTAAAAAGCAGTCACAGGACCAATATCTTTCTTTCAAAAGAAACATTTAAACTTTTTATCAACAGTTTTTAACCACTTTTTTCTTTTCCTTTCCTCATTCCATTCGTTTCTAGTTGGTGTCTACACAAGTGATTGCCAGGACTACCCCCAATAAAGAAAAAGGATAAACATTAACAGATCTCGAAGTGAATCTGGTGGTATATCTCGATACAATTTAGACAATATCAAAGCGTTGCCGACCCCTTTTACAAATATCCAAACATGTATCTAACAAACATATTTATCACATTATTCTGCCTATTCACATCATTGGTACACTGTATACCAACATCACCGATTCCGCAAGGTGAGGAACTTTCCATTAGAGAAGAGATGGACCAGCTCGTTGAATCACATTGGGATGCAAACGATGCTAGTTTATACTACGACTTGATAGAAATGTTTAGTGATGAAGATTCACTTCACAAGAGAGAAGATGATGATGACAACCTTCAAAACACCATCAACTATGTTTTGGAAAAACTCAACTCATCTGGAATCATTTGGGAGTTATTGGATGCAATTGCTGACCATCCCGAAAGAATTGAGTACTTGGGTAACTTGACTTCATCTTTGCTTGGAGGTATGAATATCACAATCGATGTTGGTGCTATCTTGAGTGGTGATAGTGCTTTGTCTTCATTAACTCAGTTCATCAACATTACTGCTATCTACAATGCAGTTATGGATAGCGGATTAGTTACGTCATTAGCTGACGGTCTTTTGTTGGATGCTGATTTCAGACCAAGATTGGCTGATATTGTAAACAGAGTCGTCTGGTCACAAAGGGATGTTTTGTTGTATATTTTTGGTTCAGTATTCCAAAAGAGAGGTTACTTGTTCAAGAGAGCTGAAGTTGACAACCAAGATATCAGTGTTTGGCTGAGCTTGCTCAAAGCTGCTGAAGGCGAGGTGTCTGGATCAGCAACAGCTGCCACCACTTCAGCATCTGCAAACCCATCCTCATTCTCGATCGACACAAATGTCTTGTCATCAATATTGAACTTGAATTCTCAAATTGCACAAACTCAATCATCAACTTCAACTTCTCAAAGAGCAACTTCGTCGGCATCAAGAGCAACTTCTTCAGCATCAAGATCAACCAATTCAGCTTTAGTTTCATCTGCATCATCTGCTTTATCTGCTTTGGCTTCGGCATCCACTACTAGATCAGCTTCACCAAACTCAAACACTACTTCGTCATCACGCTCGGTTGCAACAACCACATCTTCACGTTCAACTTCAGTAAGCTCAAGTGAATATAGTGGAAGCTTGGGAGGCTTTGTTGAAAATGCAGCCGGAGCTGTTTTGGGATCAAACCTTGTTGGTACTGTTGCAACTGATGTTTTGAATGCCTTGAATGACACCGGATTTGCTGTTTACTTTGTCAAGAGATTTTTGTCCGATGATGCATATGTCAATATGACGGCAGCACTTGCCAATGACTTGTTGTCTGCTGGTACCATCAACATTGACTTGAGTGGAGTAAATGTCACTAGTCTTGTTGACCAAGTATTGGGTGATCCTTCAACACTTATCGGAACCGTCAGCACCTTATTAAGTGGTAACGCCAGTGCACTTTCCGGTACCTTGGGTAAGTACTCGGGTGCTATTCAATCCTTGATTGGTGATATTGAAGCTACCGGTTTGTTTGCTAGATTGAACAGTTATATCTTTGGTGATTCAAGCAGTAGCACCTCAGCTACTCAAACATCAGCTAGAGCTACTTCCTCTAGTGCTAGAAGAGAAGTTGTTTCTGCAAGTGCCACAACTACTACTTCCAAGCCAGCCATTGGAAAAGATGTCAAGACCAGCGGTGTTGCCAGTCTGTCAGCTACCAACAGTGCTGTTTCTCGTTCGTCAAACAGCTCCAATGATGCTTCAGGTTTGTCTGGTAACGGGTTCGTCATGAAGACGTTGTTCTTTACTCAAGCTGTCATGTTCATTGGTGTATTCGCTTTGTAAGGTGCAGTTTAATGTTTCCAGTACAAAATCACAAAGGAGTAAACCTCGGTTTCATAAAGTTTCAAAAGAAACACAAACGTCCCTTTGTTTTGGACTGTTTGTGTTTCATTCTACACGTTGCTTTACATTCATTTCATATTCGACAGCAGGTACCACTACTGACCAGTAGCAGTTGCCTTGCAATTTTTATACTACTCATATAGTTTAATACCAAATCTTTTAGTCTATCCGTCCAAAGGCGCAATTGTAAAGGTGTGTGTAATTGATTTAATGTGCGAGATTGGTAGCTTTGTTCCAGACAATGCTAACCCTAGCAACCTTTATGAATGGTTTTTCTACGGACAAGAATCTCCTACAATTCCATACCACCAAGTGTGCAGATATGAGCATTTAATGACCCGAGGAGCATGTCTGATATAAACATTGGCAGTTCTGTAAAGCCCAATGGCGTCAATGTTGAGGAAACCAGGTTCACCATTGTCACAAATGATGATCCGAAGACTCCACCATCGAAAGCAAACAATCAAGATCCAGAATCACCGACATCGCCACTCAATTACCCCAGCGTGTTCAATGATGCTATACCTCAAAGACGATTGTACACGCGCTCGTACTCAGCCCCCAATACCCCCCAATTCCGTCCTTCACAAACACTAACAAGTCCCACCATACTAGAGACAAGAAGAAAGAGCCTAAATGGGAGCTTGTTAGAAGACACCAACTTCACCAGGTTTAAAAATTCGATATTGTTACCAGCTGCGGGATGGGCATACACTCCCATCACAAAGATGCAAAGACGACTGAAGTATAAATCGAGAGAGCCCATCGAGTACAAGATTGAGTACTCCATTTTCCAACCTCTAGAAGACGCAAATCAATTAAATACACAAGAGGATATTGAAAATCACTTTAGGAGCTCATGGAATAACTTGGATAATCTGTCTTTGCCTGAAAATTACATAACCGAACTGGAGTTTCAGAATGTGGTCACTCAAGTAAAGGATGTGATTGAAAAGAACCATGTTTACCCGGAGCGCATCATGACCGGATCATCCGGTAGCTACTTCGTGTTCAACAAACTTGAGACAGGCTCATCTTTGTACGAGAAAGTTGGTGTATTTAAACCTAAAAGTGAAGAACCGTATGGCCCATTGCTGCCAAAGTGGACTAAATGGCTTCATCGTACATTCTTTCCTTGTTGTTTCGGACGCAGTTGTCTTATTCCCAATCTTGGGTATATCAGCGAAGCAGCCGCTTGTGTTTTGGATCGTCAATTGCAATCATATATTGTACCATACACAGAAGTGATTCGATTACGAGCGCCGACTTTTTATTACAAATTTTGGGACAAGTCTAATGATGTGACGAAATTGCTGTACAAAATAGGTTCGTTTCAAATGTTTTTGCACGGGTATGTGAATGCCGATTTGTTCTTCAAAATGTATCCCATTCCAACTGATGTGTATCTTTTGCCCAAATCACTGGATGTTGAAGTTGATGCTGATGACGATGTAATGGGCGACAAATTCAATTGGAGTCGTGACTCAATGCGACAATTTAGAGAAGAGTTGGAGAAAATGGTTATATTGGACTACTTGATGAGAAACACCGATAGAGGTATGGATAATTGGATGATCAAGTTGGAATGGCACGAAGTGCATCGTCTGGGAGGTACCCAAACAATGCGTCCATTTTTGAAAGTTGGAGCTATAGATTCCGGACTAGCTTTTCCTTGGAAGCACCCTAATGAATGGAGATCGTTTCCTTTTGGTTGACTTTTTCTTCCATTATCATTAATTGGGCAACCATTTAGCAAAAAGACAAGACAACACTACCTACCATTGCTAACTTCAAAAGTGTGGTGGGAGACCACTGTGGTCAAACTAAAGCATGTGTTTATGAAAGACAATGATTTCAAAGAGCGCATGTGGAATAAACAATTGGCGGTGTTGAAAGGACAAGCATTCAACGTAGTGGAGACTTTAAAATTGGATTTTGCTGGACCATTGGAGCTCACTAGGTGTCAAAATTTGTTGGTGTTTGATGATCTAATGTACATGCCAAGACAAGAGCCAGGACTCAGAAGGCGAAGTTTACCATTGATGTACTCATCTTGTTACGAATCTGATGTTAGGGGTGGTCAAAAATATTTGCCTTGTTTAAGCGAAGCACCATCAGAAGAAGGGTACGAGGAGCGTGGGGATGAGCATACGCCATTGCTTGCTCCACTGAATGTGGATGGAAGTGCATATAGTCTGCAAGTTATTTCACCTAGTCTGCAAACTGGAGATGGGATACCAGTGCCATATGAATCGGGATATTCTCGCATTGATAGTGTGAATGATGATGATCCTCCTGAAAGCGGTACTAAAGTTGTCATTGAACGATTAGTGAAGGAACATTCAAACCCACCAGTGTTTACATGGTGTTGAGAGAAAACTAGCATAATAAATAGAAATATTAACTCTAGACACCTCTACACTTTATAAAAACATATCTATTTATTTCATATCAATGAAGGTACTTTTGTTTAAATACCGTTGGGTATTCGTCCGAATTCCCTTTGAAATCTGCCTCATTCAAGACGAACATCTTTCTCTCCTCTTTTAATCTAAACTGAACCATTTTCAATAATGAATAAATCACTGATAGAACAGGAGTGGAAACACCATTCTCCTTGGCGATTCTAATCGGATTACCCAATATGATTTCCAATTCCATCAATTGCTTCTTTCTCATATCAACACACATTGATGGTGCATAGAATAACCCATCACCTATATGAATCAGCATCTCAACTTTGGTAACGTCACATTCAACACCAACACTCTTGGCTATTGCTATAACTTCATTCATTGCTGGACGCAATAACTCTTCGTTGGCGTTATTAATTTGCAATCTAGTAGCATCCAAGTCAACCAACGCAGTTATTGTGTTGAATGTCGAGTTGTAAATCAACTTCTCCCATCTCGTCTTTTGAACGTTGACGTCAACGGCGATCTTGTTATAATCGGGGTTGTGATAAATGGAGATAAATTCATCAATCTTGGCTTTTGATAATGGATGTTGGCTGGGTTTTACAAAATCTCCAAGGAATACAATATCGGGACCCTTATTCTCAACATGGCCATGGTGATAAGTACTAGCAATCAATGATACACCACTAAGAATCAAATGACCGGGGAATCTTTTCAACATGGTTTTTTCAATATTAATTCCATTCTGCAATAAAATAATCACTTCGTCACCAGTCTTGACTGCTGGGGCAATTATATCTTCACAAGTGACCGGTCCATCGGGAATGTTTTTCGTAGTTAAAAGAATGTAATCAAATGGTCCGAATCTTTCAACTGCATCGTCAACTGATTTGGCAAGGTTATGCGGTTGCCAATTTTCCAACTTCCCATACGTGCATGAGTTGATCGAGTATCCTTGAGATTTAATCAAGTCGTAATCGGAACGAACAACCAACGTGACTTCTGATTGATTATTGTGTTTCAATGATACTGCGGAGATGGTGCCTACCCCACCTGATCCAATGACTAATACTTTTGGCTTGCTCATTTTCTAACTGAACACTATACTGTGGAGAATATGGTCGATTGTGGTTTAATAACACGTTGAGTAAGAACTGTATTTCGTCTGTCGTTAGTGCTTGTACAAGCTCTCTATGGTGCTGCTCTAAAGTTTTCGTCGAAATTTTTTGCAGTGGACCTTTCATATAAAGATTTGATTACCAGAGCGGCAATTTCCATTTTGGTCTGTAGCCGAGAAGTTTCCAATACACAAAATAAGAGAGGTTTGGTTTGAAGATTATAAAGCATCGACACAATAGTATGCACTACATCCGTCAAATTGCTTGCTTTGTTTTGCTTTGTTTTGTTTTGTTTTGTTTTGTTTTGATTGTGTCTGGAAGCGGAGAACGAATTAAGATTCCCCACCTAACAGCTAGGGTATTTACAGCTGGACCGAAATATTTTTTCCCTTTTTTTTTTTGAAAAGCAACAACTTGCATCAACTTGCGCTGAAATTGTGAAAAGTGTACCTACTGTAATGAATCAATTTCCGATTCCGCTCACTTGTAGCAGGTTATCTCTCTCCAGTAAAGCACGTAACGTTTCTTCACTGTAGGAAGTGATCAATTTTGGAAACAAAATTGTTGAATATATCTTCGCTGATGGCCCTAGATAACATGATTAAGCTCCACCAGATTTTGGTAGCAGTCTTTGTAGCTTTGGTTCGTCGAATCTTCAATGTCAACAATTTGCGACCCTGAGCTAACATATCAACCTGGTTCAAAATGGAGTCCACACCTTTTCTTAGAATTACTCGAGGATCATGCTCATAATCATACTTTTCCAGCATTAGTATGTATTTATCCCAATCATTTTGCTTCTGTGACGAGTCAAAGAAACCGAAATTGTAATACTTTGAATCTATACTTGGAGTAGTCAAAACCGGTACATGATAAATTATATCCATTTTATAACTCACTTCACACCAATTCTGGAAAACATTTGCGGCAATCAAGGGAACTGACTTCCATTGTGATTTAGTATAGTTATAAGCTCGGAGCTTGGTGAGGGAGTCCCCGTAATATAGTGAGCCAACTAATGTGTTTGGGAGGAAAATTGGAAAACTTCTCAATGCAAATGTCTTCCTTCGAGCAAGTATAAACTCACCATCATCGACTGCAAGCTTATTAAACTCTAACGGCTTGGTCCAGGGAATAGTCTCATTCAAATTCAAATCGCAAATCAATTTGTTATCATTACAATACAATAAATGATATGTCCCTTTCCAAAGTTTTACATTTAACTGGTATTCAACCTTGTAACCTGTAAAGGGAATATTGGCATTACTAATACAAGACTGCGATTGATCAAGTAGTGAAAATGCACAAGTAATGATGAAAAGTAGTATCCAAAGCATGTTCTGCATCCCGAACAAAAAAATAGCAAAAAAAAGAGTTGCAAAAACATGTAAAATCAAAGATAAAAACACATCAATTTGTAAATATTTCCACCTTGCATTTATCTTTTCATAGCCATATGATTCTTCAAATATGTATCAAACCCAACAGCCAATGTCATTCCAAGTACTATGTCAAACATACCCCTATTCTCCACACCTCCGAAAATGTCCATGTCCTCGTATATAGTTAGCCATCCCAGTTTATTCTCGTCAGGATTATCGTCACGAGTATCATGCAGGTAATATAGTCCGTCGCTTCCATTATAAAAAGTTTTGGTATCATTTTGACTGGATTCGAAATCATCAATAGCCATATGAACACTTGATGCATGACGTTTTTTTTGTTGTTGCTTCATAGACTTGACTAGTCTCTTTGTGATTCTGTTCTCATTGGGACGAAACATGCTCAAAACAGGGGGAAATTTGGCATTCGAGTCGTGGAGGTTTTTAAGAGCTGCCTCTGATTGATCGTCTTGTACGTTATTGGCGTAATTGCGATGGAAATAGATGTTTCGTTTGGCCACTAACTTAAGCTCCTCTTGTTCACTCTGTTCGTTTGTATACCTATTAGCGTTCATGACAGTTTGTCTCATTTTATTAATTCGACTAACTCTGACCCTAGGTATCGATCCAACATTCCACACCTTGTTCTGCAAATCTCTAACTTCATAGTTGGTAAGAAATTGTGCATTTTCTTCACGCAATGCCTTGTAGGGAAAATGCTTTCGCACAATTTGCAGTGGAAACGACACAGTCTTAAATAATGTCATGTCTTCGTATTTTTGCATTGTTCCGTCATCAGCTAAATACGTGTTTTTTGGTGTTTTCAATTTGAAATAACCTTGAAGTTTATCATATTTTTTTGTAATCATCATACATTGTCTAGGGTCTTGTGAAAGGTTGACTGGATCTTTGAAAATCAAAGTATATTCATCACCACTCATTTTACTACCCTGATTGATTACTGGGTCCATCAAAATCTCGACATAAAAGCTGGGACCATTACGACAGTGAATGTATTTAGTTCCCGGATTGGTGGTAAGATACAAATCTTTTCCAAACCGAAGAATATGATATTTCCAAAAGGGCATTATGTCTATGGGAATAGGTGAAGTTGATGTAGTTGTGCGGTTTGAGCTTGAGGACTCAAAGATGGGAGCTTGAGGTAAAGGCTCAGTGTCCAATGGTTTCCTGTAATTATGACCTTCTGTCTGAGGCCTTTCAAATGTTTTCATACTTGCTGATCGTGACAATGAGCTCACCATTTTTCCCCAATTGTTAAATTTTCCAGTTGAAAGCCGCTTCATTCTACTTGCTTTCCTATCTGGTTGTAGAATTGATGGGGCTTTATCCTCTTTGTATTCACTTTTAGCAGATTCAGTGTTCTCTCCTTGCTCTTGAGAACTGAGGGCAAGATCTGGAGGTGGTTTTCTTCGTATAGTACTCTGACTAGATAATTTGGTATTTGGCGTTACTACCGTGGTGTCATGAATGTTCGCTACTCCATAATATATCGATCCTAAATCTTGATGTTTCTTCTCTACTTCATTAGATATCGGCAGGCTAGCTGTTGAGCTGGTCCTCTGGAACTCCGGCATTATTGACTGATGCTGTTGAATCAAGTGATCTTTGTAATCAGTAAGTGACAAATCGCTATCTGACTCACTATCGTCATATTGTTGCAGCGGGCTATATGGGAACTCATTCGGCGATAGTTTGGTTGATGTTGGTGATTGCATTTAGGAGGAGTAGCAATGGAGATTGAGCCTGAGCAATTACGGTAACGAAGATATGTCAGAACGGTGATAGTGGCAAGATGTTGGAATTAACACTTATATGAAGAGAACGAAAGAGCTATTTGTGGCTGTGATTATTCTTGTCGGGAAATTTACAGTGTCGCAAAATCGGCGCCGTGCTAAGAACACTTTGTGCCTGATATGCACGACATCGGATTAATTACTCCACCCCTGCTGCAATAAAGAAGAAGTTCAGCACCTCAAAACGTTTAAAGTTAACTTCTAACAATATCCAGCATCAGGGTGAGTAAGACCTTATAAATTTAGAGTACCAGCTTCCTAAGTTCATTTTTTCTTTGTGGCGTTTCACATCTCGAATGACTCCGAGATTTTGATTTTATTAATTTTTGCTTTACTTGAAATTTTCAAAAGATGAAATTCTTTGCTATTCGAGATCATCTTTTTACACAACAGGCACCTCTTATCATCTAGTCCCCCTTATGTTCGATCTCGAGGATAACAATCCGTTGCTACCTGCACCACAATCAGACAATGAAGGATCTATATACGGTCAAGAATTGAATTGTCCTAACGGAAGACAAGTATGGAGGATTTGTACAAACTTGAAATTATTAATCGATAAAGTTGTCCCCATTCTTTTCGACAAGGAGGAAATTTTGAGACCCGATTCTTCGATCTTGAACGACAATGTTATTGAACTCTGTTATACTGCTGCAGGAGGTAAAGGTGATGGCGAAGAAGGAACTTCCTCACGCAAGTATCGTGCATGTTTGGTGTTTTGTTTATTAAAAGTGTGCGATTGGTACTGGCAACAGAGTGAATTTGAATTGAGTGATAATGAATTGTATTCCTTGCGTGCATTGAGTGCTCAAACCTTGGCTGCTATAATCATTGAACGAGAACATGATGAAAAGTACTTATTTTTGAGTATGTTATGTCACCGATATACAATTTGTTTGAATGGTGAAGATGCTGAGCGGGTTAGTGCTTTGGAGTTGGCTGTGGACATGCATTCCACAACCGTCATCAGCTCTTCGGGATATCAAAGATGTATCAAGTGGTTATGGCGAGGATGGATTGTCCAGTCATCTTCTGATCCTCACTCCTATGTTTTGTACAAGGGGGTTTCTTCTCACTCCATTAGAACCCATTTTGATCCAGCACGACTCAAGACACCATTGTATCAAAACATATTAGAAGTGTTTTTCAGTTTTGTTTACTTGGTGCTTTACTCAATCATATTGAATACTAATTCAAAAGAGTATTCAAACTTGAACATTTTTGAAGTGTTTTTCTATTTGTGTACATTGGGGTCCGTTTTGGACGAATGTGTCAAGTTTTATCACGTTGGATGGAATTATTTGGGATTTTGGAATGCGTTTAATGATTCAATGCATACAATAATAACCATTTCCATTGGATTCAGATTTGCTAGTATCAATGCCCATGGCGATCTAAGGGATAGATATGATGAGATATCGTATCGTTTGTTGAGTTGTGCTGCCCCCTTCATGTGGTCAAGGCTATTATTGTTTTTGGATGCCGAGAAATTTGTGGGTGCAATGATGGTTGTCTTAAAAGTTATGATGAAAGAGTCAATCTTGTTTTTCGTCTTGTTGGGTGTTGTCATCATTGGGTTTTTACAAGGTTTTCTTGGATTGGATGCTTCAGACGGAGAAAGTGATGCCACAATGAAGATTTTGCGGTCATTATTCAAAGGTGTCATTGGGGACTCGTCTTTCGATGAAATGGGTAAATTAGTTCCACCTTATGCATCAGTATTATACTATGTTTACACCTTTTTGCTTAGTGTCATATTGATGAATATCTTGATTGCATTGTATTCCACCGCTTATGCTGCAGTTGTTGACAATGCAAATGATGAGTATTTGGCTTTACTCGCGCAAAAGACCTTGAGATACGTTAGAGCCCCTGACACCAACATTTATGTTCCTCCTTTGAACTTGATCGAAATTGCGATAACACCAATTAGCTGGGTCACAACAAAGAAAACTTTTAGGGTTGTCAATTACTATGTGATGCTCGTAATGTATGCACCATTGTTACTTTACATCACCAGCGTAGAATTGGCAGCAGCAAGAAGAATCACATACAATAGGTACAAGCATTTACCCGATGATGCTAATGAACATGATACTGAATGGGACTTGACCGATGGGTTTGGTGATGCTGGTGATGGTAATGACTCTTCACAATTACACAACACCCCCTTGGATGGAGTAAGGGCTCGTACTTCAGAGATAAATGATGAATTAAGTGCACAAAGAGCTAGTGAAAGGGAAGATAATGAATTCATGATCAATTTGAATGAATTTGAAAAGAAAGTCGAAGCTGTCGCCAAACCAGTTAAAGAAGCTACAAAAGTTGGTTTGAATTGGCAATTTTATGACTTGTATAAAAAGATTGATAAATTGACCGAAATGGTTGAGTTGGTTATCACTGAAAATAAGGAGTTGAAAGGCAAGTTGGGAGGCAGTTCTAGTAAGTAAATTGCGCAGGATGGAGCTTTTGTTGTTGTCGCGAGTTGTCAAGATCGATGTGTCCCCCTATTGGTGTGAAATTCGAGCATTTTTTGCAGCCGAGATTTTTATTATGTAGGTCTAATTTGCCAAAATTACACGACCTAAATTTTTGCAATACCACAATACTTTGATGATTCACTATTGTTTTCTTTGTAGATTTCTGTTCTAGTGCGAGACTGTAGACTATTAGAATGAGCTCAAACTGTATACTTCCGTGTATTAATCCATGTATGCCTCTGTAAATAGTAATAACTACTACTGTTTGAGAATGTTTTGTGCCATTTAACACTACCATTTTCAAAGAAGAAAAAAAAAAGTAAAAACGTAATTAAACATTAGACGGAGAGAGAAAAAAATTGTATTGGAGTTCATAAAGAGAGACATAACCAGACAACCCTAATTTCTCAAAAAAGAAGCACCTTTCTTGTCCAATACGTCTGTAAGCCACAGTAATTCATCATCTTGCAGTCACCATGTCCAATCGAATAGACAGTAGTGGTACCAACACTAAGTTCAAAGTAGGAGATAATGTCCATTTTGAAGTGTCAAAGGAAAACACAATTACTACCAGTAATAACACTACAACCCCCAACGGAAACAAAGCTTCCAATTCAAAATCAAATGATGCAGCTGCTCAAGACGAGCAGCAAGGAAACAGTATCTTGGATCCCAACGCCCTTGCCAACAAAGCGAAAAAGAAGAGGAGAGGTAAGGGAAAGAAGACAACGAGACTTTCCACGTCACATGCACATTTGAATAATCCAGATGAAGACTACCCTACGTCCAGGGTAATAAAGCAAGCACCCAACGGTGATGTGATAGTTGAAAGCTTGGATGATGAGGAATCAGATGGCGAAAGTGAAAGGTCGCGTAATTCTCGTGTTGAAGAACCCCTGAACGGGTCTGGGTCCAAGGTTCATCCACATCTGCAACCCCAAAAACATAATGAAACGATACATAACCAATCTGGTATGGCTGGTGCGATTCACAACGCGAAGCGAACCAGTCATGATGCTCATAATAGTTTATGGGATAGTTCATCAGTTGAAGAACAAGAAAAGTTGAAAGAGTTTTGGGAATCATTGGCCGAACCTCAAAAATTAGAATTGGTCAAGATAGATAAAGAGTCGATTATGAAAATGTTCAAAAACGAAACGAGACAACATCTTCAGCAACTACTGCAACAACAGAATGGAAGTACTTCAAATGGGGGTGGTAACTCATCGAGCCAGAACAATTGCACTTGCAAATACTGTGGTAGAAGAAATCACCTCATCGAAGAAGAGTTGGAAAGTATTTATGATAACCATTTTGATGACATTATCGACTTTATACACGAGGTTCGCGATATAAATGACTTGAATGCCTTGCCAGGATTATTGTTTGGTGGGTTCCATATGCTAGAAGAAGAAAGGAAATTGCAAAGAAGGAAACAACTACATAATGAAAATCAGGAAATGTCCAAGCGGCTGGCTGCCCAAAAAACCGAGACGAAGATGAACGACATAAAGGCAGAGATGGAGAAATTACAAATGGGATCTTCTTCACAAGGGAATCCAGAAATACACCCATCGCGAAACTCTTCTCAACAACCTCAATTGAGTCAACAAAGTCCTCCGGGTACAAGACCTCATGCCAATGTGCAAATTAGTGCATCAATTCAAACGTCAAACTCCTCCCAAACGCAGCTATTTGATAAGTTGCTTGATCCCAAACTTTTTCAAGCATTGGAAGGTTTGGATCTACAAAAGATGAAGGAAACTGCACATTTAGATCCAAAAAATGCGGCACATTTGAGCATGTTGGAAAAAGCAGGGTCATTGAAGGAGATTGTAAGAGATTTGCACAATCATGATGGGAAGCGTGCTGAGAGAGGAGCCAAGTATGTACAAAACATGGGCAAATTCTTTTCCAATATTGCCAATATGAATGCAAGTAGCCCGGAAGAGGCAGAAAAGTACATGGCCAAACAATTTACTGAGCATTTTGGACAAGGACTCTCAACATTCGCTGAAGATTTGTTGAACAACGATGGAAACTCATTCATAAACATGATGGAATCACTTACAGAGTCAAGAACTGCCCGCGAAGATGTATTGAAGGGTATGTCCACATCAGCCAATGAAAATGCTTCGAAAGCTCATGCCACTGATCTGCAAACTCGCTGGGTTGATGAAGATGACGAAGAGGGAGAAGATGTGTATTGTGCTCATCATCATCATCACCGCCACCACCACCACCATCCTCTTGACGATGAAGGGTATGAGGTTGAAGATGACGATGAATATGACTACGAGTATGACGACGACGAAGAAGAGGGAGAAGACGGCTTTGAAGATGATGATGGTAAAGATGCGAGCGATACCGAGTCTGAGATCTCTGAGGAGGAGAAGATGCAAGAAATTCGTCGTCTATTCTTGATCCAAGTCATCAAATTGTTCCAAGAGCGTTTAAAGAGTGCTTACAAGGAAAAGATTTCCAAAGACAACACGCAGAAATTGATTGAGGAATTGGAAGCGGAAGAAAGAGCAAAGAAGGAACGAGAGGCAAAGAAATTAAAGCAAAAAGAAAAGGCCAAGGAAAAAAAGAGATTGGCGCAATTGGCGAGAGAGGAAGAGAAGAAAAAGAAGGAAGAGGAGGCAAGAAAGGCTGAGGAGGAGCTCAAAGCTCGTCAAGAAGAACAAAGAGCAGACCAAAAACGAAGAAAGGAGGAAGCAAGACTCAAGCGTGAAGAGGAGAAGAAGAGAAAGGCAGAAGAGGCAAAGAGAAAGGAAGAAGAGCACAGAAAGAAGGTGGAAGCTCAACAAAAGAAGGACGAGGAGGCGAAGAGGCTAAAAGAGGAACGTCGTAGAAAAGCTGAACAGGAAAGGAAACAAAAGGAGGAGGAAAAGAAACAAAAGGAAGAGGAAGCAAAACGAAAGGAATTGTTGAGAAAGCAAAAGGAAGAGAATAAGGAAAAAGAGAAGGAGAAGGAGAAAGTTGCTTGTGAGAGAAACGCGACTCAACAAGAGGATGACAACTTGAAGTGGGTATCGAAGTCTGCTGATAGTTTCAGCTCCAGTGTACCCAGTTCGAACTCGTCTAAAGCTTACTTTGATCGAGTTTTGAAAAAAGAAATTGAAGAAAAGCAACTTGATTTTCTCGTTGATCCAACAGCTAGTGACAGTTCTTATAACCAACCTTTTCAACCTAGACCGGGTTCACTTTCGAGTAGGGGTTCATCAATTGGTCTTACCGTGAATCAATTGCACTCTGGTATTCCATCGGCTTCACAGCAACCTCAGTTCACCAATGATTTTGCTCAGAATCAATACCTTAACCAGCCCTCGGTGTTGTCTCCTCAACCTGCACCCATAAATCCAATGAATGGCGGCTCCACTGTAAATCCTTCTATCGCTAGTAATTTTTCATCCACGGCTGCTGCAAGCGCTGCTAGTTCCAGTGGCCCTATCAACCCAATGTCTCCATGGGCTGCGAAAGCTGGGTTAAACAATCCAGCAGGTTCAGTATATCATCCACACTCAGGTTCTTCGATTGCTCCTACGTTAAGTTCGACCAATATTCATCAGCAAGGACAGCCAGTTGGTCGCTTTGATCCATTTGGCGCATCCAATGAATCTTCTGATCCTATCACCCCTATTGCGAAAAATTCGGCGTGGACATCTAATCCTAATGCTGTCAATACTGGTGGTACGAGAGGCAGCAGCTTTATTTGGAACAATCCAGCCGGGTCTAACCCTTGCGAAATTTCTCATTTGAATCCAAATTTGAAAGCTAACAGCTTTTACTCGTCTGAGGTTGAGCAAAATAACCCAAGCTCTAACGATACTATACAACTTGGTATCAGTAATCCTAGTGGTTCTGTCGAGATAGACTTGATTCAATCATCAACTGTCACTTGTTTCCACACCTTGGCTTCCATGAATCAATTAGAATTTGGAGTTGCGCCAATAATGAGATTGTTTGAAGAAGTAAAGAGTGTTGCAAAAAGACCACAATTGACCTTGGATCAATTTTTGAATTATTGTCAGTCGGGCAGTGTGTACACGTTTGAGAAAAAATATGACCCATTTGGTAGAGTAACACATATGAAAGTTGGCACGCATACGTATGCTAGATCGTCCCCACCTGTTGCTCCGCTATTCACTCCAGGTGCTATTGGATTTTCTCAGGCACAACTGCAAGCAACTTTTCCTCAACAGCCTTTATTTGAACGACAAGAGAATTTTGGAGCAGGGGGGGGATTTCCTCCTCCGGGAATGCGCAAGAGCTCGCTGCCAATATTTACAACGGATCCACCTTTGATGAATATAAGAAGTGATTTGAATGCAAAGCTGACGACAAGCGGGTTAGTCGATGGGCTTTGGAATAATTAAAATGAAACGCCAGCTTCTTTCTTTTATATTATTTTTTTAGTTTCAATATCTTTTAATCTTTACGTGTCTTGTCATTGGTAAAGTCCTGGGAACTTTGTAAGTAGAAGGGACCACTAGTAATCCATTTTGTGATTATGATGAGGCGATTATGCTAGGTCCGAATGAAATCTTTTGCGAAGTTTCATAATTTTTTCAAAACATTCGAGCCGATCAACAAAAAAACCCAATTAGGAAAAGAAAAGAAAAAAGTCTAAGCCTGATTATTGTTGCTCAAAACCAAAAACTAACAACGTCCATCGTGACTATTTTCACATTTTGCACAAATAATCATCATTAAATGAGAGTGTATAAGTAGAAGCTTTTGAGTAGGACCATCGAGAAAAAATATTGCAGAAGGTTCATACGGTTGGCAACAGAATAAAAATCCTCAAAAATTGGCTTGCATCTTCGATGGACAAACCTGACTCAGATTTGTCATTAGGAATACATACAAAGACACACCACAGACAATAAATCTACTCATTAAGTCGACCATTAAATTTGAAGAACATTTACATGGCAACTGAGACAGCAAGAAGGAAACTAGTCATTGTTGGTGATGGTGCATGTGGCAAGACCTCACTATTATACGTTTTCACCCTTGGTGAATTCCCCACCGAGTATCATCCCACAGTATTTGAGAATTACGTAACCGATTGTCGAATAGATGGCAAAGCAGTCCAATTGGCATTATGGGATACTGCCGGGCAAGAAGAATACGAAAGATTACGACCGCTCTCGTACAACAATTCACATGTCGTTTTGATTGCATTTGCTTTGGATACGCCCAATTCATTTGAGAATACTCGATCAAAATGGGTTCAAGAAGTTAAGAAGTATTGTCCCGATACACCATACATCTTATGTGGTTTGAAAAAGGATTTAAGAATAAACACCAAAGATCGTCGGCACTTTGTCCAAGTTGATATGGGCGAAGAGATGGCTCGTATAATTGGAGCTAAGACATATTTGGAAAGTTCGGCTTTGACGGGTGAAGGAGTTGATGATATATTTGAGTACGCAACGAGATTAAGTTTACTTCAAGGATCGAAGCTGAATAACGGGTGTTGCACAATACTTTAGGGTTAAGGGATAACTGCTCATAGACGTCTTGATGGCATCCAACGACGCCGCTAAGCTAGGTAATGTAACGTATTTATCATGTATAACGTAAAAATCAAGTACTTTTGAGTCAGGAAGTTGTTATGCTTCACCAGTGTGCTTCTCCAACTGCAGAGCAATATCGCTCCGTTTGAATTTCGCCTAGTTCTCAGTTGACGAGACTCCCATTCGATTGTGGTTGCGAAAAGCAAAGGTAGAAAAACTTCCAAAAATAAAATAAAAAAAATATTGAAAAGGACGAGATTCGAACTCGCGCATCTTACGATACTAGAAATCACAACTTATTAAGCTGTAAGAAACTTAATTCTTGAGTCTAGCGCCTTAGACCAACTCGGCCACCTTTCCAATTTCTGAAATTTTGTCTTTTTGCAAAAAAGCAATTGTGCGGAGCTAATATGTTAATTGAGAGCTTCATAGGCCATTGTTGCCATAAACTGTCATGACTTTGCTAGTTCATCAGTATATTGAGAAAGCAGAGGGGGTTATTACAGGTTTCCAATTTCAGCTAAGCTTTTGAAGGTTGATTATGGTGGAGATTGGACAGCCATGTTAGTATAAGTTTCTAAGTGAATTGAGCCGTGCAGTGTAATCATTAGCATAAGATATAAAAATTCTTTAATGATTAGAGGATTTGAGAAGCTCATTTCCAAAAATGTTGGTTGTTGATGCAAAAATCTTAAAATTTTGCAACCGAATGCTAACAAAAAGAAAGCTGCTTTGTAACACCATCTTTGATCGATGCGGTATAAGGAACTATAACGTCCATAAATCAAACCCGAACGGGACCCCATCTACTTACAATTCGGTCAACATTGCAATTCCGAATCACTTCAATCACATTATCCACTGATATCAAAAGAAAAAGAAATTTTCCGTGCCCTTGAAATCCCCTACACCGAAAGTACAACAATGCAATCATCTGAGGCGTAACGTATATGAAGAAATCACAAAGGCATCTATATAGCAATGGCCCATCACTGCAATTCTTCCCCTCCCAATTATAACACACTCTTTTTTCTATCTTGCTTCGTCGTCTTCTTCTTATCAAAGGAAAGTGATGCCAAGAACTAATAAGAGATACATATCGGTAGTTGCTAGTAGGTAATTTTACAGCCACTTTTCATTCAAAGCTGTCAAAAATGATGCAATGCAAATTTGTCACCATTTGCTTAGAACTGGCTCAAGAATAAGAAGATGTTTTTTTTTTCTGGATTCACTTAGCAGTCAGTGATTATAATAATCGCAGGTCGGAAAAAAAAAAAAAAAGCTTATCTCACGCTAACTAGCTCCTATTCAGTAACAAGAGCCAAGGATCAAGGAAAGCAGGGGTTTATAATTACTAATCATTCTCTAGCACACTTTCCGTACGGTACTTTCAACTTGTTTTCTTCTCCACCCTTTCTCTTGCCCCCAAACCGTCAAAAAGAGTTAATTAGAGTATTCCTGGCGCTTAAATTTAGTGCCACACAAAAAAGCAACAAAACTTATATATCCGATCAAAGCCACATAATTCCTTTAATTAAATCTAAAATTTTTCTTTCTCAACAAAACTCCACCTTCCTTTTAAAGGTATCAATACTTCAACCAATACACCTTGATATAAGAATATTCTTATTGTGAGTGTAACGAAAGAGACGGAGATTAGAGAGACTTTTTATTTCACCAGCCTTGATGTTCGAGGATGCAACAGATCACAAATTCAGTAATACTATCTTGAACAATCAACCTTTGGTTCAGGATCCTATAGTCATCCAGACAGAAGATGACAACACCGAGACAGCTACCCCACTAGCTGTTCCTGTAACAGGCGATTCACATGGAAGAAATACAAGTTCAATAGACTCGTTTCGAATCGATGATCATGATTGGGATTCATCAGGGTGGAACTCCGGCCAACAGAGCTCTTTACAAAAGCTAAGACACAAACTTGTCAATTATTACAACAACGTTATTTTACCAAACGTGGGGATATCGTTATTGCTTCTATCGCAGTTTTTAAACAGTATAATGGTGACGACATGCAAATTATTAGTCACGGATAAAAACTTTAACGAGCCAATACATCCAGTACAGATTTTGTTTGTTAGAATGTTAATCACTTACATCTGCTGCTTGGTATACATGTTTGTTACAAAGACTGTGGAAGAGGCGCCTTTTGGACCAAAAAAAATACGAGTTTTGTTGATCATGAGAGGCGTTGTCGGATTTTTTGGTGTTTTTGGAATGTACTTTTCATTACAATATTTGAGTCTATCAGATGCGGTTGCGATAACGTTCCTTGTGCCGATGGTTACTGCATTTTTAGCATTCATTATATTGAAAGAGAAGTATTCTATTTTAGAAAGTGTTTGCTCGCTATTATCACTAGGAGGTGTGCTTTTGATTGCTAAACCTTCGTTCATATTTGGTGCAGAGTCGGAGAAAGAAACGACTGATGAAGCTGTTGAGAGTTCCTCGTCTGAAAAGAGAATCATAGCAACAGCAGTTGGACTAATCGGTGTTTGTGGTGCTTCTAGTGTCTACATCATTTTGCGGAAAATCGGCATGAGTGCCCATCCTTTGTTATCGGTGAGCTACTTTTCATTGACTTGTTGTATTGTTACTTTTGTTGGCACATTGGTGGTTCCGTCATTATCGTTTGTCTTGCCACAAAATGGTTACCAATGGTTCTTATTTGCGGTGATTGGATTTTCTGGGTTTTTTATGCAATTTTGTCTCACGGCTGGTGTTCAAAGAGTGAAAGCATCAAGGGCATCTTTGATGGCTTATTCGGGAATGGTATTTGCCATCATTTGGGATTTGACAATCTGGCATCATCTTCCAGGAATTTTGTCGTTTTGTGGTATTGCTCTTATTATCGGTAACGCCGCCATTATCTTGAAATTCAAACCTGAAAGTACAGAAGCTGAAGCGCCTGTTGAAAATGATATCGAGAGAAACGGGAAATACAATGAGTTGAATCATGATACTATTGTGATGCAAGATTTTGTAATCACTGATGATGATGATGAGGAGGAGGAGGAGGAGGAGGATGATGAGTCGGGTAGTGACACAAACAATAATGCAAAGGCGGGACAAAGATAGGATCTGAGATCGAGTCTGACTGCAGGGACTGGGCTATATACACTATTCGGTATAAATTTTATAGAGTACTTTGATTATATGTGATAGTTTTAGATGTTCTTCCCACCCTGTAATGTTATGCATTGCAAGGGTTGAAAATCGTTGTTGCAACACTCTATGATATCGGCTCCGATTTTTTAAAACCGAGTTTGGTTTGTGACACTTTACGTCATGACATAAGATGAAACAGTGCAATTGTACCCGCCGTGTGCATCGAACTAAACGTATACAAGGCTTAAATTTCGGGTAGTGGCAGACGGATGAAAAATGCGGAGCGGGTGAAAATAGAAAATTGCTTTGCTTCAAGTAGTGTAGGAGCATCCGCCTGTGGCAAAATTGCGACAATAGGATATGAAAGTTGAAATGTTTCGCAACCTGTCAAACTATATAAAGAAACACAAATAACAGGATAAAATGTAAATATAATAATAAACACATCTGAGATTTCTTACACATTAATCGGTCCTTCAGAAAACAATGTCCTACCCTGATATTCCCACAAGATGTTTTGCTGATTGGAAGCAAGTCCTTCACGGTTTTTGGCCAGGCAAACCAAAGTTTACAGAAAAAGATTACCCCACCTTAGAGGGAAAAGTTGTCATTGTTACTGGTGGAAACACTGGTCTTGGTTACGAAACTGTCAAGTCATTAGCCGGCTCAACTAAAGCAAAAATTTATATCTTTTCCAGAAGTCAGGAAAAGACAAGCAAAGCAATTGAAAAAGTCAAGGATGAAGTTGCAAGAGAGTACAATGTGCACAATAGAGAAATTGGATTTATTCAAGTTGATTTGAGTGATCTCAATACTATAAAGCCTGCGGTGAACGAATTTTTAAAAAAGGAAGACAGATTGGATATAATCATCAACAATGCTGGTGTAATGATGCCACCCCAAGGTTCAAAAACCAAGCAGGGCTACGAATTACAAATCGGAACCAATGTGTTGGGTCACCACTTGTTACAACGTTTGTTAGATCCTTCACTCATCAAAACATCAAAGACCAACCCACCAGGGTTATCGAGAATTGTATGGTTGTCATCCACGGGCCACATGCTTGCACCAAAAGGCGGTGTATTTTGGGAAGATATTGGTTTTGAAAAAGTGCCTAAATTTACCACCAATGTTAAAATGCAACTTTATGGACAAAGCAAAGCTGCGAACTTGATTCAAGCTCGAACTTGGTCAAGAAAACATGGATATCCCAACGTCATAAGTAGCTCCATATGTCCAGGATACTTGAGCACCGACTTGCAACGGTATGCAACCTCAATGGAGAATCTCGTATACAAGCGGGTTTTGTATCCACAAAGATTTGGAGCTTACACCGAATTGTATGCAGCTTTTTCACCCGATGTGAAAGATGGAGACCATTCAATTTCATTTGGCACTCCTGCTAAAGCAAGGGAGGACTTATTGAGTGATGAAGTTGGTGATAAGCTTTGGTCATGGCTTGATAAGGAAACTGACCCATATGTTTGATTTATAGCATGATATAGCTTTGAACCTGTTAGGTTTATTTTCTGACAACGGGTGTAAATTATGAGATTGTGAGTGGTACAATGGAGTAGGTAAAATTGTTTAGCAATATATCATCGAGCTATCCAAGGTCCAACTGGGGTCAGAATTGCCATGAGAATTTCAACTCCTTGTCCTAGGATACCAAAGAAGTCATATCCAGTGTGGCCATAAATTGACTTTTTACTCCCAGTATACTTTTCTCCACAAATCAATCTAACCAGGCTAGTTCTTTTTCCACTTGGTTTAACTGAACCAAGTTGCCATTCACTTGCAAGTCCACGTTCTTGACATAGTCACTAGTCTCTTTAGTTAGTGCGTTCAAATTGGTGATCAATTTTCGAGAATTGTTCAAGTTCACGTCGAGATATTCTAGTTTGAGAAAGTCTTTTGATTGTGGATTTGATGGTAATGTTCGTAGTTGATTGATCCATTTATGTGAGTTACTTCCATTTTTCAGGTTAGTACTACCAGAGTGTTTGAATCTTGAGTTATTGTTCTGTGATTGATGCGTGGTCATGGCTTGTAGAAGTAATCGGTGATGTTAATTCTTTCGACTTTTTATTCTTTTTGTCTCGACATTGTCTATTATATATTTACAAGAGCAGGTACACACTCACACTCACACACTACTTTACTCCTTAGAGAAAGGAAACCCATAGGCGCTCAATAGCGTCTTTGCTTGTGAATCATCTTGTGCAGTTGTTTTAAACGTGATATCAATACCATTTAAATTGGGAAATAATTCTTGGAAATTTTCCAACTCGGGAAACAACTGAACATCTTCGGCAGTGAGACCGAAACTGACGTTTCCATTCTTGTCACCTGAACTGAATCTTATACCTTTGAAAGCTCTAATTCTTGGTAACACCAATTCAGTCAATGTACTAATAAATTGATTCATATCTCTATCGAAAAGTTCGACTTTACCACCACAGGGCCTACCCACTCTTACTTTCCATGGTAAAATGTTTGATTTATTAAAGATTCTTTTTGCCTTGACATTGGTAATGACTGACAACTGAAGTCTGGTGGAGATGTTTAACCACGGATGCTCTAATGCATGTTTGTTATATGAATGCACAACCACGCTTTTGATCTCAGGAACATTCTTGCTGGTTATGGGATATTTGTTTTTAGTAGATCTAGTACCACCACGAGGATTTCTTGATGAACGGTAGACCTTGTATGGAGAGTCGGTTCCCCACGATCTTCTCTTGTTCCCTTCAATGACCTCTGCATCGTGATCGTAGAAGTGTAAAAGCAAGTCTGATTGCAATGTATTGTTGTAGTAGTCAGCAACTCTATCCTGGCATATTTCCGTAGGTTTAAATTTTACCGATCTGATATCATCTGCTGGCAACAACAAGTTTTGCAAACCAGGTTTCAATTTCGATTTCTCAACCTTGACCAAATGATGTACTGGGTTTACTGTGGAGTACCCTGGTCTGCATAGTATGCTCGAATGGGAAAGCTGACGTACAAACGACCTGTTCATTTGGGGTGTGCTATGGGTTATGGTAACTCCTGGTGTATGTAAAAATTTTCAGAAAATCCCAAAAATTTTGGGTTTTTGTGAGAGTGTATATTTTCAGTAAAGAATACACCTTTTTCTCAACTCATCAAACGAAGGTGCTACAGCATAAACAGTTTTGCAATTGCAATTAAAATGAGATTTGCATTGCCTGATGAATTGGACTACCCTGGCGGATATGCTTCAACACAACTTTTAGTTAAATATCCAGTGTGTGATGCCACGATTGAGCCACTTGGACCTAGAGTTACCAAACCACCGAGTCGAGATGATGTTAATGTAATGTATAATCTCATAAACGCACAAACCAATGAATGGATGAAACATAAAGCTCGAGAGATGGCAAAACAACAAACGGACGGGGCAGCCTCATTTCAACATATACAAGACCAATACGATTCAACCATTCAATTATTGAGTGACAAATTCAACACCCGAATACAGCTACAAAATCAGCAGGTGGAGAAAGTAATACAGGACGAGAAGACCAGAATACGGTTGGCACAAGAAGCTGAGAGGCGAAGATTAGAGGAAGAGGCTCGAAGAAAGCGTTTAGAACAAGAGCGTTTACAAAGGGAGGAAGAAGAACGTCGACGAAAAGAAGAGGCACGTCAAAAAGCTGAACAAGAAAGACTCGAGGCTGAACGCAAACAAAGGGAAGCTGAAGAAAAGAGGCGAAAAGAAGAACAGCGCAAACGTGAGGAGGCAGCACGTTTGAAAGCCGAGCAAGCTGAATCGGAAAAACAGCGTGCTGAACAACTTAAAAAGGAGCAAGAACAAGCAACTACAAACTTCAAAGCCATCGAAGAACAATTTTTCAAGTACAAACAAGATATCCAAGACATTAAAACTCAAGTTGTTGCTCCTTTGGATGGGAATAAAGAATTGAAAAAACAAGTAAATCAATACAAACGTAAAATCAACCCAAAATTTGGTCAATTATCAAATTCATTGTCGCACACCAGAACTGTGAGTATGGAAGTTTACAATCTTGTTGTCGCCACCCAGTCAAATGAGCTCGTATACAAATGGATACTTAATTTCATTGCAAAAGCCATCATTGATCAAGCTGAAACTGAGGTTATTGTAAGACCATTTGCTGCTAGACCTTTAGCTACATTGGCTTACTTTTTGCTTGAAAAGTTTCCCGATTTTGAATATTTTCTCACTGCCAGATTTATCAAAAAATGCCCTTACATACTAGGCTATACTTGTAGTATTGACTCGGAAGAAGGCAGGAAAAGAATGGGGTGGAAACGTAACCAGGACAATAAATGGGAAGATGACGTTAAATACGATGAGCGAGTTGGTGGGATTTGTACAGTTTGGTCAGTTATGACACATGAATCAAATGCTCAAATTGGTATATATTCAAACGCGTCGTCGTGGCAGTTTGTGGCAAGAATGTTAAATACTGATTTGAATTTGATTAGAAACACCCATTTTGAGTTGTTGGCCAATTGGTGGGAAGCAGCTGGTGGTGATTTTGCCAATCGATATGGTAATCAAAGCAAGAAATTGATGTTTACTATGGCTGGTGTTTTTGTTGATGCAGTTGCTAGTAAGAGATTTCCGGCAGCTGCAAGGTTGAGACTCTTGGGTGAAGAATGGCAAAGTAGAGGTACTATTCAAGGATTGAAACAAATGGAAAATTGAGATTAAATAGAAACTATAGAAATGGACTTTTCTTTACTCAAAATCGCTCTCCGATTCCGTGCCTGAATCCGGTTCCAGATCATCCTCTGACGCAACCTGTTTTTTGTAATCTATTTTAATTCTGACTCTACTGCTTCTTCTCGTGGGCTCAATAACATTTTTACTAGGTTTTTCAATTCTTCGCGAACTCTTTTTGCTCGTGCCACGTTTGACGGTGTTTGACACAGGCTTTGCACGTTTCAGAGGTGCATTGGCTGTAACACCATTGTCATTTTGTTTCCTTTTCGTGTCGAAAACATCCTTTTTTATCAGGCTCACTAATTGGCCTTGAATTCCATCAGGTATATAAATTTGAGACACAACAGATTGAGCTTCAGCAGCGCTAGCCATAGGAGAATAAATATCCTGAGGTAACTTGAATTTCTCAGTCCAAGTTTGAATGGGCCAGACTTTACAGTCGCTGTATGTCTTTAAAACCAATTGTGCCAACTCGGCGATTCGATACAAGTTGAGCACTTCTTGTGGTTTATTCAGTGTTTCGTAATCTTCGCTTGGAATGGTCGCATCCCGATGTTGCTTGACTCTACTGGCCAAGTAATAAAGCAAAGATATGTTTTCGGCTTTTCCTATTAGTTGGACGTAGTAAGTGAGAAAATGAGATGCGAACAAATACGCTTGAAGCATCTTTCCATCCTCCCCAGTTGCTGAATCATCTTCACCGTTACTCAATATGGAAACAAATTTTTCATGGTGAGTGATATTGTGGATGAGCCTGACTAACGATTTTTCAAACTTTAAGTTCTTTGTTGTTTCCAATCTTTTGAACATAGATTTTACCCACAAAGTGTTTTCTGTTTTAAGTGTGTTCTCACTCTCAACAGCAGTAAAAAAGACCAAGGAAAGATACTTTTCCGAAATCGATTCGGTGGCAAGATATTGTCTCAATTTCTTTGAGAATTGGGATCTCACTGAGGGTTCCCCATCGTTTAAAAGGAAGCATAGCTTTCTCATTGTCGATGATGAAATGACCTCGTTATATATTGGAAATTTTGCCATTTTCAATAAATACACTCCTGCAGTTAATCTTAATTTCGCTTTGTAAGTCTCTGGTGTTGGCCAAGTTTCATCAGACTCCTTGACGATTTCTCCCTCATTCCCAATTATTGAAAGGAACAACTTGATAACTGGAGCCGCTTTCTCCTTAGCTGTCTCAGGATCATCAATGTAGCTTCTCAAAGAATTGACAAAGTAGCGAATTGCCAAAAGTTTGTATGTTTGTTGATCATCCTTGGCTGTGTTTTCAAGTAATACATTCTTTATCAAGTACTCTGTAATTACTGACTCTTTGTCACTAACGGAAAATTTATCAACCAAGAGAAGTTCTGCAATACTGCTTAAATGGGCGCCAAAGTGATCATCGGTAATGTCTAATGGGTACACCTTGCCGATGATATCGTGGTAGCAAACTTCTTTTCGATCACTGAAGCTGAGCAATTTCACAGAATACCTAGCTTCTTCTGGAAATCCATCGATTGCTAATTTTGTCAACAGTTCGGTGAACAGAATCTCGCCTGGGAATGATTCTGGAAACTTTTTAACAAAGTGATATATGGTTTTGAGGCGTGCTGATATGTTTGCTTCATTCTCGTCCATGCACAATTCGACCAACGCTCTTACATGATGCTTAAACACTTCAGGTGTGGTGTTTGACATTTGCTCAAGCAAGTCGTTGGCTGGCGCTTTGAATTCATGCTGCGTCAGTTTTGAATAAGAAATAAGCTGCTCAACATTGGATCTGTTAAACAATGAAGGTGAGCCTCTCAATACCAATAATTTTGCATTGTAAACCATATCAGCTGGAGTTACAGTAACATTGTCATCGCACTTCAAATTTTTTGGGTCTGCAAGCTTGTTTAACAACTCTTTGAATGCTCGGTTGATAGTGTTTAAGTCAGATTCTGAAGAGATGCATGTTCTTATCAAGTGGTAAAATCTGGCCCTGTTGAGTTTGAATAACCTTTCCAAACATGAATAAGTGTTGTTGTCGTCAGGGAATGATACGCAAAGCCAATTCAAAATCTTTTCCAATTTTGCCAAATTTGATTTAAGCAAATCTGTCGACGGAGGATTATTCTCCTTGTCAAATGAGTTTACCTTGTTGCATTCGTCGGCGATGATTAAAAAATTATCAATCACACTTGCAATTTGATGTTGTCTTTTGATAATGGCCGTGAAAGCTTCTTTGCTCTTTTCATTCAAAACGGAGTAAAACCTAACCAAATTTTCCACTCGCTTAATTGTGTTTGACTCAGAAATGGGAACTAGCTTTTCAAATAATGACTCATCAACTAGGGCAGTGATATTTTTGTCATTGATGTAGATCAATGATAAAATTTGATTAGGAATCTCCTCGATCAATTTCTTGAGATCCTGGTCTAGTTGGAATTCATCACGATTCACGACGTGTTGGGCATGGCTGTAGTATATTGAACTCAAAACCCGAATGGATGTAGATCTGATACTCTTGTGTTTTTCTCTGATTAGTTGTGACATAGTTTGTAAAATTCCTTTATTGGCAACTTTGGTGATGAACATGTCGTATGGTATCTTGCTAAGGGAAGTGCAAGCAGCATCTCTAACTCTGTGATCAGTATCCACTAAGCACTTTTGGAATTCATCAGCAATAACACGACTCACGTCGTTTGTAAGGTATGGATTGTTGGTTAAAATGTCGGGAATAAGATTTACCCAGATAGTACGAACATAATGCGATATATCGTTACTCTTTTTCAACCAATTCAGCCAAATCGTGCGGTGAACGACAAAAAAGTTGACCTTGTGCAATGGAACTGTTGAGCTGTACAATTTTACCCCCAACATTTTCCCTATAGTGCTCGTAGCCAATGCACGAACTCTTTCGTCACTTGCATTCAATTCATCATCAATAAGACAAATGACTGATGACATTATGGAAGGAACAAATGTCCAAAGTTTCACCGACAAGTGGTGAATCTTTTTTAAAGCATCCAAAGCTTTGATAAACTCATTCTCACTTCTCTTTTGAAACTCTGGTTCATTTTCTTGATCAAGGTCTAACTTGTTTGAGTTTGTGTATAGAATCTCAGAAAAGTATTGGGCCACCAATCTTGACATTCTATCAACATTGTTTTCGCAAACAGATAGGGAAAAGTTGAATTCAGGTGTGGTAATGTTTTCCAGAAGCAACTGATTATTTGGTCCGTGTACTTCAAATTTAGTCAATATTATTTTGATGATATCTAGAGGCACGGCTTCAGATTCAGAAATAACCTCTGATAAAATATCAGTCACCAATGTTTCCAACTCACGGGGAAAACTTTGTTTGGTACCAACATTATAAAAAGCATCAAATAATGATTTCATCAATTTTTGAGAATCATGAAGATCAAGAATCAAAATGGTGGATTTAGTTTCCGCTAATCTTTTCAATAAATACACGTATTGCAAGTAGTATTGAGGTCGTTCTGATTTTCCGGAAGTAGCGATTCGTGAAAATTGTTTGAAAAAGGATTCAAAGATGAAAGCCAATTGTTCGTCCGGGTAGGGGGCATTGGGGGCATGGAGTCTAAGTATATCTGATAAGCAACAACAAGTAAATGCTTGAACCCCAATACTTGGATGATTCAATAATCTCTTGTCGACAAGATCCTTAGTTACCAGTTTTAGTGACATCAAATCAACTTCCTCATCATCCAAAGTAGATAACTCTTCGTGCAATTCCATCAATCTAGTTATCAACTCCTTGTTAGATATATTCAGTTTAATAGTGCTAATGATTCGCTTGTCAAATTGTAAGCTACTACTATTGCTATTACTACTGCTAATACTACTCATGCCCATAGTAGATGATGTTGTTAATGACCTGCGTGGCTGTACCATGGCTCCGTAGGAGGTATATAAATGATGTAGTAACGTAGCTTCGTGTGTGTGTCTATGTGTGATGAATTGCTTGTCTCTTTGTTGTCAAAAAAAAGAAAACAAGAAAACATTGAGACGCGTTCTTCTACTGTTACGTAATGAATTACGTAAGTAACCAAAAACATTCCTAACCAATACCACTGCTCCCGAGACAAAGACAGACGGCAAAGTATCCAACTCTACACTATCACAAACGACTCCAAACTAGAATATCGTTTGTACTAAGAAGATACAAACCCACTTGTTAGTTCATTTTGTAGCTCCTTTGTTGACTACAACTTTTTGTCGAACAATATTGGCCAAAATTGCTGCAAAAAATAAAAACCTACAACAAGAGTGCCCCTAATGACAACAAGTTTGTATTTTGCCTAACTCAAATGGATGGTAGTAGGTGCCGTAAGCTGCATACGATGTTTACAGTGGCAACACTAATATATGAACCAAAAGAAAAAAAGAAAAAATAAAAACCCAACGCGGGACTCGAACCCGCAACCTTTCGATATCTTCTATTTAAGAGTCGAATGCTCTAGCCGATTGAGCTAGCCAGGCCTTTTGTTGGAGAAATTTTATTTTGGGAGTTTTAAACAATAATAGAAAGCCAGCTAATTGCACGCCGTTATTGCTCAATTTTTAAGGCTTGGGTCTGGAGATCTTTGCGGTGATAATAAAGAGCAATAAAGGTTAGTAGAATTCTTCGGGAGACTTTTAGAGCTCCACAAGTGGACTAAGATCAGTTTGACTTTGAGATTTGATATTTATCCACGGTTGTGCTGCATTACTTTCCTACAGAGCGTATCTGGACCTAGGTGACTTCCATCTTGACTTGTTTTATTGTTATAAAGGAACCTTCATGGCTCCGCTGTTGTCTTTCTTGAATGCGTTATATATAGAGTAGTACACATCCGTTCTATTTTTGCACTAGAATATGGTGTGTTTCTTTGCACCTATCATACAATTGATTGTTTCGGCTAACTTACTGATTCTTATTGTTTATTTATCCATACAAGAGGTTCCACTTTTCACCATTTGGAGCCTTCTTGCTTTTAGATATTGTGAGAAGTTGGGAGTCAAGAGTAAGAAGTGTATGAATTTGGTAGCGTTACTTTTTTTTTTTCCCTTTCAACCGAGGCAGAAATCTGGGGAAAAAAATATCACCACTATCGACCCTCTTTTAAATTTCTCTCTCCTCAAAACAAAACAACTAAAAATAAAACAAGACAAAAGGAATAGACAAGTCGTACTGTTGCACTACATAACAGCCACTGGCAATCAAAAATCCGTTGCTACTATATATACACCCCACCCACATTGTCATAAAGAGCTATGGCTATCAACAACGAGGTACATTCCACACCCACGCCCAATTTGAAACTAATCAATACTTCGAGTGGGGTACGAGTGTCCCAAGCTTGTGATCGATGCCGTATTAAAAAGATCAAATGCGATGGATTATCACCTTGTCAAAATTGTAAAAAAGCTGATTTGGAATGCAAGACATCGGATAAATTAACCAGAAGAGCTTTTCCCAAGGGATATACGGAAAATCTTGAGAAAAAAGTGAAAGCATTAGAAGAGGAAGTTAGACTTCTACGAGAGCACGGAGGACACGTTTCGGATGGAGTAAATAAAAGTATGACAGTTTCACCACAAAAGGGACCTTCACCAGCTAGTATCCCCACCACCACAACCACCAATGACAAAGTTTTATTCCAAACTACAAATCAATCGGTACAGATTAATAACCCCATTGACCAAATTTTCAATCTTGATGACAGAGGAATTATAATAGGTAATGACAATCTCAACTTTGAATCACAATTTAACCACTTGTTGATCAATTTACATATGCCATTTTTGAAAATAACCAATAGTCACAATTTTCTATTGAACGACCCAAACGATTACTTGTATGACCCTGCACAGGCAAAGAATAATCAGTTTCATAATAAAGATTTGGATTTGGTTTTCAATCCTTTAACAGGAGCTAATCCTAGTGCCCCCGATTCTGGTGTCAATGAATTACCCCATGACGTGTATGATTTGTTCATCAAGTTGATCAACAATTTTAAAAAAGTGTTTAAATCTAAAAAGGAATTGGATGCACAAATCACTCAATATTTTTTAAATTACAATATTTTCATCCCAATATTTGACTACAATGAGTTTATTCAAAGCTATGACGATTTCCATACAATGTATCCATTTATATTCACATACGATGATTCCACCATCAATGGGTTTAATTTATCAAACACTAGTGACTATCAAATTGTCAATAGATTTTTGATGACAATTATACAAACTTATGCCATGATTTTTATCAACAACCCCACCATCAATTTGAATTTGTTGTTGAATCATTCTGATCCCCATTACTCTGTAAACAGAGATAAGTCGATATTGAAATCATTGTATGATATATTGCCATATTTCAATGGGTTCCAAATATCCATAAGTCAACTTCAGACATACTTGTTGTTACTTTATTATTCACTCCTTACAAATAATAAAGAAAAATCGTTAATTTTATCTTCACTTATTAATGCCTTTATTGGAATATTGGGTATCAATTTAAATTCAAAAAACTTGTTTTTCAATGACTTGTCATTGAATGTACTGCAGCGTCGCAATAGGGTCAAAATATTTTGGACTTTTAAAGTATTATTGAAATGCTTTAATTTGAAATTTGGGTTTAAACCAAGTCTAAACACCACCGTGATTAATCCAGTTACTATTGATCGATATTTCCAATTGACACCGGAAAAATTGTCGTCCTTACTTGAAGACAATGATGACCTTTTCAATACATTACTAAAACCAAGCATTGAATTCTTAAACTTGATGAATATCATAATTCCATCGTCTTTTTCGCCAAATTATTATCAATATCTCAAGCTCGATAAGAAAAAGAAGGAAAAAGAACATCCAAATAATGCTCATAATCACCACCGATTGGATTGGATTTTGAATGAGGATGATGGCGATGGAAATGATGGTAATTTAAACTACAATTTCAATCAGTTTTTGACAATTGACAAAAACTTGTCTGATTGGAGACAATCGTTAAAAAATAAAGTGTTTTCATTAGTTCCATTCAATTTGGATTTGGGACTACCCAACTTGTTGAACATTTCCCACAACAATTTATATCACGATATGACACAAGAGCATTTGAAGCAAGAAGTGATGATTCATTATTATCAAACCGGTATACCTGACACATATACCGCCTCACAATTGATCAAGATCCAACTAAATTTCCATTATGTCTTGATTAGATCAATGAACTATCTCAATTTCATCGTTGATAAAGAATTGGATTTCGTATACTACAAGGAAATTGCCGTGATTGCTCTGGAAGTGTTGCAATACTTCAATTTGATTTTTTACCACATTAGCTTATCACAAGAAAAACGTAATGATCCAGTAGTCAATTCAAACTCGATAGTAATGGAAAGTTTAGGCTTGGATGTTGATGAAGATGGATTTGTCATCAATGATTTTTCAGTTAAACGAAGACGATCCAATGCTAAACCTAGTTCTGCCAAACGTATTATTAAAGAAATCCCAATGTCACCATTCAATCCCATGTTGAATGGTTTATCATTAACAGTTATCAATTTGAAGAAATCCATTGTTTTGCAAATGTTGTACTTGCTTATTTGTCAAATGAAGTTTTTAAAAAGGAATGAATTGGTTGCCAATATCACTGACTCAGTAAACCTCCTCACCAATTCGGTTGACTTGTTTATTTCCGTGTTTCTCAATTACAAACCAGGTGTTAATTCCAAAAAGACTAATGAAGACATCTTGTTTGATAAATTGATGAAGGATGAATTGAGAGTGGAAATTTTACAGTATCAACAAAAACAACAACAACAACTGCAAAATGGTGACGATACGGATGATGAGGATGATGATGAGGATGTTCACGGGAACCACCATTCATCAGGAGCCAGCTATTACAAGAGTATCGATTGGGATAATGAAAACTTGGATGAGGATTTAAAGTATCTCAAGATTTGTAAATTTATCAAGTACAAATCACAATCGATACTAGAGCAACACAATGCATCAAAAATGAGCCATAATCAGCATCAACTGATTGTCATCCCGCCCAATCCATATACTCCATTGTCGTCATCAGCATCAGCGTCTGGATCATCGCATTCAATAAAGTATGATATGTCGAACAATTTACACAACAACCACAACCACAACAGCAACCACAACAACAACCACAACAATAACAAAGACTTTGGCGCCGCCCATGATTTGATGGAGTTAAAGAGAAGCTACTCCAATAGGAACTTGAACTACCCCACTCATTAGAAGATCACGTTAAGTGAATATAAAATCTAAATACACTCCCCTTTCTCATGTTCCATTCTACATGTTTTACATTTTCGCAGCAATGTAGTTTCTCTCCGACAACTGTTTCTCCTCATACCACCATCTCATTGCCAATTCAACCCGATTCAAATCAAGACTATCACTCATTACTTTCCACAACATACCCGTTAAATAATTCGCCTCCAGCACATTACTCTTCACAATTAGATCCCATATCCGTTCCACCCAGGGAATAAACAACGAAGTTGGGAAATAAGGAACTAGATTAATTAATGCCAAAACGGCAGCTTCACGAACAGTTTCAGGGGCAAGTCGATCTTCAAACTTGTACTCCCTTTTGAAACGAGGTAATAGATCACGTACAACTTTATCTTTAGGTTTCTTGGCCTTATTTTCATGAATGATATCATTTTCCATCTTGTTATCTTGTTCCAATGTGTTTAGTGTTGCATGAGCTTCAATTTCCGATATTGGTTGTGCTGATGCAAAACTGGGGTTATCCAGTGGCGAAGTTGGCTTTATTGGTGCACCGCGAGGGATTGGTGCACATTTATCAGCCAAGAAATGGAAAAACTCATCAGCTGAGTTGATGAATATGGAGTTCTCTGGGTATGGTTGCGGGTTGGAAAGGATTTTTTTGCCAATGGTTTCAATAGCAATACATAATTGAGTAGATGATAATCGTTGCGGGAATTGACTGGTTAGTAAATTGACATATTGAATGCAATCAGCAAGATCAACATTTTTGCTATTGGCGAAATAAAACAACAATACTGAGTGACTAGCTTCGATTAGATCGTTACTGGTATATTTGTCATCATTGGCCAAATCTCTCACTAGATTGTAAATCTTGGTGGCATAATGTTCATTTTGAATCGGTTTCTGCTGTAAATAGTTTTCCCATAATCCCAATACAAACAACACCTTCAGTTGCATTATATAGTTGCGATCCAATACATCCAGGTACAAGTTAATCTCATTATAATCCAGAAACAATCGTAACACCAATTGTTCAAAATGTTGACCCGTGGATAATGCCAATTCAACACTGAGATAATAAACAAAGTTGTAGTTATCAAATCCTCCTTGTCCAATAGACATCAAAATGAAATTGAGATAATACAAGCTTGGTAATGTAGTCAATGCAATTTGTCTATAAGCACGTTGCATAATAATCAAATCTCGATTATTAAACCAAATGAAATTTGACTTGTTGCCAGTTAGGAAACGAGTGAAAATCCCTTGGAAAATGATCACTTCAGCAAACAACAAGTTTTTCATAAAGTACCAAAACAGTTGAAACAAAGGGTTGTTTTCCTTGGCACTGGTAAATGTATTAAATATGGAATTTGCACACATGTGATTAATCAATTTATTACCATCAGCAATTTTGGTCAAATTCGTGAGAATCAATTCTTCATTCTGATGCGTATATTTCAATTGGGAGAAATACGCCGCAAGTAGGAACGAAAACTTGTTTAAATGCTTTATCACTGGTTTTTGCAAGATTTGCTTATTGACATCATTACTCACATTGGCATCTTGAGGATTGAGTTTAAAAAACTGATGATACGATAAGATTGACACCCTGGGTGATAGGAAAATCATGTCCATTAAGACACCAACCATAAATCCATCACTAATATGTTTTGTGTATTTCTTTACACTTTCATCTCGTTGATAAACCAATGCCAAACTTGTGACGCTAAGATATACAATATCTTCCGAATGACTACTTGTCAAACTATACTCCAAACAACGAATAAACAACTTTTTCATTTTTTCATCCCATTCATCAAAAAACCACCTGTATTGGAAATAGTTGGCCTCAGTGTACAACTCATTACGAAGTGAATTTGACAACATCATTCCACATATTATGGGCAACACTTTCCAGCTATTTGCACTCTGGTTATACCATACAAAGTTCTCTAATTCTTTTCTAATAACTGTGTAGAATTCCTTGATTGGCAATGTCGGTTGAGATACTTCCAATTTCTTGTCGGTGATCAATTTAAACACCTCGATAATCAAGTAATTCTCTTCAAATGGGGGCACGTTAGCCCCAAAGCATACTGGACTATTTAAGAAACTGGCAATAACAATGCCTAAATTCCTTTCATGTTTGATATATGGAACATAGTTGTATAAATACCCCAACACTCTATTCACTGTTGTCGTTGGTTTGGGATTTCTCAATTCATTAATAACAAAATCGAGGTCTTGTGGTTGGTTGTTAGGATCATTGCTGTAATTGTGTATTTGATATTGTGATTTATTCATCAAAGCACGTCCTTGAGGACCTAGTTTGCTGTATAGATCAGACATGATGGGATGCTAGTGGCAATTGCTTTCGAAAATGTGGAGTAAAAGTGGTTGATGATTTGACGGAAAATTTATTTCAAACCGAGGATGCTACCAAGTTGATTCACACACTTTTTGCAACATCAATATCGTTGAGACTCTTTGTATGTAAGGAGATTGCAACTCCATAGAGTGCTTTGAATTCATTAGGCTGATAGTGAAAAACTAGTAAAACTACTGATCTTAACTGCTTGAGTTTAGATTTGTGGTTTAGCGCACATATCCTGTACTAAATTGAGGAAAGCTAATGCCACCAAAGATTTTTGGTGGTGCTTCAATACATCTCAAATAAAAAGCTAAGAGTTGCAAGGCTAGCAGTAGTGATCACCGTTTGTGAGTGAAACAGACACTATGTGCTAAAGCTGTTTTTTCTTCTTCGGCGAATTGTAATTGGAAAAGCGGGGTATGTTGTCTGAGCATAGTATGACATTTTCAATAGAGAGATGCACATTCACCATTGTAACATGCACTAAATAAAGATGCGACAAATTGCGCCAATGTCAGCTCTACCACATTTTACTTCGATCGAGAAGAAGAATGCAGTTGTGTATACCTTATACATGATCTCAGGTCAGTGTCTCCCATTTCAAGACACTTCATTCTTGTAATCATCTATATATTGTCGGATCACATATGAAATGACTTTAGCCTTAAGTTTATAGTAAATAACACCAACTAAACATTCATGCAACCAAAAGCCTTTTTAAACTTAGGTTAAGTTTTCTCTAAGGATGCAACATTTTGGTCAAAACACCTTTTGAACTGAACATTTTTTTGCCGCACAAAAACAATCTTTTATTGTTTTTGAAAGATAAACTGCGCCAACTCTTAAAGGAAACACCAACTTTATTGTCTCTGGCGCCTTCTCATGTTTCAAATGGCGGTTATTTCCTGAAATAGGATAATAAAGCACCGTTCGATACCGAAGATTAGATAAAAATGGAAATGGAAAAGAAAGCATTCACCCACGCGATGAAGCTTTTGGGTATAAAACAGTTGGAACTAGCATACATCTTGGCCCATAGGAATTGAACCTAGTTCAACCACACGTATCTAACTATGAAATACATTATACTAAAACAATTCACTATATTGCGCAACGCTCTTTGGGGTAAACCACCCACAGATTCAAAAGAACGTCGATACTTATTCAAATTGGATGTGTTTGTCCTCACCTATGTGTGCTTATTATACTGGGTCAACTATCTCGATCGAGCCAATGTTGCCAATGCGTACGTTTCCGGTATGCAAGAAGACTTGGGGTTATCCGGTAACGACTTCAATGTAGTCAACACTATTTTCTATGTCGGTTACATTGTTTCCATGATTCCTCATAATCTAATCTTGTTGAAAATTAGGCCGCGATATTGGTTAACCATATGCGCTGGTATATGGTCAATACTTACTTTAGCTACGTACAAGGTGACGCATTTCTATCAACTTTGTATTATTAGATTTGTGCAAGCAATGTTTGAAAGTTGTATATTTGGAGGTGTACATTTGATTTTGGGATCGTACTATACAAATGCTAGAGATTTGATTATACGCACATTTGTATTCACTTCAAGTGGACTAGTGGGGCAGATTTTTTCAGGGGTGATTCAAGCTTCGGTACATGCAAACATGGATGGATGGCACGGATTGGCTGGTTGGAGAGTATTGTTTATTATGGATTTCATTTGCAGTTTCCCCATAGTTATATTTGGCTACATATTCTTTCCAGATGCTCCTGATATTGGTAAACCATTTTATTTCACCGAGGAAGAACACGCCATAGCTTTAAAGAGGTTGGTCAAACCCAAACACTACAAGTTTGGATGGGATGTGATATTGCGAGTGTTTGGTAGGTGGCACTGGTATTTGTTTGGTATGTTGTGGCTTGTTGGTGCAATCAATGAATCGTTTGCTACAAATAGTGTATTTGCGTTATGGTTAAAGTATTATGATTATTCTGTTCTGGATAGAAACCATTTTCCCATGGGAATTTATGCTGTGGGGGTATTGGCAACCGCTATTTCAGCATATTACATAAGAAATGTCGGTAATGGTAAATTATACTGGCATGTGTCCTTAGCTATTGCATTAGTGGTTTTAATTTCACCAATTATCCAGTTATGCCAACCATATGCAAAAGAGTCGGTGTTTGTTGCGCAATACTTGAGCGGCGTATCTTATGCCGCACAAACTGTTTCGTTTGGCTGGGCAAATATAGTATGTGCAGATGATTTACAAGAGCGAGCAATTGTGATCAGCTCGATGAACATGTTGGGCAACACCATGAATGCTTGGTGGTCGATTGTGTTCTTTGCCGCTGATACAGCGCCTAGGTTTCGGAATGGTGCCATTGCTTTAATTAGCTCATCGGTTGCTACTGTGTTTGTTGTGGTAGGCATAGCGTGGTTGCAACGAAGAGACGAGAAAAGAATTGGTGGTTTAGTGAAGCAATCAGACTTTGAAGAATTAGTTGATAATGTTGCAGAGGAGAAGGGAAAGCAGATGCAACAACGACAACTTGAAATAGCGTCAACTAGAGAATTTACCGTCTAACAGAAGAACACGTAAAAATACTGAAAAAATTATAAACGACTCTAATTTCGATCAATTGTTTGTAAACAAACCTCTACCAAGTTTGCCAAAAATGATTATCCCACAAAAGAAGAAACTTCCAACCCATAACCATAATGCAATCACATCATCGGTGGTTTTGGAATAACCATTAATGAATTGGTGATTCAGCGAATATATACTTACACAAGCAACAGTAGATGCCACAAGTGACGCTAAAAACCCCGAAATTGTTCCATCCAATAGTAACCACAAGCCAGGATTGATTAATGACCATATAATTGATACTTGAAGAAAACTGCTCCATTCTATTTTGCGTATGGCATAACTAATCCCCAAAAATGTTATTCCCGATCTAATTAAATCACTAGAAACGTTGGATTTAGAAGATGGATTGGGATTCGATGACAATAATCGCTTGGAGAAAAATTTGGGTAATAATTTGTCCAAAATTGGATGCAAAGAAGCCATTAAAAGTCCCTGCAAAGTCAACGCCAAGATTTCATCACCGGCAATTAAAAGATCATCATGTATATCGATATAATTTCCCAATTTAAATTTGGAAACAAACGCATAAAGAAAAATATGAGTAATGGTGAGTGGATAATTGACCAATTGATTTTCATTGAAATGGTTGTAGTTGATGTGTCTAATGATTTGATTGTATATATATGCAGAAGTGGCCAAAATGACCAATTTCAAAGGTAATGGGAGTGAATACAATGTCAATTTCGATGACTCTTGTGTGGCCACTGAAGCTGTTTTATCATTTGCCTTGATCTTTTTAGCATTCAACACATCAAGATCAAGTAAAGATGAATCATCAATGTCTTTATTGAAATCAACAAATGAATCGCCTTCGTACATGCCATACAATTCTGGACGTGTTAAATTGATCTCGGAATCAGTCTTTCCCATTTGACCCGGTACTGGGTTTGAGTTTGCCTGTTGTGGTGGCAACTGAGACGCATCCATGCTTTTTATATTTGTGTTTGATAAAGCAATTCGTCTAAGGTCAGACATGGTTCGTGTGGGTTCAACTCTATTTTTATTTGCTTATTGTTTGTAAAAGGGATGCCGTGACAATGGCGGCAAAGTATTGGTGTGTCTGTGTGTGGCTCTACTTCTTTGTTTGATTCAAGAACTAGACAATTGACTATAGAGGGCTTTGCAATACCGTGACTGTTTTCAATGAATATCACTATCTGAAAGTGTTCTCTGTGTATTTGTTTGTATAATATCTCTCTATAAAGTTTTAATCAAATGATTGCAAAGATGATGGTTCAATTGCGTTGTTGTTTTTCTCTCTTGTGATAATTTTTTTGTATTGTTGTTTGTATCGTTATTGTTGTGCTGTTAGGGAGAGAGAAAGAGGGAGAGACACGCACAAAGAGAGAGAAAGAATGACGCAAGAAAATCCGTGTCACAAAAGGTATACTTACGACACTATCACAGTAGTAACCGTACTAAGTATTGAGTATTGAACCAAATAAGTATACTAGCTTTCAACTTTATAATCAGTAAATATCGTGTGATACGAAGAAGCAAGCATGTACCATGTTCCAAAAAGTTATGACCAAGTGTACGACGGTTGGTTCCTCGTATAGGAATCTATAAAGTGCACAAAATTACGAAGCATAACATGATCTCAACACCCAACCACCAAATCGCACAACAATCGTTCTTTTCATCTTCCGTATCTCTCTCTTCACTCAAAAGACCTTGTTATGTGACAAAGCGTGTTTGCTTGTTATTTTGCATGTCGTCAAAGTCGAACTAGACGTGTAAAAATACGTAACACGACTATAACAAAGTAGCCACAGTACTCAACTGCCCAGCTCATTCGGGCAAAGGTAGATGCATACCGTATCCGGTCATTGATATAGCTCATAGTAGTGTATACAACTCAACTCGTTGATCATTCCATTGAGATACCAACCTTTATGAGCTACTAAAGATACATTACGTAACACCTTACATAAGACATAAACAAAATAAAAACCTACAATACACAATGTATGAGGGTATGGAAGATACACTTTCTTCGTGAAGCTTCAAAACTTTCTTTTAATATCGCAACTACATATTCACCGGGGTCTACAAAACTAAATCTCATTACAAATATGTCCCAGCAACAAGAACTACCGAGTACCGACTATTCCCAAAACAAGGACGGTCTACAGCACCATTTCAGTGATCTGGAGGATGACGCAAAGATTGACAAAGCACTCACTGAATTAGATATGTCGGACCTAGGAATAGAAGGAGGTGAGCTAGATGAATATTATGATGATGATGGAGATGACGATGACGATGCAGAACCTTTGTTTATACCGTCGGATGACGAGGACGATGATTTTCAAGAGATTTCTGACGAGGATGACTACAATGATGATTACAACTTCAAGGACGCCCTTAAAGGGGCCAGCAATTTCAAAGTCAGAAACAGAAGGGAGAAATTGTCAAAGAATAACAAGTCATACTACAGGAAGCGTATGATGCGGGCCGATAATCGTGAGTTAGATCCTGAGGTTCGAATGAACTTGTCTCTTGCAAATGAAGCTTTTGTTCGTAATGATTTGCAAGTTGCTCAACAGTTATACGTTGATGTCATTAAGAAGGATCCAAAGAATTTCAGTGCTTACAAGGCAATTGGAGAGATTTACAAATCACAAGGCAAGCTTGATGAATGCTGTAGTTCGTGGCTCTTGGCTGCTAATTTACATCCTTGGGACAGTGATTTCTGGGGACAAGTGGCAGAATTATCAAACGAGTTGGGCCATATCGACCAAGCCATTTATTGTTATACCAGAGCCATCACGTCAGACACAAAACGAAGTGCAAATTTCATTCTCGAAAGGGCTCTTCTTTACAAAGAAAAGCGTCAATTTGGTAAGGCCTTGGATGGTTTTCAAAAAATACGTCAGTTATACCCACAAGACACCAATATTATAAAATATTTAGCAGGTGTGTACCTGGAACAGAAGCGTTTGAATGATGCCATAAACTTGTATATGCGAATTTTGGACCAAAATATCAACCCTGATGCTGATAGTGAAGAACAATACCCAAAATTTGACTGGCCAGAGTTGAATATTTTGTTAGAATTGCACGTCCAACACCGATCTCTCAAACTTGGAATAAATGTTTTGAAGCTTGCAGCAAGGTGGATTCAAGGTAGAATGGATGAAACATGGTGGGATGAAAGTGACGATTCCGAATTTGACTCAAAAAGGCGGTTCAAAAAGTTAAGCCATTTGAAATCCAGCGATTTAGCTGATTTCAAGTCAAAACCTTATGATCTTCCTATTGACATAAGATTCAAATTAGGGACACTTCGTTTGGGATTGAACCAAAAGGAGGAAGCAATGCATCATTTTGAGTATTTACTTGACGACAACCAGGCGGAAATTGCTGATTTGAATTTCGAAGCGGGTAAGCAATTGCAAGAATTTGGATACTATGAGGAAGCATTGACATTTCTCACTCGCGCATTTGGTAATGAGGAGCTAGTTTCAAGTTTTGATTTAGTGACATTATTGGGAAAATGTTATTTCGAAATTGCAGACTATGCTGAGGCAAAGGAAGCTTACGAAGAGTTATTGAGCCATTCACCGAATAATGTGGATTTCAAATTGGCATTGGCTGAAACATTGTACCATTTGGGAGACGATATACAGGCTGAATCGTTAATCAACGAAGTACAAGCGGCCAACCAAAAGAACTTGCGAAAGGACAAGGCACTTGATGAACCGGGGAAGACTGAAGGATTCTCGTTGATTAGAAACAAGATTAGAAAGACGCCCAAGAAGGCAAAATTATCAGAGCAAGAGAAGGAAGAAATTGAAGCTAATGCCGAGAGAAAAGTGTTGGAAAAGTATGGTCGCATGGAAAGATTGCAAGAGTCAATGAACTTGGGCGATAGAGTAGCTATAGCTGCTTGGATCCAATTGGCGTCGCAATTGATTGAGATGTTCACCAGTATCAAAAGTTTTTTCCCTAAAGATAGGTCGAAGCGGTTCAAAGGTATTATACGATACCGTACGCGTAAAGATATTGATTTGGATGAAAAATTGGCACGAGCTTACAATCTTTTGGAAGGATTTAACCTGGAGGAAACATTTACTCGTCAAACCTTGGTTTCCAAAACCGAATTTAGAGGATTAACTTATGACCAGTGGTTTGATATATTTGCCCAATTTGGATTAGTCATGTCCAAGTATGAAAACAATACGGAATATGCTGATGATATCATCAATATTGCATTATCTGTCAATATATTTGTTCATGACAAGAGTAAAGATGCCATGTTGAGATTGTTGAAACTCATGTTTGGAATAAAGCAAGAACAAGCCGCAACCACCGTGTTTCACAACATCAGGACTTTTTTGCTTCAAAATCAATTTTCCCCTTACATGTGTCGCTTATTCTTTTGTTGTTACTCCTCAGGAGCAACATTTGCAGAGACATTCTCCTGTTATAACCACCAAAAATTTTTTCTTCGTCAAATTAAGGCTTACGATTCATGTTACAAACAAGAGCCTGTGTCGGGTATGCCCAACATCACTGCCGATGTTGGGAATATAGAACTTGGCCCTGCACACCCTGACTTGATCTACATATACGCAAACTTACTCGGTGGAAAAGGAAGTCATTCTTCCTTAGTGTTTTATCTTAACCGTGCGTACAAATATTTCACCAAAGATTCAATGATTTGTTTGGTTTTAGGATTAGCACATGTTCATCGGTCAATGCAAAGGTTGAGCTCAAATAGACATATCCAGTTGTTACAAGGAATTAGCATCTTGTTGGAGTATAAAACCAATAGACTTTGTACAAACACAACTATTTATGAGATGCAAGAGATTGAATATAATTTTGGTAGGTTGTTTCACATGTTGGGATTGACAAGTCTTGCTGTTGGTCATTATAACAAAGTGTTGCAAATCCTGGATGATGAAGAAAAAGATATTGATGATGATTTTGATTTGAAATGGGAGGCAGCGTACAACTTGTCTTTGATTTACAGTATCAATGGCAATTCGCAAATGGCACGGTATTTGACCGAAAAGTATTTAACGATGTAATATATGTATTTGTAGTAGGCTTGTATTTGCTAGTGAATAAAACCCTCTGTCGCGGGAATACGATACACAAAATTTCATCCAAAGCTATCTACATATCCATCAACACCTTAAATCACTTACAATGGTTAGAGTGAAGCACAGATACATCTTATTCGAAATCATTTACCCACCAATGAACAACAACAACAGCAATAAAGCTTCCCCCATTGACCTGGAAGAAGTGACACAATTTACAAGCTCAGAAAGGAATGCCCTACTAGCGCTTCATCGAGCATCACCATCAAACATCAACCACAAGACCATACTTCATGCCATTCGGAAATCGTTACAAGAACACTATGGTGATTTTGGATCAGGATCAGCAGGGATGTTGATGACGTTAAAGTATTTTTCCAACAAGACGTCAACTGGGATAATACGATGTGGACGTGGTCAATTTGAAACTATTGTAGCAGCAATGAGTTTAGTGACAAAGATTGAGGATCAGAATATTACATTCAATTGTGTTCATGTGAGTGGTACTATCAAGAAATGTGAGGAGTTTAGTATCAAGAGATCACGAGAGTTAATGAGAAGGATAGATGGACCAAGGGGGAAGCTGCTAACAATGTGAGCAAAGATTAATGGCGTAGGCGTTGCCAACCATAGTTTTTCAGTCGCCTAATGAGACTGCTCTGATTCTGATATGCCCATGAAATAGTCAGACGATGACATTTCAGGATTCGGCAAAATGCTTATCCCGTCACAATAAAATTGAATTATTGACAAAAAAACGTACAAGCCAGTCTACAAGTATCGTGGTATCAAAATTGTGAGAGACTTGATTCAAAAATAGAAGTCGAAAGTACCGGGACCTACCACTTACGAACATCTTTCGTGGTGTGCTAGCTGCTTACTGTACGAGAGAAATGATTACATGACTCAATTTCAAATTCTAACATAAAATATTTTATTTTGTACCATTCTCAATATACGATCTAAATAAATCTAAAAACTCATCAATTGAATTCCTGCCACCTAATGTGTATTTTGCAAATTCAGGCAAGTAGGCAATCACAGCAGTCACCTCATTAGTAGACACCGTAGTCATATTTAATACAAAGTTGTACATAACTCCCGCATTCGCCCCAAAGTACATCTCTTTGAATCGATATGAATCATTGGAGTCAGCAACTTTCCCAAGGTTAGATATAGTAACAGTAGGACGCCCCCCACCAATCTTGCCAATTTTGTTGTTGAAAAAATTCCAAAGATCAGTATATTGCAACATTCCAATAGTTTTGAATGCATATTTGGATCCTATATCCACTTGAAGTTGTTGATGGAAAGTGAGCATAGCTTCCAATGGGTCATCAATTGGTTCCAAGATAATGGGGTCACCGCATACCATTGTTCCGTACTTGAAATTTTTAATATCGTCGTTGTAGTATCTGCGTCCATTGATTGCAACGTACGAATTTGTTCTAAATTTCGTTTTCGGGTCAATGGCTTTGAAAATTGTTTCTTGTAAAGCCTTGATAAAATAAACATCAAAGTAGCCAGTCAAAGTAACCCCTTTAGTCCTACAGAATTTAGTGATTTCATCAACTTTCACTGCATCAAACTTCATTATCTTGTACTTTGAAGTCAAATCTTTTGCAACCGGCTTTGGGTTTTGAAACAATGGGTTCTCCGCTCCTGATGAATATAGCCAATTCGAAACTTTAGAATACAATGGAAGATACTGCTCCAAGTAATGATGCACGACACGCTTGGAGTTTGGAATGTACAAGTCAGTAACGATTTCCGCTGCCGGGATTAGTTTAGATGGTAACTGGTTGAAATCTGAGGCATAGTCAAACAAGACGTTTTTCACCTGTCCGTCATCGATTACTCTAGCCAACTCACTTGCCAAATCTTTTTGGAATTGAACAGCCGATAACCCATCAAATTGTGAGTGGTCTACATAAACAGTCAACAATTGGCCCTCATTTTTTACTTCAAACACCATAATTCTCCACAATGGCATTTGTACGTCCATTTCCAATGTTAGCCCATTGAGGTATTCAAGAGTGCTTTCATCAAACTTGTCGATTTTTTCAAACGTAACCACATCATCGAATAAGATCTTGTCAATGATCTGTACTGTCCAATTGTGAAAGTTCTCCTTCCTACTATCGGTCCCTTTAATCTTGAAAAAGTTCTGGGCGAACCAACTATTGCTCATAATAAGAGACCTCAATGCGATTGACAAGTGGCTTTTGCTGATTGTTTTATTATACTTTGCGGTGATGTTGAAGTTACTATAAAACTTCCCTGTACCACGACAAATATAGTATCTCTCATTGAACGCAGGCTTCCTTGCATGTTGTTGTTCAACCATTGATAATTACTGGTGACAATGTGCTAATGGGGTAGGCAGTTGGATAGGATTTCCCAGCCTTTATATTGTCAAATGTTGGGGGAGTCATACAGACCAAATGAGTCAAATTTTCAAGTTGGAATACTCGTTCCGCGTATCTCTAATGCAAATACGATCGGGCGGTAAATTAGTCACAATTGATCCTAATTGCGAGTGTTTTTTTTTCCGAAAGGTACTGTGTAACGTAAATCGCCGACTGTATGTCTAATTAGCGTAGCGTAGAAGCTTCTTTGATGATGATATTGATACGTATTTCATGTTATAAACATGGGTGTGAGTGGTGTTCCTCTAAGCGCATAAAATTTGCACTCTTGTTCGAATACGAGGCTATTAAATTTCATGGTCAAGATTCCAGGGTGAAAAATGATGGCCTCACATCAACTACGTTAAAACTCTTCAATCAAGCCATGACAGTCGATTACTCGTTATACTTGGTGACTGATTCGACCATGATTCCAAGCTCCTCCACTTTTCTCAAACAAGTGGAGGACGCAGTCAATAATGGAGTAACATTAGTTCAATTACGGGAGAAGGATATATCCACTTTGGACTTTATTGAAAGGGCGAAAGAGGTTCACAAAGTGACCAAGCCGAAAAACATTCCTTTGATCATTAATGATAGAGTTGACGTTGCCTTGGCTGTTGATGCAGAAGGTGTTCACGTTGGACAGGACGACATGCCAGCAACATTAGTGCGGAAATTAATTGGACCTGATAAGATTGTTGGGGTGACTTGCTCCAATCCGGAGGAGGTGAGACAGGTGGTTAAAGAAGGGGTAGCTGATTATGTTGGATTGGGTACAACATTTGCCACAAATACTAAAAAAGACGTAAAGACCCCAGGTGGCGTTGGTCCAGTTGGTATAAGAAAACAAATGAATGAGTTGAGTAAGGACATTCGTTGTGTTGCAATTGGAGGGATAAACCATTCCAATGCTAATAGAGTGATACATCAGTGCCGAGTGGGGGATAAAAAACTCGATGGTATTGCAGTCGTTTCTTGCATTATGGCCAGTGAAGATGCAGCTAAAGCAACAAGATCATTACGTGATGAAATAAATTACACACCAGACTGGGCATTCACCAGGTCATTTGGTAAAAATATCCCTAGCCATTTGATGGTTAAAAACATGACAGACCTGCACCCTCTAGTGCATCACATCACTAACAACGTTGTCAAGAATTTCAGTGCCAATGTGACATTAGCTATTGGAGCATCACCAATTATGTCGGAATTGCCAGAGGAGTTTGAAGAGTTTGCTTCAGGTATCCCCAACATTGGACTTGTTATTAATTTGGGCACTCCAAATGCGGAGCTAATGAATGTGTTTTCCAAAGCGTTGGTTACTTACAATAAATACGACAAGCCTATAGTATTTGACCCTGTTGCCTGTGGGGCCTCAAAAGCTCGTCTTGAAAGCTGCAGGAAGCTTTTGAACCAAGGTTTCGTTTCTGTAATTAAAGGCAATGTGGGGGAAATTATGAGCATGTGGAAGCTCACTCCATACTACAAAGAAGGAAGTAACCATGAGAATCACATGAGAGGGGTAGATTCCATTTCTAGTGTTAAGGAAGTTGAGGTGTTGGAGAAAGGATTTCAAGTTGCAAGCACTTTTGGGTGTACTGTTGTGATCACTGGAAAACAGAACCACATATTAGGCAGCGACAAAAGATCAGTGTCAGTCCCTGGTGGAGACGTAGTAATGGGTAGTATAACTGGTACTGGATGTTCCTTGGGAAGTACAATTGCTGCCTTTTTAGCTGCAGAGAAAGCCAGTCCAATAGTTGGAGGAGACATTTTGAAGGCTACTGAAATAGCGGTTGAATTATATAACAGAGCCGGTGCTTGTGCCGCTGAAGTTTCACAGTCTCCAGGAACCTTTATGATTACATTTCTTGACAAACTTAGTGAAATGTCACAAAATCCTGAAGGTAAAACCTAACACCCTTTTCAGCTAGATAAGATACGAGAGAATACAAGTATACCAAATATGATGATGCAATATTATAGAAAGTGTTCTGCGTCACAAATTGGAATTCGTAGCTTTTAAATGTTATCTCCAATTCTGCATATTTCTTTTCCGCGTTTAAATCAAAACCATTTTCACGAAACTACTCCAAACGCGCAACGTGAGTACGACAAATAAACCATGGTACGAAAAGGTAAAGGCAAATTTCCCATCAAGCAGCCAAATAGACCATCACCTGTTGCAAATGTCGGGAAGATAGGTTCGCTTATGAGATATCCAGATAGAGATTACGCAAATTCCCTACTACATGACGCGGTCAAACAACTAGCACCACTTATTCACGAGTACAATTTCAAGGTAGAACTACTATGTGAGATGTTTCCGAAAAGTGAAAACCTACTAGGTTTAAATGTCAATAAGGGGCGAAAGATTATGCTAAGACTCCGACACCATCACAATGAGAGACTGTTTTTGCCAATGAGCGATATTCTTGGGACCTTTTTGCATGAGCTAACACACAACGTCCATGGAGCTCATGATAAGAACTTTTATGACTACTTGTCAAAGTTGGAGAAGAGATTTGATGAGATCAGGTACGGTAATGTGCATTCCAATTACAGATGTGAGGAGAACAGACTCGGGTTTGGAAGACTACAATCAGGCGTGGTTGACGTAAGGGCTAAAAGAATTGCCACATTGAGCAAAACTGGTTTCAAAGCAGAAACAAAAGTTTTGGGACTGGCTTCTGCTATCCATAAACCAAGAACTCCAACTCCTCGTGAAGCGAGGTTGGGAGCGGCCCTTCGTCGATTAGAGGACTCGAAACACTGTCATTCCGATCGTGATCAGCAAAGCGAAGCTCCAGATGAAAAGGATCTAAACATTGTAGAGCTAGATGAAGATTTTGAAATTGATAGTGACTCCGATGTGGAAGTTGTTGAAGTTGTTGAAGTTGCACGGAAAGATGGAGCTGAAGATCGTGGATGCAATGATTCAAAGGAGATTATTGTTATTGACTAGTGCGGACTAAATGTAGAAAGTTTATAGATGTTGAAGATTTAAGATCAATTTTTTGTCTAGGCGCGAGGCTATGGCTTGCAAATGGTCTGTTTCTTTCTTCAAAATTATGATACCATGGCAATGGACAACTAAAGTGCTACTCATAGTATCCACCTTTAGCATATACAGTTCAGCAAATGATACTGGTTTATTGACAGTCGACGTGAAAGCTCCGTGGAAAAGAATTGATTTCGTATCCAATTTCATTGAAAGTATAGCGGGATTCAATGCATCACTATACATACCAACCTTGGAAGCTATCTTTGGGCTTGGAGATTCAGATGTAAGCGAGGGAAGAACAGACAAGGAGATATACGATTACACTATGAAACAGCTTTCACTAGAGCCAAGCGCAATTGACTTTGTAAATTTCAACCTTGTCTATAAAAAATATTCTCCTAGAGTGGCTTCACATTACTTTCACTATGAAACGACATTACAGCAATTCGGAGATAGGTTGAAAACGGAATGCACCAAAGACTCGTTTGGCAATCAGGTGGAAACAAAGAATGGACTTGTGCCTGCGTGGGTTTTGTACAATGATAAAATATACTGTTCAGTAAATGATTTATTTGCTCTCCAGACTGACAAGTCTAATCAAGAGACTTTTCTTTTTGACAGGGTAATTGGTGATAGCGATGATGCACCATTATTGACGTTTTATGGTGACCCCACTGTGGACCAAACCAGGGAGTTTCTCAAGGTTTTGTATGAAGAAGCTCAGAACGGAAAATTGAGATTTGTTTGGAGATATATCCCTTCGGTTAGTAAACGTGTGGATTCACTACCTGGCTTTGCAGTGGAGGTTCCTACAAAAAATATCGAATATTACGCTCATTCAAAACTTGATTTGAATAAGGACTTCGATACGATAAAGAGTTCAAGAGCTATTTCGAAAATTGGCAATAACGTCAATGAATTGGGTATTAAGCTCACTTCATTTATTTTGTCCAATAAGATCAAGTTATCCAAGTTTGAGTTGCTACAGACAATATTGAACAATATGCCAATATTCTATTCCTATTTAAACAAGCTACCACAACTGATTAATTACAAGAAGGTACAATCAAAAGTAGTGGGCAATGAACAGGTAGGATTATCGAAGGAATCGTTTGGGATCTATATAAATGGGTCACCAATACATCCATTGGAGTTGGATGTGTATAAACTCTATGATAAGATTAGTGATGAATTATCTACAGTTAAGAATCTCGTTGAATTAGGGTTCAATTCAGTTCAAGCGAAACTCCTTTTAGCTAAGTTTGGATTACTTTCTGCTGTGAAACAAGCTCAGTTCAGGACGGGAAATACATTGATGGGCAACAATGAAAACCGATTCAAGGTATTCCAACATGCTTTCAATCGCAATGATGCCACAAAGGGTGGCGTAGTGTTTATAAATGACATCGAGAGTGATAGAAACTACGGCGAGTATTCGACAGATCGCCAGGAAGCCTATCTTGGAGTAGAGTCTCGTAAACTCAAGCCTAACCAAATCCCTCCTTTGAAAGAGAACGTGCATGATTTGATATTTGCATTAAATTTGGCAAGTAAGAAGCAGTTGAAGGCTTTTTTCACATTTTCAAAAATTATACTAGATTCAGGTATCCCTCAACAAGTTGGTGTCTTGCCAATCATTGGTGAAGATCCACTAGATGAACAACTTGCCATTCGTTTATACCATATTACTAAACTTCTGGACCAAAAAGAGGCACTTGCATTGCTTTATAAGTATATGGAGTCCACGGGACCAGATGAAATTCAAGAACTATTAAAGAAGGTAGACGTGCCAACTAATTTCCGGGTGGATTTTGACACAGTATTGAACAAATTTTCAATTGACCAACCCTCAGTCGTTGTGAATGGAGTAATCCACGATCTTTTTTCGTCCAATTGGCAAGTAGCCATGAGCAAACAAATCGAACAAGATAACTCACTCATAAAGACTCAATTGAGACAGGGTGACGTGAATGGCAATCTCAAAGATATAATCTACAACAATGCCAAGCTGGAGCGGAATCTACGTATTCATCCATTGGACCCCAGTGAAATCATTTACAAAAAAATTGACCATGATTTAATGAGGTCATCGATAGCTTTCAAAAAAGTTGATAAAGAGTTGAATAACCATGCAACTATTTGGTTGGTGTCGGATTTCAGAGATAGCAAGATGATAGATCAGCTTGTGACTTTATTGAACCTCATGAAACGAAAGTCAATACAGGTTAGAGTGTTTAACGTAGGGAACACAAAATTGTTTTCAAAGTTGGCTGGCAAAATGAGATTAACAGTCTTGACAAATGCAGATATAAACGCCATCATCTCCACATTAAAAGAGGGAGGGGAAGTATCAACCGGTTTGAATGAAGACCTTGTACATCTGTTGGAACAAAAGCATATGCCAGTAAGACATTCATACTTGTTGGTGAACTCAAGGTACTTCAGATTGGATCCTGTAATATTAAACATGGAGGAGTTGTCGCAGCTAATCGAGTACGAGCTAACCCAAAGGTTACGCCTTATAAACGAAATTTGTGTCACGTACGTAGATGAATTCCCACAAGCTTTATATGAATACAATCTGATGGGGTCTGGATTAGATGACATGGATTGGTTTGACTTAGTTTCAAGCATAGTGACAAAATCGTTTCATGTTGATGACAAGACATTCGTCAATGACGTAAACAGATATGACTTTGGTTCCTTGGATATGTCAAATCTGATAGACTATAAAAAGCACGACGAGTCAAAGCAAGTTGATGTGTTAGTTATCATGGATCCCCTTGAAGATAACTCGCAGAAGCTCATCAATATACTTGATGCTGTCAAAGACTTTTCTTTTGTGAACGTGAGGGCTTTATTTCAGCCAAAGCTCGAATACGCACGAGAAGAGTTGACAGAACGGTTTTATCAAGGCGTTTTCCCTCCTTCTATTCCATATTTTGAAGGAAGTGGAAAATGGGACGACACATTTTTGGCAACTTTTGACGCACTCCCTGTGGCTACATGTTCCATTAATATGGATGTCCCTAAACGTTGGGTTGTTGTTGCAAAAAGTGCTCCATCAGATATTGATCTCAACAGTTTCAAATTGGATAAAAACCCCATATCAGTGTCTTTCGAAATAACCAATTTACTCATTGAGGGAAATGCTAGAGATGTGAACACCGGCAAAGCCCCCAATGACTTACAACTACAAATTTCCAATGGAACCCACACAGACAATACTTTGGTAATGACGGCTTTAAACTACTTTCAACTAAAGGCATTACCCGGTGTTCACTCCCTCAGTGTCAAGTCCAATCATTCGTTGTTATCTGCCTCGGACAACAAATTTGATCCAAATATCGTCGAGATTGAAACAGCCCCAATGTCTTTGTTCTCGTTAAACGGTCTTGTGCTCCAAATAAGAGTCAGCTCGAACAGAGAAAGAATTGTTGAAAAATCAAAGCATGCGGATATTAATATCTTCACCATTGCAGGAGGCCATGAATACGAAAAACTTGTCAGCATAATGATAGCATCTGTGAAGAGTCACAACCTAAAGAAATCGATCAAGTTTTGGATCTTGAGCAATTTCATCTCTCCACAATTCAAAGTATTGATTCCACATTTGATTGAAAAGTATAGCGTCGAAATCGAATTGGTCACCTACAAGTGGCCAACCTTTTTGCGAAAGCAGAGTAATAGACAAAGAGAAATTTGGGCTTACAAGATACTATTCCTTGACGAACTATTTCCACAAGATCTTGATCGTGTGATATTTGTTGACGCAGATCAGGTTTGTCGTACCGATCTCACTGAGTTGGTAAACATGGACTTAGAAGGTGCTCCGTATGCTTTCACTCCAATGTGTGAGTCCAATAAAGAAACAGAAGGGTTTAGATTTTGGAAACTGGGTTATTGGGCTGAGGTATTACAAGATGATTTGAAATATCATATCAGTGCATTGTATGTTGTTGATTTGTCCAAGTTCAAATCGGTTGAAGCAGGTAACAGACTACGCGCTCACTATCAGAAATTATCCAGTGATCCGAACTCACTAAGCAACTTAGATCAAGATTTGCCCAACAATATGCAGAGACAAATCAAGATCAAAAGTTTGCCACAAGAGTGGCTTTGGTGTGAAACGTGGTGTTCAAGTGAAACTTTCAATGAAGCTAAGATGATTGATTTGTGCAACAACCCATTGACTAAAGAAAATAAAATCGACACCGCGAAGAGATTAATCCCGGAGTGGGTAAATTATGAAAAAGAAGTGTTAGCTTTGATTGATCAAGTAACGGATACCGTTGAAGAAGAGGTTGAGGAAGACGAAGAAAACTTCACTATTGATGAATCGCACGGTGAGGTAGACTCCGATGACGATGCACTCTACCATGATGAGTTGTAGTTTGTACATAGACCAAGAATAAAAGCAGCATTTCTAATTGTTTCACTCCTATACGACTAAGAAAAACACGTGAGGTGCCAAAGCCGCATGAGCTAGAGTAAAGTCAAATTTCGGATCTCTATGCAAAGAGGATGTCAAAATGTATTATTATACTCTTGTGATAATTCCCCTTTTTGTAACCACTTAATTTTGCAGAATCATACGAACAATGAGGCAAAAAAAAAAATCAGTTGTACGAGGAATAATATGACATGATTTTATCAAATTAAACTCAAATTTTCAGTATATAACCAGCCAATTGAGCTTTCTTGATTGTTGTTTTGCATTGTTATTTACGAACCCAACGCCAACTTCAACCATATGACTGTTACTCCAGATAAAATACATGATACCTCTTTGCCTCTTAGAGAGCGAATGGAAGCTCTTGTTCGTGTGAAGCAACAAGAAATTACCCAAGCGTTAGCTGCTGTTGACACTGTCGGATTCCACATTGATTCTTGGACAAGAGGCGATAATGGTGGTGGGGGTCAAACAATGGTTTTACAAAATGGAACTACATTTGAAAAAGGGGGTGTCAACATTTCTGTAGTGCACGGAAAATTACCAGCACAAGCTGTTCAAAGAATGAGAGCTGATCATGCAAATCTTAAAGGAAGTGCAAGTGATGGAAGTGCTGATTTTTTTGCCTGTGGATTGTCCTTGGTTATTCATCCTCATAACCCACACGCTCCAACAACACATGCCAATTATAGGTATTTTGAAACCACTGACCCTGACACCAAAGAAACTCAAGCTTGGTGGTTTGGTGGTGGTGCTGACTTGACACCATCGTACTTGTATGAAGAAGATGCTAGACATTTCCATCAAAAACATAAAGAAGCGTTGGATAAGTACGACGACACTTTGTATCCAAAGTACAAGAAATGGTGTGATGAGTATTTCTATATCAAACACAGAGGCGAGACTAGAGGCATTGGTGGAATCTTTTTTGATGACTTTGACTCAAAACCAGCTGATGAGATTTTACACATTATTGAGAGTTGCTTTGATGCATTCATTCCATCGTATGTGCCATTAGTTGAGAAGAGAAAGGATACACCATTTACCCCGGAACAGAAGCAATGGCAACAGATCAGAAGAGGTAGATATGTTGAATTCAATTTGGTATTGGATAGAGGAACTCAATTTGGTTTGCTCACCCCAGGATCGAGAGTGGAGAGTATATTAATGTCGTTGCCTGCGACTGCAAGCTGGGTTTATGATCACCATCCAGAGTCGGGAAGCGAAGAAGACAAGTTGTTACAAGTGTTGAAGAATCCCGTCGATTGGGTGTAGGGAGAGAGAGAGAGAGAGCATGCAAAGACCTCCCCGGTAAAGTACATAGTATTACGAGTGATGTAATAAAAAGACCAACTAGTGAGATTCTCTTATGTGGCCGACTTGTAAGCTGCTGCTGAAGTCAAAGCAGAGCTAGATGGCGCACTATACGAAGCTGAAACCGTCGTGACAATGGTAGCACCATCATCTACCCGTGTTGTGATATTAGGTTGAGATAACGGACACCAGAAGAAAAAGTTTGTATAAGCTTGATCTAAGGGGTAGATTTTATAATTGTCTTGGATTTCAATCACCACAGGGATAACACCACCGGTGGGGATGTTGTACAATCTGTGTTGAGCAACAGCCAAGATTGCATTGATGGTACCACCGTGCAGCACAATACTGATAACCTTGTCATCCTTTGCGTCCTCAAAAATATCAGTCAATAACGAAGCAGCACGGTAGTAGATATTTTCAAGACCTTCTCTATAGATTGGACTCCAAAGCACATCATCATGTTGAAAGCCATCCTCAAACTCAAACCCAGGAAATTTGGTTTCTATATAAGTTCTATCGTGTCTCTCACTTTCGGTGTCGATACCATACAACTCTCTGGCGAACTCCTTGATTGTTGCTGTCTTATGAGGCAAGTTTAACCAAGTCTCTTGCCAAGTTTGTAAAGTTCTTCTCAAAGGACTGACATAAAAGTTATCTGGATAAGGGAATGAAGTTGTGTTTTCAATTTGACTAACCAAGCTTTTGATTTGTTCATGTCCCTTGGGAGTCAAATCAGCATCGTACCATTCAATGCCATCTTTCCCATCTCTAATCGACCAATAGCATTGCCAATCGATGAGACCAATATTCAAATCCTCTCGTGCAACATTGTGCCAACCTTCACCATGTCTTTGCAAAAAAAAGAGTTTTTGGTTTGAATTCAAACTTGAGACGACGTCATCCCAGCTATAATCTTTATGTAATCCAAAAGTTGAGTCATCGACTAAAAATTGAGGAATCAATGGATTGCTTTGTTGAAAATACTTTTTTGATGATGTAAAAGTAGGAAGGTAATTGGGTTCAGCAGCAATCACCAAGTTGACAACCACGAGCGCAAATATGGACAAGCTTGAAATCATATTTGGTGGTTGATTTTATCGTCTCGCTGTACCTTATTCACCATCTTGTTCTCTTTATATATTGCTTGCACATCAGGGCCCACGTGTCTCAATTGGCGTATACCCATTATGTTGATCTCATTGTTTAAATCATAAAACCGTTGTTGTTTGTTCCTCGGTATGGAACCATATATCCGCACTGTTAAAACTGCGGATATGTAGCCGTTATACGTACTATCCACACAACGCCACAACTAAAGTTTACTGTCGCGATATCTACAGTAATTACTGATTTGTCTTGTCTTAGCTTTGTTTGAGCTTCTTCGAAATCGTTGTTCTACAGGAAGTTAAGTCCTAAATCGTGCATGCTTGAAATGTGGCTCAACAATTGACATACGGTCTCAAAATATCAGTACAAGCCATACAGGATGAGCTTATTAGGCGAACCCAATTAGTCTTTTTTGGGAAGACAAACATCTACTTTAGTTCGATGAGTTCTCAACGTCTATTGCTGGAAAGCTATCACGTGATCACTTGAACTATTGTTCAATCAAAAGCGAAATCCTCAACGAATTAATATACCAAGTGACTTGACTACAACACTTGAACTTACACGGACTTCCAACATGGCGATATACTCATTTTTTATATATGACCGTCACTGTAACTGCATATACAATCGCGAATACATACACTCACCAACCTCAACCTCATCATCTTCATCATCTGTTACCACATCACAAGACAAAGCCGATGGCCACATAAACAAAAATAACGACGCTGATAACTCAAAGTTACTTTTTGGTATTCTATATTCCCTCAAGACAATAGCTACAAAACTAGTATTGGACGATTCTTCCCTCAATGAGTTGAAACAGATGACAATTGGACAATTTCGAATTCATTTTTGGGAATCATTGACAAGATTCAAATTTGTGATAATTAGTGATTTACAAGTTCAATCATTACAACATGAATTGTGGCAGTTGTACTCTCAATTTTTCATTAAATATGTTGTTGAAAATGCATTACTGCCGGTTGAATTCAAATGGAAAGATGACGATACGTTACGAGAGAATGAAATATATGGGAAGATACATAATGATAGGTTTATTCAAGAAACTGACAAGTATATAAAGTCGTTGCCCATATTTTGACTGAAATATGATAGGTTTTGTTTTTGAGATGTGGATTGCATTCTCTGTGTAAGATATTGAAAATTCCAGGCGTAAAGACTTTGATTGGGTGTGTTTTGAGTATTATACTTTCACCTGCAACTGGTTATGAGATGTTGCATGATTCCTAGCGCGAATATGTTTATGAAGCTTTTTACGTTTTTTGCAGCAAATTTGTGAAAATATACTCTTTAGGACAAATACAAACTGTGGATTGTTAACAGAGATATCGAGAGAAAGGAGCCATTCTTCTATTGCTAGTCGTACCTTGAGATTGGAAATGTAGTACATCTGGTAGACATTCCCATTGTGCATCCAATTTGTAGATGCAACTCCGTTTAACACATCCATCGAAGAAGTTCACAAATTCCATGAAGCCTGAAAGTTGTCAAGTTTTACGATCAATGTTCCATATCGATACGTCTATAACTTTAATTCAAAAATCTAAGCTTCGAATATATACAAAAAAAACTCCACGGCACTTTATGTACAGTCCACCTACCCACATACTACAGGGGCTCGTTCCCACCCCGCCTTAATTGAAATCTTTATTTTGTAAATTTCTCGTCATTGCTGGTAAGGCAACTCTAATACCGTCTAATTCCTTAGACATCTTAACCTGACATCCCAATCGTGAAGTTTCTGTTAACCCAAACGCCAAATCCAACATATCATTTTCATCATCACTAGGTTCAGGTATTTCGTCATAAAATTCAGGGTCAACAATAACGTGACATGTAGAACAAGCACATGATCCACCACATGCACCTTCCATATCCAAGTTATGGGCTTGTGCTATATCTAGTATATTGTCACCTTCAGCTACTTCATAAGTGTATTGGTTGCCGTCTTTGGTTATGAAAGTAATGTGTAGCTCTTCACCGGGTTTTGGTGTATGGAGGTGTCCATGGCTTAGTATTGGTGATGTGTGAAGTGATTTGAAAAATGGAGCAGCGACGAATGATTTGCAATTGATAAGTGATTGTGAAGTTGATGCGAAGGGGTAATAATGTATACCTCTTATCTGTCTTTGAAATATACTTCTGATCATTTGATACTGAATGGTTAATTTAAAGGGTGATAAGAGGATAGTTATTGACAGTTGTTCCTTTGTTGAGATGTGGAATTGATTTGATGACTCGGAATTTTTTCTCTTTTTTTACTTTTCGTATTCAATGCTTTTGCAATTTTGTGATCCAAGAACAATAAGCGGGTGCCGTTCCGACCTATGAGATAATTCCGATTATCAATAACTTTCATAATACACTTGCGAAAAGATTGTCTACTTACAATCACTACATGTCAATATGCATCTCATTTGTAAACTTTAACCAAATCACAAGTAAAGCTCCCACCTCTAAGAAAACTTGCTAAAAAGAACTAAAAATATCAACAAAATCAACACCGCAATAATACCATAACTAATAAATTTATTAGCAGTCAATCTCCTCCCCATACTCTTCAAAGTCAGAATACTTCTATCAACATAAGTATCAGCTTGCATCAATGTATTTCTAGCACCACCAATCTGTTCACGTTGTGACCTCAAGTCATTCAAGATATTGCCACCAATACTCTCCGTCTCCAAAGCAATTCTTTGACTATCTTGTAATCGTTGCGACGACCGTTCCAAAGACGATTGATTGTTTAATAATTGTTTACGTTGAGAGTCCGAAACCCCATTGAGGGGGTTGTCATCACCATCATCGCGATACCTAGACCCAAAGAGTTCATGCCTATCCTGAACGTCAGCAAGTTTTTTGTATTTGGATTTAGCATCATCAATTTGGGTCCGGTATTGACGGATTTTGGTGTTGTAAGATGACCGTTGAGTAGTGGGCAAGTTTTGCACTTCAATTGACATTTGATCGAGCAATTCCAATGCTTCGTCTGTTGCTGCTTCAATTGCCTTAAGGTACGTTTGACGTTGTTCTAGAAGAAGAGTTGTGGTTAGTATACATTGATTCGTTAAAGATACCATTGTTGCCACGGGGCTGTAAAGAAAAATAACGTACCTCCCTGTACGGACTCTACTTGTGATATCTTTGTCTTTGCTTCTTGCAAAGCAAGTTGAAAATCATTTTCATAAGTATTGAACGAATCGGACATGGCTAACGAAAAGGGTAGTGTTTACCCTTTTGGATATGTTAAAAAGTGACAACGCTGTTGGTTTAAATCTCAAGCGACATGCGCAATTTTGTAAAAGGACGTGCACTATTACCAAAAAAATACACACAAAATCAGTCTCTATGTTGAAATAAACCTACACAAACTAAACACACACACTACTTATCATGAAGTCTAGTTTCAAACTCATCTCCAGAAACGTTATCATCGTCATCAGTTCTCGACTTGTATTTCTTGAATGCAGCTTTAACTTGCTCCAAGAATTCATCATCAACTTCATCATTTGAATCAATTGATGCACCAGATTGTGTCTTTTGCAACTCAGTCAATTCCTTCTTCAATATTTCATCAGTAACACAAACCCCATGATCCAATCCGTCCAATTGAGTGCAAACGGCAGCTTTTGTTGTGGCTTCTTCTTCATCGGCATTCAAGTCCAATGCATTAACTGTTAAATTCAACAAAGATTTACCTGATTTTCTTCTAACTAATTTACCTGAAAATGGACCCGATTTCGGTCTATACTTTTTCACATCTTCCTCGGTGCTTGTACTGTCATGTAACAACACTGACGAGTTTCTTCTATTGCTTGGTGTTCTTGGCGTCTTTGGTATCCTACAAGTAACACCATTATCATGAATCCATTTAGCAACAACCGCAGTCCAACCACATTGATGAGATGCACCCAATCCTCTTCCAGTATCTCCATCAAAATATTCATAGAACGGAACATAATCCTTGAAAAATGGATCTTTATTGACTAATTCATCTTCACCATTACATGCCCTATTACCTTCTTCATCGGGCAAGAACAAATGTATCAAACGATGCTGAATCTCTTGAGCACATTGAGCTAAATTAAGGTATTCACCGGATCCAGTAGGACATTCAACTTTCAAATCCGGACCATAGTACAAGTAGAACCTTTGCAATGCTTCAACTAATAGGAAATTAGTAGGGAACCAAATGGGTCCTCTCCAGTTGGAATTACCTCCAAACATCCCCGAATCTGATTCACCAGGTAAATATTCAACTTTGAATGTCTCACCATTGACTTCCATAGTAAATGGATGGTCTTTGTGATATTTCGACATGGATCTGATACCATATGGTGATAAAAATTCGCTTTCATCCAACATTCTACGCAAAATTGCCACTAGCCTCTCTTTTGATACCAAAGACAATAACAACCTCTCACCAACACCTCTGGTTTCCATCGATGCAATATTTCTCTCAGCAACTTCCTTTCTATGATGGACAAACCAGTCTAATCTCTTTTTGAAAGAGGGGAACCTTTCCAATAATTCAGGCTCCAAGGTCAATGAAGCATAAAGTGGGATCAATCCAACTAATGATCTAACTGGAAGCGATTGGGTATGATGATCCCCATATCTAATTGCATCGTAATAAAATTCATCATTTTCATCCCAAAGTGAATTCTTTGTTGAAGATTCATTTTCACCTTCACCACCTCTAAATGTCAATGCATCAGCAATAACAACAAAATGTTCAAAGAATTTGGAGGCAATATTCTCATAGACCGGTCTCGTCTTTGCTAGTTCCAAAGCTATGTTCAACATTTGCAATGAAAAAAATGCCATCCATCCAGTGGAATCAGCTTGTTCCAAATTACCTCCTGTAGGCAATGCCTCAGATCTATTGAAAACACCAATATTGTCCAATCCTAAAAATCCACCTTCAAAAATATTGTTTCCCTCAGCATCTTTTCTATTAACCCACCACGCAAAATTCAACATCAATTTTTGAAAAACTCGTTCCAAAAAGTCAATATCTTCACGTCCATACATTTTTCTCTCGATTTTGAAAATTCTATAAGCAGCCCATGCATGAACTGGTGGGTTTACATCACTGAAATTCCATTCGTATGCTGGGATTTGTCCATTGGGGTGCATATACCACTCTCTCAACAAAAGGTCAATTTGATTCTTGGCAAACCAAGGATCAATCATGGCAAACGGAATACAATGGAATGCAGTGTCCCAAGCTGCAAAAAAGGGGTACTCCCATTTATCAGGTAATGACAAGATGTCATCAATATACAAATGCTTCCATTCCTTGTTTCTACCGTTGGCTCTATTGACAGGTGGCTTAACCGTATTCGGATCACCATAAGCCCAATAATTGTGAACAAAATGATAAAATTGCTTTGACCATAATAATCCAGCAAACGCATATCTTTGAATTTGTCTCAATTCATCACTAATTGGCAACGGAGACACTTTCCAATAAAATTGATCAGCTTCATTTTGGCGTTTGCTAAAAATCTGATCCAATTTGTATTCATCAACATCAGAATTCTCCTTTGTGAATTTGTAACGAATGGTTACATAATCTCCTGGTGGCACACCACCATCTTGATCAAAGACATACCAAGCTGCAGCTTGCGTACCTTCCTTGTCTGGATTCACTGCTTTTTCATCTCCACGTACAACAAGTTCATGAAAGGCATCTTTCACATATTTGCTCCCATTCTCTTGTCCATAAAATTTCTTGGTGTTGGTTTCATTTTCAGTAAACACCAATCTTGGCTCAACATCGGGAGAATCATCATGAATACCAGCAGATGGGGCAAATGACAAGTAACGTTTACCAAATTTATGAGTCTCAACTTCAATTGTATAATCATTCACTTGTCTCAAGTGTGGTTTGGGTTCATTAACACTTTCCTTTGTACCCCATGCCCAAGTGTTTCTCAATACAACATTGGGTAATAAATGTAATGGAGCTGGTTTATCACTTCTATTATAAGCCGTGATTCTAAAATACAAATCATCTGGTGAATCTTTAGCGCATTCGAACACAACATCAAAATACTCATTTTCATCAAATAATCCCGTCTCAGTGATTTCATATTCCTGCTCTAATCTTGATCTTTTAGCATTTTCCTCTTTCAATTCTTCGTAAGGAAATTTATTTTGAGGGTACTTGTACAAGTACTTCATGTACGAGTGTGAAGGAGTATTGTCGAGATAGTAATACAACTCCTTGACATCTTCACCATGATTTCCTTGATTATTAGTTAACCCATACAACTTCTCTTTCAAAATATCATCCTTCTCATTCCACAAAGCCATAGTTATATTGACCAATTGACGTCTATCGGAAACACCAGCCAATCCATCCTGTGACCAACGTGAAACACGAGCATAATCTTCAAACTTGAATGAATCCCAAGCATTTCCATCACTACTATAATCTTCTCTAACTGTTCCCCAAGATCTTTCCGAAACATATGGACCCCATTGTCTGTACTTAATATCTTTCAATCTTTCCTCTTCTGCAGTTAAGCCTGGCATATTGTGGGTTTGTGAGGAGAAGAAGAAGTAGAAGAAGAGGGTTTTATGAAGTAATTTGGAAAAAGGGATGAAATTCAAAATGGACAAAATGAATGGAGACAAATTTAAGGCGAGAAAATAAAATGTTACACTTCCAACTTAGTCAAAAGTAAAAAGTTAATCCGGAATAACCTATCTTTAGGATTTGTTGCATATACGAACGAATAAGATACCACGTCGATGGAACATTCTTTGCTTCTGTTTCATAACCATTCTGTGTAGCAGTTTATCTATATCGTATGCCATGCGGGAATCACTGGTCCAATACGTATACCATAAGAGAATGGCGTATAGTATAGATCTAGGTCTCAACAAAAGAACAATTTTGTGTTACACAAAATCAAAACTGTATTTTCTTTCTTAGATTGCTACTGCATACCATTTACACTAGATTGTATCTTATTATGGTGTTACTAAACTAAAAGAGCTCTATAAAAAGGAGATGAAGTTTGTCTAAACAAATAGGACAATTGAAGCTGAGCAATTGCTGTTGATGTGATGTATCGCGGCAGTCACTGTATATCTTGTAAGATTAGTTATTTGGGTTACAATTAGCCAACTTTTCAAAATTTACGAGGCATTTGGTAGCACAAACAGACACAAGGTGGGGAACGAAACTAGAGAGGTATACCGCAATTTGGTCGACTAGTAGCGTTGATCCTGATCCCAAGTTGGTAGATAGGCCACTTGATGGGGCTCACTAAACAATACAATTTGTGATATGTTATGTAGGTCTTGAACATAATCCGCCCAAAGCTTTTGTCCAATACAGAGAGGGAAACTTCATTAATTCAATCAGTCACCTCCCATTTATACACGTGAGCTGTTATTCTAGTTACCAAATCTATCCCCCCTGCTTGATAAATTAAATGCATGTAATAATGTTGTCTATAAAATTATCTAAAAAACACCCGCAATCCTCTCATTCTCATTTAAACATCACCCCTAGCATTCTTTTCTTCTTCTGCACGTTTAGCTGCCTCTAATTGGGCTTTGGCAGCAGCAGCAGCCTTTTTACCCATGGCTTTTGAAAAATGCATAACGGCAAATGGGAAAACACAACTCAACATTACTACCCAAGCCACCAAGATACCAATATTACGACCCAATTGTCCCTTGTAAACATCGAAAAACACCGTTTTAGTAGCTTCATAACCATTATGTATTGGAATAGCATATCCATACCTGTAAAAGTTATTGGTCAATGCAACGGCATTATACGTTGGTGCAATATTTACAATAACCCAAAAAATCAACCAAAACCCAAGCAATGGGGGATAAATTGGAATAATCAACATGGCCATAACTTCATTAGCTAATCCAACTGCACACATTGTGAGGAAAGTTATACTCCAATACACCAAAAATCCCGATTTGCCATAAGTGACAGTGAAATCAATCTGATACGCCAATGATGCTAATCCGAAAATCAATGAAAGAAAGAAGAAAGCCAATATGGATGAAATGTAACGATAAAGCAAATAATGGGGTCTTTTGATGGGCGTCTTTGCCACTTTTTGATGTGGTTCCGCAAAGAAACTAACTTGAAAAAATGAAACAATTATCAAGTAGATGAATCCCAATTGCATCGGTGCACCCAAGACATGATCTGAAATTGGGAGTTTGTCAACCATGGTGAATTGAAGTGATTGAGCAAGCAAGCTCGTTTGTGGTGTTGAATTGATAGTGACATTTTGTGCAAGTTGCGAAATCATATTGGATTGTTGATGCAACCATAGGGTCTCAATCTTTTTCAATAGGGGAGTCACATACTGAGGTATTATAATGAAATCACGGGCTGTTTCGTAATAAGCAGCAACGGTATCATCAGACACGTTATATCTTGTATCCCCATTGGCTAATGCTTGATGATAATTGTAACTAGCATTGGGTTTGACATATATAGCTGCCCAATACAACTGATGGTGAATTTGTCTCAAAATTTCTTCTCTAATTGTGTTGTCATGATCTTGTGCCAAATGTTTGAACTCACCTTCTTTATAGATATGCCAATCGCCACTTGAATTTGCTGGTGGTTGTTTTAACAACGCCTCCATGGCAGTTCCAAATACTGGTGATACTCCCTCAATAGTACTTTCATCACCAATCACCACCAACATCTTCAAATCTTTCGTTTTCTCGGAAATTTCATAAAATGAACCCCAATATATTGAAAGAGCAGTTAGCAACAAGGTAGCCATTGCAAGTATGATCAACCCAAACCTAATGTAAATCTTTTGCCTGTGCTCCTTATAGTCAGAGCTGTGAAATGAGACACACTGTTGTAGGTATGGCAGCACCATGGGTTGCTCTTGTTCAATTGGCATAGATCGTTGAGGTTCTTGTTGGGAAGCACCTTTACCACCTTCATTACTAAGGTTATGTCCCAGATCATGATATGATGAAGTAGCTGCTGACCCATCATCGCCAATTGAACTTTGCTGCAGTTTTGGTAACTTTTGGTCCATGTGTGTCTCGTTGTATCGCATAGTAGACGTAGTTGAGTTATTCATGCAGATGATCCAATGCAAATAAACTTCTAGCAGTGAAGCAAGAACGGGAGAATTCAGCTTTATTTATACACAAAGGATTGATAAATCTTTAACTCTGAAACAAAGCATTTTCGAAATGTATTATCTGGTTAATGGCCGCAAAACTTGTGAAAAGTTTGTATGTGATTGTGCATTTTGTGCAATATAGGTTTTCCTTTCTGTTAAGGTGCACCTCAAAAGTTTGCACCACTTGGGCTAGCTGGCATTCCAGAGCCTATTCAATGGATAGTGTCTCCGTTGTATTGATACAGAAGAGTGACAATTTTACACAGCATGCCGATGACCGAGCTTGCCCATAACGGCCTTGAATATCAATTTCTGTTGGTACTTTCCTTTTAGCGTGGCATTCGCTATACATCATGAAGAAAATTATTATTGAAAAATCGGAAGATCGATGGTAGCGTCGGCGATTAGATCCGATCTCCTGAATTTACGTTTGTTACATTTAGACGGCGGTTGAAATTACTAAGTTATGATTTCGGCTTTTGGTTCAAGAAAGGAAAAAAGCTTACACGTTTCGTAATAATCCTGGACTCTTTTATTGTCTCTTTATAGTTGCAAGTAATTTTTGAACATAATGTGAAGGGACCTCCATACTTTCAGTATGAACGGGACCCTTGACGTTGCCGTTGGGTATACGTGTATAGTTTTCGAGATCAAAGGCGCCGTAAGCTAAATAGCAAGAACCGGTTTGTCTTTAACCGTAATGGTTATGAAAATCAGTACAAATTGTTTCAGCCGTGTTGACATCAAACAAGTGTCGCAGGTTATAAGTAGTGACATTAAAACTTTGCGACACATACATACTATGTTTTCTTAAACTCAAAATTTTTTTACTTTTCCGCTTTCTTTCTCTCTGTCACTCTCTTTCTCCAATACAAAAAAAAAGTCAACATCATAGAGAAATAGAGACGTTGTGACTAGACATCAAATACTTCATCAAAACAACTCAATCAATCAACCAAGTAGGTTTCATTTGCCATATTTGATCATAATCATCATACTTAGCACCTTTATTGACCTTTCGTTTCAATATTAAGTTGTCAGTTTACTGTCCCACGTTTTAATATTCTCCCCCATACAAAAAACGCCAAAGACGTCACTGGTTTCACTTTAACCAATTTTTGCAATCAATTTTTTTGAGAAAACTTTTTGCACCTAAATTTATACACATTATACACAACCCATTATTTCGTTAATGAGTACTCAGGTAGCGACTGCAACCACCACCACTGCCACGCTGGTATCAAACGCAACGGCCACGTCAAATGGAGGTAGTGGTTCCCCCGCAAATATCTCGCCGCAACAACAACAACAACAACAATCTCTGTCACAATCACAGTCACATCACAAGGCCAAGTCTGGTAAGCGGATAGAATTGGAGAGACTAATACGAGAGTTTCAGAGCAAGTTAGGTCCCAATTGGGAAAAATACCATGAAGCATTGAGTCTATTTCTCATCGGTAAGCTTTCGCGACCAGAACTAGTTTCAACAATTACCCCACTTTTAAAACCACAAAACTTGTTTCGATATCATAACAAATTGTTGATGCTAAATTTTGCGAACTCTTTGAAAGATGGACCCTTGGATGCACCCAATGAGTTGGCTTTGTTTTGGAATAAAAAGTTTTCCAAAGTCAATAAGAATGTACGAAGTACTCAGTATGAGAAATTTAAGCAAAACATTATGGGACTACCCATTAAAGAGAGAAGGCGTATCAAAAACATCACCAGAGATAGTGGGAAACGAAACAAGTTGACTGCTGGTATCACTTTGACTCGTCATACGTTGTTACCCAAAATTCCTATGATTCAGGATAAAGAAAAACAACAATTACAAGTAAACAACTTGGTACAATGGCAACAAGATGTGTTGAATGGTATCAACGCTCCCATTGCAACTGAAAATTATGAGATTCCTGACGCAGATACACTCTCGAAACAGATTTTAATGACGATGCGAGAACACGGGTTGACTGGAGGATTAAATCCTGGTGTAATTGAAGTACTACTCCTAGGGTTAAAATCTCACTTGAAAAACATTGTTGAAAGTGCTATTGATGTGGCAAAGTATAGGAAAAACAAGTACACTAATAATGATTATGTGCCCCTTGAAAATGGTGATGTAAATGGAATTGCCAATGGGTCGAGTTCTAAACCACACTCATTTACAGATTCATCTCAAAACAAGGACATTGTGTTATCAGTGGAGGACATGTACGATACATTTGAAATGTTTCCCCATATAATTGAACCATGTGGACCGAAAATGAGATTGAGCAACGTTTTGCTCGAAAATGATGATGCTCAGGGTAAAAGCTTAAATTATGAGTTACCTCCAAAACCGGCATCGTATCTTGAAGAGCAAAAGAAGTTTACTCAAACTACAACAGCAACAACAGCAACAACAGCACCAATTGCTAGTAATAGAACATCTGCAATTGCAGCAAATGGGTCCAACTGTACTCCAGTATCATCTGCTGGTGCAGCTACAATAACTGACCCAACCACTGCGCAAAGCCAAAGTAGTTCCAATGATGGCAAAGCCGATGAGTCCGTCGAGGGCAAGAGGTCAGAACAACAACAACAGCAGCAACAACATCACCAACAACAACCACAACAACCGCAACAACAACCGTTGCCACGCCCTGATGCCCATATTGGAACCACAGACGAGTTGAAATGGGTCTTGCATGATTTGATTTCGACTATGTAAGAGAAAAGAGCTACGCATTGCTCTTATAAGAACTTCATAAAATGTATACCTTTACACGTTATTTCTATTTCATTTCTTCTTGCATGCAACATTGGTTGAATTGATTGTTTTTAATATATTGAATGTCTCTGCGTCGTTGATTTGGGAAACTACCAAAGGATTACTCTTTGTTGAAACCCACTTTAACACCTTATCCAAATATGTCAGTTTATCATTGTGTATCAACTTTTGCATCACATTCAGTTGTTCATTAGTTTCGATTTTGGAAATATCAACAACAACTAGTCGACTTTCAAACGTCCTACTATTTTTAACTCCACCCACAGTAATCACATGCACAATCACATCATTTGTAACCTCCAATCCATTGATTATACAATTAACTCGATCAAGTTCATCATTATCAATACGCATTTTTTGGCTTTCAAATAAATTTGCATGGGAAAATGTTGAACCAGTTAATAAATCAATAGATTTGGTTATTGCCATCGCTTGATATTCGAATTGAAGTTGCCAAGTTGTGGCTTGGGTTTGGGTGGTTAGTAGATTATGCATAGTTTGAAGAATGATGCAACTACCAGATAAATATTGACTAATGAGGCCAACATTTGTCCCATGAACTATACTCTTGGTAAAATGAGCAAATTCGTCAATAATAAAAGAAGCGGGTGTATTCTCATTAAAAAGCTTGTTGAAAATGTTTCCATATTCGTTCTCATTACCAATCGAATATACCCTTATCTTACCCTGATATTCCATTATTGAATTTTCCAAAATTCGCCGATGTTCGTCGTGTTTTTTAACCTTGTCATTAAGAGAGCTGTATTCGAGGTAAACACCATCAAACTCCTCTTGTTCTGCTTTATCTTGAGCTTTCTTCTCATCAAGAATGTGCTTGGCCTTAGCGAGTTCCATCTCAGTCTCTTTTTTGATATTGACATAGTTATTCATCGTTTCTTCAATAACGCTAATTTGACGTTTAAGCTTCTCTACGCGATGATTCTCGGTTTCAAGTTCAGACTGTCTGAATTCATACTCTTTCGTTATTGCATCAAGCTCCCCTTGTAACTGCTCCAAGCCCAAATTGCATTTTGCCTCTTGCTGTTGTAACTCGTGTTTCTTCTTTTCAAATATCTGCCTCAATTTCTCCATTTCCTCATTATATTTCTGATCGTTTATCACCAGTTGTTGCTTAATTTCCTCCTTCAATTTTAACTCAGTTTGTTTCAATTCTTCAATTTCATCAACCAATTCAGTGTAATCGAAATTTTTCACCTCTTGCACCTCTTGTGTCATTTCAAATTCAATTTCAGTAAACTGGACATCCAATTTTATACTATTTTCTTTCAATTTGATGTCGATTAACTTCTCCTCATTAGCAACATTGTTGATGATCTCCTCCTCCATATCTTCCAATCTCGCTTGAACATTGCGGATCTCACTCGTTGTCATTTCAACCTTTTGTTGATAATTGCGATAAACCCTACGCAATCTGCTCAATTCTTCAGTGAGATGTTCCAACTTCCTGTGCTTCTCTCGACACTCCTGACTGAGTGTAAAGAGTGTCTCTTGTAGATCATTTGAACCAGTCAGTGATTGCGTTGTTGTTGGTGCATATTCAAATGGGGTTGATGTAAAAACTGGAGGTTTTCTCGATAGTCTCTCTTGTATAGATAATATCCTGCTTTGTAAATCGTTCACCTCGGATGACTGTGTGAAGTTGGAGCTCGCCGCAGCGAAAGGTTTTGGGAGTTTAGTTCCTTTTGTTGACCCGTTACCCTGGTTTGTGATCGTTGGAATACTGGCCATTTCAAATCCAAGTGACGCTCGCCTTTTACAAGGAGAATACGGTATGTTTGGAGAAACCTCTTCTAATGGTCTCTTTTGAGGAGTATGCGAGTCCATGATGAATAATGATGATACCTTTGTTGCTGAGCTTTCACCAAACCTTTTTCGAAACAAATTGTAAACAAAAACAAATCTTTGTGTACAAAAGGAGAAGATCTAAAAAAACAATACAACTAATCTACATGATCCTTTACATCAACTTTTTCCTCCTTCAACATGCCTTTACCGAAATACCAGATCAACCAAAAGACAATCCAGTGTGATTCATCCCACAAAAATGTAATAAACTTTCTTTGTCTATAAGAGATCAAAAACTCTTTCAATACTTTTGCATAGTTTGTAACATTTGTAAAATTGTAAAACATATCTGGAGCCAATGCAACACTGATTAACAGCCAAAGGAATAGCCAGATAATGATGGTCCCAATGTAGTATGGCCTTGCGATTGGGTTCACCACTGTCAACAGTTTCAACGTCTTTTTGATAGCATATACATAAGAGCCAATCTTGATAATTTTTGAAACTGCAAAAAGAAGAGCAACAACTCCACTTAACTTATTGATCATATTCTCCTGTGTCAATCTTGCTACTCTATCAAGCCCATCATAAACTTCTGACCCCATTACTCCTTGAACCACATTATAATGCTGATTGTTGATCGAAATGTATTGTATGTTGTTCTTCAAGTCAAAATACCTTGTTCCAAAAGCCGGTACTACACATAGCAAAGTAATAAATGCAACTTTTTTCACGTTATAGTCTTGCCTGTTTGCATACGTGAGTCCATAACCCAGAAGAAACAACATGGTAAATACATCGTCCAAACTTGCTGAAATGTAATCGGCATACTTTGCAACATTTAAATTGAAAACCACCAAGATTGTCGTGAATAAAAACACTGCCACTTTAATCAATTGTAAGTTTACTTCAGCCATGTATAAAATTGGAGGATTGGAGCCAAAGTAAAACAACCTAGCAAAAAACAAACTAACCACAATGTTTACAACCAACCACCATAAATCATCGTATTTTTCATAATACCCGTACTCTCTAACATCAACTTTGTATTCATATGACAGTACTTTCGGCGTGTACAAACACCACACGGTCGATGTCACGTCAAACTCCAACTTCTGTCCCAAGCTTGTGTTAAATGCAGTAGGTGAGCCATTAGAGAAAGTAAACTCACCAAACTCAAAATACTCATCTAACTTTGCATCAGTGACCAAAAAGTCAAAATTGGGCAAGTTTTTTAACGAATGTCTGTTTCCATATTCAAAGATTGCTATTGGAATTGGTTCAGTACCTAATGTTCTTGTAATCTCAACAGTTGTTGGGTTCGATACTTGGAAACACACAGCATTGGACCCAGTGTCCAAGTGGAACTGTCGTGCTTGGGATAAAGTAGCAAGGGATATAAAGAGCGGTGTATAAATTAGCCTCATTGATGTTCAATTGGTTCCATCTTTGAATAAATTATTCGATGATCATCTTATTTTGTCAAAGTTGTTTGCGGGGAGGAAATGGTAGCACCATTGCGGCGTTAGCAGTTGCGAAATAGCATGTGCTTTAGAGATCTCCTATGTAGCTATACAGCTGAGTGCTAAATAAAAGGCCCCAAAATTAAGTCATGGCTGGTACATCGCATCGCTTCTTGACTAAAAAGCCACCTGGAAAAGTGTTCAAAACGAAATCATCTCCAAATTGGGACTCTGATTGTAGGTCTTTGTAATACCACAAACATTGAGTAGATGTTGGCATTTTTTCCATAATAGAGGAGATTTCTTCTTGCATAATATGATTTTGGGACAAGTCAATCTCAGAAAACTTATTATGCCTGACTTTTTTACCATCGTCATGGCCAATCGATTTTATTGTGAATCGGGATAGTTCATTAGAGCTCAAGCTGATCAGCCTTAGATTTGTATTAGTATTTTGAGGGAATGATAACTGAATCTTGTGGATGCTATTGTATGAAAGTTCCAATTCCTTTAAGCTACTAGTTTGAAACAGAAAGTTTATTGTTCGAAGTTTGTTCTGAGCAAGGCTTAGGTACTTCAAATGCCGCAAATTTGCTAGCTGAGGAGGAATCTTTGTAAATCCATTCGAGGATAAGTTGATATTGGTTACAGATTGTGGTGGTATTAAGTCCATTTTTCTGAGTTGGTTCCCCGATAAACAAAGATATTTCAACCGAGATCCACTCTCAAATGTGATATTCTTCAACTCCTTTATTTCACATCCACTAAAGCTCAATTCTTCAATCGTCTTACCAAACTCGGTGTCAAGCAATGTTTCGATGCAGCAATTGTCAAAATTGAGAATGATTAAATTCAGAGGCAATTTAACATTCTTCAAACTGGTGATTCTGTTGTAATTCAAATATAATGTGGTTATTTGTAATGGCTGACCAATATGGTTAGTAGAAAGATCAACTTTCGATATGTTATTCTCAGTGAAATGAATCGTTTGAATGGTTGGGGGAAATCTAGGCTTATACACCACCTTGATTTTATTTGACCCAATACCTAAATTGACCAAGTTTTTAGGGAATTTCACATGATCGATGGACTCGATCTGATTCACTTCAAGGGACAAAATCTCCAACGAGTCGGGAAACTGGAACCGCAGAAAGTGCTTACCAATGTGTGTATTCATCAACCTGAGATAATTTAATTGTGCAAATTTTGCAAAGTTTGGTAAATATGTGCTCCAACTAATTGGATTGTGTTCGAAACTGATGAATTCAAGACCGAGTGGAAGAGCTGGTATGATAAGCGATAGGTCTTCAATTGAGTTGTTTGACAAGTCAAGTCGCTTCAACGTTGGTGGATATTGCAAGTGAGCAAGAATATCTGGCTTGTCCATTTTGGTGATCGTTAGACTTTTCGTTGGATATACAGACAATGGTCTGTCTAGTCCAAAATTAAGTGAGAGCAGTTGCAACTTCATGCCTTGCATGGAAGCTTTCTCCAACAATGTTATCACCTCACCGGAAATTTCAGGAGTGTATATAAGGCTCTTTAGCTCTAGGTGCTTTGTCGACGAAGATATTGCCCGTTTGAGAAATTCAAGGGGCATCAGCAACCTTCTCCTCCTTTCGTTCCAGAATGTTATTGTCTCTAGTTGAGGCAATTGTAACTCTCCTGCATTCACTCTCTCTAAAATCAAGAAGATCACGTGAGCGTTGGCTTGGAAAGTTTCTAATGTCGGTGGTAACGCATCAATTAGGTGATTGGCACCTTCAGAACCGGTGCATTCGAACATCAACAGTTTGAGCTTCAGGGTTTGCAAGTTGTTTACGGAGGAAGCGGAGCAAAAGTGCAAGCTTAAATTTTCCATGTTGGAGAACAACTTCATGTCTATGCCAAAAGACTCGTTACACTGATCAATGACAAGGGATTTAACTTGACTTCCAATAGTGGTTAATGACTCAAAAAATTGTTGACCATTGAATAGATATTGAAAACCTGTGTCAAATTCGAGCTCTATATTGAATTTGATTGTGCTTGCTCTCAACTTGGATACGAGGTCTCTAAATTCAACCATATCGGTAGAAGTCCACATGTAGTAGGCTATATTCAACGTTGTTGGTAAGTTTTCCTCCACGCAGTAGTTATAAAGGATGAGGAATTCATCCTCATTGTCGAGAAATTTCAATTGGGTCTTGTCAATGCAATTTGGTGTTCTCAAGTACATATGCAAGAAGGAGTACCTATCGATCCGATTGTTGTACTGTAGTCCATCTTCATCACTAATCACACGATTGATTGCGCGTTTCAATTGTTCATTCAGGTTTAGGAATAGTCGATTTTCAGGGGTAAGTAGTTGTGCGATGTTCTCGATCCCAGAATAAGCCACAATTCTTAGTAAGATGTCCCATTGGTACTCATCCAATGCAATTCTTTGGTTCGTAGCCATGTGGAGTGTAACGGAGCCACCGAGGAGGAGCTTTTGAAAATAATATTGGCACTCTTTCCAATTACAAATGGTTCGGATCTGACGATTTTTCCTTTTTTTTTCCAGTTTTTTTTTTTTTGGATTTCTTTACTTTTCTTTATCTTTTCAATCTGCGCGGCAAAATTGTCCGAGAACAAAAGCTCGATGTATTTTAATCCCGACGCGCAATTAAGGCTCAAGTGCAACCCGAGTGGGCCGAATAGGGTACGCTCCTGAGCAGTATTCTTTAGAGTCATCTGTTGAAATATCTAATACAAGGCTCTTGCACATTGCTATTAAAATACACAACTACTTGAGTGGATATATATTTTGTGTTGATGATTTGCAACCAACCTAGTTTTTTCAGGAATATTTTATGAATCAAGCAACATGATGTCGAAAGTGAAGTTATATGGTCTATGTGGTTATTCGTGTGTTTGAGTAATTTATGCTACTGGCTGTCTGTGTGAACCTAGCTCAATCATGGGAGATAAGAGGTCCTTTATTAATGAGTTTTGGTGTGTTTTTGTGGCAATGTTAGTTGAACGTTCTGAGGGAGTTCTGAGGGTAGGTATGCTTTGCAATCAATGTGTTTGTGAGCCTGGTAGTGTCCAGGTGCTCACATGGTTAACACAAGAATTCGTGAAGAGTTCCAATAGGGGACGGAGTTACCCTAAAAGTTATGTTTACTTGTACAGAGACTCTAGTGGAAGAACAGTTGATAAGACATATTATCAAGTCACAATATCTTCCTATTATAAGCTGATAGACGCCAACTAAGGCAGATTAATTAAAAAGCCGTTTCATGATACGAAAGATGAGGTATATTGCACCGCAATGGAAAACTGCTCCTACAAGAAAATCCAAACATGTAGCCTCTTGAGTAGGTCGTGGAAAAAGTGGACCGTAGTGATGCCCCTTGTAATTATGCATCTTGGGGTTTATACTAGCCACTCACGCATAAGATGTGGAGCACGTGTACCTGGTATCTTGGCTCTTTCCGTTGCTTTTCTTGGAAAGTGATATGCCAACACTGCAACCGGATAGATTTGTTCATTTTCCGATAAACAAGCAGTAATTGGCCTGGCTAACCAAAAGCAAAACCCAGCGTGATTCGTTTGTTCAATTTCGTGGCTTCCTTTGAAAGTCTTGCATCTTGAATCTTCTGACCACAGCTACCTCCCCAATGTCTGTGTTGAGTTCCAAGTTTTGCTAAATAGGAGGGACTCCATTTCGTAAAATACTTGACCACATTCTTGTCATCGACAACGATAGTTAATAGGGTACAACGATAATAGCCATAATGATCAATTCTTTTCCATATCTCCCTCATTTCAATAACCACGGCCCAAAGTTTTGCCCTCGCTGGTGTGGTTACGAATATGGAATTTTTGTTAAGGTCCCTTAACAAATGACACTGGTTGAAGCTGTCGTCCTAACCACAGCTAATAGCTGCTGTGGCGACTCCATTTTTGTTGTCAGTTCTGTTATTACATTCCTAAACAAAGCGGAAGTGTATAGCATGGTCCATTTAGTCATTGATTGGGGCTTGAGCCTGTTGAGCTATACATAAGGTAGTTTGTTTAAAGACGTGTAGTAATCTTCTATACTCGTGCGAAGAATTCAAGTTAAGTATGTAGGAGGGGTTGCAAAAGTAACTCACTCCTACAGGATAAATTCATCGAGAATTGCGGAAAGTACACTAAACTGCCACTATTCCAAATTGATCACCCAATCGCATGTGCTGATAAGTACTGCCTCTCCTCACGCGTCACCAACCATAGATGTTTATAGAGGATACAAAACAAAGGATGTGGCCTTCTCTCTATGCAATGTGGCGTGTGCTAATACTACAAGAAACTAAATAATTCAATAGAGTTTTTGAGTTAATAACATAAACGCAGAATCGCCATATATATTTACCTAAAGAAAACAGTACCCCAGTGTAGTTTTTCCAATCAAACCTCCATCGATAGTAAAATACTCGTCTTCTGGTTCAGGATAGTCATCTAAGCCTTGCCCTCGTCTTTGCTCAACGGTTGCTGCTTGTTCAGCCAAATCATGCGCTATACCGCACCCAAAATCTCTAATCTCTAGTATTCATCGGCTTGTAAACGAGTTCAAATATTCTTGCAAGCCGTCGCATCTTTCAACTATTTCCATGCACTCTTTGTACAATTCCACCGCCTTTTGTATCAAGTCGGCGTCCAACACTGCGTCCAACACTGCGTCCAACACTGCGTCATTGCGACTGTTTCTCCACTTTTGAAAGTCCTTGTCGTATTTCCTCTTGGATGAGGGTCCCCTCTCAAGAATATTTTTCACCGCGTTTAAGTCATCAGAAACAAGCGTATACTGCATACCTCTTGCAGCCCCATGATTTGCGAAACGATCAATGATAGCTTCCATTCCTCTAGTTATAGATCACATTTTGGCCCTTGCTGGGGTGACCATATGCTTAATTGTAATGGCTCTTCTGAATTCACATTCGTAAAATTTCCATAAACCGGGCACGATATAGCAACACCAGCATATCCACGTCTGTCATCATTTCTGCCAGGACTATTGATGAAAATGCCCGACACGTAGACGTTGGCATTTTCAACCATATTGATTAAGTGGAGAAGAGATATGCGGAAGTGCCCTGAGCTAGGACTTTTTTTTGCCACATGGTGTGTCACATTCAGTGTTGTAATTACAGAATACACATTATCGAATGCAACATGAAACACAACTAACGAGTGATGTAAAGAGTGCAAGAGGAGCATATCTAAGCTACATGAATGTCCAACCTGTGATGTAAGTGTGTTGCGGAAGTGGGGTTTGGTTTTAAAAAATATCGTTTCATTATGGATATGGACGTATAGAACTTCGACATAAATGCCTAGGTTCATTGCATTAAAGTCCATTATCGGATGCTTCCTGCTTGCTTGCAAATAGGCTCTAACTGTATCTACGGGATTTGACGATTGTTTTCTGACACAATCATCTCTGTGTTGGTGTTTCCGTACATAGAGCATGCTTCCAGAATAGCAAAGAGATTCTCAAGTTTCTCGTCAACCGTTCAATTTCAAAAGGGGGTTCATAATTGCCAGAGTTTTGCCGCAAAAAAAGCAAAAAGCAAGAAAAAACAAACATCCTCGGCAGTGTTCACTATCTAGGCATGACTGTTTGGATGCTGATACTTGCAGGGGGCGACAGGACGCACAAATATCCGGCCGAGCCTGGTCTGGATCTTGTTGCAACGCAGGACGGTTCTAGACTATTTGGTTGTATGTAGGACATATTGTAGATTTTGTGTTGTTCGTTGCAGAGTCGTAAATCTTACATGGAAGGGGATGTTAAACTGCATATAAAACCATCCCCTCTACTCGGCAATAGACAACCACAAACGGAATAGGAGGGGGAGGGGGGACAGGGGATGACAGCACAGACAAAGTACCTCAAGAGTACTTCAAGAGTACCTCCTTGCTCTGGCAGCTTAAAGATGGACCTAAAGGAGTCAATGCCATAGATGAAACAGGATTCGTTGTACTATGCTCTCCTTATCGCCTCTAAGCACTGGGCAAAAAGGGACAAGCCACAATTAGGTGGCATCCCTTTCCCAAACTGTCAGACACTTTCTTCTATATAATTTGTAGTGACGTAAGGCATAGAAAGAGAGAAATGTCGTGTCTTTGCTGTTTCAAAGTTCAAAAGTTGATGAATTTCACTAAATAGGTAATTTTCAAAGTTTGGGGTTTTCACTGGCACGTTTTCTAAAAGTTTGCACGTGGTTATTTTGCATTTTCTGCTTTATCCTCAATTTCCGATTATGGAATTTAAGCGCAAGATAAAGGGGGAAGGAATGTACGAAAAGAGGAAAAAAGACGGAGGCAGCAAGAGATAAGAGACCCATAGTGTGGCTTCCTACTAGTATTGTTAGCCCATGGACTCGTTTGAAACAAACAAAAAAAGAGACCCAATCATGGTTTTTCTTTCTCTTTCTCTTTCTCTGTCTCGGCATTGCATCCTCGCCCCGTGTTGCGGTAATAAAAATGTTGCTCATACGGGGCTTCGCACAAAGATTGCTACCACGGAAATAGTGCGCAAATACGTCACTGGCTGGAATAGAGAAAAAAAGAAAAAAAAACAAATTGTTGGCAATACCGATTCCTCGCACTTTAAGATCCGAGATAGGAGAGATAGATAGAGAGATAGATAGAGAGTTTGTGTGTTTGTGATAATAGGAGCAACGGAAAGCCACGTAGACAAGGTACATAGAGAGAGATAGAACTGGGTAGAGCAAGTCTAGGGGACTGCAACTATGTGCAGATTCTATGAGACATTTTCTGCAATGGAATAGGAGCCACCACCACCACTACTACTACTGCTGCTACTGCTGCTGTTGCTGCATCTGTTGACACCACAACCACAGTACAAGTTACTCTTTTCTACTACTGCAATAGAAACAACATCGTTGACAAATTGTGTGTACAGATGTAAAACTGTGTGAATCTAGAATACTGTGTAGCAGGTGCCCGTGTAGGGAGTAGTACTATGAGTCAGTCAGTTAGTTCCACAATGTCGTGGTATCACGTGCGTTGCTCATAACTATTACTCACACACACTCTCACAACCACAACCACAACCACAACCACCACAGTGTGACACAACACACACACAAAATTTATTTTTATTTATTTTTTTTTTGTTTCCTGTGCATTTTGTGTAATTTACACAGCAAATAGACAACAGACACCAGACATACTTTGAATAAATATATATATATATATAAGGTGATAGGAATCCACCAGATTTATTTTCCACTTTTTCAACCACCCTTCAGCATCAATTCACTTTTCAACCAAGTCATATCCCTATATACCAAATTAGAATACCAGTCAAACAGCATACAATGGATCATTTTGACACGCATAACCAAGAAGATATCTTCCAAATGGATGATGAGTTTGAGCACGACAGATATAGCCAAGCTACCG